AAAAAAGAAAGAGAGACAGAGACAGACAGGTGTGTGTGTGGGTGCATGTTAGAAATATGTCTACGAAATGCATGGTCAACTATCGTATTTTGTGGAGAATATTAGCCTGTATTGGCCGTTTTACGAGATGTTCTAAAGCATGGAGTGTCGTTCAAGGGAAGATATTCGAGACAATGACAAGGCTGTTCCTTTCCCTTTCCAGAATTTGCAATTGTTAACAAATAAGGTCCACACTTATTGGATCTTCCCAGTGCAGCGGCTGGGGATGTATTGTAAGGGCAAAAAAGGCCAAACGGAGAGGACATTGCAGGCAAAGGTGGGGCATGAGAAGAGCATCGATAGGTCGACCGGTCTTCGGCTGTGGTATGTTCCTGGCCGGCGCATATGCATCCTGCAATGCGTTGTTCCTGTTGACGGGAAATTACCAGGACCTCAGACATATTTTCTGCATGCACGAAGAGAGCACAAACAAGCGAACGAACGAAGACTATGTATGAAGGGTTTGTGTGATATTAGTATAGCATAGTATCACATGTGGTATTGATACATGTTCTTGAAGTTTTATACGTTGTTTCGTCACACAACGAGGCTGTACATATACAGCGCATCAGAAAATATGGATCTGCAGGTCTCTGCTCTTAAGTTTGTAGTATGTAGACGAGACTTAGTACATTCCTGAGTTAGTCAGTCTTCCCTTTCCCATATTGGAAACGGGCCGAGTCTGTTGGCAAGCACGCTCACAATGGTGGACAATGGCGCTTCCCAGCAGTCGTACCACTTTTGCATCTTTCGAAAGACTGCGGCGACTGGAAAGTCATTATGTGCATATTGCTTGAACTGATAGGTCAGATTTTCTTCCCCCCACTGAGCTGCCGCTATTGCAGCCGCTCTTCCACTATCTGCTCGAAAGTCGACGTCTTGGAATCTTTCGAGGGTAGCGTTCCGTGCGTCGGTGTCGACTTTTAGTTTGTGGTCTTTGGTAAAATCAGCCTCAGTAGCTCCTTCGATTTTCCACGATAGCTGTAGTAGGTTCTTTGTCATATCATTCACGTGCGGTTGTGTCTGACCGGGTACCTTCTCTAACCATGTCGAAAAGCGACTAAATACTGGAATATCTTCAGCAAAGAGTTCTCGATATAAGACTAGTTGATCCCGTGCAGCTTCTGCAGTTGTAATATCTTGAAAGTTATATCTCCCCAGTAACTCCCTAAGTTTCGTAGGATCGGATATATAGTATTCTTGCATGAGTTTGAGAGCTTGGGATAACTGATCTTCTGCAAGACGCAGTTTCCGTACCATATAACTCAACGACGAGGAGAAATGGTCATTGGCGATGATTTTGGGATAAGCTAGGTCCGATGGGTCCCCCGTCGGGCAATTCTGGTCCCTGATAATCTTCAACTTATCAATCTGGTGACCGATGGCCAGGAAAGCTTTAAAATTCAATTTGAAGTAGTCCTTCAGATCCGGCCTCAGTGGTATCTCTACCTCGACGGCCGTGACCACCGGAACATGACTGAATTGAAGAACCAGGGCGGCCTGTAAATATACCCAGAGCCCGACGCAACCCGAGAAACGTAACGGTCTCATCGTTTCTTATTGTCGTCGTCGCCCCGGGGGCGTTTCGAAGAGAAACGACACTTTTGTATACTTGTATTTGCAATCGAAACTAACTAGGTTCGCGGTTTATAGAATTTTAGTTCGAAGCTGTGTTGCGTGTGGTATGAAAGTGGAGACCTGGTTACTGGATGCCTTCAAATGCAAGGGCTGTATGTACATGTCCTTCTGCATTCGCCACGAGGCTCGCTGGATAGGAATTGCTTATCTTCACTCCATTGTTTTTTTTTGTTTTTGCCTTCTACAACATCTTATTTTTTATTTTTCCATTTTCATTTTCACTTTTATTTTTCTTGATTCTTCGATGTCTGGTTGCAAGATCCGTCTTTCGGCTTCTTCATTTGCGGCCAATTATTTGTGGTTTTGAGAGAAATAGGCAGCGCCCTTCCCATGGTTTGGTCCCAAAGATGCGTCCAACCCCGTCCGAGGTCAACCCACGTCCTTCAAAGCCCTGCAAGAACGAAATAAAGAAAGTGGGAAAAAAAACGTCGTCTGGTGTTTTGACTGACTGACTGTCGCATGTTCTCTTTCGAGAAAGACTGAGCGAAATTAATTCTGCATGCATGCCCCGGCGCATTAGCTATTGAACTCTAAGCCAAGCTATAATGTAAGTACAATGTATCGCCGGCACAGGCACCGCACGCGTTACGTCGGCGAATATAATGATTTCCTCATTTTTCGGTTATGTGCGACTGACACTTTTAAACCGTTCCTCACAGCCTGATAACGGAAGATAAGTGCTAGCGTGGGGAATTATCATGCGGCAAGAGAAATGGTGCAATATCAAAAAAAGGACCACCATGATCAAACATCGAGATAGTAGTATCATGTCGGTCAAGAAAAAAAATAATTGAAATGCCGATTGTCGTTTTCGTTTTCGTTTTTCCTGTGGGATTTCGTGGGGTGTCTTCGGACGGTTCCTGATTCGAATTCGGTTTCTCGTTCCTGGCGTCGGCTTCGTTCGGGTTACGTTACGTACCCAGGGACGTATCAGATATGGGACCGTTCTTACCGTTCTTACCATTCTCACCATTCTTACGTTGGAATCCGCCCACGATACGGGCTTGGACACCTGCCTATCTGGTCTCGTCCATGCGAGATAGACGGACCGTGGATGCCTTCGCTTAAAAACTCTGAAAAGTCTATTAACGTTTAGGTAAAAAACCCTTTTTAATGATTTCTTTCCCTCTTCGGTAATTAGTATAAGTTTCCTTTTGATCACAACGTGATTGGAAAACCGCGTCCAATACGCTACACGATGAACATTAACACCCCAAAAGGCGTAGAAGCCAGAAGCGTAAGCGTGCACGTGTGTGTCAGGCTGAAATGCTTTAGTCATTAGTTTCCGTCGATACCCATATTCTGATATGATCTAGATGGATGCATGTTAAGGACGTCTGGAGTACAGTACAACTCTTCGCTTCAATCAACCGAAATCTTTAACCCAGTGGATATTATCCAAACTTTCACTTAAGAAACGTGCTCAGAAGCCTATCACGGTATGGCCGTGCCTGTGCACATCTCTTGGGGTCATCTCTAAAAGCTTAGAAACTTTGTTCAACTAGTCTCTTTGCATATTAACACGTAGTCTGTATCATCCTGGGAAAGAGCTTCGTATCCACCCCGGGGAGAGAGCACAGACTGGGGATGTGGGTCCCTGGGGGGTTCAAGGTCATCGTCCCTCATGCTCATCTATTCTCAAATTTGCCGGGATGACGATGGAATTGGAGTTCAGGAAAATAAAATGTCGCGAATCCTATTCCGGCAAGAGGAAATGCTACTTGTCTCTATTCTTACACCATCAGACAATATGCGCGCCTTGTTTAATGCTTGCTCAACAGAGCAGGGCATCGATGTCATCTACAGATCAATATGGTCAATATGAATATCAAGATGTAGACGACAATTCGATTCGCTTAGATGCCCTTCGCTGCATCGATACATTCGACGCATGTAACGTAAACATCAGACAGCCGAGAAAGAAAATAGAAATCCATGCATTTGCCCGCCCATCATCATCTCTTAATTCGATTTCTAAAAATAATTAATTTTAAACTTCCACGCCTTCAATTTCTGGTAATTTTAAACAAAACGACATCATTGGAAAGCTATTCCGAAATGCGTCCGCTCCAAGTTGTACTAATATAGGCAATATTAAACTTATATGATTAGCGTGGCTATGCTGGAACCATAACTACTCCATTACGACTGCTACCTCTTCCCGTGTCATTCCATAGTATGTAGTCTATCCGTGTATAGAGTAGTATATACGTACTAACCAAACGGCATATGATTTTCGCTGATTAGTCTGTCTGAAGCAGTACCTTGGCTGTTAATCTTGTCTTTGTCCGAAAGGTTCCAAGTTTTTTTTTTTTTGCTTTCTTCCTGTTTCTGGATAGAACATGTCAAGAAGCAAAGTTAACATGGGGACCCGGTCTCGTAGACGGACATTGCATTATATTTCCTCAGGCTTCTGGGGTGAACTCGCAAGGGCTAAACCTGACCGATATTGCGAAAAACAATATATCATGTCAGGGTTGTGCGTTGTAGACGTGACTTTTTTCCTTGGTACCTTGCGTAGGTAGACAGACATACGAGATGTCGAATGCATGTTTAAGTATGGTCAAGCGCAAGACCGTATTCCTGCTAGTTTGGGTCCCAATGGTTGAATTTCTAACATGTGTATCGAAAGTGATCCCATGACGGTCTTTCTTTCTTTCTTCTTCCTTTCTTCCTTTTTTTATTTTTTATTTTTTTATTTTATTTTTTTTTTGAATGCATGTAGGTAAGTACTAAGTAAGTACCATGTATGTGCGTAGGTGAGTACAAGATCTGCTCGAATTTCCAAAATCGACGGACGGACGCTAGCTTCCTTTCCGGACAGCCGATTCCTTCCTTCCATATCGCATGCAGTAATGGTCAGGGCTAGGCGGTCGACGCCTACTAAGTGTGCCACGACTCAGTGTAAAACAATCGTAGCTTTTTTGCGACGAAGTTAACTTGTCAAATCTGCCAATAATGAGACATTCTAATCAAACTACCGCTACTTTATCTTCACCTTAAGCGAAAAGATTATTATTTCGAAATCCTTAACTCAACTTAACTTAACTGATCATGACTAGACCGTCCCTCGTGTTACGGTCCGCCTTGAGTCGCAGCCATTGCCTCCGTTTTGGCACAGACTTTTGCGCCATGGAAAAATGTCATAGCGAAAACATGCATATAACTTCTTTTTTGAAATATGCGCGTGTGTGTCTAGCATGGTGTCTGGTGTCTGTGGGTGTGTGGAGAAACATTCCAAGCTGAGGTGAACAACAGCGAGATGAACAAGCCAATCGCCAAAACTCCAGTCACATTATTATTATTTATCCACAAAGTCCACGAGCGACGCAACAAAGCACATCAGACTTCATCCGTGCGTCGATGGTGCATCTACATAGGATGTAAGTACGTAGCTGGTCTAGTTGGTCTAGCTGGCATGTGGGTTGTGGATCCACATATTCAAACTGTACTTTCTGACGGTGTCTACATAGTACACATACCAGCGAATCGGGCGCTTGGGTATCATCTTTCTAACCTTGCCGTCTTTGCATTATTCTTGTTTCATATCCAACCACAACCTCTCTTGAAAAGTATAAGTCGATCCAACCGCTGGAACTTTCTTTCAACCTAACTCGCCAACTCGGGTGTGATCTCACGAACTTCTTCGATCACGGAGATATAAAAGTTTGATAAGTCATAGCTTAACTTTTCTTGGTCGGTGTTTTATGCTTACTCTCTCTCAGAGATATGCAGGTCTGTAGCACAGATGCATGCCTTGACGTTCACAATTGCCAACACCAACTTTTTTTTTTATTTGCTTTACGATTTTGTCAAATGCAGTTTAGTCTGACTCTGTAGCCTCAAAGAGTGCTGGCAAGAAACCCTAAAGAGCCATAAGGGAAACCTCCCGGAAGCCACCTTGGGGCCCGCAATCCATCACATTCGAAATTTGATATGATCGACGTTCCACACGTATACCTATGAGTTACCCACTTCCCGGTGGCCAAAAAAGAAGGGTCCTTTCACATCTTCAATTGGGGCATATCATCCATGTCTCATATATCGTATTAGCAAAGTCAATAGTGGAGATATCTAGACTGTGAACTTCAATGCTAACCACTTAGTCAAAAACTGAAAAACCAAAAAAAAAAAAAAAAAAAGAATACGCAGAGCTAGAGCTTCATCTCATCTCGTCGACAAGATTAAGTGGAAATTTCCCGCAGGAAAGACACCAACTATAGAACGCGAATTGCGTGACCTTCATCCGCATTCCCCGGTCTAGCGTCGTAGGCGGTTTCTCGCCGTGACTTTTTTTCCTTTCCCCAGAAAATCTCTGACCAAACCCCAGTCGACCCATCGACGGCCGGCCAAGCGGCATTTAATCTTGGTAGAAGGGAAAAGAATAATATCCATAGAGGGTTGCTTTCCGAGACGCAATTACGGAGTAAACCCCAGAAAAGTAGAAAAGGGCTTGGTTCGAGTTTCTTTTTGGGGAATTAAACCTTCGTGATAGATTCTGGCTAAACTCGAGCGAATGGTAACGATTACATATTGCACTAAGCCTTTTCATCGTAAAAAAGACTAATCCGCGGCTTTTGTTCGCCTTTGTGGAGAAAAAAAAGTGGTTTCTAAGGAACGGCAATGCGGCACTTTGGATTTTGGTGATCTCTTCAAATTATCACGAGAGAGAGAAGGCAAAAAAACCACGGGTTTTCGTACACAAGCACTTCAATCCCAAAAAGCCAATATCGTGAACCCATGCTCTTTTTTTTTGTCTATCAAACTCTGCTCGAGCTCCCAGAATCCATGCACAGTACCTGCATAAACGATGTCTCAAGAAGAGAGGAAACGCCCGGCCGCTTCGCAACAACAAAAAAATTTGGATTTTTTTTCTTTACTTGCTAGTTAATTCGTTGGCTAAATTCCTGCAGCATTGCCAAAGAAGACAGGAAATTCATGCATGCTACGTATTGTAAACGTTTAATCCTCCCTCTGTTCTGGTATCTGTTCATGCAAAGTCCTAGCTAGTGGTTAAGCCGTCTCTGGGATCGAGCTCAAGCTTACCTAGTTAGCCTATGTAGCTAGCTCTAACGAGAATCCTGAATCCTTAGTGTTGGAACCGGCTTCTTCGTAGACGGACCCAAATCCCGCATTTTCCAAAATAAATCCCTCGTGACATGATACTTGCCCCTCCACCTTGTTCGTTTGAGATTCTGATATTTTTCCTGTCGACGAACATGGTTTCCTCGTCCCAGGATATGCAAAGAGAGAACTGACCACCTCGTTTTCTTTTTTCTTTCATTCATTCTCGTCAAAAAACAAAAAGGAAGACGTTGGTTAGTTTCCCTTGTTGCATGAACTGGGGACACCGGGAACCATTCACCTGGTAGATATCCAGATTTTGAGTTTCCTACATGGGGAGGGGTTAATACTCTCGTTTTCTGTTTGTGGGGATTATATCATGCATTACACTTGGGGTTTCGGCTGGATTGGATATAATCTGGGGTTTACTAGTTTTGCTTGATGAATTGAAACGGCTTTTGTCACGGGATATTTTCCGCCGCGATACATGTGAGGCATTGCTTCGACCATGTGTATTTTGGATATTTTAAACAAGAAAAAAACAGTGAGGGTTTAAACGGTCCAAACCGGCTTTTTGGGAATATTCCAAAGAGCGGCTTTTTTTTCTCTCTCTGTTTCGTTTTCTTTTGCCTCTCTACTTTGTAACTGACTCTAAGCCGGGTTTCGTTTCTTTTATTTCGGAATCTGATGTCCCGAACATCCTGCAAACATTCCGAAGAATTGGAAGAAATGGCGAGGATTTCACGTGCTTTTTTCGAAGCTGGTTTGTGATAACATAATCCGAACCAATAGATCAAATTCTTTTTTTTTTGTGAACTTGAATCTCGGAATCACCGGTATGGATCAGACTGGATCAGACGCGGGGTAATGCTAAAGCTAGATGGGTGGCGTTCAATTTACCTAGTATTCACCTGCTGCAAAGACAAGGACATGCCAGTATCGTTAACCTGATTTATTGCTTTTACTATGTACATATTGCCTTCAGTCACGGATCCGAAAAAGGTGACATTTTGCTTAGTTAGTATGGTAGCTGGCGTGTCTGTATTGTCAAGGTTGACTCGAAACAGTCCCTCTTCTCATGCCTTTTCCTTGCTTGCCTGATCTGTGTAAATGCGGGCAGGGAAATCTATTCTTTTGATGGATTGGAAATCCTGTTCGCAATTAATTCTTGCGGACGCTTTTTTTTTTACCTCGCTTTATTGATATATACTAGTATACTCCCGGGTACCCACGTTATGGCTCCGACGTATGAGCCTGATGTGTAACAGTTTTGGGAACATTCTCCGAGTCTTATTCATACACAGTACCTCGGGCCTGTTTCCCAGGTTCAGGTGTTCAAAGGGTGCTGGTACGCATGGTTTAGAATTATTAACCAAGTTTTCGATAATTTGCGATCTCTTTCTAATTGATCAAGACTTTCATGGGTTCGGATTTTTTTTCTTGGTAAAAGCAAGAGAGAAAAAAACTTCATCTACTTCCATATATGTCTCAAGTTTTATAGGGCTTGTAAACCCCCCCCCTCGAACCCCCCTCCCCATGTACGTGAGGTATAATTGTTTGTTGCAATAATATAATCAACTGAAATTGGAGTGGTTTCAGTGATGTTGTATGGAAACTTCTATGGATAGCCTAATTATAGTTAATTCGATAAAAACTATTTGAAGATTTATTCATTCATTGATCCATTCTTTCCTATTTTGAAAAAGGTCTCGCCGATTTCATTACTAGGTTAACAGATTTCTAATTTTGGGGAGTTTCATGCTTGATGTTAGATGATAAATAGTATAATTCTCGTATTTTCGGGCGGTGTCCCGGTGTATAATAGCTGGTGAAATACAAGTCGGCATGAATCTAGTCTTAGGGGTTCTAGTATACTCTGGTATATCCTGACGGGTTTCGCTCCCGGATATACTAGTGATGAACTTCGTAGATATTAATATTCCGTAATTATTATGAAAGAATTCGGAGAATTGAAGCAGTGGATCCATGGATGCTAACCAATTGATTACACATCGGTGGATGTCTTTTTGGGAAGTTAACTATTTATCGATATCTATGAGAAGGAGCTGAGGATGGAAGTCTTGCCGTGTAGTTATGATTTAGATATACTGGTAGTATCGGAAGTAATAAAGTTGTATAGGCGTATACGGTTATATTATAAAGTTTCTTATGATTGAAAATCGGTCTCCGAATGTATTAGGATCCAAAGAACATATATATTATATTTCCTTGAATTGCATGTTGCAGTTCGCTCCTAGACGTATACGCATAACTGATATACACCCTATATAAGACCGTCTGATTTGATCGAAAAGCACTGAAAGTAGAGCTTCGAGACCACGATTACATATACCAATAACAGATAAAACTGGCTTTTTGTGTGAAATTGGCTATCAACTATGATATTTTGTATTTGTCGCACTCGAAGCCCTCGAATTGCGACCACCTTTGTTGCATTTTGAACTTCGAGCTCGACGTATAACGTTATATGTTTACCCGAGCTTGATGATCCAAACCTTTAAACGAAGCTGTCGAGTCGATGGCCGGTGTATCCGTTAATATTCCTTTACAACCCCTCATGACGAGATGGTATTCAAACCTAGGTAATCGATGCATTGATTACCAGTCTATTACCACTCTTTTTCCGACGCTTCTAGGGATATAATATTCGTAACACTTTGCAGCCCTCGGCCCTCGATGCATCTACACGTCTGCATGGCCGAGGATGTATATCAAATTTTCATTCTTTTATTATCTTACACTTCACATGTTGTAAGATACCATTGAGAGAATAAGCGGAATCAAATATTTAAATCGATCTTTATGATGGTTTTAGTCGAAGCTGATCCCTAGCTAGCATCGCACTCAGATGGTGGTGGACATGCATCTCTAAATCACAAATGCATATCGACAAGCGGTAAGGCGGTTGGTTCCTACATTATATCACCACTTGCCTGCTGCTATCCTTTGAACAACACGGGCTGGCTAGATAGGGAATATATCATTCTTGTAATTTGTAATCCTCTTCCTCATTCTGTCGACAGTGCTTTACGACAATGTTTGAGCTACGAGATAAAAAGCTCTCGATGAGAGGAGGAATGTTTTTGTTTCTTTGCGAAGTCTAGTTTGAGACAAGGAGGAATGATAAATGTCATTGCTTCGACCGTATACAACAGCCGTTAGAATCTTCTATAAAAACACTCAAGAAAGAATGAAAGATATAAGTAGTTAAGGATACATGAATAAAGAAGCCCCATCTACACACCCCCGCTTCAATATCTATCCCTCTTGTATAAGAAAATGATCCTAGACTTGCGCCTTTCCCTTTCTTTCTATTCCAAATCCCTCAAATCTAACCATCGACCGACAATACCTATTCTACTCCTCTCCAACCTTCTCCAACTTGCCCAATTCTCTTCTTTCTCCAACCTCTCCAACGATCCTAATTCTATCAATCCTAACCTTCTCCGCATCTCCCTCTGCATCCTCCACGAACAAGTTCAACGAAAACACACTCTGGAACTTCACAAATCTAGTGTTGATTGCTACTGTTCCATCCTTCCAGTCCTCTTCCTTCAACTCAATCTCCTGAGTAGCAACCATACTCTCCGCATCATCGAAACCGACAATATTAGGTCGATTGACGAATAACCTGATCTTTGACGGTCGTCTTGGCAATTCCGTATCCTCCTCGTCTTCATCTTCAACCGGTGGTGGACGGGATGTAATCTGTATTTGATAAATCTTGACCGTCGATGAAAAAGGGATGAATAGCGTTAACTGTTCATCCGTATCACTTTCCACCCAATCTGCTTTTTGATCATCTCCGCTACCCTTCCCTTTTCCTTTACCACCACTGCTGCCGACTCCGGTACTCGGCTCGCTACCTTCGAATAATACCCTGACTCCACCGATTTCTTGATTATAATTCATACAATCAAGATTCTTTAGTTCGATCTCCGAGTTTATAACTTCGTATGGTTTGGGAACGTCGGCTCCCTTCCAGAATCCCGAACCTGATGAAGAAGCGATTGCGCCGCCGGATGCGGCTAGGAGGTCCTTTACGGCGGATTGTAGGGCGGGGAGGTTTGCACCTTTGATGCGGTTTGTTTCGGTGCCGGATTTGATCATTATGAAGGTTGGCATGCTTTATATGTTGAAAAATAGACATAGATGTTAGCTTAGTAAATCTTTTTAATTTGTAGGTATATTGTAGATATTTAGGGAAGTGGGGATGGAAAGGGAGAGAAAGACATACGCAGTAACATTATATGTCTGAGCAATACTCTTTTGCTGATCGACGTCGACTTTTGTAAACACCATTTTCCCGGGATCGGTGAGACGTTCGGCGAGTGCTGCATAGGCTGGAGCGACAGCTTTGCAGGGACCGCACCAGGTTGCGTGGACTAATTTTTAAGCATTTCCCCCCTATTAGCTCCTTTTGCTCTGATAGCTATCGTTTACTCTGTTATAAGCTGTAGGGAAGAGGTAGGGAGGGTATTACAATCAATCACAACGATGGTGTTACTCTTTATCAGCGCTTCAAGCTGATTAGGAGAGTTTATAACAACCGTTTTCGACATTTTGTTTTATTAATCTTTTGGAGGGGTAAAGGCGGGGGGTATGGAATGTTCTGCGGGGTAGCTGAAGCTCTGTTCTTTGCGAATAAGGTTTTCTTTCGGTACTGGACGGGATGGAGACGTTGTAAAGACCGGATACAGCTTGTTATGATGTAACCCCTGTAGATGGCGGTTGTAGATGGATGATGGTGATGATGATGGGGGACGGGGTGGTAGTGATGATGGTGGTTGGGTTGGATTACGTGCGTGGTTTGGGAAGTGGAGTTGGGTGGACGCGGCTTGCTGGTTGGATTGTCGAACCGTTGACCCGCGACTTTCGGTTCGATTCGATTCGGTCAGCCAACGCAACCGCCCAGAATAACTTAAATCATAACCTCGCAACTTCGGACTGTATGCCGCCGGTATATTTAGACCTTTCTCCCTTGGGGAATGAATACGGTAGACTGCTACTATTTCACGTCCCGTTGGCTCTCGTTCAATAACTTCTACTGAACGGAGAAAACCAACTAAATCATTTAAATTAACATCAGTGATACCAACATGAAATCTGTTCAAACGGCGGGGGGAAACTAGCACTAGTCTTTTGTCTATCGGGACCTAGAACCAACTGAAGGATTAGAAAATAGTGAGGGAGACGGAAAGGAAAAGATGGAGGAACACCGTAAATTATAAAGAAGTATAGGTACCATCATATATGTATGTACAATTTTATGAAAAAGAAAGGAAGGAGAATGCCTGCTAACAGTGCTACACCCACAGCATACACTACGCACGTACATGCATGCATACCAACAGAAGTCAAAGGAAACAGAGGAAAAGCTGGATAACAGGAGTCAAGTCAGTATATGGTAGACGGGTGGAAAGATAGACTGACTAGACAGCCTTAATGCATGCGGGGTAGCAGGAGGAGGGGGAGGGTAGTAAATGCACCGCTGAATGACAGTATCCACGAGTAAACATGAATGCCCGCAAAAAGCCATCATATCGAAAGAACAGGAACCAAAAAACAGAAATGAACAACGAACATAATAATCTCCAAAAAATGCATACCGCTTTTTGCTGACCTCTTCAAGAAACTTTAAAAAAAAAACGGGGAAAAAAGGGAGGGAAAAGGAGACGAAGATGAGTAAAAAGTCCTGAACTGTTTCAAAATCCAGACTCCACCAAGCGGCCCATCCTGAACCACATATGCTATCAAAGAAAAACCCGATAGAAAGTAAAATAAACCAAAAATAAAATAAAAGCCGTAAAGACATTTTTCTTTTTCCTACCATTCATCCGTAATATATTCTTCGTAAAATATTTCTTCAGATGTAATATTCTTTCATCATCTTTGCCTTCCAAACACTGCACTGGCGCTCAAGCTCGCAAAAGCGTCCGGAGAGTGTCTTCCATTCTGCAGACCTCGGAAATCAACGGACTCCTGTGTCATATGCCCTCTCTTGAAAGTGTCCTGTACAATTGTTGGACTGGGAACAACGCTAGGACCGTTCATCTTCGCAGCGAACGGGTTGTTGCTCCCTGAGTTCTGGAATACTGGAGTCGATACACTTCTTTGCTGGATTGGAAGGCCTGTAACGTTTTGTTGCACCGTTGAAGGGGCCGGGGCGAGCTGTGGGTAGTTGTACAATTGGAGGATTGTGGATTTGTCTGCTCGTCCTGTGAGCTGCGGCATGAGTGGTTGAGCTGCTGGGGCTAGACCACTATGTTGCTGCTGGAGCGGCTGAAGAGGGAACTGCTGTTGTTGCTGCTGCTGGAGGAAGGCTTGATTCGGGTCTTGGAACGGAGACTGTGGAGAGGGCTGAAATATGACTGGAAGAGCACCGTTTGTATGTGTTTGCTGGAGGGGTGGCGTGAATGTCTGTTGGAATGGCTGCTGCTGCTGCTGCTGGGACATGTACGGGTTTGTCTGCACACCTGCGAAGAACGGATTGGTGGCACTGATCGGACTCTGCTGGGATACTGACGAGCCGGTGAAATGCGATGTGGCATATTGGGGCTGGGGTGGTGGGGGTACATCTCCCCAAGGAGAAGCTAGAGGGGTGGCTAGCTGCTGCTGCTGGAGCATAGCTTGCTGGTAAGGATTCTGGACGCTTTGTGCCCATTGGCCATTTCCGTTCATGAAGACCTGGGGTTGCTGCTGCGGGGCTGGTTGTTGGATCTGCTGCTGAACTGGTTGCTGCTGCTGGTATCCGGTGGTCTGGGGCTGAAGGAATGGGTTGTACGCTGCGGCAGGATTGAGTCCATTTTGAACACCGTTTTGCAGTATTCCATTTTGCCCATTTGCGAACAGCTGTTGAGGTTGAGGAGCATGAATTTGCAATTGTGCTTGCTGTTGAGCTTGCTGTTGAGCTTGAGCTTGCGCCTGTGCTTGAGCTTGCGCCTGCTGCTGAAAAAGTAGCTGTTGTTGTTGTGCCTGCTGTTGTGCCTGCTGTTGTGCCTGCTGTTGAGCTTGCTGTTGAGCTTGCTGCTGAGCCTGCTGCTGAGCCTCCGCTTGATCTAAAGCATCAAATGGGTTTCCTCCTGAGGCCTGAGTCTCCTTGATGCCACCGAGCATTAAACCACTTCTCTGTTTCCGGATTACCGGCTTATCCTTGGGGGGCGGTATGGGAGACGTAGTCCCACCACCCATGCTGATTAAAACCTCGACGGCCCGTTCCATGTTTCCCTTGGTGTGTTTCAGCACCTGAGCATTTTGTTTCTCGTCACCGAATCCCATATCTCGTAACTTTGACACTTTGGCTTCGTACTCGGGCGGTATCGATACCGAGCCTGATCCATTCATTCCTAGTATTTTATTCCCTTTTGATTCGAATGGAGATGATGACCGTGGGTTTCCGTCTCTCGATCGAGGGGCCGATGGGGAAGGGTCACGTTTTACGACACCTGAGGAAGGGGTAAGGAGTCTTCCGGAGTCTTGCTGCTGTTGTCGGTCTCTTCTGAATTTGCCATGTTCGTACTTATCTCGGATGTATCGTTCCATGATCGATTCGGAGTCTTCTAGGTCGACCGGGGCGGGGTGTTTGAGGGGATCTGGGTTCCATGTGGCATTGGAAGTGACGTTTCCGGTACGTTTCATGAGCTGGAAGACATGGGAGGCTCTGGTTAGCATTTGTATGGACTTTCGACGTAGATCTTTCTTCATTTTCTTTCTCAATAGCTTAGAGAGGAATAACTGAGTTCTAAATTGTATGTATGAATAGGATAAAGCGGAAGAGGGGGGGTGCATACATCGACTTGGTCGTTGGTCCAGGTGTCTAGACTTATAGACTTGACTTTGGAGATATGTGTTCCTAATTTACGGTGGATGGCGGCGCAGCGCAGGCATAGGAAGATTCCCAACTGTTATAACGGTAATATAACGGGGTCGTTAGTATGTTTTATTTTGCGATTCCAACCGTCTATCTATGGGGACTGGGAGAGATCCAACGAAGTGGCCAAGGGACGAGGGACATACACTCCAACTTGCCCATCCTATTTTGATTACAACAGCTGTTAGTACCAGGTAGGCATTTAGAAGGAGGACCGGGGTAATAAACTTACCTGGATTGCGGGCGCGACAGTCGGCGCATTGGTTGTTCCCGGGAACTTTCGCGATCAGGTCGTGCAGCTGTTTTTCGTTCCGCTGCTGCTGACGTTTGGAAGACATGGCGACAATCAATTATATCTTTTTCCCTTTTGCTTTGTAGTAAGAAAAACAAGCTGAAGACTACTAGTAGTTTAATTTAAAAGGAGGATGAGTGATTAATGGTAGTTGGTTGGTTAAGGAGTGACCCGGAAGAGGAAGTGAAATGAAGTGAAGATGAAAGAATGACCGAAGAGGGAGTATTATGAAGACTAAGAGAAGCAAGAAAGAAGGGAAGAAGAAGAGGAAGAAGATGGTGATGGTGATGATGATGAGGATGAGAGAAGGGTAGAAGTGAAGATGGAGTGAAGATGATTGATGAAGAGGTGGAGATGATTGGATTGGACTGGATTCTTTGGGTGTGTGTTCTCCTGTTCGCATGCAGAAAAGTACCGCAATGGGATTGATATCAATATCAGTCTGACAGGCTCAGGGCCACCCCGGGAATTTCAAATTGCAATGCGCCGCAAAAATAGAAATTTTGAAGTCTGATTACCTCAGAATGTCTATCTATACTTATTCCAGTACTCTAAGTGAAGTTTGTCGTGAATTCGTGGTTACAGTATATATTCAGAAGAAGTCATGTTACCAGAAAATACATGCATGCAAGTACTTGGGTAATATATAATTTCAGGGGAATCTTCAGCCTATGCATATGATCGATTACAGCAATTCAGCCTCTTCTTATTGAACTTGGATATCAAATATAAATTAAATTCTGTCAAAGAAATGTCAAAAACGTTTGAACGGGAAGGAAGGGAAGGTATCCCCGGTCTGGACCAGGTCAAATCGGGCCAAGGAAAAGGGAGATTGCCATTGCCATTGGAATTGACCCATCTGATAAGATCCCCTCATTTTATCCTTATCTAATACATTAAACATTTGTAGATTTAGATAATTTATATATAAGGCATTGGGAGTATTAGATATTTTGATACTCGAGTAGGTATTATTAGTATTCGGTATACATAATTACTTAAGTATATTATTAGGGTAGCATTGCATAGTAATGCAATATAATAAAGAGAAGTATCCCGGATAGCCATTCCGAAAACAAGCAGAGCCTCCGCCTTTTATCGGCCTGTTGATTCTATTCTATTAGCATAGTCCCCTCACTCGATCCTATTAATATATATTCAATTCTATTCTAATCCGGTTTCAATTGATGTCATAATTGCTGTAATTTCGAGACCAAGATCCTATCCGAAAATTATATCTCTCAGATAGAGAGAGAGAGAGTTGAGAGCCAAGAGAGAATTGAGCTGAGTCGAGAGCTGAGAGCTGAGAGCTGAGAGTGATTGACGAGTGGGTGCTGGGTGCTGTTGCTGGGTGCCAAGTACCGGCAACACCAGCCACGCGCTGACGTCCCCGTCGTCAGGTACTACCACGACCAAAGGTCCCAGCCTGTCAACACCTTCTCTTCTTGCTCCTGACATTGTTCATCCTGATATCATACCTAAGTACATATCATCTCATCGGCTTCATCGGGTGCGGCTATAGACCAAAATGGACTCGTGAGTTATCTCCTATCTAGTTCCTATAAGAGTATTTGTTAATTTGTGTTATCAACAGACTCGATAGGGACCTGCGCCGTTCCGCCCTTTCGCGACTCGCAAAGCTGGCCGCTGCCTCTCCTGCACCGCCAGTTCCAGACTACAGTAACAATATCAGTATCCCGTCGTCGCCCACCAGGCGCAATCAACAACCACCCCCACCACCCCCTCCAGCTACCGATTTCGAGAAACTCGAAGAGGAGATCCAAGGTGGTACCCGTTTTACCAATGGTGGTGGTGCCGCTTTTATGAATGGCGGACCTAGGTCCTCCTTTATCAAATCCTCGCCTCAGACACTTGTACGTCTTTACACCACTACTATATCCAATAACGATAACTTTCAACTTTTATACGATAGCAATGAAATGGCAATATTAATAACAAAGGTGATAATAATGTTCATGGTGGATAGAATGCTCGGGATATCGAAATCATACTGGCCCTCTGCGGCTCCGTCGAATTTGTCAACTCCACTGAGGCAGCCTCCAAGCTCGCCCGTCTGCTATCCCCTTACCTCATCGATTCTTCTATCCTCCAAGTCGAACAATCCCCACAGCTACGTCACTTCAATCCTAGTCCATGGGAGTCTCTGACAACATCTATCACTGATTCTCTCGCTCTCGTCGGCACTCTATTCCCTTCCCAGAGAGATTCAATCGTTTCCACTCTTAACTCCTATCTCCGGCGCATTAAATCCCAGGCTGGTGGTACCCCGGACTTCTCCGATGACCGTGCTGCTATTCCCGTAGCTACTCTCGTCGTATCTCTCCTCGGCTTTTTTAATTCCGCCGCTAAGCGTATGGATCTTTGGAATCACGAAGAACGAGTTGAACTCATCAAAACTGTCCGTGAAATACTCTCGCCTAATTTTCTCTTGTCCGCCGAAACCGCTTTCTCTACCATTCGCAACTCTCACGGCAGGGAATTGAAATTATGGAAGAGATATACCCGTCAATATGCTGCCTCCGGCCGTCCGTTGGGTGCCATGCTCCTGCAACAGGGCTTCACCTGTCTCCTCGCCGCTTCTACCTCCCTTCTTGTGGTCGACCCAAAGCTTCTCAGGGATCGCGATGTTCTTGACGTCCTCTTGGCCCGCACCAATAAAACCAAGGAAACAATCATCACCCCTGGTTCAGCCTCCCCTTCTACTCGGAAGGCTCGTCTCAATCGTTTGTCGTCGCACTCTGACGCCCTCACTAACGGCCATGACCAAAATGACCTGGTATCTTCTCTCGTTGACATGATCACTGAAATCTTGGCCCTCGTCGAGGATGGCGCCGACTATCTTCAAGTTGGTAGTGCCTGGCAACAACGTTTAGCATTCTCCGTCAAGGCATACGCCTTCATCTCTTTCTGTAACTGTGTTGAATACCGTCGTCGCCACCCAACTCTTAACCATCTCGAAGACGTGGAAAGCCGTGACGAGCACGCTGACCTTCTTATCGGATTACTCGAAGCTAGTCTTGAAGATCCAATCCAAATGGTTGACCAGGACCTTGCTAGAACTGTATTGAAAATTATGGCTATTGTAGGCAAGAATGACCCGTCGTTCGCTGTCGCCGTGATTAGGCTCTTCCCTCGGTATATTGTGCGAAGCGGTGCCGAGAAAGAGACGATTAGGGTTGCTGGGAAATGTCTTGCTAGAGTTCTCCAGACTCTGTCCCAAGATGCCATGATCACGACTTTGTATACCTTGGGGAATGTACTCTCCTCAGGTAATCCGGAGAGGGCGCTTACTGCGAACACGCGAGAGAAGATTCATCCCGAACTTCTTGATGTAAACGCCCTTGGTTCTTCGATTTCTCTGTCCTTGAATTCCGAGGAGGAAAAGTTTTTAGTCTATGAAAGGGTTATCGAGGCCATCGTCGGTGTCGCCTGTGAGATGAAAGACGAAAAGATGGTAGAACTTGCAGCTAGCATCCTTGGTCAAAAGGTTGGAAAGATCAATGGCGCTGTTGATGCTAAGATTATTGTCGAACTTGCCGTCCTAGCTCTTGCAGGTGGTCCTTTGGAACTCAAAACCGTCTTGAAGTTGCTTGATAGGCTCGGAACGAATGCGGTGGGTATCCGCGACGTCAATATTGCAGGTGCGGTCTTGGAGGCTAGGATTCACATGTCCACGAATCTTAAACCGGATCATCCGCTTTATGATACCTACCTCACTGGTCTCTTGGAGTGCATCATCAATAAAGGAGATATTCACGAGCAAGATACGAGGAAGCAGGCGGACCCAGATAGCAGAACGTCGCCCGTTGAGCCACCGAAGTTACGTTTCCTGGCTGGCTCGCAGTTGTTCTTACACTTGGACATTGTCCAGCTAGCTGCCCGGGAGATTTCACAGTTTTTGCAACCTCTCGCGATCTTACTCAATGCCACTACACCCGAGAAGACAGAGATGCCGCCTTATAATATTCATTCAAACAAGGATATACAGCAGCTCTTCCGAAACGCATGGTTTAACTGCGTCGTCCACGGGTTCCTACGACAGAGCGAGTTGGTACAAACGCATGAATCTTTCCTTCGCATTATCGCGCGGCACACGCCTCCCCTCGTGGCCGAAACTAGGATAAATCACATGGAAAGCGACATGGACTTGAACACTATCCTCCGCCGTGGGATGAACACCCAAAACATCGCAGAGCAGAAGCGGAAGCTCTCCAGCGCCATTCCTACGCACGATAGTGAAATTCGAGGGTTGAGCTACCCGAAAGTAATCTTTTTGCAGGCCGCTCTTCTGCTTGAGAGTTTGAGAGCTTTGGAGGGAGACTGCAGCAAGATTCTTACGTACTTTGTAGATCCTTCGTTTAAACATGGCGACGAGGCTACTTGTATGAGCTCTATTGCTGCTGAGGTTATCAGCATCTACCTAAAGAATGTGCAACAGGGTAATCTGGAGGCATTCCAGGCTCCTTACGTTTCTAAGCAACTCGTTGAGTTTTTCACCGGCTGTTGCCATCGAGTCGAGAAAGTGCAATTTGTGGCTGCTATCTGTGCGAACAACATCATTACGGCGGTACCATCGGCGTTGTGTCAGAAGTCATCCATGTTTGCATTACTCGAACTTTTGACGTTGTTGTGGAACAGTTGTCTAGAAGCGGAGACGGACGAGTATGGATGGCATTCCGTGTATCGCAGTACTGTGGCGAACATACAGATTGAGCTGTCGGACTCCTTTCCGCTCCGGAAGAAGACACTGAAGACCTACCATGAACGTGCGAAAGGGTGGTTGCTTCGGGTCCTGGACATTGCGCCTTTGGATGTCAAGGGGCTACTACAAAAGTATCTCGCTAAGTTTAACGACGAAAATGTATTTGGGCATGTCGCACTTGGAAGATCTTTAGCGTATGATATTGGCGCTGCTGTGCCGAAGAGCGATCCAAGGCTCTCGACGTTGGCGGATATCAACCTTGCTTCCGACTTCATGGCGCAGTATACGATCCGCCAGGCTTACCGGTATGATGACAACATGCCTGAGCACGCGCCGGACTGGATTCATGATTCGGATCGACCGGACCATACGGCAGAGATATATGGAAAGCATGGCGACGCACAGGCTTTCCTCACGCATCTGGAGACTAGAGCTGTTAATGGCAAGTTCGTGGCTATCAGTGAGGTGCGGGATATATTGAGGCGAACGGCCGGGTTGCTTTGTCAGTCGCACACTGAGGAGAGTATTCTCATCCAACATTTTGTGGGAATACCTTTTGCTATTTTTACGAAACAGAGCATTAAATTGGGAATCTCGCTGTGGATGGGGGTTTTGAATGAGAACAAGAATATTGCGCCACGGATACTTTGTGAAATTGCACGGAACTGGGAGTTGACGGTGAGGAAGAAGCAAGGGCTGTTCAATCCTAGCTTTGATGCGCCCGATGCATTCAATACGAAGATGGAGTATGTGCCTTCTGATAAGGGGCTACTTACAAAGCATCAGACCGCAGCTATCAATATGCTTTCGCCACATCTTACGCTCTTGAAGTTTTTGAGCAGCCATTTTCATGCGTCGAGGCATGGTGATCCGAATGTTATCCGAATGTTTTTGAGACTGATTAGAATCTCGTTGGTTGGACTGAAGAATGCGAGCCCGCATCCGCTAGCGAGAGAAGCGAGGTTTCAGTTTATCTTATTCTCCTTGCAAGTCTTGAAGTACACCCCGGGTATTATGCCAGCGGTGATGCAGTGGAAACTGAAGGATGAGATATTCTCTGCTGCGCTTAGTTGGTTCACTTATCAACCAAGATGGTCTTATGGCGGGAATAAGATGCAGTTGAGGGCGGAAGGATTAGTGATGAGGGAGGTTGCGCTAGCAATCCAAGGCCTCTCGGCGGTGGGGAATGCGACAGTCAAGAGTCTGGAACTTAAGCAGGAGTTGCTTTTGCTCTTGTTGGAAAACGAACAGGCTAGGGTATCGACATGGATTACACCGTTGGATGCACCGAGGAAGCAAGCACCTGTTCCTGGGATCGTGCCGCGACAGGTCAGCGACGTTACGCTAGTTACGTTGCTGCAGACGGCGTGGAATGAGAACCCGGCGTTAGCGATCCAGATGATTGGACGGTTCCCATCGAAGAGGTATGAGGCCGAGGTGAGGAAGATGATGCTGGCGTTCCCAGAGAAGGTAGTTAAGATTCCCGAGGCGCTTTATTATATCTTTGGGGATAAATTGCCATTGGACGTTAACTTTCAGCTACGTTACCTGCTCTACTGGGCGCCGTTGAACCCTATATCTGCGGCGACGTATTTGTTACCGTCGTATGCGAACAATCCGTTTTTGTTGCAGTATGCGGTCCGAGCGTTGGAGAATCATTCGATCGATGTTACGTTCTTCTATGTTCCGCAGTTTGTGCAAACTCTACGATATGATGCATTGGGGTATGTTGAACGGTGGATTTTGGAAACCGGCAAGTTTTCGCAGTTGTTTGCGCATCAGATTATTTGGAATATGAAGGCGAATGCGTATAAGGATGAGGATTCAGAAATCCCGGACCCCATCAAGCCTACTTTGGACAAAGTTATGGACCATTTGATTTCTAGCTTCTCACCTGCTGATCGGAGCTTCTATGAGCGGGAGTTTAGCTTCTTTGGAGAGGTTACGGCAATTTCCGGAAAGCTGAGACCGTTTATTGGACAGCCCAAGGAAGAGAAGAAACAGAAAATTGAAGAGGAGCTGAGGAAGATTAAAGTTGATGTTGGCGTGTACCTACCGTCAAACCCTGATGGCATAGTCATTGGAATTGATAGAAAGAGTGGGAAACCATTGCAGAGTCACGCGAAGGCGCCGTATATGGCGACATTCAGGGTGAGGAAGAAGGCTAATGCCAGTGTCGCTGGAGATGATGTGGGGAGCCCTAGAGCTGAAAGTCGGGTCTCAGGAGGATTGATAGGGGAAGAGAAGTGGCAGGCTTGCATATTCAAAGTTGGAGACGATTGTAGGCAGGATATGCTGGCTCTGCAGTTGATTAGTGCTTTCAGGAGTATTTTTAATAGCGTGGGATTGGATGTATTTGTCTTCCCGTATAGGGTTGTGGCAACGGCACCCGGGGTTAGTATATATTCCCTCTCCCTTTTACACAGTGCATCACATGAGGAACTTTACTAATGAAGAGATGGGGTTGGAATAGTGCGGTGTGATTGAAGTCCTGCCTGACTCGATTTCAAGAGATATGCTTGGGCGAGAGGCGGTCAACGGGTTGTATGATTACTTCACAACTAAGCATGGTGGCGAGGATTCAATCAAATTCCAAGAGGCACGAAGCAATTTCGTGCAGAGCATGGCGGCCTATTCGGTTATTTCGTACCTCCTCCAGTTTAAAGACAGACATAACGGAAATATTATGATCGATGGGTCTGGGCATATCATTCATATTGGTATGTCTTATCATGGATGAAAGAATGTGCTAGATAGGAAGCGAGTTTGCTAACAGGTTGTAATTTTTTTTAGACTTTGGTTTTTGCTTCGACATCGCTCCCGGTGGCATAACCTTCGAACGCGCACCTTTCAAGCTCACTGCTGAAATGATTGCTGTGATGGGTGGAAGCCTTGAATCCCAATCCTACCGTTGGTTTGAAGAGCTTTGCGTCAAATCCTTTTTGGCGTGTAGACCTTACTGTGAGCAGTTGGCACACTTGGTAGTATTGATGTTGGATAGCGGGTTGCCGTGTTTCAAGCCGGAGACGATACAGAACTTCAAGGCGAGGTTTGTGATGGAGAGGAGTGAGCGGGAGGCGGCGGATTATATGAGGGGCCTGGTGAAGAGGGCTTATGGAAGCTACAGTACTAGGGGATATGATCAGTTCCAGCTGTTGACTAATGGGATTCCATATTAGTTATGCTGTCCGGATTCGAGAATGAGTGTGCTTTGGTGTTGTTTTTGTTGCAATTTCATGCTGAGATTTTCGATGCTTCTCACTTCTTTGGTTAGCATCTATTCAATATCTTTTACCTATTAATGTTTTCGTATAAAATACTTTTTCTTCGTTTATTTTTCTCACGCTGGAGTCGACTTGTGCAACTTGGATTTGATATCCCATGATGCTGCCATGTGGGAGTCTAATCCTCACGTTTTGAGTGATATGCAGGCTATTCGCTCGGTTAGGTTTGCTTTTCCCCTGACAGGCCGTAACGTCATATGCATGGTTTTCCTCCATTCCATCGCGCCCGGTTGGCTGGTTTGTTACACTGCGCCGCGCGACTTTCCGTTACGTTAAACTTTCAACTACGCTAGCTTAGTGATGAGAGAGAGAGCTGAGAGAGAGAGAGAAATTAAATTTAGACTATATCCTTTTTTCTTTCGCTCCTTTCTTCACCTCTTTGTTTCTCAGCTTCGCAGAGTACTAATAGACTAGAATCGAATCGAACCGACCTATAGTATTTTATAAATTTATGCTTTCTTCTCGATCACTTTAATCATTATTGCTGCAGAGTAACGTCGTACCGTTCGGCGTCGATATACTATCGTTAGCTCTATATTTCTCCGGTTTCAATTCTCGATTTTCGATATACTACTATTGTACGAAAGAAAGAAAAAAGCCATAGAAATTAAAGATGTCCGGTGCATCGACACCAACCTCACCGACTTCCCCCTCTCCCGACCGCCCCCGTCGAAGCTTCACCCTCCCGGACTTTCCAACCCCAAGAGCGACAACCCCTCTTCTCCCTTCCCTCCTCCACTCTCCATCCCTCATATCCCTCCGACAACCCTCAACCTTATCGCTAGACACTAATATCTCCAACCTCGACCATGTACACCCACACGATCCCCTCCGTCGAGCCTCAATGGCGATGACATCAGAATCCCTACGATCCCAACGACTAGTAGGAACTAATAACCGACGGTACCAATGGGAGAGGTATAGAACTTCTGTTGAAGATCTAGCAAAGATTAGGAATAAGAAGGTTAGGGGGTATTATGAGAATGTGAATAGACAGATTGATAGGTATATTTGGGTTGATCAATTGTTGGATTCGGCGTTGGTGCCGAGATTGGTGGGGGCTTATGGAGGTAGGAGGGAGGGGACTATTGTGGAGGAAGAGGAAGGGGAAGGGGGCAGTGGTGGAAGTGGGAGTGGTAGTGCAGTACCGAAGACGCCGTTGAGGAGACGGCCGAGTTTTGTGAGGAAGATGGCGGATGAGGAGACGCCGCTTTTGCAGGGGGGCGGAGAGGGGGAGGGGGATGAGAGGATTGTGTAAGTATATACTCTTATTCAATAAATGTTGAGGGAGTATGTGAATTGGCTAATTGATCTTGGGGAGGAGATAGGAAGGTGGCGATATATGTCAATCTGACGGCGAATACGATACTACTTGCCGGTAAAATTGCGGTTACACTGTTAACTAGCTCGCTGTCAGTGCTTGCTAGTTTGGTCGACGTATGTCCTTTTTCATATCCCCCCGCTTTCTGTTTTAAGTATTATCTCTAAAGATGGTTATTAAAAACTGGGGGATAACATAGTCGGCCTTGGATTTCCTCTCCACCGCCATAATCGGCCTAACAACCTACCTCATATCTCGACGAGACTCCCACCGCTATCCCATCGGTCGTCGACGTCTAGAACCCATCGGAGTCCTAGTTTTCGCCATAATAATGATAGTATCATTCATCCAAGTCGCCGTCGAAGCCGTTCAACGACTCTTAAGCCCCGACCACAGTATCATACAACTCTCAAACTCAGCTATAACCATCATGTCAGTCACCGTAGGAATAAAGGGGGCATGCTACCTCTGGTGTCGAATGGTCAAATCGTCCAGCGTTCAGGCGTTAGCACAAGACGCACTTACAGATGTTTATTTCAATACATTTTCGATATTTTTCCCGTTATTGGGGTATGCGACTGGACAATGGTGGTTAGATTCCCTCGGTGGGTTGCTATTATCCCTATACGTTGTTTTCAGTTGGTCGAAAACTTCATTGGAACATATAGATCATTTGACGGGGAGTGCTGCGCCCTCAGAAGATAGAAATTTGGTATTGTATGTTTGTATGAGGTTTGCTAGGTGTATTAGGAAGATTACGGGGGTACAGGCATACTATAGTGGAGATAAGATTAACGTTGAGGTTGAAGTGGTGTTTGATGAGGATTTGAGTCTGAAGGATAGTCATGATGTTGCTGAAGCGCTTGGTTGGACGGTGGAGAGTTTACCGTTTGTGGAGAGGTGTTTTGTGCATACGGATTATAGTGGAGAGAATCCGACGACGCATTTGGAGAGGTGATTATGATGTGTATTTTGTATATGTAATACAGTGCACGATTACCTAATGCATGGGGATGGTATGTTTAGAGGGGAAGTTGGGATGTTTTTGGTTCAGATCTCTTGAATCTTTGTTTCTTTGTGCAACTGGTGGGTATACATGTACACATACGAGAGTTTCGCCAAGTTGACTTGGAGTTTGGGTGAGTTTTTTTTTTTTAGGAATTCTTCTATCATACATGTGAGGGTTTGAAACATACTTAGATTTATATGTATATGTATATATGGCCATATGGGTCCAGTCGACCAATTACTTAATTAGAAATCGGATAGATCCGAGAGCCGGCTTGGATGTGAAGTAGATTTGGATCAAACTATTCCGAAAGTTCCCAGGCCGTGGCGCCAGGGGCTGATCTTTCAATCGAGAAGTTTGTAATTCGACGGTAACGTTATAACAATTTGTAAAACAAAAAAGCTTGAGGGAGAAAAAAATATGGTCTCGTATTTTAGGAGTCTAGGTTGGGAGACGTCTAGACTAGGGAATGGCTGAGCTGAACCTCAGACGTGGGATCGATTTCGAAACATGTTTCTTTTCATACCTAAGCTGTGCCTGTGCCGAGGTATTCCCCCAGGGTCCTCTGGATTTGTTAATTACTTAGTCATACAGATAGACGGCTAAGGAATAGACATTTCGATTGGGGGATTGTCGAAAGTGACGTGATCTGAGGATGATAAAGAAGCGCTATGAAAATCTCAGAGGTTGGCTGAGTGTACAAAAGGTCTGGAATCCGTTTCATTTCTGCCCCCAAAGTGTTTCGTTTTATAAAATACTACTATATGGCGGTGGGTATCATTATATATTTACACAGCCTCAATCTATAAGACCTGGAAAGGGAGAAGAAAAAAAAGATCCCGTGAATTGAAACTTTAAGGAATCAAAAAGAGGCCAAGATTTTAAGATGTTCGTTTATATGGGTGTGGGTACTAGTATCGTAAGCCTTTCTTTCGCGCCGACAAAGCTAAAACACCACACTAGACAATCTCAGCCTTGGAAATCCTTCTAGGCATCGAGTTTTAAGATCGATAAGAAAAAAGTTTTAAGTTATGATCTGATCGGACATATATTACTTTTAGCCAATTATTCGAAAAGAAGTGGAGAATGTTTCCGCATAGTAAAAGTGGATTCATGACATTCGCTCGGCCCCGGATAATGATAACGCTTCCCCCGTAGCAGAACCGTCTTATTGGCGTTTCAGACACTTTAACCCGGCAAGAAAGCGCTTGGCGCTTGAGGGATGTTGCACAAAATGGGAATCTTTGGCAAGGGGGGTATTTCCTCTTTTCGGTGGGTAGTATCATGTATATTTTCCTAAAAGGATGGGATCTTAGGACTTTTAAGAGAGTATTCGACAAATGGAGTATGATCGAGATAATGGATCTGTCGAATGTGGTCTGAGAAACCCGAATAGCCATCCCTTTTGGGACTTTGTGGTATTTCCCGATTCGGATGCAACGCGGATTAATATCTTTAAAACCTCGTTTACTAGGTTGACGCCGGCACATTCGAGACGAGCGGTGATAGATGATCGTACCCCGGGATTTTTTTTCTCCCCGTCCTTTTCTTCGGCGTTATAGCTTTGGAACGGGCTAGGAGTGGAGGCTTGATTTTTAAGCTCCTTCAGGGGACTCATTCTCTTGGCGGGCACAGATGACGGTGTTAAACTTGTTCTTATAAACATCTCGTCTCTGGTGGATATAATCTCTTTTTTTTCCTTTCTTCCTTTCTCTCTTGTTTCTCCACCCAGCGCAGAACCCTTCCCTATCTCTCATTCTTTTCTTTCGCTTCTCTTTTTAAATTACCTCTGGGAGGTTTGAGCTGTTCTGTGAACGCTCGTTATTACATTCTATTCTTCACCTTTAATCGGCATATTAATATTTTTTAAATAGCTTGGTTAAGGTAGATTATTATCATTATTACTATTTTTATTATCAAGACACAGGTTGTCCTTTCATTCATTTGAGGCAGGGCCTTTTTTCTTCTTATTTTCTTCCCCATATCTCTATTCGTTCGGTCACTCCTTCTCATACCCTTTTTCATCCTTTATATTTCCCTAAGCTTGAAAAAAATGAAGACCTCAACTTTAATAGTAGCCCCCTTGCTACTTTCTCTCTCCTCTGCAAGCATCATTGGAAGAATAATCGGTCGTAGCAATGTTGAATCGCGGCAAGTTCAAGCTGCTGAAGAGCCCGAGACTGGTAAGAATCTCATACCTATGTTGCATAATTCTACTTATTCCATTACTTCAATTGGTAAACATTCTAACCGTTTTTATAGTATACACAGTCCTAAAACGTGGTGAAAAGGTTGGCACGAATGAAACCTTACCAATCCTTGGTACCGGCGTTGAAGAAATAATCACAACTACCACTACTACCGGCGCTGCTGCACCGGAGAGGACAGTCGGTAGAGGTCGTAACGGTCGAAATGGTCGAAATGGTCGAAATGGCCGTAATAGAAATGGAAAAAACAACGGCAAGGATCGTCAAGGCCGTCCTGGACAAAACCGTGGGGATGGAAGAGACGACCATAGAGATGACGACGATGAGGATGACAACCGAGGACGTGGTGGAAAGGGGAGGGGAGGGAATGGAAGAGATGAAAGACCTGGAAGACCTGGAAGAGACGGAAGACCTGGAAGAGACGGAAGAGATCGGGATGATGATTCTACGACCATTACTAGGACAAGACTTAGGACTACTGAAACCACCGTCGTGGTTTCGGAGACCGAGGGCGCTGAGGAGGAGGCTACTACTACTACCGATGAGGCCGGAGCCGAGCCTACTGATGATGGTGAAGGTACTCCTACTACTGATGGGTTTAGGGTCATTCCTACCAGTGAAATGGAAGAATATGAATCTGCACCCTCGGCTGAAGCTGAACACCACCCCGCTCCGGTAGAATATGTTGGCGCTTCTGCTCCAACCGCTGATCCACGAGGTGGACGTCCAGAACCTGATCCACGAGGCGGGCGTCAAGAACCTGACCCAAGAGGAGGACGTATTGTTACTGTTACCAAACATGAACGGGTAAATCTTCAATTCTCTCTTTGATTTCTACTTTTACAGTACGGTAAAAAAACTAACATTCACAAAAAGGTCGTGGTCACCAAAACCGAACGAGTCAGAGAACCACCAAAGACAGTCACAAAGACCGAAAAGGTCCGAGAAACCGTCACAAAGACTGAACGAGTTCGAGAAGATGCCAAAACCGTCACAAAAACCGAACGGGTCCGAGAAACCGTAACCAAGACCGAAAAGGTTCCGGAAACTGTCACAAAGACCGAAAGGGTCCGCGAAACGGTCACTGAGAAGGAAACGGCTCGTGCGGGCGTAGAAACCGTTACTGTCACTGAATCGGCTTGTACTGAAACTGCGGCTGCCCACGAGACCGCCCCCGCGGTTCATGAGACTACTACCACAGTTGCTGAGCACGTAATGCAATCCGAGACTACTTCTGTTGTTCATGAGACTACTCCTGCTATCCATGAGACTACAACTCCTGTCGCTGAACACGAAACCACCACTACTACTGTAGCTGCAGAGCACGAAACCACCACAACCGCTGTCGCGGAACATGAGACAACCACCACTACCGCAGTCCACGAGGTATCAACCACAACAACTGAAGTTGCTCCACAAGAAACTGGTATGGGCGAACATAAGCCACAGCCAGTTCATACGACATTGGAAACCCTTGTTCGAGAGCCACAGCATACCCCGCCTCCTCAACATGAAGCTATGAAACCTAGTCGATTCTGAAGGATTTTAAAAAGGATTTAAAGGAAGGAACTTAATTCCAGGCTTGACGCTTTGGTACCTTGATTTCTTTTAGAATCTTTCTTTATTCTTCATGTTGCATGGCCTTTGGTTTTTGGGCTTTAATTTTCCTTTGTCATTGTTTTCTTCTTCTTCTTTTGTTTGGGGATACCATATTCTTTACAGGAAATAGCATATTACGTTAGGCGATATTTGATTGTCTATTATTATTTTTGTGGTTTCGTTGATTTTGATCTTGAGGTGTATCTATAAAGCTCTCGAGGGAATAGTTGTAGTATTCTAGTAGTCTAGTAGGAAAAATTCGAATCAAAAAGTTAGATACCCACGATCAATCACAGGATATTTATAATGTCCTTTCTCCCCGATAATCCATGACAATACAGAATATAACGCCAAAAGTACATATACACACGGTGCATGCATACGCTATCCCACCTAGGTACTTGGCCAATTAATCCTCCTGCCCTTTCTCTGCGCCTGGTCTCGAGGCTAGGATACAATGGGTCTAGACCAGCGATCAAGATGTCCATACTCGCGGACTCCATCCACCTCAACAAAAACCCTAATATCCCATTGCTTATGCCACCATTCCCCATTCCCGCCTCTCCCTTCATCCTGAATCCTGACAAACTCCAAACGAACTCTGACATCTTCATACCTCTCACCGGAAGGCCTTTTCCCCACAAAAGTCAAAGTTTCCAAACAATCAAACCCTTCCGCTTTCCAATCATAACACAGATTTCTCAATTCGTGGGGCGTCAATGATCCGTGGCTTGGTATGATTATCCAGGGTAAAATTAATGTTCGCAATCTCTTTAGGTTACTGATACCGTCGAAGCTGCTGTTGCAGAATTCCCATATGCCTGGATTGAAGCAAGAATTAGGTTGAATATTTAGATACTCGACATTCGGGAACCTTTCGGTTAGTCTTCGGACATCTCGGTCCTTGAAGAAGTGGAAGGTCTTGAGGTGCAAAGTTTTGATCTTTGAAAAAACACGAAGAAGGTCGGGATGTAATTCGATGCCCATTTCAAATGGTGAATTGGGTCCAGGTATGATCAAAGTATTGACGTGTAGCTGACGCAACTTAGGGGCTGAAGTAAGCAAGTGGTAGTAATGTCCAAAATCGGTGAAGGGTTTTGATCCGGGGTCATCGGTTGGCTGAGGAAGGTTATAGATTGAGAGAGTGACTTTCTTTAGTACCGGTAGGTCCGGAGTCATGTTTTTGAACGATTTGAGCGTATACCCGCTGGGTATCATCTCACCAAGAAACTCTTGGTTCTCTTTTGATAAGGTCAAATATGAAGCCTTAAATATCTCATCTTGTGATCGTCCCATCGTGTCACTTTTACTCTCGATGCGGAGCTCAAGCCCTTCGAGTGTATCACGGAATCCTGAATCAGCAAGCGCTTTGAGGAATACCGAATAAACAGCCTTCTCAGTTGAGTACAAGACCCCCAAAAGAACACGAAGGGTTCGTAGAGATGGGAAGAGCTTCAATACGTTCATCTTCATACGAAGGTCAGAGTAGACTTCCTCTAAATAAGAGTCTCCAGGGCAGAGGTGTGCGTCCCCCAGATTATCAATTACTTCTTGCTGAGAGCCCCATTTGAAACTTAGCCAGATCAGGCGTATAGATCTTTTGTTTGGTTGGGAACCCCATATTAGCTCACTGTATAAATAGCAATTAGCTACTAGATATATCGCGAGCAACTTACTTTGTGTAACGACGAATACGTTCTAATGAACCCCCTTTCATAAATATGCTTGGATCATCTTGATTTATTACGATGTGTTTGAATAGGAAGGGTAAGCATAAATCCCTGTAGTACTTGGAGCAGACTGATAAAGCTTCTCGATCCTGCCGTGGAAGGTTTTCGAGGATCGCGAGGTGGATTTCAGCTGGGAAAACATTGAGGGAACGTGCAGCTGCAGCTGTAGGCTGCATGATAGGCTTCTCAGAAGGTCTCTGGGACTCGAGGTTCTCCATTTTGAATTCTTCAGACATATTGAGATGTAGCTGTAAGGTATCGTCTGTCCTAAATTGATGAAGAAGTTTGAAGGTGTGTTTTGATGTTCTGACACGCGGTTTGATATTTACTGGCGTATGTGCATATATTTTGGAATGAGGCACACAGTCTTGTAATTGGTTACGAGACTGTTACGAGACTGTGAGGCCAGTTCTTGGACACTGGCTTTAGTGTCAGGCAACACCAAAAAAGACACACGGCTTGCTTCTAGAATTCTATATCATTCGTGTATGCAACTGCTTGGTCTTAAATTGAGATACCAGTGCCACTGTAACGGGCCGAGAGGCATAACATCCGATCATTGTGGAAGCCGAATACGCTAATTCTGCATTTCACCAGTGTTCCCGAGTTCTTTTTGCCAAAGCAACATTCGAAATTGTGAGAACGAGGATACTTAAAGTCAGCTATTCAAACAAACACTCTTTAAAAGGTGATCTTAAAGTGATATATATCCATACCCATCTAGTGAGTTTTTGGATCCTGATTCCTATAGTTAGAGTCGCCATACTCCTAAAACAAATGAAAACTCTAATAAAAACCCATACGCCCAGCATTATCCCACAGAATTTTCTTTTCTTTCTTTTTTGGAAAAAAAGGGGCCTAAGCTAATATGAAGTGGACCCTAAGCTCCTGGGTCTACATAATCTTGGAATTGCGAAGGTTTATAGTCTCCGCCTACGACCAGATCCCAGCCCTTTACTTGGTCGGGAACGAATGTAAACTGTATTCTGGTCTTCTCCCAGTTGCGCAAATCGAGGGGATCCTCGGGGTTTACCGGTCGCAGACGACGTATACCCTCAAAGGTTATCATTTCTATTTTCCTCATTCCATTAACTTTCCACCTGCGAACCATATTCGATAAACCTCCGGGGTTGAGGATTACGGTTCCCCCCCTTGGCCATGGCAGTGTCATTACTCTCAAATCCTTCAACTGCTTGAGGACATCGAAGCTTTGCGGCCATATGTGGTACTGGGTTGCGGGGTTGTAGGCCATACAAATATACAAGCATACGAGCTTCGGGAATCTTTGCACCACCCATTCCTCAAATTTTTCCATTTTTCTGTCAGCGTAGATTGTGGTCATCAAACTTGTAAAATCCGAGATTGAAAGAGCTTTCGGAGGGCCGGTGTCTGAGTCTTGTGGGCCTATCTCCCATAATCCTTTTGTCTCGTGAGGGTCCTTTATTTTAAGGATATTGTAGGCGGTAAACATGCTGCTGGGCGCCGCAGTATTTAATGTTAGATACTTTAATAGCGGAGACAATTCGAACGGGATGAAGTAAAATTCCAATCGCTTAATGCGGTGGAATCTTTTTGAAGTGAAAGGCCACGGGACACCATTAACAGATATTTCAGCGATCATTAATTGTGGGAGCGCTGATATTTTTGACCTCACCAGCTTCCCCATCTCCTCGTCGGGGATCTTCCCCCCAAGGAACTCTTGGTTAGCGGGTGACAAAGCCGAATACATTCTTTCGTATCGCTCATTTTCCTTACTAGGGTCGCCATCCCTCATTTCTCCAGGACTTTCAAATGTTTTCAAAACTATGATATCTAATATTTCCAGATTTTCACGGAAAGTAGACCCGTGCTCGTTAATCCCGTTGATGAGGGCTAGGAAGATATTATTTTCGGCGGCGGACGGTATTTCGTAGGATATATGGAGTCTTTGAAGGGATGGGAAATGTTTTAAAGCCGCGAGGTTATTGCGGAGCCGAGTAAAAACGTTCTCAGGGAGGAGCCGTCGGCCACAGAATCTTGTTCTCAGACAAATGATGTGGTCGCGCCAACTATAAGACTTTTCGAACGATACGGCCCTATATTATTAAATTAGAATATATACAAGAAACTGGAATTGGCTATGGATTTGAGAAGAAGGGCCCAGGGGTAGATGTAGTTTATATTTCTATGGTTTAAGGACTTACGTTATCCGTTTACGAGTCTCAGGGTAGAATAGCCCATGATCTTCCCACAAGAACGACGGAAGGGGCTGATCAAAATTTTGAGTAGCACCTTCGCCGGGGTCGGGGCTTAGAATGACGGTGTTGAAACGGTAGGGGAAGGAGCCATTGTACAGCCATTTCGAGCATCTTGCGAAGTTACAGAGGTCCTCTTTTGGAATGCATTTGAAAATACAGATTGCAACCTCGAATGGTAAACTGTTAAAGGGACGGTAGACAGGATTCGATTCAGGATTCGGTCCAGGTTTTGAATCGGTATTTGATTCCACTGGGCTCGATTCGGGATTCGATACTAGTGGGTCCAATTCGGGTTTAGATTCGGAAGTCGATTCAAGTTTCGATTCAGGATTCGATTCCGCTGGGTTCGATTCCGCTGGGTTCGATTCCCCTAAGTTTGATTCGGGGTTCGATTTAGGATCCCCCATTTTTTATAGAAGAGGTCAAAATTTTCTGAATTGTGACATTTAATATCTATGATGAGATGCAGGAACGGGTCGGTCGATAAAGTTAGACGTTTAAGAATTTGGAGATTCGTGCATGCATGTGGGATGATGCTTCCTACTTGATAGAATCGAATCTATATCCCGGAATGTAACTTGGTATGAAATTAATAAGAAGGAATATGTATTTACATATCATAATATCATCTAGAGAATATATTTTTATTTTTAATTTAACATGTCTATAGATTAACAAAGGTGTAGTCTGATCGTGGTGATCAAGTTACATACTTAAGTATGTTATGCTTTTATGTACATGTATAATATTACTAGTGGTATATGACTTGTTAAATCACGTGAGCATTGCTAGATACCCCCATATCATATAATACAAGCATCCTCCACTTTCCCAATCCCCAGTTCTTATAAATTAATGATAGGTACACAAGTTCGTATAACTTAACCGTTGGTGTAGTCTTGTATTAAAACGCTTCGGCACACTCCGTTCGCGTTCGTGTACATGTATCTGCATAGGCCTAGGCCTCAAGAATCCCAAACCGCCTAGTCCTAGGCAGCAATCTGCAACATGCAACACGCTGTCGATACACCGTTTGTGGCTGGTCGACCATGCTCAAAGATCCAATAGAAGGGCCCGATTTAGCCTGTACGTACCCTGAAACCCATGCCTGTACGACACGAAATTCGAATCTCTATGAAGTCCTTATTAATTATTGCATTGCAATCAATTAAAATAAACATACAACGTACCTCCGCTTTTTAAATCATGGCTCCGCCGGTTTGTTAAGATCGGGGGAAAGGTTCAACGTTGGATCCTTCTCTTTCTTCTAGCTACTTCATGATCAGTGCAGTGTCCACTCATGGGTCAAACTTTTAAGATTATAAGACCCATGAATCGAATCAATATCGATGATATAAAACCCCCTCGCTCTTGTTACTTTGAACAACGTTGTACCAATGTTCTCCTTTCAATATATATTTACCTCCTTCCTCCCCATTTCCCTTTCCCTCTTATCTTACCTTACAACCGCCCAAACAGTCCCAAGATTAGAAACCTACAGCCTCGGCACAGTCTCAAACTTCAGACTTATACGCTCATGCATTCTATGCTGCTTCGATAGCGATGGCTGTGAATCTTCTGCTACCGACCTCCCCGACGCCGTCGCATGTCCGGTAAATTCTTGTCTGTGTCGAAGGGCGGATATTAGTACCTCCGCTTCGTTGTTTTTGGACGAATGTGTTAGTAGACGGTGTTCTGGGAACCAAGCGGATATTTCAGATGCACAGGTTGCGTATCAGGCTTATTGTTCTGTTTATTTGAGTAATGTGGGGATTACAACAGATGGTGATGGAGGTGGGGTGACTGGCGGTGGTGGGAGGAGTGGGGATCAGATTGCGACGAAGACGGTAGCGGCGGGTACCACGACTGTCACGGGTAAGCTTGGACAATATGCCTTCCCCTCCCCGCTATATTTTCTCCATATACATTTGTATATGCATTTCCGTGATTAAAGATCGATTAGTTGCTGATACTTCATTTGGGAACGACAGTTGGACAGGTGACTTCATTCATTACTCGAGTATCAACCGTCCGCGATCCTACAGCAGAGAGTGGCACTAGTCAGGGGAAGGGAAGCACTTCTGGAGGATTAGACACTACTGCTCAAATCAGTTTAGGCGTTGGTTTGGGAGTTGGAATACCAGCCCTGGGATTATTGGTTTACATCACTTATCTGCTCCTCAAGCAGCGGGAAAGAGAAGTTCAGGAAAAGAATGGAAATATGGCATTCCGTCCGGGGGGTATTGTGGAAGTAGCTAAGAATATATAATTGAGTCCGTGGATTCCTAAGATCGATACCTTTTCTATATATATATCGATATAAGGATTTAATTGGAGGGAAACTTGGGGGTTATGGCGTATCTAATGATGCAATTGGCTGTAGCTGTATGGAACTCATGATAATTATATTATGATAATATTGCTTGAATCGATGATTTCATGATTCAATGTTTAGTGTCTAGTTATAATGTATTCGGCAGAAGTTGCCAATATACTAGTACATCTGATATCTAACAGCCCTTGGTGAAATATAAGTCCGAACGAGCTTTTACCCAAGGAACACCCGAGCTTGCCGTAGCATGTATATGAAATTGCGAAATTTAAAAGAAAGATCCCCCATAGAGAAATCAGCTAATTGATACATTTTCCAATCGGTGATATATAAAATACCTTGACTCGAGCTCTGAGACTTGTGTGTGCGTCCGAATCGCGATATCATTAAACGACTGAACTATGGTCAATCTATATCAATGTCTAGAATTAGAGAAATTGATTCATCAAGCCTAGCACGTGCACAGTACCCGGAAATGGTTACATGTTCGGGGAACAGACCGTACCCAAATTAACATGATGCGGTCATGGATAGTTTGGGCGGTGTGGCGGAATGGTATGCAGTGTAGCCGATATTCTACCCGCATATATATTTTATGTATAATATTCGATTAATATTAAGTTTGATTGGAATGTTGGCAGCTACAACTTATGCACAGCTTAAGCAAGTAAGTAGCTATCTATCCATGACCAGGATTATTATCATCTTTCGAGGGAAACCCGGTCAGACTTTTTAAGGCAGAATTCAGAATAACATCATCATACAACACAGATTAATCAGGTCTGATGGCAAGGATGGTCGTGTTAAACCGGAGTGTCTTGTGCGACATAATAGTCCTAAAGTACGTATAATATAAGACAGTGCCAGCATGACGGGTGCGTTAAATCATTCTAATGCTGCAACGGCAACCGGCTTTCCTCTGCAATCTTGCGCTTTAGTTAGAGCTTCCTCGCGAACATAAGCTTATTCTGGGAATGAGTGATAACATGCATACATGTACATACATGCTGCATGGCAGATTTTTCTCCAAGCTAGCTATAGGTCTAGGTCCTCGGATAAATATGTGGCAGCACAGCGCAGTTATGTAGACGTCGCCGGCCGGAGTGATTCCCAGTTCTTGCAGCTGCAACTTAAATGTGACTTGGCAATTCTATTCTCGTTTGGAATTACATATATTGGACGTATCATATATGTATATAGGTATTCAAGATATCTTGCATGAAAGGGCGGGTGGGCGCAACTGCATGCAAGGGACGAGGGTGTGGACATGTGAGAGCTCAGGATAGAAGTATACCTGGGTATAAAGGTATCTAAAGAAGCACTTACTTGAATAAGTACTTATCAAGCTATAGCTGTCCATGACCTGTGTATCAAGATTTCAAGGAACATCGGCAGAAACAATGGAAGGGGGAGGGTACTCCGTAGGTTAACTGCAACCTCCTTTGCATATTCTAGAAACCGTAATTCGCTCGTTTAAACTCGTTCGATGCAGATTTGATCGTGGCCGAAATTCGCTAGCGCAAAAAAACCAAAAAAAAAAAAAAAAAAAGAGAGTTAAGACCGATGTTGGACCCATAGAAAGATTCTGACTGTGATGTCTTGGGTGGTTGAAAGAAATCCCTCACTTTGCAATTGGACCCCATACTATTACTCCATACAATGCAAATCGAATTACATACCACATCACATATGCCCCCAGCCGTCCCTCCTACACAAGCAAGATGATGAGGTACTTTTTTCTTCTTCTCTGCCTGCTACCAGCCAGCTGCGTATATCCTGATCCTGGTGCCTTGGTGTTGATTGATTGAATCCACGGTGTTACCTGTACCCAGCAGGAAATTTCGGATTATGAATCAGTAGAGGCAAGTCGCAGTCGCCTCGCGAGTAGGTTTAGCTTAGGGCATGCATGGGATGGCATATGCATACATATCTGCCTGCGTCGGCGGTATTAATGTTAGCTTACTCCCTTACTTAGCTTACTAACTTACTTTATCTCCCAGCTAACAAAAACTCTATGATGAAATCAGTCGTCCCATTCCAGGATCTTATGTAGATAGACGTAGTTTGATTTTGACGCTTCCGAGCTGAGGAAGAAGAATTAGTGACGATTGTGATTCATAGACTGGCCATTTGATCGGAAAGCATCGCCCGGCCAAGTGCAAACAAGTACCGTCTAGACCTGTTAGTGCCGCGTAAGGTACACACTGCACCGCCCTCCAATCGTTGCGATTCCTGCAAAACTAGTCCAACCAAAAGAAGAAAATATGAAATCGGAGTCGAGTGTGTGCAGGGCAAGCCCAGGTCCGGTTCGACCGTTCAGAGTTTTGTTTCTAGGTATGCAATTACCTAGTTGGCTTGTGCTGGGCTTGTGCTAACTGGGAGGGATCAGAAATAAAAAGACAACCACACCCCCAACACACTTCTCACGGTTGACCACCCTTTCTTTCCTATCTTTTCTGTTCAGAATAGAATAGGAATTAAAAGCACACGATCATAAAAAAAAACCTGCAGAACAATTTAAGAATACACCTGGAGGGCCTGGCAGTTTTAATTTCTCGAGGTTGGTAAGCAAAATCCGGTTCTTGTTTTTTCCGTGTGGGATATAAATCCAAAACGGCCGAGGACGAGGTCGAGGTCTCGCCACATCCACAACATCTCGACTCCTAGCTTGAGGGAATAATTCCAGCACCACCACCGTCATCATCACCATCGCCACCCATTGACCTACGGGTGTATTTAACCTCGTGAGAACCTTCGACTGACAAGTATTCTCTTTTACAGCTTGAGAAATCACTGGTCTTTCTTGTGAAATTTCGACCTTCTTGCATTCGATATAAGAAAAGGGAAAAAAAAACTTTGACCGCCAAACCGACAGAATACTACTAGTATCAGATTACCTCTAAGATATCAACGACCATCGAGGCAGATATAGCTTCAACTATCTTTCTTTAGCTATCAAATCACAAACCTTTTAACTATCTTTCCCACCGGAACCTTTGTTTCGTCCCAGACAAAGGTCTTCGGCTTCGGGAACGACCGTTCACAATCCCGTCACCAGGCTCTTGCCGCTCCTCCCTCCGTCCTCTCAAACCACCCCCACGAACTCAGTTCAACCGTAACTCTTACCCAAGGCCCGAAAATCGCAATCATAGATCTCAGGTAGACGGTGCGGAGGAGTCATCCCAAAACCCAGCCGACGAGTCCCAATCAAACCCCCTGCCGCATAGCTCCCCCGCTGGTAACCTTCCTCTTCACGAGGAAGGCTTGCGGCGACCGCCTCTTGTCTGTTTCGGCAGAATCGTGTTTCGACCACCCTAGCATTCGTTCAATTGTGAACTCAATTACTTAACTTTTCAACCTTCTTAACATTCTTAAGATCAGGATCAGTTCTTCTTGATCTTCGAGAATCCTTTGGAGACTGTGTGGCTTGGGTGCTATTCTGGCGGTAACTGTATAGGAGTCGACGTCCACAAGAAATCGGCAAAGAAGAGTATTATTATCTCTACAGATTTTTCTTCTTCTTCTTTTTCCTCTTTCTTCTTTCACTACTACATACAACTTTCTTCCATTCAACTGTTTAATCCTTTCTTCTGAAACGGGTAAAACAGTCAATCGTACCATCCAATTCCGAAGTCGATAATAATCAACCGACACTAGTTATGGTATTCGTCGAAATCGAGTCTGCGGCTCCTCTCATTCTCTCTTCCTCAACTACCTCTTCATCTATCAAGCAGATGCCTGGTACCGCTTTTGTCGCTCCAGTAGCTGCAGGTCACTCATACTATGATGGATCTGAAAAAGCTACTTCAAAGGCATTGATCAGCAATGCTCTAGCCCGCCGCATTAGCAGCATCAATATTGATAACTGTGAAGCTGGTGGGGAGGATGCCTTTTTCGTTGCTGATCTTGGAGAGGTCTACCGCCAACACCTCAGGTGGAAATTGAATCTTCCTCGCATTGAGCCATTCTATGGTAAGAACTCTTTATATCAAATATGGTTGAAGGTATGCAAATAACTAATTCGCTATCAATTTGAACAGCCGTGAAATGCAACCCTGACCCTCAGGTCCTCCGTCTCCTTGCCAATCTTGGCTGTGGATTTGATTGTGCTTCCAAGAAGGAGATCGAGTCCGTTCTTTCAATGGATATCTCGCCATCCCGCATAATCTATGCGCACCCTTGCAAGACAGCATCTTTCATTCGTTATGCTGCTTCCGAAGGTGTTGAGCACATGACCTTTGACAATGCCGAGGAATTGTATAAGTGTCAGCGCTACTTTCCTTCCGCTCGCCTTCTCCTCCGTATTGCCACCGATGACTCTAAGGCTCTCTGCCGTCTCAGTGTCAAATATGGTGCCCCACTTGACTCCACCGCCTCTCTCCTTGCCCTCGCCAAGGACCTAGGCCTTAACGTCGTCGGAGTCAGCTTCCATGTTGGCTCTGGAACCTATGATCCAACTGCCTATATCAGTGCTGTCGAAGACGCTCGTCATGTGTTCGACGAAGGCGCTGATCTCGGATTCGATATGAAGCTCTTGGATGTTGGTGGCGGATACGGCCACAAAAACTTCGAAGCTATTGCTTCTGTCCTCGGACCAGCCGTCGACCAATATTTCCCCAGCAATGTCAGGGTTATTGCTGAGCCAGGAAGGTACTATGTCGCCTCGGCGTTCACAGTCGCCGCACATGTCATCGCTCGTCGTACCGTTGTTGACCCTCTTACCGGCGAGAGTTCTTTCATGTTGTATTTGAACGATGGAGTATACGGAAACTTCTCCGGTGTGATGTTTGATCACCAAACACCTATTCCAAAGGTTTTGACCAATCGTGATGGGTTTTGGTATGGAAAGAAGAGGGAGGATGGAGAAAGAGTCGTGAAATATTCGATTTGGGGACCGACCTGTGATGGGTTGGATTGTATCTCTTCCGAGAGTTACCTGCCCGAAGTCGTTGAAGTCGGAGATTGGTTGTATTTCTCAGAGATGGGAGGTAAGTTTCTAGAACACCATGAAAATTCGGAAGTTTATTTCAAGATTGATACTAATGGTTTTTGATGGTGTAGCTTATTCCAAGTGCTCAGCGACAAAGTTCAACGGCTTCTCTGACGACCATGAAATTATCTACGTCTCCAGCGAGCCAGGAGCGGCGGCCCTTCTTCAAGGATAGATCTATACTTCATATAGGAGTAAATCTTAGAATCTCTAACAGAAAAACCTATCATACAAGCTTGACGATCCGACCCTTCATGTTGGATTTGTTATCATCAAAAGTCATTTCTTGTTCTATAAGTGTCTATTTTGCTTCGAGAGTTGATTTATAGATTGGGGAGGCCGTCTGAAAGAGGAGTTGGTACATATCAGGCGTTATGGCCGGGTAGAATCGTTCAAAATATTGAAAGAAAAATTCCAACTACTGTCGCTCCTTCATCACCACGTTCATGACAAAATCACTAGAAGATTTACGTAGAATAGTTGCAACCAAGTGACCTAATGAGCTTTCTCAAGCGAAAATCTGAACTGGTTTATGTTATATGTCTGTTGATTGGGTATTCCGTACTATAATATATCACCGTCCCATAACATATAAATCAACCCTATCCCCCGCCATCTCAAACACCACACTCTCCTTCTTCTCAATTCCCTTCTCTCCAGCCATCTCAAAGAACATCTCCTCAGAATCATGCCGTACCTTATGCGCCAATAATATCACCACCCCGGGCGATAATCCACACAACTCATCAAGTACCCCCACCAGATACGGAATACTAGCGGTATTATACGTACAATCTGCGACCAAGATCAAATCATATGTTGAAGAAGCGCACCACTCCGGTAAAGAAGAAGCCCAATCGAGTGGACAGTATGATATATTGTTACTGTTCTCGTTGGAGTTACTAGTAAGGTTTTTGGATGTTATCTCCGTTGTTATGGGTAGGTCTGTTACGGTTACTTTTGTAGAAGGTAGGAGGGTGTGTAGGACTATTCCGGCTAAACCGCAGCCGGCACCGAGTTCTAGGACATTTAAGGAGGGGTTCGATAGGAGTGGGGTGAGGGATGGTAGTTGTCCTGTGGGTGGTGTGGGGAGGGTGGAGAGGTAAGAGGTCATGGCTAGACCACCGGGCCTGTAGTGAAGTGTTAGAGCGTATACTACATAAATATATATTCTGCTTCTGGGCGGAGGGATATGTATATACCATATATGCCTGGCAATATCTTCTCTAGTTTCTTCCCATATCCTCACCATCTTCCCAGCAGACAATTGAAGTTTTCGCTCGACGAACGCCTCTGCTTTACTCCCGTTTTGAAGAATGTTGAAGGGCGTACTCCATGCCGATAGTATTCGTGATTCCGAAGGACCGGCGAATAATGTTCGCATATCATCCGCCCGGTTTTCGGTCGCAGAGATACAGACTATCCCATCTGTAGCCGTATCCTTTGAGGCTGTGAATGTGAATTGGATTGGTATATTTCTTAATCCCGGTGTCCAAGTCACGGTTTTTGACGCAAGTAATTGGCGGGATTGGGTATCCGCGCGAAGAGTAGCTCGGAGGGTAGCATTTCCATTGTAGAATGCTTCGGAGAGGTCGGTGGAGATGGTGATTAGTGTGGAAACAGTGATGATGTTGGAGGAGGGTTTGGAGGTGGTGGTGGGGACTTTGAGGAAGCGGATGAAGTGCATTTTTAGGTAAGACAGCTTTTTCGAGGTGACTGAATTGGTGTTGAATCAATCAAATCATCAACTCTCGCTCTCCCTCCCAAACAAACATCTCGAAACTCTTTAACCATCCCACCAACTACTTCACTCACACCATCAAATCATCATCATCATCACCACAATGGCGCCCGAAATCGCCTCTCGAATCACGGAGCAGGATCTCCAAGAATGTCTTCAAGCCCTCCAAAACACCCGTGAAATCTGCTTGCAGATAGTATCACAAGACCGCGCTCGCGCCACCACCACCAACTCATCTCAAAAGCCACCATCCCCAGAAGACCGTCTCAAATCTCAAAAGCAACTATTCGCCGCCATATCCCGTCTACGTTCCCTCCACCGGACAGCATACATGACCGTCCGACAAACAAAACAAACAACCTCCGAAGCTCGTCAAGAACAAGATCGATTACACCTTCAATTGCAGAATTTATACTACCAACAACGTCATCTACGCGGTGAAATCGACGCGTGTTTGGATTTTCAGCATACTTATGAGGATATTCCGCTGGTGGATCAGGCGGATTATCTAGCTAGACATCCTGAACATGAGGATATGGATCCACACGAGCTTATGAAGCTGAGGTTAGCGGATGAAAGAGCTGTTCGGGAAGAGTTGGAGACTCAAAGGAAACAGTTGATTACAAAGAAACAGGCTTTGATAGCAGAGAATAAGAAGCGGAAGGAGGATCTGGCGAGTTTGGATGAGCATTTGAAAAAGTTTATTGAGGTACGTATATGGTTGTTTCCGATGGGGTTTTGGATAATACTAATAACTTATATGTTTGTGTCTTACAGAGTTCGAAACCGATCCAAGAGACGTTTAAGAAGGAGTACTAAATCTCTTCACGATATTAATGGCCTTTGTATTATAATTTCCTTGGTTCAACGGCGTTATCCCGAGTACATTAGCGGCGTTCTGGGATTTTCCAGCTATCAAAGCAATACTACTAATCATCTGCTCAACTTTTCCAAAAAAACCCCATCATTTCAAAAAACTACTGATATACGAAATTCAAGCAAGATATTTTTTAAACCACCCAATCACCTCTTCGGCAGCTTCGTCCATCGCTTTTCGATCGTTATCTGAACTCCAATCCCCACGATGCGTAAACCCATGGACCTGATTTTCGAATATCCGAATCTCCTTCTGAACATCGAGTTTCTTCTCCATCACATCGATGATCCCGTCGACGCTGAGGCTTAACATCGATGTTGGACCTTTTGTACCCGCATCTTCGCCTGTGAAGAGAGATACAGCAGTGGTTGGGGATACCGGGACAATCGTGTCCTTCGAGCCGAATGCTACATATATTGGGACCGAAACTGCTTCCCAGTCTCCAGCTGCAGTGAATGAAGGTTGTAGGGCAGCGACGGCGGTGATACCGGTTTCTGGACGTGCTTGGAGGACCGCATGGCGTCCACCCCAGCAGGTTCCTATGATGCCTAATTTGGAGATTGCAGGGTCTTGACGGATGGAGGCTATGAATGCGTCTACTTTGGGCTATAGATGGGGGTTAGTGGTGGTGGTGTTTTTTGTTTGGAAAATTGGGGAATTTCGAACCTTTGAAACGGCTTCACGGTGTTTAATGCCCTTTGGACCCATGGTGGCCATTAGAGTCGCGTGGTTCGTCCTAAAAGGCGACACCCTGGTTAATACCTCGATGGCAAGGTTGGGAAAGGGTCATCATACGCTTTCTCAATAACAGTCATCTTCTCTTGAGCTGATAACTTTGGTTCAGCGGTATTGATGAATTCAGCGGGAAGGCCGTCGCCGTCGAGAATATCGGGCATGAGGACATGGAAACCGCCTTTGGCATATCTATATGATGACTCCAATTAGCCTGGATCCACAACTTCAATATGGGGTCGACAACTTACGTATCAGCTAGCAGCTGGTGATTCAGAAGGTCCACGCCGAACACTATACAAAAACCATGAAATTCAGCAACTGAATTGAAAGGACCCCTTTCTAAATAGACAAAAAGGAAAGCATACTGTCGGTGAGGTAGATCAATGTCTTTGCTTTGGATCCATCTGGTGCCGGGGCGACATATGTTCTGCGACCTCCAATTTCTTCGAATTTACCGTCTGGTGCTCCCTATGACAATTTATTATTAATAATTATTTAAGTCCACGCGATGGATGGATTCTATGAATTAATTACGGTTCGTAGATGTGCGGATGCACTAAAGTCGTTTGAACTTGTAGTCGCTGCTGCGTCTGATGACATGATTTTTATCCTTTGATTGATATCGATTCGCTTTTGAATTAAGGATTAATATGAATATTGATAGGTTCTTAAGGTTAAGAGGAAAGAGTTTGTTTATTTTATAATTTAGCAGAAGTGGTTTGTAGTTTTAATCGATTGAGTGAATGAATTAATGAATCGAATGGTTGGTATTGAAGCTTTTCATGAGGATCGATGGCTATGACCTCATAATGCGCCTTGCCAATTGCAGACCCAAGACATTGATTGTATCTGCATTTGCATTACTCCAAACTTGCGATTTAAAATTCCTTAATGGTTTATCCGAATGCGAATATTGAAGTACCAGTATATACCGTTTTAATAGAATCCACCGAATTGGATATTAGAGGTATCGAGTTAACAGTTTTCTTGAGGTACCTATTATGAAGGTCGCACAGTATTACATAATCAAGACTGGTTTGTAGTTTTAGAAGAGAAAAAATATCGCCAAATTTTCTTTCCCTGTTAAACTCACCAAATAAAAAGAAGAAAAATTCTTGCACCACCAAATCACCACCATGCCACCAATAACATGACCCAAACCCACTACACCATCCTCTCTATCCCACAATCCCTCCCACCAACCCACAAAAACTACCAATCACTTCTCAAAAAGTCCTATCATAGGACGCTTCTCCGATGTCACCCTGACAAGCTTCTAACCGGCACATCATCGATTGCCGGTCAAACCAAGCAAAAGCAAAATGTAGGAGAAGAAGAAGAAGAAGAAGATGGTAACGATGGTGGTGAGATACACACCGTCGACCAAATAAACACAGCCTATAAAACCCTTTCATCACCAACACTTCGACAGGAGTACGATCTATTCCTCCGGTCTTCTGTATCCAATGGTACAAACGGTGGTGCTGGTGGAAGGGGAAGAGGAGGGTACAAAACAGGTCTAGATGTTATAGACCTTGATGATATGGTCTACCATCTTCCCGAGGAGGAGGAAGAGGCGGAAGGATCTCAGGGAGGGAGGTTTACGAAGTCTTGCAGATGTGGGGCGGAAGAAGGGTATGTTCTGACTGAAGAGGATATGGATGATGTTGAGAAGGAAGTACAACAGCAGCAGCAAGGTATTAATAATGGAACCAAGGCACGGTCTATGATCATCGGTTGTTTGGGATGTAGTCTGTGGGTTCAGGTCGATTGGGTGGTCTGTGATAGCGACGATGAAGGTGGGGAGTGATTATATCCTTCTTGCCTACCGCGCTATTCCGTTTGACAAATATAAAGGTTGAAGGACTGTTGAGAATTTTATATTGACGAGTTAATAAAATACAAATATGTCTTTGTCCTGCCAGACAGACTATTCAATCACAAGGTTTTTACCAACAATCTTTATATACAACAGTGCAGTGGATATCGATACCTTACATCGATGGTGGTGCCAAAGACATTACCATCTTGAACCATTTACACGCCGCAAGACAGAGCTCCCATTTCGTCTAAATCTTTTATAGATATTGGGTACGCTCCAGATCTTTTTCAGACCCTGCGATTCATCAAAGGGATTGATTAGATTGGATTTTTTGACTTGCAAGATTGAAATTTCTTATACATATATAGCCTTCCGTTTGAGGCTTCTTTCTGCAAAAAATTACACAGGGAGAACGCCATAGAAGAGTCGGCACATTTTTTATATCAGTATTCTTATAATGTTTTTCTCTCCGGCGGTACACAGAATTCCTGCCTTCGATAGTGTTTCTTTAAAACAATTGTCTTGTTTAAAGATATCGATGGTTGGTCTCACCTAAGCTACCGATCATTGATCAATTAATGGTCTCGTTCGTTTATGCCTTTCCCCGCAATTCTAAGGGTGCTTAGATGCGCCGACAAACTATGCCAATCCATTTAAAGTGTGGGTTATCAAAAAAGCTTGTTTAAAGGCTTAAGGCTGCATGTCTCGATATTGAATCAAGTATACTAGTAGCGAAGTTAACTTAGAGCCTGTATGCATGCTATGTAGTATATACCTTTATGTTTACGAGGTTTGGATTCCAGTATTGTGATATCCCCAAGCTAGTTGCCAAGTACCTTAGACCCAAGTTTCTAGTCCGGATCACCAACATACAACAGACAGAGGAATTCGAGACCGCTCCATGGGCGACGAGAACGAATTAGTTGATTATAAGCGATATATTATGCATGTTGAGGAAAAGGAAATTGGATGGTGTTCCAAAGACTTCAGCTGCCAACGTTGTGGCGTTAACATTTTGCATTGAATTGGTTGCCAACTGTAAGGGGCTTTCAGCCGCGCGAGCGCACAGGAATGCGAATGCCCATTTTTATAAAGAGGACTTCCCTTGCGAAATCTTTATTTTATTGTTATTTTTTAAAGGGATTAAGTTTATATTTGCATTTCTGCTAGGGTGCCAGCTTGTATACCCTTATTTTTGTTCTATCGATATATTTTCTTGAGATTCTTCCGTTGAATCTGGTCACTCGTTATATTACAACTGCTATTTTATGATACAAATATCCTACTATATATAATTATATAATCAGATAACTAATATCGACAAGTCATAATGCGCTTCAATATTCTTTCTATCGTTGCACTCCCAGTGTTTCTAGGATGTGTCGATGGGGTCCTCGCCAGCACTCTCTCTTGCAAACCAGCAGCGAAGTCTTGTGCGGCTTCTGCTCGCCAGGCGGCTCCTTGCACGTCTTTGTTTCGTATGTACACCCAGAATCTATCTTTCTGAAATTGCTGAACTTCAAAGAATATCCCTATTAAACTACAAGAACTATCGCTAATTAACGTATTTCGATAACTGCAATAGTCAAGAACAAAGTCAAGCGTCCAACATGCACTGTTATTCCTGCGCCTGTTACAGTGACGAAGAAAGTGACCCCAGCTGCTTCAACCGCGCTCGTCACAATCACTCAGACCGTCTCGACTACACAAACTGAAACTCTCCCCACCACCATTATCCCACAGACTATGGAGATTGTGGAAGTCGAGATCAGAGTTGCTACTGTGACAGTTTACGCTACTGAATTTGATACTACGTAAGAAAAATAGTCAATCGTCGATACATTTCGGAATATTTATATATATGCGCATTCGGCTATTGGATATAAGATACAAACAGACTAACTCCATGAATGTTGTATGCATGATAGTACAGCTATTGTCGAAACCAAAACTATAACTGTCTACCCGATCCAAACTTTCATCTGTAAAAACCGCAAGAGGGACGCCTTGCCTACTGCCGCAGTCGAAATCGATGGCTTGGTAAAGCGCACTCCTCTTCCAAAGTGCTGCGGTAAGTCACATCTACCCCTAAATTTAATTATTATCATGCAACCATACAGGTTGTTCTCTTTTTATACTAATATTATAATGGAACTTGACTAACGGTGTGATTCTAATTCAGGATGCTTCCTCACATCTACCAAAACCGCTGCCCGCCAAACAAAGACAGTCACTACGACACTTCCAAAGGCGACAGTTACAAAGAAAATCACCAAGACTGTCACCGCAACCAGCATCACCACCGCTATCCCGAGTTCATCAACCATAGTCGGAACCACAACTGAAACAATCACAACCACCAGAACGGAGACTGAGACCAAAACCAAAACTATCACCGAAACAGTACCCGCCACACAAACATCATATTACGACGTCTGCGAAACTCCCTATACATATAGCGGTAGAAATGCCTTCGAATACCGCGGTACCTCTGGTATAACAGCACCGGCTGGTACTGATACCCTTAGCAAATGCTGCGGTTTGTGCTTCGGAAGTATGAATTGTGCAAATTTTGTGTTCGATACGATTACGAAGACGTGCGCGATTCATCAGATTACTAATGCGGATGAAGTTCAAACGAATTGCACTTCTCCGAAGTGCAATATTGGTCGTGCTAGTGGAAATTTTTCTGAGAGACCTAACAATGAATTATACGGTATTGGACCTTGCGGCGGTACCGTTGTTAGGTAAAGCGTACCTATAGCTACTTACATGTATGTACACGTAATTTAAATAGGCCTTTTGGAGTGAAGATTAAATATAGATTGGGAGTCGTACATAAGCTTCACGGCTTTTGTCAACAGTTGTTATCAACTGCACCGCAATAGATATTCAGATTTCGACCCGTTGTTTACTTACCATTCTAATTGTAAACACTTCAACCAACACCTTCGTAAAACGTAAATATGTACTGTTTACATGTATACAAAAGCGAGATGTTCTTAAATGTGTTAACGTTAGTGTTGGGGTGAAGCTATAATTCTCTCTTTAAATTTACAAATCCCGATACCATATAATACTCAAGTTTAAATTTGTCCATAAACTTTCCATAGTACTCGCGAGCTCAGGTCGGGGGAAAGAAGCGGAGTCTTTGTAAGGACCATAAAGCCTTTTTGACCCGCAAAAAGCTCAATCTTAATCTTCCCGAGCATCAAACCCATATAATCACACCAATCTTCCCGATCTACGTATACGGTTCCATTGTCTCGACCAAGATACTCGAAGTTTTTCGCCGTCGTTGTTGCATTTTTTGCAGGACAACGCAATTACACGAGCACCTCTTCTACTCAGGATTCACATACGTACGCTACAGAATTTAGTTCGAAAATATGAGGCTTAATGAATCAACAGCCATAATAACGAACAAGCTTGTCTTTGTTCCTTATGAAGTCAGTTACAAATTTACTAAATAAAGAGCCTCAGTCCACAAGCGACTTTTCTAACTTCTTCTCCCCGCTCTTCATTTATAGGCCTCACACGTCCCAACATATTCAGAATGGATGTCCAGCGAGGTAAGATTGTTAAAACCCTCTCAAAAACATCATTCCAAAGTATACATATATGTATTCAGTTTTTAACACATAGTTTTTAACAACTTGTAGGCTCTACGAGAAGCGACAGCTTCAGAACGCCTCTCACTCCCCGAAGAATATGCCATGCAAAAGTCCTGGCGAGAAGACGCCGATAAATTAACTTTTATCTTGTCTAGCCCCTCGAATGGTATTCAATCTTTAAATAACTCTGACGATGCTACAAGAAAGGGATATACAGTCATCGAAGGCATTGACGACGAACCTTCTAATCTTATTGGTGATGTTAATTTATTCCTCTACGAAGATGATGATGGCGACGACGAAGATGAACAAACAGAGGGAGTAGCAAACGAAATAGCCATGGTAGGAGAAATCGAACTCATGGTCGCAAGAGATGAGTATCAAGGGCAAGGGCTTGGAAAAGTAGCGGTGTTGGTGTTTATACTGTATGTTCTACGGCACCAACAGGATATCTTGATGCAAGATATGGCGAGGTATGAAAAGGGAGGGAAGACTTTAAAGCACTTGAGGGTGAAGATTGGGAAGGAGAATATAAGGAGTTTGGGATTATTTCAAAAGTTGGGGTTTAAGAAGACGACAGAAGAGCCGAATTACTTTGGCGAATGGGAGTTGAGGTTGAAGATCCAGCCGTTGAACGAGGTGGAAAACGGTATAGAGGATATTCTTAGAGGCTGCGGAGTCGAGTGGAGAGAGGAAGTAGAGTTTAAAAGGGTGTAAGGCGCTCCAAGGGAGGTCATATCTATTCCCGTATACCTTAGATGATAGAATATTTATACATCCCACGAATTCAGGGATCTAATTGTATCCGCGGGTCTCAGCCAAATGGTTTATCATCCCCATCTCTCCATTTATTCAGCAATGGATATATCACATCTCGTCGTCGACATTATATATGTACAGTCAAGAACAGAATTAGGCTTGGATCCTCCCCCTCTCTCTAGAGGAAAAAAAAAGAACTCCGTCTGGTCATATGGGTGAAAAAGAAAAAGCGTAGGATTCGATGATAGCACACGGAAAAAGAGGAAAAAAAGAGGAAGGGCAAAAGGCCGTCGTTAAAAAGAGGTATATTGAAACACGGAACCAGCAGGAGTTCCAAAAAGGAAATAGAGACTTTATTTCTTTATTTTATTTCGAATTTACTTCTTCTTGGCTGGGACATCAGTGACGGTAAGTCCTGTAAAAGAGGGAGAAAAAATCGTCAGCATTTCGCACTACATCAACGAAACGACAACCATATAAAACATACCAGGTGGCAAGCTCTGCTTTAGCTTCTCAGCCTTCTCAGAATCCTTGAGGGTGAGGGTGTACAAGTGTCTGTGGCATCGGACCTTGAACTTGGTCTGGCTGCCGTTCTTCTTGACTCTGGCGGCTATAATTCGTCCAAAAAATACAAAATTAGTCGTAATTCCTTAAATATATATCGATTACATCGCTTATGGTGTCGCATGAGGATAATATATCGTGATGGATTGGCTTCGTACCCTTAGCGTCCTTGCGGCGAGCAAGTTCGATGAAAAGCTACAAATTTCAGTCAGCATAACGGCCTAACATTATGAATATGATATCGAGAGTAATTGCGAACCTTAATGTCGTTGATAGCACGTGGCATTGTGACGGTATTGTTTGATGTGAGATGTGGGAGGAATTGATGGATACTTCTGATCAATTGATGTCAAAATGCTATACAACTACAAGCAGCAAAATTGTTTGGAGCTGGGATATTGATGCCAAGAAATCTTCAATTTCGAGGAGCTAAGCCTAGTTTGGAGGGGCATAGGGTTACAGCCCTCGCTTCAAAACAACACTTTTTTCTGTGGTCTTGCGATTTGCGATGGTCTCCAGATTACGGGCTACAATTTCGAGGTCACGTTTTTGATGTTATTGAAGATTCTGTCTGATCTCGTGTCTATTCTTGATGGTTATCGTCATTCAGGAGGACGTTATATTATGAAAATCCAGCTGCTTCCCATAAAAACCCATTGGACGAACGCGGAAAAGTGATAAAATATACATGGAGCAAGAGGATATAAAGAAGAGCCCTCGTATCGGAGAGCAAGTAGTAGTAGTAGTAATGGTGGTGGAGGAAAAGTCGTCGATTATGAGAATAGAGGACAGAGGTAAAAAAGGAAAACGGAAACGCCAAAGCAAATTGCACACATTTAGTGCGCTCTCCTCGACTCGGCGATAACTCTGGTGAGTTCGTCGACCTTTCTCTTTGCACGGCCGAATGTTCCGAGCTAGAAGTTCATGTGTTAGCCAATTGTGGACCTCGAAATCGAGATAAATATTTGGACTGTAGACGAACTCTCTTCTTTGCGAGCTTCCTGGCACGCTTGTCCTTGCTGTTCCTGATCAATTCGATAACACGCTTCTCATATGGAGCAAGACTGTTGTAAAATCATTGTTATTAGCCCGTATTCCATAACTTCTGATATCCACCAAAGGCTTCCGGCTGGCTCGTTCGGTTCCAATGCTGGAGATTGACCATCTCCAGTTTTTTCGCCCACTGCCTGCCCAGACCCTTTACCCGCAATTTCATATCCAAGCAGAGATTCGGAATATTCTTACCCAGCAACCTCTCTGACGATGTCCCTGACGAAAAGAGTACGCTTGGAGGCCTTTCCCTTGGTTCGGGAGATTCTGGCCTTGGACTCGTGTGGAGTGACCTTGTGGCCCTTGTTGATGCCGATGGCAAGACCTGCATTCAAAAATAACCCATCAGAACCTGCTCTCTATCTCCCAAATATTAACGAACGATAAATGGTCGGCATACCGGTCTTAGTGGATTCGGACATCGTGGATGATGTATATGAGGTCGGGGGGATTCGGTGTCGGTGATGGTCGGTGGTTGTGTCGTTTAGGTGTCGATGACTGTAGAAAAGCACAAAGCGGCAGCTTAGCAAAAATGAAGAATATTGCAACTTCTTGGCATCGAACCGCAAAAAAATTCAATTCTTTTCTGTGCGTGTTGTGCCCTACGTTCCCAAAGCGGTAATTACTTGGTAGGCAAACATCTCGAGATTTTTCCTCTTGGGAACCTCACTTGCAACACATTCCTATTTCGCATACAACATCCCACTTCAGACCCCGCTAAACCTGAAACTTCTTTCCCACCTGCCATGTCTTCGAAAATCGTGGTTCTTATCTCAGGCTCTGGGAGCAATCTTCAAGCTCTCATTGATGCCGCTTCGACACCTCTTCTTCCGTCGGCTCGGATTGTCCATGTGATCTCTAATCGTAAGGCTGCATATGGCTTGGCCCGTGCCGCCAATGCGACTCCTCCAATTCCAACCTCATATCATGGATATCCACCATACAAGACTTCGCATCCATCCGACCCCCGTGGAGCTTATGACGAAGATTTGGCGAAGTTGATATTGAATCTACCTGAAGACCAGTATCCCGACTTGATCGTGTGCGCTGGATGGATGCATATCTTGTCGCCCAAGTTTCTAGAACCCATAGAGACAGCAGGGATTCCAATAATCAATCTTCATCCTGCTCTACCGGGGGCATTTGATGGCGCTGGAGCAATTGAAAGGGCATGGGAAGCTTTTAACAGGGGTGAAATCGCAGAAACTGGGGTTATGATACATTATGTTATCAAGGAGGTTGATAGAGGAGAGCCCATCGTGGTGAAGAAGGTTGAGTTCAAAACTGGCGAATCAGTAGAAGATCTGACAGCAAGAATACATGATATTGAACATGTTGCGATTGTTGAGGGCACCAAGCTCGCGCTCGAGAAGAAGAGCTCATGAGGTTTTGTTAAAGCCTTGTAGCTGGCCTGGGTAGGAGTCTAGGAGCATGTGTACATAGTTCTTTGTTGGGTGTATGGTGAGAAAGATGAACTGGGCCTTGGGGAAAGAGTTATTTAAAAGCGATCTCTGCGCTGTTTTTATTTCTATGCAGCGACAAATGCAATCATATGATACCCTGAGTCCCATCCTGAGCGCCGGCGCCTTGTAAATGTCGTACTGAAAAATCAATGACTCTTATAAGATTCGAAAAGACAAACGCCGTGCATTGCACACACAAATACCCAAAGAAATGAGATCTCTCGCAATGCTGGGCTGAGGTTTCTTATCACCTCATCATAGGTTAACTAGACAACCTAATAAAAATATGGGCGCCTCATTCTAGTAGGACACTGTAAATTTGGAAGCGAACTTATGTCAATTAGTTCATATTATTGATTACCCTGCGTAAAGAAAGTTGACTATAATTACTAATTCCTAGGTATATGTCAATATACTGCACTATAAGATTCCATCGGTGACCTTGCGTCGAACTAAACGACGGAACATGTCCTAAAATATTTACTTGATAGTTTAGGCTGAGAGAGGAATCTATACTCATCCTGATCTTCTTGCTCAGCCCAAGAACTGACTACATAATTTGACAGGGGTGAACTTATTCAACCATGTACACCGAGTAATGTATATATGCATATATATGGGCAGAAAGACGTCGTAAATTCCCTCTTTGGGGTTAGATTGCACAGAAAATGGGAATTCTTGTGTTATTATTTCCCTTTTTGTACTAATAAGGGGAAATTCAACCAATGATGTTCAGGCAACACCAAAATCTTCAGAATACAACATAAATTTCCTATCGGAGCCTTCCAATGTCGTACTTAGCAATAGCCCAGGATTCAAAACTCGAAGACACTCATCGAATTGAATTAATACAACTTCACCTAGTTTGATTTAAGTGAAGTAGTACGAAGCCTTTAGATGATGTAAATAAAAATTGGCTTACAATAGCTTTCACAGAAGAAGCGTCTGGATTATAAGTGTCGCAAACCCATCTCTAGTTCGTACAATTCTTCTTATAAACTCAACAAGAGAATACGGGCCTTATCCTAATTAGAAATTTATCAGTGAAATCAAACTTAGAGAACGGATTACTTGCTATCTTACTAGGCTTTCTGTTGAAAATGCCAAGCCTCGAGTTTGAACTAACCAAAAATCGTTTTCAAACCCTGGTCTATGTGACAGAAAATTTTTCAAGTCAAGATGCGAGCTCATTCCCAAGTCAGACATGTACGACCACAGAAAGAGGACAACTGCGTATCCCGTTCGCTCTGCGCTACATAAGCCTCTTATCGGCAGCTTAGTATTACCATCGGTGACGGGGTGAGAATCGCTACTGTTGTACATAAAATTATTTTTTTCTCTTTTTTTTTGCATTTCGTGTGGCCATCTGAAATTTCATGATATAAAGTTCGGTGTTGCATATCTTCCGGTGTTTGAAGCGCTGGCGAATCCTAGCAGTTTATTAGTTAAATCATTATCCATATAATAATTAAATAGTTTTTTTTGGGTAATTATGGGATTTTATATAAAAAATTAGTTGATAAATTTTTAAATCATTCTCACTTTAATTAGCGTGAATGTCGAAGCTTTCATCTTAATTTTTCAAGTTTCCACCTTCAATACTTTTCATTTTTTCATTTTTTTGCTCACAGAGTTTCAATGGGCACTTAGAGCTCTATTGAATCACCCCCAACTTAGGCTATAAATTTTCATCACAGCCGAGTCTTAGGTTTGGGAATGAGACCGTCCTAAGTCTACTCTAGCAGTCCCATGCTTCTGTATCGAGAGCGAATTAGTACCTCATTCAAGAAATCAATCATTTTGTTCAAGGGGACGTGCGCCATATCAAAACCACATCCTAAGCAAGAGAATTCGTCTTCTGGGTTCCGCTGAGTGCACCTTAAAATACTGCAATCTTCAGTACACATCTGATCCTCTAGAGTCATATCATACGCACGCTTGCTTCCTCCCAAATCCATACCTATTGGATAATAATACCCCCAAGATTTCAATCTCTCATCGTCCCATACAAGAGCCGTGATATCAAACGGTGGGTATTGGTTCCATGGTGCGACTGTCGTTCTGTATATCCCACCAGGCTGTTTCCAAACTCTCCGGGTATCACCTTTGTAATTTGGTTCCATATACCGCCAAAAATCTGTGATAAGGCTCGGAAATTGGGTTATACTGTTAGGAGGCGTTACTCCTTGTGCGGCGGCTTCGACAGGGTACCAATAGATATCTGAGATAGTTTTCTGGATTTGTTCCTCTGAAGATTCTAGCACTTTTTGCAGTCCATCAAATCCCAACCGAGTGATGAGCATTGAGGCTACTCCATGTTTCTCATCTGTTTATACCATTATAAGTTTTTCGGCTTTCTATCGACTCGACCATAGAAGAAAAGTGCTATATCCAAAAGCGAGAACTTACATAGGCATAGAGCTTCAATGACATCAACAATTGCGTGAAGCTCTTCTAAACTTAGTGTCCTGTTGTAATGTTGCACGTAAGGGTAGATAATTTCTGTACTCGTTACCCTTAGTACATGGCTTAAAATGCCTATATCTGGAGTAACTCGAAGAGACCCATTTTCTTCCCAGAGCGCCCAGTTGTTCATGGCGGTAACTTGTTCAAGGGACCTTAATTCCACATTATAGTTCAGTTCTTTGTATAACCAGAGGGTGTAGTATGCTTCATCTACCCTGGCGTATTCCGACTCGGTGATTGTTTTCATATCTGCGAGTATATCTTCTGGCCTGGCCTCGATTTTGAACTTTTTTCTCCGGTTTTCAAACCGAGTGCGGAAAAAAAGATGACTGAAAAACCGTACCGGTTTACGGACTGACAATAGTTCGGAAAGATGAAGCTGTCGTGATTTCGGCTTTTCGTCTTCTACTGTGGGAAGAGCTTCGATTAACTAGAGGAAATAAGCTATTGTCAATGTATTGGAATTAGACCAGAAGACGAGGATCCCATGCCCAATTAGTTAACGACAGTTAACACATACCTCGACTTCTGTCCTTCTAGATTTGAATCTTCTCATTTTTACAAGCGCTTGACCTGCGACACCAATATCTCTCTCGAGTACTTTCGTGTAAATGGGAGTCCATAGCTGGGTTTGAGAAATATCGAAGAAGATATGACATGTTAGAAGAATCGACCTTAGGGATGCAATTGAATCCAGAGACTCTAAGAAATCTAGCTTGATATCCAATGGCCAATCCAAAATTGATTTACACTCCATCTTTTTGCTGATTATGAGGTCGATGCCGCAGTCTGAACTGGAATCTTGAGTATAGAAACTAGAGTTAATCCATATTGTAGCGATGTCACGATATGAAGGGAGAGACAGCGGCCCACTAGATGTCGATACTAAATCTAATTTCCCTTTGTTGTTTCGATCTACCTCCACCTATATCGAGTCAAGATGATTAATCGTTTCATGGAACAACCCATCAGCATTAGCGATGCAGCGTCCTGAAACGAAATTTGCAACTTCGGCAGACCATCATACACCATTTACTAGAATACATAATTAGATGCATGCCGAAGCGTTTTGATGCGAGACTGTCAATCCATTAATATGATCCACTATATGATACTCAATATTTATTCTTTCAGTTCCAGGGTTGAGATATGTACTGAAGGAATTTAGATTTATAGGATATCTGGATGTCACCTCTGTTTATTTCGTATGAGGATTGGATTTACTATCGGACAATGCACTAGCTAGCACTTCTATGTAAAACACGAGTTTTGATTAGAAATGCAATTGGCTAGAATTTCTTAGGGGATATGTTACGCGGTTTCTAATTAGTCCAAATGATGCTTTTTCGAAGGTGGATAGATATCTACGTACCAAGGATACCGATGTGAAAAGGGCCTTACATTCATGTACATTTTCGAGGCAGGAAAGTGGGGTCCTTGGACACAAGTCCCATGTCCTACCCCGCTAGGTCCCCGGCACATACGTCAGGCCACTGGGATTCTAGAGACCCTCAGCTGAGAGTTATAATTTTATTGAAATTTCACCTCCAAGTTTAGACCGTAACTTCAATTCGGTTGCCTTTTAAATCGATAAAAAAGTATCGGCTACTTCAAATTGTTACATCTACGAAAGTACGATTGCTATTTCACTATTTCTTATATTTAAATCTAAGTTTATATTATATTATAAGAGCAGATATTCGTCCGTAGAATGGCGCCCGGAGCCGTATCTGAGGCTACTACTACTGTGAAGCCATTGGAGAAGTATATTCATCCCCCGGAGACTAAAGAAGATGGTAAGTAGTTTGGGGAGTAGCTTCGAAGGCTCCTGGGTAACTTCAAAGACCTACTAATATTTTCCACCGACAAGTTAAATATGCCGACCTTATCACTCTTGATCTATCGGAGTTCGATAAACCAGGTGGGAAGGAGAAACTAGCAGAACAATTGAAGGAAGCTGCTCATACTGTCGGTAAGAAATTCAAATCAATTATTGGTCTATTCATGAGCATTCTAGTTAATATACCATAACTCCCACGAACTTTCGAAATCGTGAAAATTTAGGATTTTTTTACGTTACCAACTTTGGATTTACTCAAGAACAAATTGATCGCCAATTTGCGATTGCTAAGGCCTTTTTCGCTCTCCCAGAAGATCAAAGGCGTAGTTTCCGAGCGCCTCTCGAGGAAGGTATTTACAATGGATATCGGCCATTGGGTATGATTGAGATCCTACCTGGGCTCCGCGATAACATCGAATTCTACAACATTATGAAATTCCTACCACAATATGACAGAGTCCACCCAGATATAATCCGAGAGCACTATGAGGAAATCGAAAAGTTCCACCGTCACTGTCATGAGAGTATCGCCTACAAATTGTTCCAAATACTGGCCCTCATCCTAGAGATACCCGAGGACGAGCTGAAGAACGGTCACCTCTATGAAGCGGACTGCGATAGCGGTTTACGGTATATGTGCTACCGATCTCGATCGCCCGAGGAGAATGAAAAGTTCAAGAATCTTTATTCTCGAGGGCATACCGACAATGGCACAATCACATTTGTTTTCCAACAGCCCGTCGCTGCATTGCAGGTGAAAAAGTATGAGGACTCCGACTGGGAGTATTGTCGCATCCCACAAGGCACGATGTCGGTCAATATTGCCGACCTTCTAACTATTCTATCGAACGGGTACTTGAAAAGCGGGGTACATCGCGTCATTGTGCCTCCCAAAGACCAGCAGGATCAAAATAGGTTGGGGTTATTGTATTTCGTGCGTCCGAGTGATCGGCTGAAATTAAGGACAGTCGAAAGTCCGCTTTTGAGGAGGCTAGGATACTACAAGGAAGGTATCAATGAAATAGACATCCCGGCATCGGAGTGGACTAGAGCTCGCATTAAAAAGAACTGGAGTCGATCACCGAGTAACCCGAACGAGGGTACGAGCATGGCAGGGTTTAGCGTGAAGCATTTCCATGACTAGGGCCTTGGACTCTCACGAATATTGCATGTAAGGGTACGGATCCGAGCATGTTATTGCCAACCAATATGAAGTGGGATCCCACGCAGTTGAAAAGAGTTCGAACTTCTTGTACAATCATGGAATATATTCATGTTTCAGGAGCTGGCGCAGGGGATTGTAGAGTAAGCTATACTAACGTATATACATTGTTTTATAAGTATGAGTAAGTGAGATCGAAGGACTCCAAGCATCCATTTCTACTTTTAAACATGCAACCAATCGATGTTCAGTTTGTGGTAGGTCTTTCTGGCTACTTTGTCAAGGATCTCCAGGCAGTCCGCCAGAGTCCACAATACAACCCTCTTCGAGACGACAATATCTCACCGCGAACCCCGGGGTTCAAAAGCGTCGTCCAACCTGGCCAAGTAATTTCGATTCTCCTCCATCTTCCAATAGGAGGAGTCGCCGTCGGCGACTGTGTTGATGTTATCTTCTCAGGAGCAGCATCGCGAGATCCCCTCTTCGTTGCGGATGAACATCTTGAAGTTCTAGAATCCGTGGTTAGGCCGTGGTTGCTGGGATGTGATATTTCAAGCTTTCGACGGAATGGCGAAAAGGTGGAGTCCGGTTGGCTGGGCTTACACAAACGATCCAAGTTACACTCCGCTATCCGATACGGCCTCACTCAAGCTCTTCTCGCGGCGACGGCACAAGTGCATGGATGTACAATAGCTGAAGTTATATCCCACGAATGGGGTACCCGAATTTCAAATCGGCCAATTGATATTTTGGCATCATGTCATCGGAATGACACACTACAACTGGACCGAATGATCATGAAGCAGGCTTCGCTCCTTCCACATGCCTCTTTCGTCCACCGCTCGGATGTTGGACTAGATGGCTCCATCCTAGTCGATTATGTACGATTCGTTGCGGGCCGTGTTAGGGCGCGGGGTTGTTCTGGATATTGGCCCCGCCTACACTTTGACGTTTATGGGACGCTAGGGGATCTTTTCCCGCAGCTCGATCGATTAGCTGCATTTCTCGACAAGCTAGCACATGCGGCCCAGCCGTACGATATCCTGATCGAATCTCCTATCATTGCGTCATCAAAAGCGGAGCAAATTCGACGGCTCGCGGAGTTACGGATGTTGTTGTTACGAAATTCGACCCGAGTAAAGACTGTAGCCGATGAATGGTGCAATACATTGGAAGATATCAAAGAATTTGCAGATGCGGGCGCAGTAGACTATGTACAAATCAAGATGCCCGATTTAGGAGGTATCGATAACAGTATCGAGGCTGTGCTCTACTGCGGGGTTAAAGGAACTGGCTGCTGTTTGGGAGGGTCGGCCAATGAGACTGAAATATCAGCCAGAATCACGGCACAAGTTGCATTAGCAACTAATCCGGATTTTTTGTTATCAAAGCCAGGGATTGGAGCCGATGAAGGGTTGACAATTCTCACGAATGAGATGCTGCGGGGTATCGCTTTGACGAAGAGACGACTGAGTAGGATTTAATTTGAATTCATACATGGTGGCAGCATCTTTCAATCAGTGGTGCTGAATTATGTAATTATCGGTATCACAATCGACCGAATTGTATATATGAATTTGCATTTGAGATAGCTATCTAGCAGTACTGGTGAGCGCTCTGTCGACTTTTGGCCAGGAGGACAAAGCCCCACTACAGCTGCGAGTAACTGCGTACAATGTGACATTTTTGAAATAAAACCCCTGTCAGAGTGTTGTACTAGTTAATTAAGCAACGACCGATATGGCCAATTGTACGTATCAATGTTATATTCGCGGTCAAGCAAAGCTTCTGACAGATATTAAGGTTTCGAACTACTTGTGCAACCTGAACCAGTATCTTAGCTTAGTCGAACCACTAATCTTTCTCGGATCTAACCGAGACCGGGTGCCCCAATCCGGGGACTTCAAGCTTTAGTCTACATTATCTTGAGTTTGACGCTGATCATGTATTTATACATGCATACGATGGTGGATAGTATATCGAATACTTGCCGTAGGGAATAGAGAAGTATAGGAACAATATTTTAGATCTTGTGAGTTATAGATTGAAATTGCTGGTTTCCTGTCTGGTGCCAAACCTAGGCTGGTTTAAGGCCTGGTAGCCGTCTAATTTCCTATAAAAATAGTCGCAGAAATATTTAACGGATTGCGAACTGGATTGACTAGGCCCGAACCTGTATGCTTATAATTGTATATAATAGATATCAAAGAAAAGAAAGGAAATTCTGATAAAAATATAGAGCAATAAAGGATGAACGAGGCGCCGTTTTATTAAATTCTATGAAATATATGAATCTGTAATACCTAGCAAAGTCGACAAATCCTACCCGGAAAAAAAAAAACGAGATATATAATCTTTATACCCAATAAAAGCGCTGGCGCCATTGGCACCGTTTATGAGACTTCTTCCGTCAATTCTTGTACAATTTGTTTATAGAGCGAAACTAAACGTATGCTGTGGACCTGGAATCCTCCTCGTTGTTCGTGATCAGATCCTCGGTTTTTGACAGAGGGGTTTTCGGTAAATGCTCTGCGAATCATCCCAGGGTACCGTACTGGGCTTCCTATTCTCTCAGGTATCAAAACAACTTTTGTTCCGCACATTCCCCGTAGGAAATCAGAAAATGCGATACCAAGCTGGACTCCACAAACACAGATAACTCGTAGCCAGAAAGGATTATGTGATTGGATTCCATCAGGTGAGAGCACTGTGTAGATACCCTGTAGAGCGTTTACTTCGGGCTGCGACGGTCTGCCGGGCGCGAGAGGCAGCACGGGAACGTGTTCATTGGGGTTTAGCTGACGTTTTGCTACTTCGTGCGAAAGCAAATATACTGAGGCAGCATATGCTTTCGGTTCAAACTCCCGCGCGAGAATCGCGAATTCCAACATTGTGCAAACTGTTTCGTATTCGCAACAGCAAACCTCGAGAATGCACCACGGCCGTCTTAGAATAATGAGCAGTGTTTCCACAGCGCTTCCGCGTCCTACGATGTAGTGCTCTTCTGAAATTGCAGCATTTACTAAGAACCATGGTAGACGAGGTGTTTGGCTCTGTGCCGCATGTGGAGCTGGTGAAGAAGTTGAGAACGAGTGAAGATCTTCTTCATCGATATCCGAAAGTTGGAAATATATTGAGATTGTTTGTGCAACTGCGGCTGCAGCTTGAATTAGCTGGGCGGCGAGTTTAGGAGATGCGACAGTTTCCCAAGGTTGAGGTAGAGGTCTTATCGAGTATATTGCGAATGTACCCTGTATACCTGTACCACCCCCCTTGTCATACTTTTCGCAGAGCTGAGCCGGCGAGGAGACATTGCTCTGAGGCCCAGCGACAGGCGCTTGGCTCATTACGCTTGACGAGTCGAGTATTATTCCGTAAACAGGGATAGTTGCGATGCCAATGTAAGTACAAGGATAGACAAGGATAGAATCTGGAAATCCTCAATATAGGACCTCTATCGTTTAATATTTATAGATGTGGGGGTTTGAATCTGGAAGGGAATGATCCCCGTCTTGTGGAGCTCCTCGTCGTACTGATCGATCGATCGATCGTAATCAAAATTTTATAAACGATTCTCGTTTCCAGGAAGTAGCCGATGGAACTACAATCAAAGCTATCTCAAGCCGGCAGTGATTCAAGAGTCTCGAGCTTTGATCCCACCAATATGCATATGAGCATATGAGTGCTGTATGAATGCGGGGCTGAGTTGCCATCAGGCGCAATGCTCCGCCACAAAGCCTCGAGAACGCCATCGCCTGACTGCCTGACTTGGAGGGATTTGTTCTAGGCCTCGGCCTGTGCCTGGCATCTGCCTCGCAAACGTTGCGAACCCGTGCTATGTTAGTGGGTTTCGCGTGTGGTTTAACCACCTGGAACCGAGTGGGAGTCGAGTCAGTCCTTTAAGCTTTGTTAGCGTCAACTGTATCGTCTGGTCTTTGATCAACACAGGAAGTGGTTTGCCCTCATTAAATGGCTTTTTCTGTCAATTTGTCGCTGCTTAGCTTAGTCCTGCATTAACTAAACCAAATACAATGCTAACTAGATTTTATACTAGTATTCAAGATTCAATCAATATTCTGATTATAGCTTGGAATTTTACATCTTCGCGGGATATCAACTTGGAGATTCAAACCGAAGGCCTGTCTGTATCAATTGATATCAATGTTTCCAGTGGTATTTTAGTCAGCCGCTTCATGCGGCTGGACTGTATCTGGTTAAGTCTGTTTCAGGGCGCCTCGATTCTCGCCTTTTATAGGTTCGGCACTTCGGCTCGCTGGCGGTCTCCACCTGAGGTGCTGGATCCTGGGGGTTTATAGTGAATGAAGGCTAGTTTCTTGATTGCGTGGAAAATTGTATTGATGCGTATCGATACATATCACAGGTTCCGGATTCCGAAACGCCCATTTGGACATAGTTATATCCGTTTTCTTACTCTGAGACTAATCTCAGGTCGAATTCTCATATTCCCGCCTTCTCATCCTTGCGCGCAGCCTTAGGTCTTACGAGCGACAGCGCGAATGTGTGCCTTACTGTCTGTTTACATGCTCTTTCGTCACGTCTAGCGAACCCGCCTCACTTATTGATTACTCGTCAAACCCTTTTCTTCTCTTATTCCCCGTGTCGTGGGTTTCATTCCTGTGTCAGGCCTAACCCGCGCGGAGAAACAAAATGCCATTTTTCCGTCGGCGAGATTTCCCTTTTCCATCTGGAGGGCCGTCTGGAAGTTTAAAGGATGATAACGATATCACATTCGACCCTCTCGCCGTCGCTGCAGTCCTCTCTAATCCCCGCGCGGATCGAAGTGCTGCTAGGCTCTACCTTCAATTGGACCGCAATGACTACAAATGGCCCCATACGATGATGGTCGGCGGGACATTACCACCCATGAACACCCTCGTCGCGCATCTTAGCATGAATGTCACTTCTATACATCCTGCAATTACTATGTGTGGGATAGACATCAAGCTTATCCCAGTTCGCTCCGATATGATCTTCAAAGAATTTCCTGTCAACAATAGCAACTATCGCCTTAACGATTTAGTGGAGTTTAGATCCTCTGAACTTGCAGGGAATGACTTTATGGTTATAAATATGGATGATCTGGATAGCAAGGCGCGACGGATGCACAAACTCGGCATGGGACCGTGGCCTGGACGTATTTTGCTACATCTTATTGGGCTTGCGAATGGTATTTTGCTCTTGACTGGAGTCGCCTTCAGCGTGCTGACTGCAGATATTTGGGCTGGGATTTTATTTTTGTTCTACGCTTTACACTGGCTTGCGTCTACTTTCATCTCATATACCCAGATGATTCGTATTGACGTTAAAGGCAATATCGTAGAGGACCCAAAGCCTCGATATGCAGTCTATCAGCGTCCGGAAGGTGGAACTGTGATTTTCAAAGGCCGAAAAGAAACGCTGGAGAGATGGGCGAGAGAAACTATGGAGTTTAATAAGACACCTAAGATAGTTTTTCTCCATTGGTTTTGGATGATCAGTGGTACAATGGCCGCAACCGCTTCCGTCGCATGCATGGTCAATATGCGTGGGTATATGCAGCTTGGATTCCTAGCAGTCTTACTCTATTCCTCTGCGGCTGAGATCGTGGCCACGCAAATCTCACGTCGGCTACAAGCAGCTTCTCGAGGAGATTTCTCCCATCAGCTAGTGGATGGCAATATAACACGTACAAAAGGTATTATTCGAGCTACAATTGAGAATCCAACCAATTGTAGACTGAAGGGATTGAATTGGATAGCGCTAGAGCTTCTGCCCAATTGGCCGCTATATGAAGAAATGCTGAGGATGCTAGCTCGTATTAATGATCTTCAGGACGAGAATGAAAGGAATGGGGGCGTGGACATGGAGGCAGAAGTTGAGAAGGCTATTAGGATGTTTACAACGGAGACCACGAAACCTGGCACTGACCCAGCGAGGATCATCCTCGCGAGAAGAATTGCGGACGAAACCCGAGATGCTTGGGCAGCCGGGTCAGGGCAACAGATTAAGGAAAAAGAAAGAGTTCAGACTAAGGTCGGGGCTCATGTATAATCTTATCTGAGTACTAGTATCTCCCTCTGTATGTATGAACTCATGTATATTGTCGTAGTGTCAGCGATTAGTCATGTTGGGTATTAATGAATATTTCTTGAATTGGATTTAAATATACCTAGGTATATACTTAGGTAACTACTTTAGTGTGGGTATTTATATGGCAACATATAGATAAGTTATTTGTCTTCTCAAGCCTATCAGAGACAAAATGGTGAATACTAGCTCTGTATAAGATGATACATTTGAAGTTTATGGATGGTCTTGGCACGAATAGGCAGCGTAATAATTTGAGCGGAACCATATACCAATGTGATGAAGCTCAAGTAAGTTGCATGCGTAACACTTCAAAATCGAAAGATTATCACTACTAAGTTAGATTCACCGACTAAAATATTAGCTAGTGAGCTTAGACCTAGTTAGAACATTACAGCTACACTCTGCAATAAATGCACCATCTGTCCCAACGCAAAATATCCAACAAAACACAGAACCGTTTGAACGCACGGATAGATATTCCATATAGGAGAGAATTGGAGCAGTAGTCTCGTAGATACTTATTTGAGGACGGTATATCTACATGCTTCTAGTATCTACAGGTATTCATGAGGTCATCAGTCCCTTATAAAAATTTATGAAAGTCTATAGCATCTCCTTCATACCTCAGGCTTCGCAAAACTAAGACCATGGGCAGAAAAGATTTCCATGATGGTATGAAAGTATAGACTAGGGCGGGATATAGGATGGCTGAAATTGGATTGTTATACGACATGCACCTTCGACGTCTATGTATGCCTTGCCAGTGTTTAAAAATATGTAGGTGAGTCTGTAGATGTGGGTTCCAAGGTTATGGTTATGGCCCCCCTAAAGATTACCCCGGTTTGAAGGGGGTTATATTTTCTAGGAAACTAATAAGAACCCCCCCTTTTTTTTTGATAAGTTAGCTTCCTAGCAATAGTTCAAATAAGCTAGTTGGTGGATGTATGAAATGACTCAGGATAGCTTTGCTGAATAGGCTAAGATTAAGCGTTTATAGCTTAGTATCAAGAGTAAGGAAATCATAGTTTGAAGCTGAAAGCTTGTATGGTATTATAAGCCCAGCAGCTTTTTCTTTTCTTTAAAAAGACATGTCTTACACTTTTGCAAAGTAAAGAGTGGGATAGTCTCGTTCAGAGCGAGGTGTAACAGTACGTACTTGATATATTATACTGTGTAACAACACCACAGGTTGGTCGATCCGTATTGTGTATTTTGTCATACATTCTTCAGAGCTCTCACGCTTGATCGCATGACAAAACCTTCTTATCATATAGCGATTGAGGCAATATTTAGGAGTTTGGTCGTGCTCTTAGCAGGTTGCTAGAGCTAGCATGGCTGTGTAGCTGAGCTAGGTGGCTGAGCAATTTCCCTGCAGGAGGATCCAAAATTTCGAAAGAGGGGTTCCGGGAGCTCTATTGGAATCAAAGAAATTCTGGACACGTCATTCTCAGAATTTTCGTTCTTGTTTTAAGTTGAATTTACGCAGCCTAGCAAAATGTACCTGGTACTATCATAGAAGCTCCTGATAGGGGTGGTTGATTTCGAGATGCATACCCCTGGAAATTCTTGGATATGTATTCCGGAATTGAATAAAAAGCAAACGCCTAAGATTTTTTCGGGTGGTGCCCACATGCACAACCCAGTTCAACAGATCAAAAGTGTTTTCGCGTATCCGATTTTCGTATAACTATCTGAAGTTTAATATAATTTGCGTCTTGGTACGTTGATTGGTCGATATCGATATCGGATCAGCGTAGCGACTTGGAAATATTTCGAAGTTAGATGTCGTCATTACAAGGAAATATATCTCTAAATTAATACTTTGAAGTGCTCTGACGGTGAGAAACTTCAACTTTGCAACTTTTACGAATGTGAGACAGCACAGCTATAGCAGCCTCGAGGCCTCGATAAATCTCAAGTCGTCTGCACGGTTTGCAAGTTTGCTCATCAACTGTGCACCCGCGTGCAGTTTTTATGAGCCTTACACCATATCCTACATACGAGTCAGTTAGAATAGGCTAAGACTCCCTCTACATCGTCTTGATCGATATTTGATTGGACCAGTCCCTTTTCCGCCAAGAAAAACCTTGAACAAGTATTTTTATTGGCTAAAACCGTTCTCCGAGCCAAGCCTCAGCAGTCTTGCAATCATATATATATTACGGAGCAAAGGCTGACGGTCTGAAATCATGATGATGCGCGTCGGGGTAACCCTCGATCGACCAAAATGAGTACTCATAGGTCTTTGATTGATGAATGGGGAAGTCATCGAAACGAAATTATTTTAGGCTACCTTCTCGGCCGTACTCAAGCCCAAATCAAAGATATCTTGAAGAATGAATACGGGTTCAAAATAACGTAAATATAACCGAGATCTAGTTACAAAAAGCCGAATAATCATAGCCTTACTGACCCGAATTTAAATTGCTTAGAATAAAACAATTAGAGTATCGTCTCAAGCAATGGGGTATACGCAAGAACCTGACCCAGAGAGAGTATCAAATCATTCATAAGCAGATTTCAACGATGCCCCAGTCGACATTTGTTTACCTGAATGACTTTCCGATACCACAGGAGAAGCTACAACGAGGACTGCGGCGATACCCTCGGCAGCCCGAGTACAAATTGATTCTTGGAAATATGGGAAATCTAGAGGACCTTTCAGAAGGAATCTCATTTCTGACGCCACCGAGAACTCCATCGCCGATGGATTTCGATTTTACCGTTCCCGATGCTGGTGCTATTGATTCGATCTTGATTTCATCAAACGTAATCTCTGGGATTTGCTGGCCATTCTTGCCCTCTATCGCCCAATTTCTCCTCACAGTAGTAAAGAACCCTTCATTTATATGGGCCAGCGGTGGCCACGTAATGTTTTTCCTCGACTTTCTTTCAGGTTCGTGATTAAATATCTCAGCCTGTGTGCATCTATTCCTGAAAGATGCAATACTAGTCTATCCTAGTAGATATATTCTGACGGCAAAATCGTACAGTTACGCTACCGCTACCGCGGTGGACCTATGAGAAAGTTAAACCCAAATGCATAGTCGAACGCGGACAAGAAACTGAACAAGAAACGCAGAATACTTCAATCTTCTATGCAATTTTTAAAGCCTTTCGTGGAATGAACATTGGAGAGAGTTCGCGCGGTGTCTATCGTAAATTTCTGGATTCTTTCGTGGTTGAAGAGTTTATACACACTGTTTTCTCACTAAGAGGGACGCGCGGAACTTCGAAATCCACTGCGTTACAAGCAATTTTGGGATATAAACCCCCCAGATTCCTGTCAGTCCTCGGTCAAAACACCAATATTATACCCAACTCGCCGTTTCTCTTGGACAGTTCAAGTTCAGAGTCCAGACAATCTTCCACGTCGGATGGAATGAGCAATAAACGAAAGCGGTTGACGGATATAAGTTCACCTTCGGATGACGATATGCACGAAAGGGCAGGTAAAATTAGCCGTAGAGAAACTGCAGTTGAGGGCCTTGAGCGCAGATTTGCTTGCCCTTTTGCGAAAGGTGATCCGGTCAGGTATAACTCGTGTTCACGGATCAACAGGCAAAATCTTTCCGGGGTCAAGTATGTGATACAATATTTGAATGCTTGAATATGGAATATAAAGAATTCGTCTAAATAGTGCGCGTTTTATACAGGGAGCACGTCAAAAGGGCACATTACCAAGGCACTCTGCCTTCGGATATAAGGGCGACGAAATCGTGGGCTGGAATCTTTGATTTCATCTTCCCGCAATGGGGTAATAGGCCTCGGCCCGGACCTTGTAAGTCTAGACATATATATCTGAGAATTCCGACGATGAAACAGATTCGTCAGGTTTCCCCTAGCCTCCAACCTCCTGAAGTTTAAGATCTAACATTTCTGTCTCTCACATAGATTTCGACATGAATCTTTTGTTCGAAAGAACAAATCCACCTCAAACGGAACCAACTGCCGTAGAAAATATATTTGAAGATATTAATCAGAGCTGGTCTCGTGTCCAGACATCACGAGTGGAAGAGTATCAAGATGTATTAGAAGATCCCGGAAGTCTATCAATTGTGCCTTCTCCGAGGATGAGTCCGAATCTTGCTAGCACCCCTCTGAGCCATAATTTCATATCTTCAGCAAGCTTGACGAACCACACTGAGAGAACGCCCTATGAGAACCCGAGGGTACCGACGCCTTGTGAAGCTCAATCTATTAGGAAAAGATACACTCTGATGATCGCTCGTTTACCGTATATACCGAATTCAATTGAAGCGGGCGGACCCAAGCGATTTACCTTTGACAATTTCCACGAGTTCAGCCATCAATTCGATCGATGGCTCAGGTCTCAGTTTACGAGCCCTCCATTTTCTTGGGAGAGATGGGAACTCCTAAATCAGTTTGCTAATGTTCGCCTTAAAGATACACAAGCTGTAATCGATGACATTGATTTCTCGTTTGTTGCCCAGCATTCTACCAGAGCAGCCTTGTACTTAGTCGCGAAAGCTGAGGGTTAGCTGGATGCTCATAGGGGTATCTGTTGACTTATAATTAGATAATTACACTACAAGCGTAAGTATAAGAAATTTGGGTTAGTAGTTATCTAGTTATGTACGACGGATAATAGCCAGCACCTGGTAAATCTCGCCAAGGCACAAGTCTGAAAGATCCATCATTGAGATATTACCAAGCCACCCCTCTGTGCAAAAACCCAGAGAGACACAGCGCTCAACCGTACTCTGTCCCTCTCACGAAAAAAGCCCCCAAACGCCATCGCTCCAACTGTTTACCGTATAAACTCCTGTTCAGCCCTCTTCCATCCCCCTGTTCCAACTGTTGACACAAATCGAAACGCGGGTTAGGGAAAGAAAAGTTGTCCGAGAATAATATAGGCATACTAGAATGAAGGTCAAGCAACATTGGATACTTCCCGCTGCAAACGAAGGAATATCAGAATGGCAAAATAATTTCTCTTTCTCTAGCGCCAGGGCAGTGATCTTCGCAACAATTGAGTGTGGAATACTTATCCGTATTTCACAGTGTTGGAGACGTACTTGTTCTTTGGTCTGTTCTTTCCCTGGCGCCGTTTCTCACGCATTTTTTTTGTATGTATCTCACAAGTCCCGCGCAGAGGAAATACTCGGGACAGAATGGAAAAGACGGAGGGAGGAAATGGTCAGAGTAGATCTGGGAATAAATATATACAAATGATATATGCAGAAACTCCGAATTCCGTATATACCTCAAGAAATATATGTACAATCTCACAGGAGTGTAGATATGAGTATAAAACGCGCTGGAAAAACTGGTGTTTTACAACATCACCTTGGCTTGTTTTGGAGCAGCATTAGAGTTGCCGCCCATATCATAGGTTTCCCAGCTTTCAGCACCATCTTCAAAGAGGCCGGCTTTAGATGCGTTGTTGATGTCTCCGATAACTACTGTTGAGTCTAGTTTCTGATCGAATTGCTCGACGATGTATTTTTGTGCTGCTTCTCGTATATCTTCTATTGTTGTGTCAAGGACCTCTTCTCGTTTTCTAAAATGATGTAAGACAAATCATTAGTATTCTGCGAGTAAATCTTGCGCTTCAAAAACACTTACGCTGCCTTCATCTCCTCTGTAACGCCATCCAAGAAGTTCGCCATGCCTTCTTGGTTGACGCTTCGAGGTGCGTCAATGTCCTGGAAAAGACTCAATTTGGCTTCTTCCAAATCCCGATCAGTCCAATCCTTATCAACGGCAACTTGGCCAGACTCCCGCACGACCTGGAGTGTATTGACTGGATTTGGATCCCGATAACTGTAGAACCTCAAGAGCCCAGAGCGCCAGCTATTGCCAACACCACCACCATAAGCGCCTCCTTTCTCGCGGATCTCATGGTGGAGATGTTTGTGCGTCAACATCTTCGCGAGAACGGATAAAGACGCCGAATCCCTATGGACGAACGGTACTGTCCTGAGTGCAACACCTGAATAGTTAACCTGGAAAGGCATTGGGACAAAAGTTCTCTTCTGGTCGATTTCCAATGTACCGAGCCCCGGGTTGATGGGTTCTAATCTTCCAGCGATCAAACCGTCAAGATATTTTCTGACATGGGCTTCGTTGTCCGCTACAGCTTCTTGGCCGCAAGTTATGGCGATGCGCATATCGTTCCCTCTCTTTTGTGGGATTAACCCGATTTGTTCGATATGCTTTACTGCACCGAAATACATTTCCGAGCTGGCAAGATTGGCGATCAGCTTAACTTGGGAGACTCCACCGATATACTCGCTCGCCACGCTTGCATTCGTTAAATAGGACGAAGCAAGACCTTGAGCGTACGCATGTCCGCGTTCTGCAATTTCGTCCATACCCCCGCTTGCCATGCCTTTGACAAGGTTATGAAGTTTGGATATCCTGCTGAACGACGTTTCGACGACCACTGTCCGTAAGAGCTCGAGCATCTCAGGGACATTGCTGTCTAAGCAGTAACCAGCGAATACGAGACCCTCGGAGTGTTTGTCGAGGTTAGTGGGATCAGTTGAGATGTAAGGTGAACAACTAATCCCTCCGGTCTTGAGTTTGATGCGGTCCTCAATTTCTTCCATTGTTTTTCGCGCAGTTCCTAGTCTGAACAATGCGGCAGCATAAAGTGGTAGATGCATTTTTTGTTCTTGATCGAGGTATCCATCCAAGTTGACATATGCTCGGAAATAGGTTAAACCATTTGTCGGAGCTATTCTCCATTGGACATCGACATCTTCGATTTTGTTCACTTGCAAGTCAATCTTGTCGACCGCGCGAGGGATATCCTTCACGTGGAGGGTTGGTAGACAGCTTGCATCCTGGGATTTTGCTTTTTCCTGTACTTCTGTAAGTTCTAGCTCTTCGGCTCCTAAGAACTCGGTAGCTTTTTCTAGGCCTCCGAGTCCTTCGAGTCTTTCTTGGAGCCTTTCAGCTTCCGCTTTTTCCAGCCCGCCCTCATATGTTGGAGACGGCAGCATAGTAAACGAGAAAGTCTTGCCGTTGAGAAGGTACTTTTCGATAAGGCCTTCTAGGTACCCGCCCTCGTCATAGTTTTCTCGGAACTGCGAAACTATTTCATTCCATTTGAGAGTTTCAAACGGATCAATACCATTGAACCAGCTTGGCTGGAGCCTGTGCATCAAAGACATTCCGAAATTGGCAGTTTTCTAGAAATAATTAGCAAGTATTCCCCTTTCAAAAATCAGGAAAGATCATCCTTAACTCACATGCTTCAATGAAATTTCGAGTTGATGGAGAATACCGTCAACCTTCTGTTTGTCGAATCCGTTTTGTCGAACCTTTTGCAGCTCATCAAGAATCTCTTTCGCCACGAGCTTCTCGTGCTCAGACTTGACATTTTGTAGCCCAATCGTAAAGATCCCCTTGGCATTACCAGCATCGTATCCAGTATTTGGGGAGTATGCACCACCGATGTTCCGCTCGATTAACGCCTTATAGAGAGGGGACCCGTACCCGTCTAGCAATAGTGATGATAGAACCAACAACCCGAAGTTTTCGGCCACATCGGAGGTGTCACAGGTGATCCAGCTTAAGGATGTTATGATCTGTTCTGTCTCACTGGACAAACGGTCTACTGGACCTTCGACCGTGACTTCAATAGATTCGTTTATCGTAATAGGCACTTTGAGATCTGTATCGATAGGGATCTGGTTAAAATGAGATAGCTTCTCATCGAGTTTTTCGAGAGTCGGCTCCATTGAAAAGTTTCCGTAGGAAAATATTTTCGAGTTAGACGGATGGTAGTGATCCTGATGGAAACTTCTAAGTTGTTCGAGGGTCAGGTCTGGGATGAAAGCCGGGTCACCGCCGCTGTTGTTCAAATCTGGTATTAGATGATCCTGGAACTTCTTGTAAAATAGATAACCCCGATCCGACATCTGCCCCTTCATTTCGTTATAGACCACACCCTTAAATAATATCGGGGACTCCTTGTCTTGTGGGTTCTCCGGCCCTAACCTCCACCCCTCTTGCTTGAAGTCGGTTTCTTGAAGAAGAGGGAATAGGGTGGCATCCAAGTAGACATCCATGAGGTTCATGTAATCAGTTTGGTTTGTAGTGGCGAACGGGTATATTGTGTGGTCTGACGCTGTAAAGGCATTCATATAATTCGATAAACTTCGATTCAACATCTTAAAGAACGGATCCCGAACAGGGTATCTGCGTAATCAAGGTCAATATTTGCTAGCAGTTACAATTCAAGGAACGAATGCTCACTTTTTCGATCCACATAATGTCGTATGCTCTAAGATATGTGGTACACCTGTGGCATCTGGAGGATTCGTCTACGAATCAACTTTAGAAACCTTTAAAAGAGAATTGAGATGTAATGAAAAGGGTGATAACGAACCTTGAACCCGATTGCAAAGACATTGTTGCTGTCCTCACGGGCGACGTGAAGGTATTCCGCCCCAGTTTTATCATGCTTGAACTGAAGGGCACTGAGCTCGAGCTCTGGTACGTGCTTGGTTCGTTGTAGTGTAAAGCCTTTGAGCTTGAAGCCAGGCTCGGGCAAGCTGGAAAGGTTGGATGTGTCAATCGGGCCGGCCGGGGTGGCGAGGAAGCGGCGCGCCAGCGGCAGTGGGCGCCGGGTGAGAGGACGCGCTGCTCGAAGCATGTTCGTAGAGATTCGGACGGAATAAGTGGCGGGTAAATGGGCCGTCCGGGTACCGCGATCTCGATTGCACTGTCAAGAAATTGGGTTGAGGTTGAGGAGGTTTGTCGCGAATTATAACCACCACAGCGGATGGGAGTTCAAATGCGAATAGATTTTTTTAAAGGAAAGCTTGGGTGACACAGGCCAGACAACACATCTTCACCTCGAGGTCTAGAACGACCACTTAGTAATCTAAGACTAAGACTCTAGCTCTACCGGTCTTGCGGTCCAGATAGGAGATTTTACTATCGTATCCAAAGATCAAAACTTCAAATCTAAACTATCACAAATCTAGCAAGTGAGGTTTCTTCAGGGAAAATATTTGTAAACGTTAGTATTCATAGCGGAGTGGGTAACGTTACAGTAGTCAGTTTGAGAGCTATGAGCCATCGTAGTAAGTGCAGGCTGTAAATACGTTATTAATATATTTAGGAGCCTGCTTAGATTAAGCTTGAAATTTATAGCCATCTTATCAGTATCGAAGTTAGTATTCCTTCCAAATGAAGCCTTTTCCAGGTGTTTGATTCGATTGATTCATGATAATCGCTCGTTCTGTTAAAATTATGTCGAGACTGCGTTGCACCAGCCTAAAATACCACAACTGGGATATATGTATATACATGGTCGACGAGAGTGATATCGATATATATATATATATATAATGACGCTAACGAATCCAAGTTTGCAACTAGGGATCCGAATATAGATTCGCAAGTCCAGTTACTAGCTATAATATCTAAATCCTATCAAAAGGATATGCGATAACGCTACACTAGGCCGGAGGGATTGAACTACGATGTATGGCATAAAAGTCTTAAATTAAGACAGTTATGTCCATAGGTAAATACCTCCAGCTATGGGTACGAGATAATGTCTACCTATACATAAGCTTCTGACAATAAATTAATTGTATTCGTTTTGTAGCTGTTTTTTAAACCTACACGGGGTATCACGAAGCCTTGTTTCGTACTCATCCCTAATTACAAACATAAAAGTGTAGAGTACCCGATTTCGGGAACTCGTTTATAAATTTAGCGTGTTTGGATAAGAAGAGGGGCATGAGTATATTAGCATACCAATTTCGTGGTATTTAAACATTCTTATAGCGCCTGGATTCGAGGCTAAAGAATGAGATACAAAGAGATTTACTCAACTTCTAGGTATTTCAAAATCTTTTCTAAGGCTTGCCTATCACTAGCTAATGTACCAACTGACATCTCCTCTGTCCATCCGTTTGTCCATCCATCGCCAAAGTCAATCAGCCAAAGATCATTATTATCATCGATAATAATATTGCTCGGCTTTCCATCCCCCCAAAATACCCCAATACGGTGTAGCTCATGAAGAGATTGACGTATTTGAACTGCCCACTTTTCTCTTAGTTCCCGAGGTGCTTCATCCACTTTGATATCTTTCAAACTCTGCCCGAAGCTACTGCTTGGAATCCATTCACGAAGGAAGCCAATTATGCTGCCATCGAAAGGATGTTTAACGTATCCCAATAATTTTGGCACTCTAATACACCCCGAGTTTGCATTGCGGATAGTTTGCAAACTCGAAATTTCCCTTAATAACGATGTGGTTTCGATTCCATTCTCTTCGGCCTTACAGAGCATATCTTGCCCATTAATAACAACTTTAGTAACTTTGCCATGCTCGATTAACGCCTTCGAAACGATTATATCCTCAGAGGAGTACCGTGGGAGACTGTCATCAATTTGAAATTCCGAACAGAAGTTTAGAAGCCTTTCGGGGGCGGCAACTTGCGTGACGGTGGGATTACCGTCGACTGTCCTAAATGTAAGGTAGAACGTTTCAGGATAAATAATTGAGTGTAAAGTTTGTTGCTGAAAAGACGTAGGGATTAGGAACGGGGGTATAGTAGCGAAAAATTCCTTTCCGGCATTGACTATTATATCGATAACTTCATAATTCGAATCCTCGTCGAATTCTTCGGAAGCCATAGTTTGAGTAAGCTTATTGATGAGTTCATCCTCCGCAAGAGCCCCATGGTAACCCGTTTCGCGGCTCCCTGAGGTATCAGTGGAAACTAAAGATACTGAAACCCGTTTCTCGTTATAGTCGAAATCGATATCCGCAGCTTCGCCCCAACCAGTCTGGATCCTCACAAGAGAAATCGACGTGCGGTGTTCGAATCCCCCATTAGGTACAGGTGCGGTCGACATTATCAATCATTGGATTAGATATAGATATAGTAAATCTATATGGAAGAAAAGATCAAGCGGTAATATATGGTATGACTTGTAGATTGAGATAAACCACTGGGAGACAAGTACGTTATTCGTGATAGAACCAATGATGGACAGAAAAGACTATTAGGTATCTCGATAGAGATCTCGAGATCAATTGATCAATGGAAGATCTTTAAGAGCTTGAAAGCGAACGCCAGCCTGCCCAGGTGTTGTCTAGTCTCGCAATTAATTTAAATTTAAGAGACCACATATACTACGCGACGAACATATACTTACACGCGACAGCAATGCAATGCAATGACTTATGCGAATCCAAGCGAATATCATGTCAAATTGCAACGGTAGCCAAATAAGGCCGGGTCTCTACCTGCTGTGTAACACAAAGTTTAATATATGCAGCGCTATATTTGGAGGTGCCTTAAGGCCTTCCGCTACTAGTATTAAAGAGTGAAATAGAATGTGGGTCAATCAACTAAAATTAAAAGTGTAGAAAATGCCATAGTTACTGGTAGTTACGGTATATGTATATGACAGAATTAGAATTTAACCAACCGGAATATAACAACCGTGCTCGCACAGTACAGAGTGGGATGTCTGGTGAAGCTGGAAACCTGCATTTGAGTGGTTTTGTTGGAAGTGTCTACGGTTACACAACCCAACAAGCTCGAATTATAGTATGCCGAGACTCGGTAGCGCTTTGTAAGGTTGAGCCAGGGGCCCAAGAATATAGATGTGGAGTCGACCTAAGCTTATGTATCGATCAAGCTTTTCATAAGACACGCTAGGGCCCTAGACGATATATATCGAGTGTCGATCTTCAGACCTTGCATATTCTAGATATTCTGCAGCATCATGATATCATATCAGTGATAATATATAATGTGATGGTAAAAGTACTTAAGTACAGTTATAGACTATACGTACATGTCTACAGTACTAGTGGAGCTAGTACCTTTCGCACAGACTCTAGTTTGCTTCTTGGACATCCACTCGACCTTTGTGTTCTTGATCTAAATTGATCAGTAATATATGATCTCGGACTTGACGATTGAATGGTAACCGGTAACTTATACTGACTATTAATTCTAGGGCACACTGCATGCATGCCACCAACATCCAAGTCTAACCAGACTACGCGGTTTAACAAGTGATTAAGTACTAGGAATGCAGTATGTATCTTCAAAATTACACTTAAACCACTCGACGGACCGATGCTCCATAGTTCGACTAGCGTGAAACCTGTAAGATATCTAGATAATATATAATGTTTCGCTTCAATTGAATTAAACTACGTTTTAGACAAGTTACCATGTATGCTTATGAATACTAATCTATCTACACTCGCCTAGCCTAGCTAGTTTGAATATAACAGGTTTAAACGTTTGTCACGTAGAGGTTATATGACGATTTTTTCTTTGTCGACTAGCTGCTGAGAAACGAAAATTATAAGTTCATGAACTTGGATTATGGCCAAGTCTCTACTATTGCTATGACTTGGATGTATAGCCTTTTTCCGCCTAGACATATGTACATACATGTGCACAGGAAAGGCGGCTCATAACCAGCAAAATCTGCATTGTAGCCTTGATATTATCCATCGTGCGCCGCTAAAATATAGCTATATAACCAATCCAAGCCGATTCATGATATCATCTAACTAAAACTCAGCTCCCCAAATGTAACCGTTATTAAACTATATGTCGGGACAAGGATAACCTGCATATTCGTTCCTGGTCCCACAAGTTACTCGATATGGCTGGTCAATTTTTGAGGCTTTCAACGGCTCGGCTGGCGGTGCCGAGGCCTCGCTAGCTAGCATAGGGTCAATAAACTGGTGGGCCATGGATCGGAATGCATGGAAAGGATTCCATGTTCGAGTGTCTCTGAACTTAAAAAGTTTTATGGGAACACGAGCCTGTTCGATGTTTGTGGAATAACATTCAATATCTAACATATGGAAAACTCAGGTTAGATTATTAAAGTCCTCTCTTATGAGTCGAGTCGAGCCGTGCAGTTGTTAATTGTTTTGCCTTCTCTGATACCCTAACCTATATGGTCTGGTTTGCCTCAAATCGAAATCACCGTTGAAAAAAGGGACCATGCATCTCAACCTGAACTCGGAATCTCGGCAGTGTGAAAACAATTTATTCTTCGCAGAATGTTGGTGTCTTGCACCACTTGGAGGCATTTTGAAGGATTAGATAGCTAATCGCGGCTCAAATCAGGAGCCCCGTCCGCCGGCTGCATTCGTACAAAATTAGCGAATGTGCAGCAGTGATATTATCGCTCATTCGGCGGGACCTTTCTACCATTGGTGGTTGAAAATGCCCAGAGACCCTACGGCCTATGCCAAGGGGGGTTTTCTACATTCCGTTTCTCTTCAGCGACGGTTCCAACGCCGAACGATCGTGAAATAGACAGCGAACATTGATATTATCGACTTAATGTTATTAATATATACTATATTGGGTCATGGGATGCAAGCCCCACTGTAACCCAAGAAATCGCAGTCATGTCGTGTGCGCTTCGCATTTCACGCCCTTGATCACCTCAAGTTTGCATGTTTCAATATTCCGGTATCCGATCTTATGCTTCCCAGCCTAGTCGCACAAAGCTGTTAAAACCCTCGTGGTTGAACAATGGTTCCCCAGGTTTTTCTTCCAGCTACCAGCCCAACCCTGACATTCGCTACCTTATAGTTTGCCTGGTATATTCAGGCGATATATGCCTTCGAAAAGTTTACAGTAATCATGTTCGGCACCTCGCGCTTCAGCCTTTTGGTTGTCGCCTTGATCACCTTCGTTTCATTCGTTACCGCACGGACAGTGATCACCAGTCAAACATGCGCCACTCGCTATTGTGGTTATGCTGTTCCACAGAACAAAATATTCAAGACTACAAAAACTATTCACAAATCTGCGCGGTATACAGTAACGCGCTGGAAGACGGTGTCTAAACCGAAGTCCGTGCGTACGATTAAAACAACAAAGACGACTACTTCACATAGAAGGACATGGATCTTAAGAACTGCCACAGTTTATATGGGATCCATAGTTTGGACTGGGACATCCACCCATACCCGTAAATCTACAAATACGATTTACAAGGCCACTACAACAATAACTTTGCCGGTAACCACGAAGACTATTCCGACTTCCACCATAACTATTCCAGTTCCCGCAGGCTTTACTGGTGTGGCTGAGGATCCCGACAATAAAGCTGCGCTCACTCAACCAGTTTTTGTTCCAAAGCGTGATGCACCAGTATTGGACGTAGAACTTGACCGTCGTAGCGCAGAACCAGCACCAGCACCAGAACCTGAGCCGGAACCTGAACCTGAGCCGGAACCAGTACCTGAACCCGCTGCGAAAGGAAAGCATGTTACAGCTATAACATGTACCAAAACATTGATCACAAAGACTGGCACAAGCGACCTCTGGAAGACGACTACTAAATGGGGCGGTATATCCACCAAAACGGTGGTGGTATCAACTAAAACAATCTTTCCACCCATCGTCAGTACCATTAGAACGACCACCACGACCGTGACAACAGTAACTAGAAAGGATAAAGTTGTATTTGCGACCTCATGGACATCAACAACTGTTTTTACGACTTCAACAAAATATCTATCTACAGTCACAAAAGATTTCCCCGTCGAGACCTACCACCCCTCTTGTGGAGCTAGAAACATTAGTCCACCGGAAAGATTTAGTACAGGATGGTCCGCCTGGCAGACTAACGCTTTCGCTGACGAGAATGTTCATGCCATCATGAGCAACGGGACAAATTATGACTGTTGTGTAGCCTGTCATACCTGGAACCAAGGGGGTACATGCATTGGTAGCGTTTGGCGGTCAACAATATTTGAAGGAGATCCACCACCGTGTGCTTTTGACCCTGACCCGGAGTGCGACGACAGACCATTTGAACCCGAGTTTCGTTCTAAATGCGAGTTGATAATTGCTTCATCAAGTGCACCGGCTCAGTGCCGCAAACATGATTACTCGTTCTATACGACAGGTTCAGAACCACGAGCGGCGGTCAGCAATGGATTATCATGCAAGAGGTTCAAGTTCACGAGATTTTGGTAACGCAATTTAATGATTTACGGACAGAAATATGTACCGGGCTTGGGGAACCACCGCCTGGGAATTAGTTATGCATTGATTGTAATATTTCAATTGTAACCTAGTCATAATATAATGCAAAGTAAAATGTTGTGACTGACCTCAACTTGTTGACGTTTATATTCAGAGGTGCAGGTTTATATCGTCAATAGTGGTGTTGGCGCCATAGCCAGAATTCAAGATCAACTCAAAGGCATGTTTCAAGCATTGGTATATTCATGATAGAGGGGTCAATTTTGCCTTAGATTTCGAACTTTACATCAGTTATTAGCGAATTCAGGGTTCTGTTTTGCTACGAGGTCCTCCTTATATGTAGATATAAAGCATGCTCATTTGGCACAAAATTGTTTTACGGTTCTTAGAATTATCGATAGGCTAACTCTAAAAGTATTTATAGTGGGGCTTAGAAAACCTGCGGTTGCATTAATGCTTTATATTTATTGACATGGAATATAAATATCTAACAGCTAACTAAATCATGCCGTTAAGGAATCAGCAATCTCAAAATTCGCCATCAACGAAACTCTTCTTTGGTATCCAGATGGTATAGATGTTAAACTAAACAAGAGTAAGTTAGTATCTCTCAATTTTAGCTATTATTTCGGAAAGACTTCGTTGGTCTTACCTCTCTTCAAGTAGCATCCGTGCTTCGTCAGCTAACTTTTCAGCCCCCTGTACGTTGCCTTCAATGGCTGTCTCTCCCGCCTCGACACTCTTGTTCCTCGCAAAGACTGCCTTAGCAAGTGCCAATTCCCACTCTGATTCACTACCATAGTTTCTTGTTCCATCCCCTGCTCCATAGTCCCTTGCCCGCCGAATGTACGCTTCCAATCCAGCCAAGAATCCTTTGAGCAGGAGGAAATAGAAAGATTCACATAGAGGACGCAGAGCTCTAATATACTCCACACCTGTAGCCTGTGTAATAGGTGGCAGAGTAACCCTTGCAATAGCAGTACTTCCTGGCGTCGACTTTGCGACCAATAGTCCTCTCGAAAATGACTTCGAGTATCCGTCATAAGAGAAATATTCAAATGAGCTTCCATCACAGAGGATCCCAACTATTGGAACCGAAAATCCTTGTTTCTCGTTACTCAAATTGCAGGCTTCGAGTTCAGCAATAAGTTGAGCGATGTAGTTCAGCCTGTCTTTTCCTATGCCAAAGTTAAGGCGTATATCGAGAACTAGTATGGTGCAGCCACCAAAACATTTGAAATAGTTCCTGAGCCCGTTTTTCTTGGGGCTATCGGATTCAACGAAGTTTTCGGGGCGATTATAAATCATAAGGTGGAACCATGAAACAATGTGGTTAAACGCCTACAATAGAGATTCTGAGTATTATCCTCGAAATTAGTTAAATCAACGGATAAGAATTCTTACAGCACTAATATATCGAGATCTGCCTGCTTCGGTGAGATGATCCGCTGGAGGCCCATATTGATTTCCGAGTATCTCAAAGTCTTGGATAATCTGCCGGAATTCCTGGCTTCTTATCCGAGCTCTATGAACTTGAAACGTGGGCGCATCTCCTACCATCGCATGAGGATCCAAGTGTACTCTTTGTGCCATCATTGAGTAAGACAAGGAAGTGGCGATATGCTCCAAATCTCTCTCTGTGGGAACTAAATTCAGCACATGTATAAAATTGAACTGGGAAATGCGAAATAGTCTCTCATACCCAGCGCCTTAGCCCTTACCCCGTCAAGATCGAGTCCATGCTTTTTTGTAAGATGTATAATCGCGGATTCGGCTCCCTTCCGACTATGAATCCTATCATCCAAAAAATCATGTTGATGGTCGTGATCATAATGCTGGTGATCATGATTCTGGTGATGTTGATGATGCTTCTGGTGATGCTTATCCGTAATTGGCGGCGTATGTCCTCTCAACGGCAGTCTATGGATATCCAATGTCGTATTTATGGGCCTGGGACCAGTATTTGCTATAACTTCGCCATGTTCGCCGTGTGTATGATGGTGGTGATGGTGATGTGGATAATGGTGACCCTTTCCGACATTACACTCTCCATTTGACGGCTCGGGAACAGTGTGGGTCTGTGGGGGCGGACCACGCTTATCACCATGGCCCTCGCGGTGATGGTCGCCCATCATTTTGCTTAGGAAGTGAGGAGGATGCATGGCACCCTGGGTTTTGCAGTATTCGCAGCCAACCGGACAAGTGTATGGCATTGTGATAGCCTTCTCTCACGGCTATTTTTGCACTATTACCAGTAGCCAACCGATTGATGTATATTACCTCTATGTCGTAACTTTATACAGAAAAAACGAGATATCGGATCGGATGTCCGCTGCCACGTTTAAGCAAATAGAGAAAAGAAAACGTTACCGTATTACTCACGAGGAGGCCACGGTGGAAAACGAGCTCGCATTTATCGTGTTTTCCACCGCTGGGCATACGAGCATTAGAGTTCATACTGACGGGACAATGCGGATGTTAGAGTTTATTGAAATTATCTTCTCAGTTTCAAGGCCGGCAAGAGTCAGGGGAACTTTGGACGGATGAGTAGTGATATCGAACTCTATAATAGCCGTCAAGCTTCTGGATCCTCTCTAATGGTCCAAGGCTTACGACGACAATGATACTAAGATCGCATAAAACTCGTATATACCATTATGCTGAGAATATAGTAGCACTATATGACATGATTTACCATTCAGAGGAATACTCGACTATCATAAAATCATTCATATACAGAAAAGAGTGTGAAGTTAGTTTCTCAAACGGGCTCAACAACAATCCACATGAAATACATATACTTCACTTCTCATCATGTTTACAACCTTCAGTATCAGCCATACGGCATATAGGATCGGTGAGGTCTTAATCTAGTAAATGATGGTCGGCCCGAGAGCATGGTATTCTTCCTACTCAGCGGCTGCCAGTAATCAGACATCCAACTTGACTCGTCTGACAGCGATAATACTGAATATGTGTTGGGAGGTGTTGCATATGCTGACTAAGGAATCTCAAGTCGAAAAGTCCGTGATAGCACCAATTCGCACCTATCTTGCCAGGATATTGGCATTGGATCTCGTGTAGCGTGATGAACGCCCAACATTGTCAGAATGATGTGAAAGGATCTCGGAGCTTCATTTCTTACGAGTTTTGTTAGTTACCTTAAGCTTATCGCGGACTTCTAAGTAGTGAATGCAACTTGAAGGGTTTGATTGGAAGAGAAGGAAAAAAAAAAAAAACATGGCAGTGGCCAGCCCACCTCTTAACCTGCTAAAGTAACCTGCAAGGAACCAACCAACCAGCCAACCACCAAACTCTCGATCGATCTCATCGAAAACGTTCCTGCTCCCTTTAAAATACCGTTATATACTATCTCTCGACTAGTATATGTGACTAGGCATTTACCGACCCTCCTTTTACCTGGTCAAGCAACCCCTGCAGCAGGAAAGGAGGCCCTTCGACCATCTCCTACCGGATCCATCCTTTCCAATCAGCCTTTCGTTCCTTTTATCTCGTTAAAATTTCATCGGAGGAATGGCTGCCACCGTGGAGGGAAACAGGAGCCACGACCTTGCACACGACCATTCAGAACATTTACCCAACGGCCATAACGAGCATCTAACTAATGGAACTGACTCTCACGGCAGCCATGGGCACGCGAATCATCATTCCACCAATTCTACGGGTGGAGGAGCAACGGGAGGCGGCCAGGCGGCGAAAAAAGCGGGGGGAAAGAAAAAGCCGGTGGATCCGAACGAGGTTAGCCGAATCAATCTAGAGATACACAAAACCAGAGCGAAACGACGACGTATTTCCTCTCCAGACGGTTGTCATTCTGCTGGTTTAATTTGGGTTCTGTTATCAAGTTTCTAATGCATTTCTTTGGTGGCTGTCGTCCCGTGGGTCTGGCTTGGATTGTAGGGATATAACCTCTTGACCACTCGGATTTCACAGCTTGAGACAGATGCTTCAATGGAGGAGGAGGAGGAGAAGGCGATGGGTGAGCATTGCGCGAGCCTTACAAGGTTGTATCACTAGAGGGGATAAACTAACGTCAGTTTGATAGCCCGAGCGGTTCGGAAGGCAAATAAAGAGCTTGCAGACCTTGTCAACAATCGAGAAGACCACCTTGCGAAAGTCGAAGCGATACAACAGAAATATAGCGAGCTTTTCCAGGAAATGAAGAAACTCGAGCGGGACTACAACCGGGCTAGACGCCGTGCCGATCAGCTGCAGAAAGAAAAGGACCATAATAGGAGCGAATTGACGAAAGCGAATAATATGAAAAATAAGCTGGAGCAACTTTGTCGGGAACTTCAAAAGGAGAATAGACGGGTGAAGGTGCGTAATAGCACACTTTATGGCTCAGAGAAGGAGTTCAAAGACTGATAAGATTGTGCAATCATAGGACGAGAGCAAGATCAAGGAGCAGAGCGAAAAAGACAAGCGTGAAGAGCTCTCCACCAGATTTGAGAACACCATTTGGGAGATCAAAAACCGGATGGAAGAGGACTCTGATACCTCGAACGGCAAGGCTATCCACATGGAAGTCGATAACTTGTAAGATTGGGAAATTTGATGAATAGTTGAGGGGAGAGGACCAGCGGGAGAAATACTAATATTTGGCCAACTTGTAGGATCAAGCTTAAGTTCCGTACTCTCATCGACCAGTATGAGATGCGTGAACTACACTTTCAGTCCCTACTTCGCACCAAGGAACTTGAAGTCCAATATAATCTCGCTCGATACGACCAAAAACGAAAGCAGGCTGATGCCGAATCCATGCGAGCCAAAGCTCTCCACACCCAAGTCTCAACTTTCTCTCAGACCGAAACTGAACTTCGTTCGCAGCTCAATATCTATGTTGAAAAGTTTAAGCAGGTACGAATTGGGGTGGGACCGTTTTTAGTTTGGGGAAGTGCTGACGAATGTTGTGGCAACAGGTTGAAGACACGCTCAATAACAGCAACGATTTGTTTCTTACGTTCCGTAAAGAGATGGAAGAAATGTCTAAGAAGACAAAGCGGTTGGAAAAAGAGAATATGGCTTTAACCCGAAAGACCGACTTAATGAACCGAAACATACTCGAAATGGCCGAAGAACGTACTCGTCAACAACGTGAACTCGAGACTGCGAAGAAGAAGAGCTCCAAGTTGGAGGATATCTGCCGCGCTTTGCAGTCTGAAAGAACTGCGTTAGAGAACAAGCTGAGAGGTGTGGAAGCAGAAGAGTATTCAGGTGGAGAGGAAGACGAGGAAGGCAGCGAAGAAGGGGAAGAAGATGAGGGAGAAGAGGGAAGCGAGTACATGGAAGATTCTGAGGAGGAGGATGATGAGGAGACTGAAGACGAAGGGTTGTTCGAGGATGAAGCCGAGACGAACGGGAATCACGTCAACGGCACAGTTTCAAAGGCTGATGTTAATGAGCACGCACCGGTTGCAAAGGCTATCGTTCCAACAAAAATGCGATCTTAAGCCACAGCGTCAAAGTGTCTGGATCTCACCCTGAGAAAATTTATATTCTCAAACTTTGCGATTTGCACCCTCTGCTCCATTCAGTATACCTAACAACAAAGCCAAAAAAAAGGCCCCAAACGAATACAAACTCGAGTTGAGATGCCAGTTACTTTTTTGGTTGGTCCGTATCACGTGATATGCAACTTCTGGCATGGCTGTTGGCCTCTTGCTCTATTTTGTAGCTGAGCAAACTACCTGTTCTATACTCAAATCGTGTCTGGTCTTGCTTTCTGCTTCACACGCATTACGATGGTGCGACTCATTCGCCACGAGTATGTATTCTAGCCACAGCGCCACAGCCGCTACAACTTAGTTGGTTGGCAATGTATCAATACGCTGGATCAATACCTAAGCCTAATATATATATTTAAGTAAGGTAGATATATAGAGCAAAATATTTTGATAAACTGCGATAAAAGATAAATACGGTTTCTAATTCTGATACGTATGCTCTTAAGCTGTACATGTCCACACACAAACACTACATCGCCCGAGCGGTCCTATACCGAGCTTAAAGTTCTAGTTTTGATGATAATGTCCTTGTAAATTTTAAATCCTAAAGTATCAAAGTCATCATGAGTTTAGGATTCAAAATTTGGCCCCTGACCACCATTCGAACCATAATCAAGATATAACTCCGCGGACGAACAAGTAACCGCTTCATCCCCTATCTTCGTTATGGATGTTGTATTGACCGTTGTTGCGATATATAAGCCAAATCCCGCGGAAAGGTTATTGTTTTGGATGCAAACTACACCAAATCATTTGGTATTTAGCAAACATGCACATAATTTTAAAGTAATATCCATGTAGGCATACCTTTTAACGGAGCATCGTTAACCATATCCTTCACCGGTTTCGTAATTTTAAGGGATCCTTTATCTCTCTTAATATTCGCATCTAAATCAACGAAACTAACGTACTCCATGCCAATACTTAGTAAGGGATCCCAGCTACGGACATCCATATGGTGCTGTATTCTTGCTGCGCTCATAAATGCTGTAGTGAGAATCAATGGGGTGATGGATCCCTGGGTATTTGATGAATCAAATGAGAGCCAGTACGCCTCGGTCCTTGAATAGGAAGGATTAAACCGCAGAATTTGATTACAGGTATCATATTGGAAGGTCGATGTCTTTTGGAGAGCCCTTTGGTTGATTTGAAGGTCTGAATAGCCGCGTAAGGGCAGTGAGGTTGTTTCCGGTTGTGGCCAGGATACTAGTCGATAAGGTATAAATTTAATACACAATTAAAAGGAATACACTGTCCATGGTAGAAAAAAAGAAAAATTTGGGCAGTACTCACGGTAAACGCCTGCATAGTTCAAGGCACCGACATTTTTGCTTGTGTACCGGTCTGGGGTGAATTTATCTTTGCTTAGAATACGGGCAAAGAGAGCTACAGACTTTATACCTGTTGGAGCTGAGATTAGGGAGTTATTTGAAGATGCCGGGGCTATAGAGGAGAGTAACGCAAGGAATATAAACCCTGCACTCCTAAGTTTAAAGGGGATATTGAAACCTGAGGATTTGGTTAACATTGTGATACTGGGTTGTCGCTATTAGTTCTAATTATCTGAGTGTACCATACAACGTGCAAAGCGTGGTATATGCAAATCAAATTATGTGAAGGGCCGTAGAAAAGAACGAGGTCTGAGCGTGGCCAGTTCACGGGCCCAAGGCCTTTCAAACAATCTGGCCTTCCTTGCAATGAGAACATCGTCGCCCATGGATAGTACATGTGGCTTCGGAGGTGGTTTAATCCATTTTTACCAATATTAATAGGCCACGTTGGTGATCTTCATACGTAAAACTTCGAGCAAACCTGTAAATTGGCTCACATTTGAAAATTCAGTATTGCAATTCTTGTACATGAGCGCATAACGTGAAACGCATGAATCTCACAGGCCAGGGTTCATTCTGGAAGAATGGCTTTGATTAAACGTAAACGAATTGGGAGACGATTTAGAGTTTTGGCTATTCCACTAGCCAAGTTTATCCTTAGGAGCAAACAAGTAAGTACTCATAGTTCACGATGTCCAAAAATTAAGAAGGCTAGATTCAAAGCGTAGACTCGAGACATGGAGGTGTTGGATTTTCTGCGTTGCTAGCGAAGCCGCTAAACAACTTGTGCGCATGCTTGCGCTGTTACGAGACTGGCACCTAGTGCAGTAATTTGGTGAATTTGTGGATGACAAATATATAAATTTAAAAAATTGAAGAAGCTTGTTATAGTTAAGATAGTACAGAATTAATTAAAGTATACTTTTGAAAGGGTATTTGAGAGAAAGTCGTAAAGAAAGCGTGTGGGGTATAAAGTTCGCGCCCAAATAATAAGTTGGGAAAAGATTGCGAAACTAATCACGAAGAAAAAAAAGTCCAATGCCCTCTATGAAATACTTTAACATGCTATGCCATGGTTCCGTGTAAAAAGTTGCAACCAATATTTCATAACCCATAATATACCGTCAATTGCAAAAAGACAATCTGAGTTCCAATTAGTTCCCAGCCGTAATATGTGTCACAACTCCGCCTCTCGTTTTTGCGTTCCCGGGTATTGTCAAATTGTCAATTTCTCCGTTAACTGTCGATATCGATTTATTCTTCCTCGAGTGCAGGGTTGGAGTCCCTCGTGATTGATGGAAGGCTTTATCCTTCATTACTGCGTCCTCTTGAGCCCTCTTCCACAGTCTCCAAAATACAAAGAATACACAAGCCAAGGCTGGGATCGAGACCCCAACTGCGATGCCCACAATAGCACCTTGTGATAATCCAGATTTCTTTCCTTCTGCTGTAGGAGGACATGATACCTCAACAACAGTTTCACGCGGGATCCCGTTGCTTATTGTTGCCGTAAGTGCATATGTAGTAGCGGCCGTATTTGCCCGTGGGCAATTATACAAGAACTCTTGGGTTGAGTCTTCGCCCTTAGCATTTGATATTGTGAGAGTTGTGGTAGCGGTATAGACTCTGTCCTGCTGAGCTTGTGCAAGGACTTGATCGGGAACGATGGTGCTGCTGATCCCGGAGCTGAAAGCTGGGACGACGTATCCCGAAGAGGATCTGAGGAGGGTGAGGATATAGAAGATAGTGGGCAAGAGGGTTCTTGCCGTTGTAGATTTCATGTTTCTGCATGTGACGATATTATGACCCCGCGTTTGAAAATTTAAAGTGTAATGTTGAAATATCCTTCGCTATAGGTCCAGGAGTAGGTGATTGTAAGAAAGTACTTCCTTCGGAATATATCTAAAGGAATATTCTGTTTTGAGGGAAAGTTGCAACAGAAAAAATCTAAAGGCGGGTCCGAATGGTAAAATTAGAGTAGTAAATAGCAATCTTGAGGTTCCGCTAAATATGATGGGTATGTGAGAAGTTCGAAAGGAAAAAAAGAAGTGGGCCCTCTCGAATTCCAGCCGGCCCACCAGCTTCTTTATACCTTATGCAACATTGTGGAAGAAGGAAGAAGGATTTCGCCTGTGAGCAAAAAAGCTTCGAAGGCTTGCTTAATCGATCTTAATACCATGCTTCTATAGCCTCGTGCCACGCGAGACTTGCATTTCGAACATTTTCAGACGAGCAAGCTGACGATCCAACCAGCAGTGGAGACTTTGACATGGTTCTCGTTAATGCAAGCTGCACATTCCACCCGGCAAAATCCAAGAAGGTTAGCAAACGGGAATGACGAAAAATGAAGGGAAACTCGACGTTAGAGAGCGAGGAATGCTTCTAGATCTGGATTCGGAGGATACCACATGGCACATGGCAGACAGGGTTCTAGGAAGCTGCATGGAGGCGTTCCTGGCAGTACCACGTTGTAAGCGCTGATCCGCCAATCAAAAATCCAACAGACACTTAGTTGTTGTTTGCTCTACGCAGGAATTTGCTGCATGAGCTCGTATTGAGCCATAGAAAATATGACGAAGTTGTAAATTACTTTCGCAGTTGATAGGAAATTTAGAGCTAGTTACCCCTCTTTTCCATGCAAAAGGTGCATGTTCTCATGCCTGTTGATTCGTTGGTGAGGGAGCTGCAGGAGATTGGAGAAATCTCATAGGTGGAGGTGGTTTGTGTGTTTCAGGACTGATTGCCTTTTCTGTGCCAAGATCTTGATCTTGTTGAGGGTGCTGTTCACCCATACCTAGTACTAAGTAACCAAAGGCTACCAGGAAGAAACAGCTTCGTTTTATATGACAAAACTTCACAGAAGGCTCTAAACTATTGTAATATCTTACCAATACGTAGTAATAGTGTCGGGGTATTTTATACACATTTCCCTTAGCTTAATGCTTTAATTAACTGAATACACCACCAGGTCTGGGTACGAGACAAGTATACAGATATCGATGCATGCGCAATATTATGATCACTATATCCATATATGCATACATGTCCAGTACAATAGCCTCGAGCGGTGAAGCAGGCAATGTACAGATCTATATAGACGAATTTGCAAATTCGGTTCGATAGATACATATACATATTTTATAATTTGAAGACGTGAGGTGAATGTCCCTAGCAAAATGTTATGGCTAAGCCACGCCGGCCCGTTCCTAGCACTAACTTGCCCCACATGTGCCTCGAGACTAGGTCTCATAATTTTAGCGTTTGGACTATCGAAAACTCAATCTTATTCAATTCATAGATATGGGAGTACGTACAACGGTACCCGCCCGACTAGTATAATATATTAGCAAGTTGCTAAGTGCATAGTGTAAAGTTGACCTCTAGATTTATAAATAACAAGATACCCAAGCCTGTTCTTTGGCTGGCGACTGTCTAGCTCCGAGATTGATATCTGTTGGGAACTCGTTCCTACTCTAAGCTAAACCTTTTCGATTCGCTAAGGCTCGTAAACAAGCAGATGACGTGACGCCACCCAAAGTCATAGGTTCAGATTGGCTTGTTCTCTATTTACCTACAGTGATATACTGGTGTCTGGTCGACTAATATATACTAGTACAGGCACCGAATGACACAAAAAATCATGGACTGAGAGCTATTTACTATCGATAAAGTATTTTATAAGAAATCAGATATCGCTTGGAGAGCGGCTGCATGATGGAGAAGATTTGCGTATGTTCCAATCTCAAGAAAGTCACTCTCATGAACGGCTTCACCATCCTTGAAAGCTTTTGTATCTAATATAAATAGTTCCCGTATTTCCTGAGAAAGTAGGGTGTCCATTCCCTCATAGAAATTTGTCATAGCTTCGAAAAAGGGTGTGCGAAAAGTCTCGCTAAGCTCTAAGCTCGTATTCCATTTGTCTTTGAGGATTTTTTTAACGTCAACGGCTTTTCTTAAGAGGTTTGTATAGTCTTCCTCATGGTTTTTTGTAGCGGTCTCAGTCGGTTTCGAAAATGCACCGGACCCTGGAGACAGGTAGTCTTCAGAGTTTGATCGTAACTGAGATCGAGTTTCCGACCACTCGTCATCTTCGTCCTCATCCTCGCCCCAAATCTTTTCTTGTTCGAAAATAGTAGGAACCCCAAGTTTGACCTTCATAAACCCCGTTGACATTGTAGCACCAAACGATTGTTGAATACTGTCCTCGTAGCTTTTTAGTCTCGGGACGAAAGTCTCCAAAATATGAATGAGTTGTTCCCCCGACTTTCCGGATAAGATTTTGAAAATGTCGACGCCCATAGCTTTGATTTTAGGTATTTGGAAGTCGACTGGAGAAATTTCTTTCGGGATGCGACTTTTCAACCCGTATTCTGATGATATCTCACGGATACTAGACTCTGCCAAATACTGTCGGACTTTGTCAAAATCCCAATCCAGCTGCTCAGTATGGTCAAGCCTTTGAATATCTTTTCGACAAATAGACAACATTTCCTTTTGTGTCTCGTTCGATTTATATACGTTTCTCTGCTGCTCTGTATGACTTTCTAGGAGTCTTGTCGTATTCTGAAGTTTTTTTCGAATTTGCTGGATTTCGTTCTCTATGATACGAACTTCTTTTGCATGAATTTCGTGGCGGTAACCGAAAAGGCGCAGTGTAAACCAGTCTGAACCTTGTATATCAGTATCCCGTAGTAGTCTAGAGTTTATAAAGGGTAAAGCTTCGGTATCTGTAAGTTTTCCAATAAAGCGCTTCGGATTAATGGGATCAACTGTCGGTGGGTGTATGGGGTCCCATTTCCCTATTACTTCAGGAGGGTCCAGGTCAAAATATCTAATGTGGGATTCAGCTTTAATATTGAATTCGAAACTCCTCTGATATCTCTGTGAGATATCTTTCATAAGTTCGAGCTTTTTCGGAGTTGTAAGGTAAGCCCTCTCATCCTCTTTCTGTAGCAGAGAAAGCTCAAACATCCTTATCTCATTCTCTATTCTTTGAACCGAGTCCTCAATGGCGCGGTATTGTTTCGCTGTTTTTAAATATTCCGTTTGAAGAAGCTCGCGCATTTCGAATACAGCTATCACAAGTACTTTATTGAGACTCGACAAACGGGCTTTTTTCAATATTGGGGGAGTAGCATCATCTTGATATAGGTCTTCCGTATCTTCTTGGCCGGGTTTTATATGATTGTCGCCGAAAGAATGATCTTTCGGAGGCAAATCGACGGTTACGGTCTTGAGGAAGCAGATAGTTCCTTGTTGGCTTCCCAGATGGAACTGCCGTATACCCCTTCCTAACCAATTTTTGCGCGAGAAATTGGCGTCGTAGGTTGTAATTGGGTTCAAGTGGGTTATATAAAGCTCTGTTTGCTGGAAGAAAAGCTGAAACAGTGTCTGTTGATGGAAATTATCACACCACTGAATCCAATCGCTTACCTTAGCATTCAAATGTCTTGCTTCGTCGCTAGAAGGTATGACGAGACAGATTCCATGGATATCGTGATGTTTCGCTCGTAACCCCTCCCAATAACTCGTCCTCTTCGCCTATTTGAATTATCAGTTGAAATTATTAGTTAACTTCTTTATTTTATTGCAGAGTTTTAATGATATGGCCTTGCAAAAGGGATATCCGCATATATTTTGTGGGGTTAATTTTTCGTACCCTAGGAAGTGTAGGATCCGGTGGTCCCTGAATGAAATTAACGGTTCCATTATAAAGCCCAGTAGCCCCGCCATTAAAGTTACCGAAAGACTGATTTGGAAAAATAATCTCTGCAGAAGCATCCGTACTCTCCCGAGCTAGGTGGGCACGCCATAGTGAAACCTGGTCTTGATATTGTTTGTGAATACCGCTTTCAAGATCGAGCTTGTCGAGAACCTCCTTATTATGCTGCAAACAATGGTTTTGCAAATGGTTTACAGCTGCAGTGTATGTGTCGGGCCGGCACATTAACACTATATTTGCTTCGACTAGACGTAGGAAAGGTTGCTGGGCCGCAGGATTCTCCATTTTGAGGGTTAAACTGCTATTTTGAATCTACTGATTTTGGGGGTTCCAGAGTAGGTGGAGATTGAAATTCGACATGAATCAATATTCGAATTGTTAATGATAACCCGGACCTTATCTTGGTCCGGAAAGCAGTCTGTGGACCTAGCTGGTCTCGTAAACCAGACAACACACGGAGTCCAGACCTAGCCGGAGTTTCGAATTGAAGCTTCCCTTAAGCCCCCTGATATTATGTTATTACAGAACTCCTCAAGATGTTAAAAAGTAACTGGCTTGGGCAATTAGAAATTGTGATATCTATCAATATCGATATCGGAAGCGCGGTAAAATTGTATTGTCATGCGTATTCTTGTCAAAAGCTATAGCTTAGCTATGGATATATGGCACTATACGAATAGCATCCGGCTAGCACCTAACTAGAATTTCTCAAGAAAAAGACCCTGTTAGGTTAGCGTCGGTGGCGATAGTAAGGTCCCTGGTAGTTTTAGGACGAACGTGGGCGCGAGCGATTCGACCGTATAAATGCTGCATGTTGCAATTGTATTCTCCACCCCGCTTCTCAAAACCCTCAGCCGCACGGGGAACTCGCTCAAGTTCGCTACTTTATACATGTACTGGTACAAGTACCAAACTCCCTCCCAAGGCCAGTCGAAATGGCTCTAGAAATTGCCGTGAAGATCTATTACAGTATTTTTTATCTCTGAAATTCTTTTCTGCTTTATGAATTCATGAATATACCCACGTTAAATAATTATTTTTTGTCATGAAGATGATCAATTGATTAACTTATTCTGAGGTTCCGCTTTCCGTGTTATACTATCTATTCCATTTCAATTTAATTTTTAGATTGGAGTAAGTAGTTTAGTTGATACCTGTTTTTTTATATTTTAATTCTTTGTTTTATTTTATCATTCTCCCGTAAGCCTGACGTATTGATATTTTTAGCTAATATTCCTTAGATTTGTCGCCTTAGAAAACCATGGCCGAGACTACTCCCGATCACAAGAATATTGTGGTTTTGGGTCTCACGCAGAACGGAAAATCATCTTTTGTCAATTCTATTCTCAGATACGCCCAGCTTGAGAATTCAGAAGCACCTATTATTGGTAATGGGTCGACATCACAGACAAAAGACATTAGAAGATATTCCACGAAGATCAATATCCGACGATATAGTGTGCGAAGAAACGGCCAGAGAACAGATTTGACCCATAACTCGGAAGGATCAAGGGTTGTTATAACTTATGATAATGAAGGAGGAGTGACCTCGCAGAATTACGAGCCTCTAACTTTCAAGGAAAGTTTTGATCCGGAGACTGGGGAGAGGCTTCTTATTACACAAGAGTTCCAGCAAAACATTCGCAGGCTTCAGGCCGGCCTTGTACCGGATACCCCGGAGCCATCTGGATGCTTTGTTAAACTTAACATGTACGACACACCGGGCCTGAGCGATTCTGGAGGCATAAAGGATTTAGAAAGAGATTTTATGAAGCAAGGATACACGGAAATAGAAGCTAAAGATGCGGCTACAAAATGCACCAGAAATCTCATTGACGAAAAACATAAACTCTCAATCATAAATGCAGTTAATAAAATGCAGGTTCTGCATGGCGTATGCATCGTCGTTCGAGATGGCAAGAACTTTGGTCAGGAATTAAAAGAACTCAAGAGCTTGATCGAACCCTTCAGATCGATATCCTCCAATCTCAATTTTTATATGATACACACCAGAGTTACGAACATAACAATGTTCCAAGCTAAGACTCTCAACCGCATCCGCATGTCTGAAGAATTTTTCAAGTTACGAGCAACCCATTTCTTCGTCAATAATGAACCCGATCTCGGCGACGATGAACACGAAGGTGACCCGTTGAGTCAACATTTCGCCAACAGAGTACTATCAGACTTCTTATTCGAACTAGCCGAGGCACCAGGAGTCAAAGTTGGATCCTTACAATACCAAAAAGCCGACAGAATACTAGAAGAGGTTGTAGCTTCGAGCCTTAGAATATATTCTTCCTATCTAGAATCTACGAACCGTAGTCTTCGAGAAAACATCCAAGAGTTACAAATTAAACAGCGACCTTGTATTCAGAAATCCGAACTATATGACAAGGAACTAGAAGAATTACGTCTAAAGCGCAGCTCTATCGACACAAGAGAGCGAGTGTTAGTTGGAGAAGATGGCTACGATATTACTGTTGGCTTTTTCAGGTCAGCACATACCGTAACGTTCTCGATTTTAACAGACACTCCAATACGCCATGTTGAATACAATCCTACAAACCATCAGGACATTAGATGGGACACAGAATCAGAGGGTATTGGTGGCTTTAAATCAAGCCCTAGATTAACAGTCTACAATGGCGAATTCAAGGCACGTGTTACTGCCTTCTCCTATAGAAGTGATCTGGAAGAAGACAAAATCGCATCGATAGTATCGCAAATGAATTCCATATCGGAGCTAAGAGACCGACAATCAAAGGAGATTGAGCGCTTTCAACATCGAGCTGACAGGACAAAGTCGAAAATTGGGGAGAATGTACTACGCCTACATGATGCAGAGATGCTAAAAACAAGAGTTCTATCTCATCAGTTGAGCGAAGAGGAGATATCCGATCTGAGCTCTATACGGATCCAACTTCGGCACACTAACAGTCTTTATTGCGTCGCAAAGAGCTACTGTTTTGATCACTTAATTCCGAAAAAGCTAATTCCTAATATCGTGAACCACGATTCCCATTCTCTGAGAAACTTGCATCAGCACGCTGAGTTTCACTATCAAATGAGGAAAATAGTGGTGAGGAGTTTGAAGCTTATTAAACACCAGGCGGTTACCTATCAAACGATTGAAGCGAAATTGCAAACCGTGTGTGGCATTTTGGAAAAGCGGTTAAACGATGACAGTCTTGAAGAAGGCATGATGAGCTCCTTGAATCGTATTATGAAAAGCCTGCAGCGAGATGTAGTATCAGACACTACCACTGGGAAGGAGGCAGAGTTCTTATCAAATTATAAATCTCGAATTCATGAACTACTTCAAGCGGTCGAGGCTAGATTAGGGCACTGGACTGAAGAGACAAGCGGAGCTTTGATTGAAGTGTTCGAAGGAGTATGCAATCTAAAAGAACATATAGAAGAGACGATAAAAGACCTGGGACTACTTCAGGAAGATTGGGATATAAAACTGCGATTTCATGAAGAATCGTTTGACGCGGCTCACCAAACAATAAGGCTCTTGGAGAAAGAGTCTTATTCTCTCGAAGACTTCACAATACTTCGTCTCGCGTTTGAAGATATCCACAGAAACCCTGAAGCTGCTGACCCTTTTATCAAGTTATCACAAAGTATTGCTTATTCAAACCAAATCTCAAAAGCCTACTGTCTTTGAGGCATATTTGAATCGCAGATCGATATATTTGTTAATATCTTTTTTCCCTAGAGCGCAAAAAGCTGGGTGTTTTAAGCCAATTGCCTCAAATTATTGTTTAACCTAGCCAGAATTTAATTACATTAGGTGATCCATGTTTATATCGCGATATCGCGCAATATCTATACATTATAGCTTTCGATTTCTATTGGTCTGGCTCAAGCACAGCTCTCAATTTACGTTCGAGAGAACGCTGGCCTTGGCTCTGACAAAACTCAAAAAGATCTTCGATAGAAAGGGACTGCATCCCACCAACCCGCACTTTTCTATACCTTTCAAGGTCAGTTTGGCCCAGTCCAGAATTTATAGAATTCCAATCGAGGCATAGTTGATTAATCAAAGCATCGCATTGGGGCAAAATTTCTGAGATTTCCTTTAATTCTGGATCCATTGGTTTCGCAGTCTCTTGAGAACTAAAAAATGCCTGGTCTTCCTTCGCCATGAGTATATCCTCTTTACACTGTAAGATGCGTTTGTTAAGCCCTTCAATTGTTGTTTTATAGTATTTTCGATTTGAAATCGATACAACAGCATCAAGAATGGGGATCTGGCCCGGGGTTGCACTATACCCCCCTGTCCAAACTGTTCGACCCTGGTTCCAATCTTTAGTTGTCCACTGAGAGTATGGAAGATTATTCAATGCCTCAACAGTAAAACCTGGATGATCGGGTTCTTCAATACTGAGGCTATCCTTAATTGAGGTTCTAACAGCCCATTTCCAGAAAGCTTTAGGAGCAGAAAGATTATGGAGCGGAGCAGTTGAGTGTGTACGAATCGTAAATTTGGATTCATTATCGAGTATTGCAAGTTCCTTTTTCATCTGCTCCAATTCGTTTTCTAGAGTAAGCGCCCTTTTGATCTTGGAGGAATAGATTCTTCCAGAGGCGTCGGATAGACACAAGAGCACAGTTTCTCTTTGAGAGAGCTTTGATTTCGCTTCCTTAAGCCAGCCAGCGAGAATTTCGTCGATTTGGAGCATTGTGGTGCTTTTTACCAACTTGATGTTTTGAATGGGCATCGGATTCTGGCTCGCAAAGTAGTTGATGATGTCGTAAATATGGTTTCGTGTTATTAGTTCTTCGACTATGAGGAAGTCATCTGGGACGCTATCGATGTAAAAGTGCCGGGCATCCTGGCCAAAAATTCTTAAGAACTCTTCCCTCCTTTCCCGCATAATAATTATTCTGGCAGAATCAGGCCTGACTGCTTTGGAGACCTTTTTGATTAGGGATTTTGGCCTCTTTTGGATACTATTATATCTTTGTAACCATTCTTCAACTGAGAACCTTGTATTTACCACCGCCAGCCCTCCAAATAGACTCGGCATGCAGCGTTGGTAGTATTGGTAAAGATTCTGAAGCTTCCCCGAGAATGCTTCTGTTGAACTGAGAACAAAAACGATAGCTGTGAGGTGATTGTAACCTTCCCCAACCTGCGATAATCTCTTTAGGTGCATCATGACTTCAGCTATATTGCGGTCATCTGATCCCTGACTGTCATCTAATCCAGGAGTGTCGATAAGACGAAGTTTGATTATGCGGGGATTTTTTTCCAGTGGGAATATTTCGCAATCTTCGGCCGTTTTCCTCTTCCAGATTTTATGGAATAGATGATCCTCGTTATCTTCGGAAACGTCGATTTGCTGCGAATTTTCTATATCGACGAGCTTGTAGCGTGTACGTCTAAACCGCATGATGTGTTCTTTGCAAGTTTTCGTGCAGCTCTGAGAGCCATCTCCCTCAATCGCGCCTTCTGATTCAGGCTCATACTCCGATAGTTGTCGAATTTTGTTGATAAAAGTACTTTTCCCATTTTGCGATGGGCCAATCAGGAGAATATTGAGTTCGCCCTCCATAATTTGATCGTACGTTGGCCTTTAGTTTTAATCGTGAGAACGTCCAGAATTGATTTGAAGGGCTTAATTGTAGGAAGACGCTTGGGCGTGACTGTTATTAGTCTCGAGATCTCTATCGATAGCTACCAGGCAAATTTAAAGCTTAAAAGCTATAATTGGAACAGGAAAACCGCTTTGCGCCGATCTTTAATATCGACAGTGTTCTAACCCGCTTGATATTATCGGTAAATTATCCCAAGTATATCGCTATTCCTAGCTAGATGTAGCTATGAAGGTGTGTTGAAATATCGGAATCAATCAGTTAATTGGGCAGTACAGCTAGACTAGCTATCGGGTAGATGTTCTTCCGGACCTCTTCCACCCTTTGCACGCGGTGAACCTGATAAAATCGCCCATGTATTAAATTAGTGAGCCTTGCGAGATAAAGCGCACCGATATGCAACTATATCAGTACTACGAGACATATACAGCCTTGAACTCGGGATAAGTACTCGCAGTGGTAGTGCACTGTGAAAGTTCAGGCAATTTTCCCTTTGCATCACGAGTCCATAAACATAATGTAATAAGATCCGAGATGGCGTTCGCTAGTGAGAGGCGATACTTACATGATGCATGAGTTTGTTGCTGCGGCTGAACATCGGTGCTTTATAAATCGCAAATGGAGCCGTAGGAATATATTATTACAAGTATTTGCCGTGCATTCCGAAAAGGCTTGTCGCAATCATGAAGCTTCGCACGAGGCTTGGAAACCTAGGATTTTATCGCATGATTTTATCGCAACAGCTCGACCGGCTTGTAGGCCAATCAAAACGCATCAGCCGTTAAGCTGGCTATTTTTTTCTAAGTTTTTGAATATCACAAGCTTCATTCGAATACTCGTAGCCGCCCGAACGAAACCAAAAAGGCTGCTTCATGCTTCAGCGACATGCAGATTTGGAATCAATATGCAACTAGACATTGGTGTGGTTCCGAAATGCATAGCAGTGAGAATTAATGATCCACAATCCCACGAACAGCTCGTTAAGTATCAGTACCTTCGAATCGGATTTGGGGGCAAAGTTTTGAGCCGTGCGCCACCAAACCGGCAAACCTCAACAAACCTTGCGTCTAAGTTATATTTCATCATGAAATATTATGTTGATCCTCCACCGCATAGCTATTGTGCTTGATTTGTAGTATTGCCTTGTAAAGATAGAAAAAGAAGAAACCAAGGCCGGGTAAGTCGGCCAATTCGATATACGTACGGCTAGGCTTTCCACTCATACTAGAAGTTCAATTCATCGATGTCAAGATCAAATATCTTTTCACTCTTGACTTCACACGTAAAAGATTTATGAAGTTTGATCATTGGCTTGCGCACTTCATACTTTTTTTGTCTCTAGCGCTCGAAAAGAAGCGGTGCTACTAGACTATAATATAGGTTTACGTACTACCAAAGCCATATACCCTGAGCTCCTGAATTCAAGCTATCATTTAAAACTTTAATATCAATATCCCGACGTCGACACCAATATATTGATATCTACAACAAAAATCTCAAGATTTAATGAATTACACAGAATTACCACCGAGGTACGAAGGGCTACCGCCTGATCTATCCGGCCCCTCCATCCAAAATGGGCCGATCAATGTCCTGATAGTTGGGGAAACCCAACAAGGCAAAAGCACGCTAGTAAAGCACATACATACTTATGCAGGTCTTCCAGACCCTGATATCAAAATTGGTTCTGGAAACGTATCTTGCACTCGATTTTCGCAATACTACGAACTGGATGTAAATCTTCGTTCTTACCACCTCGAAGACACATCTGGCAATAAAATCGAAATTTCGAAAGACAACTACAGGAAATTATGTACATACGACAATGAAGACGCGAAGGTCGCGTTGACCGCCCCCGAGTCAGGAATACCGTACCGGACCATCAGGTTCAATATCTTGGATACTCCAGGTCTTGATGACAGCGATGGGAAAGATATGGATATCATGGCTGGAATATTGGCCAAAGCCGGCGAGCTGAGCCATATCCATGCCATAGTATATGTCCGAAATTCCTCAACAAACTTTGGAGAGTCATTCAAATCATTCTTTGGATATCTCCAGCGATCAATGCCTAGTCTGGCTCGCGGCCTTGTCATAGTTCATAGCTCTTTTACTCCCATGAGAGTCACCTCTCACATTCGACAAGGAAAAGATTGGTCAGAGATTCGACGGGAGGGTTTCAAAGCTGCAACGAATCTCGAACTTGCCCATTTCTTCATGGATAATGAACCTGATACCAATAGTCCTTTAAGTATGGTTCTTTCATTGAATGAAACTTGTGCTTTGTTATCACATATCAAAGAACAACCGGTGCAGCCAGCATCGTCATTCAAACTGCTCAAAACCCCACGCATGCAGCAAGTAGACGGGTTTGTCATTAATGCGGTCGCCGAAGTCAGAAGGGTAATCAAAAAAAAACTGGAAGAGTCTTCAAAGAACCTCACTAGCAACGAGCTTAAGGCTCTAGAGGACCAGAGCGAACTAGCAAGATTAACCAGAAAGATTCAACTCATAAACGACGATATCAAAGGCTACGAATATGGTCCTGATATCGTACTAGGATCAGTTTCGGTTACCGAAGAATTCTCTTTTCTTGGAAATCTTATTCTGAAGCAAGAATTCAACTTACCGGGGAAAACGATGAATTTCAATACTGATGAGCCGATCGGGTACGTCCAAAAGTCTGCAACTGGTGGAAGCAGATGGGCACAAGAGACTATACAGGGTAACCGCTGGAGCGGTTTTATCACTGCCGGTTTGTTTCGAAGCATACGTGGCTCCGCGACATTCTACGTCAAGTCAGAAGCCAAGTACAGAGCACAGATCCGATCCTTAAAAGAAGAAAAGAATGAAACCGAAGAGAAATTTAAACGACTAGACGCCCTCAAGACTTCTGTTTCCTCTGTTCAGAAGGGCATCCAGCAATTAAATCTACTCCTTGGCCAGTCTGACGAGCTAACTGTGGCGGTGAAGCGAGATATTATGGATATGAAATTGTATCCAGATCTCCGTCAACTGTACTCAGCAACCGAGCCCCGCCTGTCTCGAGGAGAGATAACTGCCTTTATCCAAGTTTATAACACTGAAATTGCGGAGTTTTATGAAAAATATAGTTGAAGCAACTGACCTTTCACCCATTATACAATGGTATCACGGGTACCTTGGTTCGGCTATGCCATTTCTTTTTAGTATATTTTGTGAGGGGTTTGACTTATGGTATTTGCATGCTCTGCTATACTAAGTTCCGTTTGTTTGATCAACATGTCGAGCTGTCGGCTTGTACGTGATTCAAGTAATTATGGAGGAGTTTGGCGACGAGGTTTCAAAAAAATAAAATTGAGAAAAATATCAAAACGTTAGAAATCTAAGAGTTTACGGTAGATCGTTCGGAATAGTTTCATGCTGACTATGAAAGTATCTTGGCTGGGTCCGGGAACCATATCTGTGTACACGCCTTCGGCATGCTCATTTCCTTGTCACATGTGGTATTTTCTTCAAACCACGCGTTGTCGCCTGTCGTCTCATCCTGTCACACAAAACTTTTCCCAAGCTTAGCAACCCGGATTCGATTCAATATCTCCGGCGTCCCTGTCCAACCAAAAAACTCTCCACCAGAACTCCATAATCTCTTATCATGATAATACGACCGCCCCCGTCGCTTCCCTCGCGACTCCTCAACCCCTCCACCCTTCTACGCCGCCAACCGGCTTTCACCCCAAAATCTCGTCTCCTAAACAGCAGCCACCAAACCCGAACCTTCATCCTCCCAACAACTTCCAGCTCCCCGCAACGTCTAACCGTAACCCGGAATCTCCATCACCCACCGTCAAAACTCTTCACCTTGATCTCCGATATAAACTCATACTCCTCATTCGTCCCCTTCTGCGTAAAATCCACGGTCACATCTACAACTTCGCCTCCGGATTCTTTCCCTACCACAGCAGACCTAAGAGTCGGATGGGGCGGTTACGACGAGACTTTTTCGAGTAAAGTGCAGTGTGAGCGATTCGATGACGGGAAAGGAGGAGTTGTGCTGGCTGATGCTAGTGAGAATGGAATTTTTGAGGTGCTAAGAGCTAGATGGGTTGTTAATGATAAGGATATGGGCACGGATACTGTGGAGAAGAAAAAAGAGGAGAGTAAGGTGGATTTGGAGATCGAATACAAGTTTGCGAATCCGTTGTATGCGGTTATGAGTGAAGCGGTGGTTCCGGTGGTTGCGGGCAAGATTATTGAGGCGTTTGAAGGGAGAGTGGAGCAGGTGCTTGGGAAGAGGTGATTTAGAGATATCCAGCTATTGTCTGGTGGTCGAATGCCGAGGTCGAAAGGCGATCTTGGGATGTGTATATATGTATAGAACGAACGACTGTATTATAGATCATAGAATAATAGAATTGAGCATTTCAGCGACACAGATATGATTGAACGACTTTTGATTTTTGCAGGTCTTGAGGTATCGGACATCGCTGGACAAGCAATCTGGGAATATCAAGGGTGAGAGGAAAGGAGAACGAGCAACTTCAAAATAAAACGGCCTTAAAAGCAGATGCAATTGATTTCCCGACCCAATAATGTCAAACTCCGAGGGAACGACATAGAATACAAAAGTAAGAAAAGGACAGTTTTTGCGTATTTACACCGGAAAGACAACCGGAATACTATAAAAACAATGAAGTGGCTTGATAGATTCAAGGTTGGCGGGGGTTGATGGCGGTTCGGAATAGACTAGGCTTCGAAACCTAGTTTATGGAGGAAGGCCCAATTGAGGTCTGCAAGATGGACTAGCCCCAGACAAAACTAACTGGTACCTCAAAGTGTCCTAACTGGTATGGTTGATGGTGGTTGGAGGTATGCGGTTATTGACTGTCTAGTATTTGAGGATCATTCGCCTGTTCATGTGTTTTCCCCGGATTAGCTATCGGCCCGACCCCGGCACCCTTGCAGGACTGATGAAGAGGGAGAGGGAGAGGAAGAGGGGGAGCAATTGGACATACACTAGCTCAAATAGCAATCCACCGAAGACGACAAAGCCAAGGAGGGCGAACCAGATTGGAGATATTGGGTTCTTTCCGACCTTCTCGTAGGTCTTGCGCTCGGTGTCGGCTTTACCACGCTTGGCGGCCTCTCGCTGTTACATATACCCATATTAGACCTGTATTATTATTATGATCGGGGCAGTCGCATGGATACAGTGGATATCGTACCTTTGCGAACTTTTCGTTGGCCAGTCTCTGCTGGGGGGTTTGCTGTGCCTATATGTTTCGAGGAGGGTCGATTAGCTGATCGAGGTCGCACACATAGTTAGTTACATCTGGATGAAGGGGGATGCCAACCATTGTGAAAGTGTTTTGGGAGAAGACCGCGGTTATATTACTAAAAGAAAATACGTAATATAAGAGAATAAGGTGCTATAGGAAGCGATGAAGCTGGTGACGCTGAATGGGAAGGGATTAGTTAAGAGAGTAAAGTGTGGAGAGAGAGATCGGGTGAAGCGCACGAGATTCACTTTATAAGAAGTCCCAAAGAAGATACGTGTTGACTTTCTTTCCCCTTCGCGAAGAAGCAATTAAAATGAATCTTTACGGCAAGCTGCAGCCGCACTCTTTTTTGTTTCTAACGCTTCGAGAAAATACCACATTGGCATCCCCGATGGACAGGGGTATAGAACGAGTATAGCGTGGAAGGCCGGGGTATGCAAAAGTCTTGTTTGGGGTTTCGATTAACTAACCGGGACTGTCGTCGGCAGTACATAGTTTCTTGCTAAAAACACCATCTTCGACGGGTTTAAAACGGAACGAACGAACGAACAATAGGATGGCGACACGCCTGGGGCTACTCGCATTGGGTATCGGAAGGCAGCAAGGGAGATTATGGCCCGTGGTCGTCCGACAGACGCCGTCGTCGAGATATATTCGGTTTTCAACGTCGAGTAGTTCTAGATCAGATTCGAGTTTGAATCCCAGTCCGAGTCCGAGCCCCGCTACACCGCCCGGCGAGCCGAAGAAGAAGTCACCACATGTACGTTATCATGGAAATCGATTACACGGCCTTTTCGACAAGTCCTGTTGGAGTGGGAGCCGGATATGGAACTGACAGAGCGGAATGAATTGGAATTATGCAGGTCGGATTCTACCAGGTATACGGCCGGGCGCTTTCGAAGGTCCTGTTGATGTCGCTGCTGTTCTACCAAGGATTGTACTACGGATGGATGTACCTGGAGCACTTGGAAGTCAAGCATGGAAAGGAAGGTTGGTTCTTGTCTACCCTTTCGTGGGTACTACAGGGCTATTATATATGGGAAAGGCTAACGGCATTGGAGGTGACAGGGGAGATAAAGGCACTCGAGCAGAAGATTAGAGACCTGCAGGAGGAAAAGAAACAGCAGAAGGCTGCATAATCTTGATATCAGCCATCGATATCATCGTATCATCAAGGCTATCGCATGGTATATAAGAAGAGACGAATTGTACATATTTTGGGAATAAAGTCGAATGTCGTCGATCGGCGTTAAGTTGCCATATATAACACTCTTAAATCCGACTGAGTATCAAACCCCCCTTCATATGATTGCCACCACCATATCTACTAATCAGAACCTCCTATATCATATGATCATTATAATTATTTGAATACGATCTAGAATTATTTGAGATTGGTATAATTAAAGAACAGTTCTGGTTAATTGATTGATCACGGGACTTCGTTTCTGCCAAGCGATGTCCTCCTCGCGAACGTGAACCGGCCTAGGCTGCATACTGGCGGCCATACCGGGTACTCGAGACGAAGCAGCTACGGCAGGATCCAGAACCCCCCCCCTGTTCTCCGTAACCTTATATTCTGGCTATACGCCGTTCAATTGAATTTTACAACTTAAACCTTTGTTTCGCGCTGTCGCAAAAATTTCTATCCATTGTTTTCTTTCATTCCGAAACGTGGTGACCGTCAATGGCTTCCTCATGTCTATAAAACTCTCGTTGCTGCGACCTCAACTCTCTTCCTCTTCCTCCTCCCCCTCACCCCCCTCCTCAACATCAACATCGCCTCACCATCACTTATCACCAACAATCACGATGCCACCGCCAATCGGAACCACGGTGTTCCGCCCAAAAACCATCTCCGTCTCATTTCGTAAGTGGTACTCATATATATATTTAGATTTGATGCACTTTCCTAGATGCTAATTTTTGTAGCTGCAGCAGCAACAACTAGTCGACCTTCGACAACAAAAAAGGCTCCAACGAAGAAGCGACGAGCGAATGCCGCCTTTATTGATCTAACTGAGCCGAGTGCAGAAGCTACTATCACCACTCCCTACTTGACACTCTGGAGGCATCGAGTGCAATTGGTAGGTTAATTGTATAAAAGCGGGCCTTACCAGATTTTTGAGCTAAAACCTGCTGTTCCTTAGGCCATACCAAAAAAAGATGCCTCGGATATCGCCGACCAGCTCGCTCCTGCGCTCCAATCGGCGAGTGGTGGGACACTACCGGTAACCATCACTTGTTTTCCCGACGCTGGTTGGCCTGCTTGGGGCCATACCTTTCGCGTTCAGGGGACGGACGGCGCGCATTTGTTGGCCGCCGACGTCCCCATAGAGCAGGGCATCCGTGACCTTAGCGAGATACTCTCAAGGTTCCAGCGTGGGAGCAAAGTGAAGCAGAACTTTGCAATCTCATGGTCGTTGCTTCTCGGTGCGATACCGATAGCCGATCAGACCCACATCACCTTTGAGCTAGAGGTCAAGAGGAGAGATAGCTGCATAATCGATTGGAAGGCGGAGAAATGGCTGTCGTTGTTTCTCTCTGTGACAGTCAGCAATTCGGCCGTGCCGCCTTCTCTTGCCGATGTCCGGGCCGCTATCAATGCATCTTCCAAAACCAAGGGAGATATCAAGGCCAAGGACTTTTATCACTCTGTTTATGTCCCTCCAGCTGCAACTGTAGTTCCTGAGGCCATCCAAGTGAGCGAGCTCACTACAACAATGTTCCCGTTCCAGATGCGAACGGTGAACTGGATGATGGAGCGTGAAGGGGTTACTGTGGAGTCGGGCTGTATCGAGCCCCTTCCCATAACCCCTTCCGTTCAGAATCTCTGTTTCGAGGAGACCGTGGACCCCAACGGTACTCCTATGTGGGTCAGCATTCCGCTCGGGATAACCACTACTGATCGTGCAGGCATTGATCAGTTAGCTGCTGAAAGCAGTATCAAGGGCGGTATACTTGCAGAAGAGATGGGTCTTGGCAAAACGGTCGAACTAATTTCCCTCCTCGCCCTACACAAGCGCCATATCCCAAGCGGTGGGGAGACTGTCTGGGACTCCTTCAGTGGGGCTAAAATTCGGACTTCCGCCTCAACGCTCATCATATGTCCACCGAGCATCATGCAACAATGGATCAACGAGTTGGAACTTCATGCACCAGGTCTTCGAGTTCTAAAGTATGATGGGACTCGTGATCTCACTCAATTAGTATATCAGAAGAAAAATGGAGCCAAGAGCCGTATCTCAAACAGCCGATATAGGGATCTCACCACTGAAATGCAGAGCATCCCGAACTCTGACTTGATAGAATACCTTCTCGAGTACGACATCGTACTTTCCAGTTATAATGTCCTCGCTAATGAGATACACTATGCCGAAAAACCTCCAGACCGTTCTCTTCGCCAACCAAAGCGATTTGAGCGCCGCTCCTGCCCCCTAGTAGAGATACAATGGTGGAGAGTTTGTCTAGACGAGGCACAGATGATTGAGAGTGGAGTTAGCAATGCAGCACAAGTGGCCCGCTTGATTCCTCGGGTTAACGCTTGGGCCATTACCGGGACACCAGTGCAGAAGAGTATTGAAGACCTATACGGACTGTTGGTCTTCCTACGACAAGGCCCATGGTGTGGGAACAAGATCACCTGGGAGAAACTTTGTTTTAAGAAAGAGTGGTTTGGCGGGGTATTCCACCAACTGGCACTACGGCATACAAAAGATATCGTCCACGAGGAGATTCATCTCCCAAGACAGCATAGGACGGCTATATCTCTTGGCTTCTCACAAATCGAGGAGGAGAATTATCAGGCGTTATTCCAGCGGGCGTGCCGAGAAATAGAGGTTGATCTAGATGGGTCACCGCTTCAAGGAGACTGGAATCCGGAGAGTGAAGATACTAGGTCCAAGATGCGTGAGTGGTTGGGACGCTTGAGACAGACTTGTGTACATCCCCGAGTTGGAGCGCTCAATCGTCGTGCGCTAGGAGCAAACACGGACGGCCTAAGGACAGTCAACGAAGTTCTCGAGGCCATGATGACCCAGAACATAAATTTAGTGAAGCAAGATCAGCGAACGATGTTTGTGCTTATTGCCGCGCGAGCACAGCTCATCGCCGAAGGGTGGGGTAGCCCTCAGGGAGCTGTCACTCTTTTGATGGAATTTTTAGATCCTCTAGAAATTGCAGTTAGCGAATGTCGGACTGAACTCGAGGTTGAAAGCTTACGATTGGAGTCTGAGAAAGAAGCTAGGAAAGAGAGAGAACGCGAAGCTGAAGAATCGATGGACATCGCCGATACTACTGAGGATGAAAATACGAATCAGCATGAAAGCAACGAAGAGGACCTACAAGAATCTGATGACGAATATGACGAATCGTTTGAGGACGACGGCGGACCCGCACATGATTTAAACAAGTTAAAGAACCGCCTGAGAGACATCATCGAGGTCCAGCATACATTTCACTTTTACTTAGGACAAGCACATTATAACCTGAAAGATTGTATCCCTGAAGATGACGAAGAACGTCACGAAGAAAGAATGGGGTATGAAAAGCTTGAAGATAAGCACTACGATATCGCGAAAGCCCTTCGAAAGGAACTTATGTCTGAGCCCGAGAATCAAGTCAACAAGTTCATCTCAGTAATAGCTAAGAGGACGGAGAACCAAGACTTTGTCGCCATCCCCGAGATTATCATTAAAGAACAAAGGGGTGGTATTGAATCGACCACTCTCATGGATGATATCCTAGCTTTGGCCGAAAAATTGAACTCTCAAGCCGATCTTCTCGACAAGTGGCGTGAGGAACTCATCCAACTCTTGCAACTCCCCTTGACCGACCAAGAAGATACAAAGGACCTCGAAGGTGACGAATTCCAGGAGTCTACCGAACAACAGGATACCGGTTTCCTTTATGTTGCATTCCTCCGCGCTGTTATTGCTGATCGACGACAAGCTTTAACCGGCATCACTATCAGTCACTATAACAATGATATTGAATCCGCTGAAGCACGCCTCGAATCTAAAGACGAGAAACATCAAGAGCTATTCTATAGCCTAAAAGACCAACGTGACGAAGCAAAACCTCTCAACGTCGAAATCGAAGTCGGGTCCGATGCCGTCCCATTTTCTATCCGCGGTCTTCTCGCAAAACTACGACGTCTTGCAAACCCTTTGCATGATAGTTCTACAACCGTAACCGCTCGTGCCAAAGCCGAAGCAGGCCTTGTCAACCAAGCAGTCAAGGTCATCGCCCCACTATTTTCTAAACAAGAAGAAACCCTTAAAGCCCTTGAAAAAGAAATCGATTTCCTAAACAAAGTATTCAACACCCGTCTAGAATTCTACCGCCAACTTCAAATGGTCTCAGACACAGTCATTAGCTTCGATGAGGCCAAAGCCCTAAAGGCCAACCACGTCCGCAACCTAACCCTACTTCACGATAAATACGAAAAGGAAGTCAATGATCTTTCGAATAGTGTTGCAAAAGCCAAATCCAAGGGAAAGTTCCTACAACATCTTGCTGAAAATCAAGGGGATAATCAACGACAATGTATCATCTGTCAAGATGACGTCAAGATAGGCGTGTTAACAATCTGCGGTCATCAGTTTTGCAAGGAATGTATGGACGCGTGGTATAAACACCATCCATCATGTCCGATGTGTAAACGTTCCCTCAAGAAGGTAGACCTTCATCCCGTTACATACATGATGCAGGATATCGTGGTTGAAAAAGAGAACCGAACACTACCTGAGGCAACTAACCAAGGCGAAGCCTCCAACGAAACCGGAGATAAGGGTATTGAGATCTACACTGGCATTGAATCCGATACCTTTAAACAAATCAAGAAGATTCCCCTTCGCGAAAACTTCGGCAGCAAAATCGACATGATAATCCGCCACCTCCTCTGGATTCGTCGTACCGGCGGTGGGAAGAGCGTATTGTTCTCCCAATGGAAGGAAGTTCTAGACGTTCTATCACGAGCTATGGAAGCCAACGGGATAGGATATTCAAGTCTTGAATCGAAACTTGGACTTAATAAGTTCAAAACTGACGATAAGACCGAAGTTTTCTTGCTACATGCTAAAAGTCAGAGCGCCGGTTTGACATTAGTGACGGCTAGTAACGTTTTCTTGGTGGAGCCGTTGGTTAATATCGGAATCGAGGTTCAGGCTATTGCGAGAGTTCACAGGATTGGACAAAAGAGAGAGACGAATGTCTTTCTCTATGTTATTGGAAATACGGTCGAGGAGGGAGTTTGGAGACTTAGTACGAAGCGTCGAGTTGAGATGTTGGAGGAGAAAGGAAGCCCCCAAAAGAAGAGGAGAAGGTTACAAGATCAGGAACAACCTGATAGAAAGGGGAAAAGGAGGGCGAGGGATGTGGAGATTGAAACACGCCGTCAAGAGGAGGATTTGGAAGTTCAGCTTGAAATCACGAATTCTTTACAGTTGCAGGAAGGGACAGTAGGTAGCATGGTCGAGAAAGGACAAAATGGTGGGGAGATCGTCAATTCAGATCATTTGTGGGGATGTTTGTTTGGAGTTCAGAGGAAGGATAGGACGGTTGAGATTGAAGGGGTTAGGAGAGAACAGGTTGTTGCTGCTCGAGAAGAAGGAAGGGGTAATGTGGTTGATGATAGTGGTGTTTTTGATGGGGCTGGGAACAGACCTGCCATCCTGAACCTCCAAGGAAGCGATAGAATCGGGAATCATGCGGAGGGATCTAGCATGGCTGGTGGCAAGAGCTAGGGTGAAGGTGAAGTAGTCTCAATTTTTGTTACTGATCATCGATGCATAGCTTTGTTATTTCGTTCATTGGCGTGAATTCTGGGTGGCGTTTAGTGATCTAGATCATTAGAGGGAGGTTTATATGGGAATGAATGGCTTAGGATATTTGCGTATTTTAGGGACCTGGGGTGCTCTGAAGCCATGTACTATAGATCACTACTAGACGGGAATCTAATAAATAAATGGATCCCTGGCGAATAATATTCCCATTATGAGACACGCACGTTGTTAGATCGAAAGAAAACGAGATCTAGCTGGCGCCGATATTCTAAATTACCCCAGATACTTAGATAAGAAGTATAAGCGAGAAGGGAAAACACGATACTATGCTGATACTCCGGATTTCGACTTGAAACTGATAATCTCACAATCCAATGTTTCCAGATCGACCAAGACCAGCTCTCCCGTTTCTGAAAACTTGGGGATTGTTATCAGGCGAACTTCTTGGTTGTTTAAACCTAATGGTGAAACTATTAGACGCTACCTCTTAGGGCTTTTAGACGGAAATTACATACCATGTGTTAGTCTTGTACCAAACTCCGACTGATTCCCAATAAAATATACATGCGGACAGGTTTCTATCACGAATTGGTCATCGTCTTGGAATGGATAGCACCCTAGTTACACCCGTTAGCTTTCATAAAAACACGATGATAGGAGCTATATGTTAAAACCGCGGCTGCCACTTACATAATGTATCCGGCGCCGTCGGCGCCACAAGCCTCCATCTCAATGTCTTCTCCATCATCTCTAACCGATCATCACCATCCACATATTTGAATACATCGTCAATAGTCTGCCCACTGGTTCCCAAAAACCTCACTCCATCAATTTCACAAGCATGGGGGTTTGTAGATGGTATAAACGTCGACCCTGTATAGTACTTCGCCGTGGGGAACATCGTCGGGTGCATCTTTTGCTGTGGTAATGACGCATTTGCAGGATCAGTTTCTCCAGGCATAAGTGTTACGCTTATAGATGTGCAGAGGTCGGTTAAGAGAGCATCTAATACAGCCGTGGGCTTAGCGTTGTAGGATGCGGCGTCGTAGCCGTACTTTTTGGACTTGGTGGGACGGGATGATGATGCTGCTGCTGCTGCATCGTCGGTTGCTTGAGCGTGGGGTTCCGATAATGAGTTTCCAGCAATTATGAGACGGGATATTGAAGATGTTTTTGCTTGGTCTTCTGGACTTCCGGCCTCCCCTAGGAGATATTCGACTAGTAGATGTGTTTCTATACTTTCATGGATGTTCCCGGTGATGTTTAATCCACTGAGCAATGCTACGTAGTTCCTCTGGCTAGATGGGGCTTTGGGAATAGGTCGTGGGTTTTGGTCTGGTAGCTCGGGGAGGACTATGTCTATAACCTCGAACTCGCCGCTAGCGGTTTCCGTGCCCATTACGCCGACTACACAACCCGTTACTAGATCTTCGGTTTTTATTTTGGAGCCGACAAGCTCAAGGCGGCCGGATTCATCTTCGATCATTATTTGATCTTTTTCGAAATCTCGATATTTTTGGCGGGGGAGGGGTGCAGATATGAAGTGCTTTGGTGAAATTGTTAGTGACTGCGAAGAAGATTTAATACCAAACGAAGAAGGGGGTACGGCATACATCTTTTGCAATGTCATCGAGCACATTAGGCTTCAACGGCATATTCATGTATATCGTTCCGGTAATCCAGCATAATTCTCCTATTCACACCGAGCGTCTTAGATTTCTTTTCCTTCTCTCTCATTTTCGCAAATCCCAATAACACATGAAAAAGACTTCAGATGAAGCTTGTAGAAATATATAAAGCGGACCTTGTCGTACATCTAGCACCCGATCTACACGTTTAACATAATCTCCGTTGACCTATAAGTTCCCCACGGCTTGTTAGACTCTCCCTGCTAGCTAATTATTAGAAACATCTTATTGTGGAGGGTTTTACTTCGACGGCATCCCATCGTTCACGACCATGAGCTTCAACGATACGTTTAAGCTTTGCGAGTCGTAAAAAGTAGATATCGACATATTGTGTTTGGTAGGAGAGCGTGTCGAGTTGGAATTTGGTATCGGTTTTGTAAACGGTTTGGTGCCGTTCGAAGACTGGGTTTTCACTTTGGGAATAAGAAGGTTGTTAGCTGAGCTTGTAAACAGGTTTCGAAGACCCGGCGGGACTTGGAAGTACCTTGTCATGTCGGAAGGGTCCGTAGTATCGTGAGTGGGATTGGTGGTATACAAGGGTTCGTGAGGTTGAAGTCGCGGTTGAGGTCGAAGTCAGAGCTAGGTTTGGCGAACGGAGCTTGGGCCATGGGAAGACGCGACGGTTTCCGACAACACGAGAGCTCCCAAATTACCACAAATTGATTCTGGTAAGTACAATCTCGTAATTCGGGTAGCCAATTGCAATTTTTTTCTTTCTTTCTTTCCTTCTTCGAAGAGGTCTGTGACATTCGATTCTTAAACTTCTTCCAATACAATCTTATATTACAGCGAACTAGCTATTGACATAGCATTATTATATTCTAAGCAATGATATGTACCCGCAACCAATCAAATCAATAAAAAAGCTACCCACGCCGTAGCTCATCAAGCACTTGCGATCTTTTCTCCCCATCTGCGAAAAGCGCCTTAACTAGGTCCATTAACTCGTCTTTCTCAAAATCCACGAGAGCGCCCTCTCTCCAAAGATCCATGATCTCTGCCATGCTGCTATCCAAAATATTTCCAAGATATTGAAACTTTAGCCATTTCTCGCAATAGACCTATAGTAGATGTAACCGATATTAGCAATGAAAGATGATTAAAAGCCTATATATTCGGGTAAATATATACTTACAGCTGTGACGGGCAAAGCATCACTTGGTTGATCAGGAAGTTTGAATAAAGACTCTAGTCTTCCAAACTCAGAAACATACGAAGCCAATTTCTCAGACGCGTCAGCCGAAATATCGCCCAAGTCTTCAATGTCGGCAATAAACTTCAGGACGACTGTATTTAGTAACGAGCCTAGCGATTGTAAGAGCGCCGATCTCGAGAGTGTGTCCTAAATTGACTGTTAAAAACTTGGCTAGTCGGTATCAGGGGCCTCATAAACTTACCCTCCACTGCATTTCAATGCCCTGTATTGTATCGATTACGCTTCCAACCGCAGTCTCGCAGTTTTCGGAATAAGGGTATTGCGTGCAATGATCGAATCCTTGGGCGCCATCCATCAGATCAGATAAAATGACTCTTTTGCTATCCTATACACCAAACTATTTAGATATCCGCACTATAAGCCCAGGTACAGGCTGTGGGAGATATTACCATTTCTCTCCAATAAGCTCTCCTTCCAAACGTCGAGATGGCCTTGATACTCGGCTGGAGATCGAATCCAACAAAAGGCCCGGAACGGCTTTTTACATCTTTCTCAAGCCCCGCCAGATTTTCTTCTAGCCATTCGCAATCATTATAGATAGATATTGCCGGGTTAGGATCGTCTCGATAGAATATTGCAGATAGAGCCCTGTATAAAGTGAGAATTGATGTCGGTACGGATAAAAGACCGGATATTGAGGAAGCAATTGATAAAGTTGAATATTGGGGCTGAGCTAATTTTTCCGCCTCGGAAATCGTGCTCATAATTATAGCGATGACTTCTTGCGGAATGGATGTTATGCTATAGGTTTCTCGTAAAGTTATGTCCTTGACTTCTTTTTCTTGTTGTCGCACACTAGTCCTCGCTGGAGCAATTGGTTCCTGAGGTTGGTCATTATCGTCTCCCCAACCCCAGTTGTCCTCTTCTGCGTCAGGCGGATTGGGTTTAGCCTCGGTGGTGGCTGGCTTCTCTGATGGTTCGTCAACCTCAATATCGATATCATCATCGAAACCCCATCCGCTAACATCCTCATCGTCGTCCACCGTGGAGTTCAGGTCTGGTTTAGACTTTGCCACGGCTGGCTCTGTTGATGGCGGAGGTTTTTTTCCCTCCTCTTCATCTTCTATCTCTACGTCCCAGTTTGTGTCCCAATTATCCTCGCCCTCGTCGATAGGCTTGGGAACTTCTGTCGCAACACCATCTACCTCTTGCACCCTTTCGACCCGTTCCACACGATGCCGTTGACCGAGACCCAATGCAAATGTTTGGCGAAGAGAATCCAACGCCAATTCCCGACGTCGGTTGAGCCAAATTCGAGGCGCTCGAGCCACCCAGTCCTTCAGCTCACCGCCGTGCCCATCCAACCATCCCGTTTGTGACAAATATCCTTCAAAGGCAAGAGTTTCTTTTAAGACCAACTCAAACTCGCTGAAATGATCGGGGTCTGTTGGAATGCAACCAGGCAAATAGGATCCCATGAGAGTGTTCAGGATGGCTGGTGTGAGCGTTTTCGACAATAATAAGGATATTTGCACTCCGAACTTTGCGGTAAGAAATTCAAGGACCAGTTTCAGGTCATTGTAAAGCGATGTTACCGTGAAATTAGGACTGCTGCGCCGTTTTAACTGAAGCTGAGTCTTGCTTTCGTTGGTTGTAAAAGTGAGACCGGCTCCAGATTCATGATCCAACCGTGGGAAAACGAGTATTGTAGTAATTCGGTAGTGTAACCTATCCAACCGTTCTTTTAAAATCCCAAGTCTTTCGAGGGTCTGGACAAGACGCTCGCCGTTTACCGATCCGAGGCCAACTGACACACTGTTTTGGATCGTTATACTAGAATCGGATGGGTTTGAGGTTATGAGTTCTGCCCAACAGCTTTCCACTTTACCAGAAATATCTTCTCTCAATAACCGAATATTTTCCTTGGCCAAACCAACCGCAAGAACTTGATCGAACGTTGAAACTTTTTGGAATAAGCTAGTTGCATCTTCGAACCATCTACAGGCAGTATCAAGAGCGCCCTCTTCGAGGGACGACTGCGCACTGCCAACAGCATCCTGAAGTTCTTTCAAATTTGACAACAGCAATACAAGCTCCTCGTTAAAGAATATTTCAGCCCCCAGCAGCTTTTTTTGGCTACTTAGGTCGTAGACTCTGCTGTCTAGTTTCTTGACCCCTCAACATCAGTACAGCCACCCAGGATATGTTACACAAGGGTGTATAGAAGTTACTGACAGCTCCATACGATTCGAAATGAATTATCTCCGACAGTGAGCTATGATCTTGGGATAGCTCTGTGTGAAGCTGGCGAGCTTCTTGAACCCATGTTGCAACCTCAGACCGTTGGGACTCTCCAATATGTTTGATTTCGGACTAAATAATTTAGATACCGTCAGTGGCTGTGAAAATTCTATAAGAGAAACATTGCGTGACACAAAATAGCAGCTACCTTAACGCCATCTATGGTCTCTTGAAGTAAAGCCAGAACACCAGGCAAACTATCGGGCGACAGTTCAGCACTAGAGACTTCGTCACTTTCTGGGAATAGCCCATCGACGGCTTGTAAGACCGCCTGCGCGATCTCGTTCTCGCTGACCATTCCTCCCGAGCTCAAGATTCTTTTCTTTAGCGGCGCAGATGTCGTTCTTGACTTTTGAGGCCATGTGTTATGTTTATGGTTGTAACGTTGGTTTACACTCAACGCAACCGAACGTCATGAAGAAGCGCTGCATGTATCGGATTTAAAGGCCAATACTCGGATATAATATCGACAACAGAAACAACGCGGAATATTTGCCTTCGCCACTAATTAACAGCCAGCCTGTTAATGTGCGTGCGAACATACGCATGCGCCGCCCAATTTCGCATTTCACCAACTGGTTCCGCGCCATTCTATTCTTAGTCGTACAAGACTACCTGTTAACTACTGTGCCGAATAGTTTGGATGTAATTAGGAACCTATTTTGCGTCAAAATTGCAATATTCATCGGTGCCACATATATACCTTACAATAAGAACGGCGGCGGAGCTAGCAGTGTAGTGGCAACGACAGCAGAGTGCTAGTATATTGGTTTTAATCCCGGCGGGGAGATCGAGATCGATTGACCCCATGAAATTTAGATGCGATTGAGGTACAATGTAGTTAAATAGAGGCGACTTCCCAGTTGTCCATCCGTATCTTGTCTTGCACCCAGTCTGTATCTATTAAATATATGAATTAGAATTAATTAAGGGCAAAATATCACTTGATGCCTTAAGATCCTTAGGTAATATAGTAGCTACCATGTTCTCTAAAGGACTAACTCTTACCGTTCCTTTTTTTATATCGGTTTTAGCTTGGGGATCTTTGGCCGAAAGGAATGGGGCGATACTATCTGTGGCCCCTTCAACGTCATTGCCACCTACAGCTACAACGCCAAATCCCAAAGCCTCCATTCACTCCGGGTCCGTGGAAGATGCTGCTCAAGATGCCAGAAGCTTAGAGCATGTAATCAGGCATATGAATGACCATGTTGTTGAATCCAACGACGATACCCCCCCCGATATTCCCCCACGAGCAGTACCTCATGATTTTTTTTTGCTGCGGAAGTGGTCTGTCCAAGTTTCCGGCGATGGCGGCAGATGGACCCAGACCCAGCTCACTACCCCAACATCGACGGGACTCGCCCAGAGGTTAATGAGCGGGAAGGCTCCCGGGCGGTCAACTTGCTCGTTAACCGATTCCTCCGGAAATGCCGTCGATGCCGTTGTGCAGAAGACCTTAGGACTATAGTGAAGAATCCGGAGCATGAGACAATCCGAGGAGGGCTCGAGCCCGGGGTTGACCGCACATATCTTTGCATCTTTGAAAAAACCGCGAGGAGATGCGCACCATGGTACGGTACGTTACGCTATATATATTTATATGAGCACTTACACCCATCCCGTTCTTTTCGTTTACAATTCGCTCTTAGCCAGTTTTTTGATACACGCAGGCCTGGTTGCTAAAATTTGCATGGTGGTACATGCTTTAGGTTGCTATTGCTCAATAGTAATGAAACAGCAAGATATGGACCCGGATATAAGTGTCGAAGCGTATCAAGATTCTCTAAATAACCTTCCTTTCGGAGTTAAGCAAAGGCATCGGGATTATAAATGGCGCGGCGGACATTACGGAGAGATGGGATGGCAGTATGATACAGCTTACCCACCAAGTGACTGGTTTGATTCCGCAGGTGGACGGGAACGGGTACCTGGAACGGCTGAACCGTACTATTTGGAAGGTCCAGATAAAGCCGAAATCTTCACCGGGCCAAATGACGGGTTACTTAGATTACCACCTAAGGTCTGGGGGAGCAGGTTTTCGATGGCTAAACGGGATACGGCTCAAGAGAATAGACGCACTAATGGAAAGCCGGAATCGTAATATCGGCTGGCATGCATACGTCGATAGAAGAGCGAATTTCAAATTTCCATTGTTTGATTCCACTGTGTCTACAGCCGTCTAGTTAGAAACTCTAAACATGAACTGCTATAGGCCACTCGAATCTCCATACTCAGTAATCTTTAATAGCAATCTTTCCTGTTTCTAGATTATTCCGCACTTAAGTACTAGTACTTGCATGCAGTCGAAGCTGTTTACATGTAATACTTCTAGTTTCATTATCCTAAAGACGTACAAAGCTTGTATCTCAGTTTTTTAGTGAACGGTCATGGAATCATATTCTGAAAATCAGCCCCAAAGCTGAATTCACACCCGTCTTGCCTCCAGATCACCCTAAAGCTATATAGCGTTAACTAGCTATGAATTGTTGGCAAATCAAGTGTGCAGCTAGCGCACATTGTGACACGGATTGGCTGGGCGGATTGGAGCGTTGTACGTTGGCGAAGCCACAATAGAGGGGTTCGGCGCCACTCCGGTGGCTGCCAGCTTATCGATAACACCACACCCCACACATGTTTCTCGGCACTTTCGAGCTTACCAAATTCGCCCTTAACTTTGTACTGAAGGTAGATGAATTCCCCCAAACCCTGCCTAGATCCTTCTAGATACTTAAACAGTTATCTGGTAAGTATCATTCGTGCACTCATAGAGATATTCAAAGCGATTAAAACCGGTATCTGGCTCGCGCTCGTTTACACAGAGCATCTCGGTTGACTTGCGTGTCTTTAGACTTAAAATATAATACATATATTCGCTTCGAGCTTTCCGAGTTGCAAACATATATCGTTCATCGAAAACATCCTTCGATATTCTAAAAAACCGGCAAACTGCTCAGAAATTTCACTTCGTTCATAGCTCAGGGCTTTCAGGCTCAAAGGCTTTATCAAGGGTTCAAAGAACGGATCGTTACAACGGGTTTGTTCCTTGCAGCCGTCAACATGGTCGATCAAAATACGACGCGAAAGGCTGAAGGGCATCAATCGCACTCGCATTTCAAAACAATCACCAAATTCACGACTGATTATTCACCAAGTGATATCACGAAGTATGAGTCCACACGGACCGGGATGTCCGTGGTTGTAGTCAATAAAGAAGTCAGTATAAAATGACCCACGGGATATCAGGATTTGGTTTGACTCGAGACACTAATATTTCACGATATAGAGCCCGAAAGTTCTCGGGTTTTTTGCATTGGCGACTGAAATCTTGGATGACTCTGGCGCTCGTAAGAAAACCCCGTAAGATCTACTATTAGGTCTATATACTGAGAATGCGCAGCCCATACTCTTGAGCATCTCTGCTTCATGGTAAACGCTCCCCATCTCTATATCGTTGCGGTCTAGTGCGTCTTAGAAACTGAGTTTGTATAATTATATAAAGGGATCCAAAAACTACCGTTACAAGGGAATTCTAGATAAGTTTGCAACTCGAGCCTATTCGACAACCAATGCATGGACTGCAACAGACCATACCGCATATACCCTTGATACTGCTGGGTGGGAAGGGTTTTCCCAGTTGGTAAGTTGATGCTCGATCTAAGTTAATCCATTATTAGTCCTAAATCGTTTGCAAATATAGTTACCAGTCTATTTAGAGCATATTCTTTTCCCAATCTTAAGTGATAGCGGCTGCTACACAGAAGTCCACCACATCGATGGTACCGGGCATGATGCAGGGTACGCTACGCCCAAATCCTGCAGTTGATCTGCTACTGACCGATTAGAGTCGTCTATTCTGAGATGCAAGGTGTTCAAAATGACGGAGATACGCTTATGATGCTCGAAGCCAACCGACAAATCTATCCCGACGGCGTCGGTTTCCGATCAGAAACTGGCGGCATGATGGAACAACTACGTGTTCTCAAACCCCAGCGCATCCGTGATTTCCACAAGGAGATGTACCAGCCTCGGAACCTTTGCCTTGTTATCATCGGGAGCGTAGATGAGCCTGGGTTGTTGAGTATCCTCGACAAGTTCGAGGGCGATATACTCGACGATGTCCCGGCTCCAGACTCCCCGTGGCAGAGACCATGGGTTAGCTCGAAGCAACCTCCTTTATTGAAGGAGAATATTGTACGACACGTCGAATTTCCGGAGCAAGATGAGTCTATGGGTAGCATTTTAGTTGGATATCTAGGCCCTTCTTGTGTAGATCATACACACTGTGCGTAAGCCCTGATCCCATACAGTTTGGATTTTACTTATAAAAGCATATATAGTGGCTGCGCTAGAAGTTATTGGGTCTTACCTTGCTGGTTCGTCGGTTTCAGTCCTTGAAAAGCAAATGGTAGAGATCGCCGAGCCATACACAAGCGGGGTTGCTTGGTCCACTGAAGAACGCCCAAATACCGTCCTCTGGCTTGAGCTTGGAAGTGTCCCGGTCGCTCGCCTTGATGAGGCCGAAAAGAAACTCTTCGAGATTCTAGGGCAAACCGTTCAGGAACCCCTTGATCTTGATTACTTGAAAGACTGCCTTAATAGGTCGAAACGGCAACGGAAATTCAATGTGGAAAATGACAGTCACTTCTTCACCACTCCCGTTATATATGATTTCCTTTTCGCAAACCGAGATGGGTCCGATCTACTTCAAGTGAAAACGCTTGAGGTCTACAACGAACTTGAGAAATGGACTGAAGAACAGTGGAGAAATTACATCAAGAAGTGGCTCGTTGATAACCCTCATGTTTCGATTATCGGCCAACCCTCTGCGAAATTGGCTGAAAAGATCAAGCGAGATGAAAAGGCAAGAGTTAAGACCCAGATCAAGAGTCTAGGAGACGACGGCCTAAAGGAGCTCGCCGACAAACTTGAAAAGGCTAAGAAGGATAACGATCCGGAAATTCCTATTGAGGTTCTCCGAGGTTTCAAGACGCCAGGTGTTGAGTCCATCAAATTCATTCACTCAACAAGTGGAAATGCGGGACTTGCCATCACTAAAGATGGAATACTCGACACGAATATTCAAAAAATTCTTCAAAAGGATGAACCAAAGACAAACCCGTTTCCTTTGTATCTCCACTATGAGCATGTCGCAACAAACTTCGTTACGGTCAATATTCTATTATCCACCGCCAGCATACCGATTGAACTCCGCCCACTCCTTTCTCTATATTTCGAATATTTTTTCGCCGCTCCTATTACGCTTGAAGATGGAACTAAGTTGGACTACGAAAAGGTTGTTTCACTATTGGAGAAGGACACAGTCGGATATACTATTCAAGGCGGAGGCGGAATGCAAGCCACTGAATCCATCAGGATCAAGATGGAAGTGGAACCCGAAAAATACAGTGCTGCACTAAAGTGGCTGAAGCTGTTGATGTGGAATATCGTTTTCGATACTGAGGTATTATCATTCAAGCACTTGAAAGCAGGTCTACTGCCGCTAACCTGTATTTTAGCGACTGGCTGTTCTCGCAAAGAAGCTGCGCAGTGATATCCCCGAGGAAAAGCGAAATGGTTACGACGTAAGTGTTCCCGATGTTATAAGGTGGAACTGGGCGCTCACAAAGCTGTCCTTATAGATGGTATGGTCGGTAGCACAGCTCAGTGGCTACACTGAAGAATCTATTGGATACGGCGGGAATACTCTGGTTAAAGGGAAATCTCTCCGGCAATACATTGATCTTTTAAGCGAAGATCCTGAGGAAGCCATCCGGAAGATATCAGTCGTTCGAGACTCTCTCTTTACACTCGACAATATGAGAGTCTTGGTGGTCGCTGATGTCGAGAAACTTCCCAACCCGGTATCAACTTGGGACGATTTCGTCGCTGAGAAACCCTCGGTATGGAATGTTCGCATGGTCTTAGATATTTTTTTATTCGCTAACTAGGTTCTAGAACAATGATCTAAAACCTATCGATAGTAGACTAGACCGCCTCACACCTATAGGCAAGAATCCCGGCAGTCGGATGTACGTTGTCCCAATGCCGACGTTGGATTCTTCGTTTGGTGTTACAATGGCGAAGGGACCAGAGTCATTGAATGATGAGCGAATACCAGCATTGCTCCTTGCTATCGCCTACTTGGATGCCGTTGAAGGCCCTCTGTGGAAGTACGTCTTAGTATTCCTAGGATTGTGTGACAAATATTAACTTGCAAAATTAGGGCTATTCGAGGGACCGGGTTGGCTTATGGAACAGGCTTTCTACGAAAAGTAGATTCTGGACACATTTTCTTCAGCATCTATAGATCGCCTGATGCCTTCAAAGCCTTTGAAATGGCGAAGAAAATCGTTAGTGATTACGCTGATGGGACTGTAAGTGATACACTAGTGGTCGAATATTGTTCTAGAATATGTCTTAATCCTTTCACTCCCTTAGACCCCTTTCGACGAGTTAGATCTCGACGGCGCCATTAGCACGGTCGTCAGTTCAATCGTAGATGTGGAATCTACCCTCACTGCAGCAGCAACTACTTCTTTCGTTCTACAAGTCATCCATCGCCAATCGAAGTCCTACAACATGGACATGCTCCGTAAAGTAAGGAAAGTTACACCGGATGGGATTCGCAAGGCGATGACCGAAATCTTGCTACCTTTGTTCCATCCCAAAACCTCTGTCGCCGTTGTAACTACAGCACCAGTCAATACCGATGTAAGTTTGCCTTTTCCGGAGCTTGTCTACAACCTACTAAATGTTAAATGTGATGGATAGTCTTTGAAAGAAAGATTCGTTGAGCTCGGATTCCCGGTTGAAGTTCGAACACTCTCTTCACTTGAGCCTAAGAGCGAAGGTGACCCGGATGAAGAGGACGAAGATATGGAAGATGGTTCTGCCGATGGAAGCGATGCTAGTGACGAGGAAATGGAATCTGGAAATGAAGACGGTGATGAGGAGAAGTAAGGCAGTCATATTTTGAGAAAAGCTTTCTATTAATTCATAAAATACACTTCATATTTTCCAACGTTGAAAGCTAGGAAATACCCGATGGGGGGAATCAAAGAACTGTGGTTAGACCAGTCTTTGGAGTTTCGTAGACGACGTTTTTGGGGGGTACCAATAAAAAAAGAATGATTTTCTAGGGTCTGATAACCACTCGACTGGAAGCCTTGTTACTTGATTTGATTCTTGAAAGGCTAGATAAATAGTCTGAGTAACTCTACTAGCGCCATCATAGCCATTGCTTGCCCGTAAGGCATACTCGTCCTCTCGATATCTAGGTAGTGCTTTAAATCCCTGCCCATTCCCGTCCCGAAACTTGTGTCCATCAGTTCACCATCTGATCTGATATTTCCCAGAACCCCTTTTATCGCCTTGATAGCAACATTTTCGTATTCCTCCTTCTTCAAATATCTCTTCCTGATCCCCTTCAGCATTCCGTAAGCAAATCCCGCCGACGCTGAGGATTCTAGGTATGATCCCTCTTCCTCACTCACATCCAACAAAGTCCTCCATAAGCCCGTCTTCGGGTCTTGTAGTTTCTTCAGCGCCTCACATTGTGCATTTAACACGTCTACCAAAAATATATGGAAGTGGTCATCCTTCGGTAGATCCAGCAATTCAAGAACATCTGGAATAGCAATTGTTAACCAACTATTTCCTCTCGCCCACCTCGCCCTCGCAAAGTTATGACCCAATCCACCTTTTGCATCTTTATTAAACTGCCAGCCATGGAAGAATAATCCTGATTCAGTATCAAAAAGATATTGTATATGAATCAAAAACTGACGTTTTCCTTCTTCGATGTAATGCTGTCGGTTAAATATCTTCCCAATCTTGATGAGCGGCATGACGGTCATCATTAATGTATCATCCCATAGTTGGTTATAGTTTTCTTCGAGGTACGTGATATGTTGCATTCCTCCAAATCTTGTACGAGGGAGATCATACATCGCCCATTCGGCCCAGCTGTCTAACCATGGAATATAAGTCTGATCCCTCGTTTCTTCGTATAAATATGCCAATGTCAAAAATGGGGACATTGTATTTATATTCTTTGTTGTTCCCTCTTTAAATCGAGCCGAGAACCAGGATGTAATGATTTTTAGCGTTTCTTGGGAATTGGTTTGAGAATAGTATTGGTAGAGGCCGTAGAGGCCTATGCCATGGGTCCATTCCCAATCATTCCAGCCTTTGGTGTCGATTATACGACCATCGGGTAGAGACAGGAGGAAGTGGCCGGATTTGTCGGTTATTGAGACGAGGTTGGTGGTTAAGAGGGCGATTTGAGAGTGTATTTGGGAGGAGGTTAGAGAGTGGAGTTGGAGGGGCTGTTGAGGCATCTTGATGGTATTGTTGAGTTTGATTATTCCTCGATGCTCCCACTGAGTTCTCGTCTTTCAAACTGATTCTAATGATAAAAAATAGTGGAACTACTTAGTATTCTAGTTAAAATTACTGAAACAAATCAATTTTCTGTGGCTATATACGTACGTGTTTGTCTTTGAGGGGGAGAATATGAATTGGAATGGAATATTATAATTTGTAAGTGAGTGTAGAGCTAGCTACATATATTCGCAGTCACCAAAAAGACGACACTTTCTGGACCATGTAATATGATTTGGGTTAATTCAGGCTTCTAGTCGTGAAGCTGTAAAATATGCCATTGCATCGCAGAACATCAACGACTCTATATCCTCGGTTGCGCATCCGTAGCCGCCAGAAAAATTCAACCCCACCCTCAATCAATGGAACCTGTTGAGTCTTTCCGAAGCATCATAAGATATATGGATCCGGGGAAATCCCCATCCGACCCTTCGTCACGAAAAGAGTTCGAGGGGAAGCATGCGCATGTTACCCGCTGTCGGAAACGAAATCCTGATATTTCATGCATCGGTCTGCAAGCCACCTCGACAATCGATAAACGATTCTCTCGTCTCGAATACCTCAATGCGATTACAGCGAATTATTTACATTCGAAGTTATGGGAATATACTATCAAAAAAGTGTGGGCCGGCAGTCTACCACGGAAACATCAAACGCCTCTTACCAAATGGCCATGGGAAGTCCCGTTACACACTGCAAACTTGGGTCGTCATTAAAAAAGCTTATGCTGCCAAAATCCCGGAATCTTTACCACAAAGAGGAATAGTCTTGATCGAGGAGGGAAAAAGAAGGCTAAATGTTCCCCCGCACCCCACACACCGGCTGAACGGGCGGGGAAATCTGGAGAGGCAAGTCCACGAATCGCGCGTGCCAAGGCTGGAGGGTTCCTGGATTTAAAACTATTTCGTAACGAAAACCTTTTGGGCCATGGAATGGTGTCTTTGCCTTGAGTAATAGGCTTTTTTGTGATTACATTCTTGGATCCCGCGATTCTAGTGCAGCGAGTTCGGAGGGTATACGGTATATGTTGCTTAACAATGGCATATCTTTCGGTAGAATGTGCCCCGCGACATCGATGGGACTCGAGACGAGATTTTGTTGCAGTTGGGACGGTACTTAGTATCGTTGACCAGGGTTTTTTACGCTCGAAGAAGCAAGAAACTGATTCATTTTGGCAGGCGATTCATTACATTGCATTGCAAGATGATATTTGGGATGAGGTGGAATTGGCGCTTACAGGTTATCTCATACCAATATCCGGACCTAGTCCAGTACATACTGCATCCTGGTTTGAGAGGTAGCCATGCATTTACAGTCCTCTTCTAATTCTTCGAAACTTTCTACGATACTTTCGCTTGGATTATCCTACCTTTATCGCGTATGTTCCGTGAAAGGATATCCCGAAATTGACTTCTCATGCTAGTTACTTTGCCTTGAGAACCAGCCTCCACAAAGTGACAAGTCTTCCCCAGGAAATAATACCCCATACCCTCGGATCGAATTGATTAACCATGAATTTGACTCCGCGCACTCGAGATCTCGAGACGAGATTTCATTGTTGCTGGTTATCAGGAGATGCGGAGAAGAGCCAGGTACACATGCATTTGGCACAATGGAAATCTGGGGTTCGAACCCGACACTCTGGATTGTCGTTTCGAGGACGGATAAATGAAGCATGCTACGGTGTAGCCAGCCGCTAGAGACATGCATTCACGAGGGTTGGGACGAAGATCGCCTTCAAATGGATACTATAGGCCATGTACCCAAGTATATACCATATAGTCTTGTGTAATCGATAGGGGAGTATGTTTGATTAAGTATATATGGGTGGAGATTTCCCTCCATTCTCTCATCTATCCAGGATCAGGCAATCCCCTGAGGTCGTTCACAACGATATTGACCTGCGAAACCTTCTACCTTTCATATCTAGAGCTATCAGAGCTTCTCTGTTCTTATTTTCGATAGCTTAAATTCTTTTTATATATAATATATCCTGTCATCTGGTTAAGATATCCGGATACACATCCTCCACCATGGCGGATAACAATATCACCACTCGCCCGGCGAACACAGTACAAATCGACGAAAAACCCGATATCGCTCATCTTGAAACTGTTACTTCCAATGATGCATACCCTGAAAAGGACTGTCTCGATTATGACCGTGTCGACAAAGAAATCGCCAAATACGCAGATCCCTCACGCGTAGTCGAAATCACCCCAGAGGAGAACAAACGGTTAAAACGCATGATCGATAAACGAGTCCTAGCGGTCATGGTATTCACCTATTTCCTCCAGGCGCTTGATAAAGGAACTCTATCCTTTGCCTCGATCATGCATATCCGTGAGGATAACGGTCTACACGGTCAACAATATTCTTGGTTAACGACATGTATCTACATCGCCATTTTAATTGTTGAGTATCCTATCAATTGGGGTATTCAACGAGTCCCCATTGCAAAGACTTTGGGATGTGCGGTCATTATCTGGGGCTCCATACTTGCGCTCCACGCTGCTACGCACAACTTCGTCGGACTCGTGACTGTTCGAACGCTTCTTGGTATCTTTGAAGCTATTTGTCAGCCTACCTTCGTGGTATTATCTGGTATGTGGTATAAACGGGAGGAGCAGGCCGAGGCTGTTACGTTCTGGTATATGATGAACGGTGGGCAGCAGATTGTTGGTGGCATATTGGCGTATTGTTTTACGCTGATTAAGCCCGGTGGACCACTAAAGAGCTGGCAAGCTCTGTTTCTGACTTATGGGTGTTTTTCGGTCCTCTGGGGCGTTTTCGTTTTATATTGGATGCCAGACAGTCCTATGAGAGCGAAATGCTTTTCAGAGGAGGATAAGGCCCTGATGATCGAACGAGTTCGGTCGAATCAAACCGGTTTGCAGAACAAAAAGTTTAGACCGGAGCAGTTTAAGGAGGCACTTATGGATCCTCAGTGCTGGTGCTACGGCGGTATCCAGCTTTGCACGACGCTGCCAACATCCGGGTTGGGGGCTTTTGCGAATATCATCATTACCGGTTTCAACTTCACCATTTTACAGACTCAGCTTTTGGCTATGGTACTTGGTGCGGTTATCATCATCGTTCTCCTGTCTTCGACCTACATCGCCAAGAAAACGAATCAAACCCTCATCGTTATGGGGCTCTACGTTATTCCCTCTTTTGTGGGCACAATCGTCCTAATGACGGTTCAAAATCGGAATCTAGGAACCAAAGTCGGCCTCTTGATCTCCTACTACATGGTCCTCTCCTTCTGGGCGGCTCAGAATCTTACTATGTCCCTCGTTTCCCGTAACGTTGGTGGACAGACCAAGAAGACTGTTGCAGTAGCCATGAATTTCATCTTCTGGGCTACAGGTAACGCAATTGGTCCACAGGTGTTTTTGGACAGAGATAAACCAAGATATTTTATTGCGTTTTCGACGCATATGGGGTGCTATGTGGCTCTGGTTCTTATTATCTTTTACCTAAGATGGCATTTGTCAACGCAGAATAAGAGAAAAGAAGAGGAAGGGGGTAGTGAGGATAAGGGAGTGGTTCATGGTTTTGACGATTTGACGGATAGGCAGAATATTAATTTCAGGTATATTTACTAGGCTGATAAGATATCTATTGAAGCACTTTGCCGCGATATACTTAAGTCCTTACTAGTTAGTTTGATAATAATGAATTTCATGAATATTTTGATTCAAATCATTGATAGTAGTAATATACCTCCTAATCGTTCTAATATAAACCAAGTACTTACCTGATCTAGTTCCAAGACGTTGCAGAGCACACCAAAACGAATGTAGTACTTATTATAATGAGCGTTAACCAGTGACGTCAATTGCAAGTTTGACCTCTGCGTTTGTGGGTTGTGTTGTGCTGCAGTGTTTGTTGTTGGAATTTCTGTGTTGTCGCCCATTCACGCCAAGCAACTGAATAGACAGGGCGTTTCGCATTTCACAAAATTATTTTCTGTCGCCAAAATCCTGCAAGGTCTTCTTCTTGGATCTCGACAACCTTCACCTCCATCAATCACCAACCACCAATTCATCAAATATCTTGATCAGAAAAGCCTCACTACTTCTCCATCACTCTTACGCGACTACTCTTATTGACTTTGTCATCAAGAATTATCTGCATCTGCCTGCTGGCGCATTTTGTTCGTTGCTTAGCTTCTTTTTACTCGACCGTTGCAGAAGCCGAACATTCTTCACCTACATCCCACCTTACATCCATCCACCAACTAACCTCATTGGCTTCTCTCTACACCTTATCAGAAGTGAAAATCCTTTTTCATTCAGATTCTTCTTTCTATTTACTTACGCGACGTTCTCTTATCACAATTTACCTGTACTCACTCTCTGGAATTTTCGGTTTGCAGCCATCCCACCATCCTTGCAGCTGCAGATTCTTCAATCCTCCAATCCAACCAACCATTCAGCTCCCTCCACGCTATTAAATTTATCACAAAAATAACCCAAGGATAATCTACTTGTTGTTATTTGTCTTGGTGGTAGCGGTAGCGGTTCTTGCTACGGGTGCTTTTTTGGTTGGTCAATTCTCCGGTCCCAGGCTTTTCCTGTTATTGCGGAGGTATACCGATTCACCACCCACGCCTGCGTTTTACAGGTTTAAGGCACAGGACACAGGGAAGGAGGTCTATAAATCCGACACACCTCCCCAACACACACATACCGCTACGATGTCAGCATCTGCGGATAACTTCGAGGGCCTTAATCCCGCGCGATTGGCCATGTTACAACAAATGGAACAGGCAGATGAAAGGAGGGCAACACGCCAGAGCAATCCCAGGCGTGCTGAGGGCCAAAGAGGCGGTAGAGGCGGTGCTAGAGGTAGAGGTGGAAGAGGTGGAAGGGGCGGAAGGGGTGGTAGAGGAGGTGGATTCGGTACCGAGGGGAATGAGAGTCCTTTGGGAGATCGAAATGAGAGTGGGAAGAAAAGGACAAGAGTTGACGGCGGTAACCCCGCTTTTGGTGGGGAGAGGATTGAGACTGTTGGGAAGAGGATGGTGTTTGAAGAAGATACAGAAATTCAAAGTGCTGAAGAAAAGAAAGTTGAGCCGGAGGCCGAGATAAGCAAAAAGAGAGCTTCGTCTTCTCCCTCATCAGATGAAATTGATGAGAGGCAAACAAAACGAGTCAAGAAATCTGACAAGGAGACGAATAAGGATAAGAAGGATAAGAAGGACAAGAAGAAAGATAAGAAGAAGGACAAGAAAGAAAACAGGAAGGCCAATGAGGATGAGACTACAGCCGAAGCCCCGACAACGGAGGAAGAGAAGCAAGATAAAAGGGAAAAGAGAAAGTCAAGGGATGATGAGACCCCTACCGAAGTGTCTACGAAGAAGAGCAAGAAGAACAAGAAGGACAAGAAGAAATCGGAAGAAGTCGATTCACCTGTCGATGCTCCAAGTAAGAAGAGCGAAAAGGAAGAAAAGGAGGCGAGGAAAGCTGAGAAGAAGCGAAGGAAGCAGGAAAAGCAAGAGTCCGAGGAGGATGCTTCACACAAAAAGCAGAAGAATAAGCAGAAGGCTGATCTAGAAGAGCCATTGGAACGACATGGCAAGAGGAAAGAGGAGGACAACGATTCTAGCAGAGCGAAGAAGAAGTCGAAGAAGGCTCACGACGCGGATCTTCCGACGCCGCCTACCGAAGAAGAAAAGACTGCTGATGAGGAACCAAAAAAAGACAAGAGGTCAAAGAAATCCAAGGACAGCGACCTACCCACCCCACCTGCTGCTGCCACTGCTGAAGAGCCTACCGAGGAGGAACCGAAGAAAGAGAAGAAAGCCAAGTCAGAGAGGAAGTCAAAGAAGGATAAGGCCACAGAGTCAGAGTCGATGGAACCCTCTTCGAAAAAGCGAAGAACAGAGGGGGGTGACGAAGCCCCTCGGGCTGATGAGGGGAAGAAGCAAAAGAAGAGGATCGACAAGGGCCCTCTTCTAGTCGATCCAGAGAAACCCAGACTCTTCAACTGGGTAGACGAGCCGGAGAAGCCTCGGGGCACAAAGCGTGCTGCTAGCGGGGCCGCATGGAACGCGGACCTTTTGGAGGGCGGGGATGCCCGCAAGGCCAAGTTCCTGCGGCTCATGGGGGGTGGGAAAGGGGGGGCAGAGATCAAGCCCAGCGCAGCATCGAAGCTGTCAGCTGCGGCGTTGAAGAAGCAGCAAGAAGAATTGACGAGGCAGAGTGAGGCGGCAATGGGGAGGAAGGAGAGTGGGAGGAAGAAGATGGGGCTTGGGTCGGGCTAGATGCTCGGCCCGGGTGGGGGAGAGGAGGCTGCTTTGGATTAAAAACATGTATACTTAGAATCCAAGCAATAATAATTAATGTGGATTTAACTTTTATCGAAGGCATCGTGATATCTAAAAACGAATTCGAGAATTCGAGAATCCTTGGAGGGATTTGATTAATCAAGTAACTAAACCCAGTTAAGTAGTGGCTATATTTAGTCTGCGGTTCGGCGAATGCCCTGATCAGGCAAGAAGCACTAGCTCGCTGCATCCAGGAAAGCTTGACCAAGCAAGAGCAAGTACGACATGCCGTAGACAGGAACTTGTACCTTGATTTACTCACCTATCTGTCCTTTGCTAGTTAGCCTGTCCTTTTCAGCCCTGCAGTTCACTGTATGTGCTTCTGCCGTCTGTCAGATTTGCGTATCCGTCTTTTTTTTTTTTTTCCTTTCGTCCTCCTCCTTCCCTGGGTTCACTCTAGACTTATGGATTTTTAAACATACTAAGTACCTATGAGAGTGTAGTCTAGTCCTGATATCCTACATGTAACGGTTGTATGTGTATGCTGCATGTATGTACGTATGGTCTGTATGTAAGAGTATAGTATCGTACCATATGTCCTGTATGGTGTTTTGAATGCCGGGAATCAGCAGCGTCAACGGCCCTGATAGGCTGCTCTGGGCTAAGCCGTCCCGTTTGAGCACCTGCATTCCCATTAAGCCCATCAAGCCCATTCCTAGCTGTGATATCTCCCACCGTCCTTCTCAGCCTCTGCTCTGCTCCACTCCACATCAACTACCACCATCCTTCCCTCCTTTACATGCAGCTTTAACACCATCAGCATCGACACACACACTACACAAGGACTCTCCCTGTAATCGCATCACCATCCAACTTGATAACTTGAAGCATCCTCATAACCATCCGACATTTCTTCAAAAATCGCATGACATAGTCCTAACTCCTATCCAACTACAACCAAAAAAGAACATACACCGTTTAGGGGCTCCCCTTCGACATCGCCCACAATGCCAACCGGTTTCACAGAATCCTTCTGGTCGCCAGACTATGCTGGAGGTTCGCACAGCCCTTCCTATATTTCCTATCTATCGGTGGATCCGTCTCTCCTCCGTTTGGTCCACAAAAAATCCCGCTGACCCGTTGTCCAACCGACCCTTGTCCGTTCAAAATGCACATATAGGCCTCGGAAAGCTTTTCGCAAAACTTCAACAAGGTGTCGTCGAGAACCAGCAGGTCATAACTATTGCCCGTCTACGAGCCGACGCTGAAGATGCCTACGGCGATAAATTGAAAGGAATCGCGCCGGCTGCTGAGCGGCCGGACGGTTTCGCTAGGGATGAAGGAGCTAGCACTAGGAAGGTTCGTCACCCTTCAATCCATCCGGCTTATAGAATTCGTAATTTTTGTCCAGCTTCTTACTCAGGGGATCTCGGGGTTTCTTGGTGGGACGCTTGCTGTGCTGGCAGGGGCGGTTTTTTTTATGGCAGTTCTTTTTTGGACTTTTTCTAGCTAGCTGAGGCTGAATATGCTGCTGGTGTGGATCCGACTGGCTGACAATTTGATGATATTCTATTTTTAGGCATATGAGGGGATCAAAAAGGAAATGGACTCGGTACGTTGCGATATCCTACATTTCAATCTAGCCATTATGGCGACACACTTGCAGCATTTGGCTTTCTGGAGCTCTATCGCAAGCTTGAGCTTGGTGGTCGAATTCATGGTGTTTTTGAATTCGCGACAACACCACCAAATTTGAGAGCTCCAGGGAAAAAAAATTTAAACCCACATGAAAAGAATCTAGGCTGACGGCGACGGTTGATCGAAACGTTTTCGCGGTCGGTGCAATTGATATACAACTTATAGGCCGGAGAAAGTCACAGAAAAGTCGCAGAGAACATTCGCAAGCTCGTTATTGAACCTTTCTCGAGATGGGCTGAGGCACACGAGCAACGTGTGGAGATGTCCCACGATGACTTACAGAACAAAATCCGAAACCACGATAAGCAGACCGAAAATGTAAAGAAGCTGCGAAACAACTTTTTCAACAAATGTAGACTGCTGGAGGACTACGACCAGGAGAAAGAATTGGGATTCCAGAGCTTGAGCTTGGTTGACAAGGCCAAAGAGGCTAAGCCCACTGCAAATGGAGAAAAAGATGTTACATCCCCATCTTCTGCGACCGCACCGACAGCCCCTGAAATCAAGGTTGCAGAGGTCGAAGATGACGAAGATTCGTACGAAATCGGAGATATGTTTTATGCACCATCACAGCTGAAGAAGATCCTTACGGCTGCTTTGGACACCCTGCCGATGAATGAGGTTAAAGTTACTCTCCTTGGAACGTATCAGAACTGCACTCCAGGAGATGTGATTGTCCAGCATCTTCAGAAGCATCTCGGTGCCACAACCGTCAGTGCGGCTGAAAGGATTGGCCAGGATCTCATCGGCCATGGCTTCTTGAGATTAGTTGGAAACATGGGAAACACATTTGCTAACTCATCCAAGATGAGCTATCAATGGAAGCCTAAGGCATTTGAACTTGCTGGAAAAGCGCCAGCACCGACTTTGCAGAGAAAGGGAACCTTGGCTAACATGCTTGCACCGGTCGAGGAGGCCGATGATTTAAGCCCTGAGAGCCCTGGGAATGCCTTGAGTGACATGTTCAATAGATATCTCAGCCAGCCTCGCCCTGGCGAGACCCAATACGACAAACTGAAGAGAGAAGCCGCCGAAGCAGATGAGAAGTACAAGGGTGGTGTCCAAAAACTTGATTTAATTCGTTGTAATCTTGAAGAAGCTATGATGGATCACTTCAAGTTCATGGAGAGGTGCGAACTAGATAGGTTGAAGGCTATCAAGGCCGTTATCCTTGACTTCTCAGGCGCCGTTTCGAACGTCATCCCTACCCTACAGTCGACCGTCGACACCATGATGCTGTTCCAGGAAACCGTTCAACCGCCTGGAGATCTGAGGTTTATGATTGATACCTACAGGACTGGGTCCTTTTTGCCCAGGGTTACTACGTATGAGAGCTACTATAACACTGCCGGCGGTAAGGATGATTTACTCTCAAAATTAGAGGAGTCTATATGGCTAATAACCCGGACGAATAGACCAGACCTATGGCGTTGATTTAGAGTTGAGGGCTAGGGGCGATCGTAAGAGAGTACCTCTTATTGTCACCTCGATCCTTCAATATCTCGACAACCGTAAGTTCCTACGCAAGCCCATCATTCTGAACCACTACTAAGAATACTACAGATTACCCCGATCTTGAAACCGATGAAGCTCGACGTGGCATCTGGACGGTCGATGTTCCATTGAAGGCTACTCACCACCTTCGAAACGTGATCAACAATGGAAAAGCAATTCCTAGGGATGTCTTGGAGAAATATGACATGCCTATTGTTGCTAGCGCTTTAAAGCTTTACCTTCTTGAGCTTCCCGGTTAGTCAATAGCTTTTTGATGAAGATCTAATAGTTTTATATATACTGACTAGAAGCAAGATTCCTTGGTTTCCTCCCGCGTTTACGATGTTATCAAGACCATCTATCACACTCACGGCGGCGAGGGCGACGACCAAACCCGTCTTTCTGTCATTCAAAACACCCTTGGTGGTCTCTTGCTCGCTAACATTGCCACTCTTGATGCTTTGGTTTCTCACTTTACTAGACTGATCGAACTTACATCCGCCGAGGAGCAGTACTACACTGACCTCAGTGCCGCATTCGCCCCATGTATCCTGAGACCCCGCGTGGAGAGCATAGTAACTCTTCATGACAAGCACGCCCAGCGATTGTTCCGTGACCTTCTATCTCATAAGGAATTGATTTTTGGTGAACTCAAGCGTGAACGTTCTTTGAATGCGGGAAGAAACCGTGCTCCAAGCTCGACAGATGAGTCCAGTCGCAAGGTGAACGAGCAAGCCAGAGCTCGAGCTGTGATTGCCGCCCGAAGCAGGCCTTCCTCTCCAGCCACAGCATCGCGCAATAGACGCGATTCGTCGAGAGGCGGCGATTTCCCTAGGATACCAGTCAACCCGACACAGTCCCCTACAACCAGTGTCTCTTCCCGCTACCGACAATCGCTTGAGGTTCCTGGACTTCCAACTAGCGGCCCGGGTGGCCTGGGTGATATTGATCCTCAGCAGGCCGCCTTCGCAACTCAAGAGTCGTCTCCAGGGTTCGCTCAGACCGCAGAAAGCTATGAGCAAAGTCCTGAGGACGACGCCTCGCCCTCTGATAACAAATTGCCGCATCAGCCACCCCCAAAGGCTGAAGACGGCGGCTTCAGGAGAGCTTCGCGGGGTTATCAGCCACGAAGGAATATCCGACCTGAGGGTGTTAGCTTAAGCGACAGGCCTATTGAGGATTAAGAAATCGTGCCCGGGAATGAAGACATTTTTTTCTCACTTGACATTAGGTCTTCCTTTTGTTCTTTTTCATTCATATCTACTTCTTTCCCAGTGACGCTTTGTGGTCTTTTTCTTTTTCTTTTCCATCGGAATTTCATGTCAAGGACTTAATGTTTGCACGAAAAACGCATATGCATGTAACGATTTCTTTGGATTTTCCTACTACAATTCATGTGAACTATATTTGACTTTACTTCTATTTCCTCCGTCTTCTTGAGTTTTCTCCTGGTGTGTTAATCTTTTCCTTAAAAGCGGTCGGTATACTTCATCGAAGGCAAAGACGTGGGAACGTTGACGCTATCGATAGGAACGCAAATTCACAAAGGGGCGTGTGCCTTCCTGCATGGGCCAAGCCAAGAATGCTAGTGAAATCATGGACCCTGAACAAAGATGCCATGGGAAAGAAACATGCCACATGCTTGACCACCTGTCTCGCACATGGCGATGGATGCGTCTTTTAACTGGGCCAATTCTGCGACATCTTGACATATTTTCACATGAAAGGAGGGGTTCCCTTTTGCCGCCAAGCCCTGTCCTTCGATTCACGACCAGCACATCCCGCGTGCACCCAGGATATTAAGTAATCGATAAGGGTGAGAAGGAAGAGAAGGGAAGGGATGTTATAATATTCCTCACGGGTTCAAAGGGATGGCGGAATTCCGCCCGAGATTTGATTGATTAGCCCCATCTAATATAAGGCCCCGCAGCCAATGAATCGACCATGACATCTTTTTGTTCCGCCGCCGTTCGGCCTGTCCTGAACTGACAAAGCGGCCGGGTTTTAGCCGGGCTGAACGAACGAAATTGACAATGAAACCCAACAAAACGCAGAGTTTCTGGCCTCCGTTAAGGGATCTTGTTTTTCTTTCCTGTTTGGACTCTTGACTCTCGCTTTCACCTGCTGTTTGGACCGTCGACATGATGTAAAAAGAGGGTTCACTTTCCACTCCTTTATACCTTCTGACCCTTTTTTGACTTTAGTCCGTTTAATCGTTACTCCCTTTGTCTTTTTCTAGTTTCTAGTTATAATTGTTTTTCTTTGGCCCGCCTGCCTGCTTGTCAGCTCTGCTCTTGTCAGCATTTCTATCCTTCCCAACAATATTAGCATTATTACCACCGGCTGCCCACTAATTACCTATTTCCTACGACCACTGCTACTGCTACTACTACTTGCATTGGCTTGATATCCACACCAGATAGAAACCTCAACAAATTATGGAAAAAGACGGCCCTTCCGACGCCATGGCGACTACATCCGCCCTCGAGAATCCGGGGACATGGCAACAGACGGCTGTCAACCGCATCCGTCGTCTCTCGTTCGGCAATAGTCTGCGCCACTACTCTCTTCCCGAGGATGAGGAACAATTCTTGGAAATGGTACTTTTTTTTACACACTCTTCCCTTTTCGTATTCTTTCGATTCCACAGGCAATTAACCTAAGATTACGATGTGTAATACAGCTAGATGACTTCCTAGCGGACCTCGAATTCCGTCTCGACCGCTTCGAAAAAAACCTAGACGCCTCAATCGACGAATATCGTACCCTAGGAACCGAAACATTCGACCACCAGCTCGAAAAGACTTATACTACGCTTTCGACCATTCGCTCAGAATGTAGTCGTGTATCGGATGAAATGGTCGCCCGGGGCCGACGTAAAGCACGACTTATTGTTGATATTTTGGAAGCGAGTTATAATGAAGCATTGATTGCTAAGGGAGTTTGGGAGAATGATTTCCATGATAAGGCGAAGGCTGGGTTGGCGTTTTTGAGCGAGCTGTTGGTGGAGTTTGATCAGAGGGCGCAGGCTAGTATGGATAGGAAGATTTTGAGGGCAAAGGAAAGGATTGAGAAGGCAGTTGAGGGGGCTAGTGAGCTGGCAGAGAGCATCGAGAAGGCTATTGTTAAGGCTAGGGAGGGCAAGCTGTTACAATATACCGGTAAGGGCTATTCTAACAAAGTATATTTTGATTTTGATGTTAACTTTTTATTTATTTTCTAGATCTCCCAGCACCATGGAAAGTCAACGCTCACATTCTTTCTGGATATCGCTTCTCGGAGAAGAAGCTCGACTGCGTCCTATCTATGTTCACGCACATTCACAACGAGACCTGCAATATCTGGACTCACTTCCTGGGCTTCCTTGGTGTGCTAGCTCTGGCATTTTATTTATACCCGGCCTCGTCGAACTTTTCGATTCATACGACTGCGGATAAATATATCAACGCTTTGTTCTTTATTGCAGCAGCAAAGGCTCTGGCTTGTAGCACCATTTGGCATACCATGAGCAGTATCGCCGAACTTACTACCATGGAAAGATTTGCCTGCGTGGATTATACCGGCATTAGTTTGTTGGTTGCATCCAGTATTCTGACAACTGAGGTTCGTTTTTCTTCTTCATATCATGTTCTCTGAACTAGTTTTATAAGGCTGTGCCGTGCTAACATTAGAGGTTGTGAATAGTACACCGCCTTTTACAACGAACCCATCTCACGCACCCTTTACATGTCTTTCACCGTCCTCCTCGGCACCATCGGCGTAATCTTCCCTTGGCGTCCAGTATTCAACAGAACCGACTACCGATTCTTCCGAGTCGCTTTCTACGTCTCCCTAGGAGCCTCAGGTTTCCTCCCACTGGCACAACTACTCTACACCCGCGGTGCAGCCTGGTGTCTTGGATTCTACCTACCAATCTTCAAGTCACTGGCCGTATACCTCATCGGCGCCATGATTTATGCCAACCAAATACCTGAAAGATGGAGCCCTGGAATGTTCGATCTCGTGGGAGGGAGTCACAACATCTGGCACTTGGCGGTTATGGGAGGGGTTTGGTTTCACTGGTGTGCTTTGCAGGGAATGTTCGTGGATGCTTTTGAGAGGGCAGGCGTTTTGGAGAGGGTTGGTTAAAGGGAGATTGATGGAGGAGAACTCTTTTTAGAGACGGAGGCGTTTTTACTTTCTGTGGGTTTGATATACCTAATAGATGGGGGGACTATAGATTGGTTGTAGACAGGACTGTTTTTACGCCATAAGTTCTGGACGTGGGAGGCGGTGGGATGGTATGGATTCGTGTAGATACTTTAGGGCATTCATGGATATGGTTAAGATTGTACAATTGTAGATAATTAGGGGCGGTAGCTAGCTAGTGGCGGGTATTGCATAGCGGGATGGGGGTATAAGACATCCTGACATAGCGAATTGAATTCAAGCAAATACATTCAAAACCAACATTCCTTTTCCGTATACAACGATAATTATTTGAGTAATTGTTAAGATCATTATATATATCGTATACCATACTTCTATGAAGCTTTCACAATCATCATATATTACCGACAATGTCTTTACTTTCTAACAAGCTCCTGAGAGTCTGCATATATGGTTTGACTTGTTGGATTTTCATGTCATTTCGGTGTTACTGTGATACTACCTAACCTAGAACTACCTAAGGCGACTCCGGGGTACATGAACGGAAACACGTACTTCCGACAAAAGGGTATCGGATATTAGGCGAAATTATCTTAAAAGGATCGAACACTCCGATTTCAGCTTGCGCTCGTGTGATCATGAAATTTAAACATGACCCCCCCAAAAAAACAAAAAAATAGAGGCATGACTAGTTACTGTATATGCATGCTTAGATTGCCTGTTGTAAAACAGTAATAGGCTAATTGTAACTAGATTCTTCCTTGGAGTGCATATGCCGACGAATTGTATTCAGCAGTACTAAGGAGTTCAGGCTAGTGGTAGTGTGTGTATGCAGTAATCCCTTCCAAACAACGCCCCCCTGGTGATCATAAATCAAAAAAAGATCGAGTGAAATGCGAAAATAATAATTGAATTTCTGATTCGACGCTTCATGGTCTCCGAATATTCAACCTAACCCTCTCTAGTAACTCTTCTCTTGTAGCTGTTGGCGAGGGATAGAGATTCCTCTTTTTTGAAAAAGAAGTTAATCAAATAAGTCAGCTGGTTCGTCCTCTAGAACTTATATGATTGGATCGTGATAATATTTACGACTGGACTTACAAGTTCTAACCATCTTCTCAATTGATCGATTGACCATGTTGATGGATCTGGATTAACACCGTGGATTAGTATATCTACGCGCATAAAAAAAAAGGCAGGTATTTTAGACAATTATTGTTACTTACCACCAGTCGGGTCGTCGGGTTTTGGAAAAATGGGCTGGTCACCGGAGCCGAAGATCGTAAATGCTGTGGCAAGGGCGACGATACCGCCGAATGCCAGGACTGCGTTCTGTATTATAACTCGGTGTTAATCAACTGCATTGCCTTCTTTTTTCTCTCTTTTGGACGAAATGTATTTCTATTTCTCAAGCGTATATGCTTGTAGATATCCCACAATTGGGGAGGATTGGGCGTACCTTTGAGCTCAACATTCTATTATTTTCGATTGATTGCGTATCGCGGGATGGAGACATCCCACAGTTTATCAAAATAGTTAGAAAAATCAATTTCCAATCAAAAATTCAAAGGAAGTTCTCTTCTTTTTTTAAAGATAAAAAACAAAATAAAAATAATAATAACCTTTTACTATAGAAAAGTTAAAAAGTACAAATAAGAGGATGAGTGTAAATACCTATCCAATGCCGTCGGCGCCATTGTAAGTTTATATAAACCTCCAAACTGGTGACGATTGCGTTGAATGTTCTTTTTGTGGTATGATCAACCTCCAGCCGCTGTATACCCTGAGTCGAGTGGCGGAATGATTCACACGACGAAAGCAGGAGAAGAAGAGGACAGATAAACGGATTCAAAGCGATAGTTTATAATTGATTATTAAGGGAAAGAAGGTCTAGAATCATGAGATGTTTTTGCAGCCTTGAGTTCGAGAGGGGGTTTGATGGAAGTCAAGTTGTTGAAACGTGTGTTCTTTTTTGAGAAGGAGAAGCTGCGGATTTGGTATGGCGATTACGTGTTGACAGTTAAGAGCTGCGTAACTCTTCAGCTTTTGACACGAGAAAGAAAGCGACTGGCCTTGCGACGACGAATATAATTATTTACATGCACAGCCTCGGTGATGCATCCGGAATAATTAGTGCAGAGAGTATGCGCATGGGCCTCTGCACTATTCTTTTGATACCAGAATATCAGATTATTTCCCAATGACAAGCTGCAAGTTACGTATGAAAATAAAATAAAGTAAAAATGATAAAAAAATGAAATAAAATTCTATGCCTCATCCATGGCTGTAAAAGTACAAAATGATATTAACAGGAAAAAGCTAAAGGTAGAATCAATGCTAAACACCACTTCTATACAATGGCTGACAGAAGTGAGAAAAATGATGAACGCCCAGAGTCTTCAGATAAAATGAGAATAATGATATTACTTCTTCCCAAATTTTAGCCATTTGGGAACCTTCGAAGCCCCTGATCCTGAACCTCCACCGCCACTGCTGCTACCTTTTCGTGCTTGGTTTGCCGGAGTCTCATCATCAACCATTATTGAGTCTGGCTCCTTTGGAGCTTCCAACTTACGTGCCTTCTCTCGGTATTCCGCAGAAAGTGGATCTTGTTTCTTGATGGAAGCGCTGACGCTCTCTTTCCAGTAGAAATTCAGAAGCGTTGCGTGTGTTATTCCCAAGTCAACAATTATCCTCTTGTCGCTTGCAGGAATGGGTTCTTGTTTTGGTCCGGGAAGGGCTGTAAAAAAGGTGTTAGAAAACGGAACAAAGCTGTAGACGACACGGAAAAGGGAAACATACCAAGATGGAAATCCGATCCGGGGTTCCTCATAATACCCTTCACAAAAGCATAGAGGTCGTCCGTAGTATCAGTTTGTGTGAACACACTCTGTATAATACTGCCTTCTGGGAACCTAACGCGAATATCCACTTTATCGACCGCCAAACGTCGAGCCTTTTCTTCATCTGCAAGTTTTTGTTTCTGGGCTTCGGTTAACAGTCGCTTGTTGATTGTAGCAGCTTTGAGTTGGGCTTGATACTGTCTAGCTTGGTTTATGGACATATCGTACTCCTTTTCGTCGATGTTGACGACAGCAGCCGACGGAACGGTAGAGTTACCGGGGTTAAAGACTGAAAGCTCGCGGTTGTTTGGTCCGACATCGGTGTTTTCGCGGTGGACGGGTTCGATTTGGGTGTTTGATGTTTCTGGAGGTGCGATTTGGTCTGGAAAAGTTGGAAGTGGGTATGTTTCTGTGTCAATCAGTGGGGTCGATGTAGCCGGTGTGGATGACTCTGGTGTAAGATTTTCAGAGACTGGTTCTGAAGCTGATGGTTCGGCAGGCGTGAGCGCTGAAGTCGAAGCACTTGCCGATGAAGACCCTTCTGCTGTTTCTGGCTTCGCATTCAAATCTGCGAATTGGAGGATTGCCTCTTCGAATGGTATGGTGGTTTGTGTAAATTTGATCCTGAGTAGCGCAGTACCAGATGTAAAACCTAGAGCAGCGAGCGATTTCTTCAGGTCATCGAGAGAAGCTAGTTCGCGGTTGATGATATGGATCGTTGGCATCTCATAGTACAATCTCCCAGCACCCTGCTTGGTTCCATCCGGGACAGCTCTTTCGGTCAGCATAAGCTTCCCACCAGAGTTGTCTTCGAATTTCTTAAGGATTTCCCATATTGTTGCCGAGCTAGGGAACTTTTCGATCATGCGAGGTATGGAGTTATCGATAAACTGTAGGGCAACCGTAATAACCGAACCGGCTTTCCCTCCTTCGCGCCTGATGAGATCTAGTTTAGCGCCGGGGCCTAATCGTGAGAGTCGGAATGGTAGTGTTAAGTCAACGATGTTTTTGCCATGTCTAAGGCAGGTCTGTTAGCTAACTAGCTCTAACTCTAGCTCTTCCTCAAGGAAGTAGTTGGAAGCGATGATAGTTACCGTAATGTAAAGCTATCGGCCGTCAGTCCGAATCTATCACAGGCTTGGTTGAGAACGTCATTTAGGACAGTTCCTGGTGTGACTTTGACATTGAGCCGACGCTGGTTCGGACCGTTTACCACCACAGTTGCCATTCGGTATATCTTCGAGCTCCGTTTAGAGTAAAGCTACAACTATCGACTGGATTGTCTAAGAAAACGTAAATGGATGAATTTGGGATGGAGATGAAGTGATGCGGAGGGATTAAGGGACCGTCTGAAGCTACGAGATTTTTGGAGATGTTGTTGGTGACGCGGTTTGGGGATTTGTCAGAGGCCTAACGTCGATTCATAGTGGGATTACACGTCCACTGCCATAGCTGCTGAGGAATATACCCCGCGACAGGATCCTGGCCGGTGCCGAGCGCTCAGCCACATTATCCTTTTGATGCGCCATAATGTGGCTGTGTAGATTTGTGATCTACAACGAACATCCAACTATGCAACACATTATCATTACTACTAACTAGACTACCAGCCCATAATGAAACGACCTGGTCCTGCCACACTACAAAAACATTCCGTTTACAAGATTAAAATGATTTTATTAGTATATCAATGGTGCTAATATGCTCTCAAATCTAGTAGTGGCGTCTCTTTTTGTTATCTTCTAGCAGTTCTTGAAGAAGTTAACATTCATGTTTTTACTGAATTATAAGATCTGGCTCAATTGTTCAGACCACCATGTGGACAAGGGCAAAAACTTCGTCTCCAAGTCGTAGAATTTGCTCCTGATCATCTCCTATGATACTAAGGGTATTTTTCCTCCTTGCTTCTCTACGGTCTTAGGGTGCGTAGGCATATTCTCTGGGCTCATCAAATTTCACTTTTGCATATTTCCTAATAGCTCTGTGAGAAGTTATGTTCTGGTTTGTAGGTTTACTCTGAGATACGCTAAGTGTAGTCCTAAACCTGAATATTATCCTCAATCATATGATTGGGGACCATGTCTTCAATTAAGTGTAGAATATCTAACCGCTAAAGGCTGATCTTATATCGGCTCCGTGAAAGTATGATCTCACGGCTCTCTAATATCAATAATCAACCTAATGAGACAGATTAAAATAAAGTGCCATCGCTTCGAAGCACAATAGGACTGGACTTCGTCTCGGGTCTCTTCTTAGCCGCAATCTCTCTCCCAGACTTCCAAGTTCCAGCCTCCAAAACCTGTGCCATATTCAATGGAGGCGTGGTATCAATCCTAGGAGCGACCATGGCGTACAAAGCGTCCAATAATCCCAACGTCAAAGCCCTCCATTCGACAATAACATCGTCGCTTCCCTCAAAGACTGGTAGGTTATCATTAGAAGCCTTGAGACCTCTCTCGAGTGATTCCTTTTTAAGCGTGAGAACACCATAGTCGACGAAGAGACCGCCGTTGCGGTATTCGGGAAGACCGGTGAGTGATTCAGCGTTAACCCAAGTTTTGTTGAGGATTCGGGTGAATGGAACCATTAGAGAGTATGTGAGCCATTGTGTGAGTTTGTGGAATGGTTGGATTGCAGCTGTGGTACCCGCGTTTCCTAGGGTGCTCAATGGCCAGGCATCACCAATGGCATGGCCATTGACATTTGTGCGGTCTTTGGGCCAACTAGGGATAAGAGTGGCTTGAAGGACGTCCCAGAGTTTGAGAACATCGAGTTCCTTAGGTTCGCCGGCGAGGAGGTAGTCTAGTATATTTGATGTTAATTCGAGGCCTAGTTTCGATTGTAGGAATGAGTCCGTACCAACGAGATTCCCAGGTCTGCCTTCGGCTCCGAAGACATCTGGGAACTGAAGAAGTGATTTCCCCAAGCTATTTAGAAGACCGGTTCGAGAATCGACACCAAGCATTTGATTTGTCTCAGAAACTTGGCATCCCTTAGCAAGAGTCTCGACCTTCAGGTTCTCCAGCCCATGTCCTGTAACACGTACGTAAGCCCCATTAGCACCAACAACCTGAAAGGTTCACTAGGAAGGCGCTCTGGTAAATACCGTCAACTCTCGGGATCTTTCCCTCCGTAAACCCAAGTTCATTGAACATGTACAAACTGGCAACCGCGATACCCTCGCTTCGTTCATACTTGTTTCCAGTACCAGGTTCAATGTATCGCCAAACGTCTCCAGCGCCGGCATCCAAGAGAACGGAAACGAAGAAAAGATCGATTAATCGACGGCAGATTTCCTTTTCGTCGCATCCTTCTCCCTTCCATTGCTCAACGAGCTTTGTAACGCGGGGTACACCTCCGACCTCGAAATGCTGCCAGCGGCCATGTGGTGGGATAGCGTGGTATCTATCTGGTCCAAAGTCTCGCTACGCAACGACACAATACGGAAACATTAACAAAGCCAACTCATCATTATTAAAGTAGTTAATTGGGGGAAAAGATATCTATACCTCAATAACAGAGGTTACGAACTCTGCAACCTCTTCCATTCGTTCCTCATGGTAATCGAAATGAGTAAGCTTTCCAGCCTCAGCTGCTTCCCAGACCTTCTTTGATCTCCCTCTTATCGCGCCAAGAGATAGCAAGTGTTTGGCTTCGGCATCCATGTCTATTGTTTGCTCGCGAAAAATCCGGGGTTTTCTTATTGTTTGTTCTTATGCAGGATGCAAGATTGATTCGATTCGATTCGATTCGATTAGAGATCTATACGATTGAGAGAAGTGAGGATAGATCCAGGTAAAAATTGGAATTCCCCCTTAGAACAGAATTGGAGCTTAAATACAGCTGGAATGCGGTTTCCTTCGGCTGCCTGCGCCGGACACACGCGACATCATGGTAGCTCCAGCTCGATAAGGTGCCGAAGCTAGGAATCCGCCTACTGAACACTCCCTGGCTCGTTCCCTTGCAGCTTCTGAAAACGGAAGTTTATGTCCATCACGTGATTCTTGGGACCAGAATCACACACTTTCAACACATTTCACGACATGTCACCCGGCTACCATTACTTTAGGCAAATGTTAGTCTCGTTCCCAGACGCCAGCTGGTCACAAGTGTGCAAATATTAGCTAATAGAGTATAGTACTTGAAAATTGCATTGGGTTGCAGTTTAGTCATTCTAATAGTACTCGAGCGGCCATGAGAAAGGAGCTCGACAGACATCTAATATACTATATTCTAACTGGTAAGAACTGTATGTGGGTGGCTATATACCGATTCACAGACATATTTGAATTGTTCTAACCTTGCATGCATGTATTAGAATTTTGCCTGGTTGCTCTTGGGCTGGATTTGAAGCTACTCTTGGGCTTATAGTGAGACCAATTGATACCCGGATTAAAATTAAGACGATCCAACCTTCATTGATAGAATTTCAAGTTGTAGGTACAGAAATAATTAAAACACAACATGAAATCAAACTGTGCTTTTTTGTTGCCGTAGTTTTATCTCCCAACATATGTGAAAACTTTTGACGAACTGTATTTCATTATACTAGAAGAGAATTTTATTCTCGCACACGACACTCTGAAGGTAGTATAATCAAGGAGGTCCATCAAACCCCGATTCGCTAGCGTCATCTGTTCGCGGGGTCTGCGTACCGGTGTCATCTTGCGCTCCGATGTGGTCCCATTCTTCCATTATTTTCTAGAGGTATGCGTCAAAAAAAATAAACTTATAATATAAACAGTCTTGCTGATACTGAGAATGCTGCTATTAACGTACCTTGATTGTAATTGGACAACCGCTAATGGCTACCCAGTGTTCTTTCCCAAAGTTAACATCAATGCGAATGGCTTCTTCAATGGACTCATGGGAAAACTGAATTTTTAAACCAAAATATTCCTGGGGAGAAGGGATTTTATGAAGGATTTCTTGCTCGACTCTGAAAGAAGAAACCATATCCAGCAATTTGCTGTATTCTGAATCTCCAGGCCCGAGTCTACATCGAATAACCCCCTTTATAATGATGAGAAACACATCCGATGTATCGATCGAATCGACCTCGAGAAAGAACAAAGTTGCTCGGAGCCTGTCTGCAAGTGTATCGAGAACATCTATACGGGGTATACCGTTAATGGGAGCAAACGAAGATCCGTGGTTTGGTTTTTCGAAGGCTGTGTACCTTTGTGCCTCAGATTCCATTTCCTCCATCATCGAAACATCATCGAAACCGGGCTCAACTTCTTGAGAAAAGTAGATGTTAAGTCTCGACGATCTTCCAATGATGTGTTCTTCGGTAGATTCTCTAAACTTGGCCCATTCTTCCTCTCCATTCATATCTCGCAAGAAGCTATCAATGAGATCCCTTGCCCATTTTTTGTCCTTGAGTCTTTTATATATGAAACTATCTTGGGGTTTGGAGGCCACGCCGGGCCCCACGGATACAAGCACATCATAACTCGAGTTCTGACCCCAGATGCTTTTCGACTCTACGACAGCGAGTCGAATTGGGTTACCCTCTTTAAGGCCGCCATCGCGACAAAGACTTCCGTGCTGTTTAGGAAGGAAATACGGCGGGGCCGCAGATGTGCATCTTGCGCTGCCAGTAGATAGGTGGGTTAGTAGGAACCACCCGATAAAATATAGGGAAACGAGCTACGAACGCATGTGAAAGGTATAGATCTGAGTTCAAGTATTTTCCTATTCCACCCCGTTTATAGTTGCATATCAACCCGACACTTGACGGTTCCACTGTTGTTGTTACGGCCACTCGACAATGGTTCTGGAGTCCAAAGACTTTCCCGTCCACCCTTCTCTGGAAATGTTTTTCGAGTGCATTCTCAAGATTATCTGTGAAATAAATAGATCTCATCGAAATCCAACTGAGAAAGCTCATTATATTGCTCTTATTATAATGTTTGCCCGCGAATCCGGCTTCACAGATATTCTTAAATCCATTGACGAAGCTCTTCGCAGAACGGTTTTGGACTCCGAGGCCGAGAGCGATGACTCCGCCTAGTCCCAGCTTGCTATGTTAGGGAGGGTACGTTTAGACCTTTTTTTTTAGGTTGAGAGTGTTCACTAACCTGTACCTGTCCCAACTATCAAATCGAAGAAGTGTCCAATTGGCAAGTCAAGACCAATCAAAGATTCAAGTCTTCGTAGCGTGATCAACTGAACTATATTACGGACGCCTCCTCCATCGAGAGAAAGAATTCGGAGACCAGAGAGCAGGGGGCGAAGTCTCACTTCGTATGGCCATTGCGACCCTATTGAGGTACCACAGATCACGCACCCACCAAGTCTATGTTTCCCAGTATACTTCATCTGGTCGTTGATTTCGCTATTTGACCTAATGCATGTCTCACAAACGGTATGCCCACAGGGGAGTAAGTATTCGGAGTGGCGGAAAAGGCAGCCGTAGCAAACAGAAGTTTTAGTAAAGGGGTCGTCTCTCTCAGCGCGTCCTTGTTTCGGATAGGCACCCTCAAGTCTCAATCGTCGAATATTTTTGCGATGTTCTTCTGCAGCAAGCTTCCTCCAGAGTCCTTGATCTGCGGGTGCTTCGGCGGTGAACTTTTGGATTAAGGATTTGATGTAATCTTCGATTGAAGACATGAAAAATTCTGTATTGATGCTGCACTCTTCTTCTTGGTAGGGGCCTGATCTCATAAAAGCTCCAGTTTGGGTCTGATGACCTTTTGCGTGGCCAGCCTTGGTATTTACGCATCTGGCGCCTGAATAATCGTCGATATAAGCACAGATAGCGTTCTTTTCGCGAAAGGAATCCATGGCTTTCTGGCAAGCTTCCCGGATTTTGGCGTTGAATATCAGCGGTAGGATCAATATTGTATCTATCATTGCGATTAGTTATGCGGGCTTGCTAATCAAGAAGACAAAATATCATATATATTACTTGCCTTCACTCTTCGTGGCGGAGGCATTTACAAATATGGCAGACCCTAGTGCCGAGACGCATGCCCCGAGGCCTAACCGAATGTTGGACTTAAAACAGTGAGAAAGGTATTCTTCAAGATTTGAATCCAAGGTTTCCAGAGTTCCTGCATACCGGCGGCACTGCCCGAAATCGAACGGCTCAGTGTTACCGGCTGCAAGATGTTTAAATGCGAGATCAGTAAGAAAAGGCAGTTGCCTGCTGTCAAAGCGAGTTAATGATCCCGCTCTATTGTTTTGCACACGAGCGGTATCCGACTTGATGCGCTCGAGAAGCACTTTCGTTTTTTTGTGAAGGATATCTACTTCTGAGTAATCTCTCTGTTGATAGGGGATGTAGTGAACCTGAACGCTTGAATAGCTTCGTTTAAGGATATCTAGGATTGTTGTATCACCATACTATAGCACAATATGTGCATAGTCAATTAGAATTGCAATATTAAGGGTGCGTCAGCATTCGGTCGGTGATTGAGAAGGACAATACAGATCAAGTATGAAAATGATTCAGCAGTATCGATGTACACGTATCGATGCAATTACCTTTGATGCAAACTCCGTTAGTGTATTGTTTCCTGCAATCTCGTTCTCATTTGCAGAAAAGAAGCGCTCCGTTATGCGATCTGGATCATCGGATATCCAACGCTCGTCATCCATATGTAAAGTTGACTGATTGATGATGATGATAAGAGCCGGAAGGGTGTACTGATTAATTGTATTTTGAGCACCTATGGAGCTCCATTCCAGAAGTCGGATGGTAGTATCGGTACAAGACTTAGGGTCTTTGGTAACGTAGCATACAACATCGCTAAAGATGTATAAGAATCGAGGATATATCTTTTCAACAACACCTCGACGGTCGAGGGGCAGCCGAATCCGGTATTTTTGGCCGTATTGAGCCCAGTCGGTTTGATATTTAGAGGCAACAGGGTTAGATGATCCGTTCAATCCCTCGCAATCTGCAAAAAAGATGGGATTCCTTGTGCCGAAACTAGAAGGTTCGGGGTAGAGGTTGACCTCTCCGGTCGTAGAGACTAGAGCGTCTTCACCAGACTTTGCACTAGGAATCGGACAATTGAAGAATTTATTTTCGTCAGAATGTCGGATCATAGAACTGACTAAATTAAGAGTGTGTCATTAGCTCGATCCTTGAGGGTTGATACAAACTCACCGGTCGCGAATCCAGCTGCGGAATGCATGCTCAAAGGTATTTCGTACATACTTAAAACAGATTTTCCTGCGCCAGTCAACCCGATGAATGAAGTAATACTTGGAAACAGTAAGCCTCTCGGATTGTTTTCATCTTTGAAAGCCGAGTTTTGGAGCAGCTCTCCCAATCTTGGGGTTTCTACAATAATAGAAACTTTGCTTGTCTCGTACCCAGGCCTGGAAGAAACTTTGCTGATATAAGATTCTTTCGTAACTAATCCGAACCATTTTGCTTTTTCATCCAGTTTAAACGTATCCGAATTTCTACTATCATCGTCACCCCAAAGAACATTTGTTACGCCCTCCCAAAATTTCTGGTATTTTTTGTCGGGTTTTCGACGGTGATCCGGATTTCGTCCTAGGTGTTTTGGGGTGCATATTCCACAGAAATATTCTCCACAACTGCATGAAAACACTCCCGGATGCTCTTCGCATTTGCCACATTCAGGGATAGACTGTGGAGAACTATTTCCAGTGGTGACAAAGTTCATGTTTGGAAGGTGAAAGCTGTCAGACCTATCAGAAGCTGGCTAAGTATCTGAAAGAGGGGTGGCACCAAAAAGAGGGCTATAGTTTCGCTAGTTAGCTGTGTTAAGTTTTATAATATAAATTTAAGATCTCGCTTCAAGCGCCATCAAAAGATGTCCACGAGGAAATAATAAGCCTAGTAGATGAAGTTAAATGTGATTCGCCGTAACTATTAAGGAAACTGCGACTGATTGCAAATTTGCAAATCGGCTTGAGTCCTGCGGAAGGCATTGATTATTGTTTTATAAATCTAGAATATTATTTTATGGATTCTCAGGATTTTGATTTCTTCGCTGTAGTCTGGGGCCTTCGCTGGCAAATTCGAAATGACTAACGGGACAGGCCGAGAACCCCAGTTGAAGGCCTTGGTGGTCAACGGTTCTAGCCGTGATTCACGATATCGTGATTCTAATTGGCTAAACAATGCAGCTACTTTCAAGATGCGACCCCTAGACCACAGCTACTTACATAATGTTCTCCTCTGTTTGGGAAAGAACCCAAAGTTTTCCAGCCTTGATTATAAGTTGCCTGAAATTCGTTTATATTATCGGTCACACGATGACTAATGCACGTTGCATAATGTTGGGATTATTCCCAACGTTATAACTAGACGTCATGCATAGATCTCGACTTCATTTATTTATATATAAGTTTAAGAGATGTAACTCTACACATAAGACTGCATGGGCGCCATACCAATCAAATATTCCGATCAGAATTCGGCAAAAACGTCTTATATAAGTCTCATGTAGAAAATAGAAAGGAAATTGGTATGGGAGAATGCCATAGCTTGCGCAAGTATTTCTCACGGCCTCATAATATATAACATCTATGTAAAATACTGCTAGCTGGGTTATCTCGCTGGCAACCATGGCGTTATCAAAGCTTACTTAGTGGTCTTGACACTTTAGGTTTATGTATCGTGCACGTGCGAGCCAGAAATATGACTTAGAAACTAACTTAAATACTTATACTAAGTTAATCGTGGTAAATCAAACTTGCAAGAGTAATATGATAAAAGAACCGATCCGTGTCCATGGAAGAATTATGGGTGGTACCATTGTGCTTTCGTCTCGCGAGCCAGCTTCCACGGAACCTTTCGCAAAATGGAGATGATATATATATATATATACACCGAATTTTGAAAACCCCATCAGGTATCTAGAGACTCAAGTATGTCTGATGACTGCCTTGTAACTTTTTCAAGGGTGGTTTAAATAATTATTTTATTTATAAGAATTTTCGATTCTGCCTCCTAAATTTGCCCAGATTGGTCCTTTTGACATATCGAATTGACCCGTCAGGGATGTCGGGACGCCATCTTGGTATAATAGAGCTGCAGTCCCTTTCTGCTCTAAATCTTTAATAGAAGCTTTTATGTTTTTAATTTGGCGTTCGTTTTTCTTAAAATGCAGAGCTACTCGGAGGCGGGCAATCCGATCCTCTAGAACAGCGACTCTGCCAATTGTGGGAGGGATAAATCTTGGACCGCTAAGGCTGCGCTGTGCTGGAAGATTTGATGAATACTCTTCCGTCGGTGATGTATAAACCGACTTGTCGAGATTTTCCAGATATTTCGATTCGAGGGCCCGAATTCGGCTTTGTGATAGCCCTAGTGGATTGGATTGGGATTCTTCCATTGCATTTGTTCGTGTGGCCATTATGCTGCTGTTGTGTTCCGGACTGTTGTATTTTGGGTTCTGGCTAGCTTGAACCAGCGACAGGGGTCTGGGGCGTTTGTTATATAGAACAGGATTACATAAGCCGCTGCTCCAGAATGCCAAGACCAGCCGAAACCAAACCTTTGCGACAAGCTTCCCTGCAAAATTATTTTTCTTCGCGAATTCGAAACATATCGACGACTATCAGCCACGAGGACCCCACGCATGGACGTATCATCCCGGTGATAAACTTCGGATATTCGCTACTTCCATAGTGCGGTTGTATAATACATAGCTTTCCGGGACAAAATTAATCCACCATGGCGCCACCACTTTTAAAAACAGCATTCAAACAGGTTAAGGTCCTCCAGTCGTTTTACACTGGAGGGAAGTGCGCTTTGTCCGGTGATGGTCGAATACTTGTTAGCACATTGGATGAAGATGTCATCCTTACGGATATGGAGACTGGTCAGGAGCTGGCGAGGGTTGAAGGAGTACGTTCTATAAAATTCCTTGTCATCTACTAGTTATGGGAGGATGACTTGACTAACTGGTTCAAATAGGATACAGAAATGATATCTACACTAGCTAGTATGTGATTTTATGTGATCGAAATCGGATAAATGTACTAATATTGATTCTAGTTACTCCCAATGCCTCTCACCTAATCACTTGTTCGAAGTCCTTCACGATGCGGATATACACTCTCACAGTCACACCCACCGGCATAACTGCGACCCTTGCCCGTGCCGTAAAGGCCCATGATGCACCTGTCATTACATCAGCAATCGATCCAACGGGAACTTTATTTGCTACTGGCGGTTCCGATGGTCTTGTCAAAGTTTGGGATATCAAGGGTGGTTTCGTCACACACAATCTACGAGGGCATGGTGGTGTTATTTCGGCGCTTTCTTTCTTCGCACCTCCGGACAGGAATGCTAAGAAATGGAGGCTTGCCTCCGGAGCCGATGATACGAAAATTATTATCTGGGATTTAAGTACTAGGAAGATGGTGAAGACCTTGGAAGGTCATAATAGTGTGGTGAGAGGGTTGGATTGGAGTGTAGATGGGAAAATACTTGTTAGTGGTGGTAGAGATGCTGTCTTTATCATCTGGGAAACGAAGGATTGGTCAGCTAGGGGTCAAGTTCCTGTTATCGAGACCCTAGAGACTGTGGGGCTGCTGGCACCCGGCGCTAAGGTTGGCCAGAGCGAAGGCGACAATTCACAGGTGGTGTATACTGCTGGTGACAAGGGTTCGATAAGACTATGGAGCTCGAGTACAGGAAAGTCTATTCCAATGGCGAAGACTGATCAGGAGGATGAAATTGTGGATGTGATGTACGTTCCTGCCCAATCCAAAGATATCGATGATACCAAGACTAACAGCCAGAAACTAGATACTCGAAGAAAACCAATTCGATAATATCGGTCCATAACGACCAAACCCTCCTGGTTCGCTCTTTAGCCCCAAATCTCCCAATCGCCCGACGGATATCAGGTCACCATGACGAAATTATCGATCTTCAATACCTAACCTCAAACGACTCTCTTATCGCGTTAGCCACAAACAGCGAAGACATCAGAATATTATCGCCAAATGAAGGATCCTTCGGTGATATCGGCGTTCTAAAAGGTCACTCTGATATCGCAATCTGCCTAGACCGGGATTCAACCGGCAACTGGCTTCTTAGTGGCGGAAAGGACAACGAGGCTAGACTATGGAAAATCGACCCCGAAAATCCTCTCCAACATGAAAGGTTCACATGCTACGCCAGATTCGTCGGACACACCGAATCCCTTGGCGCGGTAGCTCTATCTCGTTCGGAACCAAATGAATCGTCGTCATTCCCCACACCACCGAAATTCCTAATCACAGGTTCCAAAGATTCGACAATCAAACGCTGGGAGGTGCCAAAGGCTCCAGAAGGGCAAAATAATGTTATCATTAAATCTTCGAAAGCTTTATTCACGCGAAAAGCCCACGACAAAGACATAAATTTCATCGATATCTCCTCTGACGACAAACTCTTTGCGACAGCATCGCAGGATCGAACGATCAAAGTGTGGTCTGCGGAAACTGGTGAAACAGTTGGTATCTGTAAAGGCCACAGGAGAGGTGTTTGGTCGGTAAGATTTGGGCCTTCGCATGTTACTGCGAGCACCGTAGGCGGAGAAGGGGCGGGGAGGCTTTTGCTCTCTGCTAGTGGTGATAAAACTGTCCGACTGTGGAATTTAGCGGATTACAGTTGCCTAAAGACGTTTGAAGGACACGCGGGGATCGTATTGAAAGCGATGTGGCTGAATAACGGATTACAAGTCGCAAGCGCTGGCGGTGAAGGTCTTGTTAAGATCTGGGAGGCAAGAACTGGAGAATGCGTGACCACATTAGATGGTCATGAAGATAAAGTCTGGGCCTTAGCCGGAAGTCGGGACGAGAGTATTATTGTGACGGGTGGTGGAGATTCGGTTGTCAGCTTTTGGAAGGATGTGAGCGAGGAGACCAGAGAGGAAAGACAGAAAGAGGAGGAGAGGAAAGTTGAACAGTAAGTGCTTCTCGGTTGGATCGAGCTTCAAACTCAGAATGCTAACGGTGTGATAGGGAACAAAAACTGGCAAACTACATCCAAGCTAAGGACTATAAGTCTGCTATCATACTGGCATTGGAACTCAACTATCCTTACAAACTTCTCAATCTCTTTACAGCGGTAATCAATTCTCCTGACGCAGAGAAAGATTCAATCATCGGTCTTAAATCTGTTGATGAAGTATTGGCAAACCTGAAAGACTACCATCTATACCTACTCCTTTGCAGAATCCGTGACTGGAATACAAACTCGAGGACTTCTAATGTTGCACAAAGGGTACTATCGGTACTATTACGCTCGTTTCCTGCCGAGAAATTTGTAGATTTGAAAGTCCCGACAAGGAAGAAGACAGAAGAGGAAGGAGAAGGACAAAAGAAGAGGAAGGGGGAAACTATGATTATTAAGGATATCATGGAAGCCATGGAGAGGTACACAGAGCGACATTACGGAAGGGTTTCGGATTTGGTTGGAGAGAGCTACATTGTGGAGTACACTTTAAATCAGATGGAAGAGGCGGCCTTTGTCGATGATAAGAAGGTGGCAAGGGCTTTGGTTGGCAAGGGACAGGTTAACGGAATCCATGACGACGATAGTGAAGAAGAGGGGGTTGCCGACATTGATAACAATGAGGAAGAAGTAGCATCTGAGGACGAAGATGAAGACGTTGAGATGAAATGAGTCTGAGGTTTTACCTTGGATTGGCGAGCTGTACGATCTCTAGACGGAGTTATTGGAATGGTTTTACTTGTACAATATATGGGCAAAAGTTCGATAGCCATTTATTTTGCTGTTTAATATAGTGTAGAATACTAAGGATGAATAAGTGGTTTTCATCTCATTCCAATTCATGCTAGCTAACAGCGGGCTATATTAACTCTGCCCTCGTCTTATGTAGTGACAATATGGCTATCTTAATCCTGTCTAGTTCGTAATAATCTCTTCGTAACTTTGTCCTTGGTGATTATATAAACGTGTGCACCCCTACAATACCGAGAGATTAGCAAGTTTCAAATGTTTAAACCGGGATATAACCTCAATAGAACGTACCAACCAGCCAGCGCATCTCTATCCAAAGAATTCAACAAAGTCTGACTGACAGTCTCGAATAGATCTTCAGGCTCCAGATCCGGTTCCCACAAACCTTCGGCCACACCGAACAACTGATCACTCGCCGTACCGCTCACAATAAAGTCCTTGGCGAAGTCGATACACCCGATCGAATCAAACCCACAGATAAATGGTTTGCCCGTACGCTGGTTAATACCAGCAACGACAGGTGAGACGAAGTATGGACCGAAACGGCGTTCGTAAAGAGACGAGGAGACAAGATTTGCCATTGTTTCCGGTTCGATTTCGCGTTCTTCTCGAAGACGGTAGAGGTTTACTTTGTAGCGAAAGAGGGAGTGCCTAGATTGGGTTTCACCGCTTGAGTATTGGAGCCCATGGATCAATCAACGGGAAGCGTAGTTATTACGGACATTGTTTGGACATCGGTTGCGAGACCTGTTAGACCCAGGAATACATCGCCATAGTTGAAGATCTTGGGGAAGTTGTTGGAGAGTGTGAGAGCTTGTTGACCTGCTAGTGGGTTAGCATGACTGGTCTAGTAAGGCAGATGGTTCGTGGTAGCGGACCTAGTCTCAGATCGCATGCAATGGCTATCATAGTTCGTGTATATGTCAGTGATGGTGTCGTAAGTATCGCGGTAGATTGTTATAAAATTGCCCCTCACCTACGCAGTCCTTCCCAGCCTATATCACCAAGTTAGAAATGACATTCCAACAAACGGACACGGAGGGGTACTGAAGAAAGACCTACCATCGCCAAACAAGCACCACCATCTGACCAGAAACTACTATTAGCAAGCTATCCGAAGCAGTACAAAAGACTCCCATGTATCGGTTTGGTGAACGAGTATGTACGTACTAAGCGTGAACGGATTCGACTACATGCCCACCAACTAGTTAGCACCACCCACCAGCTTCGAAAGCTCTCCAATCTGAAGTCAAGGTGAAGCTCACCATCTTGAATCAATTTGATCTATCGCTCTAATATGGTATTCCAAATAAGTTCCGACAACACGGCGGGGTATATCGACGGGTATGGCGATGGGGTGATGGATGATGGCGAGAATGGTGAAGCTTGAGAAAGGTCGATAGAATTGCGCGTCGTTTGGGATGTCGTACTAAGCATGTTGGAAGTGGTGTTGGACAGGATGTGGCGCATGAGAGCTTAACTGCCACAGTCACGTGCCTCACTAGCCACCAACATTCCAACAACTTGTCAACCTATTAGCTACCCTGCTAGAAAAGTACTTAGTGTTTTGAATTTTTCAATACCGTCCGAATCCGAATTATTAGGAAAGCTCCTCCTCTAACACTATTCGAACCCGTATTGAAAACTGCAATACCGCACTATAACGGAAAAACAGTATTAATGCGGTATTAATAAACCGTTCCCTCTGGCATAGTAGATGTAACTATGACTGCGACTACTTAGCTATGCATATGCATATATACATGGGGCAGTGCAGTGCCGCACACTCGATCTACAGGGTCTTCAGAGCCTAGTTTTCTAATCCAGGGGCCATGGTGTGGTTGAGTGAATATAAGTCTCTGAGCCAAACTGCCCAAGTGAGCGAATATCGATAATCACGATATCTTAATATTGTCCCCGAAGAGCTGGGGCTATCAAGTAAAATGTTGTTGGCAGATACCGTGAGCTCTGGATCTGTAGGCCCAATCTCCAGAATTGATTAATCAAAACAGGACCGTGGACAAAGTAATGTTTTTTTTTAGTGTAGATATAAATTACTTGGTGTCAGTTGCATCTTACACTATCTTTTGGCTTCGAGGCTAGTGTCATTTTCAGGGACTGAATCCTGTGGAGGACCTTGTCTTGGTTGGATTTGACGCGCGAGTAATGACTTGCCTTGTACATATTGCACCGTAGTATGATGATACAGTTTGAAAGGTTTATAGTGCTATTATTATTAATATGTTTGGTCATTTTGCCCGGGATTGATGTATCAGAATAGATGCATCGAGTCCCCGCAATGGATTGATTAATTAACTAAGTGGATTCAAGAGTGTATAAGGATACAGGACAGTGTATCAAGAATATTCGATTGGTTGTAGACCGCCGATAATAAACGGTTGCAATAGGCGATCTGTCATGTAACGTAGTAATAATAATGAGCAGCAGTTTTCGAAACGAAGGTCAGATGCTGCTGAATGAAAGGACGCCAGTAATAATAAGAATACCTCAAACGCCCATAGCTATGAAATAGAAAGTTGAATGTATCCTCCCCTGCCAAGTTGTTACATAAATCATTAGGCCATTGGCTTCTGATCTCCTTTGGAGAGCCATTCAGCACGAATGATCTTCTTCAAGATCTTACCAGCCGGGGACTTTGGAATCGCCTCCACAAAGTAAACACCTCCATCTAAAGCCTTGTACTTGGAAAGTTTGGATAGTATAAACTCTTTGACTTCGGTCTCTGTAATCGCCCCAACCTCGGTAGGAACGACATAGGCCCTTGGGACCTCGTGCTCATCATTTTCCGAACCAACTTTGATACCGATAACTGCGGCATCCTTGATAAGTGGGTGAGTTATGAGGATCGCCTCTAACTCAGCAGGAGCAACCTGCCAACCACGGACCTTAATCATTTCCTAATCCTTATTGTCAGAATCATTGTTTTGGTTTAAATTCACTTCAACAATGATCAACATACCTTCTTTCTGTCCATGATGTAAAGCTTGCCGTCTTTGAAATAAGCGACATCACCAGTGCGAACCCATCGATCTCGTATAATAAGTTCTCTTGTAGCAGTTATGTTACCCCAGTAGCCCGAACAACACTGTGGAGTTCGGATCTGGACTTCCCCTTGCTCACCGGTATGGGTCACGTTGACTCCCAGCTCGTTAACGATCCTAGCTTCAGTATTGGCCAGAAGCTTGCTAGCAGCGCCAGTACGATCAACATCGTCATAATTCATTCCAACAGTGATGCCGATCTCGGTCATGCCCCAGATGTTAACGATTTCAGCATCATCAGCAAAGCAAGTGCGAGCCTCTGTTTGTAACTTAACGTTCAAGGGAGCACCGCCACACCAAATTCGCTTGATGGTCTTAAGCTTGTTTTGTATCTCTGGTGATGACTTCAAGAATGCCTGGAGCACTGGAGGAGCAACGGCTGTTTCATTGATCTCATACTTGGCAGAGGCATTGGTGAATGCGCCAAGATCGAACCGGGGAAGGATATATGTGGTTTGCCCAAGACGGAGCGGAACCCCAATCGTCAACGGTGCTGCGAATCCGTGGAAGGATGGAAGGCACATCAAACGTTTCACCTAATATAAATACTTGCATCAGTAACGACCCAAAAATATTCTCCCTGCTTCCTTCATCATCCTCACCTCATATGGCCTCTCCAATGGCTCCCGGAGAATCACACTACCAGCTACCCAGGCATAGTGTGAGATAGCAATGACCTTTGGCAATCCAGTCGTTCCAGAGCTTGCAAAGAAACCCATCAGGGTAGACTTGGCGGTTTTCTTATCATTGAACTTTACCCAATCCTCCTCTTCGTGTTCCAGCAACTCTTTGAACGAACGGAGTCCGTCCTCTTTCTTGAGTTGCTGCCCTTCAGTATCAAAGGCAAAGATCTTGTCGCTTTGGATCATGGTACGTTGAACCGCTTCCTTAACGTTCTTTAGGAGACTTGGCTGAACAAAGATGAAATCAGTGCAAGAAATCCTGAAATGGTGCTCTAGTTCAAAGGCAGTGTATCCGGGATTCGTGCCGACAAACACAGCACCGCAGCCAATTATAGCCAGAAACAAGACTGGGTACATAATCTGAATCATTCATGTCAGCTCTTTGATCGATACTCAACCTTCAACGACTAACTACGCTTACATCGTTAAATGAATGGATGCAAACTGCATGTCCGGGTTTGACTCCAATGCTGCGAAGCCCACCAATCAAAGATTTGACCTTACACTCCACTTCAAGGGCAGTCATCGAACGCTCCGGGTGCAAGGCATCGACATATATCTGCACGCAAGATCATTTTAGCTTCAGACCACACCACACTTATTCTCCACAGCAAGGGAACTTACAGTCCCGTTATGGTCGTATTCGCTGTTTCCAAACAACCAGGTTAAGAGATCAACATGGGGGATTTCATGGATCTTTTCTCCGCGCATCACCGGCTCACCGGTATCCTCAGCATGAGGGAGCATATTGCTACTCGGAGCTACCTTTGACTGCCCTATCGTTAATGGTGTCGAATATTCAATATGGGTCGGTCCTTGTTCTGATGATTTCGAAGAGTCTGACTGTGTTGAAAGACGTTTGGGAATGTAGACAGTATCGTTACTGAATTTCTCCCTGGCAGGTCTGTCCTTTCGTTTAGTTGTAGTTATAGAGGAAACAATAGCTTTCCATTTACTAAGGAAGTGTCTGTTGAAACGAAAGCGTGCTGGTGTCGAGGTTCGCGAGAGTGGCGATGGTTGTGGAGGAAGTGATTGGGGAGCTGTGGTGGCCATATTCGCTCTTTTTCTTGACTACCGACTACTTAACACTTGCTTCACCACCACTTGACTACAGCAGCTTTCTTTTTGACAGCCTTTCTTCCTGTAAACTAACAGCAAGCCGGTCTACCTACTTTTCAGTGGGTATATAGGTATTCTTCACAAGAAAATACACTCCTTCTTATGATATTAGCTTCTTATGAAGCCAAGTTTCACTTGAGCTTTCGTAAATGATCGATTTGAGATCTTCAGAATCCCAAGTCAACCACCTGGTATGTAATTCGAATATTCCAGTACCAATCTTAGCTTGGAATACTTCTAATATGTACGTAAGTCCTATGCGAGCGTCTGACTCCGAGACTACGTAAGGCTAATACCTAAGTAGGTACCTTGAATACCTAAAAATCAGCCAACTTAGAAACGAAACCGAAGATCCCAACGAAGAGAAATCAAAAGCCGGATTACGATTTTGAAGATTGTGAATCAGGATGGAGGAGTTGTTATAAAGTGAAACTACAACTGCAAAATTATCTCCAGATGATCATACCACCAGTCCAACAGTTTTATATCCTTGTCGACATGTCCTGTTGGCTTTTTCTAACAGCAATTGTGGAGTCCCTAGTTCCCCCAGATTTACATACCCTGGCAATTGTAAGTAAAAGATGTTGGAAAAACGTGCTAGGCAGCAGAAAATAGCTGACAACCACCTATTCGAATCTAGGTGCGGAGTATTCTAGCAGTCGGAGAGCAAAAACAATCCTTTATAAGCAGTAAAAGGTATGAGGTATTTGGGCAACTGTGGTTAAATATATCGAAACAATTGTGGTAAAACTTGGGGTTCAGGGTCCGAATGAGAACGTTGGAGTCAATCGATCCTTCGAAATGCCGGGTTCTTATGGCCATATGGGTATCCTCGTACGAAATCTAGGACTGGAGGTAACCTCGTACCTTCTGTCCGCAACCTGCCAGTCAATTGAAAATTCGGGCATCAACTCGAAAGTCATACAGCCCCTCGGCCGCGGTACCAATTCCCGTGTATATTTCAAGTTATCTTATGCCGCAAATTAGGTTTCCGAGGCAAACCGACGCAGATTAGTTTGCCAGCCCAGGGAAACATTTGCCTTAAGCCTTGTTATTGTTAGATACGCCTCGACCGATTCAATATTATAATTGGACATGCATCAACCAAAATTTGCATTCCAGACATGCACAGGATCGAAAAGGTGCTGTGCCGTGTGTCTTTTTGGGTGTTGCATATCCGCGAGCCATTGGAAGGGTACTTTACTTGCTCCGGACAGGGATCCTCCAAGTCCCAAAACTTCCTTCGCTCAAACCTGTCATCCCGTGCATATACACATAGCTCCATAACTAAGCTATGTTGATATGCAGGACACACACTTTTTTTCAGAATTTTATTGATAGTAAGGGAATTTTACCCGGTCCACGGATATGCAAACGCACATACAAGCCGGCTTGTCAGCATGCACATTATAAACCCAAGCGAGGGGAGAGGGACAGAGAAAACCGTCAGTTTCAGTAGATATCAAATGCCGAAAAGGTATAGCGGGAAAATTCTTTTCCAAATTCTTCTAAGCTTTACATGAGCTTGTAAGTCTACCCGCACTTGCATATTTTAAAATTTTATTAATTGAATTGATGTTTGGTATAATTACATGTAACCCTCTGTAGATACGAGTAATAGAAATTACAACAATTGCACAAGAGGACTTCCAACTTTTCAACTCAGCCTCGATTGCTCAAGTTTGATGTTAGCAAGTATGGCAAGATAGACGGCGGAAAAAAAACTCTATTGGTTTGGTATGCACGCAGGTATGTGGTGACACCAGAGGGAAACCTCAAAGGCGGCTCGTATAATATCTGCATTCCCATGCATTCGAATTCGAAAGGCTGGCGCGTATGTGCACAGATGTACTTACATGTACGTAGACCACGTTACCAATTTCTGCAGCCCAAGGTTTAATCGGCGTCATAATGTAGCTGAAATTGTAAAAAGAAACCAAGCCATCGGCATGGCATCGGTGAGCAGCTATCTATGACCATCGGTTTCACAAGGTCAATTGTGGGTCAGCCTCTCCTAGTGTTGGTGCAGTCATGAATACGTATTTGACACCCGCAAAATGGATAGCATCCAACCCGGTCCAGTTGAAGTCAACTCTGAGCGTGACTGCATATATTGCATTCTTGTCATTTTCGAACAAGATAAAAAACATACTGGGTCGACCCGTGTAAACGACATAAGTATTCGGGTAAGATAGACGATTGTTGTCTCGTACCCAAACCTGGAAGAGAAGATTGCAGTATTGTTGGATATTCCAATACATACACATATCATCTGACTTTACCGCGGTGGAGTTAGTAATTTAGATGCTTCAAACCAGAATTTCCCAATACGCCAACAATACGCAGACAAGAGTGAGTGACAGACTAACTGAGACCTATAGACACAAGATCAAGTAAGACATTCATATCTGAAACCCGAGAACAGACAGTACAGCCAGGAGACCGGCTTGCATACCTATCTATTTCTTTGACAACAAACGCAATTGTTGTATCTCAAGCTCAGGCTCGATACCATCGTCTGATACCAGGTAAGATTTTCAGGTATGATGTGTCCATGGCCTGCAAGTATTCTGTGCCCATCAACATTTTTGCACAGTACCCACAAAACGATTGGCCTGGAATGACGGGTAGTTGGGAATGGCGTTAGACTTTGGCGATCGAAGCGGGGGCGTCTGTCGAAGACCACATTGTTGCATTTTTCTAGTTGAAGCCGAGCTTTGACCTTCACGAGCTACAAGCTCGAGGAACGCCGAACAGAAACACAGTTACAATGGAACCGCCGCCAATATGTACAGTAACCGGCTTTTTTTCTTTCTTTCTTTCTTCCTTTCCTTTTTTTTTAACGCAGCCCATGCATTTTCACAAGCTCGAATATGAGCCATGCATTATCTTTGGGTTGTCGTTTGTCATTCGGGGGGAATCCACGCGAAAGAATAGCTGCGGGTCATGTTTCTGTGCCTGGGTGCATATCTTAAGAGGCGTTGGTGGCTTCCTCTAACTTTTGTGGATTGCGCTCATGGCGTGACTAAACGCCTAAGAACAGCTCATCTCGCAGTTCCTCTGCAATGCAATAGTTAAACTGGCGTCGTGATAACATAGATTTTTCTTTTCTTCCTTTCACATTTTTGCGCCTGGGAAGTTCCAGTTGATATTAGGCAGACGACTGTGGGCGCAATACTATTGCGATTTTCGGGTAGCTTAGCTTGAGAAGTGGATACCAGAGAGAAATCCAATCCTGAACTCAAGCTGAGAATTTTCCGATTTGATCTACGGAAAGGTAAAATGCTTTACAGGACCCGCTCTTATCCCCGTCAAGCTAGAAATTCTAGCAAATAGCAACTGCAGGGCGAAAATTCCAAGTGGGGGCCAGCGGGGTCTCTTGCATTGTCACACAGTGTTGTCTCCGCTGGGCGAGACCTTTCTCTTGAGTTCTCGCCAATCGAGGAGCAAACTTCGAAAACCTGGCAGCCGCAGAACGAGCCTCGTGGACGAGCGCATTAAAAACCCGGCAGATCTTGATTTAGAAGCCGGCCGTCGGCTATACGGAGAAGTTGAGAGACAGCGGCTTAAGGGATAATTTAAGAGAACTCCCAAATATTAAATGGCATGCACGGCTTCAAACCAAAATGTATACATACCTATTAATTTTCGAATTTCGGATTTTATAACAACCGGAATTCGGATAAAACTGTAAAGCATGGGTTGAAAATAATCAGATATCTGCCGACAGCTCAGTGGTAAGCGTGGATATTATTTACATATACATTTAAACATCAAGGGAGACTAGCCAGATATCGATCATGGTTCTACAAGACCTGCTATTATATGGAGTAATACCTTGTACATCGCAAACCTTGCAATATTAATCTAGAATTAAGAAATGGTGCAATTGATATAGCCTGGAAAGCAAATCGATATATTAAAAAGCTTGTGTCATGATAAGCCCGCATTATTATTATGTCAGTTGCGCAGTGGGCGAATAGTCGAGGCCCACCTGCAGCCACGGGAAGTGCCTACTTATCCATGTTTCGGCCGGTGTGACGAGAACATGAAGCGCCAGACCAGGTACGGGAGACAAGGCCGCAATGAAGTAAGTATCCCGACCCAGATGCCCAAAATTGTTTTCGTTCCGGTACATGATGAACTTGCTTCTCTTCGGCTTGGGAGATCGAGGGCAATCATGATTTTGCTTATCTCGACGAAGCATAATAAAAATGCATATTTAGGATCCCGCCGGCCGCGGCCGCCCCACTTCGGATTGTCAATCAATTCCACGCTTCTCGGCTGGCGGCCGGCTCCCAACTATCGCAGCTGGAGGCATCTGATCCCGCCATTAATTCCTATGATTTGGCATAACTATAGCACAATTCCTACAAATCCTCTAGATACTTTAGTTATACTTCGCACGAACCCCAGGACTGGGTTACGTACCTCGGCCTACAATTGACGCACCAACTTAAGCTGCGTCTGTCAATTCAGGCAATGATATCGGGGATCCTGTGGTCAGGGATCCCTGTCCAAACAGGCAAGCTCAAAACAACGTTGTAGGTTGTTGGAATTTAAGCTGTCCAACAACATTGCAAGCAGTACCTGCGCCTGCAGGTTCCGGTTCTTCACAGCCACCATCTCTTGGAGGGCGAATCTAGCCGTGTGTAAGAAAACAATCCGCCAACTTTAGAATGCTATGGATATGTGACGTTACGGATGTTTTTGCATCTCTCAGGTTAATTTGTTGGCAAACCCTTGGCTAGAGTTTCGATGTTTGCTTCCATCTGCGAGGGTTATCCGAATATTCGGGGAACTTTCATTTTAGGCCGTTGTAGGCAGCACACTATTGAGAGGGGTAGTTGCTTGTATAGATGTGTAGCCAGCTTAGGAAGAATGAAGTTCGGCTGTCAAAAATGGTGGCGCCCTGCAAAAGGGTGGATATAACTGCAGGTGGAGAATGGTCTCGTTCCTTTGGCCGCATGTTCCACGTTCAGAAAAGCGGATTTCGACACTATCAATTAGCTAATTAGGAGCCTTTAACCCGAAAGACGAACCAAGGAAGCTTTATCCAGAATATCTTGAATATATATCGGTGTATATCACACATTGTGCCGCCTTGCAGTTCCGTATACGACGATCAGAAGCAAGATATTACGTATTCGAATCCTCGCCGGCAAAAGTAGGGCGAAATTTGATAGCATTGAATACGATATTTGTTTCTAGGCATTGGCTAGAGTCTAGCATATCTGTAAGTACTTAGCGCGGTAGCTTTGAACACTTTATACACAAGGTATATACCTCGGTATATAAAATAATCTATCATTGGCACATTCACCTCGAGACCAGGGTACATAAGGATATATCGGTAGTATTCTGCATGCCGACTAAGCTATATATTATATGTATCCATATAGACCCTGACTGAGATTCCTGTTATTAAGATTTCAAGCCTTCGCTCTTAGAGAACTAGCACTGACCTTTAATATAAGCAACTATAGTCATTCTGCTTCACCGACCCGAGTCCAGAGTTGTGGTAGTGGTGATAATAGTAGTATCCCAAGAGAAGATAGTTGGTAGTGGTGGTTGTTGTTCCACGATAGCTATCGCCAGCTTCAAAAGCGTGCTACGGGGTGCACCCTATTTCCACAGCAACAATGGATGTCAACAATGCTGAGATGGCCGCAGCCGTCTCTCCAGTCGAACCTTCGACATCACCTACTCAACCTCCTCCGTGTGTTTTATCTCCTTCACATGGGTCTCATCCTCCAACCCATATTCCTAATCGCTCTCGCCATCATCAGTATCGACATCAGTTCTCGTCTGTGTCGACAAATTCCTCATCTTCCTCTTCCCCTTCCTCTATTTCGTCTTATTTTTCTTCTTCGAAATCGCTAGCCTCTTCAAAGGCTTCCAGCAGCTCCTCACATACTGATAGCTCAAACTCTCACACGAGAGAAGAGACACTATTATTTCGTCTGTGGAGAAGAGCTAGAAAAGCCATGGCTACCATCCACCACTATATTAGGGATGACAAAGGGGCGTTCATGTACCCAGCAGCGTATGAAGTTGGAAACCCGCTCGAATATGAACACAGACGCTACTGGACTCGGAGCATTTTTGCAAGGGATCCAGTTCTCAGCTACGACGTCGAGAAAGGGGGGGCTCTCTATCCAGGCCCTCTTCCAGAACAAGAATCTTACGTCTGGCCAAAAATTCGACACGGTTTCTTTTCAGCGTACCGTAGACTCTTTGGTCTCATCTTTCTCACAAATCTTGCTGGACTTCTCTATGTTGTCTTCTCATTCAGCGGTCCTGGAAGACTAGTTCACTTGTCGACAGCCGTCTCTGCAAATCTTCTCGTTGCTGTCTTAATCCGCCAGGATTTTATCGTCAATGCAATCTTTGCCGTCTTTGCCTTAACTCCTCAATGGTTCCCCCTTCGAATCCGTCGTTGGGTTGCCAAAGTTTATGAATACGGTGGAGTTCACAGTGGCGCCGCCATTGCTGCCACAATGTGGTATATCTTTTTGACTGTGGAGATCACTCGAACATATGCTAGGGCTGTGCACAACGGTGCCCCTGCTAGCCATATGCTCTCGCTACTGCTCTTGACTTGGGTTCCTCTCTTGATCCTCTTACTTATTCTCATATTCACAATTCCAGAGCTTCGACGTCGCTTCCACGATCAATTCGAAGCTTCCCATCGATTTGGTGGCTGGCTCGCCATCATAATCATTTGGGTGCAAGCAATTATAATGGCAAATGCTACTCGTGGGGAGAAGTCCCTTGGAAGAACCCTCGCTGAAAATCCATCTTTTTGGTTTCTCATTATAATCTCAGCCTGTATCATATATCCTTGGCTCCGACTTCGCAGGGTTATTGTTCGTCCACAACGTCTCTCTCAACATGCAACACGTCTTTGGTTCGATACCGTCAAAGTTGGTTTCTGTCAGGGCTTCGCTGTCAGTGATAGACCACTATTTGAATGGCACACATTTGCCTCCCTTCCAGAGCCCGACTTCAAGTCCTGTTCTCTTCTGGTCTCAAACGCCGGTGACTGGACTAAGAAACAAATCAACCAAGGTCCACATAAACTCTGGATCCGAGGCATCCCTCGAACAGGCGTCCTTCGTATCGCCCCGATTTTCAAATCCGTCATCATGGTTGCAACTGGGAGTGGAATTGGCCCCCAGCTCTCTTTTCTACTCGCCTGTGGGAATAGACTCAAATGTCGTCTTCTCTGGTCCACCCGCAGCCCCCAGGAAACTTATGGAAGAGAAATCCTGGATCTTGTCAACAAAGTCGACCCCCAAGCCGTCATTATCGACACAAAGAAAACCGGCCGCCCCGATATCGTCCAGATTACCTATGAACTATATAAAAACGAGGAAGCCGAAGCCGTTTTTATAATTTCCAACCAAAAGATTACCAGGAGCACTGTCTACGCTTTGGAATCCCGCGGCATTCCTGCCTATGGACCGGTTTTTGATTCTTAATCTTGCCCCTCGACCTCTTTCACACACGCTCGCTACTCCTTTATATAAAGGATATATAGTAGCAACATCATAAGCATTTTGGAGGCGTTTTTCAATTTTTTACAATCACGCATTAGCACAGATAAGCATTCAGAGGGCGTTTCTTAATTTTATCATCTCTTGTTTCTTGTTCGCTGTTTTCTTTTCTTTCATTTTATATCCTTCCTGTTCCAACTACCTCTATTAATTTAAATACCCGCCTGCAGCTAATACTCCTAGCACGGCTTGCTCTCAAGCTTCCCCACCATTCATCACTGCGACTCGTTTCCTGTTTGTATTTCCTAATTTCTATTAACAATGCTTTTGATAACAAACCTTTCTCGTTTTCAGTACTCCCGCCGTTCCGTTATCAAAATTAGCTTTTTGATTCTTTTTGATTATCAATTGTAGTCGCACCGAGACTAGTTTGTCTCGAACTCGTTTAATGGTTCATTATGATTCGAATTCACTTTTTTCGACAATGTGCGACATACTCTTGGCTTGCCCTTGGATTCAGCTCCCAAGAATTTGGGAATTGAAAGTTGTATATAAGCCTTTCTTCACATGAATCGGATCTTCTTCCGCAATATCTTGCTCACTATATCGATTTTTCATATTTAACCTTACAACCAATTGGTGCCTCCACATCATTAGACATCGACCTACACAGTCTACGAATCTGTCGCCTGGGCTGAGGAAGTAGTTCCAAATCCAACAATCAACACAAATTAACTTCTAACATGAACATCCCATCCCTCCAATTCCCCGCCCTCCCCACTATAAACGGCTTCGAATATACCATCCGTCAAGCAACAATTACAGACATCCCATTGCTCACGACCCTCCATTTCGCTGCCTTCGGGGACGAATTGGACCAAATCATCCCCAATAACGTTGACGGTAGAGCATGGATGTCTGAGGCTTTTCGAGTATGCTTTGAAGAATTTGAAAACGATTGTCTTACTGTTGCTGCAATCGCTAGGAAAGCCGATGATTATGGTGATGATGATAACTTAGAAGAGGGTGGGGAGGTAGTAGCCTATGCGAGGTATATTTTACCTACTAGAGAGGTGTGGGATAATATGTATTCATATCCTAAGGCTGTTGGAGAGATGGATCAAAATAAGGTCGATGATTTTTTGGGAGGTTTGGAGGAACAGCATGCGGAGGCTATGGGGTGGGGAGATGGACAAGTTGGGGTGCGGCATCTTTGTAAGTTCTCCTTTTCGGCGGTATTATATATAGCGTCCCTCGATAGTTAATTTCTAACAATGTAATATTAATATTGCGAAATAGGGTTTGAGAACTTGGCTACTCATCCAAGTCATAGGAGGTTGGGGATTGGAAGGGCTTTGGTAGGATATCTATGTACACTTGCGGATGAGATGGGGTTAGAGGTTTATCTTGATGCATCGGATTTTGGGATGGGATTGTATAAAAAGTTCGGGTTTAGGACGGTTGAGAGGATGGGGAATAGGGCGGTTAGTGCGCCCATGGTGAGAAAGGTTAAGGGTTAAGAATTATTATGCATACAGCATCTAGGGTTCTTGAGTCAGTGTTAACGATATCTGGATACCTCGTGGATATACTCAGAAATAAAAGCACTATCAAAGCTTCTGAGCCAAAGCATGTTTTGGATGAAGCCGAACTTAAAACACCTTTTCATTCTAAACTACAGGAAAGAACCCCGAAAATGTAAGAGAAAGAAAAACCCCCAAGAAATAGAAGCATGAAAAGCAACAACAGCCCGCCACCCCGAAGCAAAACCGACCCCGCCGTGCATGATTTAATAACAAAAAGTGTCCCTTGGTACCATGGTATCATCCTTAGTATCACCGCCTGCCAGACCAAACTCCAAAAGACCCAATCCAGGCTACCCGAAATTCGAAACCCACCGAACGAACGCCCCAGTAGAAATCAACTTCAAACCCGCAAAATACTAACAAATAAATTGATACAAAAAACAAAAAGCTAAAGTTCCCCGGCTATAGTAACAGACCGGGTCCAAATAACCGCCCAGAACCCACATATTTGGATAAGGTCTTTAACTTTAAAAAAGCTAGGCCCTAATCAATGATCGATTGGAATGTCGGTATAATTTATTATCGGGTGCAACGTCCGAACCCCCAACAACGAGTGCAGTGTTTGTCGAATTCCATTGATCTCTTCTCGACAACTTTACCGCATCGACATATAGAGGAATCTGGTGAACGGCGTGTGGCTTGGTAGTAGTATAGGATACCACAAGCTTGGTGGAAGAATGATATGACGCACATGATAAATGTTGGTTTTAAATTTAGTAGATGATGTTCTCAATTTGAATCGAGGGTTTTAAACGTTTTAAATTTTAAGGCCTAGGTTTTAGAACTAGTGCTCGTAAACATGCAAAGGCCCGTGTGGATAGTTCTATTTAGGGTCTCCGAAAGTGGTGATTCAGCTATGAAATTTAAACTACAGTATAAGGGCTCGTATGTATACGTACATGCATGTAATTTATACAAACTTTGATGGTGAAGATCGTATATTTCAATATTCTAATAGAAGAATTTGGTGTTGAATCCCGTCAACCTTCTAGCTTTAACTCAGACTACGGAGCATAATTGCATAATATATAAAACCAAATTCTAGATCGATATCGATATATCGCGATCGATAAATCGTGTATGACATCGACGGTCGGGCGACATGTGTCCAAATCCTCGCCCCATTGATAGCTCGATAGTAGCCCTTTCCGTAATTAGCTATTGTAAAAAATACTCACTTGATATCATGATCAGATCAAGCTGTTCGCTAAATTTGCAAAAATAGCTAGCTCTAGATAGATAAGCAATTTAGCACACATATGAAGTTTGCAAATTCGCAGGTTATTACCATAAATTTGATTAATTGTCTAGTGAACAGGCAAACTTAACTTATAATTGAACCATGGATCCAGCCTCGAGTGCTCCACGTGGCAAAGTGATCGACATCGGCTCGGAATTCGAGTCCCACAAAATTTAAAAGTTCAATAGCAAACGCGATAGTAGCAAACGCGGAACGTAAATATATTAATCAGATCGTAGCCTTGCATACGGAATATCCTGGAAAGTTTAAAAACGATTCAAGAAAGCATAGTACGACATCATGCACAGTCGAACTTCTCTCCGTTTAAGCGATTCTCCATGTATTGGCCCTAATCGACTCAATTGACCAAGCCGGAGTCCTCGAATATACTTCTCGGAGTACACTTTTCCGTACCGTAATTTATAATTCTGGTCTGGCTAAATGTTTTATTTTTATTTTTAGAGTATCTTAATATAGAGTATGATTTCCATTTGACTTTTTTTTATAAAAATTTGTGAAATGCAAGCCTAACAATTGGTCTATAGAGTCGTTCTGTGTTGTCAAGTGTGGTATCTTGCAATCTTGCACGTATCTCCAGATTAATGGTCTCGACTGGCTGTAGACTATCAGGCCAGGCCTGTCTTGCTGGCGTCATACCAAGTTTGCCAGACCCGGTCGACCAGAGAACTTACACTGTTAACATCGTCTACGAAAAACTTTATTTATACTGTATCTATACTCTTAAGTTACCTATCTGCCTAAGTAGATATCCCGACTTTTGCAATTGCAGTTGATTCTATGACTTGCTATACTATCAGCCGTTGGCCAGCCGGCAATGTCCACGGCATCGGCGGGGTCTTCCATACTTCTATCGGATCTGATCACGAAGGGGGTTGGTACGCTCTTATACGCCATACACGATTCCACGAAAAACGACAGGCAAAGGAGCGTGAGAGAGCAAGAATACGAGACAGAGTACTTGGCCCGTCGTTGATAGACCGTATTCGCGCGGCGCAGAAACCGTAGGCTGTCCTTGTTACTTAGGCTACGGGGTAAGCTGTGGGTATTCACCGCAACGGGGTTATCTCGGCCGTGCTGGCTAAATGTTTCTCCATCTTTACCCCCCGTAACCATAGTCGGTAATTGAGGTTGCACGGTTATGAAGTAGTAAGGTAGTTGGGTTTTCTAGAATGGAGGCAAGCTAGGGGGAACTAGTCCCGTTGTGGGGCGCAGCCTAGCAGTTGGTAGCACATCATTAGGTCAGGCATCTCGTAACCCCCAGCAGCCCAGCCATCAACTCAACAATCGGTTAAATGCCCTCTTCACTCTTAAAGACCACGACATTATCACCCTTCTCTTATCATCCATCCATCCATCTACCCGCCTCGCCCCCATAAGGGTACTACTTCTATCTCCCAATATCCAATTTCCAGTATCGTCAATTCAACACCAAAAAAAGATGGCTCCTCGTCCAAGCATGTCTATCTTTCGGGGCAATGGCCCTCGAAAATCGTTTGCGCCTACAACGCCATCAGTTTTCCTTATCCCCGAGATACTCGAACTTATCATGCTGGAACTTCCAGCTATCACAGTTCTTACGACATGCAGAGGCGTCTGCAAAAGTTGGAAATCTCTCATCGAAATGGCACCGGACCTAAAGTATTACTCTTTGACCGGTCTCAAACGCTCAAAAAAGCGACAAGCTGAAAACGCAGCTCGCCAATTGCCAAATCAAATCATCACACCTATGGCACTTGCCGTATTATCTGCATTTTGGAAAAAACTAGCAGTAAACGGGATTAATGATAATCTCTACGTCGTCAATGAGAGACCTGCTGTCTACGCCAACAATCGTGGACGACATCCTTGTTATCCTGTTTTCTGGGCGTTAACATTACCCATTCAAGGTACGATCTGTACCATCAGGTGGTTGGCGAATCGAAAACAAGGACCGGGCGTGGAGAAGGATCGCAAAAGGTTTCGGAATGATATAAGACCTTTGTACAAGAAATTCGCAGGAGGAACAAAACTCATACCATTGATTGATCCCGACCTCGACCGCAAGATGATATTGGACGTTGCAATTGAAGAACGATCGAATTGGGGATATATCTATCGTAAAGACGGTGTCCAACCGGAAGAAATGCCGAAGCTCGACCCAAGTGACATCATTACGGAGCCGTGGTCGAAAGTGATGTCAGCTCTTGCAAAAACGGTTTATGAACAAGCACCTAATCCCACGGGAGGAGAGAATCCGAGGTTCTGGTGTGATTTTGTCTATGAATATTTAGATGGGAAGAGGGAGAAGAAGCATCATACTGAGGAAGTTGTGTTTGGTAGCTTAAAAGTATTCAATTATCATGTTGCCGTTGGAGAGCCTTAAAAGTTAGATGATATAGCTGCTACACCTGTATTCTAGATCTTTTGGGGTGTTTTAAACGTTTTATTACTGTACATACTTCATACATAGCTTTGATACTAAAACGAAGACTCTGACATGGTTTGATCGGACTTACCTTGTTCCAGTTCCAGGTCTGCCTTGGAATTCACAGCCATAACTGGAACGCGGCGTCAGCGCGAACTAACGGGCTGAATGGCAATTCTGTGCCTGAATTGGGGTTATTCACGTAGTTTTCAAACCGACGCGAAGAGGCCCCTTTCAAGGGTGACAGGAAGAGCGAACCAATCAAGTCGCGTTATTGGCACTTGGGTTTCCCAATTTGGAAGCCTAGTCAAAAAAGAATCTTGAAGCCAATTCCCAATTTAAAGAATCCAATGTGTGCCGCCCTCATTACTCTTCCCATCTCATTTCACTTCGTTTCCAACCTTCAATTTCGTCTTTCTCGACGTTATCGATATCTTCATCTCGAACGGTCGTTCCGACTTCAATACGCTCTTTTCGACCACGCTATATCCACCTCACCCCCCGATACCATATAGGACACGCTACCTTCGAGGATCACCACGATCGGCTCCTGTGGAACGTCAACGCAACACATCTCGTTGTTTTGTTTACCAGCAACCCAGCCATCCTCATCCCATCCCTCGGCCAGCCATTGAATCCTCGTGTCTCGACGACAGCAGCAGCAGTCATCACAACATCGTCACCATCACGACCATTTCTATTTCCACATTACCTATCACCATGGCTACCACATCTCTCCGAAAACGTGCACGTTCTACCTTCGAGGCGGATGGTATGGCAATATCTCTCTTTTTTATTCCGTGTTGTTCTCTGTGTTGTTTGACAAAGAACCTCTCGACTAACATGAAGACTTTGATGTTATTATTACAGTAGTCTCTGAACCAGCTAAACGCCGTGCCCCTCGTCGGGCGGCTACAAAGGCCAAAGAGAATTTGATCACGATCTTTACACCTATTGAAGATGCATTGGCAGCTGAGCAGTTAGCAAGAGAAGCTCGTCAAGATGTTATGGACGTCGATGCCAAGTCTTCTCCACTTAAGCCTGCTAGTCCGTCGAAAAAGAATGTTATGTCACCAAAGGTGAATGATACATTTAAGATCTCGAAGCCAAGTATGCTATCTTCCCATACTGCCGTATGGTCCCATAGACTTTTTTCGTTTCCATGCTAATTGGGATGGCTGGGTTGTTGTCTAGACTTCAACTTCGAACCGACAAAGAATGTTACTCCCTCGACACCCAGCAAACGCGACCGAGTCCAAGTTCTCCCAATCACCCCTCGTCATCGTATTCTTTCTGCGAAACGGACTCCTAAGACACCAGGCGGTCGGGTTATCGATGTTCTCACTCCTGGAACACCAGTCACGCCATCTTCCCGAACAATCTTTACATCTGGCAAGAACCTATTCGTTCGCAGTACCGCTCCTGGAAAACTTGTAGGACGTGAAAAGGAACGTGAAAAACTTACCGATTTCTTGAAGAGCAAGCTGGAGAAGAAGGTTGGAGGATGTATGTATGTCAGCGGACCACCGGGTACCGGAAAGAGTGCGCTCTTGTCTGGTGTTATTACCGAACTTTCGACAGAGGGTGTTAAGATGGTTTATGTCAACTGTATGGCTACCAAGGATCCTAAGGATATATACTCAAAGCTTGCCGAAGACTTCTTGGGTGATGAGGCGGTCATGGGAAACTATATTGATGCTTTGGAGAAATTGTTTGTTCCAAGGAAGAAGTCGGCCGCGAACGTATCCATTATAGTATTGGATGAGATGGATTCGCTGTTGACCAAGGACCAGGAAATCCTCTACAAGATCTTCGAATGGTCGTTCGAAAAGAACTCAAAGCTTGTACTTGTGGGTATCGCAAACGCACTCGACCTTACCGACCGCTTCCTCCCACGTCTCAAAGCACGCAACTTCGAACCAATCTTGCTTCCTGTGCTACCGTACTCGGCAGAACAGATTGCTCAAGTTGTCACTTCCAAACTCAAGAGCTTGAATGACGAATCGTGCGATACAACGTGGGTTCCTTTGATTCACCCGTCTGCTATCACTCTTTGTTCGAAGAAGGTTGCACAGTCTACTGGTGATTTGAGGAAGTGTTTTGATATCTGCAGGAAGGCGATTGATATGGTTGAACATGAAACGAAAACCAAAATGATGCAGCAAATTCAGCAGGAACAAGGTGTCTCTGGTGTCGAGAACACATCCACCAAAGGAAGCATTCCAATGGTCATCACACCTTCCGCTATACCACGAAAGCCATTGTCCGAAACCGTGGTTGATGCCAATACTCCAGCTCCGGTTAAGGCTGGCACACGACCAAATCCTCTTCAGTCTCTTACAGCGTTATCGGCCCCCCGTGCGTCATTGGCACATATCGCACGTATCTCCACGACATCTTTCGGTATCACTTCAAACACACGGTTAAAGACATTGAATATCAACCAAAAGGCTGTTGTTTGCGCTTTGGTGGTATTGAGTCGGAAAGTTAATGGTGGCGGCGTGCTCGTTAAGGATTTGTGGCAGAGGTACTTGGAGCTTTGCAAATCGGATAATGTTCTCTTCCCGACGGTTACGAAGATGGAGTTTTTGGATATCTTGAGTGGATTGGAGGCTGCTGGTGTGGCTGAGATTAGTGGAGGCGGTGGGCCCACTGGTGGGCTTACACCGAGTAAGAGGGGTAGAGGGAAGGCTGCTGGAAAAGACGAGAAGATGATTAGGGCGACGGTTAAGGAGGATGAGGTTAAGACTGTCGTTGGACAGGATGGAGGTCAAGTTTTATTGAAGATGTTTACTGAAGCGTAGAGCGATTGGGGATCTCTGTGAGGCTTTTGGCGACGGCTTATTCCTTAATGCTTGCGATGCTTGTTTGAGTGTTTTTTCTTGTTTCCTCGTTGACTTTTAACGTTATAACGTCGATTGCGATTGTGAAAAGTAGTTTCTTAGCGACTCTTTTGAGGTTATGTTTCAATTAATGTAGTATCGACTAGAAAGATCATGATAAAAAATTGAGGCGATATATATATGAACACATGGATTTTGATACAGATGAGCCTGTTGTTTTAAATTGCAAATACTCGTATATACTTCCTTCCTTATGCAATTACATAGCGCTATGTACTGGATACCTCGACCAGCTTCTATCAGGTCCATATTGCTCTCACATCACACTTCATCACCTCGCATTTCCAACCGGGTTCTCTAGTACTAGCCTTCATCATAATCCTCAATTCATCACCAGGCTTCAAATTTCTCACAAACTGTCCATTCGGACTCCAGCCACCTTTATGCCACTTCTCCTTCTTCGCGACCTCGGGATCGTTATTCCCTTTCTCCGAAAACCCCTCCTCCCACTTGGCAGCAACCTTATCATCCAATTCAAATTCATTAACATCCCAAGTCACTGTATAATCCTCCCATGTTTTCATAACGTGCCTATTCCTCTGTAATAACCACGTTCCTACCATATACTTTTTGTTTTTTATAATCATCTTTTTGGGATCGAGCTCCCATCCGTTCCCGGCGAGATGGACATCTCGTCCTGTGGGTTTGGGACCTCGCGTTGGTCGCCAGAGTTCGACGTCTAGCCAGGACCAAGTGCCTTTGAAGGTACCCCAGTCGTCGAAGGTGGGGGACCAGCGGGAACCTCGGGAGCGGAGGATGAAGGTTAGAGAACGGAGGGTTTTGAAGGGTGGGAGGTTGAAGGTTAGGTAATTCTTTTGGTCTTTTTTGACGGTTTCGAGTGTATCATTTGAGGCGATAATAGGCTGTATACAATATATATAGAATGTGAATATAATGAATCGATTTAGATTCGAGATTTGTATATTATATTTAGAATTTATATATCCCGAAAGTGGAATTTGTGCTTACCCCGTGGACGTCGTCTAGGTTCGTTGACACTTCAACTTCAGCGGCTTTGAAGTCGTCGGCTGTGATGTTGGACTTATCGAGCCCGTCGAAGATTTGGTCCCAGTTTTGGATGTAATACATTTTGAGATATGTCTGGAATGTATACGGAATTCAGATAGTATTTTGGGTCTATTGAAAGTATTTTGTGATTCTAACTCCCGATTCCGACGACTTTTTGATGCCGACCCCGCGCGCAGTACACGTACCGTTACGTTAGTCTCCGTTCGCGAACGGAGTTTTGTGTCGTGTGTATATAACAGCGGTGCATATAACAGCGGTGCATGCATCGATGTGACCTTGATTCAGAACAGAGATCATGCTTCTTGTACTCAGAATTAGGAGAATTTATAAAATCTAAAACTCCATCGCGGGAGAAAATTAAGATAATGTAAATTAGACTTAAAAGCCTCTGATAACCTAAAACTAGAATAATTCGAATTCTGTATTTCCCAGAGGCTTAATATTCAATTGATGTACATGTATCACAACTCTCTGAGCTGTTGTAAATTTCTCCATATGCATATACCTGTTATAACGTTAACTAGGTATGAAAATCAATGAATAGTTCAAAATATTTAAATGCGGATTACAATATTATACTGTTAACGTATTACATATGTGTACACGCCTTATGAGCTCATTTACGAAGCTTACTTCGAATAAGTGCCTGTCTTCCAAGTCCAAAAGAAATTTAACTAGTCTATCACGAGTTTTATAACTTATTTCCTGTAGCTACGTAGGCTATATAAACTATATTATCGTTCTTACTTTCTAGTTGGCATGACTTATCTGTATAATTGAAGACTGTTGATCAACTGACGACAATATATATATCTCAGAACATTGTTCAGTGAAGTTAGTCATAAGTCCACTCGATCCCGGGCCCGGCTCTCGAAACTCTTCTACGCTTATAATTAACCATTCAAAGCTCGTGCAAGGAAGTACCCACGGTATACAGTATATGAGAATTGTCAAATAATGACCGGCCGACCGGATTGAATATCCTAAGTTGGATTGTCAATGGATCCATGGAGCCTCCGCCTAGTAAGATCGGTGTAGCTTAAGCCCCGTGGCTGTTTAATTTATACTGTGGATATTCGGTATATCAGTATATACCTCCCTCGATCCGTATATCTTAAAAAATACCCCGAAGTCCGTTGAGAATGTACTAAGGCGTTCATGATCAGTCCATTTATAAATTTAGTGAGATAATCAGGCGGTATCATTCGAAACTAGTTAATGTTCTTCCTAGAAAAGAAAATGCTTAGGGCCTCGGCCTTGCAGTTCCTAACTTCCCACTGCAGCGCTGAAAGCACGGGATTTCGATAATGACCCTCATAAATTTCCACGTTGACCGCTTTACTGATCGACCCCACCGGGCTTGTAAAAGTCATAACTTGCATGTCCTATGTAACTTAACATTGTGTGCTACCTCGAGGTAACGGATCAATCACCCCATGGAGCTCGCTACATTCCTAATATAAAAATCCCCGAAAGTTTGTGTATATATTGTTATGCTGTGCCCAACCACCTCTTGAGTGGCGAACTCTTTGACCGTCCGATATTTCAAGGACACTTTCTCAACGCCTTCACAAATGCGGAGGATAATTTGCTCGTTGGCGATGGTTACGGATGCTTATTTGGGTAATGTGGGCCACGGCTGATCTCCGAGATTAATAAGAAAAGGCTTGTCTTGTATCGAAGCTTTTTTGTCAGGACGTTCGTTTACACTTATTTTTGATTTTTTACCTTTTATTTTGGGTCGGTTAAAGTGTTCCGACATTCCCGCTGGAAACGGAATATAACGTCCTTCCATTATTGGTTCGTCGGTTGTTTAGACCAGTAGATGGACGCCGTTAGAGGAGGTTGCAATACGCCCACAGGCGCAGTCTAGACCATATTGTATTGATGGATTATCGCGTAATCGAGTGTTCTGAGACCTGATGAGAAGATCATGATAGGTATACCACGCTTCATGATTCCAATCGAATTTGGGGGGGGGGGGGTTGAGTGCTGAGTGAAGAAGTATATAAATCAGCTGGTGGTCGCTCGTCCTTTTTTTTTATCATCATCATCAATTCATCATCCCTCTAGATTGACTGAATAGAATCAACTGATCAAATCCTCCCTTTACATTATAATATATAATTAATTATAATATAATCTTTCTTCCTCTATCCAAAATGAAGTGCACCACCGTCTTTCTCCCACTCCTCTCCCTTGCCTCCGGGCTCACCGCGACCCCAATCGCAGCCGAGGAATACTCCAACCTCGAAGCCCGTCAAGTGCAAGTCAAAGAACAGACCTTTACCATCACAAACTTCTTCAACTACGGCCGCCCCCACTCCGCCCTCGCCCACATGGGCTTCGATTGGAAATCCACTGCCGGAGGCAAAGCCAGCTGCAATGCCACCCAAACCCGCAACATCGCAACTACACCATTGTACACCAGATGCTCTGCTCCAGGTGTTGGATTCGGATTCGATAGAGTTGGCGGTGGATACGTTTTGACGATCGTGCATCGATATAATAAGAATAAGAATATCGATACCGCTTCGTTGTACATTCCGGATGAGCATGTTAAGAGGTCGAATAACACTGCCAATCCTAATGGTAACTTCGATTATATCGATTATCCTGGCAACTTCACTTTGCGCGCCAATCCATTCGTCATTGATGCCGTTCATGGACCAGTTCGCAATGTTTAAGTCTCTATCGATATCTAGCTCTTTACCTACATAGGGTTATCTAGGTGTTAGATAGAGGTATATGAAATAATTAGTCATGGGCTTATGAAATTTTGGGTAGGGGTATATAAACCCTTACCCTGGGATGAGGAGGACATCGAGGGAGAATGCGATCAATGATTGATTCGAATATGTAATACTTAAATGATGTATGGTACAAACACTGCATGACTATTAGGGTCTGTAATGGTAGCTTAACTAATGAATATAATGTCCTGACGATATAATTCTTTGACGAGCCATAAATATTAGACTACAGTCTGTGATATATGATTAAAGTTAGAATCGTGATCAACTATCAACTATAGAAACCGAACGTTTCGATCTGGAATCGGATTGTGAATGACAAGTGGTGTGACAGGAGAGTACAGGTATTCACACAGATCACGCACCTAGGAACTCTTGAGCCCGATACCGTAAGGTTTTGACGAATATGAATGACTTATATTTTCAATATACTATGGATAAACCAAAGTTTGGGTAGCAAATGCATTGTGTAAGATGTTCGGGTTGAAGTTTAATCCGCTGTCAATTTGTTGTAGATTTGGTGTTGCCTTCCTGGCTACTCTGCTGCAGGTTGACTACTATGAGGCTATTGGGTTGTTCCTTGTAACATCCCACTAACTTCCTCGAATCGCAACCCCGATACGTAACAGTTCGGTATCCCCCTTTTGCGTTCCAAGCTCTAAAACATACCGGCATCTATGACGCGACAAGAGGATCAGAATGGGTAGAAGCGCCTACCTTTACCTCCTAACTTTAGGACGACAATGCTATGAACCCCAGCACCTAAGCCAGGCGTCGAATCCTCCAGCGACGAACCAGCCGAACACTACACCTACGCAGCCTCGAAACGAAGCTTCTTCGGGCTCACAAACCGCGACAAATGCTTCTTCTGCATCGACGGCTCCGGTTACAGCCAATCCACCCTCTTCGACAGCGGTAGCTCGGCCAAGTGCGCGGTCTCGTGCTCAAGCTTCCATCGATCTCCAACGGTCACTTCGGAAAGCCCAAAACGATGTTCTCAATACTATTGGCCTGCAACTGCATAAGGGCAGTGGAAGGCGCGAGAAGTCACGTGCAGAAAGAACGGCGCTGCAGGAGAAGGAGGATGATATGGGATTACTCCTTGGAGGCATAGATTTGGCGTGCATGTACTTCTTTACATGGCCTTTGATTGGAATAAGGAATGAACTTCAAACCTTTCAGGGTCTTGAGGATATTCCATACACCGATCTTCTGAAGCTAATAATTGAGAACCGATCAATTTTTGACTGCTTTGCTGGAGTGTCGGCACATATCATATATCAACTCGTCAACGTTTTCCGGGAGTACCTACAGTCACTGCTGTTCAAATGGCTCAAAAGGCAGCCGGTGTTTCGAGATCCGAGGACAAGAAAACCAAATAGGCGGTTGCTAAACATTCTATATAAGGGGTAGGTTTCTAAGAGATTATCCTGGGAGTAATCGGAGCTAATGTTGGATGATAGGATGACGCTTTCGGCCTTCTTTTTGATCTACCCAATCTACCGCCACTCCGTCCTCCAGTCCCTCCATCTTATTCCAGCGACTCCAATCCTTCCACCTATTGCCGACTTCCACCCATTCCGGGCATTTATCGGACTTTCATTTACATCAATCATCCGTACCCTCCTATCACCTTCAACATACCTTGACTCTCCGTACCTATGGTCTTTGTTACAACAGAAGGCGGTCTTTAGACTCCACATATTATTTCTAAATATTTTCAACAAAAGTCTCCCGAGAACCGATAAATTCGAGAAAGCCGAACTAAGCGCTGGCTTCGTAGTTGGTGAAGCAGAGTATGACGAGTTTCTAAGTTTGAGTGATGATGACGGTGAAGTTGGAGAGTCGGGTGGTGATGATGACTTATTAGCAGCAATGAACGAACCTATGGTTAATGGGGTCGTTTTCGATGATAACAATAGGGATACTGTTAGGGGTAATGGAATAATGGGAGGCGGTGGAGAGTGGGTACCATTCCCCGTTGATGAGACCGCAGGAGTTGGTGTTGATGCAGCACCTGGGCCTTCAAGGGGGAATACGGGTGGACGAAGAAGGGGGAGTAGCAGTGCAGTGGAAACACAAACGTTTACAGCTACAATCACACCGGACACCCCGGTACTTGAAAGACACCCCGACAACGGAAGCAATAGCGGCATACCAGGTGACGAAATTAGCCTCCTTGATCCGGGAAGTATAAACCACGATGACAACGATAACGCAGACGCCCGTTCTGGGATTTCAGAAATCGAAGTTCAGGTTACGACTGCGCAACGTCGTCATGATAGAGGTCATGATGACCATTATCATAACCACCATGATCGTGGTCATCGTCATGGAAGAAGTGGGAGGGATAGATCTCGGAGGGAAAGAGATCAAAGAAGATATAGGAATACGCATTTGTCGACACATCCTGTTGAAGTGCTTAGTAGTCACATGGCGGATACAGTTGCTATGGCGTTGACTTTGGGATTGGAGAGTATGGTGATGAGGGCGAACGCTTTGACATTGTTTAGGACCGCTCCGGGAGGGGAGGTGGTGTTGCCGCGGAGCAATATGCTTGTGCTAGCGGCTAATGCTGGTATGTTAGGGCTTAGTGGAGCGGGGTTATTGGGCACCAGGATGTTAGCTCCTGGTATGATAAGGAGGACGGGGAACGTGGGTATAATGTTTGGGATTTGGGATACAGGGAGGAATTGGGTCAGTGTCAGCACGGCATTAGTCATGGAATGGGGCCTTGCTTGGGGGTTATTTGAGATCGCGTATTTTGTGAGCAGATGGGTTGGCGTTGCATGGTATGGATATAGGCCGTGAAGAAACGGTAGTGGGTGCTTTTACTCTAGATATTGATGTATGCTACTGGCTGCTAGAAGCTGCGGGCCTCTGTGAGCTCGAGGCTGTAGATTCTCTTCTATGTGTACATAATTCGTTGTACTCAGGAGACATATGGTTTTGTAATATGAGGTAGGAACAAGGCATCCCACATACAAATGCCCTTCAAAAGCATCCAAATTACCGTCCTGAAATTCTATAGATAGCGCTTCTGCTACGAAGCTGCCTTCTTCTTTGTGTCTCTTCGTCTTTCCCAGACCTATCAAGGATCGTTGTTAGTTGGTGTATATACCCAGAAATGTTAGACTTTGGGAGAACGCTTACTTGTATGTAACTCTCTCCGAGAAACAAGATTTCCTTTCTAATCTCTTCCACGATTAGGTCCTGGACTTGGACCCACTCGTCCCGAGCCTTATCCTTCAATTGGACTTTGTAGGCGTGGCCTTCTTCTCCCGCCTCCGACTTTACACCGCTCGGCCCACCTTTCCTAGCGACACTTTCGTGAACTATGTTTGCTGTTAAATCATACCATATCGGCCCTGTAGCTCCTTCCGCGTATGGCGACATATCCAGCGATGTGGATGGAAATGTGACGATAGTTGGGTTCTTTTCAAAGACGAATTTGTTCTTCGAAAACCGTTTGATGTGAAATACAAGATACGGTGGTAAAGGTTGTAGTAGCTTATATCTTTTTCGCTGCCCAAGCAATTCCTGCGCCCTTGTTCCGTCGTATTTAGATAGGATTGCAGTTAGAGGTACTTGTGGGATAATATTCTTATCTAGTTCGTCCTGGAAAAGTGGCGCTGGAGGGAGTTCCAGTGTAAGCATCATATAACGATGCATATCTGTCTTAACTTCTCCAGCTTCTTCGAAGCGTAGACGATCGCTAGCGTCGGCTTTTGCAGTGATCGCTTGTGATTCGACTCGTAGTCTTCCCTGGAAGACCTTTTGGACGATACTCGACCCGGGTGCCGTTTTGGAACCTCCGAGGGAGAGGTGGAGGTTATTCACGAACCAGGAGAGGAATTCGACCGGGTCGGATTGGGTTGTTAATGTGAACTTCTTGGAGGAGCGTAGGGATATTTCTTGGAGAAGTTCGTGAGGTGAAACATGGCCTCTGAAGGCGCGGGAGTTCCATATTTTGCGGACTAGAATCGAGAATCGCTGTGCTGTAGGGGAAGATCGTATTAGAAATTGAGCATACACAGAGATGGAGTATGAGGTACCTACCAAGTTCAGGCCGCGAGGACATGTTCTCTAACATCATATAATTCCGCAAAGGCGTAACGTGTGCTAGCGCGTGCACCACAACATTGAGATAATCGTTCTCCTTGATATTGTTTAATCCTACGAAGCCGGGTGTATACCTCTTTCCAGTCAAATCCCATTTCTTGGTTTCCTCCTTGTCTAGCTTCGCGACGTCTTCCCTGGTGTATGTTGGGTTCGCAACGTATTTGATGTCATCGAGAGATTTTTGTTTGACCTCGTAAGATTCGGGGAGGACATAGATTCGGAGGGTGGCTATATTTATGAATACGTGGTGGCTTTCGTCGAGGGCGTGGAAATAAGCATGAGAGTTTTGACCGCGACCTTGGAAATACTTTCCGCAAACGAGGCAGGCGTAGACGTTAATGTTGGAAAGGGAAATCGAGCAGAGCTTCTCGAAGTCAAAATCGAGAAGATTGCGATTGACTGTTCTGAGATATTAGTTTCTAAGACCGATTATAGAGGAAGCATCGTGTCGTACCTGTATCAAGGTAGAGGTCTGAGAACTCGGTGGGAGGGCCATCCTTCCATTTCTTTGCTTCACTCTCCTCTTCCTCTTCCATAATGTCGTCCATCTCATCTTCTTCACCTTCAGACTGCGCAGTAGGTTGGAGGCTTAGTCTCCCTACTCCATTGGCCGGTATCTCAGCGCTCAGCATCTCCTCCTCATCTGCGATACTATCGGTTTTGACGCGCTTGGTGCGTGGCGAGCCGATGCCCGATAGCACCAGCTCCTCGAGGGCTTGGTCGGGAGCGCGTTTGGACATCTTCGATCGATTGTCAGTATACTATTGGTTCGGTGGGTCTTGAAAGGCTTGTGTTAGTTATCGTACCTTTGTGAGGGTGCCGTCTGGCGATGTTGTTTGGATGTAAATGACTTGGAGTTGAGATTGGTTTGTGTGGTGTCGCATGGAAAAAGCAAAGTGCGGGATCTTACATAGATTGCGGGCAGCTCTGTGCAGCTGCAGCTCTAGAGCACTATCACTTCAACATCATCATCATCATCACCAACCTCATCTCACTCCGTACACGTAGCCGGTAACACGGATAACTAACGACCACCGCACGATTAGTAGAGAGTCTCCTATCGTGTGTTTTCTAGTCTTACACTCACTCACCCGACAGCTCGGAGTCGACTATCAATAGCGAAAATGGCGAACCCGGAGGTCAACTTGCTGTTCCACCAGCCAATTGCAGACCATTCGTTCTCGGCAGACCGCAATGTCCTTGCAGTTACCAGAGATAACTCCGTCGAGCTCTACGAACGACAAGGCCACGGCTTTGTCTTGAAGGATGAACTTAAGGGACACGACAAAGTTGTTACTAGTGTCGATATTGCCCCTAAAAGTGGCAAGATCGTAACTTGTTCGCAGGGTACATAGAGAAGCTTCTTAGAGAGCCCATTGGGGAATAGGGCACGTGCTGATAAATTCACGTTTACTTCTTATAGACCGAAATGCTCTCGTTTGGGAACCATCTCCGACTGGCTGGCGTCCAACACTCGTCCTTCTCAGAATCAACCGGGCCGCTACTTTTGTCCGTTGGTCTCCCTCGGAAGCCAAGTTTGCTGTTGGGTCTGGTGCTCGGGTTATTTCAGTTTGCTACTTCGAAGAGGAGAATGACTGGTGGGTGTCTAAGCACTTGAAGAAGCCAATTCGCTCTACTATTCTCTCGTTGGACTGGCACCCGAACTCAGTCTTGCTCGCGGCTGGGTCTGCCGATGCCCATGCTAGAGTATTCTCTGCCTTTATTAAAGGCGTTGATCAGAAACCGGAACCTTCACCATGGGGTGAAAGACTCCCATTTAACACGGTTTGTGGCGAGTTTTTGAATAACAGTGGTGGATGGGTTCATGATGTTGCTTTCAGCCCCAGTGGCAATGCATTGGCTTTCACTGCACATGACAGCAGTGTCACGATTGTGTATCCATCCGGTCCCGACCAACCACCACAAGCAATTATGAGTGTTAGCACCCACCAACTGCCATTCACCACACTAACATGGATTACCGAAGAGGAAATTGTGGCGGCGGGTAAGTCTTGCAGCTCATGCTGTGTACCCCTCCCTTGTTCTAGAAAGCCCCCGGAATGTTTCAAACTATCGAAGTTGCGAGTAGCTAACGAGCAACCCCCGCTTTCGTACCATCGTAAAATGAAATTATAGGTCATGATTGTGAACCTTTCCGTTTCCGCGGTTCTATCGACCAAGGCTGGAGTTCAGTTGGTGCGCTTGACTCCTCTAAGTCTCGATCTTCGTCTATCGCTCGAGAATCTTCTGCTCGTGACCTTTTCAAGCAGATGGATTTGAAGGGGAAGACTGTTCACTCTGCGACCGCAGACGACATCCAACTCAAGACAATTCATCAGAACACTATTACGGCTATCCGGCCTTACGCAGGAGATGCCGCCCAGGGTGGCGTCAAGCAGATCAGTTCGAGCGGGGTAGACGGTCGCATCGTTATCTTCCCAATTGGAGGCGCTCGACCTACTTTTACGCATTGATCATGCGGTGTATAGCCGCAGTTTGAGGTTTGGCATGGAAGCTCCCGCCATCTAAACTAAATCGTTTTTCCGCTGCATGATGTAACCTACTTCCGACATATATGTTTCTGTCAAATACAATAAAATGCATTCAATTAACTTGCGTCTATCGGTATCTATCCTGCAAGGGCTAGAAGGCAGACGGAAAACCCATGATCCCTTTCTCTGCCGTCCTTGCATCCCTATCGCCCTCCCTTTCCAGAGTCCTGGGTCTGATGTAGCTATTTTCGACAACAGAGTTCGAATAGCGTTGCGTGGAATATTGAGCTTTTGCTTTTTCTAAGGCCCAGGTGGAGTGGAGTTCGGCCAGGATTTCGCCTGTTCTGCAGCCAATGCCAGGGTCGACGACCGCGAAGCATTTTAAGCGCCCACGGCCGGCGCCAATAAGAAGCCATAATCTTGACTTCCCACCATGAGGCAAATTGGGAGAGACCGGGTTATTTGCTGAACTTCAAGCTGACGTGTCTTAGGGAAGTGATCACTGAAGACCTCGAGAGGGCAAGAAGTAAGATCCTTTCGAGATTTGGATACCCTTCATAATGGAAGCTTCGACAGCGAACTACTTTCGGGGGAATTGCCTTTCCACAAACGGTCCCAAGTGGGGATGCACTAGAAGTGAAATTTCATGAAGTAGGATGCATCCAAAAAATTGAAATTGGTCAAACCGCACACCACCTGATCGTGTGAATTATTTTCGGCCAAGCTTCAGAAGCCTGCAGAGCAATCTGTGCCGGACAGAAATTGGAATTTGCATCACAAAGCAAATATATTTGCTCTTGAGAACCGGGGTGCTTCGGCCCATGCAAGAACGGGAGTCAGGAACATTTGCTCTGGCGCTTTTTCTCCTTCGGCCAATCAGGTGCGCCACACGGCTGCTTTGCTCGGTTGGAGCTAGGAACTTGTCTTGACTGAATAAAAGTCCTTATTTGCTTGGGCTTGGACCAGTGCAAGTGCGGATTTGTGTCCGCTGAGAAACTCGTCATCATTAATATTATCCTCTCCCTCCTCCTCTCCTCTTCAGCTCGTTTTTCTCTTCAAACAGTTCTGTTCGTTACAATCTTCTTCAGTTCTTTTCTTCTCGAGGGAAGCAATAAAGGTTATCGTCGGGGAGAGTTTTAAAACGACGTAAGTGCATCCAACACCCAGCCAAGAATTCACCCCTCCATCCCGCACCTGCTGTCATGTCCGGGACAAGCTAATAACTAACATGTTCTGAATCCTCGTTTGTATCGTTAGAATCCCGAACTGACCATTACCTGCTTATCTTTGCCGTATATATTGAATCGCAGCATCTTTGACCCATATTTTTAATATCCCGCATCATTTGCATAGCATTTCCCTCATAATAATATAACTTCCATACACATTTTACGCCTTTGTCTTCGTCTCCACAATGGCCGGCCGTCGCGGAGACGAACTATTTCTCGATACCGAAAATGTCGGTCCTATCAGAATGAACAGGCCGCCGCGACGAGACTCCGTAGATGGCGCCAGTTTGGCAGCCCAGGAGCGGACTTTACGGCAGGAACCGCCGCTGCCTCGCATGAGGCGGACTCAGACGCAGCCTTTGGACAACTCACTGCCCTATCCTGATAGACCAGCTGCAGAAAGGGAGCAGCAGCATATTCAACCTATTGCCCCGCTTCGCACAGCGTCGGCTTCACCTCCTGCAGCCCTGCAGGTGGGGCCACCGAAGGGAAGCTTACCAGCCCCACCAGCTTTTAGAGCTGCTAGAGCACCAAAATTACAACCTGCTCCCGCAGGCCGTGCTGACCGCGGGGACAAACCAACTTCGCCAGTCCTAAGTTCCGGGCCTCCAGAGATTCCTCAAGCCCTGAACCCTTATCCGGAATACCATCAACAGTACTGGCCGCCGCAGGCTGGTTTAGATAGATCCTTTTCGACTGCTTCTAATATTACTGTAGCAGCGAGAAGAGGATCCCCGGCCCCGCCAGAAACACCAGAAATTGAGCCAAGCGAAGTTTTCTCGTACCCGACTCATGGCGGTGGTAGACAAGGTCCATTGCCGGATAGGGGATCACCAGCGCTCCACTATTCCACTTCCCAGGCCTCCACAAATTCCGGGGCTATCCCGATTTTGCTCGATCCAACATCGCCCAGCCTTAGCCAGACGTCACATACCACGAACCAGCGGAAAGGTACCTCCCGGGCCTCCCAGATCTTCGGCACCCAAGGAATTACTATCGAGGAAGACGAAGAAGCCACTCCTGTGCGAGAGTCAGCACCAAACCGACCATGGACACCAACAGAATCTAATGGTGCTTATAACCATGGCCCGTTAACTTCGTACCGGGGAGCCGAGAGGCAAGAGCAACCCCAACAAAGGCCGCCCCAGCAGCCTTCGCCAGCTCCCAGTGCCCAGGTTAACGGACGCCGTGACCCATTAGAGGCCGATTTCGCAAAGTTGAACGTTGGAGAAGATGCACCACCAGCATACGATAGTTTGGCGGCGGCAGGGCAAGCACCTGCCACCAGTGCGTATCCCGCTGACAAGCCCGGCGCTGTAGCTGTCGAAACAGCAGCAGTTCAACCACAGCAGCAGCAGCAGCAACCACAACCACAACAGCAGCCGCAGCACCAGATCCAACCTCCAGTCCAACAGCAGACCCCGGTCCAACAGCCGCCGCAATCGATGACCCCACAACCACAAGGTATGCAAATGCCCCAACTGCAAGGTGGCATTCCTGGTCAACCGGGTTTCCCTCAGCAACAGATGCCAAATGGACAGATGCCGAATGGACATTTGCTCCAGCAGCAACAAGGAGCCCAAATTCAAGCTGGCCCGTCCCAACCACAGCAGGGCTACCAACTTGTTGATCAGAAGTCAGAGACCATCACCACCCAATATGTGACCCTTCCAGACACCAAGCATTACATGGATCCAGGTCCGGCTTCTCCCCCCCCTCTTCCAGATGGGTGGATGAGCCATCTCGACCAGGCCTCCGGGCAATATTATTATATCCATATTCCGACTCAGCGAACACAATGGGAATTTCCGGCGCCGGAGACTGGAATCAGTTTGATGAGTGGAGGGCCAGTTTCTCCAGGTTTTGGTCCTATGTCGCCTGGTGTTATGTCTCCCGGTCTCTTCTCTGAGGCCATGATGAGCCCTGCGCCCTCCACCTTTGGCATGCAAATGTCACTCCCACCGGCAACTCCAGCCCAAGTTCCTATCAATATTCCCGGTGTTTCAATGTTCAAAGTTGCGCCAAGCAATGGTGTATACTTCGGCCCTCATCTAAGATACACAAACATGGACCTTGAACAGGGAATTTGGCTGGGCTCTATCCTGCTTGTTACAGCCGTCGATCCACCCACAATTCACTTGCATCAGACGATTGATTTATCGCCCAACCCAAGGCAACTAGAAGGGCACCCGATTTTCGCGCATAAGAATTGGACATTCTATCGATATGATATTGATATTAGAATGGCCGAAACTCCCACCAAATGGACATACGCTGTTACATCTCTCGCTGGGTGCACTAGATACGAGTTTTTGGTCGCAGCTAAGCAAGATCGGAGCTGGAGATTCATTGCTCACAGTTGTAATGACTTCTCGCCCTCTTACCCACAGCAGGAGAGGTCAAAACTCGGCGGTTCCGGCTACATGTGGAAAGATGTTATGCAAAAGCATATTGAAGTTGGAGGTTTCCATTGCCAGATCGGTGCCGGTAACCAGGTTTACGCTGATAGGATGTGGAAAGAAATACCACTCCTTAAGGTTCGTCAAGAGCAGATGACTTATTACTAAGAAAAATACTGATTTTTGCAATACAGGACTGGCTTGATTTGAAGGGTAAAGATGTAAGGAAAGACGCCGCATGGACAGCGAGACACGAGGAGGATGTCCAACATGCCTATTTCCATTACTATACTTCCACATTCGATCAGCCCCATATCCGTGAGGCTTGGGCACAAATCCCACATATTTGTCAAATCGATTCGCATGATATGTAAGTTTAAAAGAAACTCCCAGTACAATCGGTATATGCTTACAACCCCACAGTTTCGACGGATTTGGTTCCTATCCGGAATACATGCAATTTTCCAACATGTTCAAAAACATCGGCAGAATAGCTCTCGATTGGTACCTCCTGTTCCAGCACCACACCACCTTAAGCATCTTGAAAGCAGTTCCAGATGATAGAGATCTGTTCAGTGTTACTGGGACTGGTTGGCATTTTATCAAGTATCTCGGACCCGGCTTGGCAGTTGTTGGCCCAGATACCAGATCCGAACGAAACCCACACCAGGTCATGGCTGGACCTACCTATCAGGGGCTCTTCCCGAGAATAGCGACCCTACCATCCTCAGTACAACATGTGCTATTGATCCTTTCGGTGCCAATTATCTTCCCCAGGATGGAAATTGCGGAATCGGTAGCTACGACTATGCAAACTGGTAAGAAGGCCGTAAATGGACTTTTCAATATGACGGGCAAAGTTGCCGGTGGTGTTGCCGGGATTGTCGGGGCGAAGGGCCTTGTTGGAGAAGGCTTCAACAGTGTCAAGAGAGCAGTCGGAAAGACTGGCATGTTGAGCAATGTCGTCTCGATATTTGGAGAAGTCGATTTGCTTGATGATCTCAGAGATCACTGGACACATCAATCCAAGGTAGGATTTTACATTGCCACTAGCTTGATTGGGAAAACATGCTAATCCAATTACGTAGGATCTTGAACGAACTTATCTTATCAGGACATTACAAGGAATTGCACATGCCCGTGGTATCCGATTCACATTTTTAAGTGGAGGTAAGTTATGCACGGATCGACATAGCCAATAAGATCACCTTCTAACGAGCTCTTTTCTAGATGTCCAATGTTGTGGTGCAGGTCTTGTGCACGATCCGTCAAAACCAGGCGATCATAAGACCATGTATCAGATTATTTCATCTGCCATCGTCAACGGCCCACCATCTAATATGATGATGAAGCTCCTCAATAATAACAAGCAACTATTCATTCCACAAAACGGAATGAGGAGCACAAATACCCCAAGCGATACCAAAGAGGATATGATTGAGCTCTTTGGCACGGATATCAACGGCACTCCGCGTGCTGAGAAGAAGCTCATGGCCAGAAGAAATTACACCATCTTCGCCGCTTATGAGACAAACCAAGTCGAATATATGCAACCCACCCCGGAGAAGTACGTTCCACCATTGAGTCTAGCGGTTGATTTCATCATCCAAGGTGATGGAGTTTATTCAACAACTAGCAAATACGGACCAATCGTTATTCCCAGATGCGAATATGGGTATTAAACCATTCATTCGGACGATTGGCGGGGTGCTGATAAATAAAATTGCAATTGAGGCGGTATACTAATTTGCTTATACATCTACATTCTAATTCGGCGTCGATTTCTTTACCTTTTATCTTTCTAGCATTTTTAGATCATATTTAACGACCCACATTTCTTATGTACATCTTTACTTTATTTCCTTTGCATTATGGAGCACTTATTTTTGACATCTTCTTTCCCACCTCTCCTTTCTAATGACTTTTGGTGTTATTGCTCTTATACGTTAATAATCTGAGCGCTATCATTCATGGATATTTAATTAGTTTAGCGTAAATTTAATCTTCAATTTGGCATTGAATCTAGGAACAAAAATGCGATAGCTATTGAGCAGAAATAGTTTATGCATTCTGTGATGTAAGGCTAGCTCCGTCTGAATCAGGATATCCCCGAAGCCTATGCCTCCAATAAGGAGTATCATACCTCCATTCAACTTCTGAGTCTGCTCCTTCATCATAATCCGCTTCCTCCTCTTCGTCGGGCATTTGCCCTGTGTTCCACTTGTCGTTCTGGCGTGCATCCATACACCAATCATCAGCCTGCATTTCCTCAGGGGTATACGTGGCTTCCCTCCATTTCAGATCCCATTCATCCCAATTTTTCATGACTTTGAAGTGTAGAACATTGGCATCTTTATATGTTGGGCTGTTCTTGCCCTTTTCGGTATACCGGATTCTGCTGATGAACATGACCTCTTCCAAGTCCTCGAGTCCGGCGTTTATCCAGGTGTCGACAGCGTTTCTTAGTCTCCGCTGCGGAACGAGTTTATCCTCCCCGTTTTCTTCCATTCCATGGTATTCTTCCGCCGGCCAAGGGAGTCTAACTCTTTTTAAGTATTGAAGTCTTGCGAGTCTTTTGTAGATAGCTTTCCCTTGCGGTATACTGCTGCCGTATCCTGCTAGCCCATCGATTCTCAAATCCTCGACATGTGGAAATCGCTGATTAAGGTACCAAAAGTTTCGATTACTGACGGTATAGTCGATTGTAATCCATAACTCCGTTACGTTCGGATAACAAATCTTCTCAAGGTTGTCGTATTCCCTTTGCCGACCGCTTCCGAAACTTTCGTCGAATTTGACACCGCAGTGGAGTCTTTCCGTTGATATCTTGAGTTTTCGAAGAGTAGCGGAGGAGAACTGAAAGATCATGAATGGATTTGTATAAACCGATGAGTTATCTTCCAGATAAAAGTAGGATTCTTTCCGTATAGAAGCTTCTTCCAGTGCAGGAGGGAATTCGATAGTCGTCGAAACGTCCCTATGGGACCAATCCCATTGTTTTTTTAACGGGAATAGAAACCCATCTTCGTCGTCTTTATGTTCCTCAAGGTATGCCTCTAACCTGCGTCGTTCGTCCGAGTCGTATTTATACTGGTTTTCTTCGCATTCTACGGATAAGACTTTGAGGGTGTCGTACATGGGATATAGAGAAATTCGGTCCAGGATAGCAATGAATAATGGTTCTCGGATGTGATGAGTAGCACCGAAGGGGATATGTAAGCTTTCTACGCCTGTGAAGCTTTCTAGAACTTCCGTGTAAAGATCCGCGAGGACGAGGGTTTGGAGGAGTCGACGTTCGTTGAGCCCGGTGAATGTGATGTGTCTGTTCAAAAAAATGTAACAGAAGTTTCAGTCACTGATGTCTATATACTCAAAGTAACTCAAGTATACATCTATGTTTTGAGATGCATCCATGAGGGGTTTTTGTGTGTGGGTGGATGTGTGTATAGAGGTGGGAAGGTATACGGTCGAAGTGGGACTTTTCGAGGAAAAAATATTTTTTAAGATATCAGAATATATGTGCCGTCTACATACTTGACATTTCTTCGTAAATGGGAGAGATAGCCGCCCTCTTCGAAAGCTGCTAGCGAATCTGCTGATAATTTGATTCTGCGGAATAGAAAGGGGTGGATAAGTTGGCGATAAGGGAAATTCGGATGGAGAGCCTTGAGGTCGCGTGGGGAGAGATCGGGGAGGATTTGAAGCCACAGCTCCGGTGGCAAATGTAAACTCCTCTTTTGAATACTCGGTGATAGCTCTTCCATTTTGTAGTTGTATCAAAAACGACGGATACTTTGGAAGGAGGGGTCGAAGTATGTCGATATCGATAGTTATATTTTATCAAGTTCGGGATCTTGATCAGGCTTGAAGCTGAAAAATCGAGTGGCGTCCCTCGAGCTTGTAATATATATATCGACAAGACCAGCTCTCGAGTAGACTACCGGTAGGACGTCGCATGGCCTCCGACCCTTGATCCATGGTTAAGCATCCAATTCAGGCAAGCCCAGCAGAAGCTCATGACGTTGCCGAAACAGCGTAAAACTGTCTTTCTGGAAATCCGTCTGGGAGCGGAGGATTTGATATTTCTGTTACAACACAGATATATCTTCGCAGTTAGCGAAGTTTTTTTTTCAGTCTTGTGTGTGATTTGCTATCGATACCGTGCATTTGAAGAAAAATCGGTTTTTCTTGTTTTTGTTTTAATCTTGGGAGTTTGATACGGTTTTTGGCGGGGTAAATTTAAACATCCTGGTGAATTTGCGGAGAAGTTTCGTGCCACATCTGCAGCGACATATCGCCAGATCGATTCGATTCCAGCCACTCCATAACAATTCGGAGATATAATCGATGCAATCCTAAATACCAATATCTTCGTATACGGCTTCTCAAAAATCGAAATTTAACCTTTAATTGCCCTGCAGAAACCCCCTATAGAAATTAGTGTATATTAAATGACTAAAACGGCCGTTAGCACCATGTGGAAACTTTTCACCGGCCCGGGACCATTTCCATTTCTTTCACTCCCCAGGGAAATCCGAGACGAAATATATACACATCTACTTATCGTTGACAGCGAGCCTCTCCCTCTTGAGTCAGCCGAAGCTTTCGGAAAACCGGCGCACGCTTATAGTCCATTTGGGGAATGGAGACGTCGTGTGCAGCCTATTTTCGAAGATTTTCCCAAGGTCGACCTTTCAATATTTAGGGTTAGCCGTCAGATACATGAAGAGGCATCGGCAATATTCTATGGGAAAAATATATTCCCAATCAGAGTCTTGGTCGATGGAGGACATGTTAGTCGGGGTCCAACTATCTATGATTATTATATTCGGGGTCGGTATATGGCACCATGGGAGGATTTAATCTACTCAAACTCAGAGTTAGAGCCGTATGTGAAGGCACATATTCCTTGAATGCAATGCTTGATACCAACGTAATTATGTATTATGATCAAGTGTTTAACGTTTATGGATCGATATAATAAAGAGAACCAGAAAACTGACGTGTTGCAAAATGGTAAAATTTAGTGTTGGCAAATTCGGCCTCGAAATCGGAAGACTGGCTATTGAACCTGGGGGGAGCACGGATAACCAGCCTAGACAAGTTGATATCTACCTGGGACAACGTTATCGCCATAATATCCGCCATATCCGCCTCGAGGTCATCGATATAGACTTTGTAAGGTACTCCTCGGGCCCACCGCATCCTGGTACAAACCTTACACAGTCAAATTTGGACATCCGAACACAATTCATGCCTTTAGCGCTCCGGCTCCGGGCCCTGTTGGTAGATAGGACCAATGAACTACGGATAGATATCAGAATCACGAGTTCTACTCTTGACAGTCTTTGCGATTCCGATCCTACAGTATGGGCGAACATTGCGGGCTTAAACCCCTTGCCGTCTGGGGCTGCTAGCATTTACCAGCAAATGATTCGGTTGGTAGGTCCATTCTTGTGGCTTCCTGCAAAAATAAAAATATGGACACCGTTAGAAGCAAGTCCTGGGTTTTCCGGACTACAGAGACATACTCAAGATGTCATTGAAGATTGTATTCGGACCATCAATGATCCTACAAATGCAGAGCACGTTTTCAGGCAGGTTGAGTTGCGGCAAGGATGCTTTTTTAGGAGAATTAAAGGTGTTTTGAAGACTTCGTTTACAGAGCCTGCTAGAGATCCGCCACCAATTCGTCGAGGATAGTTCTTATCAAGTATTCAGGAATCTAATATAGTAATTTTTATGTTCGAAGTGGAATGGAAGGATGTTCGGGTTTCGACTCCATATTAATTTACGTAAATTTACTTGATCGATTTGATTGAGCTCATGTTCACAATAAAGTCGTGTAAAATGCAACATCAGTGTTGGAAGGAAACGTGTTGTGGAATCAGGTAACCGGACCATGGAAACAAGGTAGGTAGCCACCTGCTAGAGCATACGTATATAAAAGGTTTGAATGAAACACTGATTCTGTTCTCCGTCCCAGAATCGAATGGTATATTAAGTAAGACATAAGATATTTACAGACCAAATACTCCTAGCGTTACATGCATAGTACATACATATTCTGCCATAGCTGGATATTAAACATATTTGAACGAACGCACCAACACCACCCGGTGACCACTTTCGTTACCAAGATATCCTTGCAAGGAAACCATTGGGATTTTTCCTCACGGAGTACTTCCTGGCCTCATCCACCATCAAGATAAAGAATCCAAAGGCGACAGGGAGGAACCAGTGTTCAACTGGGACATCTCCGGTGCCGAGGACCTTTCTTAGTGGTGGAGTATAATTAAAGAAGAAGGCTACAAGTAAGGCGAACACCATAGCTGGGAACAACCAGACGTTTTGAGTTTCCTTGTTGAAGAGCGGTGGGTGTTGAAAGATGCTGAGTCTGCGGGTACGGATCGCCATGAGGACGAAGAATTGCCTGGGTCTATGTTAGCAGTCGGTCTAATAGCGTGGTGGTATATGAACTAAACACTTACATAACAACCAAATTAACGAAGTAGATAGATGAAGCTTCTGCAAGCCTGGCATTGACGTAGTCTGCGTCAACTCCCGGAACGGGGTTACCAAATCCGAGCCAAAGGGCACTGAACGGAACACCCTTGCGTTGAAGGTACCAAAACGCCATTGCGAAACTGGTAAAAGTTTCTGTGAGACCGATGAGACCATAGGCTTGTAAAAGGAGTTTCCAGTCCACCAATTTGTCCTTTTTAAGATCTCTTGGGGGTCTCAAAAGAACATCGGCTTCGGGAGCCTCGTAAGCGAGTGTGATAGCGGCAGCACAATCGGTACCACAGCAGATAATGATCATGAGGAAACTGCTAAGAATCTGAGGGATACCGAAGATGACGGAAGTCATGACGGGCCAGAATTCGGAGAAAGAACCAGCGGGAAGAAGGTAGATGATGGTCTTCTTCAAGTTGTCAAAAACAACACGACCGTATCTCACGGCGGCGACGATAGCGGAAAAGTTTTCCAAGAGGACCATATCAGCAGCCTCGATGGCGATATCACTTCCACTACCCATCGCGATACCGATATTTGCCTTCTTAAGCGCAGCGGCATCATTGACACCATCACCTAGATCCTGTTAGCGCTACCTAGCATAATTATGGATCACTCTCAAAGGGCTTACCTGTCATCGCAACAATGTTTTTCTCGTTCTGGAACTCTTGAACAATACGAATCTTCTGCTCAGGAGTTGTGCGAGCAAAGACAATCTCGTCATATTTGCAAAGGTCTCTCCATTGGGCTTCGTTCATTTCTTGCAGCTCAGGACCACTTAGAACGATAGCCCTAAGACCACCAGAGGTATTCTCCTGAATAGTCCGATAAACATTCTTTTCAGTATCGATCATAGAGATCGCCTGCTTGCTCAAGTTATCGTATCCTTCGATTTGACCATCTTCGACAGTGATGATACCAATTTCGCGAGCAATGGCTTGAGCAGTAAGTTTGAAGTCACCGGTAACCATAAAGATTCTGATACCGGCTCCGCGAAGCGTGGTGATAACGTATGGGATATCATCTCGGGGTGGATCCACAATTCCAACAAGACCCACAAGACACAAGGCAGACGAGGCATGCTCAAGAACTTCAGGTTCAATTGCGTTGCTGTCCATCGAAGCTTTGAGATCTCCTCGCTTGATAACTTTTCGAGCTAGAAGGATGACTCGTTTACCTTCTCGGGACCAAGTATCCTTTATTGTTTCGATCAACTCCAAAGCGGTTCTGTCGAGTGCACGAGTGGACCCATCGGAGGTGGTGTAGTGATGACATCTTGGGAGAAGGACATCAGGTGCACCTTTGATAAATAGAACGAAGTCATCTGAAGCGAATTTGCTAGCTTCGCCAGTGGGCAAAGAAGTAGATATAGTAGCTTGATCCACGACAGACATAAGACGAATCATAAACTTGTTGTTTGAGTTGAAGGCTAGTTCGTAATCCTTTTTCCAGGCATTTCGAAGGTCCTGAACTGGGCCGAGAGTTTCAGAGAAACGCAATACGGCCTGGTCGGTAGCGTCGCCATTAATCTTTCGCTGGTGGATAGGGAGGTGCATCGAAGCCGCATCAAACTCTCCAGCATTGCAGAGGCCAGCGACAGTTCTGAGCTGGCTTAGGGAATTTCCGGGGACAGTCATCTGGCCATCGGCGGTTCGCTTCTCTTGTTTGATCATTTCAGAAAGTGCTTGGTCTGCGGCAATCTTTTCGCCGCTCACAGAGCATTCAGTGACGAACATCTGGTTCTTTGTGAGGGTACCAGTCTTGTCTGAACAAATGACCGAAACGGCGCCAAGGGTTTCGACAGTTTTTAAACTTTTGCAGAGGATTTTGTTTTGACGCATGATATTGGAGATAATGGAAGCACAGGCGACCACGGCAATAGGAAGGCCTTCGGGGACGAAAGCGATAGCCACACTAACAATATCGACGATGAGTACGGGGACACTGATCCAGTTAGGGTGGTCCTTTCGAAGCCACCCAACCCAGAGACCAACAACAATTGCATTTGATATAATCATGAGACAAATGATTATACCAACGAATCTTAGAATTTCCTTTTGGAGGGTGGTTCGTTCTGTATTTGGAGCGGCGGCGAGGGCTGCGATACGACCAAAGATAGTTCTAGGACCAGTTGCGACACATATCGCCAAACAACTGCCAGACACACAGTGGGTACCTTGAAGGCCAATATTGCGGGTCTCAAGTTGATTCCTGTCAGTGCATTCAAGGGTGGCGGGAACAGGTACGGATTCGCCTATAATTTTTAGGTTAGTTTATTGGTCTAATAGTCTGGGAGATCTATATAAAGACATACCAGTAAGAACTGAACGATCAAATTTGGCGTCAGAAGAAACTTGGATGAAACGCACATCAGCTGGTAATTTTGACCCAGCTTTGATGTAAACAACATCTCCAGGGACCAGCTCCGTCGCTGATATTGTCAACTGTGTACCATCGCGCCTCACAAGACAATCATCTGGGATCATGTTGGTGATGGAGGCCATGACCCGGCTTGTCGAGAAGTCGGCCCAAAAATTCATGAACGCCTGAGCAATGAAAACAACAAAGATAACAATAGCGAGAGCCAGGTTTGCAGTGGCAGGAGGACGCCCGAGAGGCTCGTAGCAAACCGCAACCAAAACAGCACCGACAAGAAGAATGAGACCAAATCCTCCAAAGAAGTAACCGAATATTTTCCTAGCCCATCGAGAAGGAGGTTTCGATGGCATATTGCGTCCATACTCCTTTAGCTTTCGATGAACTTGATCCGCAGAAAGACCTTGCTCAATTGATGTCGAAAAACGACGAAGGAGTTCATTGGTGCTTATTGTATGGGAATCAGATTCTGCAATCTCTGCTGCAGTCTTCTTTCCCTTCTTGTCCTTCCGAGCGACTTTCTGGGGAAGATGATATTCCTGTCTAGTGTCATCGACAGCGACTGAAACACTACGATATTCGATGGGAAGAGCAACAGCCGGGTCCACAGACCTCCTGCTTATTGATCCCGTCGACGAGATATTGGAAGTAGTAGGCCTCAAACGAGAGCCATGACCACTGCCCTCCGCTTCAGAGAAGTTAATTCTGCGGGCAGCAGACAACTTCTCCTCATCGATTTCTTCGCTGCCACGCTCGGAATCGAACGTACGACGAGTACTCATCGCGCCGAAATGAATATAAAAAAAGTCGCGACAGTCAGGTGGATAATTTCGATATTGGTGTCAAAAGTGACGCTTTCCATTCCCAAACTGTGGGATGGCCGCAGGCTTTTAAAGCCCGCATGCAAGTACCCGTAACATCACCGCCTCCAAACCATTAATCATAGCTGTAAATCTCAACTTTTAGCGGAGAGAGTCTCGGTTGTTGCAGTGAATTCTAGGTTCTGCCCGCCTGCAAAAGCCAAAATGAATCGAGGGTGGGATATCCCACACGAAAGACATGGCAGAACAACCAACACATGTTGCTGCAATGTGGTATTTGCGACCCAGCTGCGGAAATGGACAGTACCATGCGAGCAAACTAAAGCGGCCGGGTGCAGCTGCCAGAAAAGTCTAACGATGACGGTTAGCCCAGTTCGACGCCACGGGCGGTATGATTGGGTGGCAGAATGGCGGTTTTTGGTAACAATCAGCCAGAACCAGCGAACGGTGAGTTTTGCCTTCTGCATTGCATTTCAATATCGATAATCCCTCATATAATTGCTGCGAGGTCGAGGCACCTCGTGGGCCCCACCCGAGTTCGACGAAGCTATTAGACCCCTGAACAGCGCGGAAATTGAGGGCTCATCACTGGCTGAGAGAGGATTAAGCTTTGTGTAAACGAGTTCGTGTGCTGCCACAGTCCACTAGGGGTTCTGGAACCCCGGATGCCCTAAGCACGTTGATATCATAAACGGTCTTTGACAGCTCGTTATTTGTGCTAAAGACTTCGAGAAATTCGCAGGAGTCGTATGAGACTCGGTTTTCTTCGTGAGATTTCAGAACAGACACATTGAACCCAACGGGCCAGATGGTGCCTCGGAAAGTGCGAAATTGGAGGAGCTGCCACCGTCATCAGATCACCCACCATCTGGGCTAGTGTGGCCTCGTAATTCCCCTCTGTTGCATTGGCTTCTTGCATCGCCATCATCAACCGGATTAACTGCTTACGTTTGGTTCTGTGGAGCTGAAAATGAGGTTGGGGAGGTTGTTGTTGTATGAGTGAATTTTGCTATAGGCGCGACAATCGGGTGGAAGAAACCTTCCTCAATTTCTGATATCAAACTATCACGATTTCCCGCTAGCCCGCTCCATGAAACAAGAGCAACGACCACATGAGTTAAGGCGAGCAACAGCAGCTATGACGACACTCTGCAAGCTTGCTGCGCCTCGTTAGCTTTCATTATCCCTGTCATCGATCAGGGACATCAGAATCCCAGTGTTTTTTATACAAACTTTCTCCATGAAAAGGTACAAAATATGTATCTCGCTAATGGCCGACTCTACGCTTTATCGAATGCAACCCGCCGGAACTGCAGAAGCTAAGCACATGCCAGTCAGTGCACGTACGGTGGTGGACCCTGAAAAGCAAAAAGCTTCCATTGGGAAGCTCCTGGTTCTGTAGCACCGGATTGGTCTGATACTGTATCCGGCTGATGCATTCCCCTCTTCCGCATTGCAATGCAAGCAAATAGACAAGTTTTTCCTGGTTGTCTGAGCTCTAGCCCTTGATGTCTATAGCTAGCTCGAAGAGCTACGAGATTGCGAAAGCAAAAATAACCTGGCTAGTGCGCTTAATGATTCATGGCACTGGTAATCCGCAAAAGCTTTCCCAACAGTTCACCCCACACACAAATTCGATTTCCATTACCAAATTGCTCTTAGGAGAAAGATACGGGTAAGTAATCGGGTTATGACATAGGACTTATGTGAATAACTTCAATGCAAGAGACCCACACCCAGGCGAAGGCGAAAGCGAAGGCGGGGAAACGGACAACGGTCACAATAGCAAGGATAACAGTGCATTTCATGCGTCTCGCTCTAGATTCCAGATTTTATACCCTTCTCAAGGCAGCTGCAGATACAAAATCCTTGATCCAATTGGAACCAATATTTTAACCAAAGTTTGATATTATTTTTATATTCCCGGACTAAAGCCTTGAAGTCAACTGGGAACTGTTCCCACATCCCGACGTCCATTCCTGTTTGACGCGGCTAACAAGGATAAAATTAATTCAGTGTGGCGAGGAGATATATCCTATTTCACATGTAGCTTTGGTTTGAAACCTGCGCAGTTAGCCGAATGTCTTGCAATTTACTAAATGAATTACTAGGGCTCCATCACTAACAATCTGTCCATCTTTCAGAGTCGGTCACACGCACATTTTCACCTTAATTGTGAGCGGGTTGGAAGTTTAGTAAGGAATTTGTAGGAATTCACTATCAGCTAGCTCGATTAGCTCATCACTTTACTTTTCATTTCGAGATATAAAAATATTCCTTTCGACGAGGGAATTTTGCTAGTGTGTAGCTTGTGATGTATGGGAGAGGAAGGTGAACTGGAACAAAAAGTGATTCTGGCTAGCTAGACGGAATGAGAAATTTTCTAAATGGATTACGAGGCTGAAATTCAAGGCGCTCCTTACTAGAATCCCATTCGAAAACGTCAGGTTTGAAAGGAGAATACTAATCTTGTAGCGACGGAAAACTAGATTCTTGCCATATGGCCATATATCCGGATGACTGGGTCTTAATCAGTTGGAAGGTTCCCAATTGTAAAGATACCTGTGCCTTATGCCCCTACCATGCATTGCATACACAGTTCGGCGGCTGCATACGTGGGCGGCCCCGAGATTTAGCCAATTACTCGCTACCAACTCTCAATAGTGGTTGCTGCTTTCTTCTATTCTGCCGTCGCATGAAATTTCCACACTCGAATACCGTCATATAGCTTGCTTGCTGTTGGCCATGGGGGTTTTCACAAACATTCTCGGCTTGGGCTGGATGAATTTACTCTTGTCATGAACAAAATGTTTTCCCTTATATCGGTCCATGGATCCATAGACCCGTAGGTAATCCTCGTGAGAGGAAATTTGCCGTGTTCTCCGACGGAAATCTACCGCTGTTTTTCTGCTGAGTCCGTGGAGCATTAATTTTGAAAGAGGCGATGCTGGCGCCAGTGGTTTGGCTGCCAGCGAAAATGTTGTGTAGTTTCAAATTTTGGGATACCGGCGGTGTCCCCGCTTCATTTCTAGCAAGAACATCCTTTTCTTTGGCAAGTCCAGGAGAAGGTTTGATTTCCACTCATTTAGGACGTTAAAATGATATGCTGTCGTCTGATGACGGGCTGGATAGATGTATGTACCTGGGAATTTACGGTGTGAGCAAAGCAGCATCCTTCACAGTACATTCTGGGGTAGATTTCCTACTGCTCAGTACTTGAGTACCAGAGCGCTTCGATATTCTCTCTATAGATCTATACGATACCGAATTTACGGATAACCTTTTTCAAACCCAGAGCCCGCCTACATGTATACGTATACACGACATCTATAACACTGATCTATGAGGCCTTTTTGGAATGGGCGCCCATGTGTGCACCCAAAACTATGGTTCATTTAAGCATCGGAGTATGTATAGACTATGGGTATCACAGATGCTGTGCACATGTAATGTTGATTGTGGTGTTGGTGCGGTGGAACGTAACGTCGGACGCTTAGCAAGGGTGGAATTGGTGATTGCACCTTGCAAATTCAAGGGCCCAGCTGGCTGGAGACTTATTTTGTAATAATATCTCAGATTGTAACATGGATATCTGGGTTGGTGTATGTGGTGTTATTGGGTTTCTTTGGGAGTTATATTGGTGTCATTGCCCCTTTCCGTAAAATAAGGGCCCTTTTTCTCCTCTTTCCTTGCAGTTAGAATCAGATTTTACGTCAGGTCTGAATAGCAGTACTCGTCGACTTGTTTCTCTACTTTCCTTACTCAAAGTCTTCAGATATCTATCACTAGACATATATTTGGCGTCTATATATATATCTTAGGAGAATTTCCCTCGATACAAGATTAATCTATAGATTTATAAAGCTTTAGATAATTCAAGACAATAGTATCTCCCATTGGATCTAAGATAGACTCGATACCCCGACCGATACTCCTAATGCACCACCCTATCTTCGCAACTACCAAACAAATACACGTGGATATACACTTCGGACAAACGACTCAAATGGCGAAGGTCATCCTGGCGAAATTTTGGTGTTTAGGATCAAAAGTTATAGAACTTCTACTAGGGTGGCGAAAGTCCTCTGGTCGACAATAGTTATATATCGCCTTGTCGGTCGGGAAATTTCAATATTTTGCCTCTAGAGCTAACTTCTCCCTTAATTCGAGACTATACGCCACGCTCTCTAGATCTATCCCCTGATACCGAATTAGAGCCCTCTAAATCATTTTACTATTACATACGTACCTGGAAATCGATAACGACCCTTTCACTTTAAATTTTTGTCTCGTTCCCTACCCCGTCCTACACTTCCTCGATTAATTTTCGGAGCTTGTATTATGCCTTTGACCTCGCGCGCGATTTTCAAGTTCCAAGTAAACCTACCCGACAGGTAGTTCCCATATATAACCATGATTGGATCATTTCTACTTCTTAAAGTCCTACAACAAATTAATAATCCTCTAATCGGAAAAACAGTGGTAGTGGTCGTTCTTTCGTTAATTACGTTAAGGTGTGTGCTTATCATATTATCTTCCATAAATTTTTGATTTCCTATTCCAGAGAACCTTTACAGTAAATATGTCTAGATACTTGCTCATCTTAGAATATCATTAACCTTGTCAGAAAATTCCGATAGATCTTATAATACCTTATCCCAAGCACGCCACCCTGGTCTCGAAATAATCAAAATCGAAAGACCTGGAGAAAAGAGTCGCCGGCATCACATGCGTTGCGTTACACTTCCCAAAAAGGCAACCCACACAAGCCCTCGAAAACCCCAAATGTCTTGGCACTTCTCCAAAAATTTTCGCGGGTATAAATTGGCGGCTTTCCCATCTTCCCTCTTCTTCTCCTCAGATCAAAAAATTTCACGCGATCCAGCCACAGCTGCAGTTGACCAACCAAAATTTCGCCTCCACGACTTTGCAGTTGCCAGAGACTTTCGGGTCTTGTGGATCTCCAGAAGAAATAACCTTCTCTGGTGTCCCTTCGGGGGTATTGGAGAGGGCGTGCCCGGATAGGAAGTTCTCCTCTCGTTACGGTTTTATTCAGTTAGAGCTGTGGGAGGTGGATGTCGATTGAATATGGGAGACATACTTTTTTTTATTTTATTTATTTATGAAATATAAGATTTGAAGATTTCTACGAGTGACTGTGGGAATTGGGATGATTGGTGATGATTAGAAGGGTTCCTGGCTTCTGATTAGTAGAAGACGCAGGTTTTGATTATTTTTTCTTCTCCAAGAGGGATTTGAGTGATATAAACCACCATCATCGATCAGTACTTTGAAGCCATCACGAACAAGCACAATGTCGTCCCTCCCGTTCCTCACAAAACCTGCCTTCGCAATTGCGATTGAGCATCTGACTCGCCATGTTGATACATACTCGTCGCATCTATCGTATGAAGTGAAGACTTCGACTGTACGTGATTCATTCCCGCTATGGAAAAGTTTTTTCTATATACGATAGATTGCTTATTTCAGGCGTATTGTGACCGAGCAGTTTGATAAAGAAGATGTCTATCTTGAGATTACTCGCATGGTATCCTCTACTCCAGTCGAGAATCCTACAACTGCAGCCGATGAAGGAGATGGGTTTGATGTCGATATCGAAGATGATGAGGATGATGTATGTCTTCTCCCGGTCTCGTACTATCGCCGTAGACCAGACCAGCTGATGTATGCCATATTACAGCCAGAATCTCTCCTGCCTTCTCTGTCGTCAATGTCACCGACCCATAAAGTAATCTATACTATAACTCTCTCCCCAATCTACTCCGTGCCAATACTGCATTTCACAATCGCGCCATTACCGCCATTGCCACCAACTCCCGTTTCTCTGGCCGATGTGTATGAACTACTAGTCCCTGCGCCTAGAAGGGAAGAACTAGGGCGATTGGGGGTCCAAGGAGGGATAAGTCAGGGCGAGCATCCCTATACGGGCAGGACAGTGTGGTTTGTACATCCTTGCAGGACGGGAGAAGTATTGAGGGAGTTTGGCGAGGATTTGAAGGTAGAAGGGTATCTAGGGGTCTGGATTGGAGTGTTCGGAGGGGTGGTGGGGTTAACTCTCTAGATACCTCTTTTATACTGCATTCTGGGAGTATAGATTTTATATCCTCGAATCAAGGCTTAAGATAGGGCATGTTGATTCATTCTATGTTCTTTGCATGCACACTTTTGGGAGATACCGGTTTGTCGGCATACGCCCCGGCTGTCTTTGAATTCCCTTTGCTTCGTTAAGGATAATGTAAATCCGCTTGATAAATCAGCTATATCGTAATATACTACAATATCATCTCGAATGATACCGCGCTATCATGCCTCAAAAACCCATAACCGCTCAGTCATCGTCGTCCTCAACTTCCATCTCTACGTCTGATTGTTCCGACTCTAAACAAGTGTCATTCAAACATTAGCATTCCGACAACCATCAAACCCACAATAACATGTACACATCGGGGGGAAAAGGAAAGACGTACCACTCTCATCTCTCCTCCTCTTCATCCCTTGCGCTCCATCAGCAGCCGCATTAAGTCCAGGTCCAGAGGCAGCATCATCACCACCCTTCTGTCCCGGTAAAGGCGCAAATCCCGCCCCACCATTACCAGCAGCACCACCTCCAGTCGTTAAATTTGAATCATTATCTGATCGAAGGGAGGGCATGCGATATGTTCCATCGAGCTTTGCGATTGTATCGGATTTTGATCTTGCGTATTGGATTTTCTGGTGGTTTTTCCCCCTCCGATGTTAGCTTTGGATTGCTAACGAGATTTTTTGGAAGGGAGGTAGAAAGGAGGGATCGTAGGAGATGGGTGGATGGGTGGATGGATAGGTGAATAGGTGGGAGGATACGGTTAGGTAATCCTGGGCTCGTACCTCAAAGTCATTGGATCTTTGAGGGGCGATTGAAAAAGTTCTAGACGTCGACCTTACCGTTCAGACTCCAAACTAAAAGTAATAACGATAAAAAGGGAGATGGAACGAAAAGCAAGAGGGGTAGATTTAGATAACATCACGAACTCCGGGATAACCAAAGTTCGAGAGTAAAAAAAAATAAAAAAATAAAAAAATAAAAAAATAAAAAATAAAAAATAATGGGAAGAACTCTTACCATCTCCTTCCCAAAAATCACCATTCCCTGACATCCCCTCATGGCACTACTAGCCCCCGCAATATCTCGAAAAGCAACATGCGCCTGTCCTCGCATCTTCGCTGTTTTTAAAGCAATCACGTCGAGAACTACTCCGTATGTGCTGAAGAGTGTGTATAACGCGATTTTTAGATCTGGTTTGTGGATTTTGTCGTTCAGATTGGAGATGTAGAGGGTTTGATTCGGTGCAGCAGAATTCGACGAGGATCCGCCTGGAGCCGAAGGCCGAGGGGGAGGGGGACGAGTGGACGCCATTGGAATTATTGTGGTGGTTGTAGATGTTAGAGGTGGGTGTCGTACGTCGTGAGGTTGATGGGATCGCGAGATTGGAATTGGGTGGTTGCTTGAGTTCGTGGTAAAGTCTTGGCTTCGATGAAACCCCTGCAAGCGAGCCAGCCATATATCAATACATCATAAAACCTTCAATACTAGAGTGGTGTATTGTAATCCACTAGTTGCCACTCGCTACTAGTATACCCTTAAGTTTTTATTTTATTTTATTAAATTTATTCAGAAACGTATTTACATGTCTCCTCAGTTCTGAGTATAACTAAGGATATAGTAAAGTACGTAAACCAAACCTAGAGTGCCTAAGTCGTAAGTAGAACCTACAAAATCGAACGCCTGTATGCAATACACCAGATATTGGCCGAAAAACGCCTTCGAAGATATCAAATATTCATTCCAACGCCGTACAATGTAGGGGTGGTGGCGGTGGTATATGGATAAAAATGCGGGAGAAAAAATATTAAGCAAGAATATCCGCCTCTCTCCCAACCAATAACATACCCTCTTTTAAGGCACAGGACTCGGTGATCTTATTGCACCCCCAAACCTTCAAGGTCTTCAACTCTGGTGCAACCTTCAGGATCCCTTCGATCACAGCATCATCAACACATCTTACAAAGCTGATATCCAACACTTCCAACTCCGGCAATGTAAACTCTTGGAGGAAAGTCCAAGCATCTTTCTCGATATCCTTACATCTATTGATTGTGAGCCTTTCAAGGGTGCGACTTGAATGATCTATGATTCTCGCAAAGCCGGAAGACTGGAGGTTGGTACAGTTTCGGAGGGAAAGCTCTTTAAGTCCGTAATTTAGGCTCCATTCTGTGAACAATTTGCCGATACCGTCGTTGGTGAGCAGCTCTGCTTCGTCAAGGTTGAGGATGTCAAGACGGCCACATGATGAATGGATCGCGTCGAGAGTCGCATCAGTAAGGTCCTTGCAGCCGTTCAAGGTAAGTTCTGAAAGCCCAGGGCCAAATGTATTTAGACAATCAATGATCGGACCGTCCTTGATTGAAGCTTGCGAATCGGTGATCTCCAAAATCTTTAGGTTTGGGAGACCGGTAAGGAGACGAACACATTCATCATCGATAAAGGTAAGGGTGTGGAGGCGAAGAACCTCCAATTCCGGACAATTATCAACCAACGCTTCCACAGCAGCAGCCTTGAAGCGAGAGGTATCTTTCACAGCGAATTCCGTGAGGCGACTGCCAACATTTTTGAAGAAGCGGATGTAGCATTCCTCTGTAACATTGAAGGCACCGTAGAGTTCAAGAGATGTGAGTTGTTTGAGTTGGGTGCCATAATAATCGAGACATTCGTCCTTCATGAGACCGCACCAATTGAGGTGGAGGCGGCGGATTGTTGGGACGAAGGCAGCAATTTGGCGGAGGCTGTCCGAAGAAATTCCTATACCACGATCAGCATACAGCATTTAGATAGAAATAGTTATATGAACTTACCACTACAATCGTAGAAACGGAGGACGTGCTCGGCGGGCTCGAAAAAGAGGTTGATTGTTTCGCCATTTAGACGGCGATTCTTACAGATAATCTGTGAGATCTTGTCGACATTATGGGAGCCGATGTACCCAAGGGTCTCAACGTCGTCGATGTACTTTGCGACGGTGTTGATGCATATTTCCTGGAGGGACTTGACATTGCTAGTGTCGCCATCGAGGATAGCACGTGCAGCCGACTTCTTGTTAGTACGGGTAGTCTGTTTCTTTTTTCGAGCAGCTTTCTCCGCAGGAGCGCCCTTTTTGCCACACGTATGGCAGAGGAGACCTTCACCATCGTCCGCAGAACGAGAGTAAGGCGTGACAGTGAAACGACATTCACACTCGGCGCAGAAGGCGATTTGGCCGGGAACGGGGCGGAGAGCGGGGTCAAGAAAATTATCGGGGTTGAATTCGTCGTCTTCCTCCAGCTTTCGCTGCTCTCCAGCCTTCTTTTTCGCGAGTTGGGCTTTAGTGAGCTTTCTAGTTCTCGTGGCACGAACTGCAATCATTTCTTCCTCTTCAATCTCCTCAAATTCGCTTTCAGTGTCTTTAACAGTTGTAGATTTACGCTTTCTCTTCCCGACGACTTTGAGGTCGATCTTGGTGGTAGCACGGGAAGCCCTCCCACGTCTCGTTCGAACTGGCTCCTCCTCTTCAACGTCCAGCATCTCTTCATCGTTGTCTTCATCTTTGGATACCTTCTTTTTACGGCGAGCAGCAGAAGCAGAGGATTCACCAACTTCCTCATCTTCATCTATTTCTTCGCCAATTTCTGCGGCTTCCAGAGAGGCTGCCACACTACGCCTGTGAGCTGCTTCATTTCGGGCACGGGCACGAGCAGAAGAAAGGGCCTGGATTCCGCTTGTGTCGATACCTTTCTCCTGGAATCCGATAATTTTGCATTAGCCTATAGATATACGATATAGCGAGGAGATATATATGGACGTAAAACTTACACGTAAGAATTCCGTGAGGGCAGAATTGGGACCACTGACGTGGGAGCGTTGGCCGGGACGGCGAGACCTATTAACCAGTATCAATATTAGCGAAGCCGTAAACGGTAAGGTCAGTATATCGATCGGACAGGGCTGCAGGGTTCCTACATGAGTGATTGGCTAGTTTGTCGAATCGATGGCGATAGCCTTTAAGAGATCTGTAGAGATCGAGATGAATGAAGTTTGCGATGTATTCTTATAGAGGAGGTAATTGGGATCAAGAAGAGTCTACAGCAAAGGAAAAGAATTTGGTAAACAATACTAGCAACATGAACTGCCGGCAATCGCCTAGTAGAAGTGAAAAGAGCACGGAGATGGGAAGGCCAGTCTCAGGAGAGGAGCCTGCTCACGTAATCAGTTTGTCTCAAAAAGCAATATAATTTCCTAATTAGGACAAGAGCGGGCAAAAGTGTGACTTCGCGACAGCCCATTTACGCGGTATCCATGGCAGTCCTACGATCATCTGAACTCTGATTGGTTCGTTCGGTTCCTAATCGACCCGGTTGCGAGGCAAAAGTATGAGTCTCCTGTCTTGGCTTGTATCCACGGAGATCGAGACAATTGCAAAACCTAATTCTCCTTTTTTTTTCTCTTTCTTCTGTGGCTTTTTTCTTTTGTGAGAGGCAAGACTGAATATCTGGGGCGGTATATCTCTTGTTTGTTTCTATCGCATTGGAGATACTGTATTTATTGATCCTTTATTTCATTGTATTGTTGTGGTTGTGCCTCTGCGGCCCTGTAACCAGTCCCCAGTCAGTAACTATAGCTGGTGTTGAAGCCCAACTGCAACGCGTTATAAGCATCCCACCAACAACGTTATCTTTTTCTCGAGCTCTTTCCAACCCACCTTCTTTCTTCTTTCTTCCGCTGCCCCCCATATTGCTTTCGAGCTTCATAAGAACATTAATTTCCCTCTAACTCCGATTGCTATTTTGTTCTCTAAGAATAAACTAAGTATAGCCAAAATACCTAGCAACTATGCCTCGTAAGTTATTTGTTTCCAGCTTGCAATTGCAATATCCAAGTGTTGTTGAATTTGCAGCATGAAGCTAACGGCTATCTACCTGCACAGCGAAAAAAGCTTTCAGGGTATCCCCTGGACCCCGTACCAGAGCTACCCGTGCCAGTTCCAGGGCTTCTTCAAGAGCTTCCTCCCAAGCTCCCACTCCCAAGAGCGCTGCAAAGACTCCTCGCCGAGGTCGTCCCGCTAGAAGCAAACTTGTCATTTCTGGCATTGATAGTGAAATTCCCGATGAAGAAGATAAAGACGATTTTGAAGTTCCTGCTACTGACAGTGAACCTGAATCAGTCACTTCGAAGGGGCAGAAGAGACGCCGTACCGGTCGGAATTCTAAGATAGCTGTGGTTATCCCTCCGCGATTGACTTCAAGAGCGAAAGTCGGTGCTAGTGCTGCCAGTTCCGTTTCTGGGTCTCCATCTTCTAATTTACTTGAAACTCCTCCTACATCTATTTCCGCGACTAGCACTCGCGCATCTAGCCATGTTGCTACTAGGACTCAGCTGGCTCCGATTGATTTTGCTATAAAGGATAGCGAGGATGAAGATGCCATTGCTTTGTCGACGACAAAAAAAGGAAAAGCTATTTCCAAGAAGATGAACTCAGCTCCAGTTTCCCAGGCCACGCCCAGAAGATTTCCTAGAAGGTCTCTATCTAAACCGGAGCCTGTTATTGAAGACAGTAGTCCTGATGAAGAGGATGATGATGTTGATGATGAGCTAGATGATGAGCCAGAAGAGGAGGATGATGACGTTTATGAAGAGCCAGAAGGAGAGGATGGCGATGATGATGACGCCTTTGAAGAACAGGAAGTTGATGAAGAAGCGTCAAATGGCTCGGATAATGATGACCCTATCGCCTCTGCGATTCAGCAAGCTGTCAGCACTACTGCTGCTGCACCAAGTCCAGCTGCTCATAGAAGGAACAGACGTAGGGCGCCTAAAATTACCAGAGTTGGTCCCCTTCCCCTTTTATTCCTCTTCTTATCTCCACCTCAGACTTTTTTTTTATCGGAGGTTTGCAGAAATGTCCAACGAACAGGAAGAGACTAACCCACTTATAACAAAGGCCGAACGCGAACGTTCACAGCTTTACGCTGCCCATCCCTATCTCCAGCATATCTGGACAGAGCTTGAAAAATGTGATCCAATTCCCACCGAGAAGGCGGAGCAACCGGAAGGTCTATCGCTCACAATGCTTCCATTTCAGCTAGAAGGGTTGAATTGGTTGAAAAAACAGGAACGCACTAACTTCCATGGCGGTATTCTTGCTGACGAGATGGGTATGGGAAAGACTATTCAAACAATTGCTTTGTTGATGGAGAAACCGCGTCCGAAACAACCTTGTTTAGTTGTTGCTCCCACTGTTGCACTTATCCAGTGGCGAAACGAGATTGAGAAGCATACCAATAACGCTTTGAAAGTTCTGATCTTTCATGGCCAAAACAAAGAGACGAATGTCAGCAGCATTAACAAGTATGAGGTTGTTTTGACCACTTGTAAGTTTGCTTTCTCTCGCCTTGTCCCCCTTTATCTATTGTGGGTTGCTAAGTAGAGTAGACGGGTCACTTGAGTCAGTCTTTCGCAAGCAAAACAGTGGCTTCAAACGCAAGGGTGAAATCTATAAAGAAGACAGTGTGCTCCACAAGGTTCAATGGCACCGTGTCGTCCTTGACGAAGCCCATAACATCAAGGTATTACCCCTCAGTACTCCTGCTGCGTATGTATCACCTCCCTAACCGTACTAGGACCGTTCTTGCAACACTGCCCGTGCCGTCTTTGCCCTCAAGACCAAGTACAAACTTTGCCTCTCTGGAACCCCTCTCCAAAACCGTATTGGCGAACTTTTCTCCCTTCTGCGCTTTTTGGAGTCCGACCCGTTCAGCATGTACTTCTGTCGCAAGTGCTCTTGCAAGAGCCATAGCTGGAAGTTCAAAGACTTTCGACACTGTGATAGTTGTTCCCACACACCTATGGAGCATGGTATGTCCTCCCATATTAGTGAGTCTCGTTCTAGGCTAATTGTTCTAGTTTGCTTCTTCAACTACGATATTCTGAAGCCCATTCAAAACTATGGAAATGAAGGCCCTGGTAAAGTCGCGTTCGAAAGGCTCCAATCTTTGTTAAAACTCATCATGCTTCGCCGTACTAAAGTTCAGCGAGCTGATGACTTGGGACTTCCACCCCGTGTCGTCAAAGTCCGCCGCGACTATTTCAACGAAGAGGAGCTCGATCTGTACGAGAGTATATATGGCGACAGCAAGCGCAAATTCAATACCTATGTTGCCACGGGTGTTGTCTTGAACAACTACGCAAATATCTTCAGTCTGATCACCCGTATGCGTCAGCTTGCGGATCACCCAGATCTAGTCCTTCGACGTCACACCAACGAAGATGGGAACAACAACTTAGTCTGTTGTATTTGTGATGAAGAGGCAGAAGAAGCAATAAAGTCCAAGTGCCATCACACTTTCTGCCGTCTTTGTGTACAGCGCTATCTTGATACTTATGCTGGTAATGGTTCCCCCGACTGCCCAACTTGTCATTTGGCTCTTAACATCGACTTGACGCAACCCGCCCTTGAAGCGGCCTACGAAACAGTCAAAAAGGGCTCCATCATCAATCGCATTGATATCAATAATTGGCGCAGCTCGACCAAAATCGAAGCTTTGGTTGAAGAACTTGCGAATCTTCGCAGCAAGAGCCGTACCGTCAAGTCCATTGTTTTCAGTCAGTTCACAAGCATGCTCCAGCTTGTTGAATGGCGTCTACGAAAAGCTGGATTCTTAACGGTGATGCTCGAAGGTTCTATGAGCCCGTCTCAACGCGATGCTTCGATTAGATACTTTATGGAAAACGTTGAAGTTGAAGTTTTCCTTGTTTCGTTGAAGGCTGGTGGTGTCGCACTGAATCTCGTGGAGGCCAGCCAGGTTTTCATCATGGATCCATGGTGGAATCCTAGCGTTGAATGGCAGAGTGGAGACCGAATCCACCGAATTGGCCAAACGAGGAACTGTTGTATCACTCGAATGGTTATTGAGGATAGTATTGAGAGTCGAATTGTGGAGTTGCAAGAGAAAAAAGCTAATATGATTAATGTAAGTCTACCCCCCAAAAAAGAAAAGGTCTCAAAGTGCCGGCTTTTGCTTGATTCTATGGTGAGAAACGAACACTAATAAACCCGGTTACAGGCGACGATTGGAGGAGATCAAGGTGCCATGGATAGGCTTAGTCCCGCGGACATGCAATTCTTGTTTAACAATTAGGAGTAGCGTGGATCTATGATTTGAATATTCTAATACTGGCGAATATAAATTCGATACGACCTATATTAAAATAAAGAAGGAACGACGGAATGTTGGAAGTGGCGGATATCTCGTTTGGTGTTCAAGGCGCGCGCGGTTGATCTGTTGTTTTTCCTGGGTATGGTTCTTTTCTACCTTTTACTTCCCAAACTTAGCGTCAATAATCAATTTCAACTGGATGCTGGAGGTCATTAGAAGATTGGTGTTTATCATTCGAAATCCGTTTTAGATCTACTAAATACTACAACATGTTAACAATTGAATAAATCCACAACCGCGAGAGAAGATACAACTTGATCCCACTCATACTCAATTGACTCTTAGAAACGTGAGGGATCGTGATGCCTGTGATCAGCTAGCTACCCGTGCCGCATATCACAAACCTACCCTTTATATGGTCATAAATACCACAATAACAACACTAATTGTTTATGACGGGGATATTGCATACATAGAAGTCTCGAAAGATGCCGATGATGATGATAATGAGGACGATGAAGCCGATGAGGGAGAATACGAGAGTAGCCACGATTTCTTTCCCATGGAGTCTCGACTGGCTTGACTCTTGCTTTCTTCTCCTTCACCCTCACCTTCAGCTTTATCACCAGCTCCATCTCCATCATCACCATAATAATCATTTCGAATATTACCATATTCATCCCCTTACTCCCTTTCCTAGACCAGTTCGTGGTAAGAATAGATCAGTTCGAGATCATTGCTCAATCGACGAGGATCGGTTACCGATACCGCTAAAAATATCCATTCCCACGGAACCGCCTCGTGTGAGTAGGTAAAGAGATCCAAAGATGGGAGATCCAAATCGCCCCATGAAAAAGAACACTACCCAAGTCCCTCCCACACACCTTTCTGCATCACACCTCACGACGCCTATTATTCCGACGGCTTTTCCAGTCTCGAGTTTTATTTCGAACTTTCCATCTGGTGCCGGTGCTGGTGTCGGTGTCGGTTCTGGGCATTCGCATAGCTTCTCTGCTCCGGGTGCCAATTTATCCCACTCTCTATCTTTCCCTGATTTGGCCACCATCGGATCGGCTTCTAGAAGAAGGCATACACAGCAAGTTGATATCACTTCACACGAACAGTTTCCAACTCTTGCTGCTGGTATTCAAGTCAAGCAGTCTAAGAGGAAGCATCCTAAAAAGAAGGAGTTTGACGAAGATAAAGTTGGCGAAGGTAGTAACAGTAGTGCTGTTATTGCTGAGGTCAAGAGAGTTGAAACAGAAAAGGTTGGAGTTCGAGGAGGAGGAGGAGAATTAGTAGTACCAGTTCCCCACTCCACTCAGCAGCAGACACCGCCATCATCGCCGCGATATCAACCAACCAATCCAGCTTCTCAAGCAAGTCCATCGACACCGACTCTTCCACTATTTCCAACTGGCAGTCCAGTTGATCAAGGCCAATATCAACTTGGCCCACCTACTTCGACTTCGACTTCGCTACAGTTTGAAACATCAAGTCCATCCTTCCAGGCCGGTCAGGTTGGTCAGCCACAAGCAGGTCCATCATCCCAAACACGGCCATCCTCTCAACCTGGGCCATCAACATTCATCCCCTCTCCACTTCAAGCAACATCTCCATCGTTGCAAAACCCATTCCAATCATCCCCATCAAACCATACAGCCTCCCCGTTTCATTCATACTCTCAATCGCCTGCACCAATGGCAGATAATCCTTCTCCACGTCCGGCTCGTTGGGCCATGAGCCCCCAGGAGGTTGACCAATGTATCTTCAACATCATGAACAACTTGAACCCCCTCTACTTAACCGATGTTTTTACCCAAGCAGCTCTCAATGCTGGTCTTCCAGATCCAAATGCCATGTTGCGTACCAGCCTTACAGCTAGAAGGGCCGGTGTCCCAGACCCAAATGCCCAGTATTGGACTCAGGGCCATACACCTGCCCAAGCCCTCTATTCTGGCCCAGCTGGTTATTGGGAAGACCTTGATCCACCTACTGAACCCATTTTCTTGACTGAAAGGCAACAAATGAGGTTGGGCTTTGCTATCCATAAACTGGGATCTCGTGGTTTGAAATGTAAGTGTTACTCCAAGAGACTTCTTCCTTTTAAGGATACATTGGAATCTAGTTTAACAATTTTTTTAGCGGTCATTGAATTCACACGATATGTCTGCTTGCGCAATTTGATGGCAGCTTGGGAAGAACCCGACGTCGATAAAATCTGGCACAAGTATAAGATGAAAGGGGCAGATTTGTTCGGAGGGATCCCATACTCTTTAAACCGAAAGGTTCAGGTCTTGATGACCCATATCGAAAGGGCCGAAGGTATGTAGTTCACCCACTCTATAATAAGGTTTGAATTTGGCACTAAGGAAACCTGTTAGAATATTGCACTATTCAATTGCAAAACCTGCAACAGAAGAACGAGGCTGAAATGACCAAAAAGACGGCTACGTTAAAGGTTGATCAAGAAAGCACCGACGAGAGACAAGGAAACTGGAAAGGCAAAGAGAAAGCCTTTCCATCGCATGAGAATAGCCCCCCCGGAAACGCCCTATTTACGGGCGTCCAAGCCCACGAGTCTGGTGAAGCTCAAGGCAAAGGCAAAGGGAGATGGGCAGATAAGAGATCACCCGGGAAGGGTAACAATGGTTCGACTTTCATCAATGGCCAAGAGTCCACTTGGAAAAAATTAGCTAACTCTCAACTAGACCTGCGCTTCAAGTCGTTCGTCACTATTTTACAACTTGCGAGAATCTGGAACGAAGCGGATTACGGTTGGTTTGTCGACACTCTCCAGGACTTTGGATTCCCCAAGATGATGCGTGCTCGCTATGAGCTACTTGAAAGTGACATGCAAAGTAGCCTTGTCGCGAAGTGGCCCCCCGGAGAAGATTCTGCTCCCGTTCAGGACTTGAGGAGCGGAAATATAGGCGGTGGGGGAGGTGCCGGGGGATCCAGTCGCTATTTCTAAGCGACCAAGGATCTCTTGGTACCCCCCCCCCCTCCCCCCTCTTTTGAAAAATCTGCGTGTTGGCAGATAAACGAGGTTTTTGTATCGCATACATGTATACATGATGCATAATGTGTAAGTTAACTTCATGATATTCGGGGAAGAATCAATTGAATATTTGAGGTTGAGAAGGTGGGTCGTATTATTGGGGTCCAATGTCCTTTTGTTTTGGTTTTGGCTTGTTCTTCTTCTTTGCTCATGAGTCTTTTCGTTCTTTCTTTCCCAAAGTGCTTCTTGGTCCATTGGATTGCATTGCATTGTAGTGGTTGGAGTTAGAGCCCCAATTTCTTTAGGGGGTTTGTGGGATTTGGGTATGATGCTACTCTACACGAGGAAATCTAGGTATGGATATTATCCACTCATCCCCCGATTCCGAGTTTGGGGGTTATAGGCTTTATATCAAGGGGCAAGACTAACGGAGGTGATGATTGTGATATTAGCACATAAAGAGTTTAATTAGAGGAGTAATTTCCATGTCTGAGTACGAGACAGAGTGATAATGAGGAATTGAAATATGTATTCATACCTTTTGCAGTTGTATTGCGTGCACTGATGATGTGTGCCCTGTATATCCAATATGAATATATCAGTTCTAAAATTGACGAAACTCGAGTCCTTATAATCATATGAATTAGACATTAATTGGACCTTTCATGAGCGATTTGAATCCACGGCCGGGTTTTTTTTCATTTTGATTCCCCAACCCACCCCTCCAACTGTCTCTCCCCTATTCTATATATATTATAATCATAAACAACCCATTTACTACCATCCCTAACCCTTCTATAAACCGTGTTATTTTCTTCTAACCAGGCCCTAAACCTTTCCACTACAGCTTTGTCTGTTGATTCCCCCCATGATTCTGCTATTTCTAATGCATTTGAGTGAGAGGGGCTGGATTTTGAAAGTGTAGCCGCAATAGAAAGAACTGATGGATCGGCTGGCCATGCGGTTATCAAGGATGCTAAGGGTGGGTGGAAGAGGGAAGTTAGTTGGAGGAGGGGGATTAAAGGAGACCAAGGAGTTGAGGGGGTGATGTTGGGGAGTTGGCGAATCATTCCTGCTGTGTGGTTTGTATGGTTTTCACCGTTAGTACAAAGCGGTCTGAAGGTGTTTGTTATGGTTTTTTTTTATGGAGAGAGATTACTTACAGTAGACGTCATCCCAATATTGAAATTTGGTGATGGCATCGTATTCTACTTCCGGACAGGAAGGGCGGTCGAGAATTTTGTTTACCAGGAGGGTTGCGATACCTGGGTTATGTTATGACGTTGTATTAGTGATTGTATGTTTTTATATTATATTGTTATATTTTTTTGGCTAAATATATTATACGCGGATATAGATATGTAGGCGGGCATTTTTAAAAGGTTAGGATTATATTAACGGGGAAGATTAAATTAAACTTACGGCGGATACCTCTGCGACCTAAGTGTTCGACTAGGTGTTTATGATGAATTGAAAGTTCGTCGAGGCCGCGTGGGATGGATGGACCGGAGTCGAGTTTGTAAGTAGAGCTCAAGGCGAAGGATGTTTTTTCGACCATTTTTGGTCTTAATTATAATCTTGGGAGATGACGATATCAAATCTTGATATATAAGAATTCGGAATGATTAATTTAGCTATATAGAAACAACTAGGCCGTATATTGAGTTTTGGTATATATCGATAGGTTAGAAGGCAATGAACTGGCGAGTATAGCAACTTCAGGTATAATATCTTCTTATATACTACTTTTTTTCCCTTTTGGTGGAAATCCAAAATATATACCTATGTTTTATCCAAATGAGATCTTAGAAGGATAGACTGATGTTCCGTGTCTTATTTTTCGAATTCCTCGGGATATAATTTTGAATCACCTGAGTTTTGCAAGAAAATTTGAGTTGATGGTATATAATGTCGTTTCCCCGTTGGATTTACTGAGGCTGTGTCAAAAATTGTATGAGATATATATTGGAAATAATATTGGCACGGAGCCTCAATGAGTGTATGATCGAACGATATTTCGACCCTGTAAATTTCCGAGGTTTAGGTACCTCAATTTGCTCGAATATGTTGTATAAATGTTGGATTTTTAGCCTTGATCGTAAATACGAGGAACTTTTCGGAATAAGTTTATATAGGTTGGGATCTTTCAATTTAGAATAAGGCCGTGGAGGAGAGATGCCGTAGCGGCTTAAAATTCTAGCAGATCTAGAAGATATATTCGCTTAAAATTTCTGGGACGAATGGTTGATTAGAAATAAATTAACCTGAGAGATCTGGCTCTCCTCTACTACTTATATTATGCATATTCGGGCCTGGCGAAAAGAAGGATACATGCACACCCCTCTACGGAACTAGCTGTCCTGTATCGGAATCTATAGGAACGTCATCTGGTGTCTACCTGATTTGCTATAGATCGATTCCTACTTCAGCTTCTTACTTACATGCATACGGCCACATCATCAGTATCGTAGGTGTCATATACGGCACTCTACATTACATTGCACAAAAGAAAAAAACCATGTAGTCATGTTCGTTGACGAAGGTTGATCTGAAACACATATGAAACTCGCCAATTTTGACCCACACCTTGCGCATCACTCTTTTTTATGGGCGAGACATTTGCGGCTAGATCCTTCAAATATATAGACGACTATGATTGGTAAAATAGAGGGTTTTGGAAACGGGTGATCATTTGCCCTTGCCTTGTGGGATTGTAGGGTATTATAAAGAACATGTGGAAATCTTTAGCGGTGCGCAGGGGTATGTAGGATCACCTGAAGAGATTTATTTGGGTAATGAGGATGTTAGTGAGCCAGGAGGTCTTCGAGAGCTGCTTTGTGAGAAAGAATTTCCGAAATTTTTGTTTTGCAACTACAAGTTTTACAATTGTCTCGATATCGAAGTTGAAGTTAATGGTTTCAATCCAGTATATAGCTAGTATAACGGTTTCTATGGATCTAGCCTTAAGCTTAAATGCGGCTGAAGGAGACCTTGTTGTATCTTGCCTCAAAACTGTGTTGCTGACCACATTAGGGCCCTGCAGGGGCTCTCAGCTCAGGATACCCTTGCAAGCTTGGCCCGCTTGGGTGATGTTCGATCAGAGCGAGAAGCTGGTGACCTCGAAGCCGAATCCAAGAAGCTGGGACAATACTTGACGTCTGCTCCAGGTTGTCACATTTAAGAATGACGGATTCCGAAACCTAACACTTAACGCCTGAAACTTGAACTGATAGATGCCAACTGGAGATGGTCGAATCATATCGTAAAGATATTCATTTTGATATTAAATATATACCTACATGATAAATAGCGAGCGCAGCACTATATATGGTACGCCTGGGATACACATTACTCCAGTCTCGCATGTCTAGCTTGGAATCCTAAATTCACTCTTAAAATCTTGCGCTGACTCTCTCACCAGCCACGAGCTGCTCCAGTCCACGTAGTCAGTCCATAGTGCTATAGTAAAACAAATACGATTTCAGTACATTCTCCATTAGTATTCTACTACGTTTTAAGCATCTTAGTGCCCTTCCAAATATCAATGTATATACCAGCTTCACGCGCTGGATTAAGTGCTCTTTATTGTTCCCAATGTCGTGGCACTAGCTAAATTTTCTAGTAGCTTGCAAAATAACCGAGTTGAGGCCTCTTATAATATCATGATATCGGGGTAAATCAGCATTCTTAACCTTAGATTCGTGTACTATTAACATGTCTACCAGAATTCTAATCCAAAATCTACCAATCTTCATGATAACTGGCGGGAAACGCGAGTAGTCTTTTGTTGGATTATTTGCGTTGGTGGCTTAATCGAGTTATTGCTCCGCGTCTGTTGGTGTTACATGTTAGCGGGATGGTTGGATACAAACCAACGTTCCTGAATCTCAACATCCATCCTTGATATTAATTCTTAAATAACCCATTGATCGAGCTCGCGCTTGTAAGTATTCACATGTCCGTACACAACACTAACGCGACGCCAGTTTGCTAGCACGCTCATATAGTATGCAAGCCATACCGGACACATGGTACCCTGACCAAATGGAACTTTTGAGCTGCAGCGCTGACTAGTACTAGTGACAGACTGCGTCTTAGCTAGGAGAGTTCTCCTCGAGTTTATATAAATCCCAAAATCCTACGTCCATCTAGTCAGGGCTAGGAGTCATTCCACAGACAATCCATACACCGGAGTTTTGGTTCCACTGCTGGTTGATATCGATTGACTGCTATTAATTTCCACGATGGCTTCTCTAGTTTTGCTCTCCAAAGTGCCTGAGATCCTTTTCCAAATTATCAACCACCTTTCTCGAAAAGACGTATTATCTCTTTTGCAAACGTGTCGAGCACTTTACCCGGCCTGCTACCGAAATATTTGGTCTAGTGTCGTTTTCAATACCAACACGAACGACGACGATAGCTATAAGCTAATTCAGCAAGCAAGAATTATAAAAAAATATATACAAAATGCGACGGCTTTCAGATTCACGAGAACGCTTGTACTAGGTCCTCCGGTCTTTACTTTAGACCTGACAGATTATATATATGACTATGTATTGTCCTTCGAGCTAGACCCTGGGTCAAAGAATTATGTAGACCTCCCCGAGGTTCTGCAGGAGCTTGTGGAGAGTAATGGTTTGGACCTTCGTAGAATCGTGATTGATCTAACAGGTATGTGAATTGGCATTTTCACTTCACCTTCATTTTCTATATTGCAGAGTTTCAATCCCATAGTTTTTGTGATGTATCGCTATGGACGACTGTTACAATTGCATACAGATACGTACGTATCCTTAAAAATACAACCACCGAAATTAATTATTGAAAACTTAGATGCCGGGTCTTCGCCATGTCTTAAAATTGCCCAGGAAGACTTATTATGCAGTTTGAAAACCTACGCCCAATCAAGTCCCCCGGGAGAGTTCCGGACCGAGGTTTACGGAGGAACTATCCGACGACTTCCAAAGTTCTTTCACCTGGAATCAATCACCAGGTTAGAGATGGGTGTTGAGGGACACGGTAGGGAAAAGTGGCCACCTGGTGATACAAAGTACATCGGTGAACTTAAAGACCGGATTGGCATCGAAATGTCAAGGTTGGCTTCCTTGTTATCTGAACTTCCAAATCTTGAGGTTTTCTCGTGGAGGGATCCAAATGACATGATACTCACCGTCGGATGTTTTCCAATAACTATGCTTCCCGAAGAGCCATTCTCCAGCTTCCCCGAAGAGCGGAAGAAACTTCAGATTGCCTTTTTGGGTATGCGAAAGCTGGTTGAATTGAAGTTTTACAATCTTTTCTTCGATCCGTCCTTTTTCGTCATCCCGCCTGAAAGCACTCGGAAACTAGTCATCGGCATCGAAATGTCAGATGATTGGTGGCGACAATTCGCAAAGTGTCAGATGCCTTCGATTAGAGAGCTAGAAATCGATATAGTCCACCCTCAGTCGCATCTACATCCGCTAAGTTCCGATTTCACAATTGAAGATGTCAGTGTCACAGGATTGGAAAAGGTCTCTGTAATTTGTGGCGACGAATTTATCCCGTCTGATTTGAGAGAATGCGTAGCTCAGAGGAACGAAGCGTATTTACCTCAATACATTAGAGAAAAGGCAAGGGAAAGAGCCGGTGAAATTATGAAAGAGAATGCAGAAAAACTAGCCGAACACGCTTTCTATGTTTCCAGGGCACTTGAAGCCGAGTGTGTCACTAAGATACTCGCGATACCCGACCACGAGGATGACCGTCGCAAACAAGAGTTTGCTCAAGAATACGCATCAGTTTTCATGAACAGCTTCACCGGCACTATTGACCTTCGTTCATTCACTTCTGCTCGGGAAAATGCACGTAGCTTAAGAGCTAAGACTAACGAATACTTTGAAGAGATTATTCGCCGGATTACGCAAGAGATGGAAGATACATATACAATCAAGTTTGCACACGGTGTCGAAAATAACGACAAGTGCGAACAGGAATTTCGATCGCAGTGCCAGGAAAAGCTCAATAGATGGATCGAAATGGAAAATGACGCTAGCAAATACGACTTATTCAATGCGCGGAATTTGACCCGTGAGCTCGCGAGTATATCTGAGAGGGAGTTAATGTCGATGCAAGGCCTAGATATGATTGAACTCCTTGAACGGAGAAATAACATCAATGATACTGCTATTGAAGGGATAGCAACCGCAATTGTAACCAATTCGGAAGAGGATATAGAAAGAATTACAAACGAATGGGCACAGGAGAGAGTACAAATTCTGGAATATTTGTTTTGCGAAAATACTGTTTTCCTTTGATGAATTTCAATCGTCATGGTTAGAACTAGAATTACTCCTTGTTATTATTCTATCGATCTAGAATATTATAAAATATCAAGCACAGCTAGATATATCAGCCCCTCCTGAGCTTCCGCAGCTAATCCCAGCCGCTGCTTAGCCGCCTTTGACTCAAGAGCGAGCCAAGGTCTGGATAAGCAAACCCCGATATACCGTCCTGTACACGCAGCTTGCATTTCTAACGTTATAGACTCGGAATAGGGCGGATAAAAAGAAAATCGCCTTGTAGAATCTCTTCTCACCGACGAAGGCTTATTCAAAAGCTCGTATTCAAATTCTCAAGATCTCACTTATATTAGCAATATGATGTCGTAAACGTTATAAACTCCATGGCTCGTGTATGATCACGAACTGCTAGCTGCCATATGCGCATTTTTCTTCTTCTTCTCTCGTCCGATAATTCTTACTCGCCCGAAAAGGATCCGGTTATTTTTATTTAGGAATGGCCCCTCTGTGTACGTATTCTCCGATTATAAGACAAGGCCCCGGGGTACTATATGTATACTAATACGAGAGAATTTGGGCATACGATCACTTGGCCTCTGTCGAAGGAATAGAGTTGTGAGAGGGCCTAGGGGCGGAACATTTTTTATGTGCCGTGATATTAAGCCTTGGTAGCGACAGTGCCCACCCCTGAAGCGACTGGCTCCAACGATGGGTAAAGAGAGGTACGTACTACCTGCCAAAGAGCTAGGTAAGCTAGAGGTTTGTCAGTGGAGGGGTGAGATAGCACGCAGGTACTTGCTTTGTTCAGTATTACAAATGCGTTGTTTGTAATGCTCTTTTGAGATCTCAGTTCGGAACATTGTCAGAGGGATCGTAATAATCTTTAATTTCATGGGCCCATGACGCATGTATTATTGCGTCGTATTTGCAGGTGTAGATTACTGGGGTTGGTTTTCAATATTTCCAGTGATGCTTTGTAAATCTTTCTGCAGATATTTTGAAGCTGAAGAACTTTTTTTTTTTTGTTCTTGACAAAATATTTTTCGTTCAGCCCTGTGAATCATGATGATATCAGAAAGGTTTCTTGATGACTTGGCACGAGAGCATGAACTCTTGGTGATTACTATTTCGTTAGTTATCAAAATGCAGTTTGTTACTGAGCAACCTGGGCTAGGATAATTTAATTAACCCAGAGGTGTTCCCGGTCAGAAGGGCTCGGAAGCTTCGAAATTCTGAGACTTTGGGCTAAGACATCTCGCCGCGAAATCATCACTTGATGGAGGGCCTTAACTGTCCGCATAGTGCCGCGCGGTGGAAGTACGTCCTGAAGGTAATATCTGAAGTTCTTTTCGGCTTAAATGTGGCAGAAAGTGGCAGAATGCATGTGGGTCAGATAGCTCGATGCCTCGTCAAAAAGTCGATAAAACTTCCGTCGAACATTGACAATGTCGCAGCTCAAAATTTAAACCTCTGATTCGCCTTCGCGAAAGAAGTAATTAATATGTGGAAAAAAATTCCCGTTGGTCATTTGTCTGACGTGAGCGGGACGTTTTGTTTCCCTTTAGTTCTAGAAAATCTGGAAGTTCGTAGATTTGTTCTTTGGGGATTACTGTGGGAAGGCCGTCCCCGCTCTCTCTGTGGATCTGGTTGGGTCGTTTGTGGTTTTTAGTGTTCGCATGTGCGAAGGTGAAGGTCAGCTTAGTGTCGTGTTGAAGGACTCGAATTGAAGCGTAAACGTTTCTTCTTGGCTCCGGCGAGCACGACCGCACCATATCCCAAGGCATTCTTCTGATTGGTTTCTGATTGGTTTTTTATTTTTTAATCTTTCGTTTAGTTTTCGAACGTGCGTATGTGTGGCGGGGGATTATGGCGTCTGTGATGACTTATTGGTTGAGTCGGTGCTTGAAGGACTCCGGAACCGCCTATTTGCTCATATGCTCATGCTCATATCGAAAAAAAAAAAAAAAGTTACTACCTGAAGATTATAATCATTGACTGTGCTTGCTTTGTGCAGGGAGGCGTGGGAACGGGGCTTACCGGGGTGCTTAGGCTCGTCTGAACCATAATGTCTTCTAGGAATGCGATCGGATAATCCATTAGATGGTTATACCAGATGGTGAACATCCAGCTGTGGACATGGATTAGGTTGCATGGAGGAATTGGTTTCGTTCGCCGTATAGTATAGGGTCGGTTGATGTATATGTATATAGGTATATATATATTTAACGTTTCCGACTAATCATCGTGGAGCCTAACATAGCGGGTTATATAAAATCCAGCGGAGAACGAAAAACCGAGTAGTTTATTAATATATCGGCAGTTAACTTCGAATTTTGATTTGTCTGCGGGACTATAATTGTTAGCACTCTATTTTGAAGTTAGTTTATTCGGGATCCAATAGTATCGATTCGACAATTTCGAAGTTCAATATCAATATCTACAGACGAAGATACTCTATTCGAGGCGCCATGGTCGAGACGGAACTTATAGATCGCATGGGGAGGCGAGAAAATCCAGCGGATATCACATTTTCGTATGCTTGCAGTCATCTTGGAAGAGAAGGGTTAAGAAGTCAGTTACTTACAATCTTATATTCTTATTGTCGCTCTGTTGGTTCCTAACCATTTTTTTAATAAAAAAAACTTTCCGAATTGCAGATGCTCTAGATTTAGTCGAATACTCAATCCGGCATGACTATAAAGAGTGCTTCTATAAAGGCATGTCATCTGGAGCGGAGCTAGAGACATTTGATACGGAGTTCGAGAGTGGTTCCTTACTCAGTCGATTACCGAGACTGATGCAGCGGGCGGATGGTACGTTGCTAAGATCGATAGTGGACTAGTGCCTGCAAGGGGTGTAAAACAATATATAACCTACTAACTGGATTGTAGATATGATCGCTATGTGGCCCATGGAGTCGCTAACATCCGCTTGGCAAATGAAAGATATTCTTCAACTTGCTGCATTATTCTCGCCTGGGAAATATTCAGAGTATATTCAAGATTTCCAACCACGAGAGATGGTGATATTGGTAGCTGCGAGGTTAGAAGCAGCAGGATATGAATGTCCTATGGAAAAAATACTAGAATGGGGCGGCGGGGTCGATAATTGGATTGTCAATGCCGAAACAGATGACGAAGTGAGAGACGTACTTGCAAGGTTTCGGGCTGTGAGGGAGAAAGTAGGAGATAGACAAGAATGGAGTGCCATGTGGAGTGGTGATTTGGGGTGTTAATCGGTCCTCTTTGGTGCACCCGCACCCGCTATTGCGCAGCATTGCTTGTATTCCATATTCTGTACTCTTGATCGGGTGGATTGTTTTTGATTGGCCTTGAAATTCTTGCGTCTTGCATTTTGGCAGTTTCATCCTTTCTCGTTTTCATAGCATTAGACTTACTTTAGTACTTAGTAGTATTACTACTATATAAAGACTCCGTTGCGCATAGGCGTTTTAGCAAAAAGTTGCATCTGTGACTAAGATGATGATAAAGATGTGTTGAGAATGTTGCAAAATCAAACGGCAACCGCATCGACAACACATCACCCCGGAACCTGCATCGACAGCTGGCACATCTTCGAGACATCGATTGTATTAGTCAGCCGGTGCAACGTCGACTCCGCTCGTGCAGCAGCCTCCGAAAGACTTCCAAGATACTTCCTGAGGCTGTCGACAGGATGTATCTCGACACCACAAATAACGCGAACCGTGACACTTATCTAAGCAGTCATCATGTCAAGGCTAACCAGGCACCCTCGCGTTTGACTCTCAATTTTCCTTCATTTGGCACGTTTGATATCCGTAATTTGCCAATTCAGCAGGACACCATGTGATGGACGTGTAACTTTCGTGACTCAGCGTCGCATGAAGCGGGGCTCTTATTGGCCACTTTGCCCCTCAATCGCGGACACATCGCGCGCTTTTGCCCTGGTCTAAGTCTTGACCTGGATTGGTCGATATTTATATTTCTGGTTGACTGCTTCGAGATATAAATCCCACGACGACGGCTGGAAAGGGCCCAGGTTGAAACTAACAGTTTTCCTGACTCGGACGACCGAAAACAAATAGGTTCAAAAGCGCAGGACCCACTCTCTTTCTGCTTTTATATAATTTCCTCATCGCCAAATCGCCCCAACCAACCACTTCATTAGCTCGAGCTCTCCGACGGTGTATTTATACTTCACCATATCCTACACGACTTCCAAACAATCACCAATATATTAATATCACAATGTCTTCTTCTTCTACTTCACAGAATCCAGGGGCCGATTCTCAGACGTCTCCAGAGTTTGTCCATCCATCAGAAGCTAGCCAAGCATCACAGAGTACCGGCAATATCAGTACGACAAATCCTCGAAGAGTTCCTGCATCTGCTCATCCTATCAATCCTTTGAAGAGACAACTTTCTGAAAACATGGAGGCTCTTATTGCACAAGCTAAGGCTTCGAAGACAACGGCAGGGAGCACTGCTGCACAGGCTGCACAGTCGGAAACTATATACGTCAAGTTGGAGAGGGAGTTGACATGCAGCATTTGCTGTGAACTATTCAAAGATCCGATCACATTATTAAACTGTCTGCACAACTTCTGTGGTATGTTGATACCCATTATTTTTTTTTAAATTCTTCTTCTTCTGCTTCTTTTTTTTTTGGTATGTGACTAATATTGGTCTTCATAGGTTCCTGTATTGTCCCGTGGGGCCGTAATAATTCTTCTTGTCCTTCTTGTAGAGCCGAAATCAAAGGATGTCGAGACGCCTTCGCTCTGAAACCCTTAATCGATATGCTGGTCAAGGAAAAGCCGGAACTGAGCTTCTCGAAAGAGGATATGGATGGATTTCAGAACATCTATAAGCCGGGACAGGATGTTTCTTTTGGCAACGGTGGATATTCGGACTCAGATGATGAAGACAACGAAGATAATGAAGACGATGACGACGATGACGAGGAAGAAGAAGAAGAGGACGATGAAGTCAGATATCCTCAAACCTGGCGACCTTGTCCATGTTGCCCACAGCAAGAAAACCCGGACCAGCTATATGTTTGCATCAATCCGATTGTCGACGGCGACCGTACGCCTGACTGGCAACACGAATTCAAAGGTCACAAGAAGTGTGCCTGTTGTCGTGATGAGGTTCCATTCTATACAGAGGAAGTTGCTCTGAAGCCGTCGTATTGTGCGTGCTGCGGTATTGTGTACTGCGCAGGTATAAGAGGAGCATGTGCCCTTACTCCGAATTCCACATTCCTCCACAGTATCACAGGTTAGTACATTTTGTCGTACCGTTGTTGGGTATATGCACTAATCGATGGGTTGATAGGTGCCCCACTCTATGTGGACAGTCCACAACCTGGTTACGAAACATTAGGAACCCCGAGTCTTTGGAATTTGTTCAATAACAACGCTTTTGAACAAGATTCGCTGAAGCGGTGGGTGGAATCTGATGCCAATAATCATACATGGCAATCACTGGGAGACGAACTGCGCAATTGGTTGTTCCAGGAAAACCCTTCGGGCATCGAAGGCCCATATGTAGTTCCGATCAAGCCCGATTCTTATGTCTGCAAAAACTGTCTTCCGGGTATGTTCGATAAATACCTCGCAGGTTTCTTGATTTCGGAGCGGGAGCGCCTTGGATGGACGGATCTTCGGCCAAGGTGCTGGTATGGAAAGAATTGTAGGACACAGAGGCACAATCCAGACCACTGTGCTCGTTTGAGCCATATCTGGGATGAGGTTCCTTTGGAAGAGAGGCGTGAAATTCGTCGAGAACGTCCACCACGTCCACCACCAGTAACCCATACTGGCGGTGTTAGAGATAATGCCCCTAATTCCCAGACCGGAAACCCCCAACCAGTAGATTCCGAATCTACCAATACCCAGCCTGCGGAAACCCAGGGTCAACTGTCTACAGCAGCAGCACCGCCATTATTCCGATCCCCTACGAACATCTTCCCTCCCTCGAGCCCCGGAGCGCCATCTATGAACGAAATATTTGGCGTCCCCTACCCTTCTAACAACGTCTTTTCCGACGATGATGGAAATCCGCCCCAGGGGCCAATTGCTCCGAGTCAAGATGATCCTGCTGATCCGGGGCCTTCTAATTGAAACGCGGCGGGATCTCTTAAGAGGCGCTACTCCGATATTTCTACCATCCCGTCATCCCAGTACATCTCTAGTTATATCACACCGTCGTCTACGCAAGAAGATCCCACACAGCGTCCACCATCTCCGATATCCCAAGCTACCTTTCTAACAGCATCGGAACCCTTATTATTCGAATCCCAAGAAACACAAACGGTACCTGAATCAACATACGAACCAAATCCCTCTAATTCATCAACTTACTATACGCCGCCTTCGACACCTCACCGTCGGCGATTACCTGCGGCACCAAGCGCCACACGTGCATCCCTCAGAAGAACAGAATCGACACCATCTTGCACACCACCAGATCCACCGGAAGACGAAGATGATGAGGATATCGATCAATTTATGTCTCACTCTCAACCTTTACCAACAATTTCAGAATCTCCCCAATTAAATAGAAGAAGAACCTTCCGAACCCGCCGACGTAGATGTCCGCCGGAACCGGGAGTAGACATCCGCCAAATATGGGCGGATGAATTGGAGCTAATAGAATTTATGTCGAACGGACATAGAAGCTCCGGGAGCTCGTTGTATCCAAAACTAAATGATGTCCGGGAGATGCTACAACGACAATTGTCGATTAGTCAGGAAGGAGAACCGGAGAATTCACAAAATACAGCGAAACGACGGAGGGTTCGATGATATTTTAGCTTTCCTTTTTTTTATTTTTTATTATTATTATCAAAGTGGCATTTGGTCTGGTCTCTTTGACTCTTTCATCGCCAAATAAAAGATATGCATTTTTGAATCACAAGTTTTGATTCCTTCTTCTGCCTGCTAGCCCTTAAATTACTATTCTTTGTATGATCTTGTTTTGTTTTTTTTCCTCTCTTTCTTTCCTTTTTCTTTTAGGTAGTAGTTCTTTTGTAGATACAGGAGGTCTTTTTTTTTTTTTTTTTGATGAGTCAGTCATCATCTTACTTTTTCTTTTATGGCTGGCCTGGTCGTTTACTGCATTGCATAGCGTCTTCAAGTGGTGCATTACTCGGACGGTTTTATTCTTTCCTGGTCTGTTTTACATTTTATTTCCTTTTGGATATCCTTTCATTCAATTCAGTCTTCTGTTACGGCAGCCTTGTTTTGTATTCTAATTAGCATGCAAAATACATTATTACCTTTCGATTTTGAGACCATCCAATACTTCTAACTATTCTATTCATATTCGTATTTTAAACTATTAATACATCTAAAGGTCATGATTTAATATTTGATGTAAAGGCTAGTAAGTAAAGGACCGGGCCGGGTCGAGGTTTTAGCGTTGGTGTCAAACACGCGCCATTTGTGCGTATTTTTGACGTCTAAATTCTTGGCCTGGCCCGTATGTTCCGCAGCTGCCAGCTTTCAACTGAAGTTAAGTTCCCAACGTTGACTCGTGCACGAAAATAAGCCTTGCCCGAATTACTGGCTGTACATGTATCTAGGTATTTACTATTTGATATTTCTTTCACTTGATATATAGGTATCTACCGGCTGGATACTCATTTACCACGTATAGGGCCGACATCGTTGAATTCAAATTCTGGGGTACCAGTACTCAGTCGGTCAACACTAAATTCTGACACCGAACCAAAGTATTCAGAATGCTAGCGTTAAGAGCAAATCTACACCGAAGTTATCTAAGTCCAGCCAGATATTTAACTCCTGTCAGGAGTATTTCTCGTGGTGTCTGGAACGTCAAAAGCACCCCAGTTTTACAGAAAATTCGATGGAAATGCAGTGGTACAAATGATACGAAATCTGCATGTTCAAAGACTAGTACTACCACTAGTACTAGTTCTACTGCTACTGCTACTGCTACTACTGCAGGAAATACGACAACTTCGTCAAGTAGTGCAGGATTTTGGTCATCAAGACAGACCTGGAATCGGGCGATGGTTAATACTTTTCGATGTCTGGTCGGATGTACTGCTGGAGACTTTTCGGCAATGTGGTATCTACAGGCTTTCCATCCTGAGATTGGAATTGGAAGTATCATGGCCGTGTCGAGTACGTTTATACATATCCTTCCCTTCCCATAACTAATACTCGAATGGAATACGTATATACCTATATGACTGTATTAACAAACTAACCACCCCTCTACATTAATTATATACATAGTGGCCAGCGGACTCTCAACCTCACTACTCCTAGAAACCGTATTACTAAAATACGGTCGGGATAAGCTACCTTGGCCCGCAGCAGCAAAGACCGCAGCGGGGATGAGTATGATCAGCATGTTGACCATGGAGATGGTACAGAATATGGTGGATTATCATCTTACGGGTGGGAGTGTTCAGTTCGAATCACCGATGTTTTGGGTGGCGGCTGTGGTTTCGATGTCTGCAGGGTTTTTGGCACCGTTACCGTATAATTATCACCGGTTGAGGAAGTATGGGAAGGGGTGTCATTGATCATATATCTCTATTATTAATATTACTAGATACTTGTACACTGGCTAAAGGAGGGAAGTATTAGTACGGTTAATGGGTACTAGAAGTGATAGATGTTGAGCTGTCTCCGCCTATAATTATAAATTATGGGCTTATCGATGTATATATATTAGAATTCTAATCTCCATGTAATTTCTATATCTTAGATCCATATAAAACGCTACGAATTATTTAAACTGATCCCATGAACTTCCAGAGCCCAAGTCTAGATCTAGAATATCTCTAATATGCATGGATCGGACTCTTATACAGTTTGTGTGAAGATGTGGTATTTTGAATAAGCCGCGTGTTGAGCGACTTAACATCAGCCCCGCCATGACGGGAGATACGGTCAGATAGATAAAGAATCAACATCTGACTAAAAAAAAAAAAAAAAAAAAAACTGCCCAGTCGGAATGCGAGACTGTCCCTCATGCGCTCCGTGGGACCCATGCCCATTTCATGTTAGGGCCGAATTCATACCGTCAGAAAGAAAAAACATTCTTTGGACGGGAAATGTTAACTGCGATATCCTCATTCGAATTTGTTTTCCGAAGACGGGGACCCCTCGTCATGAGGCTTTTTTCGGCATCAAAGAGAGTAACAAAGAAAAAAAAAAAAAAGTTCTCAGTTTTGTTTCGACCTGGGTTTATCCGTCCCATGTCTCCTGTTTACTATGTAATAATAGGTATGGTGTAGAGGTATATATAAGTATGTAAGTATATCTCGGATTGCGATGGAGCTAGAATGATAGGATTCTGAGAGAGGGTATAATATAACGCCGTGCGCCAGTTCAGTCGCTTTGCAATTGGAAGTCAACGATTCGATTCGATTCAATTCAATTCTCCCGCAGTATACTACAGTATATACAATTTAGGTACTCATCGGAACGTATAGAGGTACTTTCGAGTTATCCCGAGCAGGTCAGTATTTTATACCGTATCATATCCTGCCATATCATATCACATTTGTGCTTTGCATGAACGTTGGAGTTCCAGTCAACTTCCAGTTTCAGTTTTGAATTTTGGGGTGGCCGTCGACGTCACTTCTGTGCAACGCAAAGTTCCACTTCGAATTGGCCCCGCCAACAGCCTTTCGGTTTCTTCTGCTCAAAAGACTGATCATGACACCTCAGACTCGAACTTCTCCCTCGTTTTAGATCTTCCATCTATCAATCCATCAGGAATCCCCCTCGGAGGAACAGGTCGCTCTCGCTCTCTTATCATACCTTCAGGACTTGAATTCGGGACGGTGTAGAACAGAAAAAAAAGTCCGTCAATATGACGCTATTCGTGGCATCCCTGTAAGCAAAGCAAATCAAAGCGAGCACATCTTTTCCCTTATCATACAACTGTCAAACAACGTGGATGTTTTAAATAACTGACGATTTGATCGCGATATTACTATTATCATCATTGTGATACTCATAGCTACCTTCCGTACACGATTAATTTTCATGTGCAAGGAAAGGAGGAAGATCGTGGACGAAACGTTTCTGCTCCACCAGCTTCCCAGCGTACTGCTCCCAACTTACGAATCCATACCGGAGCCGACACCTCAGGCGGCTTGATTCAGTCCCTCGCATCCCGTATTGGTTCTCGTCAGCCGTCGCCTCCTCCCACTCCACCCGTTCACAATGCTGATGAGATCTTCTTCGCAAAACCGACCACTCCTGGTCCCTCTACCGCTGTTGCCGTCACTTCACCCGGTCCCGATAGTGCCATTCCTCCAAAATTAAAGCGAGCACTCACTCAGCCAACTTCTAGAGCTGCTTCGCCGCCACCTAGAGGAATTTTGGAGAGTAAAAGGGCTGTTGCGGCACCTGCTGATCAATTACAAGCTGTATCCGGCGCTCCTCGTCAAATTCCTATTCCCAAACGAAAAGCGACTCTTACCGACCAATCCCAACTCTTCGCCAGCGCCGAATGGACTGTCGAACCAGCTGAAAGAGGAAATGGCGGTCTCCGTAATGCCGTCAATGCTGCCCTCGAAGCTGGTGGTGTCGAAGAAGTAACTTGGGTCGGTACCGTGGGTATGCCTACGGACGTTCTGGAGGATAGTGTCAAAGCTTCCATCGAGGAGCGATTGCGCGACGAACACGAGTCGCTGGCTGTCTTCTGCAAAGACAGTGATTTCCATGGTCACTACAACCATTTTTGCAAACAGATTCTGTGGCCTGTATTCCACTATCAGATTCCCGATAACCCGAAGAGCAAAGCTTACGAAGATCATTCATGGATCTACTATGTAGCTCTCAATCAAGCCTTCGCGGATACAATTGTCAAGAATTACAAGAAGGGAGATACTATCTGGGTGCATGATTATCATTTACTTCTTGTACCGAAGATGGTGCGTGATAAAATCCCCGAGGCGAGTATCGGGTTCTTTTTGCACGTTGCTTTCCCATCTTCGGAGGTGTACAGATGTTTGGCGGTCAGGAAACAATTGTTGGAAGGTATGTTGGGAGCCAATCTTGTCGGCTTCCAAACAGAAGAGTATGCAAGACACTTTTTGCAGACTTGTAATCGATTGTTGTATGTGGAGGCGACACCTGCGGGTATACACTTGGAGGAGAGGTTTGTAAATGTAGTCAGCTCTGCTATCGGAATTGATCCGATCGGATTGAGCAAGGAAAGGGAAGACCCGATGGTCGACGAGTTTGTGAAGGTCATCTTGGATAGATATGGAGGCCAAAAAATCTTGGTCGCTAGAGATAAGGTTGGTTACAATCCACCCAAAAAGTTCGAGTAACAAAATGCTGATTTTGGTCATAGTTCGATCACGTCCGTGGTGTTCGACAAAAGCTTCTCTCTTACGAACTCTTCTTGCGCACTCACCCAGAGTGGGTCGGCAAGGCTACCTTGATCCAAGTGGCACTCTCCACATCTGAGCTTGTTGAGTTACAGACAACCGTCCTCGACATCGTCTCCAGAATCAATGCCAACTTCGCAACTTTCGATCACTCTCCCGTAGTGTTTTTGCACCAGGACATCAACTTCTCACAGTATCTTGCTCTCCTCACCGTCGCGGATGCGTTAATTATTACTTCGCTCCGCGAGGGTATGAATCTCACTTCTCATGAATTCATCTTCTGTCAGGATGAACGCCACTCCCCGCTCATTCTCAGTGAATTCACTGGATCATCATCCCTCTTCGCTGGATCTGATATCAGCGTTAATCCATGGGACTACCGTCAGTGCGCAGACGCGATGTACCAAGCCCTTGAGATGTCTCCCGAAGAAAAGAAAGCTCGTTGGGAGAAGCTGAATGGAGATGTAATGCACCAAACTGGTGTACACTGGGTTACTTCGTTCATGGCGACCCAGCAGAAGGCTTGGCTAGAACAGCAACGTCGTGGAAATATGTCTATTCCACGACTATCTATTAATTCCGTCGGAGATGCATATGCTAGGGCTGATAAGAGAATCTTCTTGATCGATTACGAAGGAACACTTGTGCAGTCTGCTAGCTCGACGAGGATGATCTTGGGCAGCCCTCAGCGAGTTATCGACACATTGAATGATCTCCTTCTCGATTCGAGGAATATTGTTTATGTGATGTCATCTCGTAAACCAGAGGACATAGAGAAACCATTCAGGCTAGTTTCCGGGCTCGGTTTGATCGCTGAGAACGGGTGCTTCATCCGCCCGCATAATACGGGCACTTGGATTGAGATGATCGATGGGTCCATGTTGGGATGGCAAGACAGTGTCAAGGACATCCTTGAATACTACAGAGAACGAACCCCAGGAACCACAATCGAGAAGAGACATTGCAGTTACATCTGGCACACTGGTTCCGCCGAAGATCAAAATCTAGCATCTCGTCAAGCCGCTGAATGCGTCAATCATATCAACGACTCGATGGAAGCCACGCAGCACGTTCACGCCGTACCTCTTGAAAAAGCAGTTATTGTTGAGCCTAGTGACTATAATAAAGCCACGGCGGGAGCAAAAGTGCTAGATATCGTATGTGCGGAAGAGAATGGTGATGTGGAGAGGTGGTCACCCGATTTCTTGTTTATTGCGGGCGATGATCGGGAGGATGAAGTGCTTTTTAGATGGGCTAATGAGTATGCGGTTGAGAGGGAGGTGGCGCATGTTACGACCGTTTGTGTGGGTACGAGGAATACGGAAGCGACAGCTACGTTGACACAAGGTGTTGCTGGTGAGTTAGAAATTCTCTTCGATTGAAATAAAACACGACGATGCTAATGTGATACATGATAATAACTAGGTCTCATATCCGCACTGAATAAACTATCGAAGTTTAGGTGAAATAGTAGAAATGATTTGAGCGGAAGCAAGCTGTAGAAAAAGCGTTCCTTTTCTTTTCCTTTTTTTCTTTTTGTTTCTATCATGTTTCTGCGGTTGTTGCTTACCCTCCCATTCCCCTCATGAGCTCGAGGTCTACCTTTCTTGTGAAAAGATACACTCTTTTGATATGGTCATGCATATAGCATGTAGAAATGAATGGTTTCTATTCTTGTAAGTTAATTTTTTTTCTCCCTCCGCTTTTTTTTGAAAAAGATTTCGGGTGCAATTTAGAGTGTTTTTTGAGGTATATAAATAAATCTATGATTGTAGAAGAGGTGCGTGCAGCATTGTAAGTTAGTGTTAAGGTCACATGGAATTTAATTAATCCAGGCCAGACAGCCCTTCCGGACTTCCAGAGTCTTGTGTTCAGTCTAATCATGATCATCGGTCTAGAAATGCAGTGCCCCCAGCTCCAGGTTTGCGTTATGAGACAAAATGCCCCAGGATGTAAGCGAGAAAAGTCAATGTGCTCACTTAATTGACTATCTCCGTAGTTATCTATAGCACTGCGGGGTCGGTGGAGAAGTAGAAATTATAGTATCGAACAGCCGGACATAAAGTGCATGAAAACTTGCAGGCGGAACAGACAGATTTTTTCGACGTGGACGGACATGGACGTATGCAGGTCAAATTAACAGGTATGCAGGGTTCGGGCATGGTTTAAAAATCCTTTTTTTGGGTATGAAATACATCATATCATGATCGATATCGATCAGGAACTGGCTGTGGCGGATGTATAAAGATATCTCGTAAGGCGAGACCTGTTCGTATATACGTTAAATATCTACTTCCTCGTGCCTATAATATAATGTAGAAGCTCCCCAGTGGACTGATATTGATGAATTAATTGAGTTTTGTGTAATAGTACTCTGGGCTTTGAATCTTTCACATGTGGTATCCTTTCGATCTAATTGATTACGATATAGACACCGAGAAGTGCATTTGAATCGAACCCTTTTGCCTCCCCTCATGCAATGAAGTGCAAGGTTTGGAACCATGGGGGAAGGGAAGACCCTTGGGAAGAAAATGCGGCTATGACGTAAACCTTGGCCGAAAAAAGCACCCCCCAAGGCCATTCCAAGATCGGTTGGACGAACTTAACACACACGATGGCATGGAGTTGAAGGACAGAGGATTGGAAAGAAGAGGAAGAAGAAGACGAAAAGGAAGAAAGAAGAAAATACAAAGGGAAAAAAGAGAATGGGGCCAGATTGATGCGATTGTAAATGGGAAAAATCGAGCTAAAAGCAGGTTTGGGAAGTTCGATGCTATCGGTTTAAATGGAACTGGGGGGTTTCGTCTTTCCCAGCGCCCGTCTGCGAACGGGATTCATTCTTTGCTAACTCCACTTTTTTTTTAAACAGAGAGAGTTCCATACCGCGGTAATCCTTATTTTATTTTATTTTATATTATATTTTTATATTATATCATATCATATCTTGAATTTGAAGTTGAAGTTGAAGTTGAAGGTGAAGTCAAGTACCTGTGTTATATTCAATTCGATTCAAGAGAGTCGAGTAACCAGGCGACAACAGAGGCAAGAGGGGACAGGATAGATACCGAGTGTTGACGTCTGTTGCATTGACCGGGCAGTAACGTCACGACAACACATTTTCCAGTCTTTTTCTCTCTTCGCATGAAAACCTGCGACGACGACTTCGCCCGTTTTAGAACGTCGAGCCTGAATTCAAAGCTTAACCTTCTTTTGTTCATCAAAGACTGGACATCCTCTGACATACTTTGGCTTTTTGGCTTTTTTTAACTCCTTCTGCCACTACACCACCATGTTTGGTACAAAACCGTTAGACCTGCCGGATACCTCTGGCCCTTCTTCCTTAGTAAGTTTTTCCCATTCGATTCCCTTTCGCTTTGGTCGTCCTGCCTTGCTTGCCCCCATCGTTTCCCACCAGCTTTGTCTAGTACTGTACATACGTCTATCGATATAATACCGATAGTGCAAGTACATACATACATACATACATACATACATACATACATACATTCTTTGTTTCTTCCTTTATATTTATATAATATCTATTTTTATATAATCCAATCATGTCGTATTTCTCGCATGCGAAACCGAAGACAATGCAGAACCGGAACTTTCGTTCGGTTCACAGCAACATCAGCAGCATTGGTGGTAATAAACCGCAGCAACAGAACGATAAGGCTAAACATTCCCTGTCACCACCACCACAGAATTCAAACCCTACAACAAACCGTCAGCCAATAATCGATGATGACCTGATCTTCTCGACTCCGAGATCCGAGTTGAACAATCCCATGTCCGACCAGGTTCTTCTCGACGAGAGTACTAGCAAGACTAATAAAGACGACGCCAAGGATGGTGACGCGACAGCAACTGAGACAGGGGGGAAGACTATTGGTATGCTTTCTCTCTCTTTCTATTGCTCCTTGAATTTGTCGTATGGATTTCGTGCATTGAGCCCACGTTTTGACATGACATACCCGATGCCATGTTAATTTATAACATGGACATCCGCTTTTTTTTCCCCTCTGGTATTAACATTTTTTAAAATTTTTTTATTTAATTTGTCAACTAACATGTAAACGGGAAAAACGAAAAAGAAAAAATAGCTATTACCTCGCCGATTTTAAAACGTGCACAACCAAAGGATCTCCCCAGTTACCCTTCGCGTGGTGTTCAAAACCTCGAAGCCTCGGCTGGCAGGGCTGCGTTATTGGCCGCTTCCCATTCCAAGTCTCCAGAGGTGTGGAAACCGGCTCACTTGCCCGCAGCTGGTGCAGCCGCATCGCTTGCAAACAATATAAAGTCGCCCGAACCCTGGAACCCAGGTCCGTTACCCACAGCAGCTGCAGCAGCCCTCCTAGCAGGCGATTCAAAACCACCAGAAGCTTGGAGACCTTCCACTCCTTCGAAATCAGCTTCGCAAGCTGCGATAAGTGTTCGACAAAGGGCGCATACAATGCCTGAATCTAAGCGGCCCGTGCAGCCGCCGCAATCGACTGCAAATGCCCTCGCCGCGGCTGGGGTAGCGAATTCGCCCAGAAAACTCTCAAAACCCGCTCCGAAATCACCACCTGCACTTGCCTATGATATTAACAAAGTCAACGCTCTGGCGGCGCAGAACGCACAAAATCGCCTCTCTGCTGCTTCGCAACCTAGATCGGCGTTACCGCAAGCACAGACCGATAAGAACATGTCTGATATCCTTCGTGCGGCTAGCATTTCCATGGCGAAAAATATGAACAAATCGCCGCCTCTTTCTGGTGGCGGTAATACTTCAAGACAAAGTATGCCGTCGGGTACTTCGATGCCACCTGGGAGTTACTATTCGCATATTCCGACATCACCAAAGAAGGTTACCCCTGCAGACCAGAAGTTGAATAGAAAATCTTCAACACAGGCAGCTTCTATCGCTGCCTCTAGCGATTTACATTCTGTTATATCTGGAGATAGCGACGAAAGGCAGATAAGATACTACCCACACCTCGAAGAAGCAGCTCGTAAAGCTGCATCCGAGCGTCTTGCACGTCTTCAGGCAGAACACGACCGAGCTCGTAAAGCGTCCGGTCTCCCACCTAGTTGGCAATCCGGCGGGAAAGCACCTACTACCCGTGCCCGTTCTTCAACTGCCCCATCCAGTGCCGCTCCAAAGGCGACAACAACCTCAAAGGCTGCCGCTGCGACAACTACTGGTGCTACACCTCGCCGCCAACCAGATGCAACAGATTACGCCCGTTCTATGAAAATAAAATCCGACACTGCGAAGCTTACGAAACAGATAAATTCAGTGGATAAAGATCGTCAAGCTCGCGATTACCTCGCCATCCTTGCCGTTGCCGAAAGGAATGTCAAGTCTCAAATGCAGGATTTGGAAACTAAAGTGGCAGAAGATCAAGGACGTGTGCCTAAACACCTACAGGCGGAATGGGATGCTAAAGCTAAGATGCTGAGTGCTGAGTATGAAAGGAAACGAGCGGAGGAGAGCGAGAAGAAGAAAGGAAAGATTAATATGGGTGGTGGCCTGTGGTATGATCAAGAAGATCTGGAAAGAATTGCACGGGGCAATGTCCAGCCGATTTTGGATGAGATCAATGTTAAGGCAGAGAAGGAGCGTGCGAGAGTTGAAGGTTTGAGGGTTGAGAAAGAAACAGCTGATAGAGAGAGGAAAGCTGAGCAAGAGAGGGCTGCGGGCGTTAAAGCTGAGACCAAGAAGGCGAAAGGTGAGAATTCCCTGATTTTTATATATATTTTTTCCGAACGTCGTGGGTATTAATTTCGAGTTCTCTTTGTTAGTTTTGGAGAAAGCAGCAGCGAAATCCCGACGAGACGCCGAGAAAGCAGAAGAACGTGAACGAAAAGCAGAACTCAAGAAAGCTCAACGGGAAGAGAAAGAACGGGTAAAAACCGGAAAACAGACCTTAAAAGCGGCGGCTGTACCTCTACCAGCCGAAACTCGGAATATTGAAGAAACCGCAGGTGTAGGAGCAGACCCCGCCTCGGATATGGAAGAATTGGAACCACGGCCCATGTCACAAGCTGGCCATGAGCGAGTTGATCGTGAACGAGAGATGCATGAAGCGGCGAAGAAAGAGAAAGGATGGTTTGGGAGTCTTCAGAAGAGGATTGCGAAGAGGGTTCCTGGAACTAAGAAGAAAGAAAAGGGTGCCGTTGGCGGTGAGGTAGCTATGCCGAATGTCGCTGAGGTCGATGAATTTGATCCAGCAGATAACCAAAGCATATCATCGATCTCATCCCCCGAACGTCCGAATTCTACGAGAGATGTAGCATTGGCGGGTACGGTTAGCGCGGTTTCATTGGATGATGAGGCGGGGCCTGCTGGAACTGCATTTGTAGGTGGAGCTGGACTGCAAACTATCGATGCCACTCCAGGTATTCTCGCTAGGCCCAGATACGCGGGTTCGGATTCGTCAAGTACTAGTTCTGGAGACTTGTACACTGCGGAACCGAGGTATAAGGGCTTGACATCTGCGACGTATAATCCTGGCTTGGAGGACGAAGGGTTAGGAATGCCGGCTTTTATCCCGGAGACCAGCAGTAGGAGATATTCCACTAGTTCGGATTCTTCACTTGAGAGCACTGGAGTTGCAGAAAAGACTTTTGGGGAAGGGGCGGGTCCATCTGTAGCTGCACCTGTTACAGAGGAGGAATCGCGGGATTTATTCGGAAGCACACTTTCAGGAAAGGTTAAGAAGTCACTTGAAGAGTTTGCTACAGGAGGAACTGGAACAGAGGTTCCACACGTTTCGGCGGAAGGGCCCATCACGCATGTTGAACCGCCTACGCCTATTGAAGAGGAATTGAAAGCGCCGATTATGCCTGCCGCTACCGCCACAGAAGGAAGTTCGAGGGGGTCTATGGATAGCACTCGGGAAAAGAGGTCGAGTCGGTTTAGCGAGATTTTGTAAAGGGATTGCACGACTTTTTTAGTGCTTTACATGACTTTTATGGACGTGAATGGGATGTCTTCTTTCTCTTTGTTCTATTAGCCTTGTTCGTTAGCTTTTGGAATGGCCGTACACAATATGTGGGTGGGTTGTATTAAGCGTTTGGAATAGCCGTTTTTATGATTTTTTTTAACATGATGCGATGCTATTGAATTACTTAGTTGTGATGGGAGGTAAAAGAATACACGAGAGATATTTTTATATTTTACAAAGATCAAATACTTTTCTCATACATATAAATACGGGCTATAACTAGGTTACTTTATTTACTTCAAGCACCAAACAATTACATCCCCTTTCCGCCTCCAGTCATCATGAAAATGACTATTAAAGAACCTCTTACACTCCACATACCTGCCTTCTGCCCTTTCAGTCCTCAAATACCCCCTTATTAACTCAGCAGTAGCCTCGAAAGTAATCAATTCATCAGGCCATAGCATCTTTCCTTCCGAATTCTCTCCATCCTCCTTCTCCTCATCCCCCTCCTTTCGATCCGTTTTCAACGGTGGTCCTCCAAACCTTCGGTACAAAAAATCGGTAGGGTTGTTATAAAACTCATCTGCTTCGTCTACGTAATCCTCCCTTTGGTCGATAGGAACACCAACGGGTGGTTCGCAGATTAAGAACCAAGCGCTGGGTGATCCATCTTTCATCCCTGCATCCCACATATAACTTCCGAACGGTGTGGAATGACAAGGCATTAAGAATCCAACTCTTGCACCTCCTCCTCCCACATTTTTAATTATTGTAGCATCTCCTGAGTTATCGTTCGAGGAGTAGTGTTCCCGTCTCAACCAATTCACAACATCCACCACCCCCCTCTGATGTACATAACCCGTATAATAAGCAATCGGGATATTAATCCCCAACATCACCGCCACCACTATCGTCCACTTCCTCGTATACCTCCTTGGTAAACTAGGAACCCCGACCCCGGCCATCAAAACATGAAAAATAGGTAACAAAGGGTACAAAAACCTAACCTCCTTATGTTTCGTCGCCATAAAAGCAACAGGCACCAACCCCAACAATCTAGTCAAATGCGTCGTGGGCGAATAACTAGATAGATCGTTCAACCCGCCAAAGAACGAGTAAACCGCTAACGGTAAATATCCCGTAAGTAGTAACGGTAACCCCTGGGAATAGTAGTAATGCCATGGACTTGTTCCATAAAAGGAGGAGATCGATTGTGAGATGTTCAATCTGTAGAATTCGATGAATGGAAGGGTTAGACGGTTATAGAATGTATAATCTATACAGGCGTTTAATGAGAGGATTGTGATGCTGATCAACAGGATTTGGAGGATTGCGAGAAGCCGTTGCGGGAGTGTGGGGAGGTGTTGGAGGAGTAAAGGACCGATTGCCCAGGTTATTAGACCGTTTGTAGGACGGACTGTGAATGAGATGGCGGCGAAGATGGTGGCGAGGGTTAGATCTGCTGGGTTGTAGGTTTTCCAGGGCCAGTGGTACATTCCCATTATTGTTAATGTGGTTTCGAGGTTGTTTGAAAATGTTCTGGTGGAGCAGAACCAATTCCAGGCGCTGAATAGACTGAGTAATAGCTTTGTATTTTTAAAAATTAAAAGAAAGAGTAGAAAAACTATTAGTATATATATTGCATTTGATACGGGTTTGAGGAGAAATAACTTACCGCATTTGTTCCTGCTTCCTTTCCGTATATCTTCCTTGCCAGAAGTCCGGTATATACATCGCCTAAAGCGGCGGTTATGGCTCCCACGATTTTGGGGCCGACGACGAGAAGTTCTGCGGTCGTCGCCGGGGAGAGGTTCAATGCTTTTGATATTGAATCTACGAGGCCATATACCCCCTGAAATATTCGAGGGTACAGCACAGATCGTAGTGCATGATGCCATTCCTACAAAGAAAAAAAATATTGTTAATTTAAATTATTCTAAACATCTAATACGTTTCAGATTTTATGGAATAGGAAAAAATATATTGACTTACCCAAGTTATATATCCAGAACCGGCTGCATGTTGACTTGCCGCGATCTCGAGGGATTGGAAGTATTCATCCGGTTGGAAAAAAGTGGATATTGTCAGGGCGTTTTGAAGTCTGATGCCCAGTACGATTAGGAATACGAAGAAAGGCGTGTTCTTCGTGAAGATAGACATTTTGTCTTCTTCCTCCCTTTCTTTCTCCCTTCTTTGTCTATCGTTTACGCAGTTGCGCAGTTGAGGGGTCGAGTGCGAGTTAGAACGCGAGCATGGTCGACGTGGTTTTTATATGTCGGCTTTCGTTGAGTGCGAAGTGGTGGAGTTTGTGTTGTTTGTGTCAACACATACACTGTGTTTGACTTCAGACTGAGCAAAAAGATACTTGATCCGGATCAAAAGGCAAAAAGCAAAAAAAGAATTCCGACACCGGGAATCGAACCCGGGGCTGTTCGGCGCTGGTTGAACTCCGGAGAATTCTAATGAGAGCGAACGATGTTAACCACTACACCATATCGGATGGTTATTGATGACGGAGATGGCATTATATGCTATCTATAGCATTTAGCACTCTAATCATAGACTTTTGCAACAATAATATAGTATCCTCTGTGTTGTCGGCCATATCATGTCTATCTTCGTGTATTCAATCAGGGACCTTAAGAATTAAAGTGATAGCTAATATTAGACAATTATTGCAAAGCCAGACTAGGATTAGGGAATGTGTGCCCAGGTTGCTCAATCCATCTTCTCTTATTCATGTCATTGCTGTCTGTGTGTGATTGCTTAGTATATAGAACTCATATAACTACCTACTCACTAACTGCTTTAAAAGGCTTGATACATACAACCTATTCTTGTAGCGCCTCAAACCTGAACACGTTTGAATATATTTCACTACCTGTCGTCGGCGAGGTCCATCCCAAAAACCGCCAGCGATCAGCCAACTTCCAACCGACTGGTATTCCAAATCTCTCAACTTCATCCAGATGATTAAACCCGGCCATATGCCCACGCCCCCTCTCCGTCTGAGCTTTATTATAGGAATCTGGTATTTCATCGATGGTAAATGTAACCGAAGCCGTTGCCAATTGAAATATCCGCGATAAGACTAGCGATAACTCGTTACTTTCGAGGAACAGGAAAGCTCCGATGCATATGACATGGTGTACGGTATCTCTCTGGACTATTAATAGCCGCTGCATGGGACCGACGAGAACGTTGCTGTATAATCCATGACGGAGACATTCCGTTTTCATTTGTAAGGAAATATCCATCCCAATAAACCTGCTGCGATTATGTGTATCGCCGTGAAGTCGGGCTACCAATCCCGTTCCACAAGCGATATCAAGAACGACGCCGTCGAAATTGTACTTTTGCACAATACCTTTGAGGCCTTCATGATAAATCCCCGCAGTTACAGTGTCATACTTAGAAGCGACAGTATCGAACTCCTGGCCGACTTGACGAGAAACTTCGATATTTCGGTTTCGTTTTAGAAAGTAGGAGGCTATCAGGGAGTGGATCAATGACCGGTAACTTCCTGGGAATGACTGGCGAACAGCACAGGCTTCAGCGGCTGAGTTTTTTCCGTCTCCGGCGAACGGGAATATTGTCTTTGGCATCGGGGTTATTCCTGTCAAAGTTGGTTTCGAGTCTTTGTTGAGGCAGACGAGGAAAGTACACCAGAACGTTCCATGTAGATCATTCGCATAGAATGCATCTTCTGTGAGTTTTTGAATTGCATTGAGAAAAACTGGGCTGGAGGTTGACTTGAGAGGAATCTCGGTATGGGCAAAGACGGGACATAAGGGTATAGGCGTATTATCGAGTTCAATGATCGTGCATGAATACTCGTCTCCGGCAGTAACATCTTCTTCCTGAGCGGTATTTAGGTCTCCAATCACAAGACGGCCATCTTCGTCCAGCCCATATTTCTCCAAAACGCGACTGGGTAGCCCAATAACTGGAATTGCCAAATACTCGATATATTTTGCAGCAAGAATGGCAACTTCTTTATTGTCGCTTCCGTACCAAGTCCAGTGTAGGAAATTGAAATAAAGGTCAAAACTTTCTGCCGCAGCGAAGTTTAAGTCCTGTTTGATAGTATCCCTGCTGATAAATCGCTGTTCGAAGGTGTGTCTATCCGTGAAGAGTTCAATGTCCGAATAACGCGGGTCGTCTTCCTGCCCCGGGGCCGCTCGAAGCAAACAGATCCTCATTGTTCGATATATCTAGATCGATCCAAGAATTAGGATATGATAGAAGGTTTTAGATGTCCCACGGCCGCACGGGAGCTATTGCCGACGCATAGATATTCCAACTTTGTTGCTGCCCCCTCTAAAAGTCACCTGTTGGCTAGCCTGTTTTAGGTAGGTGGTTTAGCTTATTTTAGACAATTGCTCGCAAGCTCAAAAGCTAAGGTTTGATTTGATATCGATTGACTTGAATTTAATGCAAGTGTAACCTGAGGCTTTATTAGTTCTATTAGATCAAGCAAGCTGGCCTAGCTAGGCTGGATTGTATAATTTGGGCTAACTGTAATACATGTGTATCCAATTACCCCGCGCCTACATGCAGAATCGATATTGATAATTAACGCTCCCCCGAACCCTGAAGTTTAGAGTGACAAGATGCAACATGCAACACAGTCGGGCTGCTATGGCCATTGGATTCCAGCCTCGAGACCAGGCGCAGATGAGAGTCGACTAGATATAATATTACTAATATAAGTAAGACAAGCAAGAAAAAATAAAAATGAACCAATCTCGATCTAAATTTAGGCATCTAGAACATTGTGAGTACTTTTGTAAACATAGCCACATAGTCCCTAGAGGAAACCTAGTTAACTTTATAACCTCAAGTAAATAGTACAGGTAGGCGCTGCATGCTTTCTCATTATATTCGCCAAAGTTCGTGGTTAGATCTATAGATCGAAGATGCCTTAGTCAATTAAAAGCTATTATATTTTCTCTCGTTCTATGTTTGTATTTAGCCAGATATTGTACACAATATACAAGCCTAGGCCTGTGTAAGAATTATATTAACTTATAATTAGGCGGTATTTGTGACATTTGATCTCGAAAATCCCATTAAGGAATTGCTTAATATATATATTTCCGTAAATGGGAAATGCGTAGAGAAAATACGAATTTCAAAATATTGAATGTAGCCTTAAGATCTTACTACAGGAGATTCAATCCATACTATATTATATAGGTATCTTTCATATTTAATGTTCTAACAATAATGATATAATAAGAATGTGCAAAACTATACATAAAGGTTACGAAGAGAGTTCGATGTTATTGAGCTAAAACCTAACCGGGGGCTCGTGACCTGATCTACCGAAAACCCCAGCGTCTATATCTTGATAGACTCCTCGCCAACCCGGCTGCCGCAGATCGCTGATGATTTCCGGAATAAGATGGAGCGCTGAAGACGTTGAATACTTAGGGTCGTTGTGGAATGCGATCGTTCGCATGCCGGTTTTCTTGCTTATAACTTGACCCACGGCAGGGCCCTTGGGACCCCCTACCGCACCGTGTCCGGTGAAAAGGTAGATGTCGCCGGTTTTCGGTATCTTAGGTAGCCCTTGACTTTCACGTACATTGTGAAGGTGTTCTACGGCGTCGGAAATATGCTTGGACCAAGCTTTCTCCGCAGTTAAGGTTTCGGCTCCCAATACTAGCTCGCTAGGCCCGCCACGCGCCATTATGCCAATGCTATCTCCCCGGCCAGCCACACCATCGAAAACATGAAGGCGTTCGTGCTCGATTATTCGCTGTCCTGCAGCTCCGTATCGTGCAATTAAACGCCTTGCTCTACCGGTTCCCTCAACGAATCTTCGGAAAACTGCCCTCCCCCCTCCTCGGAGAGCTTTTATGCCGAATCCAATAGCTCTTCCTGCGATTTCCCCACCAAGGCCACTTACTCCACCCCATGCAGCATCGGTCAGCATGCTCTCCAAAGTAGGGGTTTTCCCACTATAGGCGTCAAAGAGAGCACCAACAATCATATCTGAGGCTGCAGAGGCTAGGACGCTTGCGCCTATCATTACAGCAAGCCCTGCGCCGCACGTAGCAATCCCCACTGTTATTCCCACAGCTGTTCCAACTATCGCCATAGCCCATTCTCTACCATTGAGCCCGAGGAAACTAAAGTGACCTGTAGGATCCATCCGATTAATTGGGTCATTGAGACAGTAAGCATAAGAATTTAACCCGCCCTTTCCGAAAGGACTCATGCTATCTGGCGAGCGGAATCTTCCAAAGGTAGGGTTGTACGCCCTATACCCCCCAAGTAGGTAGTCTCGGGTAAGAGGGTCATATCGTTCTCCATTAAATCCGATCAAGAAATCGTCGATAGTGTCGGGAGATTGAGCACCGAAAGGAGTATATACTCGATCCTTTTTCTCTTTGGTGTTGGTATCAAATGTTGTGAGCACGGAATTTGCCATATCTGTTCCCACCAGCTTGTAGCTGACTTTATCGCCTTCTCTGACTTCGCAACCAAGACACTGGTTGCCAAACATGAGATACCTGGTCTGGGTTTTCTCGGTGCTCTCTCCGATCAAACTATTCCCCTGGTGGTAGAGGTGTTTCCGCTCTCCTTTTTCGGTCTGACTTTGGAATTCGCCGCCATTGTATCCGTAACTGGATTTTTCACCGCCAACTTCAGTTCCAATCTGACGCCCTGATGCGTCATATTCAAAGTTTTTGCCCTCTTCGGCTTTGATCTGATGCCCTGCCTGATCGTATGTAAAGTCTACTGTTCGCTCGGGGTTCGAATATTTGATTCTGGTTAGTTGAACCGAGTCATCCGATTTAGCATATTCGTATGTAGCGGTATCTGTTGTGCTGTCCTTAAACTTTGAAACTATGGTATTGATGTTATCTAGGTAGTCATATGTATAGTCTTGTCTCTGAAGGGGGCGCTTTTGATCGTCCTTTGGTGCCTGGTTGCCCGTGCATGTATACTGAATCAACCGGTTTCGTTTATCGTATTTATATTGTTCTATTCGTAATGCCTCGCTGCCATTGGTCAATTTACGCTGGGTGATCTGGTCGCCTGCGTTATAACTTTGATTCAACAGCCAAACCGAGGTACCATTCCAAGATAGTTCACGAGTGGTGGGACGACCAAAGTCATCGTACCCAATAGTCGTCTTCAAGTTAGAGCCTGAGCCTTCTTCGGTGGTGCTAATAGAAGAGGTCCGATTGTGGCTGTCATAGGTCAGGTCGACCCGGAATGGCGAGTTTTGAAATTGTTGGAGACGGCCATCGGAATCGTATTTATGGGTTTGGGTATGACCGAAAAAGTCTTTAGAGTCCTGCGGCACACCACCCATCGAATACTCATGAAGGGAGGTTTTGGCTTCGGAACTACCATCAAAGGAGATTGAATCATGTTTCAATAACCCAGATGCGGTGTACTCAAACTTTCTGCTGGACGAGCCCTCTGTTGATTCGATCAATCTCCCTGTTTTAGGGTCGTATGCATGTTTCTGGATGATTCCGCCCGTTCGGGTTTCGCTTATGGCATCTCCGAGCTCTGGTATAGTCTCAACGTTGACAATGTCATTTCGTGGAGTAGTAAACGTTGATGCTATAGAGGAGGTAGAAGATGAATATTGAAACTTCGTCTCTTTACCTCCATTTGTGGTGCTGGTTACACGCTCATAACTGTCGAACATCTGAGTACCAAGAATGCAGCTGGAACCATCCGTGCCCAAAGCTTTGAGTTGGGTTACGAGAGCGCCAGAGCTGAAATCTGCATAAGTATTCCGTGTCCTCGTTCCGTCTGGCAAAGTTGTCTCGATAACACGATCCCAGTCATCGTATTCCAAAGAGGTGGTTTCAGCGAGGGCATTGCTCTGGGAAACCAGGCGACCGAGCCCGTCGTATACGAAATTCTGCTTACCCTCCAGCTGGCCATTGGAGTAGTATCTTTCCGTCGATGTGATATCCCCGAATCCGTCATAGTAAGATGTCACGTATCCCTCACCATTCGAGTTGGTACGCTTTTGGGCGATCGGATCATATGTGGAAGTTATGGTAGGCCCTGAAGTTGCTTTCACTTTGGAGACTTGTCCCCAGTCGTCATATTCTAGAGACTTGACTATTTCCTGTGAAGTCGGCTCGGCAGTTCCGTTTCTGAACCAGTCGCACGAGGTTGTGGACAGAGGTTGCCCCTGTTCGTTGTAGGAAGCTTTCTGGATTATGCGGTAGACCGCTTCGTCGCTTGACAGGTTACCGTCAACATCCTGGGCTTCAACTTGACAAGTACGCCCGAGTCCATCTAATGTAACTCTTCGCCCACAACCAGAAGGATCGATCGTAATCGTTTGGTACTTTTGATCGGAGCCAGCGTAGGGGAAATAGTATTCATGGCTTTTGGATTTCTCGTATTTCGTTCCCAAAGCTGTAGTTTCTCGTAGCAATTGCTTAACCTTGTCATACTCGTAACTTACAGTAATTCCAGCAATATCCTTTTGAGAAAGTAAAAGACCGGAGACAAGAGACGCTGTAGATGAGCTACTTGTCTTTTGGCCGTCGATGCTCTCAGTCTCTGCGGTTTGCGTCAGGTGGTCTTCCGTGTAATCGAAAGACCATTGCTGTGTGGTGGAATGTTTACCTCCGAGTGTGGTCACACGTTTTATGAGACGACCAATGTTGCGAGACGCGTGGTCATTGTTATAAACGCACTGCGTATTAGATATAATCTTATCGTCTCGAAGAACATCGATGCTCTTGAGGGCAACAACGCTGGAAACCGGGAAACCTGTTTCCGAGCTTGTTGGTAGAGATTGATAAGTGTGGTGAAAGCTTCGCACCGGACAAACGTGACTGCTCAATGCGGGAGTGAGCGTTTCTGTCTTTACATAGCGCCTGAAGCCATGGGGGTCCGCAGGACAGTTGTCGTCTCCCGACTCAGAGTAATAGGTGCGGTCAGTTCTAACGCCAGTCGGCAGAACCTCTTTAACTTGATTTCCCCAATCATCAAACTCATACTCGGTGATCTCCGTTCGGGAACGCTTTTCCTCAGTATTCTCATACGTAATTCTCATCGTCTTTGGTAGCTGATAGTGCGCGGGCTGTGCGCTAAATTCCTTGAATACATCGGCATGATACTCTGTGACTTGCGTCGTTTTACTATAACTTTTTTTCCGCACCGTTTTGGTTACGAGGTGGTACTTGTTATAGGTAGATGTGGTAGTCTGTCCGTTATTATCCGAGACCGTGCTGGTATACTCATAGTTACTGCGTGATCGATAGAGGTTGTCTTCGCCATGGTTCCAGTGTGAGGGTCCATCATATCCGAGGAAATTGTAATTCGAATAACTGTAGTATGTTTTGATAGGTGGCTGCTGGTTCCCAGGCCGCACTGTATGCGAAATAGCGTAGGGAATATAGTGAAAGGGAGCACCGTCCGGTAGCCTGTGACCGTCTTGCTGATATTTAATATCCTCGACCAGGCCAGTGGGGCTCCTTACACTTCCCATACAGAGAAAACCATGATGAGTTTCGTATTCAAAATTCCAGGAAGGCGCATTATCAAGTGGTAACTGAACAGCGATCAGATGAGAATCGCGCAGTTTGAAGGTAAGAGTTGATTCTTCAGAGCTTCCAGGTGCGTGGACAACTTTCGTGGTTGCATCGTTATAGTCTACCCTCATAAGCTCATATTTGCCGTCGCTGATCTTAGTGAGCTTGGGGATATCACCAGAGCGTACCCAAGTCAGGTGCAATACCCGACCACTAGCGGTATAGAGCCGAATGGGGACAGAAACTTTATAGTTATTATTCCTGTTTGAGAGAATCTCGATGTCGCCGGATTTGTGCACTATTTTATAGTTGCCATCTTCCATTTTTTCCATCAAGAAACTTTTGAGCTTCTTATCTTTGACGGAAAGCCCATTCGAGGTTTCCGTGACTTGGTAATGCTCCCCTGTGGAGAGGGAAATTTGTTTTGACTGACGATGCTGATAGGTAGAGAGGTTGAAGGACCAGCCTTTACCGAATCCGACATCTTCAGAACCCAATGGACTGAAGTTGAGACGTAAAACAAGAGGGGGGCAGTTCAAAGCTTTTGAAGGGGTGTCGAAGACATCGACCGAGCAAGTGTATTGGCCGGTTCGAGGATCAACTCCCTTTTGGATAAAGCTACTAAAGCTAAAGCCATGAGAGTATATCTTTGTGCCGCCAGACGCCATAGTTTTCGACTACAAAAGTTGTAGTGAGAGTTCAGGAGAATGATAAAAAGATGTCTAATCAACACCGAAAAGTGGATCGATCAGTTCTCTAGGTATATAATATTTATATGACTTGATGTTTGAATTGAGCGGGTAGTAATTAACAATATAAAATATCTAACCATCAGCTTCACTTATACCCGATTTATATATCATAAAGTTTTGAAAGTGCCCGTCGAGGAGTGTGGGCGACTTCTCTGACAATCCTAATGTTGAATTCAAACCTCGGACCAGAATTCTTCCGAGTCTTCAGAAGCTGAACAAAGTTGAAATCTCAGTAAGCCAATATTTCGAATTCGAGCGCTAAATGCGGAGCTGTCGGAATATCTGTGCGCGCATTGAAGCCACAGACTCCATAATTGTCGCAATTCGGAGGGTGATTCTGTTATCGTATTTGCATTGCACAATCCAGCTGAAACCTAGGCTGATAGTGAATTGCCGCATTTAACGGCATACGTATACGGTTCGCTTTCAAATTTTCCAGAGACGATGTCGCGATATCAACTTAATTCGGACTTCTCCCGAGGATCCTAGGAAAATCTCTGAATTCTGAGAACGAGACGTCGTGATATTGTCACAAGATGCAACAACCTATATGTGTTGGAAGTTAAGAGGCTTCCTTAATGCATATGCCGTTTTTTCAGCCCCGAGTGCGGTCGCATAGGGCTAAAACTAGTCAAACGGTACATTTCCAAGCGGCCGTATGCAACTGTGGGTCCGTCGTTCCAAAACCTGATTCATTAGGACATTTAACTGGTCCGCACTTCGGAATAGTTTCGTTTTCGTATACTTCTTGACCCACATGTGCACGTATGCATTTGGGCTGCTAACTCGTTAACTCATAAACACTGAATTCAACCGTGTCGCCCCGCATAAACTTTAAGCCTTTATACCAAGCCACATTATATCTATTAGACCCGATTAAGTGAAAATTAGGAGGCCAGCCTAAAAAAAGGCTTAAATTTGTCTCAGGCGGCCCTGGACGAGCTGAACTGTCGAGTCAAGAAGTTGTGGATAATTGTGCGCGAATTATTCGAGCCGTCTAGATCCTGCGCTGTCCTAGCCAACATCATGCATCATATATCGTCGGCGCACCTCGAGCGCGCCCGGCCGTCGCGGTCGGCCAAAACATAAATGTGATTGGCTGCGAAGGTACCTTATCATGCAAAAATGGTGCTCTATCCATCCAGCTGAAGCAGGGGGTCCTGGGGAGGTGTGTGGATTCATGACATGAAAACCAATCACGAATTCGAATATTCAAACCGCCACCAAGTTACATTACAATTTGACCAATTAGTGAAGCGTAACTAAATGAGACTACGCGATGCATATGCATTGCATCAGCTATGGCCGACCGGCGACGGCAACGTCGAAGCCGCAGACCATTCGACTAGCTAGCCGCGGCATACAGGTTCACAGCTCAACTTGTCAATCAGTAATATTGTTTCATCGGAACTGTCGACAATCAATAACTATAGTTATCTAAATCGAACTTTACGTGCTCAATCTCTAGAGATAGAATTATATAAAGGTAGGCCGCTGAGCCCATGAGAACCAAATACACACCACTACACAAGACCAGGATTCCCAGTACCAACCAATTCAATCATCTATATATCTATCAATCTAGTTTTTGATACAATCAAAATCTTTTGACCAAAAAGTCACTGATATATTCAAACTACCTCTTCAAATTTATCACTACCTCCTCTTTAACAATATTTTACAATGACTTGGTCCGTTACCAAACTTAGTGTCAAAGCGAACACGTCCGATGGTGTCGCTGACAGGCTCTACGCAAACGGGAACATGCAAGTTCCCGTCGATGTAGTTATCACGGCTGTAAACGCTGATGAGAAGCCATACTACCTTTCTGATTCGGAACTAGCTACCATTAAGCTTGTCGACTATAACAATGTCGATTCCCAGCTATCCGGAAAATGGAAGTACACCCACCAGGAAAACGAGTATGGTCATATCATGGACGGGGCCGGTGGATTTGCGAGCAGCGGCGGCGGATCGGGAGCGAGTACACATGCCTCCGGCCATTCAAGCGTCCAGACCAAGCGTTACTGGGTCAGCACGACTACCATCGAAAATCAAAAGATCGGTGCCGCCATCACAGAGCCCAACGGCAACTACTACAACACCCACAGCAAAGACGAAAATAACTTTGTTATATTGACGGGAATCTCCCCAATTACCTATAACACTAGCAATGTCAAAGTTACTCGCGACGAAAACGACACTACCACCGGGATGTATAACCTCAGTTACGATATGCAAGTCATGCATGTCAAACTGAGTCCCACAGTGGGCACAAGCTGGAAGGCCCAAAATTACCAACTTTCTCTCAATCAGGGTTTGATCAAAAAGGCCGAAATATACGGCTACCACTCTAGTGCGGATGCTTTGAACTACTCTATCAAATTAAGCCCTTCAAGTGCTGGGGAGTTAAGCATCTTCTATATGTGGCCCTTAGGTTCTGAGGAAAATAGAAAGGTCGGCTTGGATGTCAGCAAAAACGTATCGCCTCAAATTCCCCGGTTCAACCTAAACGGTACTGTTACTGTTCCGACGAACAATCGCCGTGGATCGGTATGCTTTACACGAGTCCATTATTCACCCATCAATGGGTTTCCGGCACCATTTTCATGGTGGGGCAGTGAGACTACTGAGAAAGCGGGCTGTAAAATTTATGATGAATGGGGTAATTGGGGTCAGTTCAAGATTGGTTACGGGGGAAGCTCGAACGACCAGCATGTGATCGTTACCGACACCAACGCATAATGCCGTAGAGTTGGCAGCATTGATAGTAGTTCAAAGATGGATGTTTTACGGGTTGAGAATGTGAATGGCAGATAGCGTCCCAAGCGGGGTTTTCTTTCTTTCTTTCACGTTTTCTGATTCTAATGATATTTTTCTTCTTACATGTTACATTGTTATACAGTCAATTAATCATGCTACAGGCATATGCGCATCCTTGACAAGTTCAGGAAACTGACAATCAAATTACCTTGTATCCCCCAAATAGTTTACCAGTTATATGTATATTGATATATACTCCTATCTAGTTCATTATTTAAAAACCCCTAGCCAGCCGAGACGTGCTTCAGGAGTATCATGCGTATAGACGATAAATAATACATATTCCACTGCTGCAGATTTTCTATGGTTCAAGAAATGGGCTGCAGGACTCCAAACCTAAGACGTCACGAGGAGACTGTTATGGGGAAGATTCAGTAAGGTACCGCACAACGCACTCGAACGCAGAATTTTACTTGCATAAATACTCGAAAAATATAGAATAATGTTTTTATTTACCTAACATTATAAGAGCTGTTTAGTCTTATCGTTGGGGCCTCAGACGTCTTAACTAAGTATGACGCGGCGAAAAGAATAAGGGTTTAACATCCGTAGACTTATAAGTAAATACGTAATATATACGTATTAGGCTGGCAGCTAAAGAACACATACTCATGGTCCTGCGGCTGTCTTATATATATGAGTTAGTTCAAAAAGATATCGCGCATCTAGGGGCCTAAAAGTAGAAATTCAGTTTTCACGTGCAGTAAGTACCGATCCTGGTCTTTAACTTGCAGAGCTAGCGCTGGCTGTGGTTGGTTTAGTGGGGGTCAAGATAGTGTTGTTTTTGTTGTATTCTTTAGAGCCACTTGCTTCACTAAACGACCTGTTACGCCGCGATATAATAGATTAGATTTAACGGTAATAATATTGAATAAAACTATAACTATAAGAATATAGTGAATAGTGTGCTCTTATAAAAAGGTTACCATTCCAGGGTAGACCCGGCGAAAATGGTACTCATACATTCATAGATATATATACACAAGAGGAAATATTCGAAATATCCGAGTTGAGGGCGCGCGGGGCACCTAAAACTGTCCGGGCTAAGCTAGTTAGCTTCGGTTATCAGGGGATACATGGCCATGGGGGCTCCACAATTCCCGTATCAGCTCTCCAGTGCATTGTTGCAACATTGATAAGTTCTTATGTAAGAGTAACTACCAAAGTATATGCTTTTTAACATGTCGTAGGGCGTAAGGTAGCCATGTAGCATTAATCAATGCCGACGTGCATTGCCGTTCTTCTTCTCCGTCGGGATATCTTCTAGGCGGAATAATGTAATATTGTGACATACGTTATGTTGAGGGGCTTCATGAGCAGTTTATATACTTGACCATTTGCTTCGCGGGGAGCTTGAACACCTTCTCATTTGCTCTTATACCTATAGACTAAGGGATCTTTGATATACCCATTATAATTAAACGCGCGAAAAAGTTAAATAAATCTCAAGAATAAACCTGTTAACCGCAAAGATGCAGACCACCTGGGCGACTGAAACTCGAAGCCGCTTCCCGGCGGTTGTAGGGACCGGCCAGGCTTATATGGATAATGCGGGTGGAAGTCAAGTCTTGGACGTTGTAATTGACTCGTAGGTTTAACTTACAGCCTCTGTCCACATTTAATATCGGTATCTTCGCGAACAATTGAATAGCTAACGTTGGCCTCCGGATAGTATAAAAGATTATTTGTCCAGTACGAATGTCCAGCTCGGAGCTTCGTACGTTGTCGGCAATAAATCGAACCAACTCTTTGCTACTGGTCTTCTCGCTTCCGCCAAATTTATAAACGCAGACCCCGGAGAAGTTGGTGAGTGATAGTTGAATTACAGCTCTTTCTAGGATTCACAAAGTTGTGCTGATATCAAGCTTCATGAATTCTTTTGATCAAATACAGTCCTCGGAAGTGCTTCCACCCAACTTCTCCACAACCTTTCCTCCGCCTTAAAATTCCCAGCGGGCAGCGAAATTATTGTTTCAGCCACCGATCATGAGACCAACATCGCGCCCTGGCTCCGTCTCGCGGAAAACCAAGGCCACACCATTAAATTCTGGAATCCAAGCCCAGCCCACGAATGGACGCTCCAGCTCTCCGATCTCGAGCCCCTCCTCTCTCCAAAGACCGTTTTAGTAGCATTCACAAATTGCTCTAATATCACAGGAACAATCCATGATGTCAAGAGTTATACTAAGTTTATTAGGGAGAAATACCCGGATATACTTGTGGCCATAGATGGTGTTGCGTTTACCCCGCATCGTCCAATCGATGTTAAGGCTCTGGGAGTGGACTTTTTCGTGTTCAGTTGGTATAAAGTCTACGGTCCGCATATTTCGCTTTTATATGCTGCCCCGAGGACACAAAAGTTTATTACTCCGCTGTCGCATTTTTTTAATCCGAAAGATACTTTGTTCGATAAGTTGAATTTAGCTGGAGGGAATTACGAGCTGACGGCTTCATTGCCCCACCTCGTCGAATTTTTAACGCCTCATACATGGGAAGAGATCAAAAGGCAGGAGGAAGTACTTTCGAAGACCTTCATTGATTGGGTTCTCAGCCGGCCCGATACGACACTTTATGGAACCAAGGAAACAAGCAGCGAGAAGAGGGTTCCTGTACTGAGTTTCTCGGTAAAAGGATGGGGAAGTAAGGATCTTGTCGAAGCAGTAGAGAAAGAGGATTCGAGATATGGTATTCGGTGGGGACACTTCTATGCGAAGAGATTGATAGACTCGTTTGGATTGGAGAAGCCAGATGAGGGGATTGTGAGGGTTAGTTTGCTGTTTTATAATACCGTTGAAGAGGTGGAAGGGTTGATTAAGGTCTTTGAGAAGATTTTGGGCAGCAAGTAAGGCGGTATTTCATTCTATTCAAATTTATGTCCTCTAGACGTATACCGATCGAAATGCTCGATATAATAAAGGTGCGAGAGTCGATTCGAGCCGTTAGTTAAATCCGAATTCAGAATGACCAGGCCACGACGGCACATGTTTAATAGCTAGTATTTAATCCACCATCAAAAAGGTCTTTTGGATATTATAGCATCCTCTTAAATTAACGTTTTTGCCCTTGCCTTACCACTTATCCATTCATTTCGTTAAATTACCCCGGTCGGGTGTCGTGTCCGCTTCCTGACGTTCTGAGATTCTGATATTGAACGGTGGATGCATTGTAGGCGAGTCGACAACAGCCCCGGCTTCAAAGTAATATCGATAACACCCTGGATATACATGTTTTATATCAGATATTACCTATATTAAGCCCGGTCCGCCATGGCCTTGTATTATCAACCAGGCAGTGTCGCCTGGGCCCTAGAAGGCAGTGAATTCCCAAGGCCGGCTTATCTCCGCAGCTGCGTTGGCTATGACCCGGAAGATCCGAAACCCGTTAGACTAACAGGGTTTAATTCCGTTTGGTCATCAACAGGCTGGGCCCGAGGGGCCCGGAATTCGAAGCTAAGACGAGGCAGGGTCCAGTCACTGGACTTTGTCACACCGACGTCATACCATGCTTTGGTAACTGCGCCCGGCGTGTACGCGTAAAAAGGTACGCCATAGTACTCTTCGGGGCAGCATTTCGGATCTGGGGATAATCGGATGTCAAGATATCCGTTTCTAGCGCCAATAGCGTCAATGGGAGTGTCGTATGATAAAATGGTGCTGTCAGAGTTTTGCAGTGATGTGATGATTTAAATACAACCTACCCGGTGCCTGTGGGCCGTTATACAGGAACAGGCATATACATTACCCAACTATTCTCGATATTAAATTGCATTAAGTTAATATAGATTTTAGGCCTCGAAAGGCATTTCTTCCAATTCTCAATTATCCACTAAAACTAAAAACACTCTTATACATGCCATTCATTCGACGCATTCATTAGATCCTGGTTCTGGGGAATTTAATCTTGTTGCAAACACACATTAATATTTTTAATTCGGTTGGTTCCGGCGACGAAACTCTACAATTATAAACGGAAACGAAGAAGGAAAGAAAACTACAAAAAGATAGAAAGTCGGCCAATTCGAAACTTCCCATAAAACGGTCCTTCTGTTCTATTTCTACGACTTGAAAACGATTACGACTGCTCGGTCCCTAGAATTCATATAGGATCGCACAGTACCCCTGGAAAAATTGAACCCGGACGTCAATTAATTGTTCGATATCGATTATATTGAACATCCAAAAATCATAATGGCGATTACGTCGGAGGCAACAAGTGTGGCTCGAAGATATGTATCCTGGTACTGGTTTCCCACAATAGGGTCCATTGTATGGATCGGTAAGTTAGATATAAAACCCTTTATATAATTAATGAAAAAGAGTCAGTTTTATTAATAATCAAACATGAAATCCAGGTACCCTCCTAGGACTTCTAGTCACGTGGATAGCTGAAGGAAGTCCATACTACGAATCCATGGGCCCCTCTGGTCAAACAATTGCCTACATATCTGACATTGGCGCCGACTTTCTCAAACCCCTGTTCATCACTGGCAGCTCCATAACATCCGTTTGCTTTGTTCTATCGCTCTTCGGTGCTAGATGGTTACGCCACCGCGGCAGGCTTCTGCCGAATACATCGATGACCCAGAGAGTGCTTAGCATAGGCTCTATCATTGGAGCGGTCATCGGAAGTATTGGACTTATCCTGTTGGCAGTGTTTGATACCAAGAGGTATACTACGCTTCATAGGGTGTTTTTGGCGGTGTTTTGTATAGGGGTTTTGATTAGTGCTTTGGGTACTGTTTGTAAGTTTTTCCCCTCGATCTCATCGAAGAGGTACTCTTTTATGATTCAGGGGGGCTAGTTGCTAACGAAATATGAACCGAAAATAGTGGAATACTGGCGACTAGAGCGAAACCATAGAACATCCCGTGCTCTTACAATAAGCATGTGGACAAAATTCGCCTTCTTTATCGTTGAACTCGGTTTGGCAGTTACCTTTGGAGTCCTCATGCGCCATAGGAAACATAACGCCGGTGCGATCGTCGAATGGGGTATGTCACTAATATTTTCCAAAGATGACTAACTTTATGTATTAAATGATTCGCTAATGTTCAACGTAATATAGTCCTTGGAATCCTATTCACAGGCTACCTCCTTTCCTTTAATTTGGATCTCCTGCCCGCAACGAAATCTTACCCTGGCCAATTTAAGGATATGGAACTTACCCCTCCTGCTACACCCTACACTTAGGTATTTCATTTATGGTCGATAGCCTCTAGAAGTGATAATAGACACTTCTCGTTTGAGTTAATGACTCGTTTGCTTTTAAACCCGCATTGCGCATCGGCGTTTCTTCCATCATTTTGAGCTTTCTATACATTGAAGCATATCCTTACTGTTGAACACTTATACATACCTTACAGCCTTCTATTTGTTGAATGTAAATAAATTTCTTTTAGATATTGTATTTAGCGATGTAGCCGCCCATACGCCTACTCATGTAATAACAGAGCAATTTTGACGTTGATACAGTCGTACCATTCTCTATTTTCAAAATGTAATAAATGAAACACACCAGGATGAACGAACTATCCTCCAATTCTTCTCATGCTAGTAGTTTACTTCACAAAAATAATACATCAATCTGTCAATACAACCATAATATGCTTACAACCAATGCGTTAAAACTCCTATGGAATGCTTTACTTGATCTTCAAACAAAGTCTTAAAACCCCACCTGGTGCTACCATATCATGGAGACAGTCCACGAATGTAGATAAAAGCTGTAATCTTTTTATACCCTACTACAACGCCATAGTCACCGTCATGGAATTGCTGTGGATCAACAAAACCGGCGGTAAATTCTCACAAAGCACCTGTTTCCCGATTAAAACCCATTGTCAGCTAAAAAAAAGTAGAAAAAAAAGAGCACACAAGAGGGGGAGGGGGGCTAAACTCACGTCTAATCCAGAAATATACTCCACACACGCCTCCTCACTCTTATAAGTCCCCTCTAGCGGACTAGGTAAAGTCGTAAACACAACTGCTGTATCGTCGCTAAACTTCCTCACCAATTCGTTCAATATCAAATACTGCGCCAAACTCGGTAGGTCGTTGAAACTGAGTGATACATCCTGGCCAGCGGGATATCCGCTCGCCCGTTTATGGCTGGGAGGCTCTTGGTCTGCAAACATGATCGTTGGTCCGCTGTCTTCGTGCTCATTGACTTGGGCGTGTGGAATCTTTTGGGAACTGAAGGCGGATGAACTCATGGTACGCTGTGTTAGACCCGGGCGTTTCGATGGCGCGATTGCAGATGCGGGTGTAAGTCTATCGATAGCAGTGGTAGAAGCAGAGCTTGGGCCAGCTGCTAAGGAGGAAGAAGAAGTATCTGGAGGATCAATGGATGGCCGTAATGATGTCCGATCTGGTGTTCGAGCTCCTGATGGACCCGCTCTAGACGGTACCGGCGGCAGTCCTTCCAATTTTCGACCAGTAGATTTTCTCTTTGCATCAAACCGAGCAATTTCTTGGGCACTAAGAAGCACACCGCCGCCAATACTAACTCTCCGCGACACAGGATCCGATCGTTCAAATTTGTTCGGCCGTCTTCCTGATATCCGCCTTCGACTTTCTGGTCCCTCCTCTTCATCTTCATCGTCATAGTCTTCTACGTCGTTCATGCTAACTGCAGACTCGGTGCTAGACGAGCTGTCGGACTCAGAATCCGAAGAATCGCTCTCAGACTCTGTTTCGGAAAGTACGTGGGGCTGTAATGAATGAGTCGTCATATTCATCGTCCCCAAAGAAACGTCCAAGCCCTGCAACCTCGTCACTGATCGGGACCTACCCCTTCTTTTACCCTTAACAAACTTCTTGACGCCATCTAGGAATCTCTGACTCTTAGTACCGGGCACTGCAGTTCCTTGCTGCATAAAGGTTCCAGCTGGCCATTGCTCAGACCTCAACAAATCTGCAACCTGCGAATTCAGCGCCTCTTCGCTCTGAAGGTGCTCGGCCTCTCTTCTTCGACGTTGAAGTTCAATCCACCATTCCTGGCCTCCAATCACCTCTTCCACTTGTTCATTCTTCTCTCGTTTTCCATTCACAATGGTTTCGTAGGTTTTTAAATCACCCTTCGCCAGCCAGCAGACCACAACCTCTGCTTTAATCCGTAGGTTGTCCAACAGCGATTTAACACGTCCCGCTTCCTCCTCCACGTCACTTTCGTACTCCACAAAAACGATAACTCGGATTGTGTAAACTTTCTTCCAGGCCGGAACAGTATGCAATATACACCCAAGCTGTAATATCAATGTATAAGTATCGAAATTCGACGCACTTGTCGTCCCTCCCTCGCTAGGGATCTGCGCGGACATTTGAATCGGCCATAGGTCGATATACTTCTTCTTAGGTTTCTCTCCAGCTTTGGGGATCTGTAAGTGCTTGAATCCTTTAGCGAGGGCAACATTGATTTGGAGGGACATGAGCATGTCCTCGAGCATGTTGACCCAAGAGGTTACAGAAATAGCTTGCTCGATCCTGCAGGTATCAGTCGGGAGCTGCCCACGGGTTTCGTTCGTGTCGTCAACATCGTCTTTTGTGGCGGCATCTGGAACTGGAAGGTCAATCAAAGGCCGTCGCTTCTGGTACTCGTCCAGATTGTACATCCCCATAATGGCGATGTTGGGCCTCATGCCCCCGAGACCGGCGCCCTGGATAATTTCAAAATTAGCACCAAAGAAAAAATCGAAAAAACACGGACAGAAGAGCTTACCAAAACAATATTGCGCATACCCCACTCAATCGTGGGACTAATCGCAATTTGTACGAAAGCCTTGCACTTCCCGAAATCGATGTATTTCATCCACGCTTGTTGTTGCTTCTTCGCTTCAGGGAATGACTCTCTAAAATCCGGCGTGACAATTACATGGGCCAGAATATAAAGTCCTCCCTTTTTCAGTGCTATGCAACTAATTAGCCTAGATATTTTTGAAACGTAATTATCTCTCTAACACTTACAGTTGCAGAACTGGATTAGTTTGTACGACCGTCTCGGATCATTCACAAATAGCAACAATTGCGGTCTCCAAAACTTGATATGATTCTCTTGTTTAAGCCGCAACAAGTATTTCCGTACTTGGTGGTAAATCAAACTTTGACTCACATCCCCCCATGCTTTTGGCGGTGATGTATAATGAATCAACAAGAATAGGAATAGCAGCAGCAGAACACAAACACTCGCATATACCCCATCGACGAAGAACATTGTAATACCGCTAATAACGGTCCCTATAGCTGCAGTCCACCATCGGAAGTAATTGAAACTCGGTCGAAAGTTCGGAGCCGCGCTGACCTTCAAAAGGAAACAAGCGAGATTGATGGCTAAAAAGGTGAGGAGGTATGTCATTGTAACGAATGAAGCGATTTGGTTGATATTCGCAAGAAGTGTGAGTTGCGCTACAAGGAATGTGAAAATGATAGCGACAATCGGTTCATCGGTAGATGCGGTGCCTTGGGCGAAAAACCCAAAGCCTGGGATAAGGTTGTCCCTGGCAAGTGCTTGCAGGAGTTTTGCACTTCCGACGACGCCTAACAAAGCGGAGAAGAAGGATGTGGCAAATTCTCCTGCAAAGATGAGAACGGCGGAAGCGTTCACGTCTTGGATGATGTTGAGGTTTGTGTATAATGCTGTGCGTTTAATGCTGGCTCCCATTGAGAAGACGACGAATGTGTAAGTAATGAATGTAAGCAAGAGGCCATGGAGTGTGCCCTTAGGAATCGACTTGTTGGGTTTACGAAGGTCACCACTCATCGAAGCGCCCCTGAAGATGAGACTTTTAATAGGCTGCTATTATTAATCGACGACAAGAAGTACGTACGCAAAAATTCCTCCGGTCGCAGGAAATAGGATGCCAAAAAGGCTCTGAAAATTCTCCTTCTGGTGTGACTCGCTGCCGGCTGCCCCCCTAGTAAATTGCGGCAGCAAATTTTCCCTGAAGGTATCCCACGAAAGCCCAGTGTATGACAGTCCATGATCACCGTACATTGGCTTCATGAACAGAGTCGAGATTGGAATCGAGTAGGTTGCGGCAAGAAGAATAACCAACAGAAGATTCGATGCTTTGGCAAAGATGCTCGATCCAAGGAGGCAGATTGTGGTGCAAAGAATAAGAATCCCTAGAGTCGTAGTTAGAATAGGATACTTCAAATGACAAATTGGCCTGGAAACATGCCTGTAGCGTAGAGATATCTCCAGCCCTTCAACCTACGTTAGCTCATTCTTTCCATCGATATGCTTCAAAAACGGGACGTCTCACAAATGAGTCTGGTAGAGCCCCTGTTCCATCCTCGGCCCGAATACCATAGTTGTTCATAATACAGTCCACCAGACCAACAGCATTCATGCCTGTATTTAGCACGTATCCTAGGTAGAATACAATACCAATACTACCACCAAATTCCGGTCCAAGACTTCGAGATATCAGATAATATGCGCCACCGCCTCGAACAGTGCCATTCGTCGAAATCGCAGAGATCGATAAAGTCGTAACGAGATTGATAAGGTAGCTAGCACCCAACATTCCTATCCCAGACTTCTATGTCAGTCCTCCAATTCAAATCCCATAACTCCATAGGCCTAGGAAGATTATCCACCATACCCATCATTCCCAGCACGCCACTTTGCCCAAGAATAAACCCAAACCTCAAGAACATAAGAATAGAAAGCACATTCAACGTCGTCGGCACAAACACTCCATTGAATGTCCCAAGTTTATTCGACTTCGTCTTCGATTTCGCCCTCGTCTCTTCAGCATTCGTGATACTTTTGGTCATTCTCGGCAGATGACTCGTAGCATCTCCACTTTTCCTACGTCCTGAAAACCATCCTGAGAAATAAGTATTCTGTTGGTCGCGATCGGACGGTACCGAACCACGACGGGTGAGAACTTCGGTAGCATCTCCGAGAAGTTGGGAGACATAGCGGCCGGCGGCTGCCATAATCGATAATCGGGTGAGCTTTTAGATACCGTCTGAGAGAAACAAGCTTGGAACGTGAAAGGTTATTGAAGTCCAAGGCTCATTGTCGACCGCTCAGCGCAGCGATATCGAATATTAGCCGCCCGATCGGTACCCAACAACGTCATAGATGGAAAGGTTTAACGGAAGCTTTGGTGTTCCCCGAATACATTTATAAACCAAGCGCGCGACAACACGCGTGGACGCAGAATGTACGTAATACGAACTCTTGTGCAAAAAGTCCATCTCATGTGATTATACGTATGGACCGAGAAGTTAACTACGACACTGGAATGAGAAAGGAAACGAATAATCCATGCACATATTATATTGAAACTAAGTACTTAGACGATTGGATCCCTCGTACTGGGGCCTGGTGTCGTCATTTATGCAATGGCCTGTGCGACTGACGAAATACAGCTTCTGATTGGCTGGACAAAATCCAACAGGAAACACATTTCCCATTACACAAATGGGTCTTGGTATTGTCCTCAGTAGGGGGATTTCGACAGAGGTTACGAGCATTTTGCAATTAAAGGATACAGGAGAACTGATAACAACAGCTAGAGAAAGTTAGGGAATTAATAAGTGAAGGGTGGATAGAAGGGGTGTAATAGAATAAAAGAAAAGAGTAAGTAGAACAAAACTAGTAATAACGAAGTTATGGCGTATTCTAGACATACATTCAATTGGTACGTCTCGGAATATGCCAAAGGTCAGGGATGCTATAAACCATCCCAAAGACGCCGTGTCTTGAGGCTGCTAGGTTAATTATCAATACCATCCTCTTATGGCTGTTCCTCACCATCTTTTTCCAACGCTTTTTTTTTATATTTTCTTTTATTGCTTTTTGTTATGATTTTTTAATTGATTTTTTGGTTGATTTTTTATATTTATTTTTTTATGATTTTTTGATTTTTTGATTTTTTTTTGATTGATTGATGGATTGATTGCTTGCTTCATTCTTTTTTTTTGGGTTTATTTATTTATTTATTTTTTTTATATTTTTTTATATTATTTCCCCGTCGTATTTTATGCAGGTTTGCCTACCCGGGGCCAGATAGGCTAGTTTACAGGACAATTTTCCAGTCCTGTAATCGAACTTCTCTCATTTTTTTTTTTTATTTTTTTATTTTTTCTATTTTTTTCGGTATTTTTAGTTCATATTGTATCTCTCAGTCGAAAGAAACAATACTGTCAATGATATTCCAAGATCAGATACTAGAAAGTTTCCGTCACTTCCAGAAGCCTTTCTGGACCAATCTGGGGGTCTCATTAACCGATTTGTAAGAAGAATTCAGTTGCTGTTGGTTAAGTTGGGCCTGGTCCGGCTGTTCTAAGTATGGGCGGCCATTCCAATCCTGGGCCTGGAGAGGCGGAACACGGGAGGCACTACCTGCACTTAAGCCACCATAATTGTATAAGGCCAAGTTATTCTGAAATCCGGTCTGCATTATATCAACCGGACCCAACAATAGCTCTGTAAAACTCTGTGCTGGTTGGATTAACTCGCCAGCTGTGGCGTACATAGGTAGGTTGGCACCTTGATGGAGAAGTACCTCGGAGCTCAGGCTATCTGCAGCTGGATTGGTGTAAATCGATTCGTAACCATCTGGATAGTAGCGTTGATAATTGTCGGGGGGTGAAGGTGTCCACATGCCCTGGCTCTGGAAGTGGGGGTGGCCATCTTGTTGAATTAAGGTCGAAGCATCCTGTAGTTGTCCGGGTCTTGAACTTTGCGAAGCCATTTGTGATAATCCAAGGGTTTCAGGGGACAAATTTAGAGCAGTGGGTGACGCGTAGCAAGACCAGAGATCAGGGTTCTCCGAAGGCATAGGCGAAGCCGTAGTTTTGTGGTAGGGCGGCAATTGCATCGCCCCCTTCCCGTTGCCATGCGGCGCCGGGCCATTGGGATCAGGTACTAATCCGACATATTGCAGGTTCAAGTCGAGGGTAGCTAAGTCCACGGGCTGGTCTAGCTCATAGCTGGGACATGTGCCATCCGAGGTATCATAGGCTTGCGTCTCTGCCGGTTGGAACGTGGGGGCGTCGTTATGCGTCTGTGCCGTTTGTAGAACCAATCCGAAGTAATCCTCAGCTTCAATAAAGGGCGGATGCATGCCGTGTTTAACAGAGTTCCCAGTTGATTTATTGGCCTGATTCGAGTACTTGTACTTCTTTTGAACACGAGACCGAGACACTTTAGGCGAAATTCCATTGCCTGAATTGCGTTTGCGCTTATACGGGCACGCTTGATATTCGGCTGAGATTTTGAGATTTTCAAGGATTCGAGCCTTCAGTTCGGACATAAGGGGAGGGGGTAATGGGCGCCCATTATTGATACTGGAAATAGTTGCCCTTTCCTCTGGTCCAAAAGCTTCGTCGTTCTCAAGCGCGGGAGGAATACCCATGCCTTGGTCCAAGAATTTTGAATCCATCAGTTCCACGAATCCTGTCATGCCCTTATCCTTAGCAGCCTTTTTCAAAGCCTTATTCGCAGCCTTTTCTGCCTTTACTGCCTTTGCGTTAAATTCTATAGATTTAAAGCTGGATTAGCATCGATTCTCGATGGCAAAAGCCTTAAATTCACTTATACACGGCTAATTTGATGTATATTATCCCTTGAAGCGAGAGAAGGATCGAGAGATAGTATAATTTCAAAATCAACTAACGAGGGAACAAATGGAAGAGCCAGGAATATATATGCTTGGGTTATATAAAGCCTAATATTATTGCGGGATCTTACCTCGAATCAAAAGTATTCTTAATTCCTCTTCGCCGATGCCACGATATTCAACGCCATGGTAAACATTGTAGGCTGTAAGACACTTCCGAAGTTCAAGCTCGCCTTGAGCATAGGGTAGGTCGCGAAACCAAGACGGAACTTGAAGGACCGCGAGATCCTTTTCAGTAAGTTCGAAGACTCTTATGAGCTCCTGAGCTGACTCGAAGGACATTTTCGAAGTTCTACAATTCGGTGCACGCCTACGCGGCACCGCGGCTTTCGATTTTGACTGGTGGTTGGAGGGATTGTCTTGAACCATATTGATGTTTGAGTTTCCGGCGAGCTAATCAAAGACTTTCACTGTTACGTGTGAATTGAATTGTCGATTTGTCGATGATATCTCAGTGCAGTTGATTATTGAAGAATAATAATATATTCTATAATAAATACTTAAGTAGTTACGTACGATCGATAGTTCTTTATTCGAATATTCGTCGGTGACTAGTGACTAAAAGGGAGAGAACAGGAAAAGAGGGGACAGTAGGGACTCGGTTTATATGTCCGGGCAATAAATGAAAAATATAAAAGATCGATTCTTGTAAATTCAAAGATCATCCGGCTATCATTCAGCTAGGTCTTCTCGAAAAATCTTGCCATGCTCCTCACTTAGACACAGTTCAGTCATTAAGTTCCGAAAGTTCGAGATTATAGGAGTCGACTTGGGTCCTATACATCAGGCACTTATCAACATTCCCAATATCATATTTTAGACAACTTTGGCTATAGGAAGTATTATTTGACCGACATATATGTATATACAGCTAGCATACAAAATTGCCTAGAATTCATGAATAACACCGTAGGTATGAGCCCTTAATTCACTACAGAGATCTAGGTACAAAATAAATCCTCGGGGATTGAGTTAAAGCCTACGTCCTAGGACTCATCTTGAATGCAAAAGTACTAATTTGGATCAATTCTAGAGACGAATAACTGAGATAATCCAGCGTAGAAGCATGTGTCTATAACGAACAGCTCTGCAATTCACGATTTTAATTCAAAGATCATCCAAAATTGCTCTGGCTATTTGAAAAGACGTTATATTGAATATATCAAAAGATCGACGAGGTTCTAGGTCACTAGACCCATTGTCAATCTTAAGGCTCGCAGTCATAGGTCAGCTTAGGACGGCTAACCCTATCGCTAGGCATCTATGGTTAACTTTCTATATCATTTTATTTAAATTAATTGTAAAAGAATATATAATGTGCATGTATCAGGTCAGGGTGCAACATATAAGCAATGGAAGTCCAATATCCAACAAAACGTGTGAATATAACCACGTGGTTTATATACAAATTTAGGGACTTGAACACACGTGCACGCGTGGCCGTGTTTTTAGAACTACAGATCTAATATTTACTAGGTAAAAGTCTACTATTTTGGGACAAGTTCGGTTGGAACTGGGTAGCTAGTTCTAGAATTTCTACTGGTATACGCATATTTAAGTCCACTAAACTGCTACATATGAGTGTATATTTATCTTAAAGGCGACAGATTATGTGTATGGTTCAGTCACTGCACTGCACCTGCGCTACTCGAGTACTCGACTGTTTTACGTTCTATATTCACATATACAGCGCTGAATTTACTGGTTAAAATACACCAAGGGTTTCAAAATTTGAATCCACGAATATCCAAAAGTTCGTTCAAATACTCCTCCGTTACATCTGGAACATCTATCATCGGATACCTCATAATCTCGGATCCATTGTATAGCCCCGTTGCTGCCCCGGTTCTTATAAACTTCCGAAAACTCGACTGAAACTCCCTTGATGCCCGCCACAAATTATCTAGATGCGACGACGCCATTGTGTTGGCTCGTTGCAAAGCAACCAATTTTTGTGAGACTATCGCGCGGCGGGTAGAAAAATTATCATAAATTTCGAGGGCCCTGGCCCTGATGCAGCGAGGCATGGTTGTTTTGCAGCCAAAGGGAGTGGTATGCTCGGCCTTGTTATTGAATAAGGGTGATAATTTGCATAATCCTTTCGATCCACTCCCCTTCGAACTCGCGGGGCTGATACTCCCGGCGGAGTCTAAGCTAAGCTATCCTCTGGCCTCGTACGATCGATAGAAACGGCAGCTTAAACCCGGTGGCATCCACGGAATCCCAAACAAACTCAGCGTCCACTTCTCCTAAACCTATAATAGGGTATTTAAGAATTTCCGATCCAAAGCACAGCTGTGACTTTGGTAGGAAAATAGTCGGCCCTGTGGCGAAGCGGGACTTTCTGCGGAGTTTCCGATACTTCGATAGGAGGACCAATGATTTGTAGAATTCCGGGTCACCACAAACAGTGAGGGCGCCAGCATAGGCGGAACGGGCGATTTTTTTTCGAGCGATAAAATTAATTCGCAGGTCGTAATCGCTGATTTTGTAGCAGCGAGGCATCGGATGTCGTTCGTTGTAAAGATCTAGCCTTTCAGTTTTTTTTTCGTTTGCAGGTTTCATGAATATATATATATAGGCAGTTTGACGTTTTTAATGCATACGGGCGAGCTGAGGTAAATGTCACAAGGGGAATATTACAAGGGTAGTTAGCCCTGTATCCGATATGGCTCGAGACGACATCCGATATACGTCTAAGCTATAAAGTGTCTTAGAACCTTCTAAATTCAAGATTCACGGCGACTAGGTATACCGGTATTTTTTATAGAAAAAAAATAATTCGGAGCTGCAAGATCACAGCTTCAACCAAACGATTCTCGTCTAGGCCGGAATTAGTATTATTTCTAATCTGACCCCTGTCGTGAAACCTATCACACCTGTATTGTATTTCTATGATTGCTTCCCATATTTTAGCTATAAACCTCGCTATGTCTACATGTAGAATTTATCGAAATAACAACCTAAGAACAAAGTATATGGCCAAATTTAAAGCCCGAATGATCCACAGCGTCCAACCAAATCTCTTGAGTAACCCCCCCTTCCGGAATCCTATACCGTAATATCTCTGAACCGAAGAAGAGTTCGACTGGCGGGTGAGGTCTTGCCAAACACATTATTTTGAAGCGGCGATACCAGTACGCGAATGAATGGAATTCATTGTAAAGCTTTCCAGAATTCCTGCCCAGCATCAAAGCCTGTGACCTCTCGGAACTTGAAGTACCAGATGGGAAACGGCCCCAAGCAATACCATTCCGCGAATCCATGTTGGCGACGATTTCCAGTCGAGGGGCCCGGTAGCAGCGTGGCATTGATTTCGGAGGGTCTCCGAAGATATTGTGCCCAGGTATCAATCTATATATTGTAAATATTTTGAAATAGTGAGGATGTTGGTTCCGTTAAAATATTTTAAGGTTGGAAACGTCCGTTACATCGTCGAGTCCCGCTAAACTAAACTTTAACTGATGATATTCGAGGATCTCGGGACCGGTAAAAATGTCTGCCTCCGGCCTTGTAGCTAAAGAGCCAAACCCTCGGCCGTGTGAAAAACGTCTTATGACGGTGTTGATCCCGACGTATCGTTCGCCTAGCTTTCGGAAACCCCAAACTGACCATACATTCTCCGGGAGACCGGCCGTATGAATTAGAGCAAACCGCCGGAGTGTAAGGTTTGATTCGATTTCGGATGTGGGGATTTTATAGCACCGCGGCATTACTATATATACTGCCAGGTACTATACGTATTGATCCATGGGGGGTTTGTTCTGATATAGGTCGTGTAGATGCAGCGGAGCTCGCACAATCGTATGCACATGAGATGCTCAGGCTTTAGCCCTGGGTTGTAAGTAAGTACTTAGGGTTTGCTAAGCAAGATTTTCGGTCAGGTTTGACAAGCTGTCAACGATAATATACAACTTGGGACAGTTATGGAAGATAATTCTACCAAGTTTTGATCGATCCGCGTGTTGTTGGCGTCGTTCGGTTTTATTTTCGATAAATTGGATTTGCTTAGTCATCAGAATTGGCCGAATCCAGCATCAATAAATTTGTAAATGGCTAGACTGAAAGCATCCCTCGGAGTCTGTCGCGTCAACCTTCATCCGAGAATTCAAAATTCAAAGCCAAGATTTCATTCACGGCTCCTGGAATCCTCAAAGTAGAACAGAACTTGTGTCCCGCTCTCTTATGCTCCAATTTTTAATAGTTACAGCTTACCCGACACATATGCATATTTGAGGTTGAGACTCCAAGCTAAGGTATCGCTCACGAGGTTCAAACGGTTCTACTAATACGGAAGAAGAAACTCTTTAAGGATAAGAGAAAAGACCCCTTGGCACTGTGATTCCTAGAACTCTAGTATCAAAATTACAAAGTTTACTTAATTCAAGAAGCATTATATCATCGGTCTCTAGGTGTTTATAACACAGGAGGTTAATCAAGAACGAGGTTATTGTTCTTAGGGATATTAGACGGGCCGGGTTATTGTATGGTATAGTTAATACTATAGATTAAATCTATTATTGGGTTATACTAGATCGATCGGCAATCTGTAGATGATATACTGGATCCGATTGTACAATTATAAGCACACTTGCAACCGGCCGACAAGAGCCCAGCGGGGGCTCCAGATAGGGTTCCCAAGGACCATTGGTATCAGATTATAGCGCTGATACCTGGGCTAGATATTGTGATCGAATATCGTAGCTACATATATTAGTCAAAAGCTAGCTAAACTGAACAACTTTATTTCTAAGCCGACAGACTTTATAATTAGTATCAGTATCACCATATGGCCATGCAAGCAGATTGATATATTCCTCGGATCCTACTTTCACGGCTTCACCACCCGACAAAACCAATTCAAGTAGGTGCTTTTATGGCCTAGTTTCGATTTCAATAATGGCCCCGAAGTTGCATTTAACATCCTGATATTACCTTGAGGTACTTTCAATGTAGACTATGAATCACAGTCTATGATATGTGATCCGCCTAGTTTTAATCTTTCAGGAGGTAGCCATTCCAAAAGAACATCCGCAATATCTAATTAAAAGAGGTATATCTGCTCACATATATATACTTATGTATATATTTATACATAATATACCACGTGGCTGGGATGAGAGTGACAGGCCGTGAAATAGGTCGTTATATTCTAAAATTGTCTTTCGACGGGCCAGTCTTAATTATAAAACGCCTCAATTGGAAAGGTCTCGTGGTTATAAGAGACGCTATAGATCGGCCAATATATATTGATTGGAACGTGTGAATAAAAAGAATAGAAGCATCATCCATATGCATACGGATCTCTCGAGCTGATCAATTGATAACCGCGAACTTCACAGCCATAGAATTAGCAATCCCGTCTCAAGAAAGCCCTTCTACTAAAAAAGAATCCCCTAACCGATCGTATTTCAAAACCATTCCAATCAGCTTGAACTCGACAAATGTATCAAACAAAATACTATCCCATAGCTCAAGCTTTAGCATCTTCATATCTGCACCATAAACGCCATAAACATGTCGGGCCGATACCCACACAACGGCACCGAGCTGAGGATGCCAAGACCTCGAGCCGGGTCCGATGTTACACAGGCTTTACTTTGTTGGATTTCGATGGATGCAACGCAATCCGAGGACAACTTGTCGAGGCCGGTCAACACACAACACGGCGCTGGTACGGCTTATACGGGCACTCACCCGGATCCAGCTACACGGGCTTTCAGCAATGCCGTGATTGATGACAACAGGCGCGATATCAGAGGCCATACAAATCCAGTCTTAGCTACACCTCAATGCCATCGTCCTCGCTACAACCAACATCATCGCGACCCCCGTCATCGTCAACCTACCCATCATCATCATCAGCATCAGCATCAGAACAATCATCGTCATCATCACCAACCTACGCAAACCCATCCTTACAATCCAGCTCAGTCATTAAATCTCGACAGCCAGAGGCAGCTCTCTAGGGAAATCCTCGCAATGCATTCTCGCAATGCCCAAGCTCGGGCATACCATCCTTCGCGTCCTCAAGCATCTCAACCGCCATCCTTCGTTCGACCACCACCAGGCTTCAATGCCCCTCCTCAAGTTCCTCAAGTTCCTCAGGTTCCTCAGGTTCCATCGAGTATTCCTATGGCTCCACCACCAGCATTCTCAATGCCACAACCTCCACCAGGCATCTCTATACCACAGCCACCAACAGGCACCTCTATGCCTCAAGTACCACCAAGCCACTCACTTCCACAACCACCAAACACTTCAATACCAAACCCGTCAGTCGCCGCTCACCCACAGCCACAAGCACAACCGCAGCAATCAAGTAGCTCTCAAATCACACTATCAAGCTCCCTGATACGTCGACTCCAAAAAGACCAACGTCGCCTTGACGATATGCTCGATACCATGAACATAGAAATCGCCCAACTCAAAGCCGACAAAGAGCACCAATGTATTCTCTTTTCCAACGGTCTTCTCTACATCTCTAACCCAACTGCTTGGAATACCTGCGATTGCAAGTTCTGCATTGGCGTCCGGGTTCTTCGTCAAACTAAAAGCCTTGATGCCGTCGGGCAGAGGTTGTGGAATGATCCAGAGTATGCATTTTGGAGAGAATATCCGCGCATCCATGGTTTTAAAGTATGTGTTTGTCTTCGTTGTACTCATGTCGAAGAGGAGGATAAGTTGGAGCCCGATTGGAAGTTTTGGTGTGGTTCGGCTGGGAGACCGAGTCACAACCCTGCCCTTTCTGCTCAAGCTAGAATCGAGTTACAACAGCCTCCAAAGTTTAGACGTAATTGTACTGCGCCTCAGCAACCTCAACCTCAGACTACGCCGGTGGGGCAACATAGTTTTTATGGATTTGCACAGTCACTGTTTGAGATGCCAGGTAAGTACAAATTATCTACTCCACCTACTCTCTCTTATACATTAAGATACTGACCAGGAATAAACTTATTTAGAAGCTGATATTCAGCACCATTACAATTCCTTGTGGAATGCCGCAGTAGATAATATTATCAAGAACAACGGGACAGGTCATCATCCACCTCCTCCACCTCCTCCATCCTTTATGCCTCAAGATTCTACTCCTGATGTTGGCCCAAGCAACTCTGGACAATATGGAGCCATTGGGCAACCAGTCGTTCCAAACACAAATAACCCCCACTATAGCACTTACCATGGGGATCACACCCGTCGTGGGCCCCAACGCTAAATAATGATTTACGTTCTAAGACCTAATTTCAATCCTCCTTTTCGTTATGATTATTCAAAAGCTTGCTGAGGTTATATTTAACGATCGGTAATGCGATAGAGCGAAACATTAATTAATTGCAATTCCCATATCTTTCAAAGTAATTCATACTTAAATTTTGGAACATGATAGAAATGTACATAAGCCTCATTACCAGGCAGTCCCGCCTAAAACCAACACTCCTCCACCACGGAGAAATTCAATAAAGATTCAGATCAACAAATTAATGCATGTACTAAAAAAATATGAAATCCCAAATTATCAAATCCATGAGCTGTGACGCATAATAGCTAGCGAATAAATAAATGTCTGTTAGACAGCACCAATATTATAGCCATATATTCTCAACTGACGCTAGAACCACATCAGTCGCTGCTCTTCTTAAAAACCTTCTTCAACTTGAAAGACAGCGAAGATCGGTTGCTAACTGTAGAATTAATCGATGGCGGCCTAGCTGGTGGCGGTGGTGGTGACATTCTACCTGCCGACCGGTACGTATACGAAGACTCTGGCTGTACCGAGTGAACAATAAAACTGTTCCTATTCACATCAGGAACCGGCACCGGTGCCGCTGCAGATGGCGCAGCTACAGCTGTTGTGGGTGCAGGATTCACCGTTGTAGTACCTAATGCAGTTTGAGTATTTTGGAGGGCACCAAAGAAGGAGCTTCGAGGCATTGGAGTTGACACTGAGCGCTGAGAGGGAGTTGAAGCCGTTGAAGCGCCAGAGGACAATGACTTTACGGAGGCAAAGCGGTTCACACGGGGGACCACGGCTGCCGTGGAGCTTGATACGGATTCCGTGGTCAGATTTGAACTAGTGGCCGATAGAGTTGGGGATGCTGGAACCGCGACTGTAGCTGCACCTTCCATTTCCCTATATGTAGGGGACCCGAGACGAATTGGCGCTGGAACCGGTGAACGAGCACTGCTAGTCGAGTTCGAGGAGGTAGCAACGGGTTGAGCTGTAACCTTTGTGGACTCTACTGTTGCGGTTGTCTTTGCTGTAGCTCCTGGATCGACCGCGCTACTGGTGGGCGGTGAGATCGCCCTGATTGGGAATCTCGCTTTACGAAGGGAAGTTGGGTCATAAGCGTTTTTACGACTTCCCGCCGTAGAAGAACTAGCTTCGATGGTCTCGGAGACTGTTACTCTACGGACTGGAGTCACGGTCGTAGCTAAGATATTTTATATTAGTTTCTGGCTGCAGGTTAATGGCTGGCTTTCAAAAACTTACTCTTCGTCGGCGCAGCACCGGGAATGGCATCTAGATCGGGTACAATCCTTGAGGCCCAATCTTTTCTATTTGCACTGGCGAATTTCTTGATCTATTTACTTGTTAATTTTGATACTTCATGAAAATTTCGCGAAGATGGTGGCTCTTACATGCTGGGAGATCTCTTCGCTGTAAAGATTCTCATCCTGGGTCCAGTACTTCAAAGTAGCGATTGCATCAACAGGTTCATTTCTCTGTAAAAACAATGTCAGCTTCATGTTCTCAATATAATAATACCAAGGAGTAAGAGTACAGACCTCTGGGGCCATGAGTAGACCATAGATGCAGCAAACAATATCCCGAACTTTTGTCTCCGCTTTCCAGTCCTGGTCCAAGATCGCGTGGCATACACGGCCATGCTATAGGGATGGCATTTATTAGCACTGCTGCTTCAAAAAAAAAGTTTCCATATAGACTCGGAAGCCTACCTTATTGATATTTGGGTGGATAATTGGAGTAATAAACCTAGCCTGTGGTGCCTTCCTTGGGAAATCATCTGTCATATCCAAGAACATAACAAAAGTTCCGCTGGCATAGTTTGACCCATCAGGACCTTGCATAACCACCTTCCAGAATGCCATTTCACTTTCGCTAACATATATATCCATATCTGGATGAGGTTGTTCCACCATGTCCTTAATTTCCAACAACAGACGTCTGTTCTTGACAACGTCAGAAGCAGCACGAACTCCCGCCTTGTCAACAACGAGTTGCTTATTCTTGCCAAAAGCCTTGTGGGCGTTTGCCAGAGACATGAACTCATCGTTTTGGTGCGGGTGATCACGGGCCTCTGGAACAGAGAAGGCAGTGACCGTAAAGGGTTCGAGGGGTTGGAGTGTATCGAAGTATGGCAAGTATGTCTGTCGAGGGAATAGTGGACGCAAGGTTTGGTCAAGCATTGTTTCCATTTCAGCCAATTGAATAATCTCGGCTGTAGATGCTGGCTTCATGGCGTATCCACCTGTGGCTCCGCAAATTCTGAACAATGATTTGTGATAATCTGTACCGATACAAAAAGCGTCAAGGACGATGTTGTTCTCCCAAAGATACGAATAGGTAGTCTTATCGGTTTGTTTGGAGCGATTGTCGATACCATCAGTAAGAACAATGATACGAAGCTTCGTATCCGGATTGTCCTCCTTGAAATCAAGTAATTGTTCTGCACCTTCGTAGATACAATCCCACATGGCTGTCATGCCGGCAGGATGCAACTTTTCAATTTCTTTTTCAATATCATCTAGCAATGGAGTAAATTCCTGCATGGTAGAAACTGTAGCATTGAACTTCATGACTCCGAAGTGTACTGGAAGCTTGTAATTCGTAGCTGTGCTTGAATAATGCTTGAACAACATCTTCGCTGCCGTCATTCGGGTAATCTTTTCGGTAGCTTTGAGTTCTTGATCTTCGTCTGTGAACGCAGGATCAAACATACTAGAGCTACAGTCGACACAAATCATAACGGCTTCCTTCGGTCTGCGGGTGTCGATTGTACTAGCGTTCAAACACCCAACGTCCCAACCGTCGAGAGGCCATGCACCGCTGACTTTACGTGCCTGAATGACGTCCTTGAGAGTTTTAGCAAGCCCTTGACCTTGGTCGTTCGACATTATTTGCTGAACGCCCGTTATTGGGTTCCAGATATTGGCCCATTCTGTGGCACACTCGCCGCCGAATTCGAAGATTGATATCAAACCTTCGTTGTTCAGTGTCAAAACTGGTGGCTTTGAGCTAGACAAGGACAATGGCGCCACGGTACAAAGGGCGGGCAAGTTCGTAGTGTTGATGATCTGTTCGTAGAATCCATCCTGGGTTGGGCGATGAAGAACCCTATGCTCAAGGACATTTCCGGCATCCTTTGGCACAACGAGATAAGAATTACCGTCAAAAGGATATTTATCCCTGAAAGAAAGGACCAATTGTCTTTGATCGGGTTGCGCATGTGGATTCTTATCCAGAAACTCGACTGTGACTTTCACAGTATCGCCGCTCAGTAAACCGATATTGGCGATATTATTATCCGTAGTTACTGGGTCTCCTTCCTTCCTTTCCGCCACTTGTTTGATAATAGCCTTTTTCGTCCATTCTTCTTTCCCAGAACCCCCACGTTTGCCTGCAATAACTTGATCAAGCAGCCAACCCAGTAGCTGTCTTGACCCTTCCAATGCGTTTTCTACTTTCCCTCCGGTAGCCCAGTCCGGAACAGATTTTACACAAAGCGCCTGGAAAGTTTGAACTAATGCCGCCTTTTCTTCAGGAAGAAGTGTCCTGCTATCGAACAAACTAGCCATAGCATAAACAGCTGGCAAGAAATGCGTGGTTTGCCAAACAGCTGTCAAGAATCTTCGTTGTGTAAGGCCATCTGTAACCTTCCGCTTCAACATCTCAAGCGAAGCACAGAAGGTAGACACGCCAGCTCTCGTCACACCCTCGACGGGATGCCAAGCATTGTTATTGCTGGTAGAACGGAAGTCGGAAAAGTGTTTCGTAGGTATTCCGATTGTTCCATTGTATCGTAGAACTACGAATAAGTTTAGTGGCGCCCTTTGTGTTCCAACAAGATCAAGATCGTAGAGGGTGACATCGTCTGTTAAAATTGGGTGTGCTTGTAGGTGTATGTCCACGACATATGGCGAACTTAGAGCTTTCTGGAATACTTTCCTCTTGACTAGATCTTTGAGAGCAGAAATAGTTGTTCGTAGAGGAATTTGATCTTGGAAAATCGGTAGCCCAGATAACTTCGGCTCGAGAGCGTTTTCTGGGGTTATGAAGCGTACGTGAATACTTCCAGATGGTGATTTATTCTGTCTCGTAGCACCGGGTGTAAGTGTAGCCTGTGAGCCTCCCCATTCACTTGATGTTTGCTGGCTCGTCGCGGACGAGATCGAGAGCGTGCGTATCAAACTTGCCCGTGGGGACGACATCTTCGAGGGAACTGATGTTTTGCTAGTTCCAAGATTGTCGTCAATATATTTCGAGCCGACAATAGGTTCTAAAAATTAAAAGGAAAGAAATGAATACTAGAATCTGCTGTAAAAGTGCAGAGATCTAGTATATTCTCTTAGTTATAATGAAGAAACAGTGAAGTCCTCGGAAGGTTGTAGCTAGTTAACTAGCCCTCATGCAGCTTTGTAGCTGATTGGAATCCAGGAAGCTACCTTGCATACACTCCTTCTGAGAAATAGTTCAAGGGATTCATTCTACTACCTAATCCCATCGGAACCGGCACTATAGCATTGTGATCCTCAGAGTTTGCCTGGACCAGGCCAAGCTATCATCGTAGAATGGTCCGATTGGACCCATTGACGCCTATGAGGCTGCCAGAAGTGGAAATCTCGTGGCCTTCTCCATTATGACAAATATGATAAAAACTCAAGAGCTTTCAGTTCGCACTAAATCCGGAACACCATGATGCATCAACGGCACGCTGCTGGTGGTGCAGTACTGTTAGTAACCTGTGGAGCTGGAGACAAGACAGGGATGTTCTGTGTTGTGGTTGAGGCGGGCCCGGTTAAACCTTCCCGCCATTAATCACTCTCCCATTGCGGAGGATTTCCAAAACAAGGCTGTGTATTTTTATAACGGCAACCTCCAGGCAACACAGTTGTTGGATTGGATAACGTTACTTTGTTAGTGCGGGGAGGCTGAATGAGTCCTTTCAATAACAGGCATGTTTACTCCACATTCTGGGACGGTTTAGCAAGTGCGACAAGAATCCTCGGGACCGGATATTGATTTAGACGGTCGGAGAAAATCCCGAATCAAACCGATGCTTGGAAGCTGAGGCTCACAATATAACATCGTGGGGCTATATCGACGTGCACCGTATGGATAAGTACCTAGCGTTTGGCATGCATTGCGCAAATGATCCCGTGGGGTACCACCACGTTCACGATCGACTTCATTCAAACGACGAAAGGCTATTTCGGAAGCCACGTAGCCGGGGTCTTGAAGCATTAAGATTCCTACTTGCTTTCAGGCCTATAGCGTTTTTTGCCATAGATTTAGCCTAGCACTTTGGTGGCTATAGAAATTGATGCTAAAATTTTGAACTTTCACATGCATGCCGGTTTTGTATTTTACTTGATATCAATTCGGTTTGACGAGAAACCTGTTGCTACTTTGTAAGACAGAAAGCATTGGCGTCCAGAAACATCCGACCCGTCTATCACAAGACGAGCGTTCGAATAGGACATTATAAAATTTTAGGTAGAAATTAAAACTAAAAAAAATGATAACTCTCGTTCAAGATAATTGACCTAACAGAGATGGTATAGTTGTAGTAATATAGTCTCGTACCGTATAGCTAGCTATACGGCCAGATCATGGAAGATTAAAGGGCGAATTGTTGAATTAAGCTAGCTCTAGCTAAGCTGCACGGGCCAACCACGTGCGCATATACAGGTAAAACTCGCAGTTCGTGCATTATTCCTATATCCCTAACAGATGGTATGATAAAATATGAAAAAGCAATCACGCAGTAATAGAAATCCCTCAAACATTAATGGAAAGTCGTCTTGACTTGTCCGTAGCAGTTATCCTTGAAATACAGTTGAAACTTGATTTCTGCCGATTCAAAAGCCATTTCAATTGTGAATTCCGCTGATAAGCATGCTTGTCCGTTGATATTCACCGAATCGAATTCACTCTCTGGAACCATACTTAGATCGGCCATTAAGAAACATAAATCGTGCACACCTGTGAATACCGAAAGTTAGCAATGAATAGCTTTGTACCCCTAGCTGGATACAGTTCCATAGTATCGACTTACTCCTATCCCGATAACTATGAGGCGCAATATCAAGATCAGAAGCGACAAGTGTCGCTCCACGACGTAACTTCTCGCCTTTTTGGAACGTTGTACCGCACTTCAACTTGAACCTTGTATTCGAATCTGTATCCGCTCCTTTCTCAACGATCCATGAAACTTGATTCCTTGCCATTTTCATCCCTGTATCCGTTGAGTAAAAAGCATCCTCCTCGTGATGGATTGTAGGATCGAAGGCAGTGTTGATTCTGGTACCATAATTCCTTCGACACCTTCTGTTTGTGACCAAGCTACCTTCGAGACCTCGGAGGACGGCACCTCTGCTGACTGCGGACCAACTGCTCAAATGTTAGAAAATGCGCTTTTGTCAAATCGTGCATCGCGTCGGGTACATACGCATCATCCGGATTGATAATTTCGACTTGTCCTGCCTTGCCAAACTTATGTGTTGATAGCCGGTTTAGAAGATAGTCCGACTCGCCGAACCCGCCGACGAGAAAAACGTACTGCCATGCATGAACTCTTTAGTAAACATTCTAAAGAAATTTCTCATTGAAAATTGAAAGGCGCGTGTTTTACCTTCGGTATCGAGCCGGTATCGCAGATTGCATCGATTTGGCCCTGGATTAGGTCAATGATTTGCTCCATGATAGGATCAAAGCACTCTTTCAGGTCGTCACTTAACAAAGAGTTAAATTAGCAACAGGTATCAAGGTCTACCTAATAATCAAAGAATATAAAACTTACTGTGTCAATTCAAATTGTCCTTCGATGATACCAGCTGCTGGATCATTGGCAAACCCGTGCATTGGTAGGTAGCTGACGGAACCGGGTACATATGAAGCCCCAAACGATCGTTTCACACCTTCAAATTCAGAAACCATCTTGTTTAATACCATTCCGTCTTGTTTCTGACATAAGATCTGGAATCTGTCGTCGCCAATCTTTTTGCGCACCAACTTAAGCAGGTTCCTGTCGACAAATGTCGACCCACATTTGGCGCCAGAACCAACTGCCACCTCGGAGAGCCCTAACGAAGGCTGCAGTTGGCCAACTTTGTAGGAGATCAAATCGACAGTCCCACCACCAGCATCGCACAGAACAAAGGTGTCTCCAACATTTAACATGTTAGGGTCATTTCTCCGTGTGTTATCTCTTTGATAAAGCTCAGAAATAGCGTATACTGCGGCTGCCTCTGGTTCACTGAGAAGGAAAAGTCTATCTTTCTCACGCTGACCGATACCAGCCCTAGAGGCAGCTTCTTTTGTCAGAGCTTGGGCTTTTTCCGACCAAACAGCCGGTACTGTCATAACCCAGTCGATTGCCGTTCGATTGATAAAATTCTCTCCCTGTGCTCTTCTCAAATTCGACATGATAACATCGTAAAGGGCTGTTAAATAATCTGCCACCACATCCACAGGACTCTTATTTAAAGGATTGTGTCTCATTCCTTCCGCCATTGGGAACTCATCTTCTGCCGGCGCCGGTGTCTCGGCAAAAGGATCTTGAAGGTCCACATATTCTTCCGAATTTTCTTCCTGGTTCTCGTAGAAGTTGTCTTCGTCAAGGTCTAATTTCGCCCAGGCTAGTCTGGCTAGACCTGGCGGAATCAGATATCCCCAACGATAGGTTCCGTCTGCACCGTAGGCGATGTCACTAGGACATTTGACCTCGTCACGACGTTCTTTACCAGGCCAACGTCGAATGACTTTGATATTATCGATGGACTTTTGGGATGTATCGCCGTGAGCAGTTCCTGTTTCCTTGTATGTTAGTAATCGCAAGGTCAGACGCCATTTGCGGTACTTACCACTGTATGTTGTTCCGTAGTCGAGACCGACGACGATACGATGCTCTTGTAGGACGCTTTCGGTAGCCATTGTGAAGGTGGTTGTATTGCTTTAGCAAAGCAAGAATGAGAACTTGTCAGAATTCCAATAGGCGGTATAGCTTCTGTCTCCGAAGTTTCTCGAGCAGTTCTATAGATATATTGGTTTCTGCACGATACTAAGATAACAAAAGAGAATTGTGCAATTGTAGAGAACCAATTCACCCCGCTGCACTAGCTCTGAGTGATTATGTTCAAAAGTAAATATATCGAAAGGATAAAAATTGCTGCAAGAGCAATCTATATGAGCAATCAAATGTACTAGGCCGTGTCAAAGCTTCCAAACTTGATAAACAATCTCAATCAAGTCTGCGAACAGAAAAATAAGGACCGAGAAAAAAAAGAAAAGGTGATCCCAAGATTCAGGACGGATTCAAGAAACTAAAGTCCTCTATGGTCTAAGCCGATTATAAAATTCGCTTCACTAGAATCCAAAATCCTTCAGGCATGATTATAGCTGCAGCCTTGTAACCTTTGCCGCTGCGTGACCTCGAGCCGTATAGCGCCATCTGTACCGATATTCCGGTGCACGAACAACAAGGCGACGACATTTCGACTCACGATTTCTCTCATACATCCCGTGTCTAGCATTGTACGATTTGAAATACGGTTTGATCCATGCGCATATGCCGATACCACTGCAGCCAGAGATAGCTCCGAAACGACCTAACATGTGCATCGACCATCAATGGCTACTAGCCCAGGCAGCTATACAAAGCATGTTAACATGTACATCCATCCCATTGGAGCCTCGCGTTTGGGGGGTAGTCCAGCTACTTCGGTTAAACCTTCCCTGGTTCTCGACGACAGGGACTGCCCATGTAACAACAACGCAAGTCCGACGACAGCCTCGTTTCTGGCAAAGACGGCATGTTGCTTTTAGATCCTTCGAACTTTATGCGACCGTCCAATGCAAAGTTCCGAGGACCTGGACGAGCGGCTGAGGCCGGTTTAGCTAGGTGACGAATCTTTGGAAGCGGGGTAGTTTTCTTAGTCCATCGGACAAATATGTTTCAGACCGCATACTTGCATGAAAGGACATCGATCATGTAGCAATAGCTCTGAATATTACTTTTTTCTTCTATGGATCTGCAGCGTTGGTGGGTCACTTGTGGCGCCTGCACATTTAGGCGGTGAAGGATGTACATATATTTGTGGGGAGCTTCTAATTCTGATATCATCTTGGTATCAGGCAGATAAATGTGGAGCGCTAGAAGCGAGGCTTCGAGATTTGGGATTTTTTTTGAAGTATTCAGCTCGCGACCTGGAAGCTGCTTTAGAAAATTTTATTCTTGTCTTGGAGAAATAGCAGTGCGATACTTAGGAGCAATCTTGTCAAGGAACCGACTTTAATACTTCTATCCATCAGTCTAGGGTATTCGCAAGTTTACTCACCGATCCGCTACTTTACTAATTGGCGAAATCAATTGCGCAAATACCTCATCAATTGGTTCTCAAGATCTCTAGTATCTTCGGGCCTTTTCAATAAATATTAAATTATTCAAATTATAGTTTTCCCAGATCTTTTGGCGCCCCTGAGTTACCAATTTTGTATCTTTCTTCTAGTCGTCAAGATCATATTCACACTTTTAACCGTACTTTCGCTCGCATACGTATACTTCAAAATGCCACCTTGGGGTTTATTTAGTTCGAAAAAAGATAATGCAAGCGACGGTTCGATCTCGCCGACACCGAATTCGAAAAGAGAAAAACGCAAGGAAAAGGTAGGTCATTATTCAAACGACCCGCTCGATAAGTTGATAGGCAATATATAGGACTAACATAAGGTTGAAATTAGCAATCCGCCTCAGGCCATGGAATGGGAAACCTTCGGGAATACACAAGTCATGATGATCCACGGATGTATCACCTTCGCAACGGCGTAGACCCAAGATCAAAGTACGTTTACCAGAACCCAACCCTAGACGATATGTTCGCGGCAAGATATATTAATAGAAATCATGGAAATGCAGTGGCCGTTTCATAGATATGCACGGCATGGGCTTTAGCTCCCGTGAAGAACCAGAGTTCATTCGCTCGCGCCTTATGGGCCAATTTCAGTCTTCCCTAAACACGGCGGTCACCGATAGTATCCGTAAAGCCTGCATCCACTGGGATGATGAGGTTCTCCATCTGGAGAATAGTTACCAGAGTGTTCTCGAAGAGCGCAATGGACTTAAGACCGAGAATAAAAACCTAGCAAACAGAGTGAAACTTCTGGAAGCAGAAGTCAATAATAAAGTTGCACTGCTAAGAGAGTTCCAGTCCGGTCACCTCAAAACTGCGGGTAGCAGGAAACTAGCGCCCTCGAGTACTGCCATTTCCACTGAATATGAAGGATTGGAGCGTAGGATCAAAGACACCGTATTTGCTCGTTTAGCCCGATTAAATATCAAAGATCCCTATATCGAGGCCCTGCTGCATCATCAGCCTTTCCTGGAAGCTGTGAAAGGCATTATGGTTGATGTAACTGAGGCTCAAGATGCTGAGAATGTACCCCTTAATCTCTTGGAGGTTGTAGAGGAGAGTGAAATGAAGGGATTGTTGATGTGGATGATTCAGGGGGTTGTTCACGATATTCTGCATAAAAAGATCATGAAGATCCATATGCCCGGATTAAACATTGAAGAGTTGCAAGTCATGGAGAAGATCTTTAACATTATTGCCTTAAGTAAGTACTCGTAATTTGATAGCTAGTACTGATAAACTAACACCTTGATAGGCGAGGATGGCCAGGGAATGAGATCCGCGCAAGAATGGAGAGCGGATACCTACAGAAGGCTCGCATACTGGGCGGAAAATGTTGAAGAACTGGGCAAGTACATCGAAGCCGCACCAGCGATTAGCGAGATGAGTCAAATCTTTGGCGACCTTATTGACGGCACAGAAAAGGAGATAACAAGAATTCTTGAGCCACTCTGTGATGAGAGCCCAGAAGGCAAGAACTTTTGTCGTCTTGTCGTGGATATCGTTGATCGAGCTTTCCAATTTAGCATCTTGATCGGGTCTCAGACAGCAAGATACGAATTACATCGAGATCTTGATCACACGGATGACTTCAAAGCTGTCCCAGATCATCTTGATGAAAGCGCGAGTGCTGCTAATAACTCGAACGTATCGCTATTCTACGGTGTCCCAGCATTAGTCAAAACTTCAAGCGAGGATGGAGAGGCCTATGACGTATCGGAATTGTTAGTTCACGGAAAGATATATGTTCTCTTCGGCTTCGGAGATCCAATTGAAGAAGAACAACAACAAGTTGCGCCGCCAGAAGTTCCGGAGAAAATTCCGATCCAAATGGCCTCCCCGGTTAATGGCGGGGACGTAGGTAGCCATGATATTGAAGCTATAGCCAAAGCCAGAACTTCGCAAAGGACTGTAGCTGAAACACCAGATGAGGTATGCAATCGCCTAAGATCATGATGAAGGGTGTCTCTAACGAAATACTAAACCAACGATATAGAACCAAGCCGAACTGAAGAATATTGCTACCGATTCAAGTACGAAGCCACCAGGTGCAGACACTTTGCCAAGTGAATCCAATCCAAGTATGACAGAATTTTCTGAGATTATCCCTGAACAGGAACTGATCGTAATATCGACTTGCAAAGACATAACAGAGTCGAACGACCAATCGCCGAAGAACGAGCCCAACGGCGCCATCGTCACGACGACCTCCAACAGCAGCGAGAACGAGCTGTCCAAGGAGACCCTAAATACGCCGAACAGCCCATCGGTGCCGGGAGCCGAAGACATCCTGCACCAAGAAACATCCACGAAGACGGACCAAGTGATAACAGACCCAAGAAACCTAGAGCCCCAACCTCAAGCAACCCAGAAGACCCCGACAGAACTCTTGGAAAGCTCGCCCAGCAACGATCACCAATCGCCCGAAAGGAAGTTCCAGAATCTAGGAGCCCACCTGACAGAAATTCCAGTCTCCCCAAGCCTTCCCAAGCCACCGTCGATCCCAGAACAAACCGCCCTCCTCCCACAGGAGGTCCCGGTAGTCACCCCAGAACTTCAATGTCCGGACCCGGTTCTAGTCAAAGCCGAAGCCGTCCCTCCCCAAGTACAAGTGGAGAATTCAACCCTTCCAGCATCGCATACAGCGTCGGAAGCAACCGAGGTGGAGGTGACCCCCCATCCCCAAGTACTAGTCGAAATTCAGCGGGAACCCTCACCCGAAAGTTCGACGTCGTCAATACCTCAGAAACAGGATCTCGTTTTGCAGAAAGAGCCAGAGCAACAGCTGCAGAACGAGCCAGAGCAACAGCCCAGCTCTCACCTTACGAACAACAACAGCGAGACCTCACTAGTGCAGTCCACGCCGCGCACCTTGCCACCCGAACTAATCAACTTGAACAGCAGTTCCGACAGCAGCAAGGCCCCAGTGGCAGCAACGACCCAAAAGCAAGAGGTGGTCGGCATTGAAACAGTGGGGTAGTATATATACTGAATTGGAGACTTGTTTGAATAGTATGATTCTCATTGAGAGGTAATTGAGTATTTGATTTGACGCTTTTTGAGCCGTTCGAGTTTCTTGTGGCTATCTTTATGTTGGTTTGTATTGTATCGAAGAACATTCCGATCGATCGTATTGTGTTTGAAATCTTTCATAGCAGGGGTTGCAAATCCGAATAATGGATTGACGTCAAGAAATACTGTATTCAGGAGTTAGTTTCGTTCAAATGAAGAGTTGTCCTGTACACCGGACCATAACCCCGATAGTTATTAATGCCGACCAATTAATCCTATCAAAAAGGTATCCCACAAGCAAGGAAGCAAGCATATACCTCCCTAGTCCGAACATAAAACGTAGCGAGGGAGAGTAAGTTCTAGGCGAAAGTAATTGGCACACGTCACAACAGCCGGGTGGTACTTTGCACGAAAATGCGGCAGGCTGGCATTCCACCGCTTGTGCACGCCATGAGGATCAATACCTATAAGCTACCAGGATATCTTCACCTCTCAAACCCGCCCTGTTGATCAAATGTAAGACCCCGAATTTTCGCCCGAAACATGGTCCTTTGTTGCTGTAGATCGTTCTATTTAAAACGCGGCCAAGAGGAGTATCTGACACTGGCATGTGAGTCGTGCGACCAGGTGTGACTGTAGACGAAGTGCGGCGCCCGGGATGTTTGGAAAATGATATATACCACAAACCAAATAGTGATGCAGAAACCATTCGAGATCAAAACGTCGTATGCCGAATAAATATAAAATCCAGCAATCTATTTTAGTTCCCTTCCAGCGCTGCGGCTAACCTAACGGTCCAACGTGAACGGTCCAACGTGAACGGTCCAACGTGAACGGCCAACATACAACCGGAGTGCTCTTGTTATCCGACGTTCTCGTAACACATTCTTCTTTGGTTTGTTCGAATTTGCTATTCCGTAGCACAATATGTACTGGGTGCTTTGATGCTCGATATCATCTTGATCTCGACTGTACGTCACTGCCAGCCGCCAACCGGAGTTGTTCCTGCTTTATGATTTCGCTTAGGTGCAATGGCGACATAATTCTCCGTTATTGAAGGGCATTTATCGTGTAGTTAGAAAGTATAGCGACCTTGATAATTTTCGTACAGTGTTTGCAGGTTGCTAGTTGACGGCTTGCGGCGAATTAAAGCTTCCATGTTTTTCGCGTTCTCGGTAAACCGGCAGAAACAGCTCCACTTAATGACGGTTAATGGCCATGGGTCGTCCAGCCCTGTTGCAAAAAAAGTGACCTAAGCTACGTTAACTGTGGAGGGTTCGAGATGGACTCGATTGAGTGTTTTTCGTCAAGAATTAACATCATATCATGCAACATTGAGAAGAAGGGCGTTCCTTCAACTTTAAGAGCCCGAACCACTTCCATGCCATGCACTCGCGTGTATTGAATGAAAAAAAAGCACCGGGATCAATGTCACAAACTAGTTTCGTCATAAGAGACTAGTTTAATACAATTAAATGCGACGCCGCATTTCCACATTGCTAATGACGAAAACTTTAACTGGCGCTAGGACATAATCTTCGAGTATGCCAATTGCCAAGCAACAACCTGGTCGAGATCATCCCCTTTCTCCTGTCAAGAGGCGGGAGGCAGTGCGAAAGATCTTCTTCATATCGGCTCATCATCTTCCATCTTTTGTATGTTTGGACGTCTAGAGTAAGTTAAGTTCCTTGTGCTGGTATGGATCAGTGTTGACGTGTGTGGATGTCGGTGTTTATTGATGTTGTAAGGGGAAGCTCCTGAAGTTAAAAATGTTGGAGTTGAACGGATGGTGGCCATGGCTAGGTGAAGCACAGTTAAAAGGGAAAATGCGTCCCCCAAGTTAAGACTGGAGACGCTAGAAACTATTTCTCTTTAAATTTTCTTTGTCAACTCTCTACTATCTTTCTTTTACTTCTTTTTTTTTTGTACTTAGACTTAAAGTGACTTTGCCAGAGTACTTTCTTTCTTTCAGACGCTCGTTTCGACTCGTGGTTGGCGAAGCTTAGCAGGTATCTTGTGTATACCGAGCTATATTGCAAAGAAAATAGTTATGACGGGGTCCGAAGGCTCTTCTGCGAGCAGACTGGAGGTCGCTGGACGACGCTATTCACAAGATACCCTCCTGGATTCAGACAGCGATTTTGATGCTCAACTTACAGAAAAATACTCCTCTAATCTCCTTTCAGGGAGTAGTACGCCACAGTGGGCCGAGGTTACGTACAACGAAGTCCGCAAGCGTATCAGAATTCCATACTTCTCGAACCCTCTAAAGCTATTAAAGAGTGCCCTCTACTTTTTAATACCAAGTTATCTAGCTTCACATACGAGTTTGGAGTTTAAGAAGTATAAGCCAGGCTCGACGGAATGGTTAGACGGGTTAAGAGGAATTGCAGCATTCTTTGTATTTGTGTACCACCATGTGGTCGCCTATACAGGCGAGGAACATGATTTCGCATGGGATCCGAAGAGACACCCGCATTGGCTTCATTTACCGATTTTACGGCTATTCTATTCTGGAACACCGATGGTTAAGATCTTCTTCGTTATTTCGGGTTTCGCATTGACGTACAAGCCTGTCAAGTTGATGAGGAAACCAGGATCGCAAGGTGCCTTGATGAAGACGCTTGCTAGTTCGATTTTTAGACGGTGGCAGAGATTGTTTTTACCGTGTGCTGCGGTGTTTTTCATGGTTCATTGCTTGAGGGCTTGGGGCGCCTTCGATTGGTTCGAGGTCAGACACTTGAAAAATGCAAAGATATTACCGGGCGATATCGAAAGGTATCCTGCAAAGTCGCCAGATGGGTTTTGGGGACAAATGGGAATCATGGTTACGGAGTTTTGGTTATTTTCGGTTCGGAATCCGATATTGCATGCGAAGTATGAATTCGATGCTGATGTAAGTTGAATTCCTTCCTTTACGATTGCTGAAAGGGAGTAGTTTGAGGCTAATATCACCATGAATATTGATTATATAGAAACACATGTGGACCATTCCCACCGAGTATATGGGGTCGATGGCCCTCTTCCTTCTTGTCGCCATGGTCGCCCATATTCGCCGTAGTTTCCGCGTGTACGTTGTCCTGCCGGCTTGCTACATCTTTTGGACCTATTATGCAAAATACGATTATCCTCTCTTCATTTGCGGGTACTTTTGCGCGGAGATCCATGCTGCAATGGATATACCCTCTCTTCTTCCATCAGTCAACGAAGACTCTATCAAGAAGCAAACCCGCTCGTTCAAGAAAACCGGCAAAACAATATTCTTCTCGTTCATGTTTTTCGTTGGACTATGGCTACTATCGTTCCCTACCCGCGACGGCGATAAAACATGGGGTTATATGACTCTATGCCAACTCATGAACCCAAGCGGATATTTCACCAAACGTGCGACTTATCATTCACTCGGAGCCTGTGTCCTCGTTTGGGCACTTCTATACCTCCCACGCCTCCAATCATACCTCACACTTCCATTATTTCAGTATCTCGGACGCATATCCTTTAGTTTATACCTCATGCATGGTATGGTTATTAGAACGTTGGGGCATAGATTGGTACTTGAAGGGTGGAGTCATTATGAACCAGGCGCCTATGGGAGCAGGATGTTCATCGTTGTGGCGGTGTTTTTGTTTGCAGTTTTTCCGTTGGTTATGTGGATGAGCGATGTCTTCTGGAGACTGGTGGAGGCACCGTGTACGAATTTTGTGAGGTGGTCGGAACAGTTGGTGGTGGCAAAGGAAGACGGAGTTAAGGAGCAAGCTGGGCAGATTAAGAGTGCGTAAAGAGTACATAGGTCCGGTTTAATTTTTGGGGTTTTTACATATTGCGGTCGGGCCTGCGCAGGAGTAGATAGGATTACATTGGCTCTGTGGTCGTAGCTTATATGTATAGAATAGCGCCCTTCTGTAAATGTACATGTGTAGTGGATGAAGTTACTTGTTTTATATAGAGTCGATATTTTCGCTTCAGGTATATAATTTGTTAGAACTACTATCGCAAATATAGACAGGGCTAAGCAAAGCTATACCTTCAGACATTTTCAACTGAAATTAGGTTATCTTGTTGATTTATATCTATTTCCGCTACTATTCCTATAAATTAAATTCCTTAATTAATTACAGTTAAGTTATCCATACCCCAATCCTGTTCTGCTAATATACTGACCCCCCCCCCAATATGTATTCAACTATACGTCGAGTTTCAACTACGATCGCTAAACATCAATTGGAGCGTTCTAGAACTTGAGCCCACACCCTCAAAAATTCCGATTTGATTGAGATCGAAAAAACAGATTTTGTGCAAGGTACCCGTTACTTGTATGTGCAGAACTGGGACAAGAACCCCTTGCTAAAACCGAAAACGAATTTTGGGAATGAAGGTTAAATTAGTCTATACATTTTGAGCTAGACTCAGAACAAATTTGACAAGAAGTCTATCTTCAAGGCCTACACCCACCTTAGAGATATGTTGCGTCCCACGAGGTATTGCCAAAGTATTGCATGTAATAGTGTACGACCTAGTCTCGTATTGCACGACCTATGGTTATGTTCTAGATTCGGGTCTGCAATTAATTGAGATTCGCACAAGCCGTTGATATCTCGGGAACCTGCGTTGTATTCACAAAATGCAACAAAAAGTGCCAGGCTGTCGTGAATTCGCTATTCGAAGACGCAATGTGAGAGAAACCAACCACCAAACAACCTCTGAAGATACCCTGAAAAGAAATTAATTTTGACGATGGCATCGATGGCATCGAGACTACATCTACACTGTCGGTACGTCTGTATACATGTGCTTGATCAAATACATGTCCTAGACTGGCCTTACTCTTAGGTGTTCTCAGCTGACTGTGCGTAGGCCAAGCCTTTTCAACGGCGGCTGGCTCCGGTCCCTGTCTTGTCCGCCGTCTGAAAGAACGTTCCTGGTCATCCGCCAAATGTCCGACGGCCGATTCTTCTGGGCGAGCAAACAAGCCCTGTGATCTCAGCGCTGGCACTTTCTACTACCCTCCTTCTTTCTTCCCATTTGACTCTTCGCTCTTCTTGCAAATTTCACAATATTCAGCTTTGTTTTCTCATCCTTCATATACTTGTCCGGCGGTGTAGTCGATCGATATCTGTCTGTTGCCGTTGTGGAACTGTACTTGCCTGATAAAGCCAGACCGGTTGAATTTCCCCCCAAAACACCGAATTGCAAACCTCCCATTGGATCATCAGTCGTGACTACAACCTTCCCCCGGCCATCGCGATCAAATTGTCTTCCATGAACTTGCGATAACACCGATTTTCTACCACGTAAAGAACGACCGGTGATAGGGTGACATTCTCACCATACTAGGACGACTCTCGGCTGTTCTTCTCGACAGATAATTCCACCAGGGTCACAGATATGGCATCCCCTTCACGGAGTATCCCCCAGAGGCCTCGTCGGGAATCTGGTGCATCATCCTCAGCAAACGGTACACCTTCAAGTTTTGCTCGATATGCCTCTACCCAGCGTCTCGGTAGCCCCATTCGCGGGAGCAATTTAAACATCGTTCAGATGGGTGGTGCACCTCCGCAAAATGGCGATGGCACTCCGATGAGCTATCTCTCGCAAGCCCTTAACGGTCCTGGTGTCGGTACGCCGCCACGGTTCGGTACTCCTTCTAGACTTGCTGCTGGAACTCCACCCCGAAGCCACACTGGTTCGCCACCCGTTGAATCTTCACATCCGGCTAGCGTCTCCGAATCCGTCGATAACCGAAACGGTCTCGAAAACCCAGCAGTCGTACGGAGACATCTTGTTCGCGAGGCTGTCTACGATGGTGACCTTGGTCCTTCTCGTGGAACTCTCGGCGGTGCTGGTTTGGACGATGATAGCAACACCGATGAGGAATTCTCGTCGTTACAACTCCAGGGTGGCGATATCACGCGTCAAATATATCAGTGGGATGCACAACAGCGTGACCAGGCTCGGAAGTTGAGATCGAAGAGTTTTATACTTCCACGGCCGGATCCACCAGATGATGCGACCGATATTACGAATATAAAGGTTCCGGGCGGTTTCAGGAGGAATTTTATTAGAAGGGCAGTAGGAACAAGCCCTGGGCCGGACGGGAGAGTGGGAACCAACCAGCCGGAGCTATTGACATCTAACTTCATTGAGTTCTTGAGCATCTACGGTCATTTCGCTGGTGAAGAGTTGGAAGAAGAAGAATACGACTCATCGGGTGTGTTGATACAGGATGATGAGGAAGGAGCGCCAGCAGATGAGAGAACAGGCCTGCTCCCTAGAGATAGAGCCGCAAAGAGGCCAACAAAGAGTGAAATTGCTCAAGGAAAAGGTAGCGTGAAGAGCGCTGTTCTGTTGCTGCTGAAGAGCTTCGTTGGAACTGGTGTCCTATTCTTGCCAAAGGCGTATGTAAAACCTGCACCCTAACGGTATAACTCTTAGACCAGCTACTAACGATGAAATAGATTCAAGAATGGTGGTATGTTATTTTGTATCCTGCTGTTGCTTGCAGTCGCAGGAATCTCCTATTGGTGCTTCGTCCTCTTGGTTAGGGCTAGAAATCAGGTAAATGGCAGTTTCGGAGACATCGGTGGCGTACTATACGGAAAATATATGCGTATAGCCATCTTGACCTCCATTGTCATCTCTCAGATTGGATTTGCCAGTGCCTATATCGGTAAGTTCTGCTAGAACAACAAACCCCTTGAAAAACATGGCTAACAGATAGGAAATCTAGTCTTTGTATCGGAAAACCTGCAAGCCTTCATTCGTAAGTGGGATTCTTCTGGAAAATCGTCTATCCGCAACTAACCGATATCACAGTCGCTGTCTCCAACTGCAAAACTAAGATCGAAATTCATTGGCTCATCTTGATGCAAATGATCGTTTTCCTACCGTTTTCGATGATTCGTGACATTTCCAAACTCGGTGGAACCGCTCTTATTGCTGACGCCTTTATCCTCCTCGGCCTCATCTATCTCTATTACTACGATCTATTCGAAATTGCAAGCAAGGGTGTTGCAGATATCGTTCATTTCAACCCGCAAGATTGGACGCTCTTCATTGGAACAGCTATCTTCACTTTCGAGGGTATCGGCTTGATTATCCCTATTCAAGAATCGATGAAAAGGCCTGAGAAATTCCCGAAGGTTCTTGGAGGTGTTATGATTCTCATTACGGCTGTATTCGTCAGCGCTGGTGCATTGGGATATGCCGCCTGGGGTAGCAAGACTAAAACCGTCGTCCTTCTCAACTTGCCGCAAGATGATAAGTTTGTCAATGGGTAAGCTGATACTACTCTCTCTAGTGTCGCGAATCGTCTAACTTTAGTACAAAATAGTGTTCAATTTCTTTATTCCCTTGCTATCCTTCTCTCCACGCCTCTCCAGCTTTTCCCTGCCATCCGTATTATGGAAAATGGTCTCTTTTCGAAATCTGGAAAGTATAGCAATAAGGTTAAGTGGGAGAAGAATATCTTCCGATTTTTCACTGTTATGGTGACTGCACTTATCGCCTGGGGAGGCGCGGATGATTTGGACAAGTTCGTTGCTTTGATCGGCAGCTTCGCTTGTATTCCGCTCGTTTACATGTACCCGGTAAGTTAATTAAAACCAAAACAGTTTTCCAGTATTGTGATTTTGAAGCTGATTCTAACGACTCTGGTAACAGCCGATGTTGCACTACAAAGCCGTTGCTAGGACCACTATTTCGAAAGTCGGAGACGTCGTCATCGGGATATTTGGGCTTGGTGTGATGATTTATACAACCCAGCAAACGGTTAGGAGCTGGTATGACGGGTCCGGAAAACCACCCTCCGAGGGATTCTGCAATCCGGCATAGGATGGAATTTTCTTTTTCCAAGAGTAGAAGGGTTAAAAGAATATTGAGTTTTGTACAGATGTACCACACGGTATAGACAGATATTTGCGACACTAGATGTCGCAGAAGAGGTATTACAGCATAGATGCGGGCTTATTGGAAGTATTTAGCGAAGGAATGTTGACAATTGATGGTTTGATTCTACTTTATGTTCTCTCTCCTTTTGTTCGTACTGATTTTCTAACGTATACTTGGGCTTTTGTATCCTTACGTCCCGTCAGTGACTACTTTTACGTTTACTTCTTTTTTTTCTACCACAAATTTGGTTCAATCATATTTTCTTTTTGTTAACACTTGGGTTATGTTTTCCTTTATATTTTAAGGCATTCTGCGAAGGACTAATGGCGATGGCCCGTTATTTTTCGGAATATGGGACGAGAAGGGGAACTCTGGGAGTCAAGGCTATTTTTTGGCATGGTTTATGTACCTAGATTTTTTTTTTCACAGGCCGATATGGCAACAGATTGGTCTAGAGTAGAAATAGAATCGAGTGTTTTATCTATAAACCTGACGTGAAACCAATCAGGTGTCTAGTGATCATTATCAAGGAACATATTAGGTACCCGCTATTCTTGTACCGGCACCCGCTATTGTTTAATTAGCTTCATGGATGCATAGATCTTATAACTAGTTAACAATTCAGGATTTATTGCCCTCCTATATCTGCGAATATACTCAGTTCTGGATTTTCGGTGTCCGTCCATTGAATTTCACCGTTGAATGTCTCTGCCCATTTGTAAATATCTTGCCTCATGACGTAAATCTTTTTCATCAAACGCCAGAATAACATGAAGTAATCGTGAATAAACTTTCGCAAAAATTCATGTTCCTTCTCTAGCGTCTTTAAGAACGGCGCCTCACCCGAGAACTCATCTCTTAGTCGCATATAACTTCTGTCAATGCTATCCCAGTCCCTATCGCTGGTGAAGGTGTCAATAGCATTTGTAATGTTCTTGAGACCAATTTCAAAAGTTAATAGATCAACCGGGTTGAACGAAAACCCCTGGCTTTCTCCCTCGGGAGTCGCTTCTTCCCTAAGGTTCATGAGGTATGCCATGAGTGGCCCTTTTTGGGAAACTCTTATACCACCGGCCCTGGATGTTACGATGTAGACTACCATGTCATGGATTACCTCCCACACTGCCATGACTTTTGGTTTCGTATCTCTAGGAACAGATAGCTTATAGAAATCCGGAGAAACTTCAAAATTCCACCATATAATATCCCTCAAATCGTCGATGTAATCCTGAGCAGCTGCAATTGTGTCTTCAAAATACTCCGGCGTCGTTATTGACGCTGTCATGACACTTTGTTGGTCGAATCCGTAGTTTAATAACTTATCCTCATTAGACCATAGATTTGGGTCTTGAAGATCCGCTATTAGGTCTTTTACTTTAAAGTAGATTCGACCGATCGCCTGGCTTAGAGGCGTTGACGTGTAACCGTTTGGATTCAAGCGAGGCCCTGGGAGAGCCAATGGCCTGGTTGTTGTTACCCATCGAACTAGATCGGTGAGGTTCTGACCGATTGATTCGATATTGGTAGGGTTTAGTTTGTAGAGTTCGACGAGAAGGTCGGTGTTCGTCGTGCCGATTATTTCAGCTGACGAGCTGTAAGAACGCAGAAGTCAGCTAATAATCACGAATTTCAAATACTAGATGTATGTATACGTGTTTTAACGTTTTATATTGAGCCCGGAATTTTGACTGGGAGCGTACCCTATGAAAGCGTTAAAGCAGTGAAGAACGAGTGTAAGGTTTATGAAAGAAATGAAGCGGCACTTCATTTTTCTGCTGTTATCTTGATTGGAATTCCTTTATCACGTTGGGATATCTTCAATTAGTGACTAGTCTACGGGTAGTTAAGTGGACCTCATGCATGTATACACACATACGTACTGGTACCATTAATTGGCTCTATTGCTCGAATAATTTGACAAAATAGCTCACTGGGAATACTCAGATACAGGAATAAAGCGAATGGCATTAATCTTCTACGGCTCATAGTATTGAACTTGCACCAATGGGTGAGATTCTATCTAAATTATTAAAACACCTAAATCATGTACGTATGGTTCGTTGCCAGGCCTTCAATTCGCGGATACAAATAGGATCCTGCGCGATGCCCCTAGATGAATATCTGCACTTGAAGCAATTGCTGTTTAATTCGCCAGCGCAGCTGAAATCAACCTCCCACCTACGTTTCATACTTCAAGTTCGAGCCTACTCGACCTCCAACATATGTACATCTTCTAAAATTTCTTTGATACCTTCCAAAATTTCCACCCAATCATCTAAGTATCTCTGAACCCAAACGATTGGTGATTTCCAATCGGAATAAATTGTTTTGGGAATGGGACCGCGAAACTCCGGATCCCGAATTTCCATTGTAAGCTCACGGCCTTGGAAAGCCATTTCCTTTATAGTAGTTGCAAGATCCGCTATTGTCAGCGTTTTGAAACGCGGTGCATCTATATCTATGGTTGCAGTAGTAACTTCCTTGTCTTCTCCTATCTCGTCCTCATCGTCTCCTTCGGGTTCGTCGAACGGTCTGAATGCATAAAGCCATTTTGCTAGCACTAGCGGGTTGTCATATCTGCTAAACGGGATACCGACGCCCAACTCTTGATAAAGCCCGCCTATAACATCAAAGACGGGCATGTCGATGATTCCATCGCTGTATCCTTGCCATACTCTATCTGGGACCCTAATTTGTCGTGTGTTAAGACTATCGGCCCATGCCAACGTTTGCTCGATTGTATTTGCGGACTGTTGCGTGGCACCGACGTCATGAGAACCCTTTGAATTAGGAGGTCCGGCTAACGACTCATCGATGACCCCTTTGACGTGTCTAACATCCATGTACAGTTCTTTGAGTTCTTCTGTGATCCTGTTATCATCTATATCTCTTTCGAGAGGGAATATATTTTTGAGTATTCCAGGCCCTTTTGCTTCCTGCATTCCTTTTCTGAGCTTTTTGTAGAGCATTTTGAAGCTGGCTTCATTTTTCTGGACGAATATGGCGAAATCTTTTGGATCGACGTTGACAGTTTCGCTGGACACTAAACTTGTTTGTTCGTTTATATGTTAGTCGTTCCAGTGCGCATTCTAATTCAGATCTTCTTCAGTTATGGATTTAACTAGTTAATAGTCTTACCTGGGGAATATGAGCCCAACATGAAACAAAATGGGAATCAGAAACATTTTGAGCTTCTGGGGTCATATACCGTAGCTCGTAACAGAGGTATAATTTTAAGGATCTTAAGAGGCGGCACGCGACAGTATAAGTACTTATATATGTTGAAGAATAAAACTTGTACTGGAAATATTAATACATCCCACTTGATATCGGAATGCATTTTGACCTAGCCAAGCAAAACCTTAGTGATTGATACTTGCTCAAATGTTACTATATCTAAGCTCTCACGAGCCGATTATTGGGGAAATTATTACAAGTTGGTGGCTATGACTATTAACTATTCTTGTACTATTATTAGGTACCTGGTTCGGTAGGTAAAAATTGTAACTACGTAGCTATTATGTTACAGTGAACCCGCGGAACTAGGCCTATAGATCTAGACCCTGTGCAAAATTAAAATGTAAAGATCTATATATCGTCCCATTCATGATTTTGGTTCATCCGCCCGAGTTGCTGGGCAAAGTCCCCACGGTTTAGTGGATTGCCTCGATTTTGCTGATTGAACTGATTTAATAAGTCTGCTTGGTTGCCTTGGTTCATTTGGTTTAGCTCTTCCAAAGCATTTGCCTCCCGATCCAGGTTTCTTTGCCGCTCTCTTATCATCTTGGCGTGGTCTTCGTCCACAGTCTCCCCAAATGGCCTGTCCGCTAGAAGCCTTACATTTCTGTAAAACCTTGTAACAAGCTCATGGTAGAATTCTAGGATTTCGATGATGCGGCTTTTAGTAACCAATGCCTCTGCTATCCATCGCCCCGATGACCTTTTCGGGAGAAATTTAAAGGCATTATCAAAGCCAAGTGAAAATGCCGCCAAGAACGCTCCAACCCCACCACTTATAGCCTGTAGGCTGTTCGCATAGTCCAGGGGCCCGTTCAGGTCGATTAGAACTTTTGAACCACGCCCCTGAGGCATGGAGTATAGATATGCAAAAATGCTGTCTAGGTCGCGCTCAAAGACCCAAGATTGATTGATTTCCAGAACGAGTCTTTCTAGCATGGATAACAGACTGTGTTTTTTGATTGTTTCTTCCGCCTTTCTGTGGTACTCATCGGTATCTACTGCGAACATTTCATTAATTTCGATATCCCATTCATCTGTACCATTTATAATAACTTTTTCGAGTCTTTCCAGCGCTTTAATTGTTCTATCTCTAGCTTCTTCGTTAATTAATCGATAATTGAAGGGCATTCCGGCTTCCAGTCTTTGTGCCTCTGGTGTAAACGGGACCTCATCGTAGTCCACCTCTTCAAGAAGTTCGGTAATATTCCCAAGAGTCGGTTGCATATTGTCTAAGAGAGTTGTTAAAGAAGGCGGTATCGGGCCCACTGGAATATTATCATCGTCATCGTCATCGTTAGGATCACCGTTAATGTCGATTCCATCATTAAGTTCGTCTTGTTCCATTAAGTCCTCGAATCGCATTGCCCTAGGGGCTTCTTCTTCTTCCTGGTCAACTTGTTGGGCTCGTATCTCTCTTTGTCTGGCTCTTCGGGCTATGGCGTCTGCCCTTCTCTCTCTTTGCAAGATGTAATCTGCCTCGATTACCTCGTCCCAGCCAACTCTGTCCTTATGCATGGCGTCTGTTTGGATGGTGTTGATTATTGGGGCTATGGCTTCAATGTATGGACGTTGGAATGCCATATATTCTTCAATTTGTGCTCTCTTGATTGCTTTTCTCCCTGCAGTGGCGAAGCCGGCCCTGTATTGACGATTATAATTTTAGCATTCGATAGAGGCCATACCTGCATATTTGGCATGTGGAAACGGGGGGTGCCGGGGGATGGGGGGGACGCAGATTGACACTCCCAACTGGGGACGCATTGTTGATACTTTTCTGCAGTGATAATATACGTGGAGACAGAATATAATACAGTATTTATCTCGGTAGATACTAGGAAGACTTCCACGGATCGAGTAGCTGTATCGGCAGAACGTGGCAATGATCTTGCCTTTTATGCCCGTAGCTATAAGTTCCAGATATTTCACTAGATATTCCAAGCTGAAAGTAGAACAGACTTCTAATTTCCATGTTTCTTGAGAGGCGTACTGCCAATTCTCGAAGCAATGTGGGTTCTATTAGCTCAAACGGTGTCTAACTGCTCACCATTCGTCCCGAATCCGGCAGAACGCCTTGTGTGTTGTCCTTGTGGTAAAATACATAACCACGTGACTTCGGTGCTCACGTGACAGGCCTGAATTTCTTAGCTTGGACATTTTGACCTTCAAAGAAGTTTACCGACATTCTTGAAAACTTACACATGAGATAACCACGGCCGCTACGCCCCTTCGAAACCGAGCGATTACGACCCAATGGCTGCCACGGCAAGCTCATCATACGTCGCTCTAGCCAAGACGCTACACCCGCGGCTTCTTCGATTCTTTAGAAGATGGCCACCCGGTACGGCTGAGGCACCGAAACTGAACCCGTTCACGAGCACCGTCAACCCGGCTACTGGAAAATGGCAGGATCCAATTTTTTCGCTCCGACGTCAGGCCGATATTTGCAAATTAGCGAGAAAATTTGGAGTAGAGGAGCTATTGCCGCCTACGCCTAAGAGCTCGATGAGCCGAGAGAAGAGGGCATCCGAAGTGAAGAAGGTGACGGCGAAGAAGGTCAAGGGTCAGATCTGGGAGAGAACATTGATGGAGAAGTATGTGGCCTTGGAATTACTGTATGGTTATTTGGGACAGGATGCTGATTTAGGTGTACAGGGTCAACAAGCGGAAGAAGGCAATGTTGAATATGCCGGCCATGATCAAGGAATGGAAGCTGGCATGTAGTCTTTCTCTGAGTGCTCGATGGTATTTTTACTAACTGTTTTACAGAAAGGACATGGTCGTGGATGGAAGGAATGGCCAAAATAAACTTTATCACGCAAGAATCAACTGTATATACTCTTCATGCGGGAATTTGTACGATATATTACGACGAGCCAACCACAATAAATATCAGGTTTATCCAACACCAACTCGCTAGGAAAAAGTATCTCGGAATATGATGAACTCCATAGCACATACACGACCCTTAACGGTTTTTAAAAAAACTAGAAGGAAGTTTGATTCCCTCATCAACGACCTTGTATAGTTGGCCGAAGTTGACCCTGTAAGCCCATACAAGGAGCTGAAGATCAACTACCGGCTTCCTCACAAGTTGAATATTTTCCTTCTTCACTAATGCCTTTTCCAAATTTCCCAACCACCCTCCGAGGCGGTGACCCACCGAGTCGAGCACTCTCACAATCGCCTCAAACGCGATTCTGATATCTTCCTTAGATTGTGTGTTATATCTTACAACCCGGTCGCCTATGAAATCTGTGCTCAAAGAGGTGGCATTATAGAGCCAATACGATAGCGCTTCTGGATCCCTCAATGGAACCTTCCCGGAGACTGCTTTGTATAGATTTATAATAGCCACGAAAACCTCAGTCTTGAAAAGTCCCCCAGTTCTCGTCTCCCATATGTCTATCTTAAGTTCGACTGGAGAATTGATGATTTGGTCCATTAATACTTCGAACTTGCGGAGCATCGGTTCGCGGCTACCTTCTATCTTATCGAGCAACTCTTTTTCAAGAACACTATCGTCGAGCACGTCGGAAGCCGAATTGAAGCTGCGCTGAGTATCCCCAAGAAATCCAATTTCAGAATCCAGAGCCAGATCTAGCTGCTCTTGTGCCGCAAGATAAGCACGCTCCATCGGTATAGCATAGTTTCCCATCAAATCTGATGCCAAACTCTGTCCAGTTAACATCCTTACGGACTCCCCCTCTGTGACAAATTCATTTGCCTCGTTATCTTGAATATCCGCCTCGTCGAAACCTTCCTTTACCCTTCGAACCGCTCTCATCCCGTCGATTATTTCAATGGTTAAAGTTGCTAGACCCTTTGGCCCATTGTTCAAGAGTGCTTTATTGATTTGTTCGACCGTAGTCTGAAGAGGATGCGTGGTTTCAATCTTGCTAAAGAGTTCCACCAGGCTCTCACCGAGTCCTCTGAAGTACCATGCTGGCTTGTTTTTGTAGTCTAGCCAGTACCCATTGTTAATGGGCTGTGGAGATTCTAACCATTCAATCCATTTCTCGTGTTTTACCACACCTTTATAACAGTTCCTTGAAAGGTATATCAATTAGCGACCTTTAAGCTTTAAAGTTGGATTTTGGAATATTGCAGTCGGACAGCTAGAGACTTACGCTGTAGGAAGAATTACAAAACTCACCCAAAACACAACCGTCGCACATTGACGTGAAGCGCATAACCTCATGATGACTTTAGTTCATTACATACATGCACGCACTCATTATTTCGGATTCCAAATTTTCAATTTCCCGATTCGAGATTATTCAGGAAATTAAAGTTTATCTTCACTATGGGGTATGAGATATTTGTGGGTGGGCAAAATCTTCTATAACGCTCTCACTCGTGCTCGAGGGCGCAAGACTTAAATCCCTCTGCACGCCATGCAAACACAACGTGAAGAGGGAAGCTTCTTGAATGCTAATGTTCACAAGTACTCGAATACTATCCTATCGTGGAGGACCGGCGAAAAAATATCAAGAGGTTGTTATCTGAAATCACTGCGGCCAAATATGAAACTACGAACGACACTTCAGTATCTCGCCATCGGGCTCACAGCCTTCCCGATTCCCTGTGTGTAAGTCTATTTTTCTTTTATCCAGACATTTCTTCAAGAAATCCACCTTAGTTCAACAGCTTAACTGACATTATTATGGTCATTCCCGATATATATAGAAACGCAGCTCTGCGCTACATGACCATTGAAAATTTCGAAACATGGGTGCATGGCAACGAGGCAGCATTTACAACCATCGGAGAAGATCTGAGATGGTTGATCTACCTTAGTCAAATAGACCGCCCATTGACTTTAGAGTCACCTGATGCCGACGTCGCAAGATCCCTAGAAACGACGTATGAAAATGTGAGGAGTGTGTTTGACGACCTCCAGAAACAGTCTAACGTAAGTATTATACTCCAAACACCACCATGGATCTTTAATCATACTATATTCAAACGAATATTGCTCTTGCATCAACATTAAGAAACTAATTCTCAATTCTTCATCTTTTAAACGAAAAGAGGGGAGATATTATACCCACTGAGGAGGAGGGTCAAACAGTACATAGGGACCATTTCTTCGTAGCTGAGACCATGAACCTCCATAGCATGGTATACGAGTTCAAGATCAACCTTCCTCGGAACGTTTGGAACAACAGAATAGACAAAGAACCGCTCGAAGGGGTAACCCCTATTGAAGCCACTCAAAAACTCGTCCAGTATCTAGAAAATAGTGGACTGGATTTAACCGACCCGGTAGCAGTGGCCATGTGGGTTCTTGATGGAAAGGATATTGTCACTGGACGAGGATCCGAGACTACGGTCATTTCTTACAATACCGCCTCGCTTAGGACGTTACGATCAGCCTTTAAATCTATATTTGATGGGTATAAAGCTATTGCGGAGGTAATCAACAGGATTTACAATGATGCGGGACGTCGGTATCAAGACCCCTTATACCAGGAACCGCTGTTTGCTATTGAGACTCCGCTTCGGCGACTTCAGAATTTCATGTTTGCTTATCAGAATGTATTTTCTGATCGACCGCCGCTTAAAATTCCTGTCAGGAGCACAACGTAAGTGGAAATTTAGCAGATAGGTTTATAGAGCCCTAGTTCCGTTGTTTTGCACAGTGTCGGATTTGGTTATCGAGGCAACATCTCTTGCCCAGCTTCCACGCATCCAACCAGGTATTTACGGCACTAGCGATCGCTAATTAGAAGTGAACCAAATTACCACTGAAAGGCTTGTTTTTTGTAACACCTTCATTCTTCAAATAGACTACCTTGTCAATATAAACTTCATCTATCTCACACGTAATTTCTAAATTTCTAAACCGGAGACCAGGGTGTAGCGATTCGAGCTCTAAGGGTACCTAGTTTATTAATAAAATTAAACTGCTAGATACATATACACTATAGCATATAAAAAAGTAGAAACTAAAACATTGTAACCATTCGTGACTCTAACTAGTCATCCTTACTACCTCGAATAAGAAAATCACATTAATGGGAGTCTTAGGAATGCATCATCATACTAAGCAAGTTTCGAGAGTATAAATTTTCGTGAATAACCTCAAGTTTGCATACTCCCCTAAGCTCCAACCTGTATAAAACGTACAAGCTTGTGTACGGAACCGTGAGAAAAACGATGGTTGTAGAATTTGTATCGTTGACACCGACGAGCTCCATCCCGAACTCGCCTCGCAATTTATGAAGCCATTGAACAATCACCCGAGTAGATTTATCGTTTATGCTGCTATTGATGTGAACTTTCAAGGCTAAAGAGTGCTCTTGAGGCCTCCAAGACTCCAGAGCTAGTGGATCAGATGGAACAGCAGTTGAAGCCGGCGGCGGGCGGTCCAGAGATTTGACGGGTAAGAGGATCGGAACTTCTCCGAATAGCATTCGGTATACCGGTTTCGATTTAGGAGAGTCTTGTTTGCGATTCTGCATCCTCTTCAGAATCTCAGGGAAAGTGACAATTGGTTTTCCCTCGTCGTAGGCCATCGAGCGCATCTCGTAGATGAGTCTTTGCGTAAATGTCGCCGTAATATTATGCGAACTTCTGGTGGTGGTTAGAGATCCGGCATCTGTTGCTGCCAATACCTCCACTGTTTTGTCGGATAATTGTACTGGCGCGACAAAAGCTCCTGAATAGCAACAATCTAAAAAGAAAGTGACATCTACCTCGCCGTGAAGCTCAGTTCTGTTAGGTCTGAGTAAGAACTCGCTAAGGTTAATCCAGTGAAGCGCTTGCTTGTATGGTGTACGTGACTGGTTTCCTTGGAGCTCTAACTCGCCTAAAGAGTTAAGAGCGCCGTGGCCGGCGAAGTGCAGTAGAAGTAGTTTCCTTCCAGTGCAAGAGTCTTTCAATTTCTGTATCCAATCTGGAATCGTACGGACCCAATGTAAATCTGCATGCATATCCATTGGAAAAACGAACTCGAATATGTTCTCGTCGATAAGACCAAAGAGCTCTTTCATCGCTGCAGCGAATGCTTTTGAATCCGCTTTGGCACCCGCGTCATCGGTCTCAAACGACATTGTAACCAAGAAAACTAGTTTATAGTCGACGTTTCGCTGCTTAATTGCTTCATCGAGTTTCTTGCGTAGCTCAGCTTCGGCTTCAGCAGGCTGGCGTTGAGTGACATTGGATTGAGATTCCATACTTTCGGACTGGATCTTTTCAATGTTAGTTAAAGCTCTCAGGTTTGAATATCGAAATCTTAAACTGTCGGGGTCATGTTGGGTGGTTGCGAGGGACGTTTTGTTAACTACTTAAGTAGGTGGTTGGTGATGGTAAGGGCTACCTTACCTGTGCCTTTAGATTATCCCTGGCGCGTCCAGATTAGCCTGCTCCTTTCTTTGTAGTTCTTTCTCAGTACTGAAGGTGCCTTTAATCCCTAAATTAGAGCGATAGTCTCATGATCAGCGATCCTTCTTGTGTTGGGCAACGTGCGTGGTATTTCCCGTTTGAGCCGGACAAAAATACAACAAATTGGAAGCAAGTGCAAGCCTGTTTACCATTTTTACGTAGCTGGATTTGGTATTTATATTTACTAGAAATACTAGAATTAGTGAAGGTTGTTATTAAGATCACGCATGTGCACTTTATTAAATCGAGTTACATGAAAGATCTGGAATTAGGGATATCTCGTATGCTTAAGCGGATATTTATATTTATCTGGAATCTGACCTGTTGTCGATCTAGAAGCTATGGGTGAATTGGACAGTAGTTGTGTATTTATTGTCATAAATATCGACATACTTCTTTAATATACATTAAAGAAGTATTCTTGAAACCTTGAGACTAATAGAAGAAGATTTGGCGGATATCGCGAGTATTTGTTTTCGAATATATTTGTTGCGTTTGGGAGTATACATGGAAATAATATACTTAGTAGGTACTTAGGTGTATAATTGAGATTAATCGATTCTCAATCTACTTATTTAGCTTCTCTGCTTGATAAGCTACCGTATACCTTCTCCTAGGAACTGTCACCGCCCCCTTATTTATTATACGCACTAGAAAGGACCCCTCAAAGAAATATTAAATATGCCGCCAGCCTCAGACCATAGACAAACAGGCATTGAAAATTTCGACCAAGAATTGCATCTCGAACGGTATGGCATCACGCGTAAACGGGTGCGATTGACTAAAATCTTCCCAAGTACTCTTCCGACAGACTCAGAGCCAGATTTCAGAGCACTTGTTCAACACTTTGATAACTTGTGCAAGCCATATCCTAAATCTAAAGACTCCTTGTCCCAAGATCTGCGAAGGTACATCACAAAGATTACTAAATCAGGGACCACCGTCCCGACCAATGCCACGGCCGCAGAGAAAAAACAAAACCAGGGCACGATCGAAACTCAAGACCGGGACCAAGACCAAGAATATCTTCTCCACAGAGTTGTAGGCCGAGTTTTCGGTTTCCTCAAGGGACGACAATGCCTCCAAAGCAAGGAAAAAGAAAGCGATATCGACAAGGAAATGCCGTTCTTTGTCACCCCCAGGAAAGTAAACATGATATGGACCAATCCAAAGGGAATAGTCGGGGCATGTGGCTACAGAGCTACTACCCTGGGAGGAATCGTCGGCCCTATGGAGGCTCGAGCCGGTTCTCCTGGCAAGTGGGGCATTCTAGTAACTTTTCAAGCGGTATTTATCCCCTCTTCTACAAGTTTATCATTTCTCTTACATCTAAATTTCACCCCATGAAAACCTTCGCTCAATATACATACATACCTATATATGTAGTATATGCCTATAAATACCCGCGAAACCTCTTACACTAAAGAAAAAAAACACCAGAGATACACCCATGCTGATATATATACATTTCACAGTCCCCCCTCAAAAATACTCTACAAACCCATCAAATACGAACCCACCAGCCTGCCACCGATGCCGGATGCTTAATCGGTCAAGCAACTTACAACCTCCATCGTGCCCGTAACAAAAGACGACACCGCCAAAATCGCGATAGTATTTGCATGACTATTAACAAGACTTTTATATACTTCTCACGGGCCAAAGTTCTGGCCAAAGATCTAAGACACTATAGACAATATATCGAGCCCTCTGAGACGAAAAAGGAGATATTATATACACCAGAGTTTGATTTCTTGGACGGGGAAGAGGGGAGGAAGGAGTTATTGAGAGGCATCATGGCAGTTTTTAGGATTTTGAGGAGAAATGCCAGGAGGTTTTTGGAGGATGATAGAGATAACGACGATGACGATGAGGGAAGTCGGAAGAGGGTTAAGGCTTAGACGTGAATACGCGAGTGGAATAATATCACGTTGTCACGATATCGCTGAGGGATATAAGTGGACAATATTATGAAGGTACGATCAAAATATAGCTTGTTATTCGATTCTAGCATAGAACACGGCCATTTTCAAAGAGCCGGTTTAAACAAGTCTGCATAGCGTTAGGTATGGATATGCCTTATAAGCTTATTATATTATCAACCCGAGATCGTTACTTCAAATATGCATTCAAACATAGCCCATATAAAGTAAGGCTTCGATTGATTCCAAGAACAAACTTCAGATTTACTTCACCCCGCGATGTCGTAAACTGTTAACCAGAAATTATATATCCACGGTACTTTGCCAGCACTATATCGTGGCCACGCTGGGACAGCTCTGGCTCGAGACTATGTCATATGTAGTATGTATGGCCAGACTACCAAAAAATTAGCAACAAGTTGACTTGGTCTAGTAATAATCTAAATATATCAAAAAGTTCAAACTACTCTCTCCCTCAATATTGTAATTAAAACTCTAAATTCCATAATCAGTCTTTAGTATAATGTCAATAGTCTTATCCAATAACGTCGTACAACCTCTGCTCCAAAAATGCAACAGCAAGCCCCCATCGACCGAATCAACACATTCCAAGCCATGTTTTTAACCCCCCAGCCGATAGCACGGAAGATCGAGTTTAGTTTCGTCGTACAGCACAGTCCAGTACATACATTCCGTGCAGGTATAAGCGAAGCGAAAACCTTATTTTTCCCAGGTGTTTTTTCCAAGGAATCGAAGGTAGTTGGAAACTGCGGGGCAATTGGAAACGTTACTATTGCATTATATTATATCAGCCACCACCGCACCGGCCGTTCCTTAAGATAGACTCATAGCATCTACTTGGATATAAATACCCCCCCGTTATATTATTACAGTCTCATACTTTTATCCCTTCCACTATTAATTAAACATACTATCCAATTGACTCAAAAATTACCGGGAATTGAAAAGACTAAACCAAGATGTTCGAAGGTCTAAAAGGTCCCGGAGAATCACAATCCAAAGATGGTAAATACCCCACCCTACCCCCACCATCCATCCAAGCCCCCATAACATCCTCAAATATTTATATTTACATATAATTAATATCATGATAAAATAGGCTCCTCCCTCCGCATCGGAATAGTCCACGCCCGCTGGAACACAACCCTAATAGAACCCCTCCTAGCCGGTGTAATCTCCCGTCTAAAAGCCTCCGGCGTCGACCCCTCAAACATAATAGTCCAATCCGTCCCAGGATCCTGGGAACTCCCCATAGCCGTTCAACGTCTCTACTCAGCCTCTCAAATCCAAGCTTCGACTTCTTCTGGTGCATCCGGTGATTTATTAGGTTCTGCGACTGACCTACCCAGTCTTGTTGTTCAGGGTAGTGGTAGTGGTGCCGAAACAGGGAGTAAAGGGGATGGGAGTTTGAAGGCTTCTAATACTGGAAGCAAGAAGAGTGAAGGGCCGTTTGATGCGATTATTGCTATTGGGGTGTTGATTAAAGGGGAGACCGTGCATTTTGAACATATCGCTGAGGTTACTAGTCGTGGGTTGATGAGGGTGCAATTAGACTTTGGGGTTCCGTTGATTTTTGGACTTTTGGTAAAATTTCCACATTCATATTCTTTTTACATTAATTACGTTTCGTTTGAGGATAGTATACTAATATTTACTGGGAATAGACGGTTTTGAACGAAGAACAAGGAAGAAGACGGGCGGGATTGACGGAAGACGGTCATAACCACGGCGAAGACTGGGGCGATGCAGCAGTGGAGATGGCGATTAAACGAAAGCAGTGGAACGAAGGTGTCATTGTATCTGAAAGATCTGTCTAAAAAAAGATAACTTTTCTTCTTCCTCTTCTTTCTATCTAAAAAATCCAATCCCAATATCTATTGATGCCCAAATATCTATACCCCGTCCCATCTCATTCATCATGATGCTATATACAAAAAAAACCCCCCGACGGAAGCAGAAGAGAAGAAATTTATTTAAAGGCTTCATGCATAGGAAACACCCCATCCGCATTCTTCTCAACCACTCCATTCTCCGTAACAATAGCATCAATCAAAGCCGCAGGTGTAACATCAAAACTGGGATTAAAAACGCCAATCCCATCAGCAGCCTGCTTAACACTCCTAACATCTTCCACATTAACCTTCACCGTCCCATCATCCTTCCCAGGAACATTAACAACCGTCGGTCCCGAAACCACCAAAACCTCCCACCCAGGCCTCTGCTCAATCTTAATCCCCTCTCCGCTCTTAGTCTCCAAATCAACAGAGGTAGTTGGCGCCGCAACCACAAATTTAACTCCAAAGTGTTTGGCAATTATAGCTAATTGGAAAGTACCAATTTTATTCGCAGTATCTCCGTTAGCAGCGACTCGGTCGGCTCCAACTATTATCGCCGAGATCTGTTGGTGGGAGAGAAGAGAAGCAGCCATGGAGTCGGTTATTAAAGTAGAAGGGATCTTCTCGTGGACTAATTCGTAGGCTGTGAGTCGGGAACCCTGGTTATAGGGTCGAGTTTCGGTGCAGTAGGCATGGGAGAGGGAGGTATCGGAGTGTAAGGACCGGATGATGCCGAGGGCCGTGCCGTATGAGGCTGTTGCCAGGCTCCTGTTATTTATTCCATTAATATTCTTCTATATTCTTCCCCTATACGATAGTAGGCTAAGTATTAGAGACGAAGGTACACACCCGGTATTGCAGTGGGTAAGGACTTTTATATCAGAAGTCTTCCCAACAGCATTCTGGATCCACTGGGCGCCATGATGTCCAATCGCCTTATTATCCTCCACATCCTGCGTCAACATCTGTTCTGCAGCCTCAATAAACGTCTTTGTGACAATCTCCGGAGTTTCATTTGCAACGGAATTCGTAAGCGACTTTAGTTTGTTAGAGGCGTCAGCCAAGTTCACTGCTGTAGGGCGGGAAGTAACGAGGTAGTCTAGTTTCTGGTGTATTTCTTCTTTTGGGTTGGAGGAAGGAGGGTTGTTATGGAGTTCCACGGCGAGGGAGAGGACGGCGACGATGGCAATGGCGGGCGCACCCCGGACTTGCATTGTTTTGATGGCATTCCAGGCGGTTGTTACGTCGGGGACGGAGATGTAGATTGATTGGTGGGGGAGGAAGAGTTGGTCGAGGATTGAGAGGGTGCCTCGGGTGTATTTGATAGCTTGAAGAGCCATTGTTTATTTTTTATTATTATTCTATTATTTTTGTATTTTATTTTATTTTTGAATTTTATTTTTGTTTATTTGGTGATGATTTGTAGATGCGATGGGGGGAGGAGATGGAGGTGAGGGGTCAGGGGTGGGGTTGAGATGGGAGGGAGATGAGATGCTAGATAGAATGATAGAAGAAGAGGTGGCGGCGGCGGCGGGGTGAAACTATTGCGCGATTTGGGCCCATCCATAGAGAAAAAAAAACCATTATCGGGAGTAGCTGGGGATCTGATGGTTATCAGGCAGTTACCGTTTGACCGGGTAGTTCCCCTTAGTATGTCCGGTATTAAGTCAGTAACCGGGGTGTAGAACCCCATAGCTAGTGTCTGTATATGCACCTGGCCTAGCGACTGGGCATAGAAAGCAGAAGCTTTATAAGCCATAGAAACAGAAGCTGCAGCTGCGTCGGGCTTGTCGCGGATCAAAGTTCTTGGCCAAAAGACTTAGTTACCTACCTCTTAGTTACCAACAAAAACGTTACGGGGTGATCAGGTCCAACTCGGCCCAGCGAGAGCCCGGCCTGCCGACGGATCTTAGAAATCAGGAACAACTTTAACTCCGCCGCAGAGCAATTCGCCGGCCGAAAGGGCGCCGTTCTAACTGTTATCACGCCTAGTCTGGGTACTTTTGAGGTAATAGGTAATAACAGCAGTGGGAGTAACAATGAAAGAAGTAGTAATGGTAGTAATAGCAGTAATAGCAGTAGTAATAGTAGGAGCAGAAGTGGAGGCATGAAGAAACAGGTGGATCCGCTCATTCCCGTCAAATTCACATTCCAGATGACATTGCAGGTACTCGACTCACACCACGTTTAAATTTACTTTTATCTACTTCGCTCTCTCTTCTTCGCTCTCTCTTTTCTCTCTCTCTCACTTCCCTTCCTTCTCGCCCAGTAAAACAATCTTACACATCTTTACTTTTGGACTTTCAAAAGTACTATGACACCCGTGGTATAGAGTGGTGGGTGGAATCATTACATCAGTTTCGCCCGTCATGGAAAAACAGCAGCAGTTCGAGTACGTCAACACACCGGCAGGGGCGCCGACGGGCCTGGTCGAACGACACCATCATAACACCAACAGCAGTAACAATAATAACAACTACCACGACATCCACACAAGAACACCGGAACCGTTCCTCCAAAAATACCTAGGAAATCCCAAATATCTTCTGCCCTTAATCGGTGCTATTTTCTTGCTAGCGGGGCATTTCAATGGATTTCTCTCAAAACGTGCCGATGTGGACCTGACGAATGCAATCGAGGTCTTCAAACCACATTCCCCGCCGGCTTTGACAATAGACGAACGAACAGATCGTATTCTATCTTCTGTTCCCCTGATTGGTATGTTTCATCGTTAATCCTGAAATCCCGAGTTATCCGACCCCTGTATTAATTATATCTCCCGTGTTATGTGGGTTGCGCAGATACCCATATCGACCTCCCAATCCTCGCCAGAGCTCTCTACCAAAACCACATCAACGCACCGAACTTCACCGTTCCCTTCAAAACTGGTGGTTTATACGGCCATATCGATATCCCACGCCTCAAAACTTCAAAGCTAGGTGGTGTTTTTTGGTCAGTTTTTACACCATGTCCGGCAGAATCAAAGGATCTGTCGGAATCCTTCAAAAATGAAGTTTATTACGAATCAATTCACGATACTATCCAACAAATCGACCTGATGAAGAGGATTGTACGGAACTTTCCGAATGACTTTGGATTTGCCAAATCGGTGGATGAATTCGAGGATGTGTTTTATAAAAGTGGTGGTAGTAGGATTGCGAGTGTTTTGGGAATTGAAGGGTTACACCAGATCGGAAATTCGCCGGCTGCTATTAGGTTGTTTTATGAGGTTGGAGTGAGATATATCACTCTAACACATAATTGCAATAACCTTTATGCCGATGGTGCAGTGAGTACTCTCTCTCAATCCTATTTCTTTAATCTTAAGACGTCACACAAAGAAGATTTCAATTATTTCAAAAGAAAATTATACTAATGGCAATAAAATAGATCGTACCCGCACCCCACTGGAACGGTCTAAACCCCAAACTAGGTCCCGGCTTAATCCGCGAATTCAACCGTCTAGGAATGATAATCGACCTCTCCCACGTCTCAGCCGCCACAATGCGTGACGTCCTCTCCATTTCCGTCTCTCCCATAATCTTCTCCCACTCATCATCCTTCTCCCTAACCCCCCACCCTAGAAACGTCCCAGATGACGTCCTTCAATTGGTCAAAAAGAATGGAGGAGTAGTACAAGTCAATTTCGTACCGGACTTTGTAACACAATCAGGGGATGGAAAGGCTGGTTTGGAAGATGTGGCGGATCACGTTGTTTACATTGCTGAAAAGGTTGGATGGGAACATGTGGGGTTTGGAAGTGATTACGACGGGAATGATGTTATGCCTGATGGATTAGAGGATGTGAGTAAGTATCCACAACTGATTAAGGAGTTATTAAGGAGAGGAGTGAAGGATGAAGATGTTAAGAAGACTACTGGAGGCAATGTCTTAAGGGTTTGGAGGGAGGTCGAGCGGATTGCTGAGAAGTTGCAGAAGGAAGGGGAGAAGGAGCTGGAGGATGAAGTTGAGAAGATGAAGTTTGAATTGTAATTAAAACCCAAAACTTCCTTTATTCTGTCATCTGTTTTTGCTATTGCATGCCTCTTGAGTCCTTTTTCTTTTCCCCCTTTTGGTTCTTGGTTATGTTCTTTTTTTGGTTGGATGGCGATGATAGGCGATACCCTTATGACCTTTTCTTGTTTTTTTACTTTGTATAGTGAGTGGTCTCTCTCTCTCTCTTGGTTTTTGTAGACACCATAAATTGGTTATATGCATACATTCATGTTTTATGTAATTTGGCTCATGGTATCGATGGGCTTGCAGAGGGTGCTATAGTGGTGGTACCGATTTGGGGATATTCTACAAGGTAGAAGCGGCCCGAGGAATAGTTATGTCTGGTACAACAGGAACAGGTATGTACAGTCTGGAGACGTATGGGATCGGATGAGATATATGTTTTATGTACATGTATAATACTGCGCCGAAAAAGATATGTTCAAGTTAAGTGGAAGGAAAGGAAAAAAAGGGTATAATAGCCGCTCATTAATGTAACCATGATGTCGACATCGGTCGAGATGTCTCCTGCAGGTATAAATCATAGGGTAACTCCGAACGTTTCCTGCCTTTAGACACTTGAATCAATACCCAATCACGATATTTTTTAAGCTTCTGCTCAGCCTCAGCAGCACCTATTGCCCCAGCCAGCTGTAACCTCCTTAATATGTTGAAGGGGCCCTCCGCCGCCATAGCTATGTTGAGCATTTTGTCCTGGGCATCAAGACAGCCACGTCTGAAGGCAGCATCCACTGCGCTTCCGTTTCTACTCCTTGCGTTCACGTCCGCACCCTCGCTCAGTAACGTTTCTACCAGATCATATGCAGTCCATCCGCCTCCACAAGCTAGTGCCAGCGGGGTGTTATATTTTTGGCTTCCGATCTGGGCGTTGACATCCGCACCTGCACTCAAGAGCGACTTAGCGACTTCAACCTGTCGCGGCGCGAAACCCGAAATTGCACATGCCGCACACAACGCACTTCCATACAGCCCACCCTGGGCATTCACGTCGGAACCAGCGTCCAGTAGTATTTTAGTAAGTTCATGACTGAAGTGATCCCCACTTTCGGACACGTTCATAAACCCAGCAGTGGCCTGTAGCACGTTGCCATATAAGCCCCCTTGGGCATTGACGTCCGCCCCGGCCTCTAGCAGCATCTTGATGACCTCTTTGGCTGGTTCTTTGTCGCCGCCACTTGCGTGGGCAATACTTTCAACTGCGGCTTGCAATGCATTTCCGTATAATCCGCCTTGGACATTAACATCGGCACCAGCATCCAAAAGCATTCGGATAATTTTAATCATTGTATAGTATACACTATATCTAGATCTCTGCAGTCTGCTTGGTATTGCTGCTGCTGCTTGAAGTGCGGTCCCGAATTCACCCCCATTGGCGTTGACGTCCGCACCTGCACCAATTAACTTTGCTAGAAAGGAAAGTGTAGATGCTAGCACTTCGTCTTCATCACTCATGGGAGCGCAATGGATAGCGGTCTGTAGCACATGGAAATAATTTCCTGCGGTAATATTAAGATCAGCGCCGGCGTCTAACAATAGTTGGATGATATCGTTTGCCTGAATTGATACGGCCGCTTGTAATGGGGTCCCATAATATCCTCCTGGGGCATTCGCGTTAACGTCATAGCTAGTTGGAAGGGTTAAGACTGTTTGAACGAGCTTTGGGTAATTTTGAATAGAAACAGCGTAAAGTAGACTCGCATCTTGGCTACACTGGTACCTTGATCTTCCGGGGATATCATGGCGAAATATGTCGCATACGGATATCAACTCGTGGACTAGCTCGCGCTCGGGAGTATTAATAAGCTGCGTGATAATCTTTTGGTGTCCACTTTCTGCTTTCTCTGAATGGTAGAAAATATTTTCTGCTGCATACTTCAGAAACGGGTAGTTTCGATTGAGGTAAATTTCTACGTCAGGGATTGACTCTAGTGAGGGTTCCTTCGCAAGATCTTTCATCCTAAGGTACTCCAGACAAGAAAATGCGATTCCTTCGTCGCCAAATCCCCCAAAATCCGGAGCCATTCGTGAATGGAGGGTTTGAAGTCTGTTATTTCGTAGTAAAAAGTCCTCCACAGTTTTGTGAATGAACTGGACACGGGTATCGCTGTCATCGCCATAATACCAATTTCCGCATACTTCGATAAGCCCTCTCGAATGGTTGATAATAAAATTTTTGATAATTTTGTCCATCAAGCTAGTCGATGTATCATGCCGTCGTAGACTTTCAGGTTTCGTTCCCGCCTTGACAGCATAATACAATTCTATTGGCGCAAGGCGGCCTCTGCGGAAGAGCATAAACTCGAGCATAAAAATGGTTTGGTGTTTTTCTGGATTGTCTATTTCCAACAACGTGCTGAAAACTGCATCAAGGTCTGGCGGCAGCTCTCGGAGGCGTATCCAAACGGCATCGATGTCACCATCATCATACGCCCGATTCAACAATCCCACAACCAAGATAACCCACATAAAAAGCCCTTCGGCCTTTTTGCAGAGCTCATATTTGATGTCGTTGTTATCGATCCTAAGTTTGGCTTCAACGTATATAGCGATGTCCTTGTTGTGCCCTGCTATTCCTTCTATGGTGAGATCTAGTTTTTTCGCCATACTAATAGTCGGATAGTGTCTACTCGATAAACAAACGTTTAAAGAATTTTTGGCAGAAGCTATAGTGACCGAACTCAATGTTTCTAGAAAATTGACGACCATCCGAACTTCAGATTCATCGCATTCATCCAAAGCATCCACGAGTAGTACTACTGGCTTTGTCGACGAAGCTACGGACTCTAACGTAATAGCTTCGAGCTCATCTTCCCGCCACTCCCAAGAGTAGGCATGTTTTTTTTCTTTATCTCGGAAACGTTGAAGAAAGGCACGGTAGGCCCCTGAGTCGTTATCGCATATCTGATATAACAAGGAACGAAGCATCCCGTACCGAGACTTTTCCAGTCCTTGGCCCCGTGTACTGAAAAAATAAGCCGCAATAGAGTGGGATGGGATTTCTCTCCGGCAGTAGAGAAGGGTATGTTTCATCAGCGTTGATTTCCCGGCTCCCGGTTTCCCTTTGATCCAGAGCACCCCGTTGAAAGTTTCGACATTTTCTCGATTGCGCCATTGTAAAAACTCCTTCGTCTTGAAGAACCAATCGCAGGTAGTTTGATGCGCCAGTGCTATATTGTTCAGACGAAAATCCATACCGCCGAAGCTTAGGGTCCGTAGGCTTTGAATTTTGTATTCTTCCTCAGCCAGCAGCCTTGTTAGCTTCCCACTCTTCTTTAATGCTCCCATATACATATCTGAATTTGTAGAAATATAATATATACCAAGCGATATATTTTAAAGATTCCATATGTAGATGCAGAAGGATCCGACATACCCAAAAGGTTGTCCTCTAAATCACCTCCTTCTATGGTGTTATGAAACTTGGAGGGTGCAGAATTATTCGGAGGCCTACCGATCGGTTGTTCTTTTGTAGATAACGTCTGAAGCAACTCCTTAGCGTAGCCCGCTGATGTTGCCGCTGCATATGGCTGCCATCGCTTATTTTTATGAGAGTCGGAATAGTCGCAGATTCCTCGGATTACCAAACATTCAACGACGTCTGCAACTCCAGCTGCTTCCATTTCAAAGCAGTAGGCCCCATTTTTCTCGCCGATAAGGTCTCTAGACTTCCCATCCTTTATCACAGTGTTACCCGATGCGATGATGCCGTAGTGGACAACTGGGTCGTGCGTATCGCGGGAAGACCGAACCAAAGCCTCGTGTTCGTCGCAGTAGTCACAGGTGTCGCTACCACTATCGATATGATCATATCCAGCTCGGAATAGAATATCGTCCTCCTTAGGGCGAATGAATCCGATTTTCTTTGATAACTTGCTCTCGGCCTCCTCTAGAAGCTGAAAAATGCGGTTCCCGTCCGATGAATGAATCGCCCGTAGCTTTGAAACAACGTTAAGAAGGCCTCTAGGGGGTCCATGGAGATTACCCGTTTGTTCCGTATGGCCACCAACTACAATTCTTCCGCGATCATGTTGTACCACCCCGGGACACTGTCCCGTCGGAACGCTAACCACGACATCGCCTAGTCGAATATCAGTTTTTGTAGGGATCCCACCGCCGATGCCTACCATCATGTAGAACCTGATTGAGGGGAAACTCAACTGCATCTGGCAAACGACAAGCGCTGCAGGAGTAGTGCCATAGATCCCATATGGTAGACAAGCCATGGCAACGTAGTGATTGCCTATAGCTCCGAAAACGTAGCTGTTTAAATCACTTGAACGGTTGGGCAGATCACCATGAATCTCGTCTAGCATTGCACGAGCTGCGGCCATTTCGAGGGGAAGGGCGCAGATCCATCCTATAGTATAGGAATCGTGTGATAAAATCCCCGGGGAGGCGTCCCTGCAACGGAACCTCCGATCATCATATTCGTCTTCGCACCTTCTTTTTGACATTTATACGTTTTTCCTGTCTAGAACAATAGGGGTTTTTCGAGTCAGAGGGTTTCTGTTGTATAGTAAAGTTCGGGGAGAGCAATCTTTGAGGTATGTGCAGTTGCCTGATATCTATCGATCGACACATCGATATCGATATTGCGATCGCGTTGGAACCACGAGTTATTTATCGTCTCACCGCGATGCGCTGTTACGCTGCAAGATTCTAGAAAAGGGATTAAGGATCATGTCAAACCTCGCATCCTTCGTTCTTTATAATCACGAGTATTGGACCTCATTCGCTGGGATAGTCTTATATATATTCGTTGGGATAGGTGTATACCAGTTCAATCGTCACAGCCTTCCTAACTTGCTGCACGGTTTGCCCAAAATGCAACGATTAAATGTGTTGGCGCCGCGACGGTGCACATCCCGTGAACATGGGTTATGCCTCGCCCATACTGGATTTGAGGCTGGATATTAACCTACTGACTTAAGTTTGTACATATTAGTCTTGCATTTCAGGTAAATATGCAGTTTTCTAGTGAGGGAGTTCTTTGGATCACTTCCCCGCTGTGGTGTGGGTTATATAGCTCGCCCGTCCTTGTCAAGATTACCAAGCTTGCAAGATGGGAGGAGTTATGCTATGAATTGTATAATATACTTAAGTACTTCCAAACACAAAAATTGGGAAGTTATTCCGGAGCAAAAGTGTTTGTTTATTGATGTACCTCACTGCATTTTAGGATGTCTTAGCCTCTAAATTGGGATCCACTTGCTCACCTAAAAACCACAATACATTGGCTTTAAATTGTTTACGATATACAAAGGCGTCATTCATTTGTCTGTACGATATTATGGTCTGTGCCTAGGAACTTCTTCCATATGCAGCAAGATACGCAAAGATAAGAACTAATTCAATCGAATTCAACTTAGTGAATGTGGCGTTATTGGATAGCATGCATCTGCACGCCATGTGAATTAAAACTAGATAGACCCATGATCGTTCTCTCACTACAATCCGCCCTTATATATAGCTTAAAATTTGGCCTTGAGTACTAGAATTTACTTGGTTGCTGAGGATTACTAGCTTATAATTGCAGATTCGGCCAACTTATCCATTTATTTGTTACTCGGATGTGTATTTTTATGTTTAACGACCTATGCCAGGACTTTAGTTAGCCACTAGTCTAGTTCCACGGCTCTCAGATCTGCAGAAGTAAATCCACACTAAGCAATACACTGCTGTAAGTGTTTTTATTTGAAACTGGATATTAATATTGATCTGAGTATCGATCACGCCGCGCACCAGACCGAAAACTCTTAAACTCCTAAGAAACCGAAACGTTTTTTAAAAAACAGAAAAAGGCCAACGCCCGTAAGCCGCAAATAAACTTCTCCCAAAGCACAAAAACAAAAGCCAAACCATTTTTACCATAAATTACAACGGCCAATCTTTGCCGAATTTCCCCACTCTTTATTTCATCGAGCCCTTATGGTTGCATTTTCTTATCTTGGTCGGAACAGCTTTGGTGGTGGGTTCGTCATATCTGATTAGAGCCATGGCATGCTGATGGTGTACATTGCAACTTTCTGGTCATTGAGGCCGTCACGGAAACCTCTTTCCAAGTTTTCGTCAGCGGTTACGAAGGCGAGGTTCTTGAGATGGTCTTCGCATGCGAGGGCAACATCCAGTCGGCTCCGGAGCGTCAGAATCTTTTCCCATCCGAAGCCTAAAGAGAAACGTGTGCATTAGGCTGGAGTATTCATGAATTCGAGAACCGTGGAAAACATACTACTATCCAGGAAAATGCCTTGTCCAAGTTTTCCGGCACCAATGTCGCGTTACCCTACGGCAGTACCAGTTGTGCTAAAATCACGGGCCCTGGCGCACTCTCTGTAAACGAGGGAGGCTACAGACTTGCGGAACATCGCTTTTGGAGGCTAAATTCATAGATAAGTACGCACACTTCAGCCCGGGGTTTGCGACTTTATTTAACTACTTTCTCAACCCATCCGCTTCCACCGCGCAGCTCGATACACAATTGGCAAAACAAATTGGCTTACTTGTGAAGATATATAGGTCTTGTAATGAATATAAGCGGCTAGTGATATGTCGCAAAGGCTCGAAGGGTTTCAGGCTAGCTTAAAGGCTTCAGAGTTACAGCGATAGATCTATAGTTTTTCTGATCTATCCTATGCTCATGAAGATCGAAATCTATTATTAATATTCTGGAATCTATATCTAAATATATGGAACACTTTGTGCTCTGCATACTGTCTAATCGACAGGGATCTCGAATAAACTTGCAGATACAGAGAAGATCGGGTCTGGTTTATGAGACAAATCTCCTATGCATAAATCCAAAACTAAAACTCAAACAATATATACATATTATTCTATACACTAGTCAGTCTTAAAGTCTATAAACAAGACACAAAAAACAGCGACTTTTACCCTACCCGTAGTTCTTTTCAAACCGGAAGGCAACGTCTTTTAATATCTACTGTGCCGGTAAACAGGTCGATATTACTATATAGTAATAACCCAAACTTATCGAATTATTACCATAGTAATACAATATTGAATTTGTAATTCGTAGTAGAATGGTATTTAGAAAAGTATTTTTATAAATTATTTCGATTCGGATGGTGTTGAAATTATCCCGCTTTCCGGCAAAGTAGGTTAGATTCCCCAGACCCAATTATGGTATCCCGAAACATAACTTCTGGCAAATTTTCCACATCATCTCTCTCGACTATCGCTTCTCTAATTATTCTATGTATCCACATCCACAGATTCTGCGAATCCATACCAGGGCGGTTGAAATCAACGTAATCCTTCTCTTCCTTGTCTATCATCTCTTTAAAAATAGTAGAATGATTGTATAGAGCCTCCCAAGGTTTATAAACCTTGTGGTCAATCCAAAGATCAAGTGCAAGCTCTGATCTCCATTGAAGAACTTTAGAGTCTATTAGTTTTTAGTTCTGGCTCCCTGTAAGACGTGTTGTCCTTGTTGTAGCCCGCCCCCTGCCCTGCCGGGGACTTCGTGTTACGTTTGGCGACGCGAGACCAGCCTGGCCATGCCGAATAGTGGAGACCTAGCTGAGCTCCGAGTTAGCAAGGTCGCACACTGCATATGCATATTTACTAAGTACGTATACCGCCTGGGTATCATTTTCTATAACACAAAGCCTGTCGCGGCCAGTCAGATCCTACTACTGTAGAGCAGGTACTCCTTATATATTTCAAATACCCCCCAGAATCCCTTTGGCTAGACCTAGTACTAGCCTTCAATATGACTATACATGATTGTGCTCTTAAATATTAATAGTACTACTTATAAATTAAAATTTGTCTCGAACCGTTAACCAAACACCATAACTTTAACTGGCCTGAAGTCCCCGCTGATAATTAATCAACGGCTGCACGGTGGTCCTACTCCAATTAATTATGATTATATTAGCGTATATTATACAAACGACCATCCAAATACAGAACACCGCCCGAATTGTTTTCGGCATTTTGTGAAGGGAGAGGCGGGAGGCATGTGCGCCGTTCTGTAGATGTTTTTTTCATAAGCCACGATCGATTTCTTGTTTATTCTTGATCCCAATCTAAGCTACCAAAAGAGCACCAGAGAGGTTGGAGATGCCGGCTTGCCAAAAGGCTGTGAGTAAGCTGCTTAACAAACCCAACATACAATATACGGTGGATGCACAGTCTAGCTTCTTCAAACGAAAACCCCCACGCTAAATATGGATATATATAAATATGGACACGTCCCTAAAACCAATGCCTATGGCATGTCATGACCGTATATAAAACGGGGCGACAAAGGCCGCCTGAATTGCTAAGTCTACTCATATTTAGAGAGCTCTCCCTTATAGCTTGTGCCCAGCACATAGTACTATATAGTAAGCTAAGATTATCAGACAATATTTATATTTTTTCCTACAGGTACCCATATTGCATGACACTGGCGCGAAAAGGCAAACATTGAAACGTGATGCATCATAACCTGGGGGGCTTTCTCGTCAACGAACTCCTCAACTTGAAAGCGGTTGAAGGACGCGAGCGAATACCTTATATCATCACCGCCTAGCGGGGTTTGAATTAGCATGGAATCAAGTCAATTCTTGGCCCCATGAGGTCAAGCTGAGGGAGCTAATCAGACATAAAAACTATCGGCTGGAAACCTCACATTTATAGACTTTCAGCTTCTCTTGGCCGCAAATCAGGTTGTCCTTAGCTACACATGCCGATATGCGCGAGATACAGTTCAAGCACAAATTTGGTTAAATCCGCTAAAGAAAACTGTATATATAGGCAAGGATAGCGGGAATTCATGATAATATTATCCCACCCTGTCTAGAACAACCTTTGGGCTTTGAAGTTGCCACCACCTGATGCTAGTGGGTCGCCGGCCGTCTGTTCTATAGCGAAGGACAATTAATTATTTAAGAGACGCCACAATAGAGAACTCTTAGGCAATATTTTAGCGTACATCTTCATTTTCCACACGATTATACAGAAAACATCACACGGTTTGCACCAGGTTAAAACTCCACAACGGATATTCGGATACACCAACTATCATGCGTCGGAATTTCTTGAATATCTTTCCACGTTTTCTATTTTCCTTTTTTGTCTCTCCCTCTTTTGACTAACAAAACCACAAGGATCCTCGACGGCTCGGTAGGCTTACGACATTTTGTCGTACTAGGGAGTTGTCGCTGGTATAAATGCCGCAAGGTAAAAAAACCACAATGCGGCCGCGTGGTCGGACAAGCTAGCCTAGTTTATAATTTAGCGCCCCCCACAAGTGGGGCTCTGTCCCAATCCTGTATTTTCCCACAAGGCGCGCCTCCGAACCAACCGGATATTTCTTTTGAAAAGGGGATTGCTATGACAAACGGTCTGCCTCAGTCCGGCTCATTCGTACTAAAAATCGACATAACTTCGACCGGTGACCCCATCCATGCGTAGATATCTTCAAAGATTTATGCTGTAAAACCCGAGCCATCTCGGAGTTGGCTGTCATCTGTCTATTTGAAGGCAAAAGGCTTCTGTAATTAGTATTAATAAGGCTCAGTTGAGCATGATTACACGAATACAGACAGAATGACAGCTGTTAAGCTGGGGATCGGATAGTTGGTCCTAGGATTCTCTGGAAGGTGTGGATATAAACGTAAAGACGTACGTCTGGGATCATTCCATCGGAGGGGCCAAACGTTCGTAAGCGAGCCATGATAGCATACTGTGAAAACCATCAACTTTGGATGCAAGGTTACTGAAAGCTATCACATTTAGACTTTCGCCGGTCGATAGTGGAGCATGAAGAATTAGCTAGAGGAAAGATCAACCTTCGCCCCAAATATTTGGAGGGCGCACTAGAACAAAATTCATGAGACCTCTTCTAGACCCTCTCTAAAGGCATAATCTACAATCTAGACATATCTCTGAAGCGAATCATCTACAGGCTGGCCAGCTGGGTGTATCAAATCATATAATTCCACTACCTATGTGTATGTCATCGCAGTTCTCGAGCCGAGAAAGATCGGAAAAATATATGAAAACGGAAAACACAATAACAGGCGACAATGTGGGGATCGATTTCTGCAGCATAGCAGCAAGCTCTTGATCTAAAAACAGCTATGACCGTCGCAAGATTCTCCTTCGTCAGTTGGAATTAGGTGTAGTAGAATGCAAGGTGAAGCTCCACGAAACTCGTGTGCATTAATACTAAACTCCGATAATAGAAACATCTTTCGAGTAGGACAAATATTCTAAAAACTACAAGGCTAAAATAAAGAAAAGGCGGGATCATGGCTCGGATCTCGTTGCACCTTGAGGCCAGGCCTATAAAGCGAGTATATTATCGTCAAGGATGATCCTCACGGCAAACTGCCAAGGGATACAAGAGAAAAAACTCCAACCTCCTCCTAATAGCGGCTTCTCAATCAGACGTCACGATAACCGCATGTGGAGAAATAACTATCCGAACCTGACCGGCGTTGTTGAAAGTGCCTAGTGTAACTGTGTAATTAAGTAACTACCAGTTCATACCGTGCCATCCAAGCAATCAACCCATTGTGAGAAAAAAGTGGTTCCTGGTCCTCTTTTCAGTCTTCGAAACGGATTTATTCTCGTAGACCTCATAATGTAAGTTTAGAGTTACGAAATGTCAATATCGATATGCAATCAGAACCCGGGGCATGAGAGAATGTATGTCTCGAAGCCGCATGGTTGCCGCATGAACCAACCTCATTTGTGGTATTTTTGCTTTTCAACACAACAACAGAAAGCTTAAATTTAAATATCTTAACAATCATTCCGTTTCTGTAGGCTCCTAGGCAATAATATTATAATAAGGGAACGAGATTTTAACATACCATGTATATGAGGGTATGCTCTATCCAGAGTCCCAGTTTCACGGTCCTGACAAGCACTGGGACTCCATATTTCCTTTCTTTGGTGGTATCTTTGCTTAAGCATTCCGCGATTTGATCGGAGGAACATGCCGCATCTAACTTGTCCTGCGTTGGATTATGCATGGCTTAAGCCACATAAAGCCGCTAGCCCGAAATCCGTAGGAGAACAGAACTTATCATTTCAAGACCCACTGGATAGCTTAGTGTAGGCTGTTTATCCTCATATACTAACGAAACGAAATCAGGCCTATAGCGGTTGACCGAAACTCGGAAATTGTGGAAATGAAATTAGACGTCTGCGTCTGAAACTCACCTCGAGCTTTATGCAATGTGAGTATACGATCCACGTAAGGGCGCAGGCCAATCAATTGCAATCAACCCACCCGCGAAGATATATAAGGACATAGATCCCCCGCTGCCAAAGGAAGTTTTCCTCTTCTAGCTGTGGGCAACTGTGTAATTTTGTTCAACAGCTGGTTCACTTTAGCGCTCGATTCAATAAATCCCTACACCCTTTACGAAATACAAGATGAAGTCTCTCATTACCTGGGCTACCCTTACAGCCGCAGTCCTCGCTGCAGATGGAAGAGTTACGTCCGTCCAATCGGGATGCGCTCACGACAACTGCCTTAGAAGTTAGTACAGCACTATTTCCATAAATTTTCTACAAAGAGGCTATAGGACTAACTGTCGATGTACGATATAATTAGAGGTCATTGCTGGCAGTTTTACTACTCGGCCCGGTTATTCCCATTGCGTCTCTTGGCTCCTAACCACCGTGATACCCCCTTCGGCGTAAGCTAAACCTAGTCCTACATCCTACCGATCTTTGGTTTCGGTTCTTAGCTGACACTGCAACACGATCTAAAGATTAAAAGTGGAAGTGCAGTACACCCTCGCAACATCGACTGCGACAACAGCAACTGAGACGAAGACTGAAAACTTTATCACACCGCCCCCATCCATCCTAGAGAAGCGCAATACCGGACATATCGAATATCTCCATCTGAATGAGAAGGGCTTCAAGAAGAAGGTCAAGCGCGCAACGACCTCGTCTTCAATCGTAAATTTACCGCCAGACTATATCATCGAGGGCTGTACCGATCAGGGGGGTACTAGGAGCGCCAGTTTTAGATATTCTAGCGCTTGCTCCTGCGTTGGAGCCACTGCCGGTGACCCATTAATTGCGGCACAAGGAACTATTACTTCAGTGCAAGTACTCCCAAGCCCTGACACTATGTCGATAGTGTATCCTACGAAGACAGAAACAGTCTATGTCTTGAAGGCTTCGGTTTCCGGCGGCAATTCGGCCGCTTCAGGCAAATACCTTGCATCCAGTACGCTTCCGGCCTCTGCCGCATGGCTCATCGCTGCCACCGGTTCTGCAGCCGCAGCCGCAGCCGCTCCTACACTTTCCGTTTATCCAGACTTAAACGGAAAGACCACCTTTGGTGGAAAGCTTATCGTAGCGAGACAGTCATCAAGTTATCCTGATGTCAGCTTCTTGGAATTGGTCACTGACAGCCAGCCAATCCCTGCGAACAATCTACCCGTTTCCTGTAAAATCAACCCCGACTATAGCATTACTTGCAAGTCTCCCAGTACAATCGGTGGTCCCGAAAACAGAGGGACATTATACCTAACCGGTGGCTCTGGTGGAGGCGCTTACACTTTGCGACTAGTCAAGGACGGCAGTACCCCTCCGAACAATGACTTTTTCTTATTTACTTTGAAGCCTCTTCCTCCAACCTAAGATCGATTTCGCAATCTTTTAGTTGATAACTGCTCCTTATTTGGGTTATGAATTTGTCGGTATTAATGACAAAGAGGCCTTTACACACCATAGCACACGTTGTGTCTACCTTTACACCTTCGGCCGGGAACTTAATATGTATTAATGTATTTGGATGATTGGTATTGATAATTACATGTAGTTCTACCACGAAACACAATAAATATAATATGACCTTCTAATGCCTTAAAGACCACCTTATCTTATTGATAGCTTCCGGAGCAGATATAACTTATAGCGACTTCCATAACTAACCTTAATTTTTGGGTCCGAGACAGGAATTTCGTATTTGAGCATAATCACCCGTCCCGGATATCTGTGGTACCGACTTTTCAGGACTTTATCGGTACACACCTGCCAAATCGGGCAGCTGTATGGAATCCTGGGCAGCGGGCATAATGGATATAAAATATGTAACCGCCGCCTTCCTTGTCATAGAACTGCCTTCCCTGCGTTGGATTTTCAAGCAAGGGGGGGTTTTACAGGCCAACGCGTATTTATGGTGTATCCCAAGGGGGGGGTCCATTCAAAGACGATGCTGCCTTATTCTATGACCCCGGCCGCGGAGCAGGAGTATATATAATGTGGCTGCTACGTCCGCAGAAAGTCGAGTTTAATAATGATATTGTATCTTTATTGAGCTTCTGACGTTGAATCGCAATTATGGCGCTCTCAATCTTATCCATCTTGTTAGGGTCTTCGCTGGTCCTTCAAGCGTCCGGTACACCATTGCCAACTTCTTCTAGATGCGTAAGTGACCTTTTTGATTTCCTTCTTATTGAATACCACCTATTCGCATTCTGTATTAACTCTTGCATCTAGTGTCATCTGTTGAATTCTGAATTCCGAGGAGGAGAAAAAGTGCTATACCCGCAGACCTCAGAATACGGAGTACTAAACACTTACTTCGGTACGTTTTCCAATAATTACCTAGGTATATATTTATAATTAAATACACAGCTAACACTCTATTATTATAACCCGCCAGCCCCAACATCCCAACAAAGTCCCTCCTGCATCTTCACCCCATCCGACACCTCGGACATCTCCCGCGCAATCAAACTCTTCACCCGCCGCTCCTGCAAATTCGCAATTCGCAGCGGCGGGCACCACTACAATGCCGGCTGGGCTTCCATAAATAACGGAATCCTCCTTTCCCTCAGTAACCTAAACAAAGTCATCTACAACCCATCTTCCCAATCCGTATTCGTAGGATCCGGAAACCGATGGCGAAAAGTCTATAATACAGTAGAACCCTACGGTCGAACCGTCGTCGGCGCTCAAAACTCCGATGTTGGAGTTGGAGGGTTCCTGGTTAACGGAGGTATCAGCTTTTTGGCAGATCAATACGGATGGGCTGTTGACAACGTTCGAGAATTTGAAATCGTGGTGGCAGATGGGAGGGTTTTGAAAGCGAACAAGTATGAGAATAAGGATCTGTTCAGGGCACTTAAAGGCGGTTCGTCGAATTTTGGTGTCGTGACTGGATTTACACTTGACACTGTGGAGTCGAAACTCGCTACTGGCGCATACGTCGAGTTCCCTGCATCCTCTTACGATACATTAATCAATGCAGCTTATCAATATTGCGTCAAAGGAGAGGATCCAAAAAGTCAAGTTCTATTCATTTCTTGGTTAACAGTCAAGAATGGAGCCATCTCTGTAAAGGATGCATTAAGCCTGATTTATACAGACATCATGGATGTACCCAATCCACCAAATGCATTGGCCCCATTTATGGATAAGAAGATTCCTTCTTCTCTAGTCCAGATACTGGGACGAAATCAGACTATGGGAAGCCATGGACATGATTTAACACAAATCCAACATCCTGGAATCCGTACTATTAGACAGACGATATCAATTATCCCTGATGCTCAATTACTAAAACAGTTTCACAGAATATTGATTCAAACAGCGGAACAGTATAAATACATCGAAGGGTTTACAACAGATCTTCTTTTCCAACCTATTGGAAAGAAGTGGATCGCAGCTGGAAACGCAAAGGGTGGGAATTCAATGGGTCTTACTGAGCCGGTTATTATCCTATGGGTCCAGCCACATTGGGCATCAGCGAAGGATGATGAAGTTATCGCGCAGTTTGTTACGAAGGTTATCATGCAGTTTGAAAAGGCAGCGAAGGATGCTGGCAAGTTGTCGAAATTTGAGTACCTGAATTATGCGGGTCCTAAGCAAGGTCTTATGGAGGGCTATGGGGCAGAGAGTATTCGAAGACTACAATCTGTCAAGAGGAACTACGATCCGAAAAATATATTTGGAACACTATTGCCAGGAGGACCTAAGATTCCAGGTTTATATTAACCTAATATATTAAGATCGATATCTAGGAACAGGAATGGCTCATGAAAATAGCACTTAACTATAAAACTCTTTTGTCTGTATATATCTACTTAAGTACCTATATATCAATGTATATACTTAAATTGCAATTTAAAGCAATCGTCGACTAATGAAATCTAGTCCATATCAAAACAAAGCCTTTCCGTTTTATACTCATCAGACCAATAACACCTAACCTCAGGCCCTCCAGCTCCATCCACCCATTTAACCGTCACTTTAATAGCCTCCAGCCTATCCGTACCGTCACGCCTCCAATATTCTACAGTCCTCGCAAAAACCACCTCCTCCAACATCCTCGCATTCGTCGCCCATCCTTTCACTACCGCATCAGTCTCCAGCTGCCACGGCGACATAAACTGCGCTTCATCCACAAAATCATACTGTTCAGACCAAAAGGTCCTAAGATACTTTAACTTCGGAAACAAGGAGACCGAATTATATGGTTCAGCGTGTATCAGACGATTCCCGGAAGACATTCGCCCGTCGATATATATCATCAGATTTTCGACGTTTGGGAATGATTTTACTAATGGAAAGAATAGCTTTGCACCGTCGTATAGGAAGTGTGGGTGTATGCCCAGTGTTTTGACATTAGGAAACTCTGCATCAGGGAATGAGTATTCATCAATCATGCGGTTTCCGTCTAGCTGGACAATATTCAAGTGAACAGTCTTAAGTGTATCCTTCGCAGTTAAGACACTCGATAAAGGGTATAATGGCGTGGGAAGTATTTCAATCGGTGAATATTCGAAATATAGCGTCTCGAGATTAGGCGGGAAATATACCCCCGTCAACGGTGTAATAGGAAATGGATCGCGAAAGGCAGGGTGTTCGAGGAATTCCCTGTTCTCTTTGTGTAATAAATCCTTGTTAAGATTCGCTAGATGTAAAGCTGTTCCGGATGGTAATGTTCGGATTTTTAGAGAGACTTCTTTTATCGTATAATACGCTAAACTATCTTTTTCCAGGGAGCGGAAAATTATATAGACAATCCGCCGGTAAAAGTCTCGATAAAGCTGCACGAAGGAGGGAGAGGCGGTGATTTCGAGATGTAGATTCCTTAGAGAGTTGAAAAGATGCGCCCATGTTGTGAATACTTGATAACTGCTAATAATGGCATTCGTGTTATCAGTGGCTGGAAAGAGCGTTAACTGCCTGACATCTAACCGAACATTCGCCAGACTTCCCCCATCTTTAAAAGCTGAGAATGCGGTAGTAAGTTCGGTATGGTCGAGCGTCAACCTTAGATAGCGGAAAAGTATTGGAAGTGATTTGGCGCGGAAGGATTTAGAAGATAATGAAAAGTTCTTTAGATCCTTAGAAGATAATTCTGAGAGTATTTGGAAGATGAGCTCTGAGGGGATCAGGTCAACAAAGGTGATCGAATTCGAAGACATCTTGCGAAAATTCGTTAGAATATTCAGGGGTTGAAGCGTAGAAACAAAACCCAGGTATATATAAGAGAAAATAAATCATGCATGGGATTTTATATAGTAGTAGATCTGAGGGACCAGGCTACGTCGGTGGAGCTACTATGCCTAGCCTGCATGCCCCGCGCTGACATTAGTTACATTGCCTTGGAATCCTGTTCTATGTGTAGTATGTCTCGGTATATTGCTGCATCAGACAGCGAATCGCTTGGAGCTCCAAGACCCCGCATCCCTGCTAGCCTACATGGGTAGCTTTCCGAGCCGAAAGGGCTCGTTTTTCCGAGCATCAGGAAAGGGATCCTACATACAAAATTCCAAGGCTGTCCATATTTGAAGCCGTTGTCTGTAAGTATTCTAGACTCGACCAGCAAATCCCTTTTTTAGATTCTTCTTACCAAACTACAATCCATCAAGCGGTAGTCTCTCTGCCAAGTAAACCTCAGACCATTTAAACTCCCTCGCCTGTTCCACCCTAGTAATCAAACAATCTTGTGCTTCAAACCATTCTTCAGGAGTGTCTTTGACCAAAACCACCCTCTCAAGTTTCGAAAGTTCATTCGTCTCGAACCATGATTTAACCCTCTCTGTCCTCCCATCCTCGCCCTCATAATCTCCACTTGCGGTGAACCAAGGAACTCTCATCCTTTTCAAAGTCCTCAACCAGGCACTCACGATCCTTCCATAAGCCTTTATAGCTTCTTCCTCCCAGAATCCACCTACAGATCCCTGATCGACATACAAACTCAAGCTCACCACATTAGGAATCCTCGTTCCCACTTTAGTGAGATACGTAGCGACGTTCAAAAAGTCCAGACACAAACCCAAATCCGTGATCCGCGTCAGATCTATCCCCTCTGGAAAGAGTGGTAAATTTCTATTACGATCTTTATGCAAATCTAACCAAACCCCCAACGTTCTCAACGTATTCGCTGAAGACCTCGTAAACAGCATTGGGTCGATAACATCGCCGCGTGGTTTTGATCGAAAATCGATATCGAAGTATACCTCCTCAAGCGCCTCCGGGCATGGAATCGTGTCTGGTGTTGCATATTTCAGAGCACTTTCCCCGGGGTTGAGACCCATAAATACTTCATCTTCGTCCGATAAAGGTTCGATCTTCTTCGGCCTCGAAGACAACGCCGGGTCCGAGAAGCGATATTCCGACGTTTTGACATGTAAAAATTTGAGAGTGCGATAAGCCGTACATGTTTCCATGAGTCTTGAAAAAGTACCATTAAACAATCGCGTATCAAACTCATACAAACTCGGAGAATACGCGCTAGCCGAGGGACTGTAGTAGCGTATTTTGATACTATTGAGAGCCGGGAACAACGGAAGAAGTGATACCCAACCACGGTAATATGCAATAATGTTGTTGTAACCGGATAGGTTCTCCGTATCAATGGTTACGTGACGAACAATATCCTGGAGGTTATGCAAACTACCGTCCGGGTCCAAGAACGCCGCTTGTATTTGATCCAGACGGGTTGTGGGCGTGATACCACGGTCTATTGCTGAGTTGTACACATATGCTAGATTAAGACGGCGGTAGAGGATCGGAAGGCTGGCTATGCGACAAACTCTTGAGCACAGTGAGAACTGTTTGATTTCTTTGATATTGAGATATGATAATATCGAGAGACGGAGCTCTAAAGGAATAGACTCGATACTATTGACCACATCTGATCCACTAGCCTCAGCCTCGGTCTCGGCTTCGGTGGAGGGTATATCCAAGTCATCCAGCGTTAGTTGTTGCAGTGGAGAGTCGGGCGGGGAAGTGGAATTCGTCGTCGACATTGAAGTATAATCTCAATAGCAATGAACAGTGGGAGTTCCAAAGAATAAAATCAAGTTGTAAGTCTAAGACTTATACTTATATGGAGAACCAGGGTCAGCGATAAACACCGAGAAGTACATCGACGTCATCAACGATCAGAGCGTTTATAACCCTACCTGCGGGTATTTGAGTAAAAACCAAACTTATGAACGATGTCTTCGCTTAGCAGAGTGGAATCTGGGGATCAAACGCATACGGGAGAAACGGTATCAATTGGGAGAGATCGGAAGACTAAGAAGGAGAGAAGGATCTGAGAGTAGATTGTCATCACATCGACGACGTAATGCAATGTAACACAAGAAAGATAAGCCCGAACGCGTGCTAAAATACGACGGCACGCAACGCACTTCGGGGCCTCTCGCACGCGTAGCACCTGAATCATTCAGCTAGTCAGTTTTAAATTTAAGACACCTCACGATACGAAAATATTTAAAACGCTTAAATCATCTATTGGATTATAATAAAATTCATTATATTGATATAGAAAGTCATGAGCCAGCTATCGTGATTACAAAGTTTTTAATTATCCCTCGAACAATTGGTCCTCGACCAAGATATATATATCGATATCGCCAAAAAGGCGATTAATACGTAGTATAGATAACTCTACGGATTTCGGGGTCCCCCTTATTGAATCTAAGGACCCCTTTATATCAAAATTTACTAAAAGCACCATGAGTTACTTGATAAATATTAAGCTGTCATCTGAATTGTGGGTTCCAGTCAGTAATTTACTAAATTTCTATCAATGTTTTAGAATAATCACCAAACTACTTCTTATTTATTTACTAACTTCAGAATTATTAGTACTAATCCAACTATTTCAGCTAGTATGGAAACAAGAAGGTAGATAAACAGAAAAAAAGTTAGGTATAGGAGGTAAGTAGGAAAGTAGGCAGGAAGACCAATAGCTAGATCGTTACATTCTTTATCTAGTATCTACATCTGTTTCTATATACATGCGATTTGAATTTTTGTTAGATTCTAATGACATCATAGTATTACCTGGTTCTTTTTGGTTCTGGGAACTATATTTCCCTTTTTAAAAAACTTCGAGTACAATCTATCATAAGTATGATTTTGAATCCGACAAGGGGACCCGGAAGAATTCCTTCAGTATAGAACTATATCGATACATTGAGTTTGGTATCATACATAAGATTATCACAGACTAACGATCCGTTATGTTAGGTAATATCATAGCTAGCGGCTAGTAGTCTCGAGACTAGAAAGTGGTATAATCCGTAGAATATAAAATATATACTAGCTTTAACATCAATTGTTATATACGGATATTGAATGACTATAAACCAAGATATAGAAGTAGATATACTTAACTCTCCCCGGTCTCCAAATAAACCTCTCTATCAAACCCCATCCCACTCCCAAACCTCCCTTTCTCAACCTTCCCATTCTCAAAATTCCTCCTCAAACTCCTCCACTCTAGTCTCCAATTCCCCCTTTCATCCCTCAAAACATCACACCATAACTCCAACATCTCAAGGATATCATTCAACCGATTCTTCGGTATAAAATAAAGTCTAAACTCCACGGTCTCCAATCTATCCATCCCAGACCTCAACCAAAACGTAACCGCCTCTATCACCGCCGAAATAGTCAATTTCCCCGCGGGAAGAGACTCATTTCTCGGTCCTCTTCTCGCCACCGTTTCGAGGTTTTCAATTTCATCCCTCATCGGTGCTTCGATGCTTACCTTCTTTAATTTAGACAATACCGCCATTTGCGCAAACCGTATGGAAGGCTGATCCCTCCTCGCCGAAATATGAAACCCAATAGCAGTCGAACATACCAACTCAAACTTCTCAACATTAGGAACCCTCCTAACCGCCTCCTCAAGTCTTTCATGATATCTCTCCGTATCAATCCCCAATCTAAACTCCCTAACATTCTCATAAACAACATCCTCACTCTCCGGAAAAATCGGAGCCACAGGTGCAGCCAGAGAGAACAGAATAAACGGCGGTATCGCCAAAACCTCCAATTTCTCCAAATTCTTCGATATAGGGATAATAGCGCGAAGAATCCCAGGTCCTATCGCATCGGCGATAAAATTACAATATCGTGGCCTGAAAGGAGTAACCAACCCCAACTCTTTCAAGGAAATTGGAAATAATTTCGCCGCGTTACCATCTATATCCCTCCACGCATCCGGTAAATCATAACTATATTCGTCATCAAATCCCCAACCAAGGGTACCCACAAACCCCCAGTTTTCCGGTGATAATCGATAGTAATTATTCGCATCAAAGCGAATATTCGAATCCAAAGCGCCCCCGCCAAACGTATCCACTTCAAAAACTAAACTCCTAAGCTTCTCATAAAACGAAAACTTCGAGAATCCAAGCAACGTAGACCGTAATATCCGTTGATCCATTAGAAAACTTCCAGATGGCGAACTCATCTCCGGCGAGAACACAAGCTTGATACCCTTAACATTGGGGAATGCAGCATCAAGATCGGTGTTTTCGATACAGGAGCGGGTGAATGTGCAGATATCATTAGGACCCCTGACGCCACTATTCGCAGTATCCAAGACGAGCTGTTCGACTCGACTCCCAATATTGCTGAGCCTACCACCGCTTTGAAAAGCTAGGATCGATTCTGGATTGAGTTTTATATTGCGGAAAAGCTGGACAATGGTGAGACGACGGAAGGGCTTTGAGGCCAAGGAGAGACTCCCAATGTCTTTGACTGATAGATATGAAATAATAGCAATGAAGAGTTCGGATGGTATGGAACCGAAGGCCGATTGTGTCGACATCTTGAATGACTAGCTAACTTCTTAGCTATCAGCCAACTAATAATTTTATAGAAAAAAATAGAAATCGCGGAAAAGAGTGGTATGGAGGATATGACGTAAGATAAACCGACCAGATCACAGTCTGGTTACGAGACCAACGAACAGAAGCCTCGAGGTCATCGACATGCACCTATTTATACGACGCGGGGCAAATTCACTAGAGTTGAACGAGTGGGTACCTAGTTAAACAGCAAACCTGAATACCTGAGGTACCTAAACCAATCTAAGAGCGAACGACTCGGAGGCCTAGGCGTGCCTAAAGTTGAATAATTTCGAGGAAAGATCTCGCACTGTGCGAAGCCAACGTTCCAAGGGACAAAAGCGAACCATTTTACAACGTACAACTCAGAACTAGTTATATGTATATGTGCTTGCATACCGCGTATATTGGTATGTACTTAAGCTGTAGTTATACGTATGTTCTGGATTCGAGGCTAGGTATATTCAGCTGGAGGTACGTATACTTGGAAGTACTGAAAAATAGTAGACGAGACTGGAGCCCCTGCCTCAAAGCACCTGGATCCGAGGCTAACGAGGCTGTAGGTTTTGAGATCAAGGTTACATCGCTCCTTTCTACATACGTATACATTCTTGGATCCAAGTCCTATGTATTTCTACCTTATAATTAAGCGTATTGCGAATTAAATAAAAACGCACTTCTATAAATCCGAGATATATACATAGTGATCACGAAACGTTACCAGCTGTTCATCCAGTCTCAATCTAGCAAAACTACCATCCACCGCTTAGACCTTCGTCGAAATTTCTTTCATTAGTCCTGCTATACTCGACTTCGCTCTTCTTCACCTGACGAGCAGTGACGAGGTATACACCCTTGTCCTCGCGACTATTTTACCGATTTCTTCGCGGAAATAAGGAAGCCCACCTAAGATTACCACGAGAACAAAATTAGCATCCAATAATCATATTATAGTTAATCGATCCAATCCAATCGCCTCATAACTTACAACCATTACCAAATATACACTTGATCTGGTGGCCCACCGCGGCACGACCAGTCAAAGGAGATCCTAAAGGCACCGCACACTGAGGCTGGCAAACCCAACTGGCGACTTACTCGTGGGAACCACCATGTTAGATGTTGAAATCTGATCGCGGACTTCTTTTTCTTCCTATAATACTAAATAGTTAGCCTGGGTCACTTTACAGATAGTGTGAAGAATTCACCAAAAGATGTATACTATACTACTTACAATCATCCAAAAGCCCAAGATATCGCGGATGAGCAGCTATGCGAGCGAGAATAACTCAACAACGATGAGTTCGGCGGAGGAATATGAGGAGGGAGAGCCAAATGAAGATGAAGACGGCGACGAAGGAAAAAATAAATCTATGTATATAATAATCGGTTCTGTTTGTGGGGCCACCCGGTAGTTTGGGAGGGAATTCCTTTTCCTACTTCAAGAGAGAAATATATAATATGTAGGAGGGTATCCTATGGTGCTTTGCGAGGATAAAACCGTTTCAGTTTGGGATCCTGGATGAGAGTAAACAAGAACGGCTGAGAAATATTAAATGGTCGTTGGGGACATACTTTATAAATTTATGTATGTAGAGGAAGATGTTCATGGGAGGGAAATAGGATAGGCCTGTGGGGGGAGTCAAGTATTTATACTTATTTACCATATGTATATAAACTCAGATCAATTGGGGATATAATACTTATTTACAGGCCTATTTAGCCTGGTGATTTATATTTAATTAAGTTTTAGTATTGATTTCAATTCAAGGATTTACAGACTATCTATCTATCTTTCTACACATCTAATTAACTACTAGGAGGTAAGTACCTACTTAGTACGTACGTAGGTTCGGGCTATCGGTCCGTTAATTAAGTATATAAGCCGTTGATTTTAAAATATCTATCACGAAGCCAATCCGCACGACCCCTTTATCAAACGAGTCTTGTTATGTATAGCAATTCAACTTTGTATGAAAAACATAATGACATACACGCAGGCAATGCAAATACAAAATAGAGCTAAGTATAAAATCAGACGCTGTGATGGATACAAAATACATATAAATCAAATTTAAAGGTAATATACTCAAGACACCGCAACCGAGAGATTCTCAACCGTCCACTCCAACTTGGGTCTCTTATTCTCCCACCGCACGTTACAAATCCACCCGGGCCCTACCGCAGAATCAACTTCATCTTCCAGTTCTTTCCTCTCGAAAATAACTTTCTCCAAGTCGTCAGCTCCATTCTCAATCCAATAGATCACCAACTCTGCCAGTCTCTCTATAGTATCCTTAGGAACTTCACCAAGCTCCTTCCTCCTGCCGTGATTTATATTCTCCCCTTCCTGTCCCACTCTCACGGGTACCATAAAAGTCTTTAACCCCTTAATCTTTTCCATCTTTTCAAGTACCCCTCTTCTCCATGGCCCCGATACACCTTTAGCAGGTAGTAAATACCCCTCACCACCAGCCGTAGTAACAATCAGCATCAATGACTTCAAATCCACAAACCTCCTCGCGATCTCATCCATAAACCCGGGGACATCGAAAGAAGCCATATTAACCCATATCTCCTCCACCCCTCTCTGAACTCTAACCTCATCGATCCTACTCCCCGGGACAAGATCGATCGATTCCCCAGCAGATATATACTCCAAAACCACCTTTTCAGGTTTCCCACCCATACAAGCCAAAACCTCGAATATATCCACTTTCCTCCTATAAGCAACCCTCCTCCTAGGTTTGAAATTAATCAACCTAACATCCTTCAACGCCGGTGCGATAGCCACCATATCCTTTCCATCATCAAAGTCGTCTACTCCCGAATCCAAGACGCTTTCTAGAAAATTTGCATTTTCGTCTGTGAGATATCCTGGTTTATCTTCTGGTTTTACTTCGTTCCCTTCTTCGACCGGTTCGTCGAATATTCCGTGACGGTCTTCCCAGAGTTTTACAACGAAGTCGACCCAGCGGATTTTCTTCCAGAATTTGACTTTTCGGAGGGATAAGAACATGGCTTTGATGAATTGAGCGTCCAGGGCGCTGAGGGAGTCCAGAGGGCCGGTGTTGACGAGGGCACTCATTCTGTCGTAGCGTATCTGTCCATAACTGACTTTTATCCTTCGAACAGCACTGAAAACTCCCAATCCAGTTTCTCCCTCTTCTTCTTTCCCCCCGTCTTTTTCAGAGGTATACATACACTCCTTCATAAACGTACACAATTCATTAGCAAGCCCAATATACCTCGTCCGAATCACAATCCCAAACACCGCATCGGCGATATAATGTAGCTCTCCACCCTTTTGAAACGCCTTTAAAGCATCAGAGGAGATATTAACGTGTTTGAAGATCCGACGGATGGCGAGTGAACGACATCGTTTGGAACATAGTGAGAATTCTTTCATGTTGTAGAGGGGCAGGAAGTTGAAGACGTGTAAGATGATTTCGGGAGGGATGGCTAGGATGGTGGTGGGCTGTGTGGGGTCGTATACCCATGGTGGTTCTGGCTCTGGCTCGGGTTCTGCGGGGGCCGTTGTTTCTTCGGTGGGGGGGTCGGTTGCTTCGGTTTGTTCTGCTTGTTCTGGTTGTCCTGCTGGGTCTACGGGGTCCACTGCTGGGTCTCCTGGTGGTGGGACTTCCTCTCCAGCTGCAGCTTCAGCTTCATTCCCCTCCACCGCTGGCTCCACTGGCTCCACTGGCACTTCTACTCCAGCTGCTTCTTCTGCAACAACAGCTTCCACACCATCTTCAGTATTATTCACCACCACATTCTCTTCTGCAGCCGGTAATACATCTGGTAATACACCTTGAATCTCTTCAACCACAGCTACTTCTTCCACAGCAGCAACAGCAGGAGCAGGAACTTCCTCTCGTTCAGCTACCTCTTCGTTCGCAACAGGTACCACCATAGCCTCCCCTTCTAACACCGTAATCTCCCTCATAGTAGGCGTAGAAGGCTCGCTCGACTCCGGTGTATCGGTTTCCAGTATCGCACCTTCTATTCTCGATGAAGAAGATGAAGATAAAGGAACATCTTCATCTAGGGTACCAGTTTGAATATCAGACGGAGGTACCCCTTCATCTATAATCAACGGTGTAGCCTCCTGCTCTGTATCGTCTACAGACGCAGTAGAAGGTATCGACGGTACCTCAATACTACCATCCACAAAAACAACCGAACTTGCCGAATCTATTCTCTCACCGTCTTCACCACCAATTCTTCGTTCTAAACTAACATCTTCTAGCTCATTCGTAACCGAAGAAGCAGAAGATGATCCAGAAGATACAATGACCCAATCCGCAGGAACATTCGAACTCGAACTCGAACTCGAGCCGGAAGAGGGTATACCATCCTCCACACCCCCATCACCATCATCACCACCATCAGCAGCAGCAGTAGTAGTTGTAGTAGTAGTAGTATCCATATCTACCACACTATCATTCTGAATCGTAGGTATAGCTGGGGGTATAAGTATCGTCTCGTCCGAAGTTATAGGTGTGGGTGTAGGTGTAGGTATAGATGTAGATGTAGATGTAGATATAACAGCCTCGTCGTCATGATCGCCATCGTTGTTATCTACCGCCATGTTCGAAACCGTCGCTATTTCTAGCTCTAAACCCGCAGCCTCGTTTGTAGCTGTACTCGTCGACATAGCTACTACGTAGTAGTACTACTACTTATTATACCGTCCGTAGGGATTATTTCGTATAGTATATATGAAAATGATATAAAATGAAATCAGGAAGGATATAAACTGATGATATGTAGATATAGATATCCCTAATCTAGGACATACCCATCCATCTATCTAAATATCTCCTGTAAGGCAAAACTACAACTTCAAAGGAATTAAAAGAAAGAGACAACAGAAAGATTCCCTTTTATACCATTCACTCATTCACTATTAAAGAAGAGGGGCAATTGCAAAAAAAGAAATCCAAGAAATCCTGTCAGCAAGACACGCATCCGCAGTCCCCCCTCCTCCCCTCCATTATATTGCCGACTCCAAAATCCAATCCAATCCAATCAAATAGAAAAGATACAAAAAAGCGCATAAGACCAAAAAAAAAAAAAAAAAAAAAAAAGATTAACTTACGTAGGATTCGATTTCCACTTCTTCTTTTTTTTTTGCGTCCCGAGGGTAAAAGGTGGGGGAGGCAGATCAAGAGCTGTCAAAAAGGATCCAGCCATATCATATGCATCCACATGCATGATACCCACCCGGATCCTAATTCGTCCGCCACAATTACCTTACTTCTTCTATTCCTTGGTCCGCGAAAGAAAGAAAAACATGTAAGAACAAGCATCATGCATAACTTTACCCCATTATATTGTATTATAATCAACTATCGTTATATGTACCGTATCGTATCGTTCAATAGGGTGGCTCAGGGTAGTTAAGATGGCTTGCTCGTAACAAGGATTAACGAAAAAGTGGGTCTTTCTCTAGTTTCCGATAATCACGAAACCGAAAAAAAAAGAGTCATCTAGAAAACCTTGGTATACTGACTTACTTACATAGGCGAATAGTAAGGTCAGTATTTGCCAGGGTTTCAAAGTGCATTCGCTGCAGGATCATTGCGACTACCGAGCCGTGTACAGTACAGGTGGTGGGCCCATATGCACACTTCTTACTTAGCCATCAGACGTCTGATACACCTCAGCTCGCCTCCAACCACAACCTACAAACACCATCCACACATCTCACTTAATAGCTAAGCTAAGCTACCTCCCAGACTACTCCCAGCAAGTAAGCTACATCACGGAATAATTTGTTTCTTCTGTTCAATCGATTCTAATTCGTTTCATTCCATTCCACCCTTCCCCGATCTAAAGCTCGCTGACAGACAGACAGAAAGACCGACAGACAGACAAGATACATCTAAGAAACCGAAAACCAAGGTAGAGTTTCCTTCCAACATATATCGCCCGCCCCGCTCTAGCTATACACATCCCTCCCTTATCCCCTCCCATCCGTTTTTTTTCTCTTTTATTATTACAATCCAGGATAATAATAAAAAAAATCGGGATTTCTCCACATAATAAAAAGAAGAAAAAGAAGAAGAAAAAACGCACGATAACCGAAATTTCCTTGCAGCAATCAATATACCGTTCCACAACCCGGAAAAACAAAAAAAAACACAAAGAACACCCAAGAAAGACCCCTCCCCGAATTTCCCTTCCTGTATAACACTCGACCTTTTTTAAGATTTTCTTTTTACTCGACAGTAACTGACTTGGCCAAGTTTCTGGGGAAGTCCACGTTAAGGCCCTCGAGAACAGCCAGCCAGTAGGCAATCAACTGCAGGGGAAGAACGTTCAAAATACCCTGTAGCACATCCACAGTCTGGGGGACCTCGATACGCTCGCACTGTTCGTGAGCAAAGGCTTCGTCTCCCTCCGCGCATATCACAATAGGACGTCCGCCACGGGCGATAACTATATTCAAAAAAAAGAACTTGATTAGCATTCATTCGGATCACTCAAAACTTAGGAAGGGGAACCATACCCTGCTGGTAAGCATTCAACGACTTGGCAAAAATGTCATCTCTGGTCAAAATCATAATGATTGGCAAGTTCTCATCAACGAGCGCCAAAACACCGTGCTTCAATTCACCAGACATAACCGCCTCGCAATGCAAGTACGAAATCTCCTTGATCTTCAAGGCACCTTCCAGAGCTGTTGCGAACTGGTGACCACGTCCCAGCAACAACAACGACTTCTGGCCCTGGAAGAACCTCTTGCACATCTCCTTGATAGCACTGTCCTGGTCCAGGAGAGTCTTTATCTGTCCTGAAATTCGGCCGAGACCTTCCATGATCTCTCCTCGTTTCTTCGATTTGGATGCTCGGTCCTCGCTCAAGCTCAACGCAAACATGACAAGTGCGACGTATTGAGATGTGTAAGCCTTGGTCGAGGCAACACCGATCTCCGGTCCAGCATTAATGTGAACACCGCAATGCGTGAGCAGAGAGATGGACGAACCAACAACGTTAACAATACCAACGCAGAGGGCGCCTCTCTCCAAGCAGAACCTCAAAGCCATCAGGGAATCTGCGGTCTCACCGGACTGCGAAACGAACACACAGGTATCGTCTCGGAACACGGGGGCCTGTCGATCCAAAAAGTCGGACGCCAATTCAACCGCGATAGGGATTTCTGTCAACTCCTCAAAGATACCACGGACGGCCATGCAAGAGTGATAGGAGGTACCGCATGCGATGAAGATAATCCGTCGGCAACGTCTGATGGTGGAAATAAATCTACTAAGTCCACCGAGAGTCACTGTCTTGTTTTCGAGATCCAGACGACCACGCATGGTATTGACGACGGACTCTGGCTGCTCGAAGATTTCCTTCTGCATAAAGTGCTCGAATTTACCCTTCATGATCTCCTGAAGCTCCATTTCGAGGGTCTGGATGCTTCGAACGGCACTGGTGGTTCCCTCATCCTTCTTCATACGATGGATGTTGAGCTGACCCTCGTGGATGTGAGCGATATCATCGTCCTCGAGATAGAGGACCTTCTTGGTGTGCTCGATGATGGCAGAAGGGTCGGAGCTGAGGAAGAACTCAGCGGGTTCGGGCAAGCCATTGTCGCTGAGGAAAGCACGAGATTGCGACCTGTGGAGGAGGGACTTATCGGGAGGAGCGAGGAGGGTGTTTGATTTCTTAGCGGCGAGGTTGTGGCTGGCCTTTTCGGGTGAGAGGGCGGCACCCTCGAGCTCGGAGTATTCGACATCAACAAAGTCGACCTTAAGCTTCTTGCTTGTCTTTACACCGATAACGAGCGGGGAACCCCTTCTGGCGGCGATGACCTCGTGTGGGAAATGGGTCGACTTGATCAACAGACCGAAAGCGCCTTCCAGCTCCTTAATAATGGCTTTGGCGAGGGTGGTGAAGTCGATACCTGGGTTTGTATCGTAGACGAATTTGGCCAACTTTGCGATACATTCGGTATCGGTTTCGGTCTCGAACTTGAGGCCTTTAGACTCGAGGACGGACTTGAGTTCCTTGTAGTTGGTGATGATACCGTTGTGGACGACGGTGAACTCGAAATTTGGGTCGGATCTATTTGTTTAAAACATGCATACATTAGAACCTGACTTACTATCCACCCATAGAAACACCACCATTGTTTCTATTCTACGTGTGTTTTTATGATAAAAATTAAAGAGGAAAAGGAAGAAATAAATACCTATGAGGATGGCAGTTGAGACGGGAAGGCTTTCCGTGGGTGGCCCAACGGGTGTGAGAGATAGCAGCGTGGGAGACAAAAGTAGCCTCTGGGTCGGGATTGGCCGCCTCGATGAGTTCACGGAGCTTGATGACCTTGCCGACTTCCTTGAAGGAGAAGGTTTCGCCTTCCTTGTCACCGTCGATAACGAGACCAGCGGAATCGTAACCTCTGTATTCGAGTCTCGACAGACCTATTTTAAAAAAGATTTGTGAGGGGTTCCAGTCAGCCGGTTAATGCTTTCCGAGAAATCACGGACACGGTATTTGGAATAATTGGGCGGATAACAACAACACACAAGGATGTGCGTAAGTACTGACACGCCCAGAATAGCGGGGCACCAGCAGTGCCAACCGGTACCGGTACGGTTATCAGTACTGAACAGCAGAAACACCAGCAGAAGCAGAAGCAATGAGCGTGTAGCTGTCTGCTAAGGCTGTCGTAGCTGGTAGTACAGCTGATCCGAAGCTACCACGATATGATGGAGAAGAATAAGAGGAGGAGGAGGAGGAGGAGGAGGAGGAGGAGGAGGAAGGAACGAATGGAACTAACCTTGGAGCATGCACTCGAGGATGAACTTTCGGTCTCGCTCAACGAGATAGTTCAAGTATCCAAAGATTCCACTTTAGACACCAATCAATCAGCCAATCAGCCAATCAGTCAATCAATCAATCAATCCGCCAAATAAGCTGACGTGTAATGTTCGTGAAGCTCAATTGGAACGATAAATGGCGAATTCCAGTCGAATTGAAGCTCCAGAACGGGACAATTGAAGAGTAAGGGAGGGAGGGAGGGAGGGGAGGAAGACAGGACATACCACATGTTGAACTAGCTGAATTAATAAGACTATCGGTATTCGGAAGAGTGGGTAATAGGAGGTAGGCGATGAAGATGAAGATAATGAAGATGAAGATAATAAGAGAGTTCTAGTTCTTGTTTTCGGGTGAAAGGTCGGAGAGGAGAATGAAGAAGAGGAGGAAGAAGAAGAGGAGGAGCAGCGGACTGGGATTATTGGTTAGTTCAGGTCGAGTCGGTTTTTATGCGGCAGTTTCTCCGAGCTGCACTGCACTACAACCCAACTGGTTAGCTTTGATTCCAATTCCAAAACACAACCTGCGTATGCTGTTGAGTATAATAAATAAATATGAATCAGGGAGAAGAATAAAGAAGAAGAGGTGGGAAATAGAAGAGAAAAGAAGGGAAGTGAAGTGAAGTGGAGAGGAGGGGGAAGAGGAGCTAATTTATAGCAGAAGAAGAAGCAGAAGAAGAAGAAGAGGAAGAAGAGCTTATTTACACTTCTTTGCTCACAGCTAAGCTAAGCTACGCTATTGATGACAACAGCACTCTTGATTGCCCTTTTTTTTTTACAAAGAACAAACAGAAGAAGAACAAGGAGAAGTATATCTCCTCAATCGAATCGAATCATGAGCTTCCACCAAGCACGTTGTGGATAGCTTGTCTGGCCCAATAGCTTGAGAGGTAATGGTGCTAGGCTATAGGGCTGATATTGGCCGGGCTGGCTGGCTGGCTGAACGGGTGGATGGCTGACAAGCGAAAGCAACCACAATTGCAAGCAAACTTATCCCTCTTCTGGCTTCTATTCCTAGAACCCCGACTATCCTACACTTCTTTCTACTGCAAATGTGGAGTATAGGTATAGGATTCTTTTCTTTTGTTTTTCACTTTCGGCAAGGGAAAAAAAGAATAATGAAAAGGGAAGAGGGAAAGGAATACGGGCTGAGAACAAAAAGGAGGATTATAAGCTGATATCTGATCTTACTGCAGAACTGTCTAGAATATCATACGATATGGTAGATACTCAGGTAGTATCAGCTGGAGATATCGATATCGATATCTGGATCTCCAGAACACCGCAGAACTTGAATTCAAATTCGAAGTTGGTAGATAGATAAAAGGATAGAGGGATAGAGGGATACTGTGTCCTTCAATCGTCCACGATATCTTCCCCCCCCCCCCTTTGTTCCTTTCTTCTCTTCTGACTATCTTCAAGCGCTTAAGCTTCTACTGGATCGATATAGCTCCAGATACCCTTATGAAATTATGTAATGAATTGGAATGGACCTGAGGAATGCAAAAAAAAATGCAAGTGCAGAACTGTACTAGTTAACTTACCCTGATCTGATCTGATCTGATGGCTTAAGCTTATGCTATGTCTCTCTCGAATATATATATTACTAATCCTGCGCGACCGGCTCTTTGAATTCGAACTCGAAAGGATATGAAATAGAAATAAAATAAAAAATAGTCAATTGATATCGATGTCTTCTGAATTCAAAGTGAAAATCAAGTCAGGGACAGCCCCTCCTCTCTTTATACCCCATGGTTATTCACATTGCAACTGCGCAGTTATAGCCAACATCTTAGATCTACATCCCACCTCTCTCCATTCCAATAGTTAGTGCTTTCTCTTTTTTGGACTTCCTTACCTTCGCAAGATTGCACACTGCTATTTTCAGATCCATGGGTCCTGCCAAGGGGTCCTGGGCCCGGTGGAGAACGTCACAGTCAAAGAAAAGAAAAAGCAAATTACAATCCACCATCTTTCTCTTCTTTCTTTTCTTTTCTTTTCCCAAAAAAAACATCTTCGCGAACGGAAACTTGCATCGAATCCCAACTTGATAGTCAGTTGGTTAGTAAGTATAAGTCAGTAAGTAAGCAATTATATTGACTGACAGGCAAAGGCAAAAATTTAAACAAAAAAGGGTGACCTGACATCTGCATTGATCATGATCCCTCGCCATGTGAAGTTCCAGCCGACATGTACATGTACTGTCTGCGTATGTGCATCTGGAATGTGTATGTCGACCATGCATGCATGCGCAGACTTCATAACTTTCGAAGATATAAAAAATTATTCCGCATCGACAATCCCCAATAACCTTTCTTTCCCCCCCTCACCTCTCTTTCGAGAGATTCGATCGAATCCATACACAGTAGATCAATAATGATATTAAATGTATAGATTATAAGTCTCGAATTCAACAAGTTATTAACTTTCAAAAAAAAAACGACCTCACGATCAATCGATCAACTCGCATCCATCGTTTCGACTTGCCGGAACCAGTATTTGCACTGCACACCCCCCTCAACAAACGTTACAAACCCTTTCGAGTTCCAACATACTTCCGCCCCCATTTTTTCAGACATTATCAATTGATCAATGCGCATGCGCATGCGATTGTATCGATTGATTGGATATAGATCATAATAATAAACAAAACATATGGAACATGTATTGTAACTATAGGCCACACGGCATTGCCGACACAAGGTAACAAGGAGGCGTTTGTAGTTTCTAGAAAAATCAACATTATTAAGCTTAAGGAAGGAGAAATAGAAGAGAGAAACTCGAAGTTTAAACCTGAAAGGATTGCTATATTTACCCACAAAATCCACTCTAAACCGAAAAGTCAGTCTTCCCGTCCCCCAAATGTCACCTTTCAATCTCGTCTCTCTATAAAATAGCTTATTTTTGTCTTACCTTCTTTTTTTTTCGGACCAAGTAGAAGAATTTTCTGCTTAGTTAGTTAAGACTAATTAGTAACCTTGTTAACGCCAAGGTCTCTCCCACAGCGAAAAGAGAGTATCATATGTAAAAGTCAATTATAGATTTCTGTTTCCCGCCACCGATGATGTAATAATAATAAACGGGCTAGTACCACTCTCGATAAGGGGGAAAGATAAAAAAGACAGTATCCCAGCTGAACTATGCATTCTGTATGGAAAAAAAAGGACCCTGTCCGTATACGCCCTCCATTGACGGCATCTCGCAGGATGTTTAATTGCGGTGGGGCCAACTTGGAGCTAAGCCTCACGGTATCATCCGGAAATACCACAACTTCAACGCAAAATATCTCCTTTAATTCTCAAATTGAATTGAATTCATGAATGGAACAGAGTATCAACTTCTCTGCTCGATATCGAAATCCATATTATAATTATAGCCCACGGGACTTTAATAGATAGTCGTATCAAAACATAATATATCAATTGTAAAAAAAGTTTCTTTGTTATATATATAATATACATTAATTAGACTGTACAGTTCCGTAAATAGCACATATTACCGTAATCGTTCTCCCCGCCACATGGCATAACATGCACGCCTATCGATCCCATGCGTATTTAGTAATTAATTGAACAAGAAATCCTATTTCGAGAACATATATCTATGTCCGTATTAGCATAACATGCAAAATACAAAATAAAAGTTTTGCTTTTATCCGTTGCGCTGATAATCCCCCCGCTCTGTCCCCCCTCTGTCTCTCTCTCTTCTACAAACCCCACGGGGACTTCCACATCTCCCGTACATACGTCTGCCGAAATCATCGTTAGCGAATTATAACCCCCACTCGTATCCCGTCCTCTCCTTCCTTCTGAATCCAGCCGAAGGATATTACATACTACTATAGCTCTGTCTGCATCCATAGTATACAGAAAAACAAATGTATACCAAGCGATAACGACTAAAAGAAAAAAACCCTCCGTTACAAAAGAAGGAAAGTAAGATAGTCAAAAAAAAGACATGCCGCCAAAAAGAACCAAGGGCTCAACCGCCCTAAAACCTCGAACCTCGAAATCTAGAATCACAAAATCTTCAGCTTCTTCTTCTTCGACAAAAGCAACTCCACGGACTTACACTCCTCGGAAGACAAAATCTAGATCATCTATTAAATCCACAGAAAACATTCCTTCCAGGTCATCGTCGACAAATACTAGGCAGGCTGGTGCGGCGTCGTCTCGGCCTATGAGAAGTTAGTGTTTCTTATTCCCCTCTTATATATCTACACCATTCTTCTTTCGTTCTAATTGAAGAGTTAATTGTATGAACAGCCCGCCAGAAGAAAAAAGTAAGCACATCAGGAACCTCAATCTCCACACTCCGCGACTCTCCAGAACCATCGCAGAGTCCTTCGCCATCTCCACCAGACCACCACCACCACCATCACACGACTCGACAAAACGTTGGTAGTGCGGAAGAAGCGACATGGTTTTATGGATTGGACATTTTTAGATCCGTTACACAACATGCACGGGAGTTCCTTTCAGGATTGGGGTATGGATTTGGGAATAGTGGTAATAGCGCTTCTGAGAATAAATCTACGGGGAAGAAGGTAGGGAGGAAGAGAGGACCGAGGAAGAAGTGAGACGGTTTTGATTAATTCTGAAGGGGCCTATATATCTTGCTCCTAAGTAATTAATCCACTCTTGTTTCGATTGTTAATTGGAGACTTGGTGTTTAGTCTTCTTTAACGTTAATATATACGTATTGGACGGCCTTTGAGGTCAATGGGGCTTTTCTGTTAAAATCGCTGGGTGAAGATGGCATAAAAGTACAATACATGCATTGCGAAACGAAATAAGACGAAAGAAAACTCGGTTTAATAACTATCAAGTGAATGAAATGAAAACAAAGCCAACTGTAGTTTTTTTGATAAATTAACGCCGTTGCAGTACTCCTCCATTAGAATTGTCATATCATGATAGTCCCTTCCAATGGATCAATCAAGTCAAACAGATATGATTATTCAAAATCCAGTATTAAGAAATCTATAAAATCGAGCGATCGATCGATCGATCATAACGATATGATGCCGAGATCATATTCATTTATTGCCTAATTTCCAGCGCCAGGACCATCGAGTCGGGTTTGGCGGCCGTGTGGGCGATATCGCAGAAGATGCAGCCCTCTCCTTCGAAGGAACCTCCTTCGTCACCAGAACAGACTTCTTAGATTCTGCAATCGTAGTATCCTCAACATTAAGATTCTTCGCCTTCGCCTCCATTAACATCTCCATCGTCACATTGGATCCTAAAAACCTCGAGTCATTAGCATATATCCCAGGAATATAAAGGTGTAGAGTTAACTTGTAAAGGAATGAACATACCACCGCAAACAATCACAACCACCAAACTATCCTCCCTCAACTCCGGACACGCCCTCCTCAACGCTCCATTATAAACCGTCGCGACACTAACCCCACAAGCATCCTCAACCAATAACCTCTCATCCTCCGCCAGTTTAACACACCCCATCAAAGCCTCATCATCACTCAAAACCACACTCCTAACATCCAACCCTGCATCTCTCCCCCCGTGTCTAGCATACTCCCAGGTCTGTTTACTAACCCTCCTAGCACCCAAACTAGTAGCTCTGGAGGTAATAGCCGGTAACATATGATGTTCATCCAGTAACATCGCTGTGGCTAATGAATCCGCGCCACGGGTTTCGACAGCAATAATAGGAACCGAATCCCATCCGTGGGCCTTCATACCCGCGACTATTCCGTTGAAGAGGCCGCCACCGCCGACGGAGAAGACGATGGCGTCTGGGACCTGGTGGGATTCTGGTAGTTGTGCCGCAAGTTCCGAGACTAATGTTGAGTTTCCTTCCCAGACATATGGATGGCTATATTCATTCCACCGTATAATTAGCCCCAAAATCTCTCCTCTTTATATATATAAATAAGTCAAGAACTTAAATATGTATAAAATGTATACTTACTCAAAAGGCGGACAATAAACCGCCCCATCATCCCCCCTCATCAATTCTTCTCTCATATACTCATCCGCCTCGATCAACCCATCCCCGAAGACATGAAGATCTGCGTCCGTATCCCTAATCTTCTCCTTCATCAAATCGCTAGTTCTTTTGGAAACAACAACCGTAGTCGGAACGCCCAGCATTTTCCCAGCTGTCGCAGCAGCTAATCCGGCGTTCCCACCGGATGAACAGTAGAACCTTGCGCGGCTGGGGTCTGGGAGGGAGGCGAGGGAGCGGAGGTACATGTTACCCATTCCGCGGGATTTGTAGGAGCCGGAGGGTTGTAGGTTTTCGAGTTTCATGTAGACTTTGCTGTTACAAAAAATAAAAATTGAATGTTAGTATATATGATAGTTATTGTGTATGAATAGAGAGGAGGATCTTACCATCCTGCAGCAAGACTCATGGCCTTAGACTGCTTCAATGGTGTCTGACACCATGGAAGCTGTGGCTGTTGTGTAGAAGATGGGTATGTAATCGTCATCTTGTTGAAAGAAAGAGAAAAAAAATATTCAATCGATTGATATTAGAAATATTCGAGGAGGGGAGAAAAAGGTATTAAAGAGGAAGGATATATCGAAGAAAATTATTGAGATGTTGTATATTCGATCTGTCTATAAAAGGAAAACTCTCCGGTCTATATCTGTTCGCAAGTCTGAAGCAAAGCCGCTGAAATATCGCCTCGACGTTGAAAAATGATAAGATCTATCTCTTTCTTTCTCTCTCTTCCCTTATCTTTCGCCTTAAAGTCTTTCAGTGTCGCAATTTCAAAAATATAATAAAATCCAACGGATGAAAAGAACAGTTATTAGATCCGTTAAAAAAAAAGAATATATATGCAATAGACAAAGATAGATAGAGCAAGGACCGGTAATCGATAACCAATTAAAACAAGTCCCTAATGACAAAAACAAGCAGGAGGATCCTTCACGTTAAAAAAAATGACACTACACCGCCAGTATATATATATATTCTCACACGCAATACAACGGTTCACCCAATTAACCATCAAGGGTTAAGGTTACCGTTACTTTTCCCTTATCTCGAGGTCACTTCACCATATTCTCCTGTTATCGCGAATTCTCTCTCTCTCTCTACAAAAAAGAAAAAGAAAATAAGAAAATAAGAAGGAAAAACAATTCCAAGACATTGGAAGAAAGAAGGCCACTGGGTCTGGTCCCCTGAGCATACATACTTACATCCATACTGAGCACATAGCACCTAAATCACATCCTTTACTTTTCTTTTTCTCCCCGAATCTACTAGCTAACCAGCTAAGAAATGCAATTCTATGTATGTGTATGTATGTAAACGGCGGCGGCGGCCCAGTTCCAGATCCAAACTAAAGATAGGACCCCTCTGAAAATGCTTGAAAAGGCCCGGCCAAACGGCGAGAGGCCAACTTTAAATCCACAACGGTCAAGCTCCGATTCCTCCGAACTCCAGAGAAAAAAAGTATTGAAAAAAAAGCAACAATAGCTTAAGATAGCTAAAGAGTTATGAACCTGCCTAATTCATAAACCCACCACCTAAAAAAAAAAAAGAATTAAGCAATTCTGCATACGGAATAGAAAGATGTTCTGTCATCGGCTGGCTTTTTGAGCAAGGAAAAAAAAAAAAAAATCTGGGGTAATAAGTTATTTTTTCTTATTTTTCTTCTGAAATGTTGGGGAACTCGTCTCTTCACTTCATGAATTCATAGGTAGTTTGATTACCAGCTAAACATATCGAGGACAGAGAAAACTGACCGTCGGAAAGTAGACTTCTCATTGGACCAATTGGTTTTTTTCGCATATATTTCGCCATATACCCATGGATAAATCCAATGATCACGAAGTAACGAACGAATCGAATCGAAACCCCATGTTCCATTTTAAGGCTGCATCGTGCGCAAGAAGTAAAAATAAAAGTAGAATAAAATAAAAAATAAAGATAAGTGTTTGCTAGGAACTCCCCATACTTTTTCATTTCTTTTTTTTTGTTCATGAGTTATGACTTACCCCTGACATAATCGAATCGGAATACCACCAGCGACTTCGTACAAAAGCCTAACGACGCATACACCCGGCAAAACCACACCCACAAAAAAAAAAGGAATCCTTACGAACGGAACGTAAACTATACGGCAAACCAGGATCGTGGTTCTATGGGGTAATAGAATACGTAAAGTTCGTGCTTACGCATTAGCATGCTAGAAGCTATGGGGTAAGAGAAACGTAACAGGATATTATACAAAATATGTATTATATTATTCCAGAGCTACTAACCATTATGAAAAAAAGGATTCCTGTGGAATTATACTAAAAGAAGCCTTAACCTTTTCTTTTTTTTCTTCTCCTTCTTTGTAAAACGGTAGGACAGCGGGCCACGAGGTCTTAACGGATCGATGAGATTCGTTCTAGGCGTGCTTTTTTTTTTTCTAGAGCAGCAGCTTGAGCTCCAGCTCTCTGAGATTCTTATGCAAGAAGGCCTGCGGATTGCATATTGCGTCTGTGACAGGTCATCTGGCCTATGAGCTTAATCTAACCTCTTCAGATAATTGCTGCCGTCGATGCTGTCTTATTATTTTTTGTTTTATATTGGAGCTTCCGCCTTCACATAGAGCTCCGATTCTGTTACACCAAAACCTGTCGGCAGATATCGGATTCGATTCATTCCTACCAAAAGCGAAACACCCATCCAACCAACCACCATGCGCCGTAAAAACAGAAGAAAAAAACATGTCAGCTAAGACCAGACAACTGACCAATATGAATACCTTCGCTGCCATAAACGGAAAAGAAATTAAAATTAAAAATAAAAAGCCACCTTATGATACAAAGAAGAGAAATGTAGACAAATATGCCATCGTGACTTCGTGATTTAGAGCATAACGAGCTCGAAGAGAGAGAAGGGGAGGGGGAAATGTGAATGGCTGACGTGCCATAAACCACCTTAGCTATGCGCAAACAACGCCCGAAAAATGTCGAAAAGTATCCGAGAACTCGCATCACGGATGTGGGCCGCCCGCCGCCCTAACTATTTAGCTGTATTTCGTTTTCTCCACTGATAAGTGAAGGAGGTGAAAAAGGCGGTGTCTGATTTGTTGGGGAAGAAGGAGAGAGATAACGCAAAAGAAGACTAGACTGGCGTTTCACCACAGGACCACATCGATCTGGAACTCATCCTCTATTTCTGCGTCTTCTAGAGTCATATCCTCCTCTAGTTCTTCGCCATCGAAGTGGAGTTCTATCTCTGTGTCTTCGTCTATTTTTCGTTCATCGCGCATCCTCTCTATCACTTCGCTAATTTTCATGCTCTAAAAGCCGTCTTGCATTAGTGGCTGTTAATGGGTGGGTCAGAAGGAAGGAGTTTTAGCTTACCGGCTTAACCTTGAGCTGTAATTCCTTGAAATGTTTTCCTTTCAATGTGATCTCCATCATCTGCGTATTCAACGCGATGCCGGTCACGACCTCCTCATCCTCGTGGTCGCTGGAAAGCTCCAAAGCCTTTTCTCTCTCCTTCGCTGCCTCCCTCTGCCTCAATAACCCTTCAAATTCCTCATCCCACATCGCGTCAAAATAGATCCTACAGTCGTCAGGTTTGATACCATTTCGTATCGCCTCCCTTTCATCTTTCCCCAATGTCGAAAAACTATCGTTCCCCCCCTTTCTGTCGAGGTACATCTTCCCATCCCTATCGAACCTAATCCCCAGACTCTTGGGCACCGTCGAATCGAAGGCCCGGGTTTCATTCTGCCAGACCAGAACCAAGTGTTGTATTTGGTCCTCTGTGAACCCTTGCATACGTGCCCATGTATCTCGTACTTTTCCAAGAGTCTGGCCGAATTTTCGGTTGAATACCATGGGTTTTGTACCGGGTATTCCACTGATTATGAGGATTTGAATAACAATATCCTTAGAGGCGTCGGCAGGGTTTGTAGAGGTCGCATGTTGACTAGCCAGTAGCTGTGTTGACAATGGAGGCGACAAGACTCGAGATCTTGCTTCAACCTCTGCTTTTTTCTTATTGAATGCTTCGAGGACTCTATCGACTTCGGAAGGGTCGATGGGTTCGACGGATGTTCTGGGCGTAAGCGTTGGGTCTCTATTCTTCCGAGGGAGGAAATCGGGATCTTTGTTGTCGTCATTTTCGTCGTCGCCGATGAGAATGGCAGTTTCATCATCACTCTTTCGACGCTTCGAATACCTTCTTGGCTCAATCTTCTTTTTCTCTTCCGCTACAGCTTTCGCTCTCTGTTCACGAGCTTCGGCCTCCTTCTGACGCTTTGCCTTTGCCACTATTCGCATACCGGCGTGGACATCCTTCGAACGGCCAAAGAATTCGAGGTCGTTGAATTCCTTCTTTTTCTCGGTCTTTTTGGGGTTTTGGGATCCAGATGGTACGGTAGCCTGGGATGCAGTTGGAGATGTTAAATCGATGGTGGTAGATGGTTCTTTTTTGAGAAGCGGTGGACTGCTTTGGGATGCAGTTGGGGGCGTCAGATCGATAGTGGTAGATCGTTCTTTAGCTAGAATCGGTGTCGTTGATGCCACTAGTGTCGATGGTGATGACGATGATGATGACTCGATATCGCTTTTGACGACCGTGGGTTTGCGACTCGCCATCTTAAATCCCGCGATCCCTTTCAAGACTGGCTTCTTTCGTGCAGGTCGTTCAGCAGACATGATTGCAAGTTAATCAATAGCGATGCTGAAGTATAAGTATATCGTTGATGTGAAGTTAAGTTGGTGTTAGGGGATGTTGTGGGTTAGGAAAGAATATTGTAGAAGTGGGAGATGGTATTGTTGAGATTGCATTGAACGGGCGCTTGATATACCGCCGCTTGAACGAGGAGCGATAGCTTAGGTAGTACTTATATACTTCGAATCTGCGGTCTATATAAGTATCCAAAGCTATCGTTGGTGTTTCTGAGGATGAAATTGTTGGTGATGATGATGGCGATACATGCGCATGTGAAAGGCGAAGGAGGACAAAGAGAATGGAAGAAAGATGTCGCACAGTTGGGCAGAAAAGCCACGCCAAGAACCTTGTTCTGTTATCACGTGACCCACCATCTTGTCCTTCTGCAGCCCCCATGCAAGGAACCATTTCCCGGATCGTTATACGAACACTCAGCCTTTAACAGGGTCAATATACCCCTCGATGAGGGTTTTGAATCGGTTCAACGGACATACATGGCAGAATCTTGCATAGTAGTTAACATGGCTTCGGACCCCCCTGCAGTATCGTTGACGACCTTGTCCACCGAACTTACATTCCACATTCTATCATTCCTCTCTCCCATCGAATACAAAGCCTTCTCTTCTACCTCCAAAACATGCCGAAAAGCCTGCATTCCGATCGTTTTTCGTCGGGTGAGATTGTACCCGGAAAACATCCAACTCTGGCAAAATAACCCCGCTATCTGCATCGCCGTCAGACGTGTCTCGTTTTGTCCTCTTTATATCAAAAGTGAAACCGAACTTATGGACTATTGGCGAATATGCACGAATGCAGTGGGGTTATTATTCCCCAACGTTACGGATTTAAAACTGCTTTACCCGAGTTGTTCGTACTATCTACAGCAAAGGGATGTTGCCGAGAGAGACTCCTTTGATGATAAACTGTTACAGCTTGATAATCGGATATTCAGCGCGATATTTTCGACATTGTCGACATTTCCGTTTTATGAGTCACAGTTGAGGAAGCTACATATTGAAACTAATAGGTTTTGGTCGGCAGGCGAGCAGTATCCATCGGATATCTCGACTGAGAATCAAGAGTTTTTAGACTCGACTAATAGAGTCATGGCAGCGAAAGGGTTGGATCATATACCTTTCCCCCACATGTTGGAAGAAGTAGTACTCACTGCTAAGCTTATATACTTCACACCACCGGGGTATAATCTACATAACTGCGTCGCTCTACAAAATTGTATGGGTTCGTTAAGAAGTTTCAGCCTCTTAGGCACTCCGGATCATTCTACGAAACGATTTTCAAGAGGAAACCGACCAAAGGATGAATACATCAAGAATCCAATTTTATGGCTGAATATCTCGGACTACGTCTATCCAAATGTCACGACTCTGTGCATCAGTAGCAGATTTCTGACCAATGAATATATCTATGAGTTCCCAGTTCGTTTTCCGAGTTTACAGGAACTGAGGATTCACGACCCCAGTTCAAAGGTGGGATCGATGATTACCGAAAACTTCGAGGAAGTAACCGAAATGCTAAGGGCCTTTAAGGGGCTCAGGAGGGCGGTGATACCTTGGCCGTTGGAAGATACGAATGATATTGATTGGGAGAAGCCGGGTTGGGACCCTGCACCCCCCGTGCCGGTAGAAAAGATTGGAAAGACGGCGAGAGCATGGTTTGCGGATCAAAGTCTAGTGGCTCTGGAAAGGATAGCCTTTTGGATGTGGGATGTCGTGGAGAAAGAGACTCGTTGCGAGGCTGTGATTTCTGAACGTAGATTTGGGGTAGATGGTGGAGTACATGTGAGGAAGGTTACATGCACCAATAGAGAGGAGCTATTTCCAATTCTGGGGAAGGGCTGGGATCCCATTTGCTGGGTGGATCATTCTAAGAGGTTGGCTCGAACGGGGATGGTAATAGGGTAGTCCGAATGCAATATTATCGATACCTATTGGCGTATTCACATAATCTGATAGAAGTAATAGTATCTTTTCGTTCTTTCGAGATTCGAATATAATACTACTATCTACATTTTATTCAGCAAATCCTCGGTTATATATAGTCTCGCATCTGACTACATTCTAAATATACATGTTTATATATTCCTACACCAGTTCCAAAAAGACCAGATGGATATCAGAACATATGCTGCATACACTACTTCTGATCCTGCGGAGACCCTGATCAAATCTTACAATTACAAGATAAGCCTGGATATTCCAAAATATAAACCGTTATATATATATACTTTGACAGTTAATTACTATCAAAGAGCGACAATATCTTACTCAGGAATCAGAGCACATATGCCCACAAATATGCGGTTATATAACAATACAATTCACCACTAATTTCGTCTTATAGAATGCGCAGATGCTCGAATACAATAATTTCCTTTCGAATTCCTCAATACGTAAACCCCGCAGTCGCCAATACCAATATCTCCGTCGAAACCAACGCGGAACGGATTAATTAACTTTGTGGTATTCTGATGTCACCGTCACGTGATGTCCACGAGCCGCCTTCGGTCGCGAGCATTTTGGTCCTGCAGGCCAGGCAGCATGTTAGCAGCCTGGCTCGAAGGGCGGCCCGATCAAAGGGGTCTGCCGAATTGACTGTTGGATGTTGCAAAAACCCCACTGCCCAAAAACCACCCTGAATTAATCGAAGAAAGCGCTGCTCCCTTTTTTCCCTTTTCCTCCCATGTAAAAATCCCAAATCCCAAATCCCAACTTAAGTCCCAAGTCCCAAACTCCGGGTAACGAGGTTTCTCCCACTCTCAGGTTCACCGCCGCCGGCAGCAGCGCGTGTGCGTGCGCATTCGTATTTCCATATCAGATCAGGCGGGTCCCCGTATGCCCATAAAGAGAGACCTATAAGTCCCCGGCTTATAACGGATCGGGCAACCAGCGAAACAAAAAAGAAGGTGTAGCACAGAGGCTCATAAGTCCCCGAAATCACTGCACAAACAACAAAAAAGGAGGGTGGCAACCCGCCGGAACGCCAATGGATCTATCGGCTTTACCCCCGGAGCTCATGCTCATGGTGACATCTTACCTAACCCATCCGGATCTCAAATTATTTTCTCAAACTTCGAAATTCTGTCGGTCGATATGTCTTCCTGCACTTTTTCATGGTGTTTACATCGATACAACTACCCCTGCCGCCTTTGCGCCGGGGGGAAGCTTGTATCACGTTCGATCACATGTTAAGCACATATCCCTCGATGCTGCGCAACGTATATCGTTCGCTGGGTGTACCCAAGAAGTTGAAAGAACTGTGGACTATTTACGAGTATGCGCCGAGGGATTACAACTTTTTCCAAACTTGGGGAGCTTATTGGTCATCGCCAGGAGTTTGGAAGGGAAATACTTGGACGTTAAGGAGTTGAAAGGGATTCAAAAGCAGTTAATTTGGGCGTTGTTTTCCACGATATCGAGGGGTAGAGTCGATGCAAAGGGAGGGATTGGGAAGGGGGCGTTGGACGGAGTAGAAGAGTTGGAATTCACCTTTATTGACGAAGGCGGGGACTATGAAGAGGAAACTGGCAAGGAAATCTTGGAATGGGGGGTCGAATGTTTATCTGAAGAAAATAAGAGGTTTCTTCAGCTCGGAGAAGCTGGCGTGAGGGATGGCGTACCGATTCAGTTCCCGCGAGGGTTGAGGGTCAGGGAAGCCCAGCTCAACTTTTTCACCATGGCGAAATTCCCATGCCCGGATTACTTCTTCAACCCGTTCTGGACGTTACAGGGTTCGACGGAAACATTGACAAAATTGGCGTTATGCGGCGAATTCGGCACACAGAACGAAATAACAGCAGCAATTGGACCTGGTGGAGGTACGGCAGAGAAACCCGTACTATTCGCATTACCGCAGGCGGTTACATTTCCAAATGTTCGAGAGTTATTCGTCACACGACAGTACATGTATCCTGTTTTCTTCGCGGAAATCAGTTGGCGATGTCCAAATGTAGCATTGTTGAAAGTCGTGGTGACAGAACACGATCTTTGTCATTTGTCGCTAGAGGCTGTGGAGGAGATATATGTTGCGCTAAGGGATATGAAACGGTTAAGGTTCTTTATAGTTCCTGGGCCGAATCTGGAGCTTGAGGAAGACCTGGGGCCTCAGGAGTTGGTGGCAATGTGGGAGAGGGCGATGGAGGGGTGGGTTGAGTGTGGAATGCATGAATTAGAACAAACTATATTCGTGATGAGATCCATGGAACCAGACGAAGAAGGGTCGAGGATTGGAGGAGTCAGTGTGGAAGTTATCAGAGAGTATAGGGAGATGGCGAATCAAGTTTATTATAGACTGCACTTTTCGAAGATACCCCGGATGACTTTGGATGGGTTTTCGTGCCAGGAGTAAGTACTAGACTTTTATTTTGAGTATCAATATCAGGGAACGATCTTTTAGCATAGAGTATTTCTTTCCCCGGCTGAGCGATTTTGTATATATAAAAAAATATAGACATGAATTTAAGCGCATAATAAAGCCTGGTGCAGACACTGTCGTAAACTTTCAAGACTCGTTTGCGACGTCCTCGACGGCCTTAGTAAAGATTTCGCAGCCCTGTCTCATTTCTTCCTCGCTGATCGTTAGTGGAGGGATGAACCTGATGGTTTCGTAGATGCTGGTAGTTAGCGTCAGCATGTCATTCTGTAAGCATTTCGCTTGAACTTTGCTTGAGATCCCTGCTGCAACATCCTTTGGTGTCAAGGTTGGGAATGATGGGGAGTTAAATTCTAGACCGATCATAAGTCCAAGACCGCGAACGTCTTTGATCAGATGTCCTGTCTTTGGAGATGTCTTAAGGGCGTTCAGAGTGTCAAGTAATTGTTTCGATCTATATCACATATTAGTAAACATGACCGCATTGCATTGATATATGCATAGGGTCATTATGTCGGAATATACCTGGCGGCAACATTCTCAAGCACTTTCTCTTCCTGCATAACCTCCGCACAAGCTACACCCGCTGCGCAAGCGACCGCATTCCCACCGTAAGTGCCACCCATACTTCCCGGATTTTGCTTATCCATCAACTCCTTGTTTGCCGCGATACCACTAAGCGGCATACCATTTGCAATCCCCTTCGCCATAACCAAAATATCCGGTCTGACTCCCCAATGTTCAGCCGCAAAGTATTTCCCTGTCCTTCCAAACCCACTTTGAACCTCATCCAAAATCAAAAGTATCCCATGCTCGTCACAAAGCTTTCGAACTGCTGGTAAGAACCCGGGTGGAGGAACCACATACCCTCCTTCACCTAATACCGGTTCGATAAGTATTGCTGCTGTATCTGAGGCTGCAGATTGCTGCTTCAACAATACTTTCAACTCGTGTATCGGGTTATTACAGCAATTCTCAAAACCCAGTGTATCATTCCCACATGCAACAGCACATTGCGTACAATATGGAAACGGTGATGTTAAAACACCCGGCATGAAAGGTGCAAATCCGGAGCTGTACACCGTTTTACTCTTCGTCAATCCCATTGTACCGAACGTACGACCATGGTAGGAGCCCTGCATCACAATCACATTCTGACGTTTTGTCGCCATACGAGCAAGTTTAATTGCCGCTTCGACTGCTTCGGCGCCGGAGTTCCAGAAGAAAAAGGTATCGAGGGAAGGGTCTGGCATGACAGGTTTTAGCTTTTCGATGAGGGAGAGCATTGGTTCGTGCATTGCGATATTGACTTGGCCGTGGACCAGAGTTCCAATTTGAGCTTGAGCTGCCGCCGTAACCTTGGGATGACAGTGACCTGTTCTTCGTTTAGAAAGAATATTTCCCAACCAAGCGATTACGCTCAAGTACCTAAATTGGTGACACCAATCCCCGCCGTAAAGTCGAGTAATTTACGACCCTCATCGGTCCAGACGAAACTTCCAGCGCCTGTCAATTGCACACAACGCCCGTGCAACTACAATTAGCCAATTTTAAACTCGAAATGATGTGTTGAAGAGGTAAAAATCCAACAGACCTCGCTTTAGAACGATATTTGACAGGCGGCCGATTCCCTGACAGACAGACAGGCATTCAGTTTTAGCGGGCCGGAAGGAAAAGCCAAGTCGACGTAACCGAATGGGTAGTCTAGTCTCCGCTCACCTTGGCGATATGTTGGACTCCAAAAGCTGCTCTAGCTGTAGCAGCTGCCATTGTGATGAAGCTTTCGAGTTGATAAAATTGGGTATGAGTTCGAACTACGACTATTAACCAGACTTGAGGACTATAGGGAAGGTATAATCGGGAGAGTTTTTAAAAACAAAACAAAAGAGAATCGGGTTCGAAAACGGTTGAGAAATTCAATTCAAATCTCGAACGGAACGGCAGTGGGGAACGTAACGCGGGCGGTATTTCTGGCCAATGAAACCGAACCGAATGTAAGCGTCGGAAGACGCCGGTCGGTTTGCAAGTCCACTGAGTGCTGCGCTCCGTCGGCCGGCCGTTCTGGACTCGTAACTTTTGTCTGAAGTTGCATGGTGGCTGCGCTTTTATGGCACAGTTTGGGGGGCAAAGAGTTGATTTGATTGATGTTGTTATTATTCATTTGATCAAAGGGATTTTGGGGGCGGAGGGGTGGAATTTATTCAATTCAGGGTACCATATGGCCTCTTACTTATAAGAGGCACATTTGGTGGTCTACTGTTGTCCTGATTTATCCTGGTAGCTGTGAGGGTTCTTGATAGGTGCCACATTTTGCCTGTCAGCTGCGGAGACAAAACGTGATGTAATTTTACTGATTCAAGTCATGAGAATTAATATATTAATACCCGGTTAATTAGAAACTATATTCTGTAATACTATATCATATCATATCCTGACAGTGTTTTTTAAAAAGTAAATAGCGTTCTACATCTATCTGCCCTTCATACACTTAATTCTGATTGCGATCCAGATAGTAGTAGATAGTTACCATATAGGCTTAAAAACCTCAATATGTGCATGTCTACAGCTACGATTATTGCATTGCCTTTAATTATAATTAAACTTACCCACGAAGCTGGTAACTTCGAAAGTGACAACATTGAAAGAAATGGGTGGCGAACAGGCTTATAATTAATGTATGGCTAGAACTAAGCGCTACGACAAATACAAATTAAAAACTTTATAAGATACCTACTTACTTAATACACTAGAAATCAAATTCCTAGATCCATCTGCCGATAGAATCGGCTCGGTTCCATGTCTACGTAGATGGATATTGAGACGAAATACACTAATGTCAACGCATCTAGTTGGGATTCGAATTCATTAGTATATTACTAACCCGATAAAATCCCATACCTATAGAACTTCATCTCTAGATCTAGATAGGGGCCAGTATCTTACTCTATTCCATCAAGTCGTTGTTCAACAATGAACCTAAGATTGTCCGCAAATTCAAAATATCCCTGGTATGCTGCCGTCTCTATTCCATCCTCGATACATTGTATCGGGATCCCTGGCAAAAGAGGGCCGAAGAATTTTTGTAGACCGTCCTCTAGGCAGGGGTTGCAACCGGTACGGCCTAATATATCTAGTGCGTGCCCGTACACCGATGCGCTTTTTGTCAGAACTGAGATAGCCCACTCGGGACCCATGTGGTTCAGGACGACATCTAGAGCCTCGTGCATATGGTTGAAGAGGAGATGATGTAAAACGTGACCTTCGGCTGCATCCCAGAAGCTGAGATCTGCCCCTGCTTGCAAGAGTATCTCAAGACACCGGGCACTCTTTGCACAGGAGAATACTTCAAGCTCTGGCTTGAAGAATTCTTGACCACTCATTTTTAGATTAGGATAACCAGCATTCAGGGTGTCGGCGATTGCATATCCTCCTTTCACTTCTAGTGCCGCACATTTGAGAGAAAGTAGCCCATTTTGTCCCCACAGGTCAACATGAGGCCTTTGTGGATCCGGGAGTTTAAGCATCTCTTCAATGAACTTCAGGTTGCCATGAATGACGGCAGTACGTATCGGTGTATCGCCGCGTGAATCAATTAGATTGACAATAGAGACTGTTACCCCGGTTTTGTTAGTTTTGTATTCATAAAAATTAAAAACTTTCGACAATAAAACAGAAAACTTGAGGAGGAATGAATATTTAAATATCATCGACCCCGAAGACTTCGGAACTATAAGATCGAGAAAACCCATTCGACGATAGCTATCGGTGTCTTTGATGTAGCAACTTGAGTGACGGTTAAATCCATGAAGTTACACTTACATGTGCCTCCTTGTATCCAGCGCTGTCGACCCCGAAGGGGTAGATCCAGCTCATCAGGAATCTTAAAAAACAGAGCGGCTTTCTCCACTAAAATTCTTGCGCAACGCCAATGGCCAGAACGGGCCAAAAAGTGAAGAGCAGTTTCTAATACACCTTCATCAGCTGTACCAGACGCAGGTACGAGACGATGATTCCTTAATTCTCCTCTGTGATCTTCCTTCGACTCTAAACCTTCAAGAACATTTGCTATAAACTCAAGCTCAGACGACGCGTCGCGGTTGAGGATGTGAAATAGCGCGTCCCATCCGTACCCATCTTGTATGGGCAGCAGACACTTATTCGATAGAAGAATACGGACGACTTCCTGATCCCAATAGTGGATAGCAACCTGTAAGATTGTTACGGAGAACCAAGCTATTTGTGGAACTCCCAAATCTGGTACTACTAGAGGTCTGCAATTGCCAGTGCCGTTCTTAATTATTTCAAAGTCCTCGTCTGAAAGAAACTCTCCCATCTGAGATTGAAAGCTGCCAAACTTAATTGCATGAGATATCCGTTGGAACAAAGTTCTATATGATGCATGAGCGCCGCTGCCGGAACTCCCACTAGACCCGCTGATTGAGCTGCTAGTGGATTTATGTCCCCCGGTATATATATCGATATCCAGGGAAGGAAAATTGCCATCGGCCTTAACCGGTTTCCATTCTTCTAGAATACGGCAAAATTGGAAATTTGAGCAGCTTTCCGCGATTGAGAAAGCAGATCTGCCGGCGGCATCACTGACGAATTCAGTTCCGGTGTAGACCTTTCCTTGGCGAATAAAGGATGCGACGAGGCTATATGCCTTATCGTCTAGGTCTTTCAACCCAGCGAAAAGGAAAACGTCCTCCTGGGAAATATTTTCATGATGTTCCAGCACTAAATTTATGACTTGAGAGTTAAGGGGGAAGCCTGGGGACCGGAGAAATTCCAGTGTGACCTTTCGTTCCATTGTACAATCGACCCGGGGGAGGTTTTTAAGGAGCGCATTAACACTAGAGACCGGACGGGATTTAATTGCATACTCCAAACATGTGGTTCCGTAGGAATCTTCATCGAAGACGTTACTACCAGCCAGTATCAAAGCTTCAAGGATATCGGGGCTACAGTCAATATCCAGTGCTATGTTCAGAGGCGTTAATTGGGCTGCGTTCTTCATATTTATCGAGGCCTGGAATTTTCTCTCCTTTAATATCTCGATTATTCGCAGCGAGTTATCGGAGAACAGCAGCATATGCCAAATATTTTCTCCAGTTTCGGCCACTGTTCTGGAAACATCGATAGGCTTTTGGTCAAGAAGGAAGTTTAGGACTATCGTGTTTCCGAGAGAAGCTGCTTTAATTACTGGAGGTAATTCTCGATCCTGGGTGCTATGCTCGATTTCCGCCCCAGCTTCAACAAGCACCTTCACTACCGAGACATCTGAATCAATTTCTATCCCATAATCGAGTGCAGAGCAGCCTTTAGAATCGATTGCCGCAACATTTGCGCCGCAGCCAAGTAGAGCTCGAATGAAACCAACTTTTTGTTTCTCAGCAGCTACCATTAGTGCGGTTTTGCCTAGTCTGCACGACGCATTGACGTCCACTCCATGATCACATAGGAGCTTAATCAGCTTGATACCGTTGACAGTGTCCAGCCAGCCAAGCATCATATGAAGTGCAGTACGGCCGTCAGGCATTATTGCTGTCGCATTTGCACCACTTCTAATCATGAATTCGACTCTTGAGAGTGAGACTTCCCTCGATACTAACGAGTGGAGTGGGGTTTGTTCGTCAGTGGTGATTTTAGCTTCTAGTCCAATCTGAGGATGCTTCTGAAACAATAAAAGACATTCTCTCCAACATGCCTCGCAGGTTACCTGGAGTGTCTCGAAGAAGGGGGCATTGTAGGTAACACCAAAGCCGTTAGGCAATGTCGTCCGTGGTAGGAGAAGTCTAAGTACTTGAAAGCGCCGGAAACAAGGACTATCTGGTGAATGTAGTCCCAGCTGACCAAGGTCTGGGTCTTCAGGACTTCTTTTCATCATCCCCGCTGCAACTGCAAACGCTGTGTACCCCTCGGTGGTGACAGAGTCGACATCGATATCTGGAAGTTTCAATAGCCATTCTACTAGCTTAAGAGCTGTTTCCGGAAACTCGTTCCGAACAGCAATGTGCAGCAAAGTTTCCCCATCCTCTGTTGGTGTCCCGACTGAAATCTGGCTACCAGAGGCCTTCCCGGCTTTCAATAGTAAGGGTAGACTGTCTGGGTTGGAGGAAAAACATGCGTAGTGCTGAGGGAGCCATCCTCGCGTTTTGTGTTTTACTGTCACTTGAGCGCCGGCTTGGATTAAAATGGCGATTGAATCGGGGTTCCCAAATTGGCAAGCCTTCATAAGAGGCGTAGCGCCGGTATCAGTACAGGGATCAATAGCGGCCTTATGTGAAAGTAAAAGCTTGACCAAACTGCTATTGATATTAGCTGCTGCATCATGGAGGGCAGTATAGCCTTTTATGTCCTGGCTGTCGATGTCGAGGCCACGATTTCGATTTAGGACAGCCTCTAGATATTTAGGTTCTGGGAGGAAACATGCGTAGTGATAATACGTGCCATTATCGTTAGTTTTCAGGGAGAAATCGATATTGGAAGAAATTAGATCCTCTGAGATTCTGAAAAGGTTTTTTGTTTTCCCAGCAGCCGCAGAAAGCATATCATACGATTGCCAGAGGGACATCAAAGGAGTCTCGCCATGGGAAGACTGGAGGTTAACATCAGCACCTGCGTCCAGCAGGAGTCGAACACAATTATAATGTGCAGAAATGCAAGCATAGTGTAAAGGCGAGAAATTATCATTCTCTGGCGCCTGCGTATTCACAGAAATACGACTGCAAGCCAGCAGCTGACTCACTATGGTTTCATGACCAAATGAGCACGCGCAATCAAGAGCGGTAAATCCATCTGGACCACGATTGTTGATAATACCAGGGTATTTGGAGATAATAGTATTGACTATGTCACTCATCCCTGCTCTCGCAGCTGAGAGTAGTTTTTGCAGACGTGGTGCGTCTGTTTCTTGCTCAGGAGTAAGAGTATTTCTTATCGGAAAAAACTCATCGGGGTCAGGCACTTCGTTTTTGTTCAGCGCCAATGGCCGGAAATCATCGACAAGATGCCCGACCTCTGCTTCCGCAGCCCCATTTCTCATCAAAGCCTCGCAGATTTTCGCTTTACAGTTTCTATCCCAGAGTTCAGCCGTGGAGAATTCGAGTAACTGGATGACTTCGGCGTTGGTGATCCACCCACTTAGAATATTTTTGCATAAAGAGTCAACAACTTCCATCGAAACTTGCTTCTCAAGTTTTGAGAATATCAGTTCTGCAGTCGTAGGACAGTATTTTCCTGCTTCGAAAAAAGTGAAAAAGGGGTAGGTAATTTCGTTCCCCTCGGTACATATGTTGGGATCAGCCCCCGAGTTTATCAAGAGCAAGATTATCTGGTTGTAATCATGAGAAATCGGGGGTAACTGATTATCTGATTGAAGCTCGACCGGTATCTGCCGTTCATGATATTTGAGCAAAGCCGCCGAAAGAGGAGTTCCGCAGTGAGGGACTATAAAATTGACACAGTCTTCCTCCTTAACGAGTTCTTTCGTTACGCTTAACAGCCCAGAATAAGCTGCGAAGAAAAGCTGGATGCCATCGTGAATGAATAAACCGTTTCCCCAGAAGCCAGGTCTCGAGTTTCCAATATCAGGGAGGAGGTTGCCTTTTCGCCATCGCAGGAAGTAAGAATTGTTTTGGACTCTAAGGAAATCTTTAACCAAGGTGTCAAGATCATCGTCCCAAAGAGGAAGAGCGGCCCTGGCGTGTTCGTCCCAATAGTAATCCGCGTACTTGAGTAATGGGTAAGTCTCATACAACCCCGCGAATTCGTCATCAGCAAAGAGATACGCTTCTTGGAAGTTTTTGAGCATCATGTAGCGCAAGCAAAACTTTGCCAACCATCTGTGACTATCAAATTTGTTTATTCTGAAAAGGTCTAATGAAGGCGGGCGTTGACTCCAATTCTCTAATTGTATGAAGAAGTCTTTGACGGTGAAGTGAGAAAATTCCAATATTTTTGTTTCGTGGTTCAGTCTCACAAAACTGCTCCCTAATTCGAGAATTTTATCCTCGTCAAGAATTGAGTCCTCATCATAGAAACCCTCCGCAGATCTAATGTTCGCAGCAGCCTCTGTCAACTGTGATAAAGTCAACGGGGTTACGGAAAACGTCAGCCATCGTAGCGTCCGCAGGAGATACTCTATGTCGCTTCCGCCCCCGCCCTCATTCGATGTTATCCTTTCCAGAATTTTCTGATAAACTCCATTTAGTCCCGGTGGAAGGTTGCTCAGCGCTTGCTTCCGCTCGTTATCGGTACCAAGCTGGCATAGATAATCGATCTGGCAGACTGCCCACTGGAACCTAATAGTATATGTTGAATTTTAGCAATGCCTTGAGCGGATGTGGATCAAAAGATATAGGTCTAAATTTAACTAACATTCCTTTACAGCCTTCGACAAGATTGTCTATAATCAAAGGCTTCATATCAGGCTTCCCTGGCCGAGGCCTACCCAGTCTGAGTTTTTTAGAACGGATTCGGTCTTCAACGGCTAACGCAACATAAAGCTGTACATCTGATTTGGAAGCGGCGACCTCGATTCTATCATAGGCGGATAATACGTTCTCAAGATCTGGTTCGGGGCGACTGCACAAAAGAACCTTGATTGGGTTGGGTCCTATATCTGGGAGTCGGCTAAGCTGCTGTGCTAAGTCGGCTCTATTTGTGCATTCGTCTAATCCGTCAACAACTATGATCAAGTTGGCATATGGCATGGAGACTTGTGACAAAATTTGTATAAGGTCAACACCGCAATCCCCTAAACAAGAGCCAATAGATCTGTCAGGATTGTGCTTGATGTAAACCTCCTCTAGGATGTCGAATGCGGATGCGCTTTGCTTAGAAACTTGCATGATTAGTGAACAGAGTATATTGTCCAAAGTCTGTGAGTCTTTGGACTTAAAGTCACAGTAGTGGAAAGCTATCGCATCGCTATCCTCCATCTCGTCGATGATACTTTCTATAATAGATGAACTATAATCAATGTATATATATTAGTGTAATATTCGAGAAATTCTTCAACTGCTAGTCTCTTACACCATGACGGTCTTTCCAGCACCCGCTGAGTGGAATAATCATGTAAATGAGTTAGCAAACTTTACCTGCTAATGGCGGAAAGGGTCTAGACACGGTTACTCACGGATTCCTGAGAGCCAGAGCCGCGCATTGGGCGTGTTCCTCCATGTTTGGTACTCGTCGCGATCAGCAAACCATTCAGCTGTTCCAGCATATCGGAGACTCAAATTATTTTGGTGGGCAGCCCGAGGATTCGCAGTGCTTGCCCAATTGATAATCCGCCGCTTCTCGATATCTAGAGTAGATAATAAGAGTTTAGTACTGTGCTAGATCAACAGCAGGCTGTTACAGACCAAGATATATCCGTTCAAGCCGTTTAACAGTGTCCAATTGGCCTGCCCGAATTTGTTCTGCAATATCTTTCAAATCGTCTTGTCCTTTTAAAACTGATACTAATGCCGATCTTTATAGACATATCGATAATTATATAACAGCTTGATTAGCCTCTCATGCGAGATTGCAAAAGCTCTAACAACCATTGGTGGAATACATTGTATTAGTTTGCAAGGCCAGCATTATATTGCTTTTATGCCGCTTGATGCTCTCCGTTATTTGATTTGTCTCTTCTTTCTTAAACGGCCAGGTTAACCGATATGATATACGGGCAAGCTTTGACGAATCGGTATGATCGAGCTCCGGGAGTGCATCATACAAGCGCTGGAGGTCCTTTTTGCAGGCCATCAGACACTCAGATGTCATGAGGATATGTCGCAGAATTCTCGGCCCCTCAGACAGAGACGCTCCGATAGAATCTATCCATAGGAGTTGGTTTAGTAGATTACAACAGTAGACGAAGACCCTTTGACATACCGAACTGCTGCTCGATCGCATACTCCCCAAGCCGTAGGAGAGCGAAACGTAGGTTGCTAAGTACTCCATGCAATAATACAGTTTCATCTATAAGGCTTCGAATCTCGTGTTTTGCTTCTTTAACCGTAGAGTAGTATTTATATCCTTTCGCAATAACGAGGTCGGCAAGGGCCACTAGCCCTGCGACCGATGCTGCCGCTTCCATCCCAATAAACTTTACGCCAGCAATGTTCCTACACGCTCAATGACGAATTCCGGGAAACTTAGGTTCTGAAAGGTGAGAGTTGATTTAGAGCGATATCGTGAAGTGTAAGTACTTCGGTTTTATAAAACATGCTAGCTATAGCATGCTAACAAGGCTGACACCCTCAGCCTTCATGACGATATAAGCTAAACAAGATTCCTAGCATGGATCTTGGCTTAGCTTGTCTATATAGTGACTTTACTATCTTGTAAGCCTAGTCGCTACTTCTAGCCAACCAAAAGCGCATCCAGGGCATGGGAAAATGCATATTGAGGTCATATATTCTAATCGATACGAAAGTGTTGGTCATACGTAACGTGTAACACCAGCCGCTCACACAGTTTGGTTACGAGACTGCCGCTCACGCTGGGCATGGCCGTGAAAATTGGTAGCGCAACACACAAGTCTGGTTACGAGACTGATGGCCGTGTCAGTCTCGTAACTGGCCATGTACCTAATGTTGGCGTGGTTCTATATTGTGTTGCGAGCTGTTGGAAATTTGCGCGTTGTTGTGTTGTGTCGGTAAACATCCGAGTTGACTCTTGGCGGGCTTGGCGTTGTCATGGCCAGCTTTTTCAATAGGACACCCCAGCCATCTGAACATCACCTTTTCATCCATCAATCCATCCTCCAAACTAAATTACGACGCTACCACTATCGTCATCATTCATCCGCACGACCTTTCGGACCCTCTCGACATACTACACGTTCCCTCCATTGACCTCGCATGCGCGATACCTTCTTTGGCTCCCCGTGATCTGTACGATTTCTCTGCTCGGAAAACCAGTAAACAGTGGGTAGCGGCCTCTGCACGTCGCCAATATGAGCTACTACCAGAACCCCGACCCCCAGGCGATGAATGTGGATGAGAATGCCGAATATGAGGCTGCGAACAAAGTCGTCGTATGTTTTCCTTTTTTTTTTCTCACTGGATACTTCTGTGATTAAATGCTAATTGGATTCAATTTGGTATTAGCTGGAGGACGGTGATGATTTCGAGAATTGGGAAAAGTTAATACGCGTCTGCGAAGGTCTTGAGGGAGGTGGTGGCCTTAACAGGAACTCCTCACCCCAGGCAATAGCTATGACCCGAAGCGCGTTTGACCGGTTCCTCGCGAAATTTCCGTTACTCTTCGGATACTGGAAGAAATACGCCGACTTGGAGTTCAGTATTGCTGGTACGGAGGCCTCAGAGATGGTGTACGAACGTGGAGTCGCCAGCATCACAAATTCTGTTGACCTCTGGACCGCGTACTGTAACTTCAAAGTCGATACCAGCCATGATATCGACGTGACCAGAGAGTAAGTTTTCTTATCACAAAAAGCCAACTGAACATATATAGAAGGCAATAACCTAGATTCAACGGCGGGACGAGGGATGTTCCAGTGGTATAAATACTTTATTGGAGAAACCTTGCAGCCGTGTAACCCCCTTCCTTCCTTTACCCCTCCCCTCCCCCCTCCTTGAAGCGCAAGATCTTTACAAATCTTCTATCATAACTTCAGTGAAACCTCTCCGCGATGAACCTCACTTCCACATCGTTATCTCTATCTTTCACATCTCTTCTACACACCTCTCTTTACATCCCCGAGTCTGCGTGCGGTTCATCGCACTTCACCAACGGGAATAAGAAACGGAGTCATCTCGGAGATGGCAAATAAACTACAACCGATAGAAAATTCCTGGACCGGTTGCCAGTATTAGGCTTAGTTAACGTCTCATTCTGTTTGTTACTCATGCGCTCATCCAATCCCTCCCCCCGATTTCTGCATACCATTATAGGATAGCTAAAACTGACAAGGACTCCGCTAACCATAATAGATTGTTTGAGCGTGGTGCCAACTGCGTTGGTCTCGACTTTCTCGCTCACCCGTTTTGGGACAAATACATCGAGTTTGAGGAGAGGCTCGATGCCCACGACAGGATATATGCCATTTTGGATCGGGTTGTTCATATTCCAATGCACCAATATGCCCGATACTTCGAAAGATTCAGGACGATGGCTCAGACAAGGCCGCTTAACGAACTTCTACCCGCGGATATGCTCGCACAGTTCCGACAAGAGGTTGAGAATGAGCCACAACAGCCTATTCAAGCCGGTCATCAACAATTGAAAATGGAGCGTGGAGAGCTTGAAATTGAACGAGAAGTTAGAGCCAGAATCGACAATTTTCATCTCGAAATTTTCCAGAGAACTCAGACAGAGACCACGAAGCGCTGGACATACGAACAGGAGGTATGCAGATTCTAAGCCGATTATTAGATCTATGCTGACAATACCGCAGATTAAACGCCCTTATTTCCACGTGACAGAACTCGATGAAGCGCAACTCATCAATTGGCGAAGGTACCTTGACTTCGAGGAGGTTGAAGGAGACTACGCACGTATTCAATTTCTCTACGAACGGTGCCTGGTTACCGCATCTTTTTACGATGAATTCTGGTTCCGATACGCAAGGTGGGTGAGCGCCCAAGAGAACAAGGAAGAAGAGGTGCGAAATATCTACCAACGTGCTTGCATGCTCTACGTCCCGATGAGTAGACCGCAAATTCGTCTGCAGTACGCCTTTTTTGAAGAGATGCATGGCAAACCGGATATGGCGAAGGACATCATCGAATCTATCTTGATAGTTCTACCGGGATACGTCGAAGGGATTGTTGCATTGGCCAATATCACCCGCCGAAATGAAGCGCTGGATGCCGCCATCAAAGTGTTCTCAGACGTTGTTGACAACCCCGCAACTGATCCATACACTAAAGGTGCTATCACCGCAGAGTGGGCTCGTATGGTTTGGAAAAACAAGGGTAATGTCGAAGAGGCCCGACAGTTGTTCCAAAAGAATCACCACTGGTGTCTCGACAGCCGATATTTCTGGATCAATTGGTTGCAGCTTGAAATGGAGCTCTTGACGACCCCAGAAAATGAGGCTGCCCAACACTTGAAGATTCGACAAGTCCACACAGATATCCGACGGCGTGCCAGGCTGCCACCATCAACAATTAAAGATTTGACGCATCTGTATATGAAATACTTGCAAGAAAGAGGAGGCAAGGATTCAATGAAGGAGTACCTCACTCTTGATAGGGAAGTCAACGGGTGAGTTTTTTCAAGATTTTCTATATTCTACTTCTAGCTTAGACATTTGCTGACAAACACGCTAGGCCCTTCTCAGTTCAATCTGTCAACAAAATAAAGCTTGCTGAGGATGGGAAGGAAGCGACAACAAATAGAAGAATGCTCTTGGAGAATGGTCACCCAGGTGTCGAAGTCGATGAGGCTGCAATTCGAAGGGGGGAAAACCCTTACACAAAATATTTCCAGGCTCAAGGAGAGACTCCGGCCCCTAATGGGCAGGTCAGTGCTTAGCTGAACCGTTCATGTGAATCTGACGGTTTACTAACATATCTGGGTCACGTAATATCTGCGTGTAGCCACCCTTAAGACTGGGGGTTTGAGGACCACCGCTCTGCTATCCTTGATGATCATCCTCTTTTGTTCCCCCCGATATGAAATAACTTTGCTGTGGCTTTCCTTTACGTTTTGGGCTTGTCCACAGCCTTGCCTAACACTAATACTGTACTACATCTCACGTCCTTGCATTTTCATATGGTAGAAAAATTTCGGGTTTGCACATGCAGTTTTGACCTTCCTACGTACCTTTCCATAGCTTTTCCTCTTTTAAGCTTCGCCAACGATGTATTTTTATATGGCTACAAGTTCTTTGAACGGCTTTACGCCCACGTGCACGATGATTTACTTCGAACCCCTTTGACGTACCCCTTTTAAGCGTGGCCCTTATAGTTGATACTGACATCGTAACTTTTACCTATCTATTCTTTCTCGTTTCTTCTTCTTTCCTTTTACTCTATCGGCATGACAGTGTCGGCCTCTCTTATTTGTTTCTTATGGAAGATTATAGGGATAAATATAACCATTCAAACCGGACCTACAAGCCCATCTTGGTTTGCTAGGACAGCTGCCCTAGATTATTGGGATTCATAATTGTGGAAGTCATGATGCATGGCAGTCTGGAAAAAACGTTTTTCCTCACTAAGGTTTCGTAATGCAACAACGCTCAAATATAGCTCCCACATGGCGATGATCACAGGCGAACGGCCTCATAAACCCTAGATCTTCTTGTATACCTATAAGATCTTGCTCGCCTTTGCAAATTTGGTTGATAGCCTTGTAGAGACTATTATTATCCGTGCCTTCTTTATTAAATTTTCTTCTCTCTTTAATTTCTCTCTCTCGCTTTCTATCTCTCCCCTCAACCAAAATCACTGGTCGCAGCCTAAGACCTTAATATCTCAAGATCAATTTTAAGTTTCTAACTATCTATTGGAGCATTCTACCCACCTCTCATTCCATATAGCAATTTAAATTTGACGTCACAAGCGCAATATATTACTTTGCGGTATTTATTGTTCTCTATACTATAAGATCCTGGAATACTCACCATGTCGGATTCAGGCGAAAGCTCAGGATCCGCGACTATCACTCCCCCCGAGACTCCCGTCCCCCGGTACGAAAAGAAAGCCAAAAGCTTCGACAACATCGCTACCAAGGAGTTTAGTAGGATGATTTATGCATCGAACACCCTTGAAAATACAGGGTTAAGCCTTGAAGACACCACCCGTCTGTGTGAACTAGTTTTCCGGGACGAAAAGGTCCCAGAAACGTATAATGAAGAAAAACTACTAGAAGAGCAACGACAAAAAGAGGAAGATGAAGCCCAGTGGACGGTTATTAAATGGATTATTTCTGCGCAAGATTACTTTAGTGGAACCGTTGAGGGTGATAATGGTGCAGAACTTACTATTGAGGTCGATGAGAGGAGGGAGAATAAGCAAGCTAGAAGGGAGGTTATTCAACATGCTCGAGCTTGGAAGTATTTGCTTGAGAGGTTTTGCATTGGTGAGGAGGAGCTGAGTGTCAATTTGATAAAAAACACGCATACAGTTTTATGCGCCGGGTACGAGCTTGAGGATTGCGACGAAGAATGGTGGCAATGGAGTGGTGCATATAGAAAGACTGATAACATTGGCCCTGGGACGTTACAACAAATTTGCCAGAGTTCTCAACGTAAAAAATCACGGGACCGAGATGGTTCTAGAACCCCGACACAAAGAAGTTACGGAAGAACAAAAGGTAGAAGAACACCGCCGTTATATATCAGAGCCTCGGCGATTGAGAACTACATGGATTATGCGATGTCTGATTTTAGAAGATTAAGGGGGGTTGAGTCTATGTATGGACTCAATGGGTATTGTGATTTGGCAGCTTGGTTACAAGGGATTATTATGACTATATGGCCATTTAGAGCGGAGAATTCGAAGTTGGCAAGGTTGCTCATGAATGGAGTGCTGTGGAGATATTGTGGTATCGTAATTCCACTTGGCGAAGGGAAGAAGGAGAAGGATGAGTACCTGGAGATTTTGAGGAGGGGTACGGAGATTTTTCATGGAGGGGAATTTTCAGTCCCGGTTGAGGAACAGAAGGGGTATGAGGAATTGGCCCTGGTGGTAAGGAAAAAGGCAGCGGAGGCGAAGAAGAGGATTGAGGAGAGTATGAGGTGGAAGTGGCGATGGACGTGACCTCAACTGAAGAATAACAATTCAACTTCGAGGCGATATTGGATCAACTTGGGCTCCTAGACCATCTAGGTTACCTTTGGACATATGCATATTAGCGACCTACACGTACATAGCCCCGTAGCCAGTCCTTACACGTTGCAAGGAAGGGCTTTATCATTCCGCTGTTTTAGCACTGTATGGCGTATCTAGTTTCCAGTTTCTTGGCCTATTATTGTATACATATAACTGCCCCTGTAAATTAATAATTAATCTGTCATTATCACTCTTATCCTGACGGAGAAGACCGGATCGCGATATTGTATGGGGCTTTCTGAGCTTCCAATTCTGGTGTTGAGGTTGTTGGATGTGAATTTCAGGTTAGCCGTATCTGGTCCAATGTGAACAAATTTGCTCCGAAAAGAATAGATAAACAAGCAAAAAGAAATGGTGGAAAACCAATCCAGTTATATGCACGGTCATATTATGGCCATGATCGGATGATTGGTTCTAGGGTATTCAGACGGTGATTTCAAATCATCAAGACTTTTATCACGGCTAGATCTCTTGTGTCTTCGCCAGAATCCGCCCGAGATCATTAGACTTGGCGTTAGTCGTTAGTCCAATTCAATTTTGGGAAGCGGTAGCTTGCAAGGCTCCTGCCATATGCGGGGTAGTGACGTCCCATAGACCCCACCTCAAGACAAAGTGGGGCTATTCTGCATTCGTTATCCGGCCTTGAAGGCACGAAGTATTGGATATTGATATTTTCAAGACCCGGTGTTTGATATGCAAGATATCCAACTACCACAGTTTGACTTTACTTGGGCCGTCTAGTTCAGTATATGGCGATACCAGGCATCGGTCCTCCTCAAGACGGCAGTCCTTGAAGATATCGTCAAAAGCAGAAAGTGGTAGCATTGTTGGAATGGAAGGCCGGGGTATCGTCGACACCCGGCCGGGACAAACGCTGCCTTTGTGCCGGGGCGGTCGAGGGTCCTCGGCAGAACCCTGGCCGCATTGCAGCTGACCGCGAAAGGCCTTCCAGTCATATGTGCAGACAGAAAAGGATTTTACATTCCAGCGATCTTTTGTGCATTTGCATATGCGTTTGTCTGCTGGAAAGGTGTATTCAATTCGTGTCTTTGACAGCCTTGACTAACCGTCCTTTCCTTAGCACCATAGCTCGCGTTTGACGGGTTTTCCTGCAAGGCAAGTCTCGCCCCACTCCGAAGTTAGAAAAGTCTTTTTCCTTGTCCATTTTTAATTTTCTTGATAGAAGAATAGAGTGCATATCCTTTGACTTACGTACAGGCCCACCGCGTCGACTGTGAAGTGCTGACGGAGCAAAACCGGTCCTCCAATTGATATTCGATCCACCAGCCATTTGTCAATTGAATCGAGTAACAATTACACCGTCTAAATTGCCAGCATAGCAGCAGATATCCAAAGCGAGTGAATTGAAACAGTCGAGTGCGGGAATAAGAGCAGAGTGAATGACCAACCAAGCTGCCCTTCTGAGAAGGACGTTAGCTTCTCTTTCCAGAAGCCGTCCGGTCTGTGGTGAGTTAACTGTCCCACGTCGGTGGTGGTGTTTGTTGCTGATTAGCAGCAGGTTGTCCCGCCCGCCGATATAAAAGCTTGGCTGTCCCCGCGTCGACGACCAGACTTATTTCCACTGTCACGACTCCATCATACATTTACTCCTCCTCCTCCTCCTCCTCTCCTTCCCACTCCCAGTCACAATCTCGGACTCCTCTTACCACCACTACCACCAGGTCTACCAAACCCTCTTATAGATTCTTATCTAGGCAGCAGGCAAGGCTCTGCTCGTCCCGTCGTCACAATATGTGCCAGTCACTCATGCCAGGAGGCGATGTGGCTTCCAGCATCGATGTCACTCAGGGCCGTGAAGTCCTTCCAAAGGCTATCAAGCCATCAGCTTACAAGATCCAGCTTGAGCCTTTCTTTGAAGATTCTACAGATTCGCGTGGTGAACACAAAGCATTCACTTTCGATGGAACTGTGATCGTTGCGTATGTTCTCCCTTATCATTTTATACTTAATCATAGTGTGGCCATTTGCTAATGGCGATACAATTGATCACTTTTTTAGTTTGGACATCGTCGAAGACACCACCGAGGTTGTCGTTAACACCACCGAAATCAAAATCCACTCGGCAAAGCTCTTCAAGCGCGACCAGGAAGATCAAATCGGTGCATTGTCCGCTGATGATGTCAAGTATGTTATACTCTATATTCCAAGTCAGATAATACGGATATTAATCCAATTTCAGGTACAATGAGGACCTTCAAACAGCCACCTTTGACTTCCAGCAAACCCTCAAGGCTGGCACCACCGCCTCTCTTGAGATCGCCTTCACCGGTAACTTGAACAATAACATGGCTGGTTTCTATCGCTCATCTTACAAGGACAAGGATGGGAAGACAAAATACCTGGCTACCACCCAGATGGAGCCGACAGACTGTCGCAAGGCCTTCCCATGCTTTGACGAGCCCGGACTGAAAGCCACTTTCGAGGTTTCTTTGGTCGCAGAACCACACTTGACCTGTCTTTCCAACATGAACGAGGTCGACTCTAGTGGCAAGATTAATGGGAAGACTGTGCATCTATTTGCACCTTCTCCTCTCATGTCGACATATTTGGTAGCCTTCATCGTCGGTGACCTCCACTACATTGAAACCAATGAATTTAGACTTCCTGTCAGAGTCTATGCTACCAGCGAGGAGTCTGCCAAGCTTGGAAAGTTCAGCTTGGACCTTGCAGCCAAGACCCTCGACTTCTATGAGAAGACTTTCGATTCCCCATACCCTTTGCCGAAGATGGACATGGTTGCTATTCCAGATTTCTCCGCCGGAGCTATGGAGAACTGGGGTTTGGTCACATACCGGGTCGTGGATCTCCTCTTCGATGAGACCACCTCTGGTGCCAGCACCAAACAAAGAGTTGCCGAGGTCGTTCAGCACGAACTTGCCCATCAGTGGTTCGGTAACCTGGTTACCATGGACTTCTGGGATGGTCTTTGGCTCAACGAAGGTTTCGCTACCTGGATGAGTTGGTACTCTTGCAATGTATTCTACCCAGAGTGGAAGGTTTGGGAGTCGTATGTCGCCGATAACTTGCAATCAGCTCTTTCGCTCGACTCCCTAAGAAGCTCTCACCCAATTGAGGTTCCAGTTAAGAAGATTTCCGAGATCAACCAGATCTTCGATGCTATCTCTTACTCCAAGGGTAGCTGCGTTCTTCGCATGGTCAGCCAATATATTGGTGAGGATGTCTTCATGGAAGGTATCAGGAAGTACTTGAAGAAGCACGCATACAAGAATACCGTCACTAGTGATCTATGGGCGGCTCTCAGCGAGGCTTCTGGAAAGGATATCAGCCACATGATGGATGTCTGGACTCGACACATTGGACACCCCGTCGTTAGCGTTACTGAAACTGACAACGGTATCCAAGTTAAGCAAAACAGATTCTTGAGGACAGCAGATGTTAAGCCTGAGGAAGATGAGACTCTGTATCCTATTGTCTTGGGCTTGAAGACCAAGGCCGGTGTTGAGGATGTTCTATTAACTGAGAGGGAGAAGGAAGTTAAGGTCGACAAGGAGTTTTACAAGATCAACTCCAACCACTCTGGTATCTACAGAACTCTCTACCCAGCCGATAGACTCGCTAAATTGGGTGAGGCTGCTAAGCAGGGGCTCTTGACTGTTGAGGATCGAACGGGTATGGTTGCCGATGCTGGTGCTTTGGTTGCCAGTGGGCACCAGAAGACCAGCGGGTTCCTTACTCTTGTCAAGGGATTCACAGAAGAGAAAGAGTACGTCGTCTGGAGCGAGATCTTGAACCGAGTTGGAACCATCAGGGGCGCCTGGGTGTTCGAGCCAACTGAAGTCAAGGATGGTCTCAAGGCTTTCAACAACAAGATCGTGTCGAAGCTTGCACATGAACTTGGCTGGGAGTTCAGCGAGAAGGATGACCATATTCTCCAACAGTTCAAGGCTTTGGCTTTCGGCAGCGCTGGTATGAGCGGTGATGAAGCGTAAGTTCTACCCTATGTAGCTCCCACGGAACAATATTAACGATGGTACAATACAGCGTCGTCAAGGCTGCTCAAGACATGTTCGCCAAGTTCACCTCGGGCGATAAATCTGCCATCCACCCAAACCTTCGAAGCTCCGTCTATGCTATTGTGTTGAAGAATGGAGGCAGGAAGGAATGGGAGGTCGTCCGAGCTGCGTATGATACCGGTGCCAACAGCGACGAGCGAAACACGGCCCTCCGTGCTCTCGGCCGTTCTAAGGACCCACAGTGCATCAAGGAGACCCTCGCCCTCTCGCTCTCCGAGCACGTCAAGGAGCAGGATATTTACTTGCCACTCGCTGGGCTCCGTGGACACGAGGAAGGTATCACAGCTCTCTGGCAATGGGCTAAGGATAGCTGGGATATCCTTGAGAAGAAGCTCCCACCCGGTCTCGGCATGCTCGGTAGCATCGTCCAGATCGTGACCAGCAGCTTCACTAGTGAAGAACAGATTGCAGATGTTGAGGCATTCTTCAACACCCGCAACACCAAGGGATTCGATAAGGGTCTAGCGCAAGCTTTGGATTCCGTCAAGGCGAAGGCCAGTTGGTTGAAGAGAGATAGGGAGGATGTTAAGGAGTGGTTGAAGAGTGAGGGCTATCTGAACTAGATACTTCACCCCACACTAAAGAAGAAGGGTCGATGGAGTTTGATAATGGCCGTTATGCATATACATATAATATAAAATGTTTATTATTCATGGGTAATAGATATACCTATGAGGAGGGCCTATGGCTATAGCTATTGCTAGGAAAGCAATGAAAAGCGTGAGATGCTGAATCTCAAGTACTCTACTATTACACATACTTGATGACATAGCCCCCTACCCGAGGGTTTACGTATAAGGAATGGGTTTATCAATTTAGTTAAAAGTAATAACATGGCTGTTTTTGTAACACAAAGCCTCATAGGACCCTGTCATGAGTCGGCAGCATTATATTACGTATTGAGTAGATACCGGTACCGTATTCAATACGAAGTGTACCACCATGATAGTACATGGCAGTTGTACGTAGGGGTACCCTGTTGATACCTGTAGATACCTGTAGATACGGTCCGTTATGGAGATAGAGGTGCGTTGACTGTTGCAGGTTCCATTTAGGTCGCACAGGGATGAGGACCTCCCTGCAACACAAAGAACTTAACCCCCACGTGTATGTCTGCGTTTCATGTCATCGGTCCGTGTCAGTGTTCTGCAGCTGTCGACTCCTCCAATTTTGAAGTACGTATACATTGCTCGTAAGTGTGCATCCCTGAGAAGAGTACGGAGTACAATTACCAAATAACTAACCGCAAGCTTGAGACTCGTTAGCCTGGAAGCTTATAGTCTGGTTGTGAACGCCAGGAAGCGACCCCCAGACTAGGAAGCTTAACCAGCTAAGACCAAAAAAAAAACTAAAAGAAAAACAGGTTGCAGTTGCAAACAACCTTAAACCAGCTCTAACTTTTAGCTTGGTTAGCCCCATCAGCCATCAACCGCCCCCGCCAATGAACACGGTACGGAAGTAGTGTCAGGCAAAAACAAGATGCACATACCTAGAGCCAAAAAAGATAGCGTCGGAGCCCACCCCAAAAGTTTGTACGTAACACGTTGAACCAGGCGGGAGTTCCGATCGCGTGGACTCAACTTTAGCGGACATGTCAGATAACAAGTTGACGCTAAGCGCAAGGTTAGACGAGAACCGAGACAACTTGGACAATTCGATGGCCGAAAAAGCCGTCACGGGACCCCGAATATGGCTGGCGGAATGTAGTGTGTGCTATATCAAACAGGGGGGGTTATTCACGGCTTACTTTTTCCTCGAGCGGATATAGGGAACAAGAAGGACAATTGGAAGTCTTGCAATTGGCTCCTCTTGGACCCTCTTCTCCGGGGCCTATATATAATGGGCTGGGGTGCCTGTCCTGTCTGGCGCGAGTTTATCTCTTTCTATCTTTTTTTGAACAAATTATCTATCTGTCTATCTATCCATCCATTATCCATATCTTCTACTCACAAGGGGTGGATCATCTCCACAAGTTTAATAAGCAAACTTACTTGAGCCTTAGCTTTGTCTAAAAAGCCCATCTTTCGCTACCCCGGGCTTCGAAAGATCCCCAGACTTCTTGATATCTTTTAACTTAATTGATACTTACTTCTACTACACATCCCGCATATCTCACCCACTTGCTTGGTTCGATCGCTTGAGTCCCATCAGGCCCTCTTCATTTCGCTTCCCACAATGCCGCCAGCTGCAACGCAATCCACCCCGGGCAGTGCACAGCCCTCCTCACAATCAGGCTCCACAAAGTCCTTCCATGCCTCGTCCACCAGTCAGGCAATCGAGTATGAGGACAAATATGCCGCACATAACTACCACCCGCTACCTATGGTGTTCTCCCGTGCAAAGGGGTGTAAAGTGTGGGATCCCGAAGACAAGGAGTACCTTGACTTCCTCAGCGCGTATTCGGCAGTCAATCAGGGACATTGCCATCCTAAGGTGTGTACCTGTACCTCCACCGTGTGATTTCTATACTTTAATATCGGATATTGCGAGTGGGGCCGGGGGAGCTTCTTAAGTGGGGCATAATATTGCATTTCGTGTCACACAAAGGACGCCTTTTATGGGTTAATATTAAGCAACTTTCTTCTGACATCCAAATTCTACAATATCTAGATTGTCAACGCTCTAGTCCAGCAAGCCCAGCGACTAACCCTCTCCTCCCGCGCATTCTACAATGACGTCTTCCCCCTATTCGCCAAATTCGCAACCGAATACTTCGGTTACGACATGATCCTCCCCATGAACACGGGAGCCGAAGCCGTCGAAACCGGTATCAAAATCGCTAGAAAATGGGGTTACAAGGTCAAGAAAATCCCAGAGAACGAAGCCATCGTCCTCGCCGTGACCGAAAACTTCCACGGTCGAACCTTCGGTGCTATCTCCATGTCTACCGACCCTGAATCTCGCGAGAATTATGGACCTTATCTTCCAAACGTAGGACCTACAATTCCGGGAACGAATAAACCGCTTAGGTATAATAATATTGGAGATTTGGAGGAAGCTTTCAATACCCATGGAGAAAAGATTGCGGCGTTCTTGGTAGAACCTATTCAAGGTGAAGCCGGTATTGTCGTTCCGGACGACGATTATCTTACAAAGGTGCATGCACTATGCAAAAAGCATAAAGTCCTATTTATTGCCGATGAGATCCAAACCGGTATCGCAAGAACAGGAAAACTCCTCTGTGTCGAACACTCAAATGTCAAACCAGATCTCGTCCTCCTCGGAAAAGCCATTTCTGGCGGTGCATACCCTGTCTCTGCAGTTCTAGCAAACAAGGAAGTCATGCTCTGCGTTGAACCTGGAACTCACGGTTCCACATATGGTGGAAATCCATTGGGATGCGCAGTCGCTATTGCGGCTTTGGAAGTTGTAAGAGACGAAGGATTGACTGAGAGAGCTGCTGTTCTTGGTGAGAGGTTCAGACAAGGGTTGAAGGATCTTAAGAGTCCGATTATTAGCACGATTAGAGGAAAGGGTTTGTTGAATGCTATTATTGTGGATGAAACTCAGACGAATGGACGTCGTGCGTGGGATTTGTGCCTTCTGATGAAGGAGAAGGGGTTGCTAGTGAGTTTATATCCCGGAAGTACTTCCTTCAATCAATGAAAAACAGGTTGTGCTAACTCTAGTTTCTTTTTACCTAGGCCAAACCAACCCATGAAAACATCATCAGATTGGCTCCACCACTAGTCATCACCGAGGAGGAAATCGATCAATCCCTCAAGATCATCGGTGAATCTTTGAAGGAGCTTGCATCCTACAAAGCCCCAGCGGAAGCTCACTAAACTATACTAAGAAATAGAGTGAACCAGCGCCAAGCAGGGCGTTTTTTTTAAAGAGTAGAGGTTTTTTTTTAAATTTTTTTCCACCGCTACTTATGATTCCCTCGCAAAAACTGGGTTCGAAGCATTTTATTCCGGCGTCCACACAGGTATCGCATTCTCTGGCTTTAATTCTGGTGGGCTCCTTTGCAATTGGGGAGGTGATTTTCTCAGTGATCAATGTGGACTTGTAAGATAGCACGAGTATTATACTAGGCACGAGAGAGAAAGAAACAATGGCAAAATAGGTTGATCCCAAGTACTTTCAAACCCACCGGGTATATAGATAAACGGCCCGGCTTAATATATGCGCCCCAAATTCTAGAACGTAAAGTGTAAATGGTGTACCGATATCTACTGTCATCCTAAAGTATTCGGCTCATGTCCCCCAGGCTCTTCCTGTTGCGGCGTCCCTCATCAATGGCATATCAACATCTCCTTCTTTATCCTTAGTTGGCTTTGACCTCATCGTCATACTCCTCTGACTTCTTTGTTGTGCCGCCTCGTGTCGTCGCAACTGTGAAAGCACCAATGTTAGCATCTTACACCCATTTTTTGTCCAATTTATAGGGGGCCAAAACTGGCGCCTTTGGGGGAGAAGTCTCCATACCTCATCTGGTAATTTGCTGATCGAGCTCTTCTGGAGCATCTGCTTCAAATCATACATCACATCGTTGTCTTCCGATCCCAAGAACGTAATCGCCACACCGCTCTTTCCAGCTCTACCCGTTCTACCAATTCTGTGGGTATAACTCTCAATGTTCGTCGCCATGTTAAAGTTCACTACCAAACTAACATCGGGGACATCGATACCTCTACCTGCCAAATCAGTAGCAACGAGGACATCCGCTTGGTGCTGCCGTAACTGTTGTAGAGCCGCCTCACGCTGTTCCTGACTCTTGGAACCATGCAATGTAACTGCCGTCCAACCAGCATGTTTCAAATCCCTAGCCACCATGTCGCAATTGCGCTTGATGTTGACGAATACGATAATAGGGGGTGCATACATTGCTGAGTTAAGAATCTCGAGGAGCCTCTTCTTCCTTCTGTCTTCGCCAGCGACAAATTCTACCCGTTGTTCAACTGTATCCACAGCTTCTCCTGCGTTACCAATAGTAACTATAGCAGGCCTGCGAAGATATTTTCGTGCTATACGTTCAATCGCCGGAGGCATAGTAGCTGTGTACATCATTGTCTGTCTGTATCTTTCTTTACCACCAATGATCTTTGACATCTCGACCGGGTTCTCTGCGTCCTCCGTATCGGGTTTAACATTTGATACCGGTAAGGACTCCAGAATTCTATTGACAGGATCCTCGAACCCGAGATCTATCATTCGGTCTGCTTCGTCCATAATCACGTAGCAACATTGCGACAATACGAGCACTCGACGTTCGAGACAGTCGAGCAATCTACCGGGTGTAGCGATAACAATTTCCGCGCCGTCCTTCAGCGAGTAACTTTGTTCTTCGATACTGTGTCCACCGACGATACTCACACATCGGAAATTAAGCGGATCTGCGAATTTCGCGGCTTCGACTTCGATTTGCTGGGCAAGTTCACGAGTTGGCGCGAGGATCATGGCGTAAGGACCATCATGTTTCGTGATATTGTCGAGAGGAGGGAGATCTTTGATGTAGACTAGTAATGGGAGAATGAAGGATGCTGTTTTACCGGAACCAGTAACGGCGACACCAATTACGTCTCGGGAACGAAGGGCGATTGGGATGGCTGCACGTTGGATTGGGGAGGGGTCTTTGTAGCCGACGCTGTGGATTACGTCGAGCAGGACTTGAGGGAGAGACGACTCCTTCCAGGAGCGCATGGGATTAGGGATTCCGCCGCCTATAAAAATGAAAATTAGCATAATTAGCTGTAGGATAGCGGGGAGGTGATACTGACCCTTGGTGGAGATATTGAAATCTTCTTTGAAGATACGCCAGTCTCTTTCCTTCATCATATCCAACGGCTTTTCGCTCCAATGTTTGTCGCTCCAACTCAAGTTCTCTCGCTTCTTCCTATCCATTTCTACCAATTCTCTCGCTCGTCTTCGCTCTTCGGCGTCGCCACGGCTTTCTAAAGCTGCAGCATACTGCTTTGTCGATCTATCCGTCTCAGCGAAACCTCCTAGCCTGCCCCTACCGAAGAACTTGGCCTCAGATCTGTTCGCATAGATCGGATTGTAATCTTGAGATGTATCCTCCTCTGCACCCCATTCAAATGTAAACTTTCGCTCTGATGTCTTTCTCCTCTTCTTCTTATTCAAACTATTGGAATCGAGATCGGCGCCCATGTATCGTAATCGAATAACCTTTGCCTCTGCATCCTCCTCTGCATCACGTTTCCGATCAGCTTGCGACGATTTACTCGGTGGTGGAGGTGGCGGGGCCATCGGGAATTTCTCATTCCGCATTGACGCCGGACCAGTCGGTGGATCTCTATGGTCTCCTCTTTCTCGTTCCCTTTCTCTGTGACTTCGTGGGCCTGATGGAGGGTGTCGAGGACCATTTGGGATTCCATTTGTATGGTGGCCATTTTGACGTGATGGCGCTGTTGGTGGAGGGGGTAATGAGGCTTTACGACTTTCTTCCTCTGCTTGTCGTTTTGCTTCGACTTCTTTGGCGCGTCGTTCTAGTGCCAGGGCTTCTCTTTCGGCTTTGGAGAGGAATTTAGGCTAACCGGCGATCAGTATTAATCAGAATTGAATAGTTTAAAATATAGAATAGATCAATCATACTTTCTTTGCCGCTTCATCAGCAGCTTTCTTCTTCCGTAGCAAATCTTCAACAGAAAGCGGTGTCTTCTTCGGTGCCACCGGCGCCTTCTTCACAGGTGGAGGAGGTGGTGGTGGTATGGCATCGCTTGGAGGTGGTGGAGGGGGAGGGGGCGCACTATCGAAGCTAGGTGGAGGTGGAGGGATGTCATCTGCAGGAGGTGGAGGGGGCGGTGGTAGTCCGATATTGTCCATGATGAATGTTGAAGTTGAAAGTTAAGGTTGATGAGATGATATGATGAGTAGGTCCACAGCTTTGATTTGGTCGCGAGGCGTCGCGGGTATGTGAGGTGTGGCGGTGGCGCAACGCGGAAAATGCAACAGTGGCGGTGCTTAGACTTTTCGGTTTAGAATACTTTTTTCAAAGATGTTTATTTCTCAACATTGATACTTGCTTATTCTTAAATTTTTAATTACGAGAATAATTACTGGTATTCTGAAAGTATTCACTCTGTTACAGCATCAATACGGTTGCCCACATCTTTCTAAGCATATTACTTGGCCATCCGCGGATCCGGGTGCCAGTTCCTTACCATAGCTCTAAGTCATCTCGGGGGGACCGTGAGCCCGTCCAATAGTATATGCACAGTATTAGGCCCAAGCGCGAGTGAAATCGTCTGCGGTGGAAAGGCAGCTGATGCAGGGCTGACGGGTCGCAGTAGACACGCGATATCCCTGAATTCATGAAATGCAAATTCAAATTCCTAGCAACATTTTTTTGGCCCCGAGACTAGATCGTATATCAATATGTATTATTAACTTGATCCACAACCATGATTGGAGTGGCGATACGACAACTCGGTTACCAATTTATTGGCCCTCAGATTTTATTGCATGGCTTGGGCTAAGATACATGCGTTAAGCTAACGTTACCAGAGCAGCCCGGGACATTCGATTAAAAATCCGATTTGGCAATGAAGACCGTTTGAGAGCAAAGGAAACACATTCTTGTTAATTACGAAGCCATGTGTCCAAGGTTTAGCCAATCAGGATGGAGGTCCAGAACAAGGCATGCAAATGTCTTGGAGTTCTGCAGAATCATAGGCCAGACGCTCGTCAAAAGGTTTTCGGATCGAAAAGCTGAGACGCTTTGACAACGTTTCCTTACCTGGTACCCAAATTCTATTGTTCTTTCCATTCTAATTTTCTTCAACATTATTCTAAGATTTCGGCCGAGCGATTCAAGGGACAGAATACGTATTTCTAAAGCCTAGTGAAACATCACAGAGAGAATTAATAATCGTCGCTGATAGAGTGTAGCTTTCCAGTCTAACGGGCCGGTGGAGTACTTAAAAAGAATCCGCTTGAGCCGAGTGGCCATGTACTAAGATACGACCCGTCAGTTAACCGACATTAGGCTTGCCTCCCATCAAAAGCTTGTTCTTCCAGGCCAAAGTTTTATCGCAACGCCATTAAACTTTCCCCAAAATCCCGTCTCATGGTCCGGCCGAACTACGGAGTACCACCCCTTTTTTCGATTTTGAGTGAACTACAAGTGACATTTACGCAACTCTTCTTGAAAGAGTGAGCGCGGTATATTCCGCAGACGGAAACGATTAGTCCTATCACTCCTTTGTCTTGGCATTTCCCCCACAATGATGCCTACCATGAGGATGAGTTCGGGTTTTGAACGCCACGTTATTCAAGCGAAAGGAATGAATGCATGCACGGACGATTAGAGTTTGGCCACTCAAGGGACATTAATCTACGATCACATGAAGCTTATAAAAGGGCCCAGTTACACAAGTCCCACACGATCAAGTTTAAAAATCCCTTTTCAGTTAAAATTTCGATCAGCATCACGGAATACTCTCTCTAGGGCCGGTCGATCATTAGAATCTCAGATCTTGATATCTCCAAGAGTGGACTCCGTTTCTGCAATGTGACCGTCACAATAGACGTAACTTGGAAAACTTTTGCATCTTGAATATTACCTAAGGCACCGGTCGTTTGGTATCATTCGCTGGATGTAGTGATGGTATGGTGGGTGAAGCCAATCGTCGTTAACGTACGTATATCCCTACAATACATTATATTATAATGATGCGGTGATACACACTCCGCCTACTATATATAATATATGCGTAGAACCACCTGAAAAGACCCTTATAATCCGTGCCATTCAATTTAAATACACTGACTTTCTTTAGATCCTAGAATGGGTTTTCGCCGGGATTGCCACTGTTTTCTTCCTTCTCCGCTTCTACATACGATACTATGGTGTCCGTGGCCAACCTCCCCATTTCAGCTTCAAACTTAGCGACTGGGTCCTCACAATAACACTCATCTGTTTCTATGCTGCAAATATCTCCGATACAGTCACAGTCGTCCTCATAAACGGTGTGGACCGGATGAATCTATCTCCAAACCGCAACGATCCACTGTCGGCATATGCTCTTCTCGAACCTAACCGATTGAGAACACTTCTTAAAGTCCTTTATTCATCGCTATATCCGTATTATAGCTCGTGGTGGGGGGTTAAGTTTTATATTCTGATATTGTATTACAAAATAGTGGAGCCTATGACGCTCCCATATCACCGACTTGCATTGCATGCACTTACATTATTAATCTTCTTAACATACTTTGCTTGGGTCATCATATACATATTCTGGTGCCTTCCGGTATCAGACAATTGGAATGTTTATGCCACTCCTGAGAATTATTGCGTCGCATACTTTTCCCGGAAGCCGTTTGTCATTACAATTGGAATGCATGCCGGAACAGAGATTTTGAGTAAGTATTATATCCATATCGATGTACCCCGGTCGATAGAGGGATTCTAGAAAATATATTAATAGTCGGAAATTTTGCTAACAAACAATACAGTTTTTGCTTTCCCATTCTCATTTTTATATCTCATCCGACGGATCAGCAAGCAGAAGTTTTATGCAGTAACCATGATGTTTGGAGTTGGTTTTCTAGGAGTCATAATATCCCTTAGCAGAGTCGCATACATTGTCACTGCCAATCACGCACCCGTAATTGGTATCATCAACGCTTGGGGCGCCTTAGAACAGTGTGTTGGAATCATTGTCTGTTGTTTACCTGCTTTTAAATCGCTGCTCAAAAGAAGACGGTCGAATAATAGTGGCTGGGATAGCAGCGAGCTCGTGGAAAGAACTTTTAACTCTGATGGTGCTCCTGAGAGTAGAGGGAGGTCAGCGGAGTCTGGAGATACCTTAGGTTGCAATAGTGGGAGTTGGAACAGGTCGTTGCCGTCCGATCGTCAAAGTGTTATCTTGAGGGTAGATAGTTTTGAAAGGATATCGAGGATGGAGTCCGTTCGTGAGGTCATGGAAGCTGAAACGGCGAGTAGGGAGATGGTGCAGGATATCAAGAATACGGCTCCCACGGAGAATCATAATATTCGCTGGTCAAATTAGCGATTTATATATATTTAAAAGTTTCTATAGAACATCATCTTGCTTACCTTGAGCGCCCTGGGAACTTGAGCGGCCTCAAGAATTTCGATTCAATCAATCTATGAATTTATGGCATTCAGCCTACGGGTGCTGCAACTATATAGGTAGCTATACAGCCAGGTAGCAGATTGCAGTGACATGTCGACATACGCACATGATCATACAATTAAAAACCCTCTAGGGCATATGAAAATCATAGGTGCTTGACCAGCTAGGATTGAATTCTACACGGTTCTTCCTAGTCTGCGGGACGCTCACGTCCTCTGCCTTGGGTGGGCGTCCCCAGACTAGGTTCTTCCTAATTGGGTATTTTAATATTTTAGAGCTCTATTTCCCACAGCATGCATCGGCCTTAGTCACTGCCTACCGATACATGTTTACAAAATTTAAAACTCTGAAAACCATGGTACCAGTCCAGTTATCTTTTGTGTAACGTCACGATTTACGGAGCGGAAAAACTCGGGCAGGCCAATCTCAATCCTGTGGGATACTACCACGCTGATAACATAATTATGCATGACTCTTTCTTGGTGATGCCAAATATACTGAAACCAATAGCAAGCTGAAGGATACCAATATTTCGAAAACCTGCAACATGCTATGTGCTCTTGCTAGCAAATGTTGCTACCCGTCTTATGGATACCCTAATAAAGGAAAAATTAGCGACGCAGGTATGCTCTGCCACAGCTGCACATAGTCGTTTGCTTCAGACGTGCATGCATGCAGCGCAGAATGCAACAGGTTGAAGAAATTTCAGACCAAATTCGAGGCTGCATATATAGCTTTATAGTACAAGATCAAAACAGACAAGATATCATAAGAACCAAAGGCAATTATCTACCAGAGAGCTCCATCGCATGAACTTCCCAAACCTAGACGAACTTACATAGCAAACCCCGGCTGCTGGTCTGCATGTTTCCGAAAAAAATACCTGGGTTGGGATCAATCAGGTAAACGTTGTAGGTCCCATGCCATGCGTGCCAAGCACTAGTTCCCAGCCATCTTGTGTAACAGCCTGGTGTTGCATTTTTAACAGTGCTCCATTCGAGGCTGGCACCATCGTTTAGGACCTGAACTGAACAATACTGACACTGATTTCAGGCATTATTCGGAGTCTCACGCGTTCATCGGTGGCTCAAACTAGCCTCGGAGGGTTATTTCGTGGGTCATTCTTTACCGTAAGGTACGCTGTATTTAGTGGGCGGCGGAAATTTCGAACGTATATTTCCAGTTATTGACCAGTTTACCAGCGACCCCATATGATGCATGCTACATGGCGTCTGGTCTCGAGGCTAATAATCCTCAAACAATTACATACATGTATGTGCTTACTGTATATATACCAGTCGAATCCATCTCGTTTTGTGTCCCACCGCGTCCCTAGCTATGTTGGATCCTTCGATGTTTTTTTTCTGACTTAATTTGGTGTAATTCAAACGGTTAGGCACTGGTAGGCATGGTACCGGTCTGCAGATCTGGGCTTTTGGTAAAGCGCAGTCTGCAGTCTTCTATCTTGATTGCTTCAGCGCTGCAGCCACACGCAACCACCCGTGTATTAGTACCGGCTCTATGACGGCCCAAGAACTAGTAGCATTCTCGGAGCTTCCATTACCAAAACTCAGCCTCTTTTCCCCATACCCTGAAGGCTCTAAATATCGCCCTCATCCCAAAGCTTCCATCCAGCCCCCTTCCATATAGAAACCTACCCTAAATCTAAACTAAATTATACCCAGAAACTTCTTACCCTTGTCCAATATTTCTATTTTGGTAGTTCAAGAAAACCTCAACCTTGCAAAATTATATTTACCTATACATCATAGAATATTCTATACAATAAGTTTTGCCACAAATCTTCGGTCTCTGAGACGATTTTAGATCAGCGCAGTGTAGAGCCCTAGTTCAGTTTAGGCTTCTAAAATATGGCCATCGATCAGGAAACACCGAGCGAGCATATTATAGTTGAACCGCCTTCGAAACGACTAAAATCCGAAATGCAGGGCGAGACATCCCCAGCGCCCACGCCAAGTGAATACGGACTACTGTTAGGGTACGTTGATCTGTATTTTCTTAAATACATGTTCCATTTGAAGCTCAAATAATACTCTCCGAAAAATACACTAATATTGAGGCCTCTTCTAGGAAGCTTTGGGACCCAGAATTCTCCGATGTTACGGTATATGTCGGCACGGGCCGTCAAGAATACAAACTTCACCGTACTATAATTTGTGCCGAATCTGAGTACTTAAGGAAAGCTTGCAAGGCAATGAAGCCAGGTGGTAGCCCCCATCGGGTGGAATTACGAAATATAAAACCTGCCGCCTTTGATGTCATTCTCAAGTGGATATACGGATGTGGTTACAGCGTTCCTGAAGACTACGAACCTTCAAAATTCCTCGATACATATACAGCAGCAGATCATCTCTGCATTCACAGCCTCAAGGAAGAGATCATGCACCAAATCACTACTACAATCCAGATGGACGTTGTGAAGAACAAAGCTACGCATGATTGTACGATCCAAAATCCTATCCACCTTATGTGGAGATTCGCACAGGTCTCAACATCGAAGGATTTTGATGTGCTTCAGAAACCAGTTAAGCAGTTTCTAGCTCTGAGGGGGGTCAATACGGAATGGGTAAAGGGAATGGCCAGTGTCAAGGATAATCATAATCTTTTCAACGGTCTGATCATTGACACCTTGCAAAAGATGATATTCTCAAACTTCTGCCAGACCTGCAGATTGGGATTGACCTATGAACCACGGAAAAAGTGTCGAGGATGCGACCAAAAGTTATGACTAGAAGACGGTTTCGTGGATAGTAATATATCACTAGAAGGCTTTGGCATTTAGATTGCATTTTCGATTTGTAGAGAATCTGAAGGATAGGTATTTCATACAATATAGATTAGAGATAGGAAAATTTGAATATTGTTCACGAATCCACAGATTATAACTTTCATCGCGAATTTAATGTTGATAACGGTATCATCATCCCATAGACCCGTTCCTCTAGATCCCTCCGAATTATCCAGCATTACGAGCCCGAATTTTTGGGATCTAACTTCGAAATTCGGCCAGACAACTTAGTAGCGAGCTCTTTTCTTTCAACGTATACCCTGGATACGAGACTAACGTATACCACCCATATACGGATATATGTTGAGCAGAAAATATTTGTTTCACCCCCGCGTTCTGAACAACCTAGCTGCCAATGCGGATATATAAATACTCAGTAATATATCTTCAAGCTCTATACTAGACTCATTTTACTCCTTGCTTTCGCTAGCATCTGATCATTGAGTTTTTCCTATAATTTACGTTCTACAAGAACCCTAAAATCAATTAAGTAACATGGACCACTGGTGGCGTACATCCGTTAGCTGCGACAGGATTAATTTTGATCGAGACCTACGGAAAATAAGGAACCACTATATTTCTCAGTCTAAAGTGGGGGGGGGGGGGGGTCGATCATCGAGCACTGTTGCGAGGATTCCTAGAAAATTCGACTTTCTCAGATGTCACAGTCATCATCGGTGAAGAAGCCAAGGTCTTCAAGTTACACCGGATTATCTTAGCCGCAAACTCAGACTACTTCGTCGGTGCCCTCAATGAGGCATTTACAGAAGGGAAGTCGCGCCAAATTACCATCCCGCATATTAACAGTGATGTATTCAAAAGAGTTATAGAGTACTTCTACACTCGGTCTCTCGGGTTCACGGATGAAGACCCTTTAGATTGGGATCTCATAACAGCACTATACCAAGCAGCCGACTACCTTCTTGCACCAATCCTCAAACAAGAGGTGACATTGTACCTCGCCAAAAAAATCGTAGATTTCAACTTTGCGAAATACATAGAAAAGAATCCAGAGGCGGAAGGCAAAAGTGAGTATGATATAATGCTAGAAGGGCTTGGGAATGTGTTTGAGCACTCCACAATGTCTGACTGGAATAACATCAAGCTCTGCACAGATTGTGTAGAGTGGCGTGATTTCCCAGTTAGCCCTAACAGCTATCCCAATTTTGTAGCGCAGGGGAAAAATACGACCATACTTCTCGCAGCACTTTTCGAGTCCTTCCGAGAGATTTAACACTATATATCAGATTTAAGATTGAATTTCTGGCTGCAGTGCTAAGGATACGAGTAGTTCACTAAAGGCTTATATAGCCCCTAGCTCCTACTTTATCATGTTTTTTAATCTCTATACGTTCGACTTTTATATTTATTTAGTGTTAGGTTCCAGTGTTTTATTTTTTGTGAAGATGCCCGAAATAGAACGAAATAAAATGTCTCTTTACTAGCAAAACCGCAGTATAGAATGGCGAATAAAGTCTCTCGAGACTGCTAGCTAGTTATCAATCATCCTAGGCCAATTGACTACTCCCCAGGCTAGGCTTGGCCGGTGCTGAAGCCTCTTTCAGTAAAGACTAGCCTTTGGGCTAATAAAAAAAAATACAAAAATATTAGAATATAAATTCTTCCCCAAAAAAGGGTTCAGGGTCCAGTTTGTATAACGTATTATAACAAGGCTTCAAATTTTACAAATTAGGCAGGCCAGTATGCGTTTGGTCGATGGTCGATATCGGAAATGAATGTGCATATGCAGCCACCTGGTCTCGTTCCCAGACGTCACAAAGAGCAGCCAGCCACCCTAGTTATTTCTCGCCAACCATCCCATCCATCTCTATCTCCAGCTCGTTTAAATTTGGTAGACACATCCGAATATATTTATTCCTGAGGAAAACTTTGGTGTTGATTGCCTCATATATGCATACCGCACAGTGGCTACAGTTCTTCTATTAAATCGGCCAGTGCCGACGGTTTGCTTACCCTGACAAGGTTTAGAAATTTAGATCCACCGTGTGTAGCCTGATCGATCCATGCGGCATTTCAACATGCGTGACCCGCCCTGAGCGACTGTACGTTTCAATAGCCTCGACACCAGACGTTTCAAAGATTGGTTTCTCTGGCCACCCAAAAAGGCCGGCTAGGTTTGATTTATTAGTCTAGTTTGTTAAAAGGAGGCTGAGAAACCGAGCTCTAGATGCCTATATATATATCTATGTATAAATTACATAAAAACCTAAGCTGGCCTCCAATCACGACCATGTGAATATGTGGCTGATTTCGCGAATAAATAATTCATTCATATGGCGGGCCAAAACGAAAAAAAATTGTCTATACACTCAAATCGATGATATATACTCAAATCAACACCAACCACAGCTATATACATTTAAATTTATATCAGCCACACAGTATTCGGTTTGAACACCATAATAAATCCAACTTAAAGAATCTCAAGACTTATACATTTTTACCACGCATGCTGGGTAAACGGGATTCACTTGCAGGAAGTTCACCAGCAGGCAGTTCACTAGTAGGCAGTTTATTAACTAACTAGCAGGTACTAAAACAGCTACTAGGACAATTATTGGAATAGCTACTGGAACAGCTACTGGAATAGCTACCAGAACAGTTACTGGAACAGCTACTGGAATAGCTACCAGAACAGTTACTGGAACAGCTAGATAAACTACTAGACAGGCCAGTAAACAGGCCAATATATAGGTTAGTAAATAGGTTAATAGACAAGTAGACAGGTAGACAAGTAGGCAAATAGATAGGCAGTTAAACAAATCAGAAGATAAATGTTTTAAAAATTTTTTAAATTAAATTTAATATAAATATTATAAATGCGTTAAGCTTGAAGATTGTGTGGCTGGTGTAAATTTAAATATATATAGCTGTAACTGGTGCCGATTTAAGTATATACAATCGATTTGAGTATATAACCTATTTTTTTCGTTTTGGCACGCTATAATTCAGAATCCTATTATATCAATCACCAAAGAATATATGCTTTCCTTGGTCCCCTAAAACAACGCTATGGTTAAAGAATTCGAATACTGTGCAATCCCAGAGACATGGGAAAGCAAAATCGAGTCTACCATTCTTTAGCGGCCGTAATAGACTGGAAATAACAGCACCCCGCACTTGACAACGCTCAAGTAGCATACGACATATTCAAAGGGATCGATATATTCCTGATGATGCGTAAAGACAAGAAATTCCTCCTCCAAAGGCTTATCATATGTCGGTGTATTTCTATTCTCGCCGCCCGCTTTTACTCCGAATCAGTATTACATTATCAACCCAATGGAATGAACTTCTCAAAAAGGAGGGTCTTCGAGATATCAAAAGCCAGCCTTGGGTGAACTTGATCAGAATTTTAGCATATTTGCATCTAGAACAATACGAAGAAGCCCAAGTGAACTACTAAAAATACCCACAGCTATATATAGCGCTAGATTATATCAAAGATGACACCAACGCATAGACAAACAACTCACTGAATGCTTATGGATTCTGGCTTATGGTAAAAGCGTTGACAAAGAGGGGAAAGTCGGTTGAGGCGAAGTTTTATACCTTCAAGATTCCAAAGAATATGGATGAAGGCATCAATTTTAACTGGGCTAACGGTTTCCCACTACCTATCTCCACCTGAACCCAGATTCAACAGGGCTCGAAGACTATAAGCTTAAGGACAGGGCCATGAGGATCAGAGAGGGCCGCAAGTCATTCTTGGAATAGCTTTTAATAACATTTGAAGTATCATTTTTCTAAGGCGTACTAATTAATTAATCAAGCCTCCAATTCACGCAGATACTTCTCTTCCTGGAATCCTTAACTCCCGCTTAATACAAATATTATACAGACGATTAGCCTTGACTCTGACCGATAATTGAGATTTTATTCTTAATAATAGATGTTCTTACGATTTAGCTAATGGAAGTTTCGGGAACGGACAAGACTAATTTAGGTGATATGCATGTATATTCGATTCGATATCACCAACTGAATGGTTAAGCAAAACTCTACGAAGGAGATCAAACAAAACACCAGTTTATTTAGTGCTCCTATTTAAGATGTCAGGCAGTATTTTCACATACTCTTGGTAAGCTATAATATCGTAATTACCGGTGAAAGCAATATCAGGTCAAGACGTTTCCGCAAATCATCCCATGAGTAACCAATATGCATATCAAAACCTCGACAGTCTGCGTTGCCAGCAAAATCCAACAACTGTGATGTTTTATTTTAGAGAGCAACACAAACTCTAGCAACACTCGAGCTACAGTCCCTCTAACAAGATCAAGGAACACACAATAGATCGAGGAGGCACTATTAATTCAAACTAGTTTCTTCTCCCAACAACTTCAAACCAACGATGTCATCCTCAGAAAACAAGAATACATCACCTCCGGCTCATTCAGACTCGGAGACTGAAATCCCGGAGATAAGGCCAGTCAAGCGCGCGAAAATCAGCATCCCATGCATGGAAGAGGGGTCTCTACTCAGGTACACACGTTTTCCCTGATGGCTGGCTCTCGTTTTAGGTGACGCGACACAATCGCTAATTACCTTTATTCCTAACTTCTTATAGCCTTTTAGCAAATCCCCGATTTTCCGATGTCAATGTTATCGTCGGTGAGGAAAGAATGCAGTATGACCTTCATCGAGCGATAATATGTTTGCAATCAACTTTCTTCGAGGCAGCCTGCAAAGAAGGATTCATCGAGGGCAACACCCGGGAGATTAATTTACCAGATATCGAGCCCGATGCCTTCGAAACCATTGCAACATGGTTGTACAGCGGAGGTTTTTCGATCAAAGGCAAGCTAAGCACGGAAAAGTTCTGTGACTTATACGCAGCTACGGATTACCTAGGCATCGACTCCCTCAAGCGGGCCATGATGTCCACTCTGGCTAAGTCTCTACAAGACGACATGCTGAAAAGGCCTAATGATGGCGCACCTGTGGAGAAGACGGTTGAAACCCCACTCAGTCTAATCTACTCCCTTTTGCAAACCGCACCATGCTCGGACTGGCAGGGCTTACGCCAGGTAGTTGATAAGGTTATCCCCCAAAATCGTCTTTCAGGAGCTTGGCTACGAGGCCTAGCGGAAACGGATCCCGTCGAAATAAACGGCTTTTTTCAAGCTCTCTTACTCGATTCTTATCAAGAGTTTGTAGGCTCTATGTTCTGTGGTTCCTGTACAAAACACCTCAGGAATAATACGGGGAAATGCCACGCCTGTCGGAAATCTGTTAACTACCACAAACGAGAGGGTCCACCGCAAAGATCGGAAAAGTCTTCCTGAGGGCTTATATACCCTTTACAACATCGCAAAATTTAGGTACTGTCTTTGTTACTTATGCGAACCCCATCATCTTGATGGGATGACCTGTCCCCCTAGGCTCGGGAGGCCATATCCATATTTCTCAACTTCCCGGGCCATTGGCCATTTCATTTTTCTTTCAAATTTCCCATCACTCTGAAAACACGGAACTTTTTGATTCGTAGGCACTCTGGGGGTGCTCACTCTTTAATTATATCTTTATCTCTGTCATATTGCGCAGTACTTTGGATTTCGTCGGGCTCATTTATTTTCCCGAAAATGCTCTTAGCAAATGGCTGGTGTCTAGGCGGCGTTTGTTTAAATTATATCGATATAAGACAATAATATATCAATACGGCAGCTAGCTCCGGTGGTTGGGTAGTTCGAATTGGAAGAGTAAGCTTTTTTGGTTTGTTTAATGCTATGCTTAACAAATAATACAAAAACAACCTTTTATCCCATAACATTAACCTGGAATAGAGAACACGACTAGAAAAAGAGCTAAAAAGGAAAACATCTTTGACCGTTTTTGGGCGTCTAAAACATCCCAGTCATCGATGGTAATGCGTGGTAGCGGCCGGAAACACATGATGCCCGCTCTCCAAACGCCAGCCATGATAAGTAATTAATTATGAGAATCATGAGAATGAAGAAAAGAATTATCCACGAAACGAAAGATTAGCCTAGCCAGCAGAGATGACGAGGGAAATTACCAGCTACGAGATACATAGCCGTCCTCATTCAAAAGACAATGGTAGGTTGTTCAGGATCATCAAAAGCTCCATCTCCACCCTGGCTTGGAGGAGCGATCGCCTCTGCAGCAGTCTCAGATGGGTCAGCAGTCAAGACCGGAGTTTCGACCTCTCCAGTTCGTTTAGCCTTCCTAAGTTCGACGGACCAGTGTTCCTCGACCAACTTGAAAGGGCTTCCTTCACCATCATCAGAAGTCGTCTGGGCAAAGGTGTAACCACGATATTCGCAGTTACGATACTTGTCACGATTCTCGACGAAGGGAAAATCTTGTGGGGTCAACCAACGGAGAAATCCAGAGTGAGTAACCTGTCGGTAGACAAAAGACAGATCAGTACGGTTCTGTCAACCTGGATGCAAAGAAAAGGGGGGAACTTACGACCGCGATGACTTTCTCAGGACGCTCGAACAACCATTTTCGAGCGCAGGTAGCGCGGACACCAAGGTTAGTACGAGTGTAAAATCCGTGAGACTTCGTCAACCAGTCGTGGCGCTCACAGTTGCGAAAGTCCAAGGACGGGAACGCCGCTTTGAGTGACTCGACCGAGCTGCCGGTATCGCAAGGGTTGGGAGACGTCTCTAAAAATTACGAGAGCCTTCTCAGTTTCCAAACAACTTCGAGATTGGGTTACATCTTTCTTGACCATACCTTGGAACTCTGGGAGAACAACAAATGGAACCTTCTTATCACGAAATTCCTTACCAAAGGCAAGGAACGCAGTCTCCAAAGTTCGGAAGAGTGGAGAGACGACAATAAGTTCGAGATCTTGGAAGTCTTCCCATTCACCAGCGGCGAAAGCGTCACGGAGACCCTTAACACATTGTTCCTTTCCAAGCTCAGTCAAGCGTGGATCTGGTTGTTGGAAGTCCTATAATTTTTCGATTAGTCATTGCTCTTCGATATAAGATACATTGTTAAGATATATATGAGTTCTTACATCTTCCAGATTGTGAGTGGCTTGCCCATGGCGGATCAGAATAACTTTGGTGTTTGGTGCCATCGTTAACAGAGAGTAAGAAGTTAAGCTAGGAAGATTCTAGGGGGTCCCATTAGCACTACCCTTAGATGTCTCGAGGCCAGAAAGGCCCCTTTATAATACTTTACCAAGTATCAGACGATATTGACATACTTGTTCGGTTGATTGATCGCGGATAGAGGAATCTAGCTGGTCGGATGGGTGATATGATGCAGGTAGTTGAGGTGATCAGGAAGAGGAAGAGAAAGGTCCGAAAGAGAAAAAAATAAGGAGGTAATATGATGCCAGAGAGTCGTTACCCGCTCGCAATGGATGCGTAGGAGGGCCTCTGTTGGTGGGCAGTAGACGTATTCACGTCCTTGCTAGGGCAATTGAGTAGTACCTCCAGGCATGTATGAGAAACGGAATACTAAAACAATCGCTAGAGAGAGATTTTAAGTAAGGAAAATGAAACGATATCATGAAAATACAATATTATTCTTCTATACATCATATACCGTAATATCAATATTCAATATCAATATCAAGTAGGCTGCTGGAGAAGCGGCATAAGCCAAGGCCAGTTCGGAAAACCTGTCGAGAACAAAATACCACAAGGGTCCTGCGTTGGGAACTAAAACGAGCGGCTGTTGGGGAGAGGCGAGGGAGAGACCGAATCCCGATATCCAAGAATTCAAGGGCAACCCAAACGCTCGCGGGCACTGGTTCCTGGTTCCTGGAGCCAGACGGTTGTCGTAACTGGACAAGGGAGTTGACGACACCTTTATATTCTGGGAAATTCAGGAGTAGCTTCCTCCAGAAGGCTGCAGCCCAATTGACTACCCCAGATTTCGAACCCCCACGAGATGGGTTGCTAAGGGTCGTGTGTTCCGATTGCTAATTTGGTATTTTCTCCGTCTCAAATTAATTATTCGGGTTAGGGAGGAGCTTGCCAGGTGAGAGTGTGATCACGAGAGCATAACTTAGGGCCTTATTTTTCGAATGTGCGCAAATAGGAAACATGCATCCTAGATTCGTCGGGAAGTATTCAGGGCGCTATGGGCAATCCAAAAAAATGTGGACAAAAAAAGCTGAAAATTTTTTCAGTTTTCATTTCCGCGCATTAGCTAAAAGCTTTTAATATTTAAAATCAAGGTATAGGGGGCCCGTCTTACATCACAGACTTTCGGTTTGCCGTTACGTTTACGTTTACGGAATGTCTCTGTCGGGATACATGCGAGGAGGACGACAATTTTTCGGACCGATTCTCCCTTCTTTTCCGAACTAGGAGGGTTAGTCCCTGTCCATCCAATGGTCACGCACACTCTCGGGATTGTAGCAAACCTGCCGGATCCCGAACACTTAGCCAAGGCTTCTGGATTCGACACAAAAAACGACTGAGCACATTAATATATCGACGACGAGATATTGCAGAATGTTGCTCGGGACGTACCGACCCGCCATTAGAATTATACTTATTACTTTTCTTACATCATCATCCTTTTGTGTAACGTAGCCCAAACTTCGCTGCTTTCGGATGCTTGTGACACCATGGTCGAGCCGTAAAGTACAACACCCACAACACCATTGTGGAGTTCAGCAGTTAGCTAGCATCATACCTGGCTATATGAAATATGAATATGAAAAAAAATATATTGCCATCGCTGGAATCAAATATCGGTTCCGTATGATGTGCTTGCGCAATTGCTAGCCTCACAGCCTTTTTAAGACCAACATGCTGAGATAAAAAAAAGTTACGTTCGCTATAGGTAATTGAGATTGACTTTCTATAAATTTAGGGTCGGTCGGATGGTAGTTGGTGACTGTTAACCTACCCCTCCAGGAAAACCTGACTTCCAGGTCTGGGTACGAGACAAATCAAAAGCTAGAATTCAACTAAACTCAGTAGTTTAATTTCTAGTACCTAATCCTTAAATAAAAGATATATACGTAAGAGACCCCACCTCGATAAATTAGGTAACTCTTATTCTGCACTACATATTCCGAATCCCGAACCTTAAAATTCTAGCTCGGCTATGTATGTGCATAGGTATATAATTTCCCGGTCGATCGCCTGCATTTACAAGGCTATGACTGCACGCATATCGTGAACGGTTTTAGAGACTAGACTTAATCAGAACGGGACTAAACATGTCTTCATACTTGGTAGTCTGGTGGTATACTTGGCGCGGCCGACTATCCGCTATACGGCGGGGTAGGGATGACCATCAGAACGGGACGTAGATCATACATGCATAGGTGCAACCAGTTAACCTTTGTGAGTTCATGTTCAATATGTATGTAAAGGCGTAGCCAAGACCAGCCTGGGCTGATAAAAGCCAACTACCGAGATATCGAACTCAAGAGCATCGTTCTCGGCATTAATAAACAGTTGAATTTACGAAATAGTTCAAGCTAGATACCAAGAATTCGAGGAAATAATCGAGACAGCACCTAGCGCCTCACCGCGATTCATTCTCGTTTGGAAGGCCACGATATTCGGCGAGCGAAAACACCAGCAGCCACACATAAAGCCCCCGACAGCTGCTTTTCGGGCTAGTTTGGTCTCGTTGGTTAGTTCACGAGGTTATTACGAACCAATTAGCATAGAGCCCCTCTATTGGTGAATCAAAACATCGCCCTAGCAAGAACTCAAGTTAGCACATGCGCACAGTTCTTTTTACTACCGAATGCCTGGGAAGTAGTCTTAACGATGTTAGTCAATTTAATTTTATGTCAACTCGTAGATAACAATACATATGGAACAGTACCTTCGCTCCCCATGAAAACAATTCTCTTCAGGGTAGAGGATAACCCTCGAGGTTGTAGCGCTTCAACGCCGGTGCCGCTCTCGACTACGACTTCGGTGTCTCCGTCGGTCTCGATCCCGATCATCATACTCAGAAGAACGGTGTTTTCGATCGTAATCCCTGCTGCTATCTTTATCTTTATACCTGTCTCGGTCCCTCCTGTCGCGTGACCGTTCGCGATAGCTATCTCTGTCCCTGTCTTTATCCCGGCCCTTATCCCTATCCCGCCTGTCACGATCTCTTTCATCGTCTCGATACCTTTCGCGATCACGCTTTGACCGAGAACTCTCTTTATCGTCTCTGTAGTCTATATCTCTCCTTTCGGGTCGGCTCCTATCATCCCTACCCTTCCAGTCTTTTTCCACATCTTTCTTGACTAAATCTTTGCTTGATTCCTCCTCCACCCTTTTTCCATTTTTGTCCACCAAGGTAATCGGCAAATAGGTTTTATCAACCCTTTGCCGACCTTTCTTATCGCCTTTGCCCCAAGCACCCATCTCTTCTGCCCCGAGACCTTTGGCACCTATACCCAGGAAAGCGGCTCGCTTTTCAACGATTCTCGGTTTATTTCCTGCACCTCCCGATTTTCCGATACTTTCGCCTTCCTTCCAGCCCATGCCTCTGAGCAAAGCCGCACCAAACTCCTCTACAGGTACAGCAGCGTATTCTTCAAGCGTCGCGGCGTCCGGTCTGGACGCGACGTCAGCTCGATATGCGTCGTCTTCATTCTGAACGGCAACTCGATTGTCCGCTACATTCCCTGAAGCAGCTGGTATCGTCAAAGTACTAGCCTTTGCCTTGTCCCCAGCCAGCAAGGCTTCCATCGCAAGCTGATCTTCCGTCTTCTCGACTTTCTTAGTTGCCTCTTCGCCTTCAGCATCCTGGTCCTTAGCATCTGACATCGCGACATCCCCCTCGGCGATAGTCATGCCGGCCGTTGATCTCTCTACGAATTGTAGACCGACTTTCATCGGCTCGTCTCCAATGATATCTCGTGTATCAACCGGTTGCCCATCCTTTTGAGCTGTCGCCTCTGGAGGCAAATATATCCCTTTCTTCTTCCGACTCTCAGCCCGCCAATCCTTATTCCTCAATGATGGTATGACCAAAGCCTTCACTTCTTTCTCGCCCTCAGCAGTGACCGCCCCTTTACTCCCAAAACCTGTGACCAGCTGTACTTTATTTCGGTGGTCGTCTTCATGGGTGTCATCATCCTCGTCGTCGGAAAGAGCTGGTCCACGTTTGGTCCCAGGCTTGGAAAAGGCAGATGCACCGGGCACCGGCTTTCTTGCAGTCGTCGCAGACCCACCAGTAGGTCTTTTTGAGCCGAGAGAAATCGAGAACCCACCCTTAGAAGGTGGATCCATTGTCATAATGGTACAACAGTGAATGTGACACCTCGGGAATCTGTTGTTTCGTGTGTGCGTGCAGACGTGTCCTGACGATCAAGGCCCAAGAATAGGCTTGCGATGTAACGTTATGCCGGTGGAAACGTTCCTACCAATTAAATTATAACGCCAAAAAAAGACTCTTCTTAGGCAGGAGCAGAACTTTCTTGGAAGCAGGGGGAGGGCCAGACGGGCCTTCGGGTTCTTCTGGTCGGTGGTGGTGTAGTGACTGATGAGAAGGGAATTTGGAGCGAGGGTGGTGTTGAGTCGACGTGCTGGGTTGTTTGTGAGAGGCGGCGACGTTTGTTTGGCCTTTCCGTTTTAGCCCCAGAAGTCTTGGCGTATAAAATCAAGGAAATGCAAAACTCAAGCTTGCGGAAGAGAAGCGAAGCCCTGCATTCGAACTAGTCTCGGGATAGCTTCCTAAATATCAAGGCATGCGCAAGTGACTTAATTATAATAGGAAACGTAATCCTGTTCCATAGGCCGAGTGCTGGGCCTTTACTCGAGAGTGAAGCGCAGCCCAGTTTCACGGAGATCATGTTAGCCATGTTAACATGCTAGCAGTCGTACAAACTTAAACGAAGCTTCGAAGGCAAATTAACGACACCGTCAACTAACTTAGTTCCAGTGCCACACAAGAGCTACTGCAAGCCATAGTGGAATTATTTTTCCAACAAACCATTAAAGTGTCAGTGAATGTGGCGGTTAGCTCGTGGTCGGAAAGAAAAATCAAGTTTAAGTTAAAATTTCCTCTTAAATCCAGGGACCAAGAGCCACCTATGTCATGCCGCAGTTATGATTACGGTTATTGGTGAGATTGGGTGGAATCTGCACCCCCCATGGCCCACTGCATGTGTGCTACCAGATTTAGGCCCTTGGAAACATCCTTGGTTTGTCCCCAGCATGTGGGGAATATAATAACAGGCCCAGACTTAATAAAACTGTGAAACTTGAAAATAAAGAATCACCATTATTAACTCGCAAGACAAACGCGGAGCCGAGAACTAAATTTAAAGTTTATTTTACTTTATTAGAGGCAACATCATAAAATGGATTTGGTCCTTAGTTATAGACGCATAATCTAGATATGCATGATGTAGTTGAAGTCTCAGGTCATGCAAGTTCCAAGGATTTCAAGTGCAACGATCTCAAGAAGGAAGTTTATGACGAAATATCCGCCTGGTTAAATCTAGTCTGTCATCACTTAGCTTAGCGTTGGCGTTCAACTAGTTAGTTTTAAGTCCACAGGTCAAAGACACACATCCCCTCGAAACATACGCGCCAGTTCAATCCAAAAAATTATTAAATTTGTACGGGAAAAAAAAAAAAAAAAGCTACTCCCCTCACATCATCCAGAGCATATTCGGCGGGCTGAGGAAATATTTTTCGACGGCTGTACAAACAATATGCAGTTACACATGGAAATAATATGCGCAGTGGTGTTGGTTCGGATTTCAGTTCCGGGAATTTCACGATGCTGATTTGTTCCCAAACAGCGAGGCCCGCATCAACTGCATCCGCCTCAAACAACGCATTTCACACCAAAACCAGTAAGGGAACCTTGCAGATGGTGAGTTTTTGCCTTGGTTTTAAGATGCATTCTGTAAATTATGAGTGGGTAGGATGTCAAAGCGTGTGTCTAGTTTCTCGAAAAGCTTTCCGAGGCGCTTCCAACTTTTCAAACAAGGTATAAGTGGCCCATAAAGCATTCCCAAATGACGATCTCTTTCCGTAGAATCTTTACATCTAGGCTTCTAACTCTGCGCACAAACGTCAGATATCGAAATCCGGTATACAAAGGACGATGAATCAAGCTTTAGACTTTTTGTATCGACCTTTTTGTGTTGCATTCTACATTTCCAACACACCGTTGGCCAGACCAAGGTCTCTGCACAACCACAAGAGATGCATATCTCAAATTCTGTTCCAACAATTCCCCTGCTCTCTTGTGGATAAAAGTAGTTTGGTCATGTGCGAGCTCGCAGGGGGGTATTCGCAGGGCCTGCGAGAAGCTGCAGCACTGCAGGGCCTTCAAGGGACCCAGACCGTTGGGGAAAGCTCTCGCCATGGCCGTGCGCTATGGTGGGAATAAAGTTACAGAAGGATCGTCGTGGACTAAAATGTCGAGCTTCCTTTCCCATTGACAGCGAGGAGCCAATCCGGAATAGCACCCTTCTTGCATCTGCATGAGCAACTAGTCTTTCCTCCAGCAGGTAGTGATCACAGTCATACCCACACCGCCCGTTAGCGGAACACCGATCCCTGGACGTACATCCTCCCACACTCTCCGCAGCCGTTCTTGTTGCTCTGCAGCTGCAGAAGCTTCTAGCCTGGTCCCTCATACATGCCGGTGGCAGCCCTGAGCCAATAGGAGCAAAGATTTCCAATATCCGTGGCGGTGTTGCAATTAGGAAAGCCACTTATAATAGAAACTGCCCTTCCTTTCCTTGGAGCTGATATTGAAATTCTACAGAAGATGCCTTAGCGTTTGCATTCGCATGAGCCCTTATCTTACATTGTTCGTGCAGCTGACTAACGGGTTCCGAAGGGGCTACGCACTGTATAGGTCTATTAGCTACCGAATAATACTGAGAAAAAGGAAAAAGTGAGTAAAGGGTTGGATGCAAGTATCGCATGACTTTATAGTGACGAGGTTGAGAATAAAAACCGAAAAATTCCGGTAACCGGCTGCAGAATAGTGCACCAAATGATCGTCCAGTGCTTTCCCATCTGTTCGTTCTGAAAATCTTGTCATTTGAGGTGAAGGAACAACCCAAGGTGATTGAATCTTCCTAGCCTAGAAATTCGAAGTCCCTTCGGCATTTTCAACCCTTCTCGAAAAACGAAGGGAGGTCCCAACCAGGTGTCGATCAGAGGTTCGGTTCCAAACAGATTCTCTTAGTCTTTCAAACTATCCTGGTGGTTAGAAGACACTTTAATCTCTTGTGGTTGCGGTACAAGGAAAGAAAAACCCCGCACTGGCTACCCGCCCAATGCCACGTATAGCCAACTAAACTCCTCAAATCCTGACATATTCAGCCCGAGAGCCACATGGCAGGGAAAGAGGGAAAGATTTTCGCAAGGAGTAAGGTAGGATAGGTATGGAACTTTAATCATGTCGAGGATCTTTCGTGTCCAAAGGGAGGGGTGGCGCTGAAAAGGTCGAGGTTGGGGCAGGTGCAGATTGTGTCTACGGTAAAAGATCGACTCTTTGGCAGGCCTTCTGATCGGTCGATTCGGCTACCTACCAAAAATTCAAGAACGAGGGTACAGTTCGGGAGACAACTAACCGGGTCTTGTCAGGAAAACTGTTTACTTATAAAGAGAGACAGTCGGAATATCGATAATGCAGCCACCTCCGCGACAAAATGGAAGACATGGGCTCCGAGAGACACGAAAATTGTGGCGGGCCTTCGGAATTAGCCATCAGGATCGATCTGCCCGAACAAAAGAGGGGACCTTGCAACGACAGGCCTGCAAATGAACCACAACCCTCTCTTCATTTCGATTGACATTGATGGTCGACTTCGACACGAGCGTATATCTGAGTGGCAAATAGACTTGGTTTTAGAGGTATAACCAACATTCAATGGTCTATAACAGAGAAAAACAGTCCTCAATAACAAACTTAAAACCGGGCCCGCCACGAGGAATAATAGCCAACCCATGTTCCGATTTAGGTGAGAAGGTCCTTGCTAGTCTTTAACCAAATTCTGAACCCAACCTTTGTGTGGCGCCATTAACCTTTGGGTGGGAATTGATTGTATTAACCAATAAATACAAAGATTCAATATACGCCTAAGAATATTACTTCTCTTCCAACCTCTCCTACAAAAAAAAATCGAAATGACGGTAACTTTGTTGCTCAGTTCTCGTTCTCGCTGCGACACGAATCTCGGTATTTTGCGACTGGATGGGATTCTCATTGTTAGAAAAGGGGAAAGGTGAATTACCATTTCAAACAAGTGGCGAAATTTTGACCCAAGGTGGAACCCAAAACATTGCGCTAGCGCCGCGCCCTTGCTCAACAAGAAAACTCGACTATTCGGGAATCGAAAATCAAGATGCAGAAGTCAGAAAAGAAGAAATTCTTCAGCTGGGGGGAAATGTTGGCCAGTTGGAAGGCTCAAAAGACAGTTAACGACAGGACGATCATACCAATACACTCAGCCTTGCAGAAAAACACTTATAAGTAACATCCCAATCTAAGACGAAGACAGTATTGATCCTAGCCCACAGATTCAAAACGAGAAGGTGATTGATTATAATACTGGATGGACACGCGTGTACTGCTGTGGGTATGTACTTTGTCTCAACTGATGCATAAACTCTACAGGAAAGCCCCGACGAAAGGCTAAGAGAAATAAATGCCTAGAAGGTTGATCAGCATGGAAGTGCTCAAGATGCCAACCGGTTCCTTTTAAATTTTTTTCGGTTCACGGACAACATCCAATAATACCGTTAATAAGCTCCAGAATTTGGACCCTTTGAATACAAACCCCACGATATTAATACAAAACTTTGGTACAACAAAGAAATGGGTACTAAAAAAATATATACATCTGATACCCTGGACATAAGAAAAACTACAATGCAATAAAAGGACAAGTATTACTTACAAGCGAAACTTTAGCTCCAGAAACGCCGTTATAAGTCTCAAAGACCCCGCGGGCGTGGTCAGGATTTTTTTCTCCCCCCCCCCTCCCCCCGGTGAAATGTTTCTCGGACTCCAACAATAGGTCCTCGAGCGGAAAGGGCCAGCCAACGGTGGCGAAGAGGAAACCCGGAAAAGAAATTGGCATGCAATTTCCCTTCCTACAGAAGATGGGATTCTTGAGATTGCGGTGTGGCAGGGTTCAATCTGGCACCTCGACAATCCATGTCGTGCAGCGCTGCACACACCCCGAACAAAAGGAAACTTATCTTAGCTCGCTCAAAAGAAAGAGAAGGAAACACAGAGCACATCCCGATTGGACATATGCCGCCCTCGACCTCTCTAGCGTGGAGTCTTAAAAGAACCCGTTGTGCCCTTTTCTTCCATCAACTAGGATTCGAAGTTTTGATCGAGGAAATATTCAAAATACTGGCTGAGAAATTAAAGTATGCCCTGCGCCGCGAAAAATCTGCTTGTACGGAAAACGACCCCCCTCCCCCTCCCAAAAAAAAAAAAAAAAAAAAAAAGAGGGAGAAAAAAAAAGACATTGGTGCTTCTTTCATACATTATTCGAACGGTCAAATTGTTTAGTAAGTGAGTGTCTTTCCCTTAGACAAAACTAGAATCCGTTTTTGTTGTTGAATTGCAGTGGTAAATGAGGATATATTCGATTCCCTCTGTACTTTTTCATTATGCCTGGTAACATTTGGTTTTGCGTTGCCGACGTTTGAATTTTTGTCAGCTTTTAACAATAACATCTCTTTCGCTATTAATAACAGCCATTTCAATTGACTAACATATGTTTTAGTGGATTTGAATAGTCACGAGTGGTCCGTTCCATCGCCGCTCCTTCGAGGGGGTTCTTGCATTGTCTGTTCCACAAGTGACGGCAGCTGACTACGAGGTGATGAAGATGTCGACCCGTGCCCTGGATATCCAGTACCGTTTCCTCCACCGTTTCCACTCCCACTCATTTCTCTCGTTGGTCGTTGCGTAAAGTAACCTGACGAACCTCTCTGTGGCGGGTGTGACGACGGACTTGGGTTTCGCAAGGGAGGCAGCGCTCGGAGGGAATTATGCGCATGCATTTGACGGCCATCGCCGTCTGAAGACGTTGCTGGTGTCAGCGATGGTACCGAAGAGCTACCGCTGCTGCCCACCGAATTCTGCGTGGACAGGGTATCCGACGAATGAAATGTGGGACGTTGTTGTGTATATGACATACCCGATATGCTTCCTGATCTTCGCGGATTCTGAGATGGTGAGTCGCCAGGCGACGGCTGCCCTCTCGAAAACGACAAATTTTGTTGTATATGCGGTTGGTGATTGATTTTGGGCAGCTGCATCAGCCCTGGTCCCTGATCGAAGGTTTCAGGATGGCCCCCTCCATGCAGTGGCTGTGTTCGAGTCGGTTCATAATAATGACCATGGTTCGATCGGCCGGGACTATCACGGAACGGCAGCATGACGGAATCGGGTGGTCCAGACTGGTACTGTCGAAGGCTATGATTACTGGCTGTTGATGCAGCATCTGAAAAAGCGATAGGGCTAACCATTTGAGAAGCTGGAGTAGACGGTTGTGTGAAGGGCGAGTGATATGACTCTCGTCTTCCATGCTGAGAAGAATATTGGCTCATGGCCATACTCGTCGGCTGTGCATGTGGGTAACTCGGACTTCCGGCCGCATCCTGCGGTTGCTGTGTTCGAGATTGAATCGGCTGGGGAGCCTGTCCCCCAGTGGATGTGATACTAGAACCAGGTAAGGAACTATGCGTGGAACCTTGGGATGGAAGGCTTTCTAACTTGGGTCGTTTTCGAGGTATATCTGTCGTAGGATTGAAAGATGCTTCTACCGAAAGCCTTGCGTAAGGTCAAACTGAAACAAAAGACCTCGAGGCCAAGTATGTTAGACTTACCTCCGGCCTCCTTTGCGGCTTCCTTGTTTTTGAACTCGAGTAGGTACTGTGAATACTCTTTAAACTGGTCTGTCTTTTTATACGCAGCTAATTCTTGGTTGTAGCGATCTTTCATGACACCGGCTCTGTACTCGTACTCTTCTTTCTGCTCGGGGGGCAGCACCTTCCACCGATCACCGACTAAACGGGCTATCTCGGTAAACGAGAGATTTTGACCTTTGAGTTCTTCGCGGACATCTGTTCATGAAAATTGTGACAATTGGTTAGTATCTTCTCCATGTGGCTGAGGTCCCGCGCATACAGCCGCGAGTCTATATCGTGGTATACACATGCTCAGACAACTCACTATTAGCGAACATCACGTATGCGGATGGTGGCTTCTCTGGTGCGTTTTCATCGGGCTGGTTTATATATTAGTATATCCTGCATATGGATTTATAGAGACCAATAGGTGTCAATATTCTTACCCGAGGATGTCGACGGTACTTTCGCTTCGTCTGAACTACCCCCTTATAGTCGGGTCTAAAACCCCGCGGGGAGGAATTATCGTCGGGTTCATCACCAGCATCCTCCGAAAAGGGTTGCGAGCAAAGCCATGGAATCGGTTCGTGTTCGGGTATGCCTCTTTCCCGTGCTATAGCCCTTTGAAGAACCTTTGGGTAACCGGAAAAAATTGATACTAGTCAGAAAAAAAAAACCTGTGTCGACAAATGCCCATTACAACCACCACAGCCTATGGGCGCTAAGGCTGCACAATCGTGGGTGGGAAAAAAAAAAGAAACCCATCTGACGATTGCATAAACGGGTGATACCGTTCACGCTTCAATCAAAAACGGGAAACGGGGTGGTGGTAATGAAACAATCGGGGTGCAAACTACTTACCCGACGATGCCCTAGTTTAAACCCCATATACGATCTGTGCAGGGAGACTGTTAGGGAGTTGTCTCGGAAAAACATTTCCAACCAATTGCGACACAGCAGACGGAGTCGATATGAGGCAACGGGGGTTAAAGATCACACTCACAAATCAGTCTCTTGGATATCCAAAATAGTATCCCACCGATCAAAGCCTTCCTCGATGAGGCGCCCCAGGTACTGGGACAATCCAAGTCTATCGAGGATCTCCCTGAGGTCCGACATGCAGAAGACTCTAGCCGGCGAACGGCGAACGATTCTTGACAGACCAAGGAAAAGTAGGGGAAAAAAATATCTATCCTGATGAGAATGTCTTGTTGTGCTCACACCAGAAGTTGGGCAAATTTATACAACAGGGAGGAGCTTGCAGTATTTGGTTGTTCCAGGTCAATCTGGAAGCGTTTGAGTGGATAAGAGTTGCGCCTTCCCGAAATCTGGAGAAGAAATATTCAGTTGTTCGTTCCAATCCACAAAAGAAGCTTAGCATTGGCCGACCAGTCGATAGTCCTAAGGTTGAACGAAAAAAACGGGATGTGAAATCAACCGTGGAAGTTTGTCGAAATTGCGGCGTTGAAGTCCTTCTCTGGGGCGAAGGTCTTGATAATTGATAACATTACAGCCAAGGGATCGGATCCAGGTCGAGACGGTCAACGTGGGTGAAAAATGCAAATGAGAAATTTCGACAGAAAGGAAAATGCCCCCTCCTACACACCACGGAACGGACCAACCAGGTGCAGAAGGCTAAATGCAGCTATTGCAGACGTCGCAAAATCTAATTCGAGAACATCTAAGACCGTCTATAACCAATGTTCGCCTGCTTCAGGGAGCACTGAGCTAAAGTTCCCATAACCAAGCTATAGGTGTCAACAAGTCTGTAGGTTGTGGGGGTTTTTGGTTTGTTAAACTGCGCTTCGGCCTTGAGTATTTGGGCACGACAATTCCAAACTCAGGACTTTGTCCGATTCGATTCTCCTTCTCTTCATTTACCTCTTGGCCGGGTTCTGCCTCTGGGGGGGTTACGGTAGGGAGACCAGATTAGAGGCTTCTCTTCTCCCTTACAACTTTCCCTAAGACTAGAAAGGACACTTTCGATAACTTCCACAACAACTTGAGGCGATCAAAGTCGGATGTCGACACCGGTTGACGATGTTAGGCAGGAAGATGACGTTTAAATGGTTAGCTGTACTTCGGACGGAAATCGTCTGTTCACAAGGGAAATTATGATCAAGCAAAGCAATAATACGTGGTGTGTGTCGTCTTAACCTCTGGCCCCTCTCCTTCATCCACTTGTGTTTTAGACTTGATAAATTTCTTCTTTGAAAAGGCTCGACTTGACCTTTAAGCCTTGCCAGCCACTGCACTGGTGCACTCCCCCTACCGAACGTTTAGGAAACGGCTGTCGTTGGACCAAATTGCGAAGCTGTGTGGCCCTTGCCTAGTCGTATCGCCACCGCCGCCGCTTCGAGGCTCCAGCCAGACGTTGGAAAAAAAATATCGTACTGTGTAGTTTTTGCTCCTCAAAAATCCTAGCGACCTTGAAGAAATTCGGCTATCTCACGCAAGTGCCGCCGCTCCCCAACGAAAAGCAGAAGCTGCCCGGATCCACGAGCTCGAGGATCTAGGATCTTCGAATTCAGGTAAGATTTTTTCCTCCGAAAGGGATCTGGTTGTTCCTTCATCAAGTACCTTTTTCGGGTGCATGAATGGACCTTGGCGAATGGTATTTCAGCTCACTCACAGGACCAGAAGGCGATCTGAATGCTAATCGGCTCCGTGTTCTTCTCTGGCCTTAAATCAGAAAAATTGTTTTTTTTTTTGGGGAGACCAAGCAGTTAAAAAGTCAGGGTGCTGGCCGCCTCAATTGAGTTTAGGTCACATTTTTTTTTTTTTTGCTGGCTGCGCAACCCATAACTTATCAGTTTCTGGCTCACATAGTTTATACTAGAACTGGATATACGGAAAGAAGCTGAACCGCCATGAGTGGCAGTTCTCTAATTACTCAGTGGACCCGACACTAAATCCACAGCTATTTTGCCAGGGGAAGCCGAAGGAACGAACGAAGAAGAAAAAAAGAATACCTACTTCGTGATAACTTTTTCTTTCCCTGACTTCACAGGGTAAAAAGGCGCGATGCCTCGGGAAGTTCTGAGACCCTCGAATTTCAACCAAAACTTCCAAGGTCTCACTCGGAGTCGCAACCGGCCAGGCTAACGAAAGTTACCAGGACCTATTCTCCGTCGAGGAAGCGCGGGCTTGATCCGTCCCTTTTTCCATAATGTGGAGACTCTCCAGCCACAGGAATACCTCAACCCAGACATCAAATCACGAGGTATTTCGAACACTCTAACTCCAGAAGAAGCCTAATGAGAATATCATATTTCCAGGCACATATATGCGTGTATGTACGCAGATACGTACATACGTATCCGTACATTACATGCTTAATGTGCTCTACCTAGTTAAAGGGGGTCGCGCATAGCTGGAATTCATACAAAAACGGAGAGTACAAGGCCAGCCACGATACATACATACAAGATCGCTGCCCTATGAGCCCACTCCAGGTTGCAGCTTTCAAATCCAAGCTTCGTGGGACTACACCTCCCAAGCAAGAGTAGCCGGGCCGACCATTCCAAAAAGAAACATGCGTTTAGGTGATAGTTTCAACAACGCAGCCCAGAATGCATTAATCATATCGACCTAAGAGGGAAATCGTGGAGCATGCGATACTTTTCGAGATGGGGGTTCGAATTCCGCCAAAATCCTCCCTTCCCCCCAAGGTTCCCACTAATCTGAGACGAAGACCACACCCCTACATAGAACTTTGAAATCGTCTTTTGATCCCAAAATCTCATCCTGATGAAGAGAGACATTTAAAGAACGACCATCAGTGTCAGGTTGCCACGATCGGGCATTTCGCCTGCAATCTTCGTTTGTGGGGCCTCTGCGGGATCTTGTTTTCTCCTTGTAATGGGAATTGGGCTATCGCAGGCTTCATTCAAGCTCCAACCCGAAGAAACAAAAAACGTGGTCCGTGAATGCATGTCTGTCAATGGGCGTGTCGATCACTTAAACCATTTTCAAGAATTCACAGGAAGACCCAGAGCCGCCAAGTCGTTTTGCTAATGGCTCAAGTGAAGGTTAAGCGGAGGGTGGAGCAAGCCATTGGGCTGGTAAGGAAGTCCCCTTCAGTTCAAGGGAGAGACACAAGCCACCAGACCGATCAGAAAACTTATGTAACATACGAACTCTTTAGCAATTTTGACATAACTTTGTTCTTCTCACTGGGATGTTGTCAAACCGTGCATTACCCGAGGCCCTGTGCATTATGACGGTGACTATGACGTAGGCTTAATATCCTAAATCAAAAGAAGAAATTCCCCGCGTTGGGAAAGTCGGTCAACCAGTTTTACGGTTGACCGCCGCGTACCGAGGTACTCAGTACTTTGCGGGTATGGAAATCGAATCCACGACTGTTTCATTCTAACAATATGCCGGAAATGTGTGAAATATGGGGTATAACATTCTGGAAAAAAAAGACGGGCGGAAGGTGTTAGAAATAGATGGTGCAATTCTCACGATATCGATATCGTGGAAAGCGGGTCTGGGACCGGTTCAATCAAGATTTCCTCTGCAGGTTCTGTCGCTTTTCTTGCCGCTCGGGTCACCCATGACTGCTCTTTGCCCCTCGGGACGAAGGGAAGGTGGAGAGGGCAATTCGAAACGACGTCCAAAAACCTGCCAGTGCCCGTCCCAACTGCCAACCCCTCTGCAGTAGTGGCTTTTCTGAATCAAGCCCACCCTATACTTGACGCAAAGGGCTTTCGCTCAGTCTCAACCACTCGACGGCTCTGGATATACTTCCCACCAGTAAGGCTCTTCAATTAACGACTACAATTAAGAGACAAGTCTCAAATCGAAACCTTATATCGCATATTCCCGCGCTAGCTAATTGCAGCTTTTTTGCCCCAAATATTATCTTGGTATTGTATTTTTGCATCCATTGCAAAGGGGGAAAAAAAAAAAGGGAAAAATCGGATTCCAGAATAGTGCGGCGATACGAAATACATTATACGGACCTAATCCAGGACTTATTGCACATACATACACACACAGAGAGATCAAACAGACACACAGACACACACCGACGATGCAGACTTTTGTTACGTACCCAATCAATGGTGTAGAGTGACAGTTGAAAGTGGAACATATCCCTGGGACTTGTTGGCACAAATCTGCACGAGACTGAGACCCATGATGAAGTCAAGTCGACTCTTATGCTGCACGAACAGGGCATCTTGCAAGTTTTTCATGCTTTAAACTCTGGTGATTACTGAAATATAATGCGAGGTCCAATATCAACCTGCATATTGTCAACGTTCTAGTCGGGTCGATTCCTGCGACCTGGCCAAACTAGATTGAAGAATTGATCGAATGCACACGGGGTTTGGGTGTTCGGAGCGCGGGAAAAAAGCAAGAAGGGAAAGTCGAATTACAGAGTATCAATAGTCTGTATTAATGTTATTTTTGCTTTTTCGTTTAAAGCTTCCCACCCTAAGCTCTGGTTCCTTCCCATGTCTGACATTCGGAACAAGAGAGAAGCTCTACTCTGGATGTAGTAAACCCGTCTGCATTGTTCTTTCTTCCATCCCAAGCATTTGTATTTGTACATGTACAATTGTACTTACAATAGTGGTAGTTTAGGCTGGAGAAAGGAGTAAGAACTTGGGGATTCGGTTGTTTCGAAGGAGCCCGACGGTTGGCCCAGCTCCGATCCATCGGCTAACGAAAGTTTTCCCAAACTCGACTCGACATCCTTCTCCTCGCCATAACTTCCACTTTTCCCTATCACAAGGAAGTCAAAAAAAAAAAAAAAAAAAAAACCCTTCCACGGTGGCCGTTCTCCTCCTGCACATTAAGCACTAAACTACTGCACTCTGCGCTCTGCGCTCTGCAAGTCGACATATTTCTCACAATTCCACCGCGCACGAACATCCAGCCCAGAAGTTCCCAACAGGAAGAAGAATTAAAACAAAAAACTTAAATTCTATTATTCCAAATTATAATAACGGTCAATATGCCTTCCGGATCTGAGGAAGACGATATCAACTTTGGACAGGTACTTAGGCGAACTCCTCCCTTTCGATAACAGCTATTTCTCGCTAATCTCCAGCTGATTCGTCTAGACCTATCAAGATCTTGTCAGGTGAATTCTCCACCCCACCAACTGTCTGAAACATTTTTTGGCTTCTGCATATTATGATGTCTTTGATTTCTTATGCCATTTGCATATGGGAATGTAGCCGCGGGGTTACTCCGTGGCATCCGATTCTCTTTTTCTCTCTTCCTCTCGCCTTTTTTTTATTGTTTTTGTTTTTTTTTTTTTCTCGATCCTCTTTGCAAGATCCCGTACCCCACTTCCGGTTTTCTGCTTCCTGTTCGTTCGCTCATTATTCAGCCTGCAGAAAATATCTTTCACGATGGCTGAAAAATAAGGTCATGGACACGTAATGTTTTCTCTGAGAATTGACTAACGCGCAAACCTTTACCCCCTCTGATACCGATGTCCATATCAGAGCGGAACAAACAGCAAGTGAACTTGAGGCCCGCTTAGACAACCTCGACGATCAGCTCGAAGCTTTGATACGAGCCAGCAACTTACCTCCAGAGCTATTTTCTATGGATGAAGAAACCTTGAAGGAAACCCTTGAAGCGGCAAGTGCAAAGAAAGAGAAGCAGGAGGAAGCAGTGCAGAGTTCTAACAACATCAAGAAGGATGGTACCATGAGCCAGGCGAATGGGACGGAAGGGCGGCAAGATAGTTAGACACCAACAGAAATTTTGATATCGATATATTTCTCTCCTTCTTTGTTTCTTTCTTTCTTACTTTCTTTGAATGCCCCGAACCTGCATCCCGAATTAGCCAAACTAGTTAGTTAGACTATTCGGCCAGTCTCAAACCGAACTGGGTGCTGCAACGCTGAGACAAAATCGTGTATAATTACCGCATGGGCAGTAGTCCGCGGATACTAACCATAGATCCATTTATACCAAGTGACAAAGGGAACTGAGACACAGGTCTTAGGTTATCGTGTATCCACAATCCACCCCCAAAAAATACTTCAAATCTACGGAAATCCCAAAGAACAGGTGTTGCAGACGTCGTTGAATGTTGAAACACCCTATGCCCCATTGGTGGGTTTGCATCCCGACAGCCGCGAGTTTTACTGGAAGATCCGGGCAACTGCATGCTGGCGATCAAATCAAATTCGAAGGAGGAAGACTTCTGAGTTAATCTTCGTCAAGGTTCCTGTCTAATATCGTTCTTTCGGGTGTGAACAGGCTATATCAGACCTATATCACAAAGATTACCGAAGAGGCTCTGGGTTGTCAATGCCCTGGGCGCACTTTTGGAATCCTATCTTTTTGGCTGAAAAGCGACTGCTAGACTTTCCTCAACCAAATATCACCTTACGCTTCGTGGCTAGCTACGTGGCTATCACCGTTGGAGACTCAATAACATTTATTAATGCATTGCATATTATCGTCAGTGGTCCGATCTTGTGGCCGTAGCGCCCCCTCGGAATCTCCCGCTTCTAGTTCCTATTTAACTAGTAGTCACGTTATTTTTGAACGCCGTTACTGTTCGAGCTCTTCATATCCATATCTAAACAAGGAAGGTAAAGGAAGGCATTTTCAAACTTTCACATTGCTGTAGCCATGTCGGTACATGAAGTCGGTATACCGAATACGCCACGCAAGCTACCCGAGCCAATCAAATCATCTTTAAACCTGGAGCACAATCGGCAACCTGGAAAAACGATCAATCTGTTCCTTCCCACGGAGCTCAAAAAATGCACGGTCCCTATGCTGTTGCGTGCACAATCGGTGTCTTCTCGCTTGCAGTCGGCACATTCTCGTTGGACCCGAGGAGTCGTTTCCTATATCGCCAATAATTCTTTCGTACGGGGTCATACTTTGCAGCAAGGAGCACCAGGGCCTAGAATTTTTGGTTAGCAAGGCGGTGATCCAAAATAGGGAACTTGATAAGCAACAAGTGGCTTTTTTTTTTGGCCCGTCCTTATCTCCGAAGCCTAATAGGTAGCGAATCTGGATCATACCTGTTCAGCTTTTCCGAGGTTTCCGGTTTCGTCGTATATTTCGGATAGTATGTCGAGGGCGTGGGATGACTTAATTTCGTCCTCCGAATCGATCGGTGCGAATTGTTCGCAGAAATCCTTCAACGAAGCCAGACCGATATTGCCTTTCCGTAGAACTCTGAATGTGTAAACGAAAGGAGATTAATACCCGTTCCCCGTTCGTCGAACTCGTAGACTCGGTAGATCCTAAAGATAGATCCCACCAAATTGCGATGCATAACTTACGCCTTTAAATAGTTCCAAGGACTTGGATTCTGTGGCGCGCTTGATATCGCCACTTTTGCGAGTTCGATTTCTCGATTTATCACTCCGTCCGCTGGACTGTCGGTTCCAAGCCTCCCAAGCGTGATGAAGTACCTATGATTCCAGGCACTATTGTTTCTCACATCCTCCTTCAACAGCAGCTCCATCGTATCCAGTTCTTCCTTGTCGAACAGATTGAACCTCTTAACCAGCCATTGCCTATAAGTCCAAACATGATAGTTCTTTGAATCCGAGGCAAACATCTCATTTGTCCTTTCCCTCTCGCCAGTGGCGTCGTTCAGATGGTTGATGATTAGCTGCCTGTGATGCCATATCTGATAATTCTTCTCGTATTGCTTAGCAATAGATTGTACCCAATCCAGCTCTTTCCTCCAACTCCAACTCGTCTCCTCATCATTAAAACCATTTGAAGCTTCAAGCGCCATAAGGGTCTTGAATCGGTACCCCCATACAGTGTAGTGAGCGGCGTTCATGCCAATGATGTCGGCTGTTAGTTTTAGAACCTGGGCCGAATGGTAGTTAATAGCCATTACACCGCGTAGGTATGACATCGCGACGACGTAGTCTGGATGATACGCGATCTGGGCGAGGGGGTTCTCGCCGTCGTCTTGTGGGAGTGGGGTTATATGTGCCCATGCCGGATCTGTAGCATAGTCCACCTCATCATCGCTATCGTAAGAAGCCATGTCTAAGGTTATAAGCTACTAGAAGAGAAACTGCAGTTGGAGTGAAAGCTAGATCACGCAGTTATCAGGAGTTTAAGGATGTGGTATATTGTATCAATCCGTGTTGACTAAGCTAGCTGTGGTGGTGATCTGTGGTTGAAGTGGGACGAAGAATCATCGCCACAACGTACGCGAGGTTGACGACCAGGCAACACAAAGTTGGTTTACCAGCTTCCCTCGAGTATAACTCTACATGTCTGCATCTACTTCCATCGATATCTATACGTTTACTCTTCCTCTTACGTACACTTCATGACTAACCTCAGTCCTCTCATGAAGGCCCATCTGCCAGGTACGTACCAGAATATGGTCTTTGCTCGCTCCTCCAGCCATTCAGGTTCATTGCTGACCCGTTTGCGTCCTTGAGGCAATTAAGTTTGCTCTGCCGAGGCAAGGGAATGACGCCGCTAGCTGCAATTACCCAGGCCAGAATGCTTGGAGGAGCTCTCAGGCACCAGGCTAGCCTTTCTAGGCGGAACAAACTCGCACTTCGGAACATTCGCAAAGTTACATACCCCTCACGCCATTTTCTGTATGTCTTCGCGCCCGGATCATAAAAGCACTTCCTCGAAGTCGCCAGGAGAAATATGGCCTTGAAGCGATCGCGATGAATCTATGAACATGATAGAGTACCGAAGAAGAGCGTGAATTCAAGATACTATGCGCCTATGCTTGAATTGGCGACGTCGGTGAAATCCATGGATATATCGAGTCAGTCAGGAGATAGGCACAGTCAATGAATCGACAATTGAAGCTACTATGGCTATGCAACCTTGGGTACCCACTCAAGCCCTTAAGATAACCAGCCATAGGACAGATATTGTTATTCCAAATTCACTCCCACCCTCCGATTGAGTGGCATGTAACTGAGCATGTTTTCTAGAAGTTACTAATAGCTGTGCCAAATTGAAGGGTGTCGGCGGTCGACTCGTTATCTTGCACCCTCCGCTTCGGACAGCCCCCATATTATATAAAGGGCAACCTGGTTCCCGTTCCATGGTCCCTCTACTTCTTCGTCTAAACTCCATCTTCACCGTTATCTGATAAAGAGTATTGAAGCTGCTAGAGCAATCCTTATCGTCATATCTATAAAGGCTTATCTTTTCAACCTGAAGATGATTCAATACTACCCTGCTGAGATATGGCTCTCGGTGTATGATTTGCTCCCGAAGAGAGACTTGAAAAGCTTTTCGCGATGCTCCAAATACCATCGAAAGCTTGCTTTACCTCTGCTTCTTCGGCAGATCACGCTTTCGAGGTCCTCGATTGCGGCATTTGAGACTGGAAATCTGAAGAACTATAGGAAGGCTGTTCGGTAAATACCTAACCCAAGACCCACACCCAACAACTAGCACGCAATGGGCCGCCTGGCTAGCAAATAGCTGGTAGTCGTCAATTCAACTCCTTAGTTGGATATAAACGAATAACGAAATGAATGTGAAGTGCTTACAATATACCTGCGGATGTAGTCAGATAAACTTCAAGTCCCAAGATCTCTGGGAGCTCAATGCCTTCGAAGCCATAAACCTCCTCCGGATTTGGACAAACGGCCTTCGATTGTTCCCCCACGTCGAACAACTCGGACTGTGGTATTCAACCACCTACGAATTTCGGTTCATCCTCCCGCTAGCCGTCCTTCATAGAATCTCAAAATATGAGTTCTACCCCCGGCTCCGGCTGCTATCTATTGATAACAACCAAATCCATTCCCATGAATTTGGAACCATCAAACGGTTCATGTACAAACAAGACATTGAGGCTGCGATCGCTTTATCACCCGAAAATAGAGAATTTCTAGCGCCGGCTTGTAACCCGGGTCTATACCATGAAAACGCAATCCCCTATCCCCCCAGAGTCCAGAGTCTATACATAACCGACTCGGATGGTGGCTCTTTCGACCTCTCAAGGGAGATCAATCCCCTCCCGACCCTGTTATTTTCCCGCATGGCCGCTTTGGGTGGTACTTTAAAATATCTTTTCATCTCTACCGGAGCACTCCTCCATAACGGTAGACTACCTTCTCCAATTTTCCCATCTGTTGAGGAACTCTGGATACGCTTCTATGGACCGGTGGGCGTGCCCATAGAGGTCTACGATGAGATTGCCCTCCGCTTCCCAAGCCTTTCACACCTACGAATAGACGATTTCACATGCGATGGGTATGATGTCATTGACGTGATAGATATTTATATATGCCTATCTCGTATCCAGAACCTTCGGAAGGCATTGATACCTTGGCCACGTTGGGCATATAATATGGACCTACCAGGTGACGAACTTGTAGAACACCTGGTGGCCGCTGAAGGGTTTGGGAAAATTGACTACATTGATTTTAGAAGTTTGAATTGCTTTTCCGAGGAAGGGTTGGATGGGAATAGACAGCCTAGGATGTGTAGGGTTAGTAGGAAGGAAAGGAGATTCTGGGAAAGGTATTATATGCCTGGGCACTATGTGGCCTTTGACGATGAATATTGAGACGAGCGCCGGGTTTTCTTTGCAATTTTCATGTTGTTCGCTAGTACAGAATTCGGTTGCGAATTCTATGATCGATTCTATGAGGTCCTCATGTTCTATGTGATTGGTTTCAATCAGTGTGTATGAAGTCGGTACGGCTCTGTTGTTGATAGCTTTCTTGGCTGCAGCATTACAAACGTTTTAGCAATTGAGCAATTGAAGTCACTTGAAAGTAAAATATGATACACATGGACTTGAAGTCTAAACTGGCTAGGCCTGGTGTATATCTACTATGTATGCATGTAATATGTTTGGACTATAATAAGCCATACATATTCAATATGTCGTGAGAGTCTGAAGGATATGATCCAATGAATCAAAGACGGTGTTCAAATTTGTCGCACAGCATTCATATCAGATCGACAACCGCTGCACTCCTCCAATGTTTTTCCACGCATCAACATGCATACAACCAAAAAGTAATACATCTTAACATCTTCCCTTTAGCTTTTCTTATTTTTTTGAGTTCACCCGCAAAAGCCAACCCCCAAAAAGTCCGTTCAGGTAGATTTTCAGTCCAGCACGCCAATTTACCCAAAAAGAACAACTTGGGGTGCAAAAAAATAATAACCAGTTGCTCCCATACGGATTTGAACCGTAGACCTCGACATTACTAGTGTCGCGCTCTACCAACTGAGCTATAGGAGCTTCTTGGAGTCGTGATGGTTCCCCGAGGCCGTCAGGAACCTGGCCGATGCATACCTACATACCGTACATACGAGTGCCAAATGCGCATTTTCCATATCAACGTGGAAGTTTGTGAGCGGTCGTGTTACCACACATACTCGAGCCGAAAAAGTTGACCGGATAGCCGCCGAGTTTTGACCCCAGGCTCTCAAACCCAAAAAAGTTTAACAAGAATTGCATTCCTCGCGATGTCGCTGGAAAGGATCTTTGCATATTGTCTGCAGGAATCGGAGCAGGAATGTTGATCAGCTGCAGGATATCGATTTTCTTTCTTTTTTCTTTGCACCCTGCAGCGCGGCAAAGGCAATTTCTGCCGAGAATTCGATTTGGATGAATCCGATGGTATCGGCTTGTTTTCAAAATACGTTCTTGAGTACTTTGGTACCTACCAAATTCTCCATATGCAAGGTAGCTAGCAATGCTTCTGGCAAGCATATCGAAATTGCGACCGTGAATGCTAAATATACATACTGCACATTCGAAGTCCATACTTTACTGGTGTACCCCCAAAAGTTAGAATACTACCGTCGATCCAATTGCAAATATTAATCTTGATCGAAGCTCGAGCTAGTACGTTTTTGAAGGCGTATATGCATAAGAACTCCCTAAGGCAGAGGTGAGCGTTCCCAGACTAAAGAACTCCACGTAACATGCGTATTTTCCATCTTGTTCAGCTCTTCAGATCTCAGGACCCTACCCATTCGTTTCTAATTGGCTAATCGACCGAGATTCGCGCGGCCCCGGCTCGGATCCGCCACGTCCTCGCGAATCTACAAATCGCAAGTAAGGGAGCAGGGAGGGGAAAAAAAAAAATCGTGCTGGCTGGGAAAGGGTTGCGGCACCTGCCTAATTTTTGCTCATGATATAATTTCTGTGCTTAGCTGGGTATACAGCTGGCTGGATCTAGCTGAAGTATAACCTCACGGGGTGTTTCTGTCCAATGAGAACTTTGGATAGCTGCGTCTTGAGCAAGCACGAATGGCCACCCCTGGGATCTGGTCGTGACCGTGTATAACCTTGCAGAATCTAGCTTTGAATCCGCGAATTCGGGAATCGGACTCGCGAGGCTGCGGGGCGGGGCGGGGCGGGCGGGGCTGGGCGGGGGAGGAAAGAAGATTGATTTCACATAAAAGGCCATTGCATGCCGGAGTGATTTTGTTCATATTCGGTATCGATTGAATGGTTGAATATAACTGTACAATTGTGTATTTCCCAAATTTTAAATCGAAGTTATTTTTCAGAAACGATCCAAACCTTTAGACTTAAAACCGGGAACAATTGCGCCGGAAGATATATACTCACATCTAGCTACATCCCAAGATTGAATCCGGTGAAAGAATTGATTGACACAATGGATACTGGATACTCATTAAAACAAGTCCTCGCGGTAGCCAACGTGCACCCGCTCTATAACCGGGAAATTAAATACCCACCGACCCAGGACGAGGTAATTGAAATCGCCAACAGCATTGACAAAAATGATACCGAAGGCGTTAACCTGAGCGCGATGCCATTGGCTACGAAAGACACATTGTAAGTCGACATACCACCTTTTCATTAAGCAAAGTGCGTACACAGTCAAGAAACCCGTCATACTAAAGATTATTTTTACTAGATATCCCACCATCAACCGTCTATGGGCCGACACCAGCCCTGAAAACCCTTACCGCAAATCGGCATATATTGGTATCACCGGCGGTGGCTCTGGTGGAAAACCTATGCTATTCGCCACGGATGTCCTTGAAAACAGAAGGCACCGAGCCGCTGCTGCGGCCTTGATCAGGACTTGTGGAGCGATCGTCCCCGGTGATGTTGTGTTCTCTGTCCATGCTTCTGGGAATTTGTATCGGTAGGAAAGCCCTATAGTAGATCCCAAACTATACATTTCTACACCTTTTGAACTCGACTCAGCAACTAACATCTTAATTACAACAGAGCCTTGGACCTTATGACCGAACTATTTGAAATGGCTGGCGGTGCAGTCTTCTGTGGCGGTTTAACCATGCAAGGAGAAATAGCCATAGAACACGTGATCGGCTTCAAGGCGAACGTATTCGCAGGCGACGGCAGTCAGGTTCTCGCCTTCGCAAACCTCGTGGCATCTCTACCAGCTGAACGACGGGCTCAAGTCCAAGTCAACAAAGTAGTCTATACATCCGACGCTCTCAGTCAGGATCAAAGAAAAATCGTTTCTTCGGTCCTGGGGGCAAAGATCTACTCAGTCAACGGCAGTTGCGAAGCGGGCGCATGGTCTGTTGCGAATTTTTCAATAACTGGAGAACCAGATGAAGACGGTGTGGATTTTATATATGATTCCAGAATGATGGTGGTTGAAATATTGCCGTCTGACTTACTTGATGAATCTGGTGCTGGAAGAGAGATCCACCCTGTACCCGACGGGGAGAAGGGTATTCTAGTCCAAACCTCGCTTTCGAGGTTAAGAAACCCATTGGTCCGATATGTCACCGGTGACATGGCGAGTGTTAGACCTTTCCCCGCTACGGATGAAATTCCACCCGAAGTCGCACAGCACCTTCGAGTCATAAGGCTCTATGGTCGAGATCGTCGATTTAGCTTCAAATTCTTTGGAGAGTATTTTGAATTCCACAGGGTCAAGGCATATATACAAGGACAAAAGGGGTGGGGGATCTTACAATATCAAATATTATTAGAAAACTTACCGGAAACGGAGACGCTCATTCTGACAATTCGTCTTTACCGTTCGGATCCAAATGCAGTTCAACCTGGCGGTGATGCTTTGGTCTCGAATGAAGAAATCATTAAGGGGTTGAAGAAACTATTTGTTGTTTATGAGGAGAATGGAAATGAAGATGACTTCAAGGTCGAGTTTGTGAAGGATTTGGATGGATTCGAGAGGAGTAAGACCGGAAATAAGGTTATGAACTTTGTTGATCGAAGCAAGCATTGAGGGACATGTAATAGCTAAGTAGCTATAGCCTGAAAACATAGCGAGCGCTTCGAATACCAATAGCTTCATTAGTTTAGGCCACATGTGCACGCACCCCCCAAATGTGGCATCAATGCATTCATCTTAATATATATATACATGTATATATACGTATAACGTAGCTAAGACAAGGAGATGTCGCATTTTCCCCGGTCGAGTCTGTCTCTAGAGGTTTATAAATTTAAGCTATCACAGTGTTCTCTTGTTATACCATACGTAGATAGTACCAAGTTCTTAGTTAGTCAATCATTGCTGTCTACTATAGACCACCTAGATGTCTACATTCTTGTACAGCAATTCATTAGTATGATTAAATATATAATTCATCGCTACATTGATTAATTAGTAAAGCTATAAGCCAACCTTGCGAGCTTTGGGCGCCATGGGCTCGATTGACTAAATATATGCTTCGTCGTGTCAGATCTTGGGGGCGAGGCCGGTACAGTCAGATCGTAAGTTCAGCCGCATATGTGTATATATATATCTAAGTGTGTCTATAATTGTAGCAGTACGTATACATAGACTATAAAATCTCCAAAATATAGGTAGAATACTCGCAAGGAACGCAATTAACCCGGAACCAGTTACCATGGATGGCTTATCAAGATCTCAGCCTCACTACAAACTAGAAATCGCGAATGCTTATCTTCTCCATGAGTATCTAGCGCTTACACACCACCACTAAAATGTTTAGTTGTCTAATATTTGAGGAGCTAGCTGCGGAATGCTGACAATTAAGTTGAGATCAGTATCGATATGTATACATGTATCTATTGGACTAGGTTACGTTGTTGCAACTGGCGCTATGATATCGATTTTGATATGTCGGGACGCATTAATGATGGGCACTTCGCGAGGCACAAATTGTCGACAATGGAGATTCATGTATACAAGTATACCTACAGATCTGCAGAGAAGTTTCAGACTACTGTACGGTAGTCTCAAAGTCCTAGGGAGCCTTAGCTGTTGTCAACTACGTCACCTATATATGTTGATTGTGAATCTATAAATTCCAATTGTGTATGGTCTCGTACCCGGTTGTGTACTACTTCCAGGTCTGAGTACGAGACAATATTATCTTGCGAAAACTAGTTTCTTGTTAGTGTTTGATATTTAAATGGGCCATGCATGGGTCTAGCTAGAAAATACCAAATACAATTCTAGATCTAAGTCGGACAGTTGAGGATGAATTCTGACTCGACGATCGATTAGACAATTTAAACACTGCTTCGATCGATGCTACATACTAATATACTAGAGAGAAACGGGGGAAAATGGGTTGCTTCGATCGGGGCGGGTGCTACACTATTTGGATGACTGTAGACGGGTATGCCCGTATATGTTTCACGAATTACAGTTTACAATATAACTAGGTGACACTTTAAATCTGATACATACATTCCATCTAGCTTCAGATACTAGTATACGGTATCAATTTATTCCCGTTATCCGTGATAACAATAACGTTATGGTAAACATTTGCCTTGAAACATTGATTAATCAAGATTGTAAAGTTCGCATCCGGGATGGTTTCGACCAACCCATGTTTTGATTTTGATAATGTCATCCAGATCTTGATATCGATAATCATGATATCATCACATCAATTGATCAATTGGCTCTATCATTGTGTTTAGCTGCAAGCTAGTTATTTCGGTTTAATTAATTGTATGTACGTATAACTATGATAAGTGAGTAATTAAGATCGACGTTTCTGAGGCCTGCAGATTAGTCTCGGGAATAGCCGCGAGCTAAACGTGAAAGCCGAACTACTTAACTAGTTCAGTGTATTGAATGCATGTTCGTTAATTGACTTCGAAGCCTCTATCAATTCTAAGATCAACCTTGAGCCCGATGGCACAAGATTTTTTCCAATATATCTTAGTGTGAAGCTATGATAGTTTTATACTGGATACGAGACTAAGTTTATGCAAATGTACTCTAGATACCTGCAACCCGACTGACTATGATGATCTAGATATATATATATGTTGCACAATATTCGACATAGAATTTATATTTGATCTACAAAATAATATTATAATGATGACGGGGACTTAATAAAACTTCTGTGTGATTTGGTAACTCCTAACAAGCGGCTACTTTTCAACGGGTCACCTTCAATCCTTCATGCATGCACATGTGGAGCTGGCGGGTAGCTTCCGAAGTTAGAACGTTGGAATTTAAAGCCGAGGTACCTGAGTTGACGTCGTTTTATGCAACATGACGACGACGGAACGGTAAACAAACTTAACTTAGTAGTTTAACCCAACATCTTTTTTTCTTCACCTCTTCCCAATATCAAAATGTAGGTCACTTCATTCATAAAATTTCTTCTTCTTCAACCACAAAGAAGAAATAAATCTAAAGAATTTATGTTTTATAAACCGTCTACTAACCATAATCATAATACCCCGCATTTAGCTTTCCCCCACTTACAATACTACCGTGCGTGTGCACCCCGGCTTCTAACAAGGCGACGACGGCGACGACGAAGGGAGGCGATAAGAAATAGATCGAAAAGACTAGGAGAGGTTTGAAAAAAAAAAAAAAGTAAAACCCTTACGGAATGACCCGTCACACCGGTTTACAGCGCGAAGTCCTATCCCTCTACCGCTCCTGCCTTCGAGCCGTATACCACAAACCCATCGATAGCCGAACACATTTCAAATCGTTTGTGACACAGGAATTTCGAAAGTATGCGACGGAAGTGGATAGGAAGGACTTTGATACCGTGGAGTTTCTACTAAGGAAAGGGAAAAGACAATTGGACGTTTATGGAGATCCGAATATTAAGCGGATGACGACAGCGACGGGATAAGAAAAAGACGGATCCTGGTACTGAGGGGTTGATTATACTTACTGGATGGGTTTGGACGTTTATGTTTTGAAATACATGACGTATGTATATGTGGATTCTGGGCGATATACATACACATGGATGGAATACGTGGCTTGGGGTTTTGTCGGTCGTGGTAGTACTGAGGCGGCTTCTGCCACGAGGGATTTGGGGGGAATAATAATGCGCAATCCAGCCTCACCGTGGTAACTACCAGCCACGCGAGAGATCGATTGAAGCCATGAGATTGAAATATGGGGAAGGTTAAGATAACGATATAATCGCACGCAAATCACGGGCGTGGTATTTTTTTTTTTTTTTTTTTTTTTTTTTTTTGTTGAAACAATTATCGATATTTGGGGCTCGAGAGGGCGTTACGGATTTCTGTCTCTCTCTTTCTCTCTCCATGTCTCAAGCCAAAAGCTTGCATAAGAAAAAAGTAGCTCTTTCCCCCCTCTCTCCTTTTACCCGCCCCTCACATCTACTAATAGTTCACGAAGTACCCTTTACCCTTTTGCTCCCTCTTTAAAGCTTTTACTGTTTGTATATTTATTTCCTAAAAAGGCAATATTCTAGAACGACATGAAGAGTTCCGGAGGGAAAGGAGAGGAGGAAGGTTGGACAAAAAAAAAAGAATGAGAGTGGAGGAGGAAAGCCTCCGGTTGGAAGAAAGCCTCTATTTTGGTGGAAATTTGATAACAATTTCGCGTCTGCGGGACCTTTTTTTTTCCACTTCCTTTCCGGCGCTATCAGGTTCAGGCATGGGGGGCGACCGTGGGAAAACTGAACGACAGATTCAGCTAAGCGGTTGCAACATCGGTGGGGCGTTAATAACCCGATTTCTGCAAGAGAATGCGATTATCACCAAATTTTAATAAGAGATGGGTTTGCGGTACACCTTTGATCGATCTCAATAAACATGAGGTATCGAAAACCGCCCCCCTGACATACGGAATAATCATAATTGGCCCTTGCGAGTAATTTTTGTGTCGAAATGCTGCAAACAGAGAGTCTACGAATGGCGTAGAGGGTTATAGACCACGTGTTTTTATGTTTAACAGATTGGAATTGTCAAAAGAGTACAGCATTCTTCTTCTAAAGGGTAGGACGGGAACACAAAAACCAAGAAGACGGCCTGGGAAGCTTAGGCCCTGCTTCTTAAAATAAAGATCGGCCCACCCCTGACTGTCTATAAAATTTGAGCTTACAAAGCTTGGCCGGGTAAGGCACAGGGATGTAGCTGAAGAAAGGATGTGGCGACAACTGACAGTATTTCACAAGAGCAGCTGAGAAGGAAAAAAAAAAGATGGCTGTCGACATCGGCAGTGTCAGAAAGGTTCACATGAACAAACGGAGGTAACCATACCCCCGTACCAAAAGCTGGTTCCGATTGTGTAATCATCGTGACTTCGCACCCTGATGATCACACCCAAGAGGAAAAAAAAGTTTGTCTTCTGGATTCACTGTCACACATTGAGAGCTTGGTAGCGGGTCTGTAGAAGCGGGTCCTGTGGATTCCCGCCAGTGGGGTCTTCTGGCCGAGGCTTGGCCTATCGCAGTTTGGTGTGCAAAAATTCAACATCACGAACTTTTCACACAGACGTTGAGTTTTTTTTCGGCCTCACTAATCAAGAATTGGGCTTGTGGCGTCCGTTGGTTTACGGAAATCGGATGCAGGGGTAAAATACTGGAATTGATGCAATAGAGCGCCGGCTCAGCTGGACCGAGCGACGAAATTCCGTCGTTGACCGTGGGATTTTCTTTCTTTCTTTCCCATCGATTGCTCGATCACGGAGTTAATTGATATTTTGAGGAAAGCTTCCAAAAATGCCAATTGTGTGATGGATTTGTTTAATATTTTTTCGTCGGTGGGGACCACACCGACTTGACAGCTATGAACTAGATGATGTCGATGTTTGTTGCTAGTACAAGACCGATTCTGGAAAACTGAGCGAGACTTTTCATGGGATATATTCCTTTTTCTCTCCGTCCTGTTGTAAATTTCGCCTCCAGAACAAAAGCTCCTGCGCTTCCCGTCGCCTCCTGGTTGAAAGCAGAAAGTGACATGGTTTATGGGATTGGAGCAAGTTTAGCAAGTTTTCACCAGGGCAGAGGGAGAAAAAAAAAAACCTTCGGGCAAGCAATCACAAGCAGGCAAACAAGTACTCCGTAGGTACTGTAGACTGGACCATCCATACACAGCACTATGGATGTAGTAGTATAGGCAGTAGGCGGTGGTTAGTGGCGGGTTAGAGGCCCAACAAGGCATTATTATGGCTATTAGGTGAATGAATTTGACCATGAGGTCCCGATATCTTTCTCATTTCTCTTCTTTCTTTTCCCCTCACAACCAGCTCTCGCCGCCTCAGCCCAGCGCCCACTCGTTCAGCGTCAGCGTCGTCCTCTTTTTTCTTGTCGTTCACACTCGTTCTATATCCGTAGCTATTCCTTCGCCCAGCCCTGTACAGTACAGACACCATTCGTCGCTTGATCAGATCGGACCATTCGCTTTTTAGAAGCTGTGTCGTCGTCTTTCCCTTTTTTGACCGATCGTAGTTTGGTAAAAGACTTTTTTTTCGTTCTTTCTTTCTTTGGTTCTGTACCTGAACTTGTTCCTTGGGTTTGGTATCTCATTTGACGGGAACTTTCTTATTCTATTTTATTTTTCTTCTTCTTCTTCTTCCTCTTCCTTTCTTTTAATTTTTTTTTGTTTTGAGGCACAACCTCCTTCTTCTTGATCGTGTTACTTTTTATAGCCATCGGACAATCTCGGCAGCGTCTTGAACCGCCAGTGCAGAAGCTAGTTCGGAGTCGTTGGTTATTAATTGTTCATTGGGTTATTGGCGAGGGCACTTACCGAACCGACAGCCTCGTAAACAAAAACAGTCAACGTTGCGTCCACACCAGAGAAGAGTGGAGTGGAGTGAAGAGCAGCGAAGAGCAGAGCAGCGTCGACGGACTGGACAAAAGAAGACACAAAAAGGGACTCCGCGATCGACAGTCACCCCGGTGATAGACCGTCTACCCAACGTCGTTCCGTCACATTGCCAACACGCCACACAACACAGTCGGACTCCACGCTCTTCTGTCAACCACGATATATATCGATATCGATTGTCTTTTTTATTCTTTATACAACCGATTACATATTCGTATTGATATTCACATCATATCACATCAGTCGAGCTCTGGTAGGTCAATTACTTTCAATTGCTATTTTGTTTCAATTGGTGATCGTGGTGGTGGTGGTGGGTCTTAAAAGTCTTTCCCCCTGGTCATTTTTATTCCTCCCCCCTTGTGCAGTGCAGTGCAGTGCAGTGCAGTTCGGTGCAGCAAGTAACTACTAGTCGGTTACATACGACCAACCTCCACGTCTTTTCTTTTGATCAGGCCTGTTCCTGGTACCATTCCACCCCCCATTTTCGCATTCACCCAGATTACCTTGGTCTCAATTTCGCAATCCGGCGGCGGGTTCTCGGTACTGATGGCATCCGCGCACGTCGCATCATCGTCATCCCGATCAAATCAAATCAAATCAAACCAAATCAAATCAACACCAATGTCAATACCAATATCAATATCAATATCAATATCAATATCAATATCAATATCAATATCAATATCAATATCAATTAGTCGACACTGCAAAAAATCAATATATATTATACATATATATCTTTCTAGGTTTATACATATACACATCTATATACATATATACATACATAAACATCAAACGTCGTATGTATAGTATTTAGACTTATATGTATATGCAGTGGAGATATAAAAATATATATAAGAATATATATATATATATATATATATATATTTGCAGAGAGATCTATCTAGATTTTGATATTCATTTTGAGACTAGTCTTGCTTTAGATAACATTATTGATTTCATTGGCGATTCTCGCGACACTCCTGGTATTGCAATTGCCCTCCCTCGCCGCAAATGCATTGACTCCTGTCCTGTCAAACACTTGCAGTTCTTTGCATCTTCAACAGCCAGTCGCTTGCTCCCAAAGAAACACGTCTCATTCCCTAGATCTGGCGTTAGTGTCTGCAAAGGGTTTGGTTGTCTTCTGGGCGCCAATAGCGTGCTTGTCACCCAGCCCTGCACCCTAGTTCACTCTCTCCCAAAGCTGTTTTTCTCCTGTTTCTCACCGCTCCGTTCTCCTCCACTTTTCGAGGGAGATTATTTGTGGCTTATATCCGTCCTGGCTTCAAGGAAAACCCAGATCCAGATCAGTCAGCGAGAAGGAAAAGTGCATTGCAGTAACTAAACAGGTGCAGTTGTTCACACTCACTCACTCACTCCCTCACTCACTTTGTCGTTCAGCCCATTGCATTACATTGCATATTACATACACTATCAATAAGTTAGCTCTCTCTTTTTTATTTTTCCTTCTCTTCTTCTTCTTTCCTTCTTTTCTCTCTCTTCTTCTTCCTTCTCACTTGTTCTCTGTCCGTCGTCGGTTGTTTCTGTTGGGTGTTTTATCTACATACCTCTTTGAAGGTCGGTAGAAAAATAGAAGGAAACACAACCCAGGGACAGCCTCGAAACGTTGCTTCTTCTTCTTCTGCTTCTTTTTTTTCCCCCCTTCTGTCTCTCCTTTTGCCTCACCCTAATTTCCATCAGGGACTACTTGCCGTCAAGCGGTCATATTTTGGTGCGTTCGTGCTGTGCAGTTGCAGTTGCAGTTGCAGTTATTACATACAGTTGTTTCGGTCCCTTTTTTCGATTCGATTTGGTGCATATTTTCGCCGCCGTTCAGTTCATCATAATATCCATTCATTCATTCCTCACCTCGCTTTTCACCTCATCTTTATATCACCATCTCCATCAAACCAACGTTCCAACCTCCCTTCTCCCTCTCCCCGTTCTCATCGCTGCCTCCATACCTCAATTTTCCACTGCTTCATTCTGCCAATCTTCTCGCGTCCTTTTTTCCCATCTGTTCGCATCGGAATCCTTCGGAGTCTGTTTAGGGAATACACTAAGCTAACAATGGTCTAATATTCTTTCAGGAGGCGTATTGTGTGCACCTGCCCGTACTCCCAAACCAAACCCAAAACCAATCATCACCAATATTCTGCCTCCGGTCTTTGACATCTTGGAATCGTGCTTCTCACGTTTTATGATTGTCTCCTGTCGCCACTCGCCATTTTCGTCCTTTTTTCTACCCACTCCTTCCATATATATCACGTAGACGTACACCCTATTGCTCGTCAGGCCGGCTTGTTGGGAAAGACATTCGATGTTGCACTCGTTCTGAGTCTTGGGACCATTTTACCTAATACCTTCCCACTCACACTTACACACAGCCATACCCATACCCATACACCCACTCCTGACTCCTCTTGGGACCTAACCGCATCCTTATCCTGGTCTTGGAATCCAAGATACCTCCTAAACTCTTAGAATTCGGAACGAAACGTACGAGCTTCTTTTTTTATTTTATTTTCCTCTCTCAATCCCCAAAAATACACCAACCCCTTTGTCGGTTTCAACGACACATTCTATCACACGTCAAAAATATATATCCCATTTTTCCCAAAGTCAGGGGTAATCACCTCCAACCAACCATATGCCTATCAAACTTCCACGATTCCGTCGCAAGTCCGTTGGTAATTCTCTAGACGCTACCTACCAAGCTGCCGAACCCGAATCTCCAGGTGCTCCTCGTGGTAATAGTCAATTCAGTTTCGACGAGATTGAAAGACCGGCACCTCAGAACCGATCACACTTCCCCCAATATCCCCAGCCGCAATACCAACAGGGATATTCTACACATCTCAAGTACGGAGACTCGACTGGCTCCTCCTCCGCCAGCAGGAGTAACAGCAACAGTGGTGGGAGCAGCGGGACCGGGTATTATGCCTCGGATAGGCAGTCGTCGAGCTCAACTTTGCCCTCGTCTGCCGATATCCCGAGAACTCCTCCCTCTACAGAGGACCACTACCGCACCGGTTACGCCGTCTCCGATAGTATGAGCTTGAAAGACCCTATGGCTTACGGAACAGCTGCGCCTGTTTCTAGGGGAGGATGGCAGAACTCGAAAGCTGGTCCCATGTCGAAGGGACCTTCTTCGGGACCTTTCAAACTAGCAGAGCCTCCAAGGTTGGAAACAGCACTGGATTCGGAGCCGTTATTTGGAGATGATATGTTCAAGTTTACCTCGGACGGAAAGCGAATGTCGGCAATAGGATTGTTAGATGCAGTGGGACCCAAGGCTGCCACTAGCCTTTTCATTCCATCTGTAAGACTCTTGTCTGAATTACAGCATTGGATTTTTATTTATTTATTGTCTTCTTTTTTTGTTTTTTACGGGATTGAATCTAACGTGATCTAATAATAGAAGGACGCGCCAATTGACCCTGTACCACCGGTTCCACCACCAAAGTCAGTGAACTCGGGTACCCCACAAGGTAAGAAGTTTCTCGACTCGAGAATTCACGGTGATGACGAAGACATCTACCCGTCGGCTGTCAGTTCTCGCTATCAGGCACAAGTAGCCCCTTCTTTGCCAAGTCCCAAAATTGGGGATACAAGACTATCACCAGGAGCTAAGAAAGGCCTGTACCCCTGGGAATCTCGGCAAGATACAGAAGAAGATTCTTTAATGTCTGGAGAGAAGTCGCCATCGCCCGGGCCTCCAGCGCCGCCACCAAAGCAGGAGAACTACCAACCGCGTCATAACAGAACCTTGACGCCAGCTTCTACACTCCCATTGAAGGTCGAGTCAATGGATTCGCTGGCTACGCCTCCACAAACTGGAAGGGCGCCGAGAAATGAGGTCAAGGAAGGCGTAAGGAGGGCAATTGGAATGGGGAAGAGGCCAACTACTACAAGCTCGAATGGAAGCCAGGAAGAAGCCAGAACTTCTCCAGCCTCCACAGTAAGGAGAAAAGAATTACCATCTTCTAGGGGTTCGGATACGACCGCAAAGGAGGAAAAGATCAACATACCACCACCCCCTCCCATCCCAACCACGACCGTTACTCTTTCCTCACCTCCCAGGCTCCCACGTGTCAAAACCGCGCCTGTCTCGTTACCCCAAGACAATCTTTTCAGCGATTCGGGATCTCAAAGATCCACGTCGAAATCCCGACCTCAGCCTGCCAGAGCAGAATCCGACGACTTCTTGACAGCTAATCTGATGCGAGATGCCGCTATTGCATCTTCTTTTGAGGCCGGAGAGTCTGATCGTCTAAAACAACCGCGAAAGGTTTTCACAAAGGCTCAGTTTGAGAGGTATAAGGCCCAGCAAGAGGAGGAGAGGCAATACCAGGCACGCAATGGAAAGAAGGACGATGATGATTCGGAAAGTGATTTGTCCGAAGATGACGACGAAATGGAACGGCAGCGAAACCAAGCCAAGCAACGTGCGAAGCAGGATGCCCATTTGTCTGTGTATCGTCAGCAGATGATGAAAATCACCGGATCCCACGGTACCGATACTACGAACCTGCAGACCAACAACCTTGGAATGATGAACAAGGCAGCCTCAAATAGTACTCCTATGCTATCCCTTTCGGCTCCTATGCCTCACTTGAGCATCTCCTCCCCAAGTTCCGCTGGTGATAAGTCTGATGGCGAGGATGAGGAAGTCCCATTGGGAATTCTCATGGCTCATGGCTTCCCCAGCAAGACAACGGGTCGCCCCCCAACTCGCCTCTCCAACTCCAACTCCTCCCCGAACCTTCGCTCGGTTTCTGGAACTACCCAGTTCAACGATAACTCTTCTACAACTAACCTCCCCCCGTTCGCCAGGCATCTACCAGCCGATCCATACTTTGGTGCTGGTTTGGTTAATTCGGCGAATAGGGTTTCAATGGCTCCATCATCTTTGTATGGCGGTAGCCAGCGAGAGTCTCAGTTTATGCCTCCTCCACAACAACCTCGGCCAGGGCGCTACCCAACCGGCTTGATCGGGAACATTGTGCGCGATGAGGAACTTAGAGCCGCTCGTCGGGGTGGAGCTCAAGCTCAGCAAGCTCCATTTTATAACGAGGCGATGATGTCTTCTGCGCCAATCTCATCGCCGCAGCCATCCCCAGGTGGGGATGTTCAATTGCAAATGGCGAGCCAGATGACCCAGATGATGCAGCTCCAGATGCAGTGGATGCAAATGCAGCAGCAGCAGCAGCAAATGATGATGGGGATGCCTGGTTCGATGCCAATGATGCCGCCGGCGTCACCAATGGGTGGGATGGGTATGATGGGAGGTAATGGTCTCATGCCAAATATGATGATGCCGGGACAGAGGGCGATGAGTATGGTAGACACCGGCTCCCTGCCACATTTCCAGCCTGGACCCGGTTTGATGCCCCAGCAGCAACCACCTCAAACACCGGGTTCGAATTTGAGCCCAGGATACGCTGGGTCAGTTTACGGTCATACTCGATCTAGCACGCTGCCAACTTTCATGCAACCAGGGTATACACCATCGATCGCACCGAGTGAGCGGAGTAACATTGGGCAGCCGTCCAGATATCGACCCGTGACTTACCAAACCGGGTCTGGAAACAGCAGTGGAGGTGGTGATAGGACCAGAACCCTGCTCTCCGCGGCACCGCCGTCCGGCTTGAAAACCGCTCTTGCGCCTAAGGACGATAGCGATGACGAAGACGGGTGGGCAGAAATGGCCAACAAGAAGAAGGAGAAGAAGGAGACATGGAGGAAGAAGAAGGAGACTGGCATCCGAAGTGTGCTGAAGCTTGGTGGCAACTAAACGGAGGCATGCTTTGACGTGAGCACGAATCGAACGGACATCCTTACCAACGACTTTCGGGCGGCAACTTTATATATACATACAAATTCATACGACTTTGATGGCTTTGACTCCTTCACGTACACATGGACTCCCTTTTTCTGCGCCTTTTCTGTACATTTTTCGCATTCTCATTTGCCGGGATTCAGACATCAGCCTGAAGCGTCTCCTCACTTACTTTATACCGCAGTATAATTTTTAAAACCACAACCACAACCACCCGCACTGCCACCAATCACAACCAAAATGGGTAAAAAGTTCAGCATATCTTTTTCTTTTGCAAACCACCCGCCGAGACCAGATGATATCTTAATGAGGAGGTCGAGGGAGACGAAGGCAAAGCCATAGGCAGGCTCTCCGAGACTAAGGGAGGGGTAGAAAAGTAGGAATTGTGGAGGGTGACAAATTAATTTTGTAATTTTTATTCCCAGTGTGTGCGGCTTGAAATCTCTATCTAATTTTAGCTTTCTTTACCCTCATTTTTATGTACAATGTTCCCCGGGTGTCATCTAGCATCTCTCCTTAGCTTTTTCATTTTCCGCTACATCTCGTTCATAACATAGCCTTTCTCACACTCACACACCATGGTCTTCTTTCCAAAAAACCTTCCTAGCTCCCATACTAACTGTACGATGCATATTTTCCTTCTTATGTTTTCCTTTTTTGCATTGCGTCTGTTGCTTTTAGCTTGCCTTTTTTTTTTTCCGCAAAGAGGAAGGGAAAGTGAAGGGAAGGAGACATAATTAAAAGAGAAGTATTATTCTCCTTTTCTTCATGTTTTCATTTATTTATTTTTTCATAGCGGGCTTTTTCTTTTCTTTTTCTTTCGTTTCGACTTTTGAAGCATGCATTAGCATTTTTATAAACTCATCTTTATTTTTTCTAAAGATTTTTAATTCATTATCCCTTTCTTCTGACCCGTGCCCTCCCTCTCTCTAAAATCCCTTTCTATTTTGAATTCTTCGCCTTCGTTACGTCTTTTTTTGACGGTTTCGAACCAAATATTCTTCTTTAAACTTTACTTTGCTGCCATTCTTCTTTTTGACACCGCTAGCTTAGCGTATAACCATGCATGGCATGCATTGTCGTGTTTTAAGGGAGTATGGATAGGTAGTCAGTATGGTTATACGTTAGTGAAAGATCTTAAAGGTAGTGGATTGTGTGTCCCCTCTATCAGCTCTTCATCCTTCTATTCTTTTCTCTTCATGCTTCCATAGCGCAAGAAGAAAAACCTTTTGTACGCAATTGGATTTTTTTTTTTATAGGGATTCAGCTATTTAGCCGGAGCAGGTTATTAAGTGGGAGTTTGTGGGATAAGATAATGTGGTTGATGGTGTATATAATATGTCTGATGGTGTTATAGTGTTGCATTGGTAGTCTTTATGGCTTTTGGGCGTATTTTGATGTTCCTGATATCGATATCGATCCACGAGTAGTCTCCCCAAGTATTTACTACTTTATGGGGAATCTAGATGCTTCATGTTAACGTTTAGTCTTTGAGGAAATGAATATAGTTAGAATTATTTTTCACTAAGCCTTTTATAGAAATAACTTTTGAGTAATATATCGTCTCTATAAAAATGCATGCTCAAATACAGACTCGTGATCTTCAAGTATCGTACACTCCTCTCTCTTTCAATATGATGACGATGATAGTACAATCTAACAAAAACCGAGGTGGTTGTATTAAGACTGATCCATAACTGTCACATCCGCCATTCCTTCCCCTCTGTTCACCTGTATCTTCTTATCCTCACCCACACTAACCAACCCAACATCACGACTCCAATCTACTCCAAATACCTTCCCACTACCGCTCTCACGTTTAATCACAAACAGACTACCACCGCTCTTCCCTTCACCGTCATCTCCACCATCTGTAGAAGAAGTAGAAGAAACACTTCTAACATCCCAGATACGTACACTCCCATCATGGCTTCCACTTGCAAAGATGTATTCATTCTCTGGGCTTTTCACAAGACTTACGACACCATTTGTGTGGCCTCGTAGTACGGCTGTTTGTACTGTTCTCGAGGATTCACGTGGGTCGTGGAGGGTTATGTGTCTTGCTGCCGAACCTGCTGCTAGGAGGCTTAGGGTTGGTAAGGTGGTTATTGAGAGAAGTGGATGTTGGGTTGTTCGGGTTGAAACGGGTTGCGAGGTGACTAGATCGTGGGTTATGATTGATTTATCCCATGAGACGGAGTAGGCTGCCGTTGGGTCTGTGGAGTGGATTACTTGGGAGACCGGAGCTGTGTGAGAGGTTAATACCGCCAAAGGACCCTTTTTGATGGTCGAAGGAGGTTTTGTGGTTGTACGTCTGCGTTTTCGGGTGAATGCTGTGGATTGGGGGGCTGTGACTGTTGGTAGTAAGCTGGAGTTTGTGGACCACAGAGCGATTGTGTGGTCTGAAGAGGAGGAGATGAATTGGGAGGTTGAGGGGGAGTAGGAGAGGGATGTTATTGTGGATTTGTGAGAGATGTAGGATGTTGATGGAGAGATTTGAAGGGGGTGGGAGGACAATGGTTCTTGGGATGGAGTATAGGACCAGAGGTTTATCGTGCGATCGAGGCCGGCGGTCAGGAAAGATGCTTCTGAGGATTGGCCGGGGTGGGTGATCCAGGTTGTGGATTTGACGGACTGCGTATGCATTGGCACCGTTCTTGCGAGGACTTCGCCTGACAAAGAGGTTATCTGTGCGGTTCCATTGAAGGATCCTGTAAGGATTGTAGATGACGGGGAAGGAGATGATATATTGACAGAAGATATCCAATCATCTTGTTCGAAGCTACCAATATAGGTTGGTGGTAATTGCGATCTAACGTATTCCACGTCCAATGGCTTTTCGGAGCTTAAGCCGGCTTGGGTGAGGTATTCGTCGATAGAAGTACGAAGGTATTTTCCATCGATAAGGAAGTCGAAAGGGATCGGTTTGGAGGTTTCGAGAAGGTGGTTTACGAGGGTTGAGAGGCCGTAACGTTTGAGGTTTGTGGGGATTCGTAGAGGTTGTAGAGGGATTGAGAGGGTAGTGTCGCGGGTTGAGAGGTTGATTTGGATCTTTGGGAAATTAGAGGAGGAAGGGGGGTCTATATCCATTGCTTCGGCCATTGTGGGCGATTTGATGGTGGTAGCAGTCGATTATTGGTTTTGAGGTTGTTGATGATGAGAGGTTGAGTGAGGTTGAAATTGTCGCGATGGAGTTTTTGATGTTGGAAAATTTCGAGCTGTGCGACAGGTAATATGCGCCACAAATTGAACGACGCCACAGTTTAGAGGACAAGCGAGAACGTGGCTGGGTGGTTCGGGTTTATAATTTATAGCCGAGTGTCTGATCGGTTATAAGATGATATACTGCAGCATAGCTTCTGGTGAATAGCTCTTCAGACCTGCAGCTGGCGTTGGTACCGCGTATCTATCGTCATCGATTGTCTACCATCTCACCACCTGACACTACCGAATCAACCTTACCGACTCTCAATATCGTATACACCACTGAAGTCAGCTATCCGCGTAACTAGTTGGCGATAAGAACCCTTTTTTCGAAGGAGGTTTCTTAACAATATCAGATAGCGCAAATGTTATTAGGGCAGGTCTGCACAGTGGTTCGGAGCTTGGCCGAGGAGGGTATGTACCTTGCAGCCGGGTCCAGCTAGTCTCAGCCCAGAACCATCCCCACGGCCATGGTAAAGATATCAGGACTAGACTGCCACTAAACACCAGCCAGGGCTACATATGTACATACTACGTACTGTGCGCCTGTGTACATATGTAGTATGTATGCACTTTGTAAAAAGCTAAGCTAACACATATTATACATTCTATTAGTAACCAAAGAATGTAACAAGGCTTAAGGACGCCGAAGATCATACCTGAAAAGCCAGTTAGACTCGTCTAGACAGTTCGAATAGATCTGCCATTATGATCTGATGGATGCATTCTCGTCGCTGCAGAGAAATGCTTCTTCAACCAATTGAACATGATGGCTGTTCCGGCGGGTGGACGAAGAGGGACAAACCTGCGTTTGTTGGTAATGCTCGCCAGAACGCACAGCCCAGCCTCGAACCGTCTGTAGCTGACCCAACCCCTCGTCAAACAGACAAAGGAGGGTCGCACGACGTCATGTCCTTTTCCTCCTGCAGGAATAGGGCCGTCATATACTTATCATGAGGGATGTCTATGCAATGGGGTAATGGGGAATTCGGGGCAGACGGTCAGGCGGGCTGCGGTGGGCCGGTGCGATTTTGGTTGAGCTTTAGCCAGCCCCTGTCACTACGAGGTCGAAATGCCTGTCCTGGTCTGTCTGTCGGAGGGAGAGGAACCACTCGCAAACAGTGGCTTCTCCTGGGCTAGTTCTGGTTCTGGACCTGTACATTTCCATACTTTCATATTTCTATCTTTGTCCTTCTCCTTGTTCTGTACCCAATTACCTTGCTCCTATATCATCTACGTCTATATATCTATATCTATTCTCTATTTCTTTAATCAAAAGCTCTCTTTCTTCCCTTTTCAATTTTTTTCATAAAACTTTCTTTTCGCTAGATATCATTATTTTTTCTTTCGCAATTGGCGTGTGGGACAATTATATGTGAGTTATTGCTGTTTCGTCCGGTCTCGTGTATGCGCGTCGACGACAGACGACGAACCTCCCCACATTATCGTCATTTTCTTTGATAACTTCTACTAACCAACAACCAGTGGTCTCGAAATCCAAGATTTCAAAAGAAGATAGCTCGATACTAGATGACCCAGGAGGATTCCTCAATGCCCGTGTCCCACGAAGATTTAAAGATGGCTGTCGACAGAGACTTCCTCGAGGTCTCGTCCTCGCCTTCCAGAAAACGCGCCGAAAGCGAAGTCTCTAGGTACTACGATGCGCAGGAGCCGGCCAACGGCCCCGATTCCGACCTGTTAGATGGTGCCCAGTCTCTTTCACTATCTCAAATCCCGGATACCGAATTTTTACCCGTCAATGGACCCCAGACAGCTGGCGAGAGCTCGAGTTATAGGCCGGGTGCTAGCGTTGGAACTGCAGCTGCGCCGCCAACGCTGCCGTCCCTTCAGCGTCGCGATAGTGGCAGAGGGAGAGCTATGGCAAAAGAGCTTCCTAGGAAATCCTCTTTGTCTATGCCAACTGCCCCCCTGACATTCCAACATCACCATCGCAAGGGCTCATCTGGTTCGATATCTCGAATTTATACCGCCGGAGTTGGTGGTGGTGCTCCTTCCCACGTTCGTCAACCGCTTAGCCAGGGATTTCTTCGAGGATCGGCGCCTCCGGAATCTACTTCTGTCGCATCGGAAACTCTACAAAACTCTATTCCTCCCTTCACTTCCAACGAATCCGCTAGACCCGGGCTGAACGGTCGAACTCGAAGCTTGTCGCGGACAAGAAGTTTATCTTACATGAAGAGAATGGAGCCCGAACTACCCGACTTTATGGTCTCTGCACCTGCAAAGGTGATCATGTACGGCGAGCACGCTGTCGTACATGGCAAGGTATGCCCCTCTAGTCTATCTTAGATAGAAACGAATTGTCGCTAATGAGGAGCTCTGCTTAGGCCGCCATAGCTGCTGCTCTCTCCCTTCGTTCATATCTCCATGTTCACCACCTCCCTCGCGATAATCGTACAGTAACCCTTCATCTCTCTGACATCGACTTAAATCACACCTGGGACATCGAATCCCTACCCTGGGACTTCTTCAATTCTCCTGCTAAAAAGCGAATCCACTTCGACACCGTCACATCCCTCGATCCCGAACTCCTCGAAGCTCTCCAACCTTCCCTGGCTCCCATTGTGAATAAGTACCACTCTGCTGCCACGGCTTTCCTCTATGTCTACCTCTGCCTCGGTTCAAAGCATTCGCCGGCTTCCGTATTCACACTCCGAAGCACGATCCCTATTGGCGCAGGTCTCGGTTCATCAGCCAGTATTACTGTCTGCCTTTCCGCGGCTCTCCACCTCCAATCAGGAATGCTCGTTCGACCTTCCGCCAAGCTTTTTGAGGAAGAATGTGTCCGCCAGTTAAAACGTATCAACGACTGGGCTTTTGTTGGAGAAATGTGTATTCACGGAAACCCATCTGGTGTCGACAATACCGTCGCTACAGGTGGTAAAGCCGTATTATTCCGCCGAGGTGACTACTCGAAACCACCAGAGGTGAAGCGACTAGAGTATTTCCCCGAGTTGCCACTCATGTTGGTTAATACTAACCAACCCCGTCGGACTGCTGAATTGGTTGCTGCGGTACATGGGTTGAGGAATTCGCATCCGACAACATGTGGGTTGATGCTTGACGCTATTGATAACGTGACAGCTGAAGCTATGATGTTGCTTGATAACAAGCATTTCAGGCCGGATGATAGTCACCTTACTAGGCTGGGCGAGTTGGTTAGGATTAACCATGGTTTGTTGGTTAGTCTGGGTGTTAGCCATCCGAAGTTGGAGAGAGTTAGACAAATTGTTGACGGCAGCGGGATTGGTTGGACGAAGCTGACAGGTGCAGGTGGCGGTGGATGTGCGTTTTCGATATTGAAACCGGTTCAGGCGGAAAGCGACGAAGTCAAGAAATTGAAGGTTGAAGAAACATTGAAGGAAGAAGGAATGGTTACCTATGAAGCTACACTTGGTGGTGATGGTGTCGGTGTGCTATGGCCGGCTATGCTCGGTAAACCGGAGGAAAGGTCTTCGATTACCAAAGAAATGTTCTTGGCCGCAGAGGGAAATGATGGTGTCGAAGCCTTGGTCGGGGTCAAGGCCCTCGGGACTGGTAGACTAGCATGGGGATTCTGGAGGGAGTGGCTGCCTGAAGAGGCTTAAATTCCTTCTTTTTCCTTCTCTTCCTTCTTTTTCTTCTTCTTACTTCCGTTTCTTTGGGAGGTTGGATCATATATCGCCAAATACTTTAATAACTACTAACTAACTAGGTAACTTACACTACGAACGCTATGCATTACATTGGATAGGAGCGGATTGAATTTATTCTTTTATTTTGTTTTTCATTCTTTACTTGCTCGCTTGATTGTATGGTTCTGGGATCAGATCAACGGAGTGGGAGAGAGAAAAGTCCCCGATGTCTGTTTTTGAACAGACTCTTGCTTTAGGAACTGTGGAGGATACCGCTCGCTATATGAACCTGTTCTATTTTCGACATGTATTCTCGTCTTTATGATCCTTTTCAATTGGGGTTTTGGTGATATACTATTCATATCCTTTGAAAACTACCTTTCTCTTAGACTACACAGATTTCTTGATCATCAATAGGCATCATCCCCACCCTCCCCACCAGCCGTATAAGTCGTCATCCCCCTCTGTTGATCCCTATAATCCTTTTCCTTATCAACAACCCACCTCTCTTCTACCCCATCAAACTCACCAAAGACCCTCCCCCAATCCAACCATAACTCCTTGGGGGTTGTCCACGCCAATTCCTCATTTCTCAAAAACATTCTAATCAAATGCCTATGCTTTTCCACCGGGATCTCGGGATCGTCGAAGTAAGGACTTCTATTGTGGAGCACCGTGAGATTATTCAGAAATACAAAGGATCCGCGGGATAATGTGTGGGTTATGCTGAATTTTTGACAGAGGGATTCGAGAAGCGTTAGAGCAGATTGTTGACGTGGGGTTAGGGCGGGGATACAGGAGGGACGAGGGTGGACTTTCGAACCGGAGAGTTGGCGCGGGGAGAGGGATCCTAGGATTCTACCTATTTTGGGGGTAGGGTCTGGAAATGAAGAAGAGGAGGAGGAAGAAGGGAGATCTGTGGTTGAGGATGATGGAGATAGGTTTAGAACTGATGCACGAGGCGTACGTTCTCCATCTTCACTTCCACTGTCTTCGCCCTTTTCGTCTTCATCTTCTCGTTCTTCACCTTCTTCACCTTCCGGCGGAGTGTAAAATAGTAAGGGTCTGGTATGAAACGGCGGGTTATAACCATAAGTATCAAACGGCCAATCCGGTGCTGCTAGGGTATGTATCACATCCGGATTATGCTCTGCCAGATAATTATAGATTTTGTGAAGTGAGGCATAGGAGTTTGAGCCACCTGAGGCGGAGGCCGGGGAGAGGCAGTACATGCACAATATATCGGTTGTCATGTCGTTATGGAAAACTTGAGCGTGGTTGTTGAAAATTGGTGAGAGGTTTGCGGGGAAACCACGGGTCAGAGCGTGGAAGATATGGACTTTTAAATTTCTTTTTTAGTATATAGTAAAATCATGAATACGAAGAGGAATATGGATGACCCGGAAAAGTAAGGAAGGGAAAGGTTACTTACTTAATCTAGCACCATCATCCCTCTGCCGTCCCCTCGTCTCCCCGAAATATGAAGAAATACCAAGCATGATACAAACATTTTCTTCAGCTGTATACTTCTCGACCGGAATACCATTTACAAAGCATATCCCTAACCCAGAATGAACCGATTGACAGGCGGCATCAAGACGTGGTCCCAATGTCGGCAAGGAAAATGTGGATTTGTTAATTTCGGAGTGAGGGATTGAGAGATCTTTGATTAAAGAAAGGGCGGAGTTGATTTCTAGAAGTTCGGGGCCGGTGATTTCAATGATATGCGAGGAGTCGGTTGGGAAGGTTTCACGGTCCCAGATCATGCGGGAGGGGGGTAGGGGCGAGGGCCAGCCTTTTGGGACGGTTTTCTCGGGCTATTTTATAAAGATTAAGTTAGAAATCTAGGATATTCTGGATTTTGATATCGCGAAGAGCGTAAGAGTAAGGGGTAAATTTCAGCATACATAATCCAGCCTCTCTGGTAAATTTTTGTAAATCTCCTGCGATTTCTTTAAAAGACCCTCAAGTTCTCTCGGATAGTAGTCCCCGTATGAGGGGACATACGGTGCTGCTGTTGTCGACATGAGATCTTTTTTAGAGTACCGAAACGGAATAGTCTTTCAAGCGTTTTTGTGTTGTAGATGTTATATTTTTCTGCGGGGGAGCTGCCGGTTCAAATTCGAAAAGGACTACGATTCCGGATCCATGAAAAGCTTGGTCTCATTGGCATAAAAGTATCATTCTGAGGCGGGAGAAAAGTACTCGTAAGTTCGAGCTTAAGAAGTCTACATTCCGTTGGGCTTTAAAGGCTTCCGAAATCGACCTAGACATCAGGTCATCAAATGAGTTTTGGAGGCCTAATTTGGGTTGGGAAACATGGTTTATGGTTTAGAGTGTGGCAGTGCAAGGCTTCGGGTTGAAGTTGATGGTGACCTTAAGTTAGCTACTTAGCAGTTAACTCAGCAGCTTGGTGATCTTGATATTGTATCTATCGACCGAAAAGCAACTTCAGCCTCATCAGGCGGCAGCAAGTATAACAGCTACAGCTAATTTTGTTGCATTTTATAATATTGGGTAGCTTCGAATCCCGCAGCCTGATAATCGATAAGTTGCAAGCGAGGCTGCCACTGATCATGAGGATACGGATACGGATATTCTCGGTCCCAGGATGCCATGCCGTGTAAGAGCGTTTGCTAGCTATGCGCGAGGCTACATCTATACGAAATACTATGTGTAATATTAAAATATAGCTTCGATTAAAATCTTAAAATCGGGCTCCCGGCTTGCGTGTTATTAGTATGATATCATATGATCTTATTGTTCCCAAGCACTCATATATACATAATGGAGTCATAGCCCTAGGGCGCTCGAGCTCAAGAGAACATATATAAGCATCCATCCATAGCTCACTAACCTGCATACAACAGAAAGTTGGGAAGACAACAAAAAAGTTGAGAAAACATTTGGATAATTTCTTGCAGCCAATATATTTGGATTTTGACAATGTGAAATTAAGTATACTCGCTCTTGGCTACCGTAGCGCTATGCATGACTGGGGACTAAATAGAGAGATGTTCGAATTGTGGTTTAATTTCACGAAAGTTGCTTGTGTGTCCCAAAGAGAGAGTATAGTATAACCATTAAAACCTTTTAATACATATTGAAACTATGATGGCTATCATCTACCCTGTGTCATAATATTTTCTAGTCTTCTTCTTCGTCTTCTTCAATTCCGATGGTTCAGAAGATGAGAATATCCTTGTAATATAGAAGTCTACTCGCCAGTCGCTCACACTTAAGGCTGCCATTTCCTAAAGCAAGCTCAGCGATTCCTCTGGAACGAACTTATAATCATCTCGACTAGGGTTGGGGTTCATCAATCTTGTTCTGAGATAAGATTCAACGACTCTATAAGCCTGCATCCGAGCAGCTTTTTCTACAATATTTGTGGGGACTCGAGCCCCGTACGAGGTTAGAAAGTCCGCTACATCTGAAAACCCCAGCTCGAGGGCCCATTCGAGATAGTGCGGGGCCCTTTTTTGGGGAGTTGGCTCGTCTAGTAAGCGATAGGCTGGTCTGTTAGGTTCAAATGCAAATTTACCCGATCGTGTCGGGTCAAGCATGATCTCCATCATAGAAATGAGACCGTAATCGTAAGGTCGGTGTTCACCTAGTCTCGTATTGCAGACGCGGTCCACACTTTGGTGTTGACCATTGCTGAGTGTGATTAGTATGAGCCCAATAGGGTCTACTAAGTAGGGACCGTGTTGGAATAATATCTCCTGTATGTTGAGGCTGGTGCTCTTCTGGAAGAACATCAAAAATCTCGCTTTGTCTTTAAGGTAGATAATTAGAGAAAGCCCCAAGGAAGGACAGGATCGGATTAGGAACCAATTTGTGTCATCTGATATTGTGGATGGCGATCGTCTAGGAGACTACCTGTTAGCTTCGAATTCATGAATTCATGAATTCGAGGGAGTAGGTCAGCTGACGTCAGGCGGCTACGTACCTTGTAACATCCCCACTACCGTCAGTCGTGTAGTGTGGTCTAGTATCTGACCTTAGGATTGCATCTACTATAAGGGAATCCCTCATAGGCCCAAGATCCCTTTCTTCACTCGATGTGTTTCCGAATGCCTCCCATGTGCTGAAATTGGGGTTATCGCAAAGGTAAAATATGAATCCCAGTCCCCGCCATTTATAGCGGTTATTAACTTTCCATCACGAACTGGTAGACGTAGTATAAGGCCCCATTTAGTGGGATCCATACGGGCTTGTAATAATTGTAGGAGGGGGGACGTGCTGATACCGTACGGCCCAAACTACGGAAACGCGCTCTGATGGTGAAATAATTGACTCCTGGAACTTGATATCAACCCCGAGACCTAGAGATAGGATATCCCCAGCCCATGGGCAAGGGAGGGCTTTTTGAAACAGTTTATCAACCGCTTTGGAAAATAAACCCAACACGAATTGGTTTCAGAGAGAATACGACAGTGTTCAATCCAGTTTTGGCGTGCATATTCAGCGAATTTGTATTTTCTCTCTAGTATTTGGAGTTCTTGACTGGTCCTAGATATTAAGAACTTGGCTTGAAGGTTCTTGAGATCAATCGGCGGAAGAGTGAGAGTAGATGCCTTTAGTTTGCTGACGTTTCTAATTCTAGAAACCTTTTCGACCGCCAAAGCAGTTGAGGGCGGATTTTGCGAAGGGGAAATTAATGTGGGAATCCACTCCTTTGGACTTTGAATACATGTATTTTCAGTGCGACTCGGTGAATATCGAGTAATTTGACTCTCGAAGTCAGTAAGGTTGAGGTAGGTTAGGCAAATACACGCTGCATTCTGGTATGCGGTGTTATCATCAACTACTCCTTTTCTTCGAAGGTGCTCTAAAACTGTTGCATGTACAAACCGAACTGAGTCCTTTCCATTGTGCTGGTCAACTGTTACAAGGTTGTTGCAGTTGAATATCAGTTTCCAGTTGTCGGTAGCGAGTCTCCGGGCCCCATCGCTGCACTGCTTGTCACCAAATTTGAATGCACATGCTTCTGCAAGTTCTTCAACTGTCAGGGGTCTCGAGGCAACGAGAACCCAATTGAAAACCTACCTGGCCATGTACATGTGGAGGTCTTGAGAGTGTTCAATTTTAGAAAGGATCCGGTCGTAAGCTACGTAAGTTTCAGGCAGCTCCCGAGGAAGGGTTTGCAAGCAGGCATGGAGGGCATCTTCGTTAATAGCCGTGTATATCTCATATACTATCTTCTCGATTCCTCTATTTGCTGTAGAGAGCGGGGCGCAATGAGGGCCGCCTTGACCTTGGGGAGCCTGTTGGAAGCCACAGATTTGTGATGCAAAGAGTACCTTTTACACAAGGCGGCAAGCAGGGCACACTAATATCCTGTGTACATACTTAAGTACTTAGGTACAAGACTAGGCATAGGTAAAGTGGGTATAAGTGTGTATTGGGTTGCATGGGGGCCAGGGGCTTTGCAAGCTTTGTACGGTGGCTGCACTGGCAACTTGCTGAGGGTTTGGCCGATGCTGGTTTGTGTAACATCTTCAGAGTCCAACACCCGACAACGCAAAGCTCCTCTATTCAATTTGTCCTCCGTCTCCCTTGTATATCACCTTGTTAGGTTATAGTTTGGGAGCTAACCTCCCAGGCTAGGACTAGGTGCGAGGCGCGAGGCTAAGTTATAACATATTTAGAAATTTTCAATTTTGGGGGGAGCGGGGGATTTCCCCCCTTCCCCCCTGTTTTTTTCCTTTTCCTTTTTTGAGTAATTAATTTCGGAAGTACTTTGTGAAATATACTATATAGTTGTATTTGACGATCTAGAAGATCCTAAAAGGGGGCACCCGGGTCGATTCGAGACTACTATAAGGTCTCTGAAAACCTAAATTTAAACATTAATATTATAATATGCATGGTATATAAAAAACCTCTGTCTCGTGCCCGAGCACATAGTACCTTAAAGTTCGCCAGGATTCTATTGGTAAGGTGTGCAATCATATGCATACCCACGGCCGGCCGTTTTATCAAAATATTATCTTAATACTCTATCGAACTTAAACCTTGTGAAAATTACATCGCCGAAGTCTTCTACACTATGAATTTCATATCCTATTCTCAAAATAAACGGCTTAACATTAATGCATTTTGCGCTTCAAGGCTGTCATTTGACTCAGTTCGACCGTAGAGAAGAAGGGGGGGGGTTATCATGGTAAGGGAGAATACGCACCGGTGGCATGTCATTGTTTCATTCTGGCTATGTAAAGGGGATGTTTTCATGGCTGTATGACCTCAAAGTTATGTCAGTATATATAGTTCCATCTACATATACATATTATGAGTACTAGCTCTTTACATGTATTACAAACCACCCTTCACACCGGAGCCTTTATGTATGTCTGAAGTGGCACTCTCCTATATGGTTTATCTCGTAAACCAAATTATACTGTCTGCTTATGCATGGCCAAATTGATATTAGATCTCTTATGAGTTAACTAGTTAAAAGAAAACCTATCAAAATCTTCTCTATCATGGCTATAATAGAAGGCGGGTTCCTGGGTCTGGTTTATGTGACAAGGCTATAATATGCATATAATAGCCGTTTAAAAAAAATATAAAAAAAATTAAGGGATGGTTGTAATACCCGCATATGTTAACACCAATAACCTCATGCACGGACGCAAAGCAAAAGACTATACTAAAGTAATAAACTCCTTCAAGGCCTCCACCCAACTCCTCCCTTCAACCACTTCAAATTCAACCACCCACCTAACCTCACCCACCACCAAAACCCCTTCCAAACCCTAACCCTCCTTAGTCCCCTCCTAGCCAGCGTAACATCGCTACTCCACAAAAAGCTCTGCGTTAACCATTCCCTCAAAGCCCATACGGTGCCTAACCCAGGAACCACACTACTAACAATCGCTCCAACCATCCAGTACATCCTTGCATTAAAGAAACGGTTGATATACCGAACCGTATCGAAAATGATATATCCACCTCGGTGTCCGATTAAACTTGCCCGACACCAGAAGAATTGGAAGGAACCGGTCGTCTGCATAAATACTGTTGTGAACAATATTAACGTTGAGATGATATCTAGACCTGCGAGAACGCCGTTCATCTGTCCTCGAAATTTTTTGGTCCGTAAATAACCTCTGAACCCCTGTTCTCCGATGATATCGTCCGTAAACTTCTTTCTAACTGGTCTATATATGGTGGGATAAAGTGCCAGTTCTACGAGTCCGGTGAATGTACAGAAGACAAGAAACATAACGTAACTAAAACTTCTGCATCCAAGACCGACGGTTGGGGTGTTGTAACTGATATACCAAGCACCAAGGACTGACATCCCAAGTGTTAACCATGCCGCAATCATATGAACGAACTCCCATTTGTTAAAGTAATTGATCGAAAACGTTCGAGTCTCATACCCCAACCAGTTATCATCAACACAGCCCTTAGCCACACGAGCCCAATCGACAGGCCGCTGTAAACGTTCCGGGTATCGTTCCAACATGGATAAAACCGGATGTGCAACCCCATAATGCCACCGTCTACGACCCTGGCCGACGAACTTTGTAAACGTAGTTTCGTGGTTATGAACCATTTTCATCAGTTTATTCAAGAGTTTTACAACGTGTTCGCTGTCAACGCTGTTTCGATCGATAATAGCGGCTGCAACGAGAACGGGGAGCCAGCCCATTAATAACCCCAGAGCCAGGTTATGAGCTGTAGCGTTATCACCGACGTCGCCGAAGGCTTTGTACATTGAGATTGCGAGGGCGAAGAAGTACCATCCTAATGACGCTAGAACGGGGACTACACCGCGTTTTCGGCACCGTCGGATTTCAACGGCGACAAAAGTACGCCATTCGACAAGACCTGGTTTTCCAGCTACGTCGTCATCGAGGAAAAGTGCCGAAAGAATATTTCCACGCAGAGTGGATTCGGAAATTGGTAGACGGGAAGTTAATTTGTATTGGTTCATCACACAGAGAATACCGAACGAATCGCGGACGGAGCAGAATGTTTCGTTCTCCGGATCGAAATCTTCGGGGGCTCGATCAATTTGGTCTAGGTGTTCTTCCGAGGAGTGTTGATTTCCATTAGCCATGCCGTCGAGTTCGATGTTATTTTCTTCATCTCCGACTTCTTTGGGTTGTGCCAGTGTAGCGTTTTCGCGAGGACGCCTGGGGATTCCAAGGTCGGCGAGGGTAGCTGCTCGCCCTATCGCACGGAGATTCCAGAAGATATATGTGAGAGTTGCGAATGGGGATCCAATCCAGCGGAATATCATGAGGATAGTATGCCCTCGTTTGTTTGATTCCCAGGGCAAAGAAACAATAAGTCCGAAGAGCGGTAAGATCCATGTAGTCAAAGTATCGGATATCAAAGGCCACTGATAAAGCCCTGATGTGGCACCACAAACGGATACTACATTTTCGTAGGATACGGCTAAAGGGTATAAGATAGCCGTCGGACGGACTCGATTGGTTTTTGATGCCTCTAATAAAATTCTTGTTATGTTCTGCGAATCATCAGGTAAGTTTTGATCGACCAGTGCAGGGTTAAGTCTGAAGAAGCGACCGTAGTCGAAATTGGTGATGTAGCTTCTCCACAGCCATGGAGAATCGGTGTAAGTCACATTTCGGAAATATTGAGTACAATCACGATCTGTGAAAGCGAGGGAGTCCTGTTGGGCAAAGACGAGGGAAAGTAGGCAGAAGATTGTACATAACCTTTGCAGAACCTTCATCTTGGGTGTATTCGATGATGTATGTTGGGATTATTCAAGAGGCTAGAATTGATAGAGTGCATAACTTGGGGGTAAGATACGTATGAAGTGAATATATAGAGGAAAAGGAAGGAAAGAAGGAATATCGAGTTGGAAGTTGGGGCGAGTCCTTGAGCACAAGATATCGCTGCCGACGGTAGCTGCAGCCTGACGTTCATCTCACCAACTTCCAGATGTAGATTCCCTTCTCTCCACACTTTTCATTGAAAGTAGGACTAGGTGAGATCGCAGGCCTAATAGGTGTGACACCCACCGTTAAAAATCATCAGGATCCCAGAAATAATCATCTAAGCGCATTTGCCTATGTCTATCAAATTGAATCCCTGCTTTTTGGTACCATATGCGTTGAAATTGTTGCCTTTTTCGGAGTGCCGGCAGATGAGAGGCAAAAGTCACGATCTTGGTTGAGACTTGTTTCTTTGACTAAGCTCCTGCGATCTTAGGTCCCGCTGAGCCTCTCGTTCTTAGATAGGAACCGGGCTGGGAAAATGTTTTGATGGGATCGTATGGTCATCTTGGATAGCGGGTGGGGCGGCCTTGTCGATAGACCGATGGGGCGCATATGCAGGTTAACATGGTCACACAAATCATGCAATAATGATGTCCGGTCGCAGAAACCTACTAGTACGAAGCTACAAAAAGCCCATGATGACTGTACACAAACAAGGCTGTTTGTCCCTTTGGGAGAACGTACGAGGATGTATGCATTTCAGAAACCCAGATTGTAGCCTTTTTTTTGGTAAGATGCTTCTGGTCGGGTGGAAATAAAAGTCCTGTATTCTTTGTCCTGAAAACGCCAACATTACAACATAACCCACTCCAGCTCCTCCACCAGGGCCTCTAGCGGTAATCCCGCGCCGACATCGCCCTCACTCGCTCTAAGTCGAACAAATGAATGTGAATTATCATTGTCGTCATTCCTTGTCACAATCAGAAAATAATCGCTTTGTATAGAAAGACCATAAAAAAGACCTTTCCCGCTCCCCCGAAAGTAGTATAAAAAAATACCTACATCATCGCGAGTGTAATGTGCAGAAACCCGTCTGGGTACATCGCTTCTCTCATTAATTCCAATAAAGGTGCGCTTAGCGGGAGGACGATGCCGTGCATAACGGGACGGGCGAGAACCACGCTCCGTTTGGATGGGAAGATTATAGGGACGAGAGAGTTGAGGGCCGTGCCGAGAGTTTGTGCGTCGCCACCTATCAGTAAGTAAGGCTGTCAGCATTTGCGACAAGTGCAAATTAGGCCAGCCGTCTAGGAAGAGAAACACATACGTATGGTCCCTGGCTGCCTCGTTGGTACGCTACCCTGGATCACTTGACCCGTCTCTGGGTTATAGATCCTAATTGGAATATTCTTTACCGTTATGCCCGAATGGTTTAACAATTTATCGGTTACGCCCCAGAACCTGTTGTAGTCATGATCCTGCAGACTAGCAAATAGTTCTCGAGTATCGCTAGGACTTAAACTCATTACGGCCTTTGCCGTTCCGTTCCGGGAGAAATCAGCCTCTTTGATAGAATTGATAAATGCATCGTGTGTAGAGGTAGGTGTAAGTGTGGTTAAGAAATCGTGTGGGTATGAAGCGAATCGAAGAGTAATCGTCCACGGGACAGGTGCAGCGCCAGGCTCGAGATCAGCAGCAAGAGGAGGAGAACCCGGCCTATCGTGATTTGTCGGAGGTAATGTAGGTGTCTTCGTGGGATCTAGGGCAGTGTAGAAGTCGTATAGTAGACCAATAGGCCAGTGCCTAGACTCCATCCGTATCCAGTCAGCATCTATCCATGTAGTATAGACATGCAACCAATCGTTTCTTTTGTTTTTGAAACCAAAGCCTGGCTAGGAGGAAAGAGCAACATACCATCTCAATGGAGCATTATCCACCTCGAACCAGGCATTCTCCACCGTTGCTACAGCCTTGTCTATCAGGAAGTCCTCGAAGAACTTGTATATCCGTGGCAGGTAGAAGGGTAAATAGGCGACTCGGTCGGCTTGGAACTAGAGACAGATGGTTGAAGCTGCGAATCAGCCCTTCTATCCATGAAATCTCAGCAGGAAGTCAAATGAAGAAGCAAATTTCATTTGTTCGTTTATTCGAAGGGTCACCTACATAGTACGGGTCGGCCTTGTCGAAGATACGACATTCGCTGGGGTCTAGCATGACCTTGAAGGGGATACTGCCATCCCAGACAGCCCGTCGCACCGCGTCTGCCATCCCGCCGACAAACTCGATCCAGTGGTTCTCCCTGCCTTCGTATGGCTGTTCCTCCTTGCCTGCTATACCAAGCTACAGCTTTTAACGGGGATCGAGAAGTCGTCCTCGTTTGGCGTCTACTGGGGGGTGTCGTGTCGGAGAGATGAGGCTGAAAATGGAATGGGAATGGAAGATGGATGGAGGAGGACGAATCCGTGGAGGGGCATCGGTTCGCTTCCGCTTCCTGTTTGGTCTCCAACGTCTGGCGCAACACCAAAAATTCTGACCTTTCCAATTGCAACTTCAACAAACCTTCTCACGACCTCTCAACTTCTCCTCGACAGGAACTTCATCAACGGGACCGGTGCCCTGTTCGGATACTTCACGATGCCTCCTCCGCGGCTACGGCCAACCAGTCTTCTTTCAGGGAGCTCTAATCTCGTATGTACAATACGAGCTTCAATAGCAATGCTATAGTGGTATCATGTGCTAACTGGTATCTACAGACTCGTAGCTTCCTCGTCCCTCCACCTGCTATCAGTCGTCGCTCTCTTTTCACTGTCCCGGTGCTGGAAGGTGTGAATACCAAGCTTGAATCTGGTATCGCACCGGTCTATTCTCCTCATCAATTTCAAATCGCTTGGAAGGAATACCAAACCCACCTCATTGACCGTTTAAACCTGGTCACAGCTGGAACACACCTACAAAATCAGCATCCTCTCCAAGTCGCCATTCTCACATCCCGTGACTCGGACCAAGCAGCTACTTTCAACTATGCTTCTATGGCTCATAACAATCATTTCTTCTTCCAATCTTTGAGCACCAGTCCCACTCGTCCGGAGTCAATGTCGGTACTCATGCTCACCATTAACGAATCGTTCGGCCATATCAATATCTTGAAGGAATCGTTCATTGCAACTGCATTGGCTTGTTTTTCCAATGCATTCGTCTGGCTTGTTCTCGACCATCATGATAGGAAACTCAAGATCCTAACTACTTATAACTCCGGGACTCCATACGGTCTCTCCCACCGTCGTCAGTCCGTCGACGTAAACACCACCACTCGTCCTCATCAAGATCCAAATACTTTCCCATCATCCTTACAAACATCGGACTACTCGAACACCAGCGATAACTATACCCGTGCGCTTGCCGAGGCTCCGTTGAATGAAGAGGCTGCAGGAAGGGAGGGTGGCTATTCACCGCTTTTGTGTGTGAATGTCTGGGAACATGCTTGGCTTGTAGATTATGGGTTCGATAAGAAGGAGGATTTCTTGAATAATTGGTGGGAGGCTGTGGACTGGGGTGTCGTGTGGAATAGACTTGAGCCCCATGGCTATGGAAGAAAGCCGGATAGGCAGATGCATGGTGGCCCGGCACCTGTGAGGGACGATAGTGGTGGGGATGCAGGGGGCACAAGATTGGCAGATGAGGTTGCAAGACGGACCGGCTCAAGATAGAGCCTTTTGGGGGAGAGATAGATAGAAGAGAAGAGAAGGGCGGTGTATTAATTGTATATAAATTGTATGATGAGTTTATGTATAAATCTTGCCATAGCCAGGTAGCGTTATAACATGCAAATGCGCATGGAATACCGTAATAGGTAAGTACTTAAAACATAACCACATACTATCCACATGAACACCGTCTATAGTTCCGTCAACCCCGGGGCCAAAATATCAGAAATCCAAAACCTCTATATACATGAAAAGAAATATTAATTGCTGAACCTGAAAACGAAACACGGGCGGTTAATTTGATAAGGCGTACGGCTCCGTATACGAGATTAAACTAGCCATGGTATAATCCATCCTGTTCGTAGGTAAAAAAGAAAGAGTCGGAGGGCTAATAAGTTGCTGCTGACATACAAGCTCGGAGCCATTTAATTATAATCGATTGTTTCCCCATGTGTCAGCAGTTGATGCTCTGCCAGTTGACTGAGTTCACCTCGTATTTCCTAACATCTAGACACGGGGCCATTTAAACGCCAATAAAGTTCTCGTATGGTATTCGACATCACCTGGTTAATTCGTCAATCAAGTGATGTGAGTCCCACCTCAAGATTCCCTCACCATGCTAGCCTCGACATTGTCGTCGCAAATATGCATCTTCAGAAAAATTTCGGTCATGCCTCCGACGCCGCACTTCATACAAACGAGTATCGAATCCTGACTATCGGCATTATTTTCTGATGTCGATATAGCTGTGTCCGAATTATTACGGAGAGCAACCTTATGGACCGTTTCGCTCTGTAGCCGCCGCTGCTCCCATCCCTCCAATGACATCTCAGGCTTAAGCTTTGCAAATACGTCGGATCCGTCTTTCGGCCGGTCTTTAAGCGCTTCCCCACCATTTATATACCGGTCCCAATCGTAGTAATTAGTCACCTGGGCGGATCTCCTCCGCGGCCGCTTGACCGATGGTGATATCTCAGATTCGATACTTTCAGCTATTTCGGATCTGTTTATCTCGTACCCAGCCCTGGAAGATCTGTCTTCTGGCTGTTTTTCAGGTGATGGTGTTGAAACAGCGCCACCATTTATATACCGGTCCCAATCGTAGTAATTAGTCACCTTGGCGGATTTCCTTCGCGGTCGCTTGACTGGTGGTGATATCCCATATCCAGGGTCTACATCTATGGGTACTTTCGATAATGGCCCTCCAACTGGCCGAGGAGGGGTTTTGCTTGGGTCGGTGACCCGCAGTGGATTTTTGGCTAAAGCTTCGTTCAGACCAGACCCGCTGCAAACATGCCCTGTCAGGCTAGCCATATCCCTAGATATCGTGCCGCATCGACCACAATCTGAGGGCGATATATCATGGACTCGGGTCATATGCACACGGACTAATCCTATGTCATAAGAACTGAAGTCACACTCAGGACAAACACAAACAGGATGGTCTTTGTTTGGTAGTTTCAACCGGGGCGGCGGGGAGACTAGTGGTGGAGTGACCGGCGGAGGGGTGACCGGTTGTTCAGCTTCAGAATCGATATCTTCTGGGATTGCGGTCCAGGGTCCTTCAAGTTTCAGACACTGGTGCATCTGGAAATTAAATGGACTGTCGAATCCAATGCCGCACAGTTGACAAATAGAAGCCTTTAAGTTATGGTTTCCTGACATATGGGCACGAAGTAATTTTTTATTACTGAATGTGGCCGAGCATTCAGAACAAGTATAAACGAGCTTCTCTTCTGTGAACTGTTCCCGTTGGGACGTTATTGTAGTGATGCTACTGATAGGGCCCGGTATTATTTGAGTACCCGTGGATGATTGTCCTGCTGGTTTGGTTCCTGGTTTATATACGAATTCTTCCGTCTGAGTAAAAATGTTACGTATACTGGGTAACGATATGTCGGGGGCGGGAGTTCCGAGAGTTCGATCTCGAGGCGGATAACCAAGACCAAAAATACCACGGAAACTAGGTAACAATATGTCGGGGGCTCGAGCATTTTTATCATCTCTTGAGATCAAGGTCTCGCTTTTCAGAGTTTCGTTGTTCGTGGTAGAAATATGCTGTTGTGGAGAAGGCGTTTTCTCGAAAACGTCATCTATCTCTCCTTCATGGCCTGCTGTAATCCGCTCTGAATCTTCAGACTTCAAATTTCCTTCCTCGTGTCGATCTTTTGCTTCCTGGTGTAACTTTCTTAAAAGAACGATAGTATCGATACTTCTTGCGGAAAAGCCATCATCGGCCTTCACGGAATGTATATCAGTAATATGTCTCATCAAGCTGTCTCCCCTAAGATAAGCAACATGGCAGCCTGGTTCCGGGCACTCGAAGGCCTTTCTACCATGCACCCTAGCCATATGGTCCCCAAAAGATTCGAGGTTGGGAAGCTCGAGAGCACATCTTGGACAATGGTGTATCTGTGAGCGAGGACGATTTATTCGAGCGTACGTGTCTTGAGGGAACGGTAAATACTCATTTCCAAGGGGAGCTTCAGTAATGTTTGTAGAGTTCGCTAGCATGATTTTGCCAATATCACCAAAGCCATAATTACTAGTACTAGTAGGAGAAGGAAATTCGAGTCCCGAAAACTCGAGCTGGGGGCGCGGGGTGGCTGACTCGGCGACACAGGGAGACAATCTTGTAACACAAGGAGAGCCCAAATCGGCATCCTTGGAGTCATTGGTCTTGTCTATTTTGTTTCATGAACTCCGTTAATCCCGGCGGTTAAATTTTATTGGGTCGGGGATCTGATAAACGATATTTGAATCAAGAGTTCAAAGCTTAACTCACCATGAATGGATAAAGCGGCTAGTACAGGACTTGCTGCTCTCGAAGCCAGACGCACTGAGGCGGTCACAGGACTTACTATGGATTCGTAGTCCACATGTGGCGCCAATCCCGACAGGTAGCCCTTGACATAGTTTTTGGTCCACCCATCATAGCCTGAAGGAACATAGTCCGTCTGTGAGGTTACGTCGACATCCCCACCATCAGTACGCTTCGGACTAGATCTAAAACACCCGGTGTTAAAGTCCTCATAATATCAAATACGGGGGGACTGGGAGAGCGGTCTAACAGTTTCATGTACAGAGGCATTCCTTCGTTGAGTTCCAAATCCGATGCCTGGACCTGCTCAGAAGAGCTCTGGCGGTTTATTTCTCCTTGACTAGCGATAAATTTCTGTATCAACGGATCTTCCTCTATATGATACTCTTCAGATCGAGAAGGTAAGAAATCCCATCCATGCTGGGTTGATGAGCGCGAGGGTGGTCTGGCATTATCTTCGTGATATAGGTGCCTAATTTTTTCCATGTTTTCCACCTCTTCCATGGTTTTCCAAAATTTTAATTCTTTGAAGACGTCTTGTTCCTGAACGCCAGTTGTGACGTTGGTCCAAAATTCTTCGAGTTCATTATCTGAATCTAAGTTAGATATCCTACGAGAAGTTGCAGAACCCTCCCCAGATTGATTTCGACCAGCATTTGACTCATAATCTTTTATATCATCACGACAAGGCAAAGCCATGAATGCCAATGATCTAAGATGACCAGCTATGTGTCGAGGAAGGAGCTCGGTCATTTTATCCCTATTCAAGGGCGTTATTTTTTCAATTTCTTCCGGCATACGGTTACAAAAGGGGCATACATGGGGCCCCCGTATGACAGTAATAGTACTTCTTCGACTGAGGGTTAGGAGTTGCGCCGATGTAAATCTTTCGGCGTGATGGGTATTCATGTGGCTCGTAAAGTCTTCCTTCCATCGAAATGGCTCTAAAGATTCACACAACGGGCAGTGAAACATTTTCAAATGAACACCCCACGCTATATTTGACGAGCCATGCGTAGCCATATGTTGGGCCCAATCTTGGAATTTGGCGAACTGAGTTGATGACGACCGGCATTTTTCCGAAATACAAGAATATGGCTCGAGATCTGTGTCGATATGGTGCCTCCACCATCTCTCGTTCTTTGTATGAACGGACAAGAGAATCTCACAGCAATATGGGCAAGTGCATTCTCTGTGCTCTAAGGCTAAGGCTGGTGGCGGGGGGTATTCGAGGTCAACGTCTCGTACAGATGTACCTTGGCTCGCGATTGAGCGGGGTGCTTTGTGCACTGGAAAAGTTTTCCGAAATAATTTGGTATCTAGAGTAGAGGCGTTCGTTTCTGACGGCGCCACTGCGCAAGGGCGGCCGAGGGGTGCAATAAGCCGTAATCTTTTTGGCTCTCTGGTAGCGGTATTGATTTCCCCGTAATTTCTTTGTGGAGCTACAAGATGGTGCTTTGTTCCCGCCATCGATGGTTCCGGGCGAAGATTCGAATGCCCCAATTCTACTACAGGGCGGGCTAGTTTTCCTTGGTGTCGTATTTTGTATTCAAACTGTTTACGACGTAAAGCAACCGATTCAGCGACCTGCTCGCAAAGGGATCCATTGGCCTCTTTGAACCGATGTTTGAGGACCCTCAAAACGAAATCCTTGAAATTTAATTCGTCATCACTCGACAAAGCCTTAGACCGGAGGTTTCGACTTTGCGCTGATGATTTCCTGATTACCGTTGCGAGATTCTGTAATCTATCTAGGCTAGCACTAGCAGCTTCTATTACTTCTCCGAAAACTTGAGTCCGTCGGTTTGGATCCCCACCCTCATCAAGTGCTGTATTTTTGAACAGTCTAGTTAATGACATATATACATTATAAGAGGGCCTAGACGTGAATTTCTGGGTATTTAATCTTTATTTACCTTGGCGGAGGCTTCCTTTCAGGACTTCTAGTAGCTGAAGAATCATGGATTTAATATCGTCGCTCAGTCGTAATCGATAGTCCAGAGAAGATTTATCCTTTACGACGGCTCCAATATTGCTCGCCCAGATATTCAATCGCCCATACTGTGTTTCAAAAATATCATGTTCGTCGGATTGTTGTATATTGGCGAGTGTCTCCTTGAATAGCTGGTGGCATTCTAACGTTATGCTGGCGATCGGGGTTTGATTGCTAGTATCTATAAGGGTTTCGGCATCTTCCATGAGAATGTCTCCCATAGATTGAATCAGCGAAGATGTTAACTGTGGGCTAGATCCTCCGCTGGCACCCCTTGGAGAGTCCTGGTGCATATGGTTCATGGTGGCAGCGTGTGAAGTTCGAAGAAGGTCCGGAACTAGCTTAAATTTCATGAATTCATCGCATCGTTGTCGGATCCTCTGTGCCTTTTCGAGATTTCTGTGTCAACGGAGTGTTTGATTTTGAACAGAATATAGGACAGATATCTCCATGTAGATTCCGCATTGATATCCTATTCCGTATTATGCTTTATATGGCTGTGGTGCGAATGCGAAGCATATCCTGTGACGAGCGGTGGATAGTTTGTTGCATATTTGTATGTGCATAAAACGCAGCCTCGTGCGGGGTGTCAGCTAAGCGCCAAACGATGCATCGATACTTATTAAGCCGCTGGCAGCGCAGCAAACTCGACTCCCGACTAATCCTTCTTAATCACACCAGAATAGCCATAATATTAGATGGGGGCTTGGAGATATCTCCCGGAATGCCATTAATTGTGCGCGATTCGGAAGCTTGAAACCTATATCGCTTCATATCATCTCCGCCGCGGTCGGGGTTCGAATGCACCGATAGCAGAATATAATACACACTTACTTAAGCATTCTTCCGCGGTCGTTCCCTTAAGCCACCAGAAAAGAAAGGATACAGGTTATTACACTCAGGCGTCAATTTCGGCGATGCTATTGAAATTTCAAGAGCATGCAATATTAATCTAGTGATGCTTGATATATAATCGAGAATGAGGCTCTCGGTAGACGGCGCGCGCCAGTGGGAGCTACTACGAGCAATTAAAGAACTATTCTGCAGTCGCTTGGCATGCTACAATCACACAGCCAACCAAGCGGATTCGCTGCAGCAAAGCAGATCTCGAACTTTTTTCCAGTCTGATATGCGAACAATCCTCCAGCACATCCAAGCCGATTCTGAAATCCCGAGCCAGTTGTTCGAGAGATGCATTCGATCGTTGGACGAGCTACTTCAAGCCTTTGACGACATTATAGATGATGGGATCCTAGCTGGGGACTCCCAAGAAGCTAAGGCCAGCAAAACCGTGAGCTCTCAGGTGTGTATTTACTCAAACACCTAAAGGGTGATATGTTCACCTTTCGTTTATATGGGTCTAATGTGGGACTTATCAAGTATGCAAAATTGGAAGTTGTCAAAAATGAATTGTTTGGCACAAAGGGACAAAAGGGTGCTATCGAGTATCTAGACCCTTACATTCGCCTTAAGGGCAGCCAGGATTACAAGTCGATGATCGGGGCTATAAAGATATTCGAAAATGATATGAAGGAAGTTTACAAATACTCATCAAGCTCCGAAAATGAGTCTCCTCACACAGATTTTAAAAAAGCGTCCACAACAAAGCCGAGTTCCCAATGTCCAAAAGCGGATGCCAGGGGAGAGCCCACTTATCTTGTTCGAGACATGGTACAAAAGCTTCACAGTAGCCTCATACGCCTGTTGGGATGTTACTCGTCGGCTCATAAAGCAAGACTCCATATACCTGCCCGGGATGAAGTTAATCCTGCCACCCTAGACGCTAGCATAAACTTGGATATTTATCTTTCCACGTGCGCGAACCCTTCTGGGTGGCAAGGTGCAAAATGTACAATTCAAAGCTGGTGAGCTCATTTTTCCATGCTCTTCGCATGTTATAATATATTTAATATTTGGTAGAACTAATTGGCCCGCTGACTGAGTTTTCGAATGACGACCAGCTATTCAAGTAGTTGTAACCAATCTCAACCGGAGGCTCGAGATCTTTGCCGTGCGATTAACCGGTCACAGATGCGGAAAAGGCAATTACATCTTCTTTCTATAGGCGAACGCCTCCATGACCTCCCCAACCGTCGTGAACGACTCGACACATCCCAATACCCAAGTAAATCGCTGCGGGAGCTCCTCAACGAAGGCCACTTCTCTCACTTTGGCAAACACAAAGTTTCTCTCAAAGAAAGGAGGATATTGGCCGTGATTCTTGGCCACCTTATGCTCGAGCTTTGCGACGGGCCTTGGATTCGGGAGACGTGGGATGCGGGAAATATATACTTCCTTTCTCACCCCTCCAATCCAAACGCCATCAACCTCCGCCAACCGTATGTCGATAGTTGCTTATCATCCAAACAACGGCCTCCAACTCCAGATGGCTTGGAATCCAGCGATATCAACCAATTCCATAAATACCCTCTCATTTTGGACTTCGCCCGCCTGTTAGTCGAAATACAGCTTGGCGAAACCATACAACCGACAGAGGAAGACTGCTCTTCGGGTACAGAGACACTTGATACAGCCTTCTTTATGATTGATAGAATATTTCACGATATATCCGACGATATTTACGAAGATTACAAATCCGCTATCGATGCTTGTTTAGAATGTGATCAATTTCTTCCCGAAGCCGCCTCTTTTGATCACCCACAGTTTAGGGACCTTGTGTACCAGAATATTGTCGCTCCGTTAGAGCAAGAACTTCTAAAGGGCTTTAACATCACGGTCCCGGAGCTTAGTACTTTACAATTCGAGGATGGAAGGTCTTCCCAGAAACCTACCTCTAACTCTAGCCACACCACCAACTCTAAAAGCCATCGCAGTGGTAGCCATAGATCCACCACACCTCCCTTGGTGATGTCTGAGAACGAGGCCATATTTACCCCCAAACCGGCATCTTTCGAGTACGCGGAAGTCAACTCGTCAAGGAAAGAGTACCCAGTGGTAAACGGGCGTAATGGGATATCGCATGTCAGAGTAGATACAATGTCCAGTTGCGTATCAAGCTCCGTTGAAATTTACCCACCCGAGTCATTCAAAATTGCGATCATATGTCCGATGGCCGTCGAACTTGCGCCAATACTAGCAATTATGGACACGGAGTACCCAAACTGTATTGAAACCCAAAGAAACAATTACACTCTCGGAAGAATTGGCAACCACAATGTGGTCGTTACTGTCATGCCCGGAATCGGCAACAATCGTGCTGCAGCCGTAGTAACGCAGTTAACAAATGACTTCAAATCTTTGAAGTTTGGTTTACTCGTTGGGATAGGCGGCGGTATTCCAGATCTACCCCAATACGATATCAGGCTCGGTGATGTTGTTGTGAGTAAACCTACAGCGAATTTTGGAGGAGCAGTCCAATTTGATCGAGGCAAAACGCACCCAGACAACCACTTTGAAAGAACCGGCCATTTGAATAAACCCTCGTGGTTCCTAATGTCAAATCTGCATACGCTTATTGCTCGACATTCAATCGAACCAAATAAAATTAGCGACTATTTGTCAGAAATGACCCGTAATAGGGCTCACATGGTCCAAAAGGGATATGTTCATCCAGGCGAGGAACATGATGTGCTCTACGAGCACGACTACCGCCACAAATCGCATACTAGCGATTGTAGGGATTGCGACCAAAGCAAGAAGGTTGAGCGACCCTCACGGGCATCTAGTGACCCCATGGTTCATTATGGCACCATTGGATCGGCCAATACTGTTCTCAAGGATGGTGATACCCGTGAACAGCTCAAGAAGGACCTTGGGATTATATGTGTAGATATGGAGGCGGCTGGTATCATTGATGACTTGCCATGTTTGATAATTCGAGGTATTTGTGACTACGCAGACTCACATAAGGCGAAGAAATGGCAGCCATATGCTGCTGCGACTGCTGCAGCATTTGCGAAGGAGTTTCTTTCTGTTGTTCCACCTGATTTTAGCGTTAACGTTTAGGGTGTCTTAAATTTATCGCGAGATATTTGTAATATTATACCCAAGTAAATATAATATATGGCATAAACTGGCTCGTGGATATTCTGATATGGACTTGGAGGAACCCCATAGCTCTCAATGGACTTATACTACTACCGAAATGATATATCGAAGGGCTTATACCTTCAACATGACAGAATATTCTTTGTAGCTCAACTTGTTCTCGTTTCCAGTTCATGCACCTACGTAGACTTCATGGTTTGAGGAGTGGTGCGGCCGAGGCCAAGGCCTGCTATATCAAAATTGACTACAAAAGCCCTCCACACCTCGAAACACTTGACTCTTTCCACCAACCACCTTTAGTGCACTTCTCAACATCCCTGACTTCAATCGCCTACACCAACATTGAAATTCAGTCACTACTAGCTACACCGCTTCAGCCACTTCTATCACTCCAACGGTACCTATCCTCTTCACCGCTTGCTACCTAAGCTGCTAGTACTTCCCAGGTACGACGCCTCCTTGAACCTCTAGCTGTAGTAATGTTAACAAGCATCTACAAAAGCTAGCTCCTGTTGGTCTTCATAGAGACTCTGCCGTTGCAATGTCTCTTCCATCGACTACACCTCCCATATCGTTCAAGTTCATATCATTAAACATTGCTATGACAGAGGAACAGCTTGAAGCTCTTATCTTCTCCGAGTTTAAAATACTCCTTTCATCCAGTCGTTTCAATGAAGGATCTCTCGTATCCCGTCGCAAAATTTTGATTTCTGCGTTTGAAAGCCATGCCAATGATTGCAATGTCGATTCCTTCTGCTCTCAGCACAGTATCACACGGGATATTGTTTCAAGTGGACTGGTGAGACTGGCAACCAAAATGGTATTCAACGGTATTACGAAGCCGAATAGGCCCGTAATATCTATGCGATTTCCCAATTCCCTCGCACTGGTTACTGATGAACAATCTCAATATGATCGGACCCTCGAAGAGAAGACCGATAGTAATGAAGAAGTGCCCAGTGTGCCGCTTGCAGAGAATGCCCCTGCCCCTGCCCCTGCCCCAACCAATCCAAACAAATATCAGAATGCTTTTCAGTACTCAAACCAGAGAGTCGCCCTCGGGATTCCGGTTCGAAGGACTGAAGCTCCTTTTGTCGAACCCACCGTGCCAGTGATGGTTCATCCATTTTTCACGTCTCTGACAGTCGTTCAGAACGGTGTAGGTGGGGCGCCTAAGCAACCCGAACCTGTATCACAAGGCGTCGGCGAGGAAGGCTACAGTCAAGTTCCGATTTATAACCCCCTCCCTGTTCTGATTGGAGGCACAGCCATAGAGGTAAATAGTGGCCGTCCATTGAATTCAAAGCCTTCAGCAAGGAAGAAGAGCATGAAAATTATTCCTAGGGAAATCCAAGGGGACATGGCGACGGATGCCATCGTCATCCACCCACTAACAAACAAGAGCCCCAAAAAGAAAACGAAAAGGGGTAGGCGAAGGTCAAGAAAGGGGAATGTGGCGACTCCTCACGACTCTACAGAGGAACCGCCAAAGAAGCAGAAGAAGAAACAGAAGTCGCCAACAAACAATAATACCGAAGGTACCAAGGATCAGAGCTCGCTACCAAATATAATTTTAAAGAAGTGAAGGTATTAACGTCTCTAGTCGCCAATGTGAAAACTAACCTATTAGTTCCGTCGTCGTCCTTACCACCCCGTCCAAGTTTTCTACCTGCAATCAGTCCGCCAGCTGTTCCACCTAGTCCCACAACCAATCGCTCGAAAAGTTTAGCCAGACTGCTAAAGAAACATAAACAAAATCCAATCCCGCTAATCTCCGTTCCGACCGCCGTCGCCAGCCCATTCCCGCCTATCCCAGTTTCGAGTGCTGATGAGACCGCATTCTATGTCGTCAACAATATCATACAACAAAACTTTCCATCACCAGACAAGATATTCCTTCCCTATCCCATTCAATTCGCAATCCTGACAGAAACGCAATATGTCCTAGAGTGTGTATGTCATAGCTTCGCGAAGAAATGGCTTCCACACCTCACATCAACCACCCAGTTCCTTTACCCAGAATCTGCGGAACTAAGCTTGTGGATACGGACAATAGCCCATCCAGCCAATATTGCTGCTATTCCTAGTAATGCTGTGGATATCGCATTTATGCTCAATGTGATCAAAGCGCCCAACATAGGGAGGTTCTTGGATGATAGTTCCAAATCCCTTGTTCGTTTAAGGAACCAAACAGTTCATCGTCACAAGTTAGATTGCAACGACTTACACCAGGAGTTGCAGACAGCGGTAGATATGGCAATGTTTCTGAAGAGACCTAACGAAGCAGGCTACCTAAGAAAAATTTTAGACAAGCAGAATGAGCTAGGCGCCGAGTTAGGGAATCAAATCAACCAAATAAGGGCGGACATCAAGAAGGCATTAGAAACCCTCTATTACCACAGACGAAATACGGAAAACTGGAGCGCCTCTGTGGTCAAAATCGGAGTGGAGAGGACAGAGAAAGCATTGGAAGGTGTTAAGTTGACTTTGGACGACCTGAGAGCCTTGAAGCTAGGAAAGCGACCTGATAACAGGTAAATCAAATGAAAAGGACTAGAGAATATCCTGTGGATATTAGTAATTTGTCCGGCGGACAGTCCGAGATCCGAGGCCGTATTTCTTTAACTTAGGTGAGCTGCTCAGAAGTGTTGAGCTGTTGGAAATCCAGAGACTAACCCAATTCAGCGATTTCCAAATTAGGAAATACTCGAATACTTAAAAAAGAGTCGATTTTGTTTCTTCGAAATGTTTTGTTCGCACAGTTTCTGCGAAAACCCACAATTTTATTTTGATAATGTTCGATACATATAATCCCGCGGCTGCTTACAGTCAGACCTGTATTTCCGATCCGCTGAATACTACTACGTATTGTTCTTTTCGACATGACTAATTGTCATCCGAGAACTCTAAGAGAGCTTAGCTTTCCTGATTGGGAATGGATTGTTGACTAATCCGGAACTGGTTTTCCATATTTGGACAGACATTTTCTCGAACCTTCTCCAATCTTCTCCCAAGTTCTCGCAACGCTTTCCCCCCACAATGACTCTGTTTCATAAGCGCGACGCATTTCTAATTGACGAGCGTCGTAATCTTTTAACGCGCAACCTGGTTGGTTCGAGGGTCTTCTGGCTACTGGCTTCAATGTGTATATAAACGACCGAGTTCACCTTCGTTGAATCAAAATATTCTTTTCAGCATCATCACACATTCACATCAGTCAACTCATCTTGAGCATCGTATCTCATCTATTAACTTATCATCCTTTAAAAATCTTTCGAAGCTTCCCACCTAAGCAATTTATAGATCTGAAATATATATCGATCAAAGCTCTCAAGATCTCCACAATATCTTCTTCAGATCCTACAAACAAACAAACCCCAAAGAAAACCAATCAACATGCCTTTCGTCCGCTTCCAACCAGTCTCTTTCCAGGCCCCAGCCGCCGACCCCTTCGTTGACTTCTTGGCCGCCGCATTAGCTGCAGAGAATACTCCATCTCGTTGTCATCCCAAGCCTAACAAGTCCGCAGCTTGTGCTCCGGCCCAATGTCAAACCCGCTCTTGTGCCCCTCGCCAAACCCGTGTCGTGAAGCGCTTTATTACCCCCAAATTTGATGTTTCTGAAACTGCAGACGCCTATGTTCTTGAAGGTGAACTCCCAGGAGTCTCCAACAAGGCTTCCATCTCTGTTGACTTTGACGATGCCCAAACCATTGTTGTCAAAGGTGAAATCAATCGTGTGAAGCGACCATTCACCAAGACTGAAGAGCATCAAGAGTTGACTGAAGAAGCTCTTCAGGCTTCAGCCGCTGCTCAAGAAACCGCTACCGCCAATGTTACCACCGCTGATGGTGAGACTGTCGTCTATGATGATGCTGCCTCTGTATCTAGCGGAAACTCGAAGCCAAAGGCCGCAACCGTCGAAGATGAAGTTGACGAATCTGAAACCGCCTCCAATGCCTCATTTGAAGTCGTCGATGGACCTCTCCTGACCAAAGCTGATAAGGGTAAGGCTCCAACCAAAGACGCTGATGTCGAAATGACTGAAGCCGCCGAAAAACCAGCCGAACCAGCCACGGAAAAGAAGGAAAAGAAGCAGGAGAAGACCGCCAAGTACTGGATCTCGGAACGCCCAATCGGTGTCTTCGAGAGGAAGTTCAAGTTTGAGGGACTTATCGACCAGGATAACGTTCGCGCCTTCCTCGAGAATGGTCTTTTGACTATTGTCATCCCCAAGAGGGAGGCCTTTATCAGGAGTGTCTTTATTAACTAAGGCATCTCCCGCCTAAATAAAGTTATTCTTGTCTTTCTTTTTATATAATAACTAATGTGTTAGTCTGTCTTTGTGAAGTTCGGAATCTCTACTTTCATTTTATTGTTATCTTTGATTTTTCTTTTGTTAGCTCGAGTTGGAAGTAGGGATACCATGATGCATAGCATATGGCGTTTATTCTTCGGAGCCTGTTCGGATTTGGTTTATGACTTACAATATATACAATCATACTAGCTAGTATTTGGAACTTTTGATTTTTGTTATGTATGTGCGCATGTATACTTATAATCTATCGATTCGGATCGAAGATGAAAATCTTTTTTCTTAAAAAAAAAAACTACCTTTTCCAAATCAAAACGTGATATGTATGATCTGACCTCGTTCAGTGAGTAGTTTGCCACTATATGCCTTAGATTCAGACCCATTAGTCGTATCTTAGAGCCGGCCCGGTCGACATTCCCCTAACATTATTCCCCAAGAACGGCCATAAATGCGTAAGTAATTATAAACGTTAAACGGGTAAGATATCGAGCCACACCAGCGTGTGGTGAGTTAACGTTAACGAATATTTCGATTATTAAATTCAGCCAAGCCCGAATCCAAGTCCTTAGATCTGTCGTAGAAGATTAATGGAACAACATCGGGATATTCGGATTTCTGGATTTGAACGGTAGATGCAGAAAGATATCCCTCCAAGTCACCTTTAGTATTGCAATTCCCTGGAAAATCAACCGACCCCCAAATGGACAATGAATTCTTAACTCCAGATTAATAAAAGCTGAACGTAAATATTTAAATGTACTAAGTATCAATTGAAAATACTGTCCGAAGACGAAATATCATATCGCTCATACATGCTGTGTATTCTAAACAATCCTAGAGCCCCCGAAATACGCTACGGAAATAAGAGCAATATTCTGTTCTCCCTTCTTCAAATCGGTCGAATAAACTTGCCGACATACCGGATTTTATGTCAAATGCTTGTATTACATATCTCTTGCATATACCTTTGATATATATACTCTATGTAGATAGGAAGTGCGGCAATGCGGCACTAAGAATTAAGCAAAAGTGGGGTGACAATGACAGCCTGAAATTAGATCAATCATAATCGGTGGACAGTAGTTGAACTATAGCCGGGCTTAACAGCATTCTCTATAAGGCGATTGGAAAAAGTTCGGGGCAATTCTTGCCCGATAAAGTGGTAGGTATACCGGTAAGTGTCTAGTGATCGTTTAAGATGGTAAACATGCATATATACTTATCACACCGGCTATTGGTAACGAGACAACGGTATTGTATATTGAATTCTAACTCTTAGCTTTCGAATACACCAGTATACTAGTTGCGAACTGCGATATCTGAAATACATGCCCGCAAATTCCAAACATACCTAGTATACAGACTAAATGGATCGGCAGACAGCTAAAATAGCTTGATTCCTAATCCATTCCCAGCCAGAATATAATACAACATCCATAGTCGTACGAAACCGTTGGTACAGGGTTCTTCACGAGCGTACCCGGGGAAATGATCAGAACCGACCAATGGGTAAGCCGTATAGCCGAACATTTTATTCCCAAGTCAACAATTACTTAGGTACTTGTTTCTCACCAGTAATTTTCACTTTAGAAAATCAGTTTGAATCTAGCAAGTTTCATAAAATATCCAATCTATCATGATACCGTCCTTAAGTTAGGCTTAGGATCTATGGCTTTAAGTCCGTTGACAGGCCCATGCATGTCGGCCCAACACAAGCCCGTTTTCACAACATGTCGTCCGGTTCTCGTTAAAACCTTCCAGTTCGACAAAACCTCGCCGTCCAGATCGAGTCTAACGTCTCCACCGCGAATGCAGATTTTCAGGAGCTGGGAAATGATGTCGTTTAACCCGCCTTATGCAGGGTGGAGGTTAGTCTTTTCAACGGTCTTTTGTTCGCCCGGAATAACTCAATTGAAGCTCAAAAGAAACCAGCTTAAATCCGTTGCTTTTTAGTAGCATAGTAGCTCTGATGCCGAGAACAATATCGCAGGAAACATTGGCAACGAACGAATACACGTACAGAGTAGGCAAGGGCAGACCGGGCCAGAGAGTCTAGGCTAGTTCGCCAATGGTCAAGCTGGGGCTTTCGTTCGTGCGAACGCAGTTCCGTCACCTTATTCAATTGATCAAGTCATGTTTCTGGCTCTTGGTTCACAAGCTTGTGAGACTCTACATCGTGATCGGTGTAATTTCGGTCGCATGGCCTTTTCGGAGTTTGTGTTCCATACTTTCTTTCGTTCGCATCCTCCAAAACAATATTCCTACCATTCAGCCTTGGATTGTATTGGAAAAAGTAAGTATTTTGCAATTGTGGGGGGGTCTAGAGCTCTACGTTTGTGATAATGTTTGCGACATTGCAGCGTGCTGGCTTGCTGTTGTGGAATGTGGCTTGCTCACAGGAACACACAGAAGTGAACGAAGAGACCCAGCAGATGCAAGAAAAAAAACCATTCTGTGCGAATACGAAGGCAGCCGTTCTCCGAGGCATGGAAGAGAACACCGAAACTCTAACTGCATACGGGTTTTCAACGTTGGTTCCGGTTGGGGAGTATCTAGATGGCACAGGTGATATCGATATAGGTTGCTTGCAGTGTAGGTAGCATGTAGACTGATCAATTGATATGCCCAGGTGATCTCAAAAAATATCTTTTTCCAATGTGAAATAGAGCCACTATTACTAAATCCATCTAAGTTTATGGACGAGGCCGGTCCCAAGGGTGGAGTCAAATGTGGGGCGGGCACTAGAAACTTCCTCGTAAGCCTTTCTAATGCTCGGAATTTAGTATCGATCCCGAAAGACATCATAGTCCCCACAAAAAACTCCACTTCGCCAATTCCAAACCTTTTTTTTGATTGTTCCGGATCTTAATTCCAGTCGATTGGGAGAGAATTTCCCGACGTAAGGAGATAACACCGAACCATTGCTAGTCAAGGAGCCAGCTGCATGCCCATGCACCTATTTACACCAGACCTTGCGGTACCGCGGTTTTCGTGCCGCATAACAATTCCATCCAACCCGTTAACTAGCTCGGGAGAAATTGCGCCGCTATCGATTGATATCGATAGACGTATTTTACGAGATCCGTCTCAGTTGCATTCATTCCTCGTAATGAATATCCGGGTCTGATGTGATCGATCGAGTTTAATCCCTTTCTAAGCCCAAGGACAGAATCGTGAGCTCGAGTGCATTCTATTCTACTTGAATCGATCCCTGGGTAAACGTGAGCAAGGAGAAAGTGGTTGGTTTACCATTGCGCCTGTCCTGTTCGATTCGTGATATTGGAGTCTCCCATTGGCAGCTCCTGTGCATCTGCACGAATTACATCTCGATACCACCTTGTATCTAGCCGGATATGCCACATAGCATAGTAAATCTTTGCTATATATGTTTCTCGTGGACTTTCTTGAAATTTATACCCCTTGGCGATGCCGCATGATGGAGTTAAGAGTCCGGGTTCCTGAGTTCGGAGAGATTGAAGTCTTACTACACCGTCTCAAAATACGGACATAAATATCGAGTCTATGATTTCCACGAATTCTACATCGGTCGGATAGTATCTGACCGCCTTAATCCCGTAGGTTCGAGGGCCTAGAAGGGCCTGTGGGTCCGAATTGCAGGATTCTGGAGGACTTAAGAGTTTTTGATGCGGTTAGTCGGGGGAACTGTGTGCTGTAAGTCCCGAATGAGATCTAAACTCCATCTTCTAAACTGACAAAAACGCATTTTCTTAACTGTGTGATGCTATCTCCAGGCTTTCGGAGAGTCTAACTCAGCCATTACCGTCTTAATGCCGTGTTTTTGAGTAAATATGGCGCTCTTTCTTCAGGAGTTAAGGATCTAAAGATTATGTTAAGAGTTAAGGCCTTTTGGAGGAGGATATTCACGCCGAAAATTTTGTGAACCTTTGGGGCAATTTAATATCCGTTCATTCGGGTTATTTCTGTGACCGGTTTATTGCCGGAGTCACTGTCTCTAGTTGTTAACGTTATGTCGAAAATTATGCTCCCATTCATGTATCACAGCTTTGCGAGATCGATTGTTTTGAAACAAGTTCCGAAGCGCGATAATGGTTAAACTCAATACCGAGGCCGACAAGGCCTCAACCTATAGGTATCGAGGTTCAATGGAATTCAAAATAGTATCCTAGCTCTACGATTGCACTAGACGTAGATTTCTGTAGATTCATGCACATATTACGGTGTAGTATCCTCTCAAAGTGCGCATCCTGATGAGAGATAGGTTCATTTGTCTAGAGGCCTCAGAAAAGGCGAAATCATACACCATGGCGCTCTAGCTATACCACATAGAATTCCACTCTAAGGCCGCTTGGAGATGCGAGACGGATTTAATCATGAAAGAACTTCCAATCACCCGCAAGCCTATATCCGAAGCAACTTATATCTACAAAAGCTCCAAATTATCAATTTCTCTCAATTTCTATCCTACTATTTTCTAGATTCAACCGTATCTCCAGACATTCCTGAGCTAACTGCAGATGAATTCGCCAGAATACCCGGCCCGACCGCTCGGTTTATCCGAGTACCGAATTCCAACGGTTGCCAGTGATACAGTCCTAGCTTTTCACGCAAAGACCGAAAATTACACCGAAGAACGCACTTCTATCTCCGCTACCGTATACCAGTGTTGAATTGAATGTCGTCACGGCTTGATTCCTCTGCATATACTCCGTATACATAGTCGGAATTAATAGTCTCGTGGGTCTAGGCCCAGGATATTGTCGTAGATATCATTTTGAGACGAACTCCCTGGTACCGATGGACTTAATAATCGGACAAATATACGATTGAGCGTTCCAACTATATCCAGCAGTTCGGCAGCAACGGCGGACTTTCCTCAGACTCGGGACGTCTGGATGCCTTAACTTAAGGCCAATATTCCAGCAGTCGAAATGCAACAAGGGCATCTGCGTTGCGACCAAGGTCCAATCGGTTGTTCAATGCAAGGATCGATAGCGCGGAGGGCAAATAGGTATCGCACATGCTATTACATAACGTAAGCTAATCCGTTATTAGGCAGGGCATAGGAGCATGGATTTGTATCGATATGCTACATGGTCTAGGCGGGGGGTAACAACTCTTGCGCCATCAAGGGCGATAACAGTCACAAAGGGATACAGGCGTTAACATCTATAGACCCATCTACGATTAGACTAGTCTAGTTACCTACGTTATAATATATACGGGACATCCACACAGAGTAGTCGAGATTAGTGAAGCTAGACGTCAAATGTGTACATGGAATTCTAGGAACAACTTACTCACACACACACGAGCATTTTAACAACTTTCTCCCATTTACCCGTTAAACGCCGGGGACAATTTTTCCCTTCGAGAGGATTCGGTTTGGGGATTGGCACTAGGACTTTTGAAATCCTAACCGATACATGAGGCAGCTACTGTTATACTTGGCCGTCGGTAGATTCATGAACTTGTAAGTTTTGAACCGAAAGAACTTTGAATGTTTCCAAATTTAAACTCCGCAGAACGCCATCTTACTAGGTTCAAGCCTGTCGAAATCCCTTCCAGGCAATGACAAGTCACCGATCGATCGATCCCGCTCTATTGCCATGGACATGGCCTCGTCCAGACCCATGTATCTATCTACATCAAAGGTTATTAAGGCTATACAGCTATACAGCTCGATGTAAAGTAGACGTTGGATACTAAAAAGCCCGAAAATTTGTAATTGAATCCTAGTATACTAGTAGCAGTGCTGGAATTAAGGGCATTCCTGCCGAGCATAGATGTTGGAGTTTTATATGTGGCGTCAAAGTACTGGCTGGCCTCAACAGTCGATGCTATAAATAAATACTGATCATCTTGACTAGTGAACACCTCGAAAGTGTTGGCCCCGAGGTTCTAGATCCCCAGCATCGAACATCTACAGGGATGGGTTTCTTTTGACTATTCTTGCTCGATTTGGCCTAGACGGATCCAATCCACCAACAATGTTATGCACAACCGCTAAGATCATTGAAATCGTTGACCTGCGCATGCAGCTACGTCCACCAATCGCATAGGTTCAAGGAAGGCTTCGGCATTGATATATGGTTGCCGTTCATACGCAATTATATGCGGGCACATATACCATGGGTCCTGTCACGGAAACGGGATGGGAGAACGGGATGGAGTTGCATTGACGAACGCTTCTTGCATGAGTGAGGGGCTCATTTGCCTCCTTTACTCAGCGATCTCCTCTTTTATCTGTAGAATAACACGAGTCGAATGATCTGTAGTGGAAGAAGTGGCTGAATTCAAGCGATCTCAATTGTCCTGGGCCAATAATGCTCATGCAGGAAAATTCACCGCAGTTGAACCGTTAACCGCCAACGGGCATTCCTTAAGTGCCTCCAACCGCAGGACCCTAGGAAAGCTAAAGCATTGCTTACTAGTCGGTTAGTCTTTCCTATATTTTAGAAGATGAGGCAACTATAGCTCTTATTTGCAAAACTTGCTCCACAAAGTCAATCGGAAAGATAATATATGTACGTATCTGTGAGGTGAGTTCCTACTGTCGATCTAGCGGCAAATATACCCTCGTCGTCGACATACACCAGTTGCTGAACATATCAGATGTCTTTGATCAGCTTGTCTACAGCAGTCACGGGCACCCTGAAAATTCCAAGTTTGTGGCAGCTCCAAAGGATAATGCTCAATCGCAACTGCCTTGGCAACGGCTTAGACTTCAGAAATGACGGTTAAATTCTCGTGCGAAATGCATGAAACCTCCCGCCTTTACATGATACATAGGAACTTCAAATTTCCCAAAATGTCGGATGGCAGACGGAATACTCGCACGAAATATGTGTGAGCGAGTTACGTCTCAACCGGCATGATCGTATACACAGTAGTGCTATCTTTTCACCGAACCCTTGGGAAATGTATTCACCGTTCCCACAAGGACTCGGCCCGGATTCTTCGCTTATGCTATGCTATGCCGTGTACTCGGCAAGAAACCTTATGCATAGGTGGTGTCATGATGGGCTGTCGTCGGTAGCTCGGGGCGTCCATTTTATCACTTGTGGGCACGGCAGAACTTCGAGATTGCGTTGAAGTGGAGATACTGTCGTATACGTCAGTTTGGATCTGACTTGGCTATCGATTACCTCCAGACCTGTTCCCTGTAACCGACGGCTCGAACGCAAGGGATCTCTCAGTACAGCAAGACCTGCGCCCCTCCCTAACGCCGGTGCCGTTTTCCCTCAGACGAGCTGCTGCGTGGCTTTCCCTCCCTCTCTCTCTCTTTTTTTTTTTTTTTTTGCCAGTGCAGGATCCTAGGAAATTAATTAAGATTTAAGACCAGGAGCAGACAGCTGCAAGACTGGTATCTTTTTCTTGTGTAACCCCGAGATTTTTTCGAGATCTCGTTAAATATTTCCTGACGTGGTTCTGGTTTCAATCAATTAAAATGAGAATGCTCCTGCAGAAACAACAAAACAGCATGGAGGACCAAATCTCTTGGAATTCCCAGCCCACCGATCATGTGTGGGTCCGCTGTGGGCCCACCTCGCCAAAATGCGAGATCTAGGTTAGCGCGGTTCTTCCAGGTCTCAGCTTCAATCTCGCCTTGATCGTTCTGCTTTTGAAGAATCCACATCCCTGTACACTTCCCAGCCAGCTGGAATCTGGTATCATCTGCCCTCTTCCAACGGTTCTCACTTGTCGGCAGCTGCTTTTAGAGAAACATCGAGATCGAAATCTTGGGAATTCTATCATATGAGATAGGGAAATCTTTATTTGTAACAAAGCGGGAACAACTCAGAGCCCACACGTGGAGCTGGACCCTTGCTGAGGTCGAATGACTCGATGAAGTGTTCTGCTTACACAGCAGGTCGCAAATTTAACGAATGATTGGCCTTTCCAAATCTCGTTTCTTATTCCTCTTTTCTGACAAGCGCCGTGGTCTCGGTTTTTTGTTATCCCGCTCATAATCCTAATATGAACCTATTCAGCTTCGGAAATTCCGAGGCGGGATGCCTCAGTGTCAAAAAATATGTCCCAAACGAGCTATTTCAAAAAGATTGCTAGTCAACGGCCAATGCACATCAATTGGAGGCTGCATACGTATCAAACAGAAAGCTACTTAATTGAAGGAATCCAATTAATTGCTCCAAAACAACATCCAGGATCGAGTCTGAATACTATAATCGGGAAAACCTTTGGCGTTGCATAGCAAAGGTCTAGAGCAGTCTCCTGCAGTTGATAATATCTCACCCACGAATCCACTCTAACTAGTTAATTATTCAATTCACTTTTTTTTTTTAATCTTCCGTTCGATTCCCGAGAGACAAGACATCAGATCAGATGTGATCTGATCTCGTGTCTGGATCAACAAGCTAGGGACCTGGCGTCTCGTATTTCGCGGATCTTGAATGGTGAGAGCGTACGCCCGAACGCCTCGTTATCCACATTCCTGTATGCAGTAGCCAAGTATCGTGGAAAGAAACAAATCTCAGACATTTTTTCCACTCAAGATCTCAACCTACCTATCACATTGTTCAAGGCATCGTTTGCGGTTTTTGTGATACGTGCGCCCTTGCGAGCTTGCCAGATGGCGGTCGTTCTGGCTTACCCAATCAGTTGGCGCGTAACCCTTAAAGGACCTACTGTGCACAGAGTATACGTAGTCTGGGGCTTCTACCTAGTCGGTGCATGAGGGGCTTTTTGTGATACCTGAGACGGGCCATGGCATTGTGAAATGTGTCGGCATCCGCCGGCTCGACATAATAACGATATTCAACATGACGGATCAAAAACTTGAAATGTTGGATATTCTGCACATAGTCAACAAGGCGCCTTTTATATCAATAGGCATGTCCATGTATACGAGCCCTTGGAGAACTTCTAAATTTCACTGGTCAAAGTTGAATGTTTGATATCGCCGGCGGCAGTAATCCATATAAAACAAAAGTGGAGATAGTTGTGGAACTTGACCCTGCTCGAGGTACGAGCGTCTGCAGAGCCTTGGAAAAACCGCTCGCCTCTAAGGGTTTACGGTCCGTCTTAGTCTGAACCAAATCCAACATCGCCAGTCTGCTCTTCAACACAAGGCAGCGGCGGATTAATTTAACAGATTGAAATTTCCCTAAGTTCGATAGTTGAGTACTCTATATTTACATATTACCGTTGAAAAATACCATGAGTATTATAATATTACTGTAGGCCTGTAGAGCTTAAAACCAGTCACATAAGTAGATTACTAGAATATGTATTTGATAGCTGCGGAAAGTCGGCTTGTAAACAACGTTGCAATGCGCAATCGTACCGTGGACCCCAGTTTACCGGAAGTTAGTTGCATGGTTCCATTGAGTTGATGACAAGCTGCATAAGAAATTCTGCTCGATTTAAGCTTAAATCCTATATTGACATGAATATAGCCCTGAAAAAATACGATCAGTAATCGTAAATTAAAAATTTCAAGCTTTCTAGCGATGGGGGAAGTGAGGCCGGATTACATTATCACTTTACGGCAGGATATTTTCAAATTTGACAATATTTCTCAAGAAATCATAGACTAGGCCTCTGGTACCATGGTAGACAATAACGCAATTTCAAACAGTTTGATAAATTATAGGCTTGCAATTAGCTAGGATCGGTTTAACAGGACTTCTATTCCGAGGGAACTTCGGGATTGATGTATTGCTAGATCGATTCATGCATGAGCGGACTCAAAAATTCTTCAAATGTATTAATTCGTACGTACACATGTATATATGACCATGAACCCATATCTTGGGTAGACCTTGGTTAATATAATTCAACATTGGCAAAAAAGCTTATCGTTTAGACGGCTTCAGAATACATATACCTATCCTTATCAAAATTCGAATTCTTATAGACCCCAACGTCGATATGGTATCGGTCGAAACCACCTTGGCTGGGGCCTTAATGTTGAGTCTCGCACTCGCTCAGTCAACGACTACGACGAACACCCGTCCGTCCGATGTCCAGACTCTTTACGGTCTAGTAAGTCTTTCCCGTCTGCAATGTATAGGTTTACAAACCTAGAAGTTGTTAACAATACAAATAAATAGTGTGGAGGCCTAGCTGCATTCCCTACCCCATTCACCCGCACCTTATGTGAGGATGGGGCAACTTGTAACCGTCCCAATAGTTTCTATTGGCAATGCGTTCCTGCTCCTAGAACTACGCCTCCAACGACAACGACCTCGGAGTACGCCCCCAAGACTACCACCACTCCGGTCGTGACTACTACGACTTCTCGACTTCAATCAAGGTTTGGACAGTGCGGTGGGATTGCATGGCCAGTACGTGGTTGTATCCTTTTCATAAATGAGCTACGCAATAAATATATACATGGTTCTAACTAATTTAATCAATGATATATATAGGGCCCTCAAGCTTGTAGCTCTGGTCTCACGTGTTCAACAGCGAATGCTTACTTTGCCCAATGCTTGTAAATATTTCGTGGATCCTATAACGGAGCTACGGTACATAATTGTGCCTAGTCCTATGATACCCCGATCACATCATTGCATTCCGGAGTTTACATTATAGTCCGTCGCATGGCATCGTTATATCGGTCGAAGTTTGGCAGGTCCTTGGCATAGAAATTCTTTCGGGGTTCCATTTCAGATTGTGATAAGGTAGTCTTGGTAGTATAACCCGTCGGTATTATGCTTTAAACCAAAATATTTGTATCAAAAAGCGCAGGAGTGTATACTAGCGGCGGCGTTCGTTGCAGCCGCGGAAAAGGTGACAGTTGTGGAGTTGGCCGATGTGTGGCCCATTTCGTATAAAATATAGAGAAAGTTTGAAATACCTCCCAAATTGGCTCGAGACCGGCCTTGGGGACAAGATTAGCTCCAGACTATGAAGACCCGTCCAGGAACCTTTTAAAATACAGCTTCCTGGTACAATTCTAAAAGGCAGACTTGTGTTATCCGCCTGTGCTGCCTAGGATAGGCCTACTAATAAAAACTATCTTTACCTACCGAAAATATCTTATGATAGAGCGATGTAGAAAACTGTAGGAAGCTCGATACCTTCATGATGTAGATGATCAGATCTCGCGATGTAGGGAAAACCCTATATATATAAGGGCCTATGTTCCGTCAAGGTCAGTATTAGCCCTATCAATATCACCACGAGACTACTAGATTAAGTCTATAAACCTCGGATCTACACTGCTGAGGCCTCAAGCTTCTCTTCGATACATATATTTTGGAACAATCTTGTCGGGAAAGTTCCATTCAAGAGCCTCTTCAACATGAACCTCATCCAATCCTCTGCCCTGATTGTGGGGTTCATCCTTACCGCCGTATTCTCCCAGTCCGTTGCTGCTCAATTATTCCCAGACGGCGACTACTACTTTATATTCAACTGGCCATCATGGCCGGATCGATATCTCACCGGTAGCAGCAAAGACGTTTATGAACAATCTGGCATGGTCGATGTAACTTTCAAAGCCAGATCGTATAGCTGGGAGACTAGCCAACTTCAACGCTGGCGAATCAAAAACAGGAGCGACGGCACCGTCCACATCCAGAACGTTAAAACTACACGATACCTCGGATCCGGTCATAAATTCAATTGTACCGTTGCCCTTACCGATAAGACCAACTGTGCCACCTCTCTGCTTAGCACTGGCGAAACATTTAAATTTGTTGAACATTATTGGAGGAAAGGACGTTACCACCTTCAAATGACTGGATATGGCGGAAATCTTTGGCAACCTGTTTTAGGGCCTGCAGGGCCCTATAACAAACCCTTGGAGATTGCGGTCATGACACACAGTGCTTACAGTCGTGATCTGTTTTTTCAAATCACGAAGGCTTAAAGTTTGGGTGGAATGGAGAGGTGATACACCATGGTACCAGCTAGGTTGTTCAGGGCAGTTGCGAATCGAATGTACATATTTTTTCAGATAGTTAGTGGGGGGTTAGAAAGGAAATTGTTCAATCGACGATTGCGTTCCTCAAATCAACCGTGTTTTGATATCATATGATCGGTATCATATATCATAGATGTCGCTTGAGTTCTGGAGCTCGAGCTAGGTTGGCCCCATACTGTAGATGACAAATCTCGACTCATGCACAAAATGGTTGATCGGCATTCTCAAAAAAAAAAGGGAGTTCGTGACACAGCCGAGAACCTTTATGATTAAAGATATATTCCACAGGGTTTTCCATTTCGGGCGGCGCCCCACACCAAGATTGTATGATTTGCTTGGGGGGGAAAACCATGGCCGGAAATATTTTGGCTTCATATAGATCGATATAATTGGCATGATCTAAAAGTGGATCTCTCTCTCGTTCGGAAAAAAAAAGTCTAAAAAAGAAAAGCCAAGACGAACTACCGAAGTCTAGTTTGTCTGCATACATCTACATAAGACCTCGTCGAAGTCCAACAGGCCGTTACATAGTATATATGTATGAATGTATGTATGCGCAGGGTCGCAGTCTATGTTGGGATTGCATGGCCAGGAATGTTCAAAAAACAATGGGGCTCGATCCAAGGCCGATTTCAACGCTACTATTGAAGAAAAAGCCTGCATCCTAGGCGTTTTATTGGCTCGCAACATAGCTTGGCTTACCTGTATATATGTATATGCTCTGCAAGTATGTAAGTACGATAACTGTAGATACAGCAAGAGCAGAGGTACTTCCGTCTCCATGGGTCGGAATTGGTCGTAAGAATGTCTCCGATAGGCTTAATTTGTACCCCTCTCTTCGCTCCACCCTTTTTTCCAATTGGAAAAGAAAAGAAAAAGTCTATCTGTGCATGTACGACTAGTAATGCAAAGTCCTTCTAATTCTTCCGTAACAAGACCACCCTCGCATATACCGTACATGATGCTAAGGCACAAGGGATGGGAGAGAGAAAAACGTGGCAATATTTGTGGGAGTACAAAGTTTGAAGAAAAAAAGAAGCAAGAGAGGCCGAGGACAGGAGCGCATATGAAAAGAAAACAGGCGTTAATGTTGTATATACGCCGAGAAACGCAAAAAAAAAAGTGCCATTATGAATGGTATCACGGGATTGGAGGGGTTTCTTGCCGACTGCATATGATCGCCGGCATTGCATTGATTCACGACACATACTTAGTCAGGCAATCTCTGTAAGGAAAAACAAAAGACATGCATAAGATGCATGTTTTCGCTTTCGAAGTTTTTCTCAAAATGTACTTCTGCCTAAATCCTGGAGAATATTCAAGGTAGGATACTTTTCACTTGCATCTTAGGTAGACGTCTTCATCGTTCATTTTCCAGATTCGAGGAATGGAATGTGATGTGGATCGAAACATCGAAAAATAAAGAGCTGGTAGTTAGAGGGCATCGGTTCCCCTTCTCTGCTATACAAGGCACAGTTCCATATGAATAAACTGGAAAATCCTAAAGCTCGAATAAAAGGGACCTTAGCCGCGCCGGACAGACTACTAGTAGGAGTAGACCTCGAGAGTGGATCCCAATGCAGGGCTTCGTTAAAGGGATATGGGTTTCTTGAAGATCGACTCGTCTCCACCCGATTCTAGATTCCGCTGAAATTGCGAGGCTCGGTTACTTGGCGAATTAAAGAATCAAAGCTAACGGAACTATGATCCGGTTAAACGTTAAGCAGAGTGATTTCACACAAGAATTTGAATGGTTTTAGATTCGACAGGAAATTCGAAAGCGGAAAAAAAAAGATCGTTTCTCGAAAGGAGAAGCCGGGGGCTCAATTTTGAAGTCTTGTGTTAATCAAAAGACAAATAACACCCATCTACCCTAGCTAAGATATTGAGGATGTACAAATACATCATTAGAAGTGAACGGGCTTGTTTCAAGAGAAGAGCTCAAAGGAGAAGGGGGAGAAAAAAAAAAAAAAAAAAAAACGCCTTTCCAGCCAATAGAAAGAATTATCCCGCTTTATAGAAATGGCAAAAAATAGCTAAAGAAAAGGGGATCAAGGAAAACGCCGGATATATCTTTGCAGTAAACGCAATCATGATACCTGATGCTGAAGATAAAATAAAGAAAGGGAAGTGAGGTATATGCAGAAACTTTTTATGTCTGAGCAGATCCTTACTCAAAGTACTCCCACAAAAAGAAGAAACATGGAAATATAGAAGGATTAAACGTAAAGCAACCAATATGCCCGTACGGGGACCTTCCAAAAAACAAAAAAACAAAAAAAAAAAACAGAATAGAAGAAACAAAATCGTTACGAGGTTCGTGGCTGTGACTTTGTACAGATGGGTTGGTCGTGTCGGAGGTATTCGAAATGTTGTGTAGAAATATTGTTCTACTACATGGTCGCCGCAGTTGTTGAGTAGCCGTGTTTGAAATTGTCAAGAATAAGCTGTTCCAGACCTTCAATCGTATATGGCTTTTTCAAAAATCCTTGCATTCCAACCCTAGTGATATCCCTATGAGCATCGGGACTAGCGTCTGCGCTGACGGCCAAAACTGTAAGCTTCTTTGACCCGTTGGCGTATTCTGGGAGAGCAAATATCTTCTCTGTAGCCTCGATACCATTCATTTTAGGCATCCATAGATCCATAAGAATGAGCTCGATGGGCCGCCCAAAGCTAGTGGCTGCTGCCATGGCGGCCACGGCATCTTCCCCATCTTCTGCTTCAATTATGTCGGCGAAGCCGAGATTCCTAAGCATCTTAGTGATGAGGTTGCGATTGATGTTGTTGTCCTCGACAACGAGAATACGGAGTGGAATCTTTTTGCCAAGATCCTTGTCGAAGCGGCCCTTCTTGCTGGATTTCCTGGCATGAATGCCGTTGACTGGTTGACGGAAAGTTAGGGATTGTTTACGCGGGCGATAAGGAACTGATTCTTCTTCGATAGCTCCGTTGGTCATAGCATGGGGCCCCGATCCATTCCGAGTATGTGTCGTCAAAACAGGAGAAGAGACTTCGGTTGAGCTAGTTGTAGGCCGTGGGAAGTCCGGAGAAGCCAATCCTTGCATTAAAGAATACCTGTCGATGGGTTTCCTCGCCGCGATCGCTGGTGAGCCTGACCTTCCATGCTTTGGGTCCTTACCCATCTCAATCGGCAATACAATACGAAATTCCGAACCGGTGTTTTCGCCTTCTGTAACAGTATTGACGAGAGTGATGTCGCCCCCAAGTCGAGCAGCTAGCCTTTTCGCGACAAATAAACCAAGTCCAACCCCATCAAAGGCTCGAGTAAGGCTGTTATCCTGTCTGCGCCACATTCTGAAAATATGAGGAACAAACTCTGGTCGAATGCCCGGTCCGGTGTCTGTGACCTTGAACTGAACGCACTTAGAATCTTGAGAGACGGTAGCGACTAGCTTGACATCACCCTTAGGTGTGAATTGACGGCATTATGAAGAACGGCGTACAGTGTTTTCTCGAGAGTAAGTTTGTCGACTACAACTAAGTCAGCCGTTACATGCTCGCTAAAGCTGATATTTATTGCCCACTTACTAATGAGCATCGGTGGAACGAACTCGACCGACCAATCGATCTTCAAGGTTCCCGATCTCCTTGTCGCCGTCACAACCTCTCCGAATTGATTAGGTACGACCTGGACCTTTTCTGGTCTGCCGCCGCTTTTTAAGGCGACCTGCAACATCCCAGAGATGAATTCAATCAAATTGAGCCTCCTGTGGTTGAGGGTGACTTGACCAGAGGCTTCCTGGTGAATAGTATGCGTACCAGATGGGGTTTGTCCGGTGGGTGGGAGAGGCAAGACGCTTCCCGGCCGGTTCAACGACGTATCAATTTCCCTTTTTGAAAGCTCTTCGGGTGGAAGACTGTTTGCTCTGCTGCCGCGTAGGCGATAAGTACGGCGCTTGCTGTTTTCTGCTGGTGGTGTTTTGGAGCGGCCAGGTGGAAGCGGAGCCGGTGGGCCGGCGTTATCATTGCCATCGCTCCGCTTCCGTTTTTTTGGATTTACTAAAGAATCTGCTACGTATGTTGCATTTACCTTTGCTAGAAGAGCTGTGGGGAGAGGGTCCGGACGAGGCAGAGCCGGTGGGTCTAGAGCGATGTCTGAATTTAGATCTAACGCATGAACCATGTTGTCTGCGGCGTCAACTACCCGTTGTGCGCTGTCTACAAGTTGGATGTTACATTAGCAATCATAAATGAGTCTAGACCGTCGCCAAGTATTCTTACCTTGGCAATTCTCGATATTTTTCCTCATATCATAGACAAATTGGCGTAGAAGGATCGGTGTTGGTTCATCATCTAGAGAATCCAACGAAGCAAGCATCACGTCCAACATGCCTACGACACCTTGCAAAGGTGTCCGTAATTCATGTGACAGATTTCTTGCTGCCGGCCGTATTGTTTGCTGGGGAGACACATCTTCGTGGAGAACAACATTGCCCATAAACGGATTCCAGGGTTTTGTGCCCGGGGCTATTGTATCTGATGGGTTTCCTGGCTTTTCCAGAATTCGCCAAGTAACTAGATCTTCGAGAGACTTCATGAAGAGCTCAAGGACTGCCCAACTCAGCCCAGGCCTGTTATCTAAACCCCATTTCGACCACATCATGCCGATGTGGCCGTAGCATTTACCTTCTGTGAAAAGCGGTATTGCTAGGTACGCTTCAGCTGGAATTGGCAGAGAGGCGCCGTTCGGGTTATCGGGAAACAGACTCTGTAGATTATCTGGAATTACAAGGACTTTATCGTGCTTCATGTGTGCGCATGGACACTTGTAGCCCTTATATTGGATGTCGTTGTAGAGTGCGTCCTTACCGTCGTGATTCCGCACGTAGTAAGCGAGGCCCATAAGACAGGATCCTTCCTCGCCAAGCGGTGGGTATTCGACTGCACTCTTTGCATCGCCCTTTAATACTCTTTTGGCTACAAATGTGTACTGCGACCCTGTAATGTCCGCCATACCAGTCATAAGGGTTTTCCAAAATTCCTGGCCTTGTAGGGTATAGAGTTTTAACTTTAGGACGCTGATTAAATGCCTTGCTTTCATTTCATCCTTTGGATAATGTTTATTCATCATCTCGAGAAATCCAGGCTGGCCAGAGTGTATTATGGATTTATTATCGCAGGAGGGTATGCATATGGAAGGGCCCAAAGCATCCTCCAGCTGGATACTATCGATATCCATCGCTGAAGTTCGAGGCCCATTCATCTTGGAATGTTGTGTCGAACAAAATAGCAAAGAGTAACGGGTAAAGAATATGGCGATCCAAACGATACGCCCGATGAGCTAAGAAGCTCGTGTTTGGGTGAGAAATCGGTTTTCGGTTAATCAAAGTAATTTTGTCCCAAGGGAAAGAGGTGATCTCGCGTGGAATTTATTTTAGGGAGCACGGACGTAAACTTGTCGACGGTCGGCTCCAAGCAGATTGTAGACAAAAACGTGTGAACAGGGAATATTCCGGCAAAGTCAAAAACGTGGCAGCGGCGTGGCCTGGATTGTGAGACCGGAAGGTATTTCTTTTCTTTGTCGTCCTGCAATATAGGAGATAGAAAATGGTGGGATGGGAAGTTGCAGTTGAATGGCTCGTCGTACAAGCTGGCCTCCTGGTATATATTGACAATGTTTCTGAAGGATTATTTGGGTAAGTGCTCCGGTTGTTTCAAAGCCTTCTTGTGTAAAGGCAACCGGATCCTTGGGATCTGGCTAGTCGAGATCTGGCTGGACAGTACGAAATCCGGTAGGCCTAGTTTGAAATTGAAAGTTTGTGAGAGGTTGAAGGCTAGAATTGAATCCCTCGAATTGTTGGATAATTGGAAGGACAAAGAACGAGGAGGCGAAGAGGGTATTTGCGAAGGGGGGGGGGTTTCTAGAAAAGTTGCACAACTGCTACCAAGATTATATGTGAGCAATGAAAACTATTTCTGGGACCAGTAGACAAAAGAGTCCTAGAGCGATCAGTAACTGATAGACAAGATGTTATGCAACTGGATCTCGCCATAAAAAAAAAGAAATAAAGGAAAAAGAACAAATCACCTGTCGAATGCGACAGCGATTGCGACTGAGGCAGACCCCAAAGGCGAACAAATGGGCGGAGGGGCGGACGACATGCATATGACGGCGCTCCCCGCATACACACGCACGAGACAAGAGCCCGACGGGAAGCCAGGAAAGGGATACAGACAGATCTAGTGGAACACGAACATACCTCGAGTGAGGGTTTGATATATGACTGCTATAGAACAAGAGGGTCCAGAACTTGGAACAGACATACAGTCTCTTTTTTTTGTTGCAACGTTGGTGGCTTCTTGTGGGACGTCAACAGTCTATGGCAAGTCCGAGCGATTTATGCGGACAGGCGTGAAGAGATATAAGAATGATAGCGTAGCGGGAAGCCAGGGCGCAAAATTGGAAGAATAAGAAGCTGAGACAGAAATATCGTGGCAGGACTCGCGTGGCCGCCTCCGCCGCCTTAGGGTACCGAAGATTGGAGGGGGTCAATGTCGTCTAAAGTTCCCACAATGCAAAACGTCGGATTTGACTGAAATGGACTGGACTGGTGGAGGGATGGAGGCTGAGAAAAAAAAAATGCGGGTGTATGTATAATGTATAATGTAATGTATGTATGGATGTATGTATGTATGCGAAGGCTGTATCGAAAATGTCAAAAGTTGGGGATGACAGGTACCCGTCGTTATCATCAGAGACGTCTGCCTTCCGCCTTTCTTTCGATCTTTCGATCTTTCCTTTCCTTTCCTTTCCTTTCCTTTCTTTTTCTTTCCTTTTCTTTCCTTTTCTTTCCTTTTCTTTCCTTTTCTTTCCTTTTCTTTCCTTTTCTTTCCTTTTCTTTCCTTTCTCCTCCTAGACTTCGGCGGAGGAAAAAGATGAGATGGATGGAAATTGTATACGGAGAAGACGAGTGGGCAAGCTGAGAAAATGCTTTCTAACCTCACACTAGCAGAGACGAAGGGAGGGAGGGAGAGGGAGGGAGAAAAGATCCTGTGGCTTCGTTACTCTCAACTATTCTAGCGGCCTGGTCATACTATCACACTCTCTGGCCACCCCCAGTACCGTTGGCCCAGGCGGTCCTCCAAACAGCTCTTTGTTTTTATTTCGTTTTTTTGTAACTGTGAGAGAGAGTACAGAAGTACAAGTTGGTCGACGAATTCTGCAAAGTTTGGCACTTCGTGTCACCACGAAGAAATTCTAGCTCAGAGTCCAAGAAAGGGGGACGAGAAGAAAGACCGGTGGGTGAGAGCTAGCAAAGAGCAAGAGTCAGTAGAAAGGGAGTGTGGTTGTAGATGCGGATGCGGGAGCGTGTGAATCGATATGGTCTCGGCGTAAACGTAAAATTCAGAGGATCCGAATGGCTAGTCAGGAAGTCAAGGGATATCAAGATTGGATACTGGCGGATCGATATATCGTATACGATGAATTCAAGTCGATGAATAGATAATGTATATGTATATACTATATATTATATCGACGGGTATCGATAGATCAATGACCGATCAATAGAATATAATATCACCACCAAGTACCAACGTATATACGTATGTATGTACTCGGTACAAAGTATAATAATAATAACAATACTCCCAAACTCGAGTTCCCTGCGGTCGTAACTGTAACTTGTAGGTTGTAGGTTGTAATCGTGGTTGTAATTGCAATTCTAATTGTGGTTGTGGTTGTATTTGTGGTTCGGACGAATGATGTATGTTTGTATGTCAGTTATTAACGTTCTGGTCCCGTCGCCACTGTCTAACTTCTTTTTTCTCCTGGTTGCTTGGAGGCTAGGCTGTTCGATTGTTCCAACGGCGAATGCTGGTCTCTTTCTTCTTGCCCCCCAGCCAGAAGAAGAAAAACAAGGAATAGGAAGAATAAAACGAAATAAAATAAAAGAACCGTGTTATGTTATTGATGTTATCGATTGGATGTCGGGCGGGATCCGGGCAGTCCTATGCAATGACAGCGGCGTGATCGATGTCTTTTTCCCCTCGAAGACGTATGTACGCCCAAAGGACGATGTGAAGTTAAAGATGTAATGTTTTGGACTCGGCCTCGGACCTGGAATTGAATCGCTCAGAAGAACAATTATTAATGCTAGCAAAAAGGCGGGTCCGGTGGTTATAACGCTAGTTAAGTTAAGAAGCAGCAGCTGCACGTATGTACGCACGCACACGCACGAACGACCGGGCCTCTGCCTCTTTTTACCTGCTTCCTCACTCACTCACTCACACAGAGCGGTGCAGTGCTGCTGCTTATCCAGACCAGGGCAGGGCCCACGTTAACTATTAGCTGGGCTGGCTCTGTTGCAAAAGGGAAAAAAAGAAAAGGAAAAAGAAAAACATGCGAAAAGAACCGCCGCCGTTTGAACAGGAACTAGAACTGCAGTTAACTGGAACTGGAACTGGAACTGGAACTGGAACGATCGCGAGGCTGATGCTGGGGGGTGGGAGGCATGCAAAAACGTGGAGCAACTGATCTTGAACTTGAAACTTGGGAAACAGTCGACAGGCAGGCGTAGGCACCAGGCTCGACTTCCAGTGAATCGATCGACTAAGGGTCACCGTTCGCTCTTGATTTTTACTTTACTTTTACTTTTGCGCCCTTTACTTTTACTTTACTCCCTTCCTGTCATTTCGGCCGGCCTAAAACTAAACGAACGAACTAACCTAAGCAGCAGCTAACGCAACTCAACTAGCGAAGAGGGTGGAAAATAGGAAGGGGAAGGGGAAGAAAACTGTCCGAAAGTATGTACGAAGGAAGGATAGGTAGCTCGACCAGAGGTCGTACGTGAACCTGAGGACAAGACAGAACTGAGTTCCCCTTCCCGCAGCCAATAACAGAAGCCTGCGCCTGGCTCGACCGCCCTGTGAGAAAAGTTGGGGCTCCACAAAGAAGAAATCGAAATCGAAATCGGGTGCTGGCAAGGATGACCCTTCTGAGCAATGTCCTCGCCAGTCTCCTTGGGCGGAAGTGAGGGGTCCCTTAGCTCTCCCACAAACCGATGCTGCCAACAAGAAGGGAGAAGGTGGCGTTCAAACATGCGTCCAAGCAGGAATGCAATACTATTATTGATGGACCATGCTACCTCTGGCATCCATCCTCTCTTTGGTGCAAGAGAGAGGGCTACAACGCCTAGTGAAAGCGAAAGAAATGGGAAACACCAAGCAAGACGGTCAGAGTCAGAGATAGTAGTAGTTACAGTGGATACGTATGTTAGAGCGGTACAAAGGGATGGGCAGACGACCCAAGGAAACGGGCACCAGTACAACGGGTCTTCCGAAGGCCTGCGGCTCCCTTTCTTAGGAGAACCCGACAAAGCAGGCAGACAGGACAACGAGACCCCACATTTCAGCTTGGTCGAATACACTACTAGTACTCCGTACGGTATGTACCCGTGTATTCAAAGAGGCCTAACGACTGCCAACTTGCAACTGACCATTTCACAAAAATGCAATTTTGATTTTGTCGAAATAGCGAACACTCTTTTTTGCTCATTATTGCGAAGAGACACCAGGTCGGCTTAGATAATCCTTATTTAATATTGCCTGCAGCAGCGGTTGCTTCCTAACTGACTCTTCTTGACTCGAGATGGGAGACTCATTCGGGAATTGATGGGAGTGAGGGGAGCAGGTGTGGGCAATGGGCGCGTCTAGAACTCTTGGAAGCATCAGATGCCCTGGTCGATTGCAGAAAGAGGTGGTCCGATTTTTCCTAGACTGACCAATCAGCGACCCCCTTTCAGCAACTTTACTGGGGACAGGTATCTGCTACAGGTTGTGCTTCAAATTATATTATCGTCTCGAGCTTGCTGTTCATTTTCGTACTGCGGACGGCACCGTCTTCTGGCAAAGACCGTCGACATCCGGGACGTTAGATCATGCATTACACTACAAGCCTGTCATCATTCGTTCAGCTTGAAATTCAACGGTGTGCAGCGCAATCTTTAAATTTGAACTCATACAGGCTTTTGGCTTTCGGGCAGGGTTTGTGAACAGGGTTCTAGGCCAAGCCCACACAATTCGTGAATTTAATCACCCAATTACGCTTTTTGGCCCTCACTCTTCAATTTCAACCGCGATCTGATCAATTTGAACGCCTCCGCCCATTTCCTATATACAGAGTAACATCGCGAATCTGGGTCAGTCGAGCAGGCGAGAAAAAGAAGGCTTGTCCGGGGCATTTTGTCCGTGCTGTCATGTCCCACAAGATATAAATTCGGACACGTTTTTTTCCCCTGGATGCCGGGAGTCTGACCACCCGGCAAGCAGAACAAAGAAGAAATCACAGAAACAAATTGAAAATTACCCCTTTCGGTTCTGGGATACGTTGCTCTTGATTCATGAAAATCGAGTTAATTTGGCTTTGCTTCTTGCAGCGGTCAACTGCGAAGAAAACGCCTCATTTCTGCTGCACGCCAACTGCAACGGCTGAATTTCGACCCGCGGGCGCTATATTGTCGATACACTTCGAGTGATTTGCGGCGTGGGAGGCGTTCCTGCCGAACTATTCTGCACGAGATAAATATCTTCAATCAGCGCTGAAGAATGGTGTTTCAAATTTCAACAATCTGTGAGAGCCTCAATTGCGATATTTTGTGTATAGGCTGAGCGCCTACTTTTGATTCAACCCCTTCCAATTCAAATTTGCGAAAACGGATCTTCCCACATGCTACTACTTTTTGATAGATCTCCATAGTCCAGAACAGTCGGTGGTGGGTGTTGGTGTTTAACTTTCCCCTGCAAATTCCACAACCTGTAAATGCCACTCATTCAAATTCATTCGAAACTCTAATAAGATGCCCAACGTTCGTGTTCGAATCGACTCTTGAGATTACATCGATTGATCCTGTGACCGTGCCATTCGAGCTTTCCTACTGTGTTCTCCATGGGAAGACCCTGTATCCGCATGTATGAGATCATTGGACATGAAAGAAAACTCCTACAGGGCCTAAGAGTATCTACCTGCACGTTCTTGCATGCAAAAGATACATACATACATACACTACACACACATGTACATACATACGTATGTATGTACCTCAAGGATAAACTTGAACGGTCGACACGGTCTAGACGCATCTTTTTCTGCCAAAATAGGGCGAATGAATACGAAGGGAAACTCTGTCTCTCGGGCAGACATCTTTTTTATCCCAGCCTGTCAGTAGCCACACACTTGGGTAAAAAAAAACTGGTTAATTCTAACCGGGCCATGCAAGGCAATGGGATCGTACGACACCCGCAGGCCAAGCAAGAGCAATCTCACGGACCCTATAGTAAGGACGGATATATCATGATCAAAAATGGAATCTCCGGTCAACTGGTATCCACTGAATTCGTCTTTACTTGCCATTGAAGCTAGACCCACTCTCGATACAGGGCAGGATTTCTCGAGGCCGTTCCCAAAACGTGTTCGGATGGACAACAAGGACCCTTGCTTCACTGTCCTGAAAGGCTCCTCCACGTCTTCGAGGCTGAACTCCACATCCCAAAACGATCAGTGGAGCGCGTAAACTTGCGTGAACTCGCTGGTCCTTTATGATTGAGATTGCGAAGGGTCAAGAAGAGCCGTGATCGACTTTGTCCGTTTGTCCAAAAGAGGAGGAAGCTCAGAGTGGGCCGTTTCCTTCTCTCGGTTCCAGATAATGGTTGCCAGACATCGACGGGATGCCAGCCAATATTTTTTAACCAGTCACACGCGAATTCCTTCCCCCAACGACTCCTAATAATATCTCTTGTCCGGCCCCACCAGCCCATTTCCCATGTGACTTTCTTGGAAAATGCGAACTATTGAATGAAATCTGTGACCCCAATTGCCTCACTGCTGTATCACGGTCTGGAAGAGCCCACCTTAACCGTGCTCCTGCCTGCAAACTCGGAGATTACAGCCAGGAACGTGAGATCAGACCACAACCAACAATATATCTCCGCATTGAGGCATTTTATCTCCTTGTAAGATCTATCACACACTCTCTCGATCGCGATAGTCGACTCCCTCTTCTCCTCTCCCGTGTAGAGTGATATCACATTCGCTTATACCGACAGTACATATACATGTACGTACCTGTACCTGGCCTATGAATTGTCGATCTGTTATGAATTGAGTATTAATTTTCCCACTTCACATTCTACTTTTATTCGTCCCATATACAGAGGCCCCTTCACGACTCATGTCATTTATGAGACGGACATCTGCGGGGGATCTTTGATATCTCAGGCTGTTTGTATTGCCGCATCGCCGCTTTTGACTATGTGTAATAGTGACCAACCACTATCAACTTTGACTTCAGCTCTTGGACTCTACAGCGCAGCTCTTAACCATCAACGGATGCACCGATGGTGCAAGATATCCCCAGGCTTCGTTTATCTCTCGTTATCCCTCTTCAATAGGAGTAGCTAGTATTCCCTGCCAAACGCCACCTCTCGGAATTCTTACCTCTATTTCTGTATGCACCGGCTAGCGGCTATCTATCAAATTAGGCAGCCCCATTAACTTCGTCTGGTTGGTTGGAAAGCTTTTCCTCTGCCCATGCTTTCCTTTTCCATTTCGATTCCCTCTCTTTTTTGCTCCCTTTCAGCAGATGAAGACAGGTAGGCTGGTCCCTGTATTTGCATGGTGGTTAATAGACCAAGCTATAGGTAGGGATTATTTGATGTGGTGGGAAATGTGATATAATATTACAAATATATATATTGTAACTTCTCGTACGGGACCAGACCTCAGCTCTCTCTTTTTTTTTTTTTTGACATCTCACTTTTTTGGGAGCCATCTCCTTTCAAGCCGTTTGTTTGCATGCATTAAGTAACTACTGCATAATACTTCCGGAGGATATACTCCGGTGAAATGGAAAAGCGGATATTGGAATCGATAGGAGGCTTTGATTGAATTTTGAAAGGGAAACGATTTGATACCTTGACAGCCTACCGGAATGTAGCAGTTGCCTCATAAATGTGGCGGTGTCAGCGTTTAACAAGATGTGAGATACGGACATTCGTTCTGGATGGATTCGAGGCTGTTGTTTTTCTGCGGCATGCGCAATGCAATGCTTTGTTTGAATGATGCACATGAATATATCATTTTGGACATAAGTATGAGATAGACAAAGGAACATACCAGCCAAAAGAAAGTCTCAAATGATTGACATAACCTTTGATTTAGATACTCTGCATAATGATGTGAGCAGTAAGATTTGTCTTTCAACGGCGAGTTTGCGCAAACTGTTGGATTTTGCACCTAGCAACGCAAATGTGACCGAATCGATGCCTGCATCATGCACGATAGCCTCATAATATATATAAGTAATTATATAACATGACCTTTTGAATAATCGATACTATCTCGTGCAACTCCTTCTCGTCCGCCATGTTTGCTTGATGCCGCGCGTGGGTAGATAACAAAGCAGAAATGAAAAGATTAGTCTAGCACAAGACCTGCAGAAGCCAGAATGGTCAGGCAGATGGGAACATAGGGACCACCCAACATGCGGAAGGGACATATGATCATATACATTTGTTATTATGCAACCTAACTAGCTGTGCTAGTCCCTAGCGCCGTCATGCGGGTAGTTGCAAAACTTTTTGATTGTGAATATTGCCGGGTGCGGTACTTTTACGGGTTCTCCTTAATGGACATGCGCAGGCTGCATTGCGCCTCTAGCTCTGTGCTTTAGGGGGGTAACCTAAATGATGTTTGGTGTTGATCATACATGTACAAACATTCCAACTAGACTGATTTGTATAACGTTGACCGCCTAGACGGGTTTCCACCTGGACGGGGTTTGAACCGTGATGATCCGGCAGTACCATACTGCGCCCTGGACGCTGTTGGGTATATACTAATTCAATTGTCGAAGTTATGATGGTCAATTAAGATTCTATGCTCGCAGATCGATTATTCTTGTCATTTTCGCTATAATCACATCTAGAGATTCTGTAGTTGTGAATTTTTAGGCCAGGTAATTAAAGCCTGAAAAAGTGGCCTTGAGCCTAAGTTTGCGATTGATAATGTTACGATTTCGATCAAGCAACAGGCTTTCGGGATTTATATGTCTGTGCACAACTTCCATCTTATGAACATAGCCACTATATCTTATCTAATTATTGGCCGGTTGATACCCGTGCGTTGAGTTCACGATGGGTTGATCTAATTGTTAACCTTTTCCGAAATTCGATTTTCGACGTTCGGGTTCAAGGTCGGTAGCATTAATTCTGAGTTACGGGGTACTTTAAGGTGGTTTATACGTAATATGTTAATTTATGACTGGCTGCTGTTACAGCGCCCCCAAAGTTGAGCAGATCCGCTTCGAGAGATCTTCAAAAATAAAATAAAAATAAAAAGGTAACGAATGTGTACGTAATCGCATTGTCACTTGGTCAGGCTATACCACCTCATGAATTCTATTGTCTATATGTCAGTCTCGATATATGAACACCTAAAGCACAGATGCCTAGACATCTTGATCAATTGAATTGCTAGTAAACACCCAAAAAATCTCGATAGTGATTTTCCGTTGAAGGAAAATTTTGATCCCGTGTATCGTGGCATAGAGTACAGCCCACTTTATCAGCGCTGAGACCGTCCATTCGGATTAGTCAGGCAAGTAGCATCCTTCTTTAGATTTGATAAACAACGGACGGAAACTAGTCACCGACGCCGAGGACTTGCCTACGTGCGCGTTGCTCCCCTAGCGATCAGGCCCACAACAGAGATTCCTAAAAATATCTGCTCAAACTCGTAGGGTTGGTGGAACATAACCATTATATAACCATGTATTCGGGGAGGAACATCGGGGATTGTGTCGATGCATCTAGACACTTGGAGCACGAAAAAGTCCTTAGGCTATCGATCAGGCGACTAGCTTTGATCCGACAGGAACCCTAGAACAAAGATGGGTTGTTTCATCTATTTGATGCCTTGAGTATAGCCGAAGGATCGAGGCTTATAAAGAATTGAAGAGTGGAAGTATAGCAAATGCATCCTCTGTGTACATGTAGATACATAAGCCTACAATGAATTCCACTTGAGAGTATTTGTCCTCGTATTTTGCCATAGCACTGTACAGAGCGACAAATCTTTTTAGAACTTAGGGACCAAGTTCTCTATTTCAAACGAGGCTAATGATTCCTAATGTATTTATTGCATAATCGAGTACAGGGGAAATCAAAGAATAACTGACTAATTTGTCGATATCATATTTACATATCTTCTAAGTTCAGGCCTAGAAGTACCCTTAGTGCACATGCACTGATATCCCGAGACCGGTAATACGCATATATATCCATGAATTCATATATAGATCAGAGTGGCTTCCCGTCAATTACGGGATATCTATACTTTCTGAAGCCCCATAATAAGGCAACATTAATTACGGCGGGTTGCAGCTGATGCCTGGAGGCCCGGGTCCCTTGATTTGCTAAGCCTTCACAGTAACTCACACCAAGATTGCTTAGAGTTTCAGAGCCTACCAGATCGACCCGTCCAGAAGCTATCCTTAGAGTGAACAAGTGACATGGCCTTGTAGAGTGTGAACGTGCCGGAGCGATCCCAGATTACTCGTAGAGCGTGACCTTATTTTGGATGTTTGCGTGACTGGGTTTTGTGCGCGTCACATTGGAAACTATAACTATATAATTATAAATAGAATAGTCTTAAGCTTGCAGACGTTCAGTATTACACTTAATTAGAAGCATAGTATAGTGCTCATTTTCATACACCGCTTATAGCTGGTATCTTCAATAAATTTATATAAACGCCTACAGAGTCATACTTTCTTTTTACCTACCTCATCATATTCCATAAGATAAATATCTAATATATATAAAATAGAGCTTGTTTTTGTTCCATTAATTTGCCCGAGTCAATATTACGAATCTTGAAAACCCACAAGCCTAAGATGCCTGGAAGTTTTACAGAAAGAGCCCCGTACAGGGCTCCCGCCGTCGGCACGACCTTTGAGACCATAAAGGTGGAATCAGAGGATCTTTTGGGAGGAACTCAAATATCGAGCGCCATAGCGGGCCTCAGCTCAGAGTCCTTGTATAAACATGCCCCCAGTGGGAATCTACCACTTCAATCTCATTGCCACGATGTCATAGTCCGCGTCAGTCTCGTGGCCTCAAACCGAATGATCGAACTTATACTTAACGAGGACGACCCTCTTGAAAAAGTCTTGCAAGTTGTGAAACGTAAGACTTCCGTTAATTATTCTCTACGATATATATTATCATTTTTAACACCTCTGAAACTAACTTGATGGGTGGGTAAAAAACTAATAGCGAGGATCCTTGCAGTCTACTTTGAAACTTCTGGCTACTTTGCTCCATACCCTGCTAGCACCCCTGAATGGACCATAGACCTCACTTTCGGCGATCTTTCCCTCCTAAACATGGTCAACCTCATCGCCTACCGTGGTGAATCACAGCAAACTCTTTTGATCAAAGATGTCTTCTATGGGGGCGAAACTCTTGAGCCTCGTATTTTCCAACTTACATCGCCCCATGAAAGCGGTGCGCCAGGGCCGCCAATCGAATTCAAATGGAATTCCAAAGCCAAGCAATGGGTTCCACAACCTGCTCCCGGAGAAATGCTGTTGATGGATGCACAATTGGCCATCCATGAAAACATTCTATATACGCCGTTCACGCACGCTAAGGGATCTTTATCCCTAACATCTATGAAATTGTGTTATCTACGAAATTTGAACGACAGGTTGAAGACCCCCGCGGCTTCTGTCGGATATGTTTCTGCAGTCGTATTTGTTGGAATTGGAGATATCAAAATGGCGGTTGTGAAGAGTTATGCTTGGAAGAAAGATTCCAGTAAAAGTCTAGGGGAGATCTTGGGTTGGGATGATGATAAGGGTGTTTGTGTGGTTCGGGATGGAACGGGCCAGGAGAGAACATTGAAGTTTCGACCAAACCGATTGGTTTGGGTCGAGGGTTAAAGCAACAAGGCTACTTTCTCGTATATGGGCGGATTTCTTTGTTTTAGTATCGAGCAAATACACTGGGTGGCACTACTTTTTCCCTTACCAGCGAGTATAGTGGTACAAGGGTTATATATCATTGCATGAAGGCGTTTTGTTTTTTAAAATTTTAAGTTTCTAGATCAAAGGCCGATCACAAGGCAGGAATGAATCTATTATTCAATGTTGCAACTCTATATGTTAAAGATATTTTATCTGCAAAGATTTGTATTAAATTACCGTTTTTGTTTATATATTTAGGGGTGAGGCGGCTTTTAGTTTTACACTCTCTTCGAATGCGAAACCCCGCGAGAATTGTTTTGTACTATATCATTTTGTACATCTAACCTACCCCCATTCTTTAGATATTTAACCGTCGTTCATTATCGAAACAAATACCATTATTTTATTTCCAATACAGGATCCCGAGTTTCTCCAAAGTACAGGTGAAATCAGCTCAAAGAATATCTACGTTAATTCTGTCGATCTAGTGCAGGGAAAGATATAAAATCACTAATAGTTTGAGTTCAAGGTCACTTGATCAGTACTTAATAAAAAGCTAGGCTTTACAAGCAAACTTGTTGATATATTTCATATATTATAGGCCTGATCACGAAGGCCAAGCAGCATAAAACGTAACAATACCCATTGGTTCTAGACTATAATTGCTCATATTGATGTAGTCTGGGGATATCAACGCGGATCGGGTTATCTATTTCCTGCTTTATTTTATACTGCGTTTGCGCAACGCCAGGGAGGCTTGTTTTCCAAAGATTATCGATATCAATATTAATGCTTGCCTCATATGATCATATATATGCATACCTAAGTCCTGTACCCCGGACTAGGTCCTGTGCATTAGGCGGTCTCGGGTTGTTTGCCTTTTCACAGAATAGGCAAACAAAGAATATGCATTCATTATGCAACAGAAATAAGTCCATGAATATTCAACTGCAGCCATCCATTTAGCGTTTTTGAAGCTACCAAATACGAGGATACATATTTAAGCCATAGCCTGGCACTGGGTGCCGCTAGAATGTCGGACGGCTCATCACGGCCCAGTCAAAGGGAATTAGTAAAGATGATGTATCGATATGTTTGTGGTTTATAACGTTTAAGTTTTGAAATAATTAATATTGCAAATCTAGGAAAGGAAATTTCGATATGTTTGAAGCATGCGCAAGTGCCATGGCGTGTGACCAATCGTATGCATATGCATTTTAGTATGTGTGTTACGCATTTGGCCATGCATGGTAGTACAGAATCGAAGGATTTGCTGATGTGGTGGCTGGTGGCGCGGAAAATGCGGAAAGGGGGGAGGATCATGCATATGTGGGCGAGTCCCACTAATTGCAGGTAAATTTCTACTTCAAACATAATTACGTCTATCTTTTTGTTAATCCAAGGGCAATCCAACCAATATCCAATCTCGGCACCCCACTCCTACGCTACGTGTATCCATAAATGCCAATTATTACTAGAGGGGTGAATCACGAAAGGTATATGATGGGTAGGTGCCCAAACCTCGAAGCCTGGATATCTCGGACCTCACTCGGCCCGGGGCAACGTAGCCGCTTGGAAATGAAAGTTCTAAATCTTTATGGTCTCGTATCACTTATTTATTCGATGGTAATACCCATGACCCGAGCCTACCAGTGCTCCCCAAAGCGATCCGTACATCGAAATAGAGCAGGCATATCCTCAAAGTTAGCCTCAATTCCACTCAATGGGCATATGGTAGTACAAATCGTAAGCTGAGCGAGGTCGGATGATGGTAATGCATCGACGGTGGAACCCAAGACTAGTCTTATATTCCCGATCGGCTAGGATACCTTGTTAACATGAAGCTAATTAGTGCTGGGACTGTACTAGCATAGTCCTCTTTTCCTCGTTCTAGACTTCAAGCGGTAAATATACGATTGGTTATGGACGCTTATCAATTTCGTAAATAAACGAGGCTGGTGAGATGAGTATGCATCTTCCCAAGACCGATAGACTGTTTCATGAAAACATATGCTATCTTAACCCGGTTTGCGGGTTCATGAAAGGGGCATGGCCTGGCCGATATCAGACAATTCTGAACAAGCTCACCTAGCCTTGATGTTTGGATATTATATGGGATAATGGAATATATATAGATCCTGTGCACCTTGTCGGGTTTCAGTTTCAAATCTTATATCCATGGGCAAGACCCTTGGTTTCGGTTTCGAAATTTCTGCAAACCTCGGGGTCTAGGAGCTTTGTAATTTTGTAATCAACTGAGGACTCGGTAATCCACCGGAAAGCCTTTCGAGTCTAAACTTGCCACCCCTATCAACATCATCATTAAGGCTCCATATATGGGCTATAGCGCTATTCTGATACTACCACTGATCTCAACACTAACTACCATTAATGCATTGGAAATAGTTTAATCAAAATACAACACCACCAACCAACTCTGCCATTTCCCCTCCTTCAGCACTCTATACGGTTCGTAAACCTCCCTTGCCCCCCTAATCCCTCTATCCCTCATCTCCAACTTACAAACCCTCATAACATCCCATCCCAGCTCTTCTTCAATCTCTACTTTGTTATCTCCCGTATCCCCAATTTTTATAACTTTTAGAGAAGGATGGCGAGGAAGTATGATCGAATCTCGAAAGTATCCCCACGGAGATATATGAAACCACGGTCGACGTTGTAGTGGAGGAATTAACTTTGGGAGGTATGTTAGGAGTTCTTGGATGACTGTTATGGTTAAAGTGCGAAGGCGATCAAAACGACGGATGAAATGGGCGAACTATCTAGATATAAGTATACGAAAATATATAAAATGGAGAAAATGGAGGGAGGGGATGTACCTTGAAGTTATCAAACTCCTTAGTAAAATCAACCAAAGCTTTGATTTGCTCAACTTCACTCCAATCCACCTTCACAAACCTATCAAACATTTCCAACTGTCCCTCCGCCCCCGAGATTTCCAATTTCTTCAAATGAGGGAAATCAAAAAACTTACTCCTCTCATTTTCGATCTGTTCTCTATGGTTCTCATACCTAGCCGGCTCCCATTTGTTGAAGATATTAAACCCCAAACACCTCGTCTTCCTAGTAGCGGGTCTTAATATCAAACACAATATCTCAAGTAAGTGATACCTCCTCAACTCCCCTGGTGGCGTATCAACCCCTTCGTCCAATACCCTAATTTTTAATTCATCCAAAACCGCGTATTTTGTGTCTTTATTGCTTTGTTCTAGTCTTATCCCTTTACTTAAGTGTTCGTATACATCATTGTAGCTCCATTGATACCGAACGCTAACATTTAGAGATAGCTTTTTCAGGTAGAAGGAGGTAGTGAGAAGGTATTGAAGGCTTTGGACTAGATCTTGGATTGAATTATAAAAGTTACCGTCGAATTCAAGGGATGTCAGGTGGGTGAATGAGGGTGTTAGGTCGAAGAGGGCAGACGGGAGGGAAGGGGCCCACGGGAAACGGGCGATTAGGTGTGTGGAGTCGGGAAGAATTGCATGGTCGGATATTATTGATAGTTTTCTGGAATTTATATTAGATCTTCTTGTGCATGCATATTTTATCTAAATACTTGGAAAGATATAGAAGAAGGATAATTATATACCTGACAAAACTCCCATAGTGTCTAAACAACTCTAGTTTATCACGAGAATAAATACACCCGGGTTGGTTCTCCCATCCTGAATACTGAAAAAGCATTTTACATTCTCCGTAGATATACGATAATAGGACTTCGTGGAATCTTCGACATGTTTTCCCGATTGAGCTTGGGTGGTGGAGTTTATTGATTCCATTATTGTTCGTCAATGCGAAAGTGAAGATTGCGAGAAGGATTTCAGGAGGAAGTTTTAGAATCCCTGTGGATTTGGGATTTGAAGGGCGGATAGGTCGGAATGTGGGGGTTGAGGAGCGGATGCTCGAGGTATGTGTACCACCATACGGCGTCTGAAGGGGTTTAGAGCGGGAGAAGATCGACTTTAGAGTGGGGAGGAAAGTCATGGTTATACGTTTTAACGTTTAAGACGGTGATTAGTTGAATTGTAGATCAAGTAAATATTTCACTTTTGAATACAGAGATTTGTTTCTTGTTAAATATAATCATAAAAGAGAAGAGACCTACTTGTCCATTGAAGGATTGAGAAAGTTGATGACGGGAATGGTGACGCGGAAATCCAAAGGTGCATAATTAACCCGCGACGAGAAGTCGAATGTTCAGCCCGACCCGCTAAGCATGCATGGGGTACCCCTGTAAGTAGGAATGTTCGCTAGAACCCGCCATCTGATGCCAATTCTGGAATGCAAATCCTTGTACAGAGTACCAAATTCATGACCACTTTTGTCGAGTTCGAATAGATACTTAGATGTCTTGAAATCGACATGCGTAAAATAAATTGGAGATATCGCCTTGGGTTTTTTTGGAAGAGGGGAAAAGTGGAACAGGCTCGTTTCTCATGTTTGTTTCCCGAAGTAGTACCCTCTGAATCCCTCAAAGTAGCGAATAAGATATGGAAAAATAGGTGATGACACATTACAGCAATGCAAGAGAGAAGAGAGATGCAGCCCTGTTTTCTCGTTTCACTCTTGGCCCGCTCAGAGTACCGCTTCATCCTGGTCGAACGAGGAGAAACAGGGCTAGCTTTATCTAGCCTCGTGGCCGCCATGCTCTCCCTCTCTCTTTCCTCCTTTCCTTCTTTTTTTCCTAGATATGATATTACATTAGTGTCACGGGTAATATAATAACTTCAGTTCTATTCCACGATAACCGGCTTATCGACTCGTTTTGCGGATATATATAGTTTTAATATAAATAAAATAAAGGTATGGTAACGACAGCGCATGCGCAGGAAGCCGAGGAAGAAAGAGTTGAGGATGTTGGAAGAAAAGAGGGAGAAAGAGGAAGAGAACTCTGCGCCCGGTGTAGTAAGTTTTAGAGTTTCGAGTCGAACTCTCTCCTCACCCCGTCTCTATGATAACTAACTAGTATGCTCGTACTGACAGAAAAATAAACCAAATAAATAGAAGATCCACTCCCGTTATGGGCCTCCGAAACTCCCAGTGAAATCGATGCCAACTTCACCCGCCCAGTTGCTATCACCACCCCCACTAGTACTAGCATCGATATCAATAGCTGTAGCAATGACACGGATACGAGCATGCACGGTACTACCTCACAGTCAACCCCGATAACATACCCCATCTCCCCAGTATCCGACTTAATAATCCATCTCCCCACCCAGGCAGTCTCCCACTGCTATCTAGTCTCCTCCCAAATTCTCCGTGTCGTCTCCCCGGTGTGGCGACGTCATCTAGACCCCAACAGTCCCTTCCAATCCCTCTCCACTTCCATGGAAACGATCTCAGACCGTCCGCATATAATTATGACACTATATGAGGATGACCCGGACACTTTACTATCGGTTCTAAACATCCTTCATTTCTCCACATCGAGTATTCCGACAACATCGATAAACTTTGGACAACTCAGGTCTTTCGCGGTCTTGTGTGATAAGTACGACTGTATACATGTGTTGAACGCTTATTCGAAGGTATGGTTGGACGAATGGGCCCCCGTTGCATGTGAACCGGGGTATGAGGACTGGCTGTTTATTGCCAAGGTTTTTGGAGATCCTAGGAATACCAAGGAGTTGGAGAAGCTGCTGGTCCAAGAGGCCGGTTCGTTAAGCGTTTGTGGGGCTTACTTTTTGAGATGTGGAAGGGTGGTGGAGACGATACTTTTGCCAGAGAAAACATTGGGTATGTATACTTCTTTCTACATCGATTGATTTCTTTCTTCTATGGATTTTTGAGAGCGTATGCTAATATGCAGAAACGTGAAAGAAAAAATAATGTCCTCTCGAGTAACAGAATTAACGCGTCAAATCTCCGTATGGCGGACGTTTTTACAGACCTTCATATCAGAAAATGTTACAAAAGGCTGTTCGAATTGGGATTGTGTGACACTTTCGTACGGAAATCTTATTAGATCGGTTGAACAATCTGGCCTCGTTAAGATCTTCAATCTGCTAGAGGAATGGCATGGCAATATTAGGGACTTTGAAGAGAAGACTGGGGGAATACAGCTGGCTAATGGGACTAGGTTTCATGGGTATGGATGGTGTCCTGTAGAGAATCTAAATGTCGGACTGAGGAGTCGGCTTGGGAGAGTTGATAGTTAATTTTGTTCTATAAATTTATGTTCAGCATATGCATTCTATGACCGGGTTTGCAATTTGGGAACGAGGTAAGGCATTTCATGGGCTATATGGCACGGATCTTATGGCGCTTATAGGTGGAAGATATCATGGGTATTAATGTTACTTAGAACAGTAAATTTCATATTCAAGACGACTTAATATTTATTCGTGTACATGCATTTGAGAAGATAATACAACTTTTATAATACCCAGATATCGCTATCTCTTAAGCCTTCTAACTCCGACGTTCTAAATATAATCCAGTGCATATATAATACAATAAAGCTAGAAAAGAGAATCAAAGAAATTTACATATTCCTTCTCCTAACTCTCCTCATTCCCGATGGCTTATAATACTTCTGAATCCTCGTAATGTCCTCTGGCTTCAAGTCCAAGTCCACATTTCCACCACCGCCAGCCATCAACCTCGCCATAATAGCATTTTCAGTCAAAGTATGCCCCAATCCCAAAGTATGACCAACCTCATGCAAAAAAACATTATGAATCTGATTAACATTCCAGTTATTCGGTCCAGTACTGGTGTTATTGAACTTGACATATCCCGTCCAAACCTTCTTTTCGACTGGGACCCATCGGCTTGAAATGCCAGGTCCCCATGAAGCATTAGCAGCGATCCAAGATCCATCGGTCTGTGCTGGGAAATCAGGATCAAGAACATCAGGTCCCGAAACTTCTATTTTTAATTCAATGTCGTCCCGATCAGCCCCCTCAGCCGCCTTTTCGAATGTGAGGCTCGATACGGCGGCCCATTTATTCAGAGCTTTTACGATGATGGATTCCATTGTGGACATGTCGAAGCCTTTAATGGTACCGTAGAGTTTCCATCTTATGGGACGGTCGGTGAACCATGTGTTTTTACCGTCTTGAAGGTCGTCGACTTCTTCTTGGCGTCTGGCGTAGCGGAGACGGTGAGAGTGGGCACGGTTACCGCCGCAGAGGAGGTTGGTGGATTTCTTTTGGAGGTGGGTTCCTTGTAAGTTGGACATTCTTTAAAATAAATAGATAATTTTTCTTATCGGACAAAAGGGAGATATTTTGTTAAATATATAGTCGAGAATGGAGATGTCGGAAGATTCAAAAGGGTAATGGTTGATATACCGATCTGAGGATTGGATTGTACGGACTGGTGATTAAACTATGAACTGATGATTCTGATATGATAATGAAAATTACAGAAAGGCCCTTTCTCATCTATTTATATAATTATACCAGCCGGTTCGAAGCTCAAGATTTCTACGCGCATATCTGGATACTGCCAACGCCACAAACGCCACAAACCCTCGATTAGCACATCTAGAACCGGCCTTGTTCGCATCTAATTCCTAGATTCAAAATAACAGCTTCTAGATCTAACGTTCTTGCATCAGCAAAAAGAAAAAATTGGATCAACTTTATTTCGAAAATCATACGATACATGGATTGATATACGTATGTTATGCAGGCATGTTTTGTGTCCTGTACCCTGTTGCTAGGATTCAATTTTCTCTTTCTCCTTCTCTATAGCTCTGGAACAAACTCTAGAAAATGCGAAGGAGGGTTCTGACGGAGTCAATGATTTAAAAGTTAACGTTAACGTTGCATGCCACTGTTAAAGTAAACCATGACCCGAGGAGAAACTGGGGGTGTCAGAAAGGTAAGAAATTCTAGAAGAAGTATTTCGTCAAAAGGTTGGCGTTTGATATCTTCCCGTTATGCAAAGCTCAGGGACATTCAAAATCTCCGAATCTGCAGCGGTAGGTATGAAGCTGTTAGAAACTCTAAAGATTCAGCGGGGAAAGGGTCCATCCTAGTTTTGCTATATGCAGAGTCCAATATAGCCAACTAGTCCTGATATAATCGATACTCCATATAAGGCCTGACTGATGTCCCAAAGTATAATCAAACAGAACGGTCTGCTGTCGATACCCGTCCATCCAAACCGCCACCGACGTAACCAAATATTGGCAGTTGCTTGTTGAGCTTAAGAAATTCTGGACAGTCTCAAAAGCATGTAGGGGTTGAAACGAACGGCTAACTATATACTAGCTTGTGCGGGCGGGCGGCGCGGCGGAAAAAATAATAGTGGGTAGGCTAAACCAGACTACGTTAGTCGGTCTAGTTTCGCAGAATTCGGAACAGATACCAATGGTTTTTTCCTGGTTCCAAGACGTTTCGAGATCAGCAAATGACTTTCCTATTGTGATAAAGAAGACGTCTTCGGAGTAGCACTAGTCAATTGTCATGATAAATTTTCTTTTTTGTAGGAGACTCTGGGGATATATCTATGCACATGCATGTCCCATGGAAATCTTGGCTGGGGTTCGGGAGGAACATGTTGCTTGATCATGTTGCATTTTCTGGCTTAAAGTCAAATGTAAACCCAAGGTTGTGATCAACAAGCAATTGATGATTGAACCACACTAAGTTTTTTTGATGTAATGATCGATACCATATCGTTACAAACTGCTTTAGGAGTCAGTATGGGTTAAGTCTAGATCTTTGATAAGGTTATTTGATATTTTTGTTAATTGTCAGGTTCATGAGTGGGGGAATAAGTTAGCCTCATCGTATTGTATTGGTGCGTCCGCATCGATATCCAGCCTACTAAGGGGCCGTATACCTAGGCGGTCGAGTCTCCCGAGATTTAGAAATCCACTGGCTAAGCCAATTTTACTGGAGATCGGCTTTATTCATGACGGTCACAATTTAGTTGCGAAGCCTGACCGCGAGAAGGAAAAAAATCAAAAAATTCCATGATCTATAATTCTTCTCTGAAGATGAGACTACAACCCCTGCACGACAAAGTCTACATCGTCTACAACTCCGCTTAGCTAGCCCCAAAGCCGCCTAGAACACTAAAGTATCACCCCATATACCCACGGAGACTATTCAATGGCTTCCCTGTTGTCCCGATTTTCCGTTCCTCTGTCTTCTTCTATTTGTATTTCTTTTATTTCTTTTTATTTTTTATTTTGTTCTTTGGCTTCCTTCCGACGATTCATTCCAAAAATGCCACCCACAACAATCAACTCACTCCCCCCAGAACTCCACTCTACAATCCTCTCCTACTTACCCTTCTCAACCATCATAGCTTCCCTCCGAACCTGCAAGCTATGGAATTCCATCCTTTCTACACCTTCACATATCTCATCTCGATATCTTCCATTATCCGTTTCAAAGGATAATGTTGATAAATACAAAACTGGTGTTAAAATCCCAGGTCTCCACCGTCTGATCGATTCGAGTGGCTGTTTGAAGATCAAAATGACGGGGGAGGAGTTGGCTTCTCTGAGTTTTCTTGATTCTAGTATTGATTCGGAGTTACTAGATGGAGAAAAGGAAGAAGCGAAATGGGTGGATATACCATCGTCGTCATCACTATTAAGCGATGCTTTATTCTCCCCCGACGCTATTGAAAATACTGGAGAAGAGAATGGATTCACGATATATATATTCCATCCCCGTCTATGGGGCTCTACTCCATGGTTTCCAACCCCGAATGTTTCCTTCTCGCCGTTAGGGAACTGTAAAGTTAAGGATGTGATCCAAACTATGAAAAAAGTGTTCGTGGAGCGGTATTTAGATGAGGACGATAAACACGTTTATGAGATTATGTTGAGTCATGAGCGTGAAGACGATTATGGGGATTGGCTGGTTGCGGGGACTATTGAAAGGATTGAAGTCGGTGATCCCAATTGCGCTAGCGGAGGAGGGGAGTGGAATACAAGCCCCCCTTGGGATACGACGGTGGGAAGCGGCTGGGGTGATGATGGGGATAATATTGCTTGGGATTCATAAGATATATATACCTCAGTCGGTAGTATTTGGTCTAGCGTATCTCTTGTATCCAGATCGATAGAATCGTCGCAATGGTGAACTTCAATATCAGATTGGAAGTTGTTTATGCAAGAACAATCCTCGCCCTCAAAACCCCTACCCACTTCTTCCACCAAGCATCCCACAGATGTGTCAAAATAACCTCGTATCCCCCATCGCCACCCTCATTAACCTTCAAAACTCTCACAAGAAAATGGATCAAATCTTCAATTGTAGCATTATCTCGTACCCGGACCTGGAAGGCATCGTTCTCAACCGACCAGTGAAAAGGTGACATACTCTGAAACGAGGGGTAATCCGCACTATGGGTCGGAATTACTTCGATAAAGAAGTTATCAAGAACCATATCCTCCAAATTCCCATATGGTTGTTTGTCAGATTCTTCTGCTGATAGGTAGGTTATGAATGGCGAAAAAATAGGCTCCTTTAGAAACGGGTGGTTGGTTATATCCATCCATTCTTCCCTAGTTTCTGTGATAATCTTCTCCCCTAGTTCTTTCCGTTGGGTCTCAATGACATTCCGAAATTTGTGGCTGATAACCTTGTCGCCCTTGATTGTAAACTTAAAATCTCCGTTGAAATTGAGGAGACGGTGGAGGTTTGGTAGACCCAATGTTGTGAATTTTGGGCCGTACCGAGCTTTTTGGAGTGCGTGGGAGGAGACTATGGAAGACCACAAGGGGGAGACCTTGGAGACTGCAAAATGGGATGTGAACGGGATGAAGAGAAGAATAAGGGTTTGGAGCTCCGGGGGGAGGCCGGTTAGGGACATCGTAAATATTAGTGCAGTGTAGTGTATTGTAGTGAGAGACGAGGCTATGTGGTGGGAATCGCGAGGAGGGGTCGTAGATGTATTATAATTGGATCCTAGTGTAATTGCCTGAAGCTCATGCAAACAAACACTAGGCTCTCTTTGGCTGCAACAAATCCGCGGTTCATCAAATTGCTCCTTTCGTAATCAATTTTTCAAGGGAAAAGAAAAGAAAAGAAAAGAAAATGATGATAGCAAAGTAGAGTCGGGTCGTTTGTTATGAAAATGTCACCGGTCCCCTCGTCGCTTTCTCAAATATATCCTGTAACTTCCTTTGTTTCTCCGTTTGTTCAACTTCCACTTCATCTCCTTTCCATAACCGTTTTGACTTCCACCTTGCTACCCCTTCTCTTCTCCCAAGAAGCTTTTTTCCATCTCTTAACGCATGAGAAGTATACAACTCCCCATTTCTTTGTCTTTGAACTAGCCCCATAATTCTTCCTAACCCATCTCTGACTTCAGTCTTTGGAATCCTGACCCTTTTCAACATCTTTCCATTCTCAAGATCGAAAGCCAATAACTCTTCCTCGTTCCCAGTCCATAGCATTTCTCCGCCGACGGCGTCGTCGCTTTCCGTGATCACCATTGGGAACTCTGATTGAAACTTGTTCTTGATCACGGGTGGGAAGACGACGTTTGTATTTTTCCCATTTTCTGCATTCCATACCCTTATTTTCCCATCCATCCCAGCGCTGACGATCCTTCTACCATCGGAAGTCCATAATAACCCATTAACACCCCCATCATGAGCTTTCCCCGCAGCTCTATTTGCAGCTCGCGGTAGCATATTAACATCCAAGCTCCCCAAACAAGTAGCCCCATACCTAATATCCCAAACTCTCACACTGCCATCTTTCCCACCTGATGCAAGAATTGATGAATAAATAGGTGACCAAGAAACACTGAATACTGACGTCACATGTCCAAAGAGTGTTTGTGAGGTTGATGAAGTGCGAGGATCAATTAGTCGGATATGTGGAGAGGAACCGGCGACAGCTATTAATGCCGTTGAGACGGATGCTGGAGAAGTTGAGTGAGTGTAGAGGTGGGAATCGAGAGGATAAGTTTGTAGACAGATTGGATTTGAAGGGGTTAAAGAGAAGAGGGAAAGTGTGGAAGAATAGGATGTTGCAGAGAACTACACTTGTAAATAAGCACTTTATAATTGTATACCTAGCTACCTAGTTTATGTAACTGGAGGGATAGGGGACATACGAGAGACGAATTATGAGGATTGAACCTGATAGAAGACACACCATGGTCTGGTTTATCCTCCCTATACCACATCAATTAGACAGCTGTAGCTTCTGTAAGTGTGGGGAAGTAACATACTCCAGTACCGTAGTTGAAGCCCTAATATTATCATCATCGTGATATTCTTGCTCGAGGTCCCAGGTAATGATACTGCCATCAGCGCCTCCAGTCACCATCCTGCCCAAAATTACGACAATAGATAATTGTATTAGCCATAGAATCGGTTATAATCCTCTAACAAATCTACTTTATGATGATGGGAAGAAATGAAACAAAAAAGGACGGAGATATAAACTAATTACCATCGTCCGTTGTCTTCATCTGCACCAATACAGTTAACACCTTTGTGGTGTCCTCTCATTCCCTTCCTCAAAGTAAATCGCGTAGAGGAGTCATAATCTACATCGCGATATAGAAATGAAGTGACAACGCGTGAGAGGTCCGCTGTGGATTGATCATTGGGGGTATAAGGGCCTAAGCTGCGATGGAAGAGGAGAGGTGAGATGTTCATGACATGTTTTTATATACTGACAGAGGAGGAGGCTGTGTGATGTTTAAGAGTAGTAGTCTGTCTGGTGTACCAAATACACAATGTAAGTCAGACTCTTGGCAATCCGGATATCTCGATGTCCTAGGCGTCCTGGCTACAGGGCTTCGATGTCAACGACGTTCGTAATCCCGGAGATGTGTTGATGTGTTGTCGACCATATTATCATTGCTGCTGAAGACTGCATGAACAGCTTGAATTCATTTCATCATCATCTCAACTCTCATCCGGCATATATTCTTATGCATATACATCCTTCATCGTGCGATATCCAATAATAGTATACAGACTAGACGAGGATCTAATTCCACCGACCAGCTAGTGATTTGAAATTTGATATCATGTCATGATCGATATTTATCCCTTTACCGGAAAATGGATCCATGAGTTGTACGAATCGCAGCTGCAGCTCAAGCTCGAAAGACAGCGTCTGGGCCGGGCTGGCCACGAGACTGCTCCCTAAGTATTCATATGGCTTTCGGGGCGGGCGGGCATGTGTAACTACTACTTAAATACCTAGGTAAGCAGCAGGATCAGGATCTATATGTTAGTATGCTTTTGTAAAGAGCTATGCCTCCGTCTAAAACTCGACTATGGCAACATTACAGACTGTCCCGACCGAAATCCATCTACACATTGCAAAGCTCCTCCTCCCTTGCGATGTTGCAGCTCTTGCTCTTACCTGTCAGACCCTGAAGCGACGCCTCGGTCATGAAAATCAATTTTTTTGGTATAATCTGCTTCGCAGTGGATATGACTCTAATCCCATCAATATCAGGCTCAGGGCTGCCTCATGGCTGAGTCGCATCAAATTTGATGGATTTCGACCTGAAAACAAAGACTACTGGGCTGAGGCCATAGGAATCATCTCGGGAAAATCTGACCATGGCTGTAGCTCCTGTTTGGCGACTGCCAGCATGCGGAAGTTCGAGGAGTACTCTTATTTCGCCTATTTCCCAGTCTCCAGACTCGGTATCGTAGATGACGGGGAGAGGCTTATGCGGCGATATTGCCACCAATGTTTCTCTGAATGGCACATCGGTGAGTCCATGCGCTTCACCTTGATATCTATAGCAATTGCAGCGAGTTGGCCTATTGATTGTTGGTTAACACGTTCACGGTATTAAATATAAAGACCTTGAGTTCTTCGAAGCTACACACCCGCTTGTACCGCTACCAGCCATAGTCGGTATTCAAATTTCACGCGAAGGGGGGATAACTTCCGCCCAGGACTTTATTGGTGCAAAATTGAAACGGATTATACCTATTACTACTGCAACCAAAGCCATAGAAGACTTCTATGGCCTTAAATTCGAAACCGCAAATAGTATACCTCACCGATTTAGGGCAAGATGGTCTCGGATTCGAGGCGAGTACGATGCTCAGCTTGTTATTGACGCTCTCAACTTCATAAAAGACATCTACCAGCAAAACTACAAGCATCTGCAAGTTGTAATGACCCCCGAGACATATTACAAGAGATTCTCAGATTCCTTGCTCTACTTCATTTTAAGCGACAAATTTCGGACAGTACTGCTTGGAAGAGAGCTCAACAACGTTCATGCCAGTGATGCGGCGTCCTCGGACTTATATAACGAATTCACCATACCTCCTTTGTCTATCGCCGAGGAAACAATGAAAATATCTAGATTACTTGCTCAAGGATCGAGGGGGCGGTCAATAGCCACAGAACTCGCTAATAGTTTCCATGTCCGCCTGTTTGGCAATCCTGAAAAATTCGAGCCGCAGACGTTAATCCATCCGTGGTCCATGGTCCTAAAGACGGAACTAATACGTTCCAAATCAGGGACAGTTTTTCATCCCGTAGGGGTGTTTACGTGGCATATTTTATACACCTATCTATACTTCATGGGCGAGTCGAACGGGTATCAGAAGGACTGGATTCGGTGCTATTGGTGTCTTCGCCAAAACAATGGGAGGGATACGGAAGATAACAGGTACAACCAGGAGGATGTGAATATGTACCTATCAGAGAGTTGGATCGTGATACACAATCTTGTGCATCATCCAGAGCTTGTCCGGAAAAGGCCAAAAAATCCGGTTCACGATCATTGTACGGTTTTCTCAGGAAATTCCAATGTCTATATTCTTCACCGGGATGGTACTCGAAGTATATCTTACGACTCCGAACAAATGCGAAAGTTTCGTGAAGAGCGTCCTATTTTTGAGGAAGAGGAGCTTGAGGATGTGCCTGAGGAAATAATACAATCTAGGGAGGATCGGATTTCGACTTCCCGCTACTTCCACTGGGTTTGAACAAGTAAGTACTTAAGTGAATAGATATTTTGACGTCGGGAATAGCCCACGGTCAGAATTAACGAAACCTTTCGATAGTGTAATATGTAACATACTCAACAAGACTAATGCAATCCTACTAACAAATTTTGCTCGGCCGTTCCAGTTTCGAGACTGCTAACAAAATGAATATGTTCCATTCAATCTGAATACAACACTTATATCGCTGCAGGCAGTTGTGTAGTTTTGGAGGAAGGTCGAGGCTTGCCAAGAAATTGAATGAGACTTAAGTTCTTCGCGTCCTTAATCTCATGCAACCAACCAACCTCACACAGGCTCCATACAACGTTACCTTAGCTTTTATACCCGTCGCACTCCACCGCAAAGCTTCTATAACCCTCGAAAATGACAGAAAAATTGTCGCTGGAAGACAGCGAGTCGGATTATATCGAATCTTCAGCGGAGTCTTCGTCATCTTCATCTTCGTCAGCTTCCAAATCTGCCGAATCGTCACCAGAACGGGCGACATCTCTAGCTGCGCCCAGCCAACCTAAACCGCCAGGTCCTGCCAATGGTTCTACAAATAATGGCGGTCCTAAATCTAACTTAGAAGAAGAGGACGATTACAGCGACGACCACAGCAACGGTGAAAATGAAGAAGAATCAAAAAAAGAAGAAACCCCGTGGAATCCATACTCTCACTCCAAAGCAAACGTCTTTACCGCCTCATCCTCCCTTGTAACGGTCACCCAGCGTTCACTTTCCCAAAGACACTCCAAACCTGCCGGTGCCGATGAAATCCTCTTTCATAATCCTATGAATCCCGACTTTGTACTCCCTGACTCTGTCAAGTCTATTTTAGAAGATGAGAAGATAATGGGAGATCTACCGGATTCGGATCTATTAAAGGCGGTACACAGATATGCTTCTGAGTTCTTTGATGCGAAAGGCTGGGATGGAGTTATGGCCCGGAGTCTGGATGAGAGTGCTTTGCTCGCTATTGGAGTAATTTTGGAGGAGTATTGTAGGGAGATGATTGGGAAGGATGGGGGAATGGTCTTTGCTGAATGATAGGTACTTAAGTACCTATCCATCTATCCACCTATTTATCCTCTCTACGGTGTTTCAAAGGTGTATAGATCAAGTGGGTATCATTGTTTAGAAAATCATCGGGAACATGCGTCTATATATCGCATACGTAAACTCATACAGAGGGAGTACTCCCTAGATCTAGGTTCTTCACCTGCTCCTCCAACCCTGGCGTATCAACTATTTGTTCAACCTCCTTCTCTTGGCTTTGGTCGGTCACATCGGTATGCGCCACCCTCATCCATTGCGGTTCTGGACCTTTCTGCTCTCCTAGTGTCTTCTCGACTTCTTCGTCACCACCTTTGACGAATAACCCCTGAAGCCAACATCGATGCATCTTTATCTTTCTTGCACGGTTGACTAGCATTCGTCTATCTACCCCCAGTAATACGGTATTCATTCCTGTGTCCTCTCTTTCGGTATCTTCTTCTACTTGGGGTTTGTATTTCGGATCGAATATATTACCTAACTCGTCTCGGTCGAAGAAGTATACCCTTGTCCCATCTCCCCTGATATAGAAATTCTCCTGCAAGAACCTTCCCTTCTTGAACCTCACCTGCGCCAAATCGCCCCTTCCGTAATCTCTAAACAAAACCTTCCCGCCCTTCTTCAGGCATTTATTTACGTTATTAACGGCGTGGGCCCACTGATCCGGGTGTAATGCTGAAAACACGAAGATGAGGATAACGACATCTAATGATTCTGGTTCAATACCCTCTGGGAGAACTCCATCGGCATTTCCTAAGTCCCAAACGGATGCCGAGACATGTTTTGGGTGGTGGAGAGTGTAAAGTTCGTTGGAGCGGATCAATTCGATAGAAGTTTTTGAGAAGTCGGCGCCATGAATGTGGAAGTTGGGGTTTTTGTTGGAGGAGAGGATCGGGAAAAGGGTGTTTCCTGCGCCACAGCCGACTTCGAGAAGACGAATTGGAGGGGAGGTTTCAGCGGTCGCGGTTGTTAGGATTGGAAACTATTTTGTTGGAAAAATGTTAGGACGTGGGAACGTTGGAGGAGGGTGTGAAAGGCGGCGGAAGGGATGAACTTGCTTCCTGCTGCAGCCATTTCCTATCTTTGAAGAAATTCTCACGGTTGTTCTTATAAAAGTTATTCCACCATTTCTCAGGTTCGGAATTGAACCGATCTTTTATTCATTCCAACCACACTTGTCAGTTCCTTTCTATATTCCCTCATTTTCCTTTTCCTCCCCCCCTCTGAAGAATGGTTGAATATAGAAGGGACATACTTTTATCAAACTCCCTCACTGGATTGCTCCTCTGCATATCATACTGTCCCTCGGCATACGCTTTATAGTCATCATCTACCTCAACATGGTCCCACGCATTAAACGCAAACTCGTCGTCTCCTTCTTCCAAGTATCTGGTACCGAATTGGAAAGGGTCTGAACGTTTTAGGCCGTCTGGTTTGGGTTGTTTTTGGGTGGTTGATGATTCTGAAGAAGGGCCAGTAGAAGATGACGGTGTATCGGTGCTATTGGTAATATTTGAGGATGTATCGGAGTTTGGAGGTCTAGAAGAGGGCTTTGAAGGGAGAGAAGACGAAAGGAGAGCTGCGTCTGCGATTTGACGGGTTCGAGGGGGCTTTGTGGAAGGGTTTTGATCGGAAGGGAGGGGTGGTGGGGGTATTGAGATTTTGGAGTGAGCGTCTGAGCCGTTTATTACTGAAGGAGGGTTAAAATCTTGCTGGTCCGCCATGATGGGGATAATATGATGACAGGTAACGATGATAAAAAAGATGGAGACAAGATGGAGACAAGATGGTGATGATGGTGGTGGTGGTGGTGGTGGTGGTGGTGGGGAAGCTTGAAGTTGAAAACGATGATTGGATTTGCATTTGAGTCGCTGGAAGAGCTCGAATTGGAAATTTTTGCAGGGGTTTTTGGTTGGAGCTCGGACAGTCATCGACAACGCATTTTCGGTGGTAAAATACCACGTTTCCGATGCCTCATGTCGGATTTTAGGATATCGTAGTGGGCAGGCACTTTCAATTCTTATAATATCATAATACTTGTCAGGAAATACTAAAGCTTGTTACTTTGGTGCTGTTAAGTTTTAAGGTAGATTGTACAGGACAAATCACAAGACTTTACATGTATACAATGTCCTTAAGGTGAAAGCAGATCTGAAACCGCCTTGTCCTGTTGCAGCCATAAGGCCCTCAGCTGACGGTACTATCGAGATTTATGTTTAGAATATATTCTGACGAGTACGTATTGTATATAATCTTACTTCAATAGCTTGGATTCATGGAGCCAGTTGCTCGAGAATAAAATTTAAAACCATTTTCATTTTATGGACACCGTAGTGTGTGCCATGCATGCATGCGAGTGAAATCATCCGCCTCTGCCATTGCCTTAGAAAAGAATATTATCATGTTTCTGAATTAAATATTAACACTAATTTAATTGACTAAACTGCTTTTCCTACTACTTAAGCTTAATTCATTGTCTCACCTGACACCGCGCGTGGTTATAGTTACGATTCAAGCTTATTTTCGATCAAGTCGTGACAGATCCTCTGGCCTGCAGCATGCAACATGGCCTAGTGGCTCCGATGAATAACGCAAAATTCTAGTTCGGCCCGCCGAATTGTATCCAGACCCACACCATTACATAGCTTGAGCCAGCCAAACTCGGTTCGCGAGTTACAGATCGATTTTAAGAAGGCTGCTGCCTACACAAAGGGCCAGGAACTATAAAGTCACAGTCGCATTCGTTACTTTGACCGCACTACACGAAACAGATACAGTTTCCTCGTCTTATAAATATATCCCAATTTCGAATTCAATTCACAATCCATGGATTCGATTTAACCCAGCGCTGCAGCTGACCAGCAAAAAACACAACGTTACCAACACAGGAGCATGCTAGCGAGTCGTAGCTTCAATATTGCAACATGTCGACTTTTGGGACTAATATACATCCCTCCAACCCCATTAGCATAGAAGATGCAGAAAGAGAGGAAATAAACAGTCCTATATCCTCCTTCAATGAATTTTCAGACCTTTCACCTCGTCCTACCAATGAATTCAACCTCTCCGGCTCAAAGGTCCGCTTCACACTCCCACCACCATCAGCTTACCCGCACCCACTGGACGGGAAACCCTCTTTCGCCACCGCAATAACTTACAAAGAAACATATATCCGTCTCTTTTCTGATGCAGTTAGAAACAAACCTAACTGGACGGAAAAGGTATTGGATAGAGAATTATTTGCGAAGTGGCTAAGAGAAGCGCAAAAGCAGGCTCCTCCGTGTGACGGTGGAAGACATCGAGTCTTGACGTGGGATAAGGATGATGTGGCGTATATACATGACGAACTTATGAATGTTTATAAACCTTTTGTTGAGGGGTTGAGGGAGCAAGGGGTGAGGTTCGAGCCAGATGTTGACGGGGTTTGGAGGGAAGACTGGGGCGTCGATGAGGGGTTGAGGATGGAATTGATTGATGGTATACGCTTAAACTCCTCAAGAATGGATCAATATTTGAGCAAGATTCTATTTATAACAGTTGAGACGAGAATTCTAACATCTGAATATATAATACAGCGGTAGCAACCCTCGAAAACGTCCCAAAGGATAAAAAAGACTGGCACCCCGGCTCTAATAAGCAAGTCCTAGACCTTGTCCACCCTTCTCTCTGGCCCATAATCTACAATCACACTCTTTCCCTCCAAACTGGAGAGCCAATCCAACCTCCCAAAGACACAAACATAGACAGCATCGGATTCTCCAATAAATTCTGCTGGCTACCCTCCGAGTTTGAAGTTTCCCCAGACGGCACCAAAACAACCATAAAATCATACATCAACAACCTCGCATCCGATGAACAAAAGTCTTTGTTTTACCCTATCCTCGAAAAAATCTTTACAAAGTTCGTCCCATTATTTAATCAAGTCCTCGCGAATCTCAAAGCGGGTGCCCATGATTTTAGAAGGGTATTCGCCATAGCGGGTCGTAAATGGTGGTGCGAAGACCTCATAAGACTAAGCAACGAAAATCATAAGTTAAAATGGGATAAATTGTTGGGTCAGTTTATCAACGATGAATATTTGGATGTCGACTTTCTAGAGAAATTACCACACGCTTCGAAAAGATTTGACGCCGATGATGAAGGAGACCCGGAGTTCGAAGGATGCGATGATAGTGACGATGCAGATCTTGATCAAAGAGGAGACCCGGGGATATATGAGGTAAGGGGTAATATGGGACAATACTTACCTTCGAGTTGGGAGCCCCCAGAGATTACTGAAGATGCAATGCTGGAAGGGAAAACCTTGAAAGTGATCGTCAAATTGGCCAATATTATATTAACGCCAGATAACGCAACATACAAAGGTGGGAGTTGGCATGTAGAGGCGATGCTGGTAATTACAGCCCTCTTATTTAGTATTTTATAGAGATACAAACATGCAAACGCTGATGACCCCGATATGTAGAATGAAAGAATAATATCTACAGGAATATATTACTACGATCAAGAAAATGTCACAGAAAGCAGACTAGCTTTCCGTCGGACAGTGGGAAACGTACCGAATTGGGAGAGTTCACATATATTAGAACAGAACTCGGACTGGCCGATAGTGTTTAATATGAGCTCTAAATCTCAGTCATGGGCAGTTCAGGAGATTGGACAAACCGAAACGAAGGTAAGGGCCCATATTCTCCCATATAATATATCATCGAGCCAATCTAAGTCCGAGGTCTATGACGATCTAGAAAAACCGTGCAATAGCCTTCCCAAACATCTACCAACACCAAGTCCAACCCTTCAAGCTCCTCGACCCAGCAAAACCAGGTTATAGAAAAATACTAGTGTTCTTCCTCTGTGATCCAGCTAATGATGATATTCCAACTACCAGAATGGTAGCTCCGCAACAACCGGAGTTTAGAGTGGAAATTGAAGATATGTTGCGGAACGGGCCGATGGGGAAATTGCCAGAGGAAGTCTTTAGAATGGTAGTTGGGATGATACCAGAGGTTGTAGAGAGAAGAGAAGCGGAAGGGTATAGAAGGGAGCTAATGAAGGAGAGAGCTTCGTTTGGGAATAGTTCGACGATGGTGCAGGGGCTTTGTTATAGCTTGTGCGAGCATTGAGTCTTTAAGGCGTAAGTATATATGTATGGATCTATATATAGCATAAACTAGACTAATATAGCATAAAGCTAAGATGTAATATTCAAGGTTTCCTTATATAGCAGCCTTTGAAGTTCGCTTAGATTTAATTCATCTATATGATCAATATATATGTGACTTCGGCGTTTTAATCACCAACCCAGTTGTAAGTAAGTTATATCTTCAGCCTCGGGATACCAGTATGGGACTTTACAGGCGAGGAAGCGGTGCTCAGATAAACCCCCTCGCCTTGAAGGAAGGTTTTTCTTCAATTAATATCCTGAACTACCTAATTATAAACTAGAATATATTAATAGGAGCCAATGCAGTCCTTACGTTCCTAAAAACCTGGAAAACACTTCAGTCTTATGCATATTATTCAGGCATTTCATACCACCGCCAAATCTAGATATGAATTATCACTCCGTGAAAACCAACATATGAGACCAGCCCGACGCACCCCAAAGAATACGCAAGAGTAGTAATAACTAAGACTCTGAATCAATTAAAGCATTTTGTCAAGAAAATTCATGGACGCAGACTCTCGAGATTTCCAAAACCAAGACCAGCTCAGTTGTGTTGTCAGCGTGTTCTTTTGCCCCTCAATGGTTACACCAAAGTTTCCAGCACCTTGAGCTTTAAAGCTCTCAATCCTTATCGCGTCACTTTCCTCTCCCACTAACCCTCCCCCCAAACAAACAGTATCGACATCCCACATCGCAGGCTTCACCACCCCTCCTCCCTCCCTCCCTCCTTCCATCAGATACACAATAATCAACAATGGCAGACGCACCCGGTGAAGCCGCTCCGACATCTTCGTCGAAGGACCCGTCCTCTTTCCTATCCGAAATCCATGGCGCTCCGATCACTGTCAAGCTCAACTCCGGGGTTGAATACAAAGGTTAGAGATTCAATTCTCCCCCCTCCCAAATCAAAATACGAGAGCAGGCGTTTTTCCCGGATAGGACATTAGGGATGCTGATGGTGGCTGGGGGGTAAACAGGTGAACTTCAGTCAGTAGATGGGTATATGAATATCGCGCTTGAGAATACGGAGGAATATGTCAACGGTGAACGAAAGAATCGGTACGGTGATGTGTTTATCAGAGGGAATAATGGTAAGAAAAACTCTTGACTTCCACCCTGGTTGAGGGCGCGGGGGTGTAGAGGGCTTGTAGAAGCTTTCGTATGCTAACAAGACGGTTAAATCATTAGTATTGTACATTTCGGCAGATAAATGATTACCTGGTTTTTACGAGAACGATATAACGCAATATGAATATGGAGAGGTGTCGGCTATCTAGAAGCTTGAGGGTAACGGAGACTTGGGATAGTCTAGAACAGAGATGTTAGGCTGATACAAAACTCATCGGACTCCGACAGACGCCTGGAATATTTGTTGATATATCCCTATTAAACGATACTAAGGTATAGAGATCCCTCAGTATGGTAGTCTTGGGTTCTCGATAGCAGGTCGCATAGCGGAGAATAGTTGAAATACCCTTTAGATGGTTCAATTGAAATTACAATCAATTCCCAAAGCAAAGTCAGAATTTAGGAGAAGAGTCAGCAGTGGTCGGCATCCGGTCTGACAAGCTAAGCAACTTTGTGTATATCTGTCAAGACTGGGAAGCAAAAATCATCTACAACTTATGCTTACCAATCGTTTTCAAATCCAGAAATTCACTAATGAAAGGAGAGACTATCGGGGTACCCCACTGGGGCTTGCTGGAGGAGACAAGAGCAGTATGGTAACCAAGCCCGCTCCTAGTTTATTCGATATATCATGATGCAATACCAGATGTAAATTGGGAAGCATCAAACAACAGGAAATGACAGTAAACGAATCAATACAAAACGCCTCATGCACATAGTCGTAACAGTGGTAAAGGTTATAAAAAAAAAAAGAAGAAAAACTAAGAGCTGAAAGAAAAAATGGATACAAAAAGAGGGCAAGAGACCAACAATCTCAGTCTTCATCGAAATCAAGATTGGGGATTTCAATTTGGCCGCCCTCGTCAAGCTCGGACCTATAACTACTCAAAATAGACGCGAACGGGTGGGTTTGTGCCAAAGCTCCAATTGTTGTCCCAAACAGTGGCCTGGGCCCCCTTTCAGCTTCTTCGGTTCGGCCTCGTGAGACGGAAGGGTTCTTAGCCTGACTAGCTCGATAACCGATGGTTCTGCTTTGGGTATCCTAGGCCCTTACTGCGGAGCCCCGGCCCTTAGGAGGAGTCGTGTATTCATATACCATGTCTACCCAGCTAACCCCGCCGTGCGTAACATTGCTACCGCCTCTGTACCTGAACAACTGGCTCTTGGTATAAACACCGGTTGTTTCCTTGCGGCAGATCAAAGCGATCCTCTTCGAGAGACCTGCATCCTTCATTCTTTGGCAGAAGTCCTTCAGAAGAACCTGGGAGTATCCATTGTTTCGGTATGTAGGATCAACACAGAGAGAATGGATACAGACGGTCTCTCCATGTTCAACATGGCCTTCTACGGCCGGTACGGATTCCTGCACGGGTTTCTTCGCAGCCTCAGAAGATGTTGTTGTCGAAGATGCTTGTGAGTCGGCGGCTGGTTCTGTGGAGCTGGTAGGTGGGGTGTTCTGAGACTCCGGGGTCTGGGGTGGTTGCGCAACGGGCAGAGTCACCGTAGGTTTCTCCGCTCCATACTTCTCAAGAAGGTCATGAGGGATCCGCATCGAAGCCTCCGTAATAACAGGAGAGGTAGTCTTGGTAGCCGATATCATTGCAATCAGGACCTCCTTCGGTTGGAAATCAGATACGCCCTTCGGCGTATCAGGGTGGGGCTTTGATAGTGTGAATAATCCGTGCGAAAGTTCCCCGCTATCATAACACCATGTCAGTGCCCGATTTCTCCTAACCATGAATTCAATCAATCGTCTCAAGAAAACCTACCAGACATTCAATCGGTAACGGAACTAATCGCAAATAAACATTAGCAGGGTTTCCAACGAAAAAAAATTTTCCCTTGAAGACCCAATTATAGCATACCTTAGCCAGTGTGGCTCTCTCTGCTTCAGGGAAACAAGCATTCTCCAACTCGATTATCTTGTCGATGTCGTTGACCGTAAGAGTCCTAACGTAGACTGACATTTTGTTCAACGATTTAGGGTGGAATGTTAGGGCCATGCTTTGCATGCCCTGTAGATGCAGAGCTGAAAGAATCTTGATAACGACGGTCTATTCGGTCCAAGGAATGGTAAAGCTGAAGGAAGAAGGAATAGGTCTGTGAACCGGTCCCCTTTATATAATGGGGATTCTATTAGAGCGTGCGCTTCGTATACGTGTCTATATGTTAATCGGAAGCCGTAAAATCTAGGGCTTATGGCTTGGATGGTCCGATGAAGTTGGCGATGATGTCGGGAGCTATGTCACGAGCTCAAAGAGAGGGACGTCGTTGAGGTTGTTGAGAAGCATTGAAGAGCGCCGCCGAAAGAAGCAATGCGGAAGCATGACAAACATCTTGGTAGACAACACAACACATCTCAAAATGCAACAATTGTGTCGCAGAAGTAGCGGTCCTGGCAGCCCTTTTGGCACTTTTAAAATCTTTGGCAGGATATTATCTATGAAAGAAAAAATGTATAACTCCTTATGATCCATCCTAAGGCACGTTAATAGTATCGATACTTCTTCTCCAACGAGATTATCATTGGATGAGCGGCACCCCCAATCATAGAGGGGATATAGGTATCCAGATCAGTACTACCAGCGCTTGAGCATCGATACATTGATGCATCCTGCGATCATGACGTCGAAGACATGCGGTAGAGCGCTCAAATTCAGCTTGATGAAGCGTCCGGGTCCCCAGGATTAGTGACGCTCCAAGCCGGAGAAGGGTCGCTCGTCCCGTCCCGTGGACTACTTAGATAGCATGGTGCGCGTGCGGCATCGACGCAAGCACTCGTCGTAATCAGAATGATATCATGTTAAGATGCAAAAACTACCTAATGACTAACTATACTTTAGGACTCAGTATTAGTGTAAGTATTTACATAATAAATATTTTTGTGATCCAATGGCTAATGAGCCCGCTTTCATGGTGCACTATGCTAGTTCCATAGCATTATCGACATCTATCTGACAGCTGAAGCGGGTCATGCTCGAGCACGCATGCGCACGGACTCGAATCTAGCTTTGATATTAATATGGAGGGCTTCAAAGACCTAAGGATGCTAAAGTTTAGTGATGGGAGGTCTAGTCCTCGAATATCATTCCGTGTGAGCTTATAATCATGTTGGTATGTGGAGCTCACTTTCATAAGAATAGGATACACTCTGACTTAACTGGCACCTTTAACGTTATATTTACACCTCTAGAAGTCTGATATCACAAATATGTATCACTTCTAGAGTGATTAATATCGAATTAGAAATTGATATAGTATATGAAACATTCCCAATGGTGTGCACACATCCATGAAATTAAATTTTATACCTATAATAACCAATTCCATTGGCCTCGCTTATCCAATCGCCTATGTGCCGAAGGACTCTTTTTGGACATGTCTCAGGCCGTCTCGATTATCTTGAAATTATAAATCTATCATGTGTGCATGCTCTTTCCCCAGATGGCGAGGGTACCCTATCATTGACGAGCCTATGATAAATATCGCGCATGCAGATATGTAGCTGAGCTTCGATCTTGTTATACAGTCCCTGGCATGAGACTGCAGTTCCGGTTCTAGTTGAAAAAATCATGCTATGTTGAATATTTAGCTCCAGGCCCTCAGACATGCATAACGCATTTACACGAGAGTGTTTTTTTAGGATCAGCTACGAATCAGATTTTTCTAAATTAATTTTTTAGTGTAACTATGCCTATATTGACAAATTTGGGCACTAGAGCTCCCGTCAAGACGTCTACGTAGACACTTCGGGCTGAAAATGAACTAGCAAGATAATGAATCCTGAGCTGACATAAATTAAGTAAACACCACAATTTGATAAATTCCTTGTCGCAATCGTTTTTTTTTAGTTGCAACCACCGTCGCTGTTCGCGTCGAATCGATAAGCCCGAGTGCGCCGGCCAAGTATAGTACCTGTACGAGCTACCATACTAAACTACATCGATGCATCCCGCTGAAATTCATGCGGCACACAAATGCGTCGAATCGTATCAATGGCCGACGGGCCTCGCCAATAGCTTGATGAAGGTGGGCTCCTGGACACCCCACAAGACCAAGAAATTATTTCAATCTTACCCATCCATTTTTTGGAATTTGCTTGCACTCGCTCGAATATTAATCCCCACGCTATGAAAAGCGGTGGCAGTGGAACTCCTCCACTTGATAAAGATCACAACACGGCAGATCCACGTCCTTGGTAAAGGAGACACACCACTCGATAAGCGCTGAAACAACTGACTGGTCGGACCTGGTTCAGGGTCCCTATCACCGCTCCGATAAAATTTCTGATGCGGGATAACAATAATCTATGAACTGGAATTTCGCCACAAGTGGATAACCTTGATCAAAAAAAGGTAATATGGGTCTTTTCTTGAAGCGAAGAAAAAAGAGTTTGTGGTGTGATGAATACAGCACAGAGTCTATCGTAAGCGGCTTGGAGAGCTCGAATAAGCACGGAAGTTTTCTTGTAAAGGACGACAATAATGGCAGTTGACCATGGCAAATCCCAGGGATCATGATGGGCGTCTGTCATTCGTTGAAACTCTTACTACGGACGCTGTCACTCGAGCTATGTTATACTTCAAGATATATAGATCCTCGCATCCGCTTTTGATATCGCCCATTCAGCCTGTTCTACAGCTGTGCACGTATACGTGTTCGTACAGGTTTCTCTCGTTTCAGTCTTTTATAGAGTTTCAGGATAGCTGCGAGGCTTCAAAGGCGTTTTCATAGTTTATTTATTTTATGATTTGATCTCGCGCAGTTACTTGTCTTTCAAATATCCTTCTATACAACATATCATACCCTTACGCCGATTCTTCTATTATCGATATTCACAAAATACTGCCATATCGAGAGAGAAAGATATTCACTTAAACTCGACCCAATTTTCCAATACTGCCAGTAATATTTCAGTAGCATCAACATCTGTTTCTGTCTCGAGCCTGCTTGGGATTTTAAAGATGGCCATCTGCATTGATTCAAGTCCGAATGATCTATCATACGGCATGTTATCTGAGGACGTAAGAAACGATCCTAGATGTATTTACGACACATTTGATAGCGATTTCTACAAATGCCTTTGCGAGGATCTTGCGAAGGAGCTCGACTTTCCAGACCAAACTGACCTTCGAAGGATCAGTCAGTTGGAATTATTTGGCTCTTCATGGGAAAGTAAGTCATGCTCCCCAAAGCGTTGCATATACAGCCCATATGCATACATATCACAGATGTTTTTAATCATGTGAGTGGGGATATATGCCATCCCCAGATGTCTCAGCTCAGTTGCTGACCTCGTGTAACTTCAACAGCGGACCCATACAAGAAACTCCTCCTGCGATGCCTTGATCACTCCATCCCTCGCCTTCGCGAACCACTCACCCCACGTTCTCGCGGCGGGTCAATTGATTACACCGCAACGGATACGAGCCTAGACTTCGATCATGAAGAAGAAGCAACCACTATTCCAACCAACCCACCTCCTTCACCAGCATTATCGGCCGTGAATTGTGTCTTATCCGGAGAAAAGACCGCGGTCAAAAGCGATGATGACCGGTTAGAACCTCTATTCTTTGACAAACTAAACTTACTCTCACCGGCGGAAGTCGGTGATGGCTACGAAGGCGACAATGACGACGACGATGAAGAGGATGCCTATAATGGGCTTGCTGCGGGTGAAATTGCCGGAGCACGGCGCATAAGGCGGCAGCAAACCCGAATGCAGACTAAACATCAATATCACCGCAAAGTTGCATCAACAGGGTTGTTAGCAACAGTAGTGACAAGTGATGGTTCAATCATTTGGCATTTCAAGGAGTTTTCCTGAGTCTAGAGTACGGAGTGACCGCCCATTGCAAACTTGCGGGGTGGAATGGGATAAGGCAAAAAGGATGTGACAAAATGTGCTTTGGTGGATTACCGTGTGATGATGGAATACGAGCTCCGGGGAGTTTTCCGATGGCAAGACTTAAATCCGGGCTGGGCATCATCATGTCACGAGACAGTTTCTTTTTTATTAAGTAAATTTCTTCTTTTGTCAATTCTTGCTTCGCTCTTTTGTTTGCAATTCGGGATGTTGTGGGATATCAACAGCGGGGAAACAGTGTGAAACTGAGTCAAAAAAAATCATGAGGGTCGTTCGGAGTCGGAATGGATTTGTACCAGCCAATGGCGCTTTAAGGCAACCGAACATTTCAGTTGCAAGTCTTTTGATATTATACCCGTTTGTATTATAAAGCAATACAAAATCTCGCGAAATGCAATGAATATGGCGATTGTTCGGAGAGCTATAGAAGATGATAGGAAATTACCCACTTTAGAAGAAACGTGATCTGTGCGACAAGTTGATTCGGAATACTAATTATCTGCCGTGCGTTCATGATTCATCTGAGCAAGAGTATAAGCGGCCGTTGTAACATATCCGCCACACGTTGTTAAAACCTGGGTTTGACAGCTGAGATATCTATATGTACCTTAAACCCTCGATATTGATCCCAAGACTGACATTATAATTTTATGCGTCGGCGTCACTCTATCCGGTTGAAATCATTAGGCCGCGACTGCGATGCCTGTCGAGTATCGAAGCATCTCCACGTTCTATCAGGGCTTCCCGACCGTCGGTTAGAAGGTTCGAATTCAGGAACCTTCTGCGGGTAAAGCGGCACAATGGATGCCAGATCCCTGCGCCCTGTGCGCCCTCAAAGTCATTTCTTGGCTGAAAGAACTCAATTCTGACCCTTTCGCGAATGCTTCGCTACAACCATACAGTAGACCAAGCGACGGAACCTTTTCATGATCTGATGCTAGGCATTTGCACTACACTCACTGACATTGCATATGGCAAAGATGCCTAAGGTGTGGCGAGAATTCTGTTTTTTTGCTGCAGGTGGATGATTATAATCGACAAAAGTCAAGGATTCTCGCTGGGGGAAGACAGTATTTACGCCGCTTACAGGGAAATGTCCTCTCAATCATGTCTCGTTTAGACGGCTAAGTAGTTGGTAGAAGGTGGGCTGATACTTCCTTTCCTGGTGTAGCTACCTGCGCAAGATGGGTATCGAAGATGGAGACCATCGACAAAGCGTGACAAAGAGAATAACCTTATCTGCACAATTTTTCGTTAAAGTGGGAACAGTCTCGCCCGTGATTGGCAAACCCATGTTGCGGCGCTGCAATTGCTTGAGCCGAAAATCAGAGATTCGCATAAAGAGTGGGGATGCCAGCCGGATAAGAACGTTGACCTTGGCTCCGCAGCGGGAGGAATTCGCCATCAAGATTACGAACCCTCTCAGCTAACCGAAATTGCAATATCGCTGCAAAGAAGGGGGAAAGGAAAGGCCCGCTCTTCGGCAAGTCCGTTGTTCACGGCTGAGGCCGGTGGGTTTATTAGAGCTCGGGCTAGGAAACCTCGCTCCGAGCCGCAGAACGAACTTTCACCAAAAACGTCGATGAAGTTGCACCTAAGTGTGAAAATTCAAAAGTTTATCGGAGATCCCTTCACGATTGATTCTGCGCACTAACGGCACAGTAGTCGAACTTGCAATTTTTATAGCCATGGGGGCATGAGATAGTTCAGCAGAAACCGTATCATTCCAAGCAGGATAATCTTCTCGGTTGTGGGTGTACTGTGTATGGGTCCAGGTGCCCGAGCGCCCGTGATTACTAGCTCAACTTCACACGCCTTGTGCACTGCGCTGCATCGAGACTTGTAAATCATTACTGCGGCTGAATTAATTCTTCCGATGACAGTGCGGATCAGCGACACTAGCTTGAATCTTGACACAAGCCGCGTTCCTATCCCCTTCAGCCAGTTCGAAGCAATTTAAAATTGATTATACGGAGGAAAAGTTATGATCTTTTTCTTTTTCTTTTCCTTCATTCTCTTTTCTCTTTCCTAAGAGTATGTCGGTTTGGTGGTACAAATCACGTTCTGAACCGTGCATTCACCGTATTCGGAGAAGTAAACTCATAAAGGCTGTTCGAAGAGACGAAACATGGTAATCATTTTCCTATTTAAGCATCGGAAAACTTTTGCAGCTGTCCCGCTCCCGCGCCCGCCCCACTAGCGAGAAACGGGTCTTGAATTTACTTTGAGAAAAAAAAAAAGGGCTCTACCGAATTGTTATGTCTCAGCCCACAAGAATGAACACACCTTTCACGAATTCACAGCTGCCAGTTGTGTTATTTGAGCGCAAATAGACTAATTCGAACGGTGAATTGGAAAGGATAGAATGGTTCGCAGTAGCCTGTTAGACAAGAGACACGGCTCAAGCTATACACATTCCAGACCCGGCCATTGACGCACCTATTTGGGAATATCACGGATAAGTTAGCAACCCCACGATTTTATATTTATTGAATGATTATCAGATACACCCATGACAACATTTTAGGAGGAACTTTGCACCTGTTTCTATGCGGGGTTTTCTTGTTTTGTCAATGCACCTTCTTTTTACATGGTCCGTCTTATTATTACATGGTGAACCATGTCCACCAGCTGTGGCCGAGTTTGATATCGACGATAGTACTATAGAACCACCCCTTGTTTAAGTCTATAGTTGATGCAGTATTAATATAAAGTACGGCTTCAATTGGCAAAAATAGTTAACCTTTAAGCTTTAAGAAGTGGGTAATCATGAACAAAACAAAAACAGGTCGTCTTATATACTGGGAATCAATATGCAAAGAGAACCCCACGAAATATGCACATGCTCTGACGTTGCATCCAAAACCTGGGAATACCAATCCCCTGGAACTGCTGGGTGCACAAGTAGGACCAACTGGAATTCAATGAACACGAGGCCAGGTGATCTAACCGTCTTTTTATTGAAACCAAGAAACATAAACCCACACATGGCCCCACGCCGTCTGCGACCAACCGTGGTTTAGGAAGAAATTGCGAGAGAAAAAAAAAAAATCTTTTCGGTATGCAAGCTAGTTGACTGAGGTAGTGTCATCAGAGTCGAGTTAAGCATTCCGAGATACCTTGCAGGCCTATAGATCCGCGATTCGGTTGCGAATACCGGTAATACAATCATGTTCTTATTACCCTGATGTCTCTGCCGTCTTTCTCGGGCAGGAGTTTGCCGTGTATCCAATCTAGAAGCATTATATTCCAACTAGAAGGGATAGAAAAACTGCATAGAACTTCTTCGATGACGCACGTTATTCACGAAAGGAATGAGGTTAACGGCAGTTGGAATACTTGGATTCCACTTAATGTATTGACGAACATAACCCCCCAAAACTAACATAGAACAGCCCTAACATAACCGTTGAGTTAACATTTGCAACATGCGGATCTCGATCTATTGTGAATTTAATTGTCATCTTGTGGGTTACGTTTCTGAGACGTTAATGCAATGGGAATTCAAACATTTCGCCCCAAACTCTTGCACTACATAGAATAAAGATATCCCCCAAGAAAAGTACTACCCTGGAATAATGATTCTCTGGTCCCCAAAAGTGCTAGCATCCGACCCCTTGCCTTAGAGTTTGTGTAGCTTGTGAAGAGTAGATTTTACACTGTACTTCATACAGGGTCAGGATTTTCAGAACCCCAAAAAGATGTCCTGCAAATGCATGGGTTCTCCGCGGATGACCCTGTGGCTATTCCGATTCGTAAATTTCCAAATAAGAGTGCATGGTGTGGTGGAGCCTTTTGGGAATCCAAGAACGGTCTCTGCAGGTCGTCTGCAGTTGGAGTTGCAAACCAAGTTGGTTACGTTGTTGTGGCTTTCTGGCTTCAAGCTTTCTTCGATTAGACTCTCCCATCAACCCTATCCCAACGGAAATGAAAGTCCATTCGCAAAGACGTCCTTATTTTGGCGAAGTCGATGCTATTCGGATATTCGGAATCTTTTTTTAAAAATTTTGTTTTTTCTTTCTGCGATGACCGGAAAATAAATGGCGAGACCGGTTCGTAGGTATCTCCGACTCGGAGCGGTCATGACCATGGCTTAGTTCTATAGGAAATCCATTACTGTAGCATAGGCTATTGTTCAGAAGGGAAAGCGCGGAATAAAACAGGCAAGATGTCTTTGTAGGTATCAATACTTATAGCGCCTCAGGCTATGGCCCCATATCTTTACGCATTTACAAAGAACCTTGGGTTGCAAGTTGTAATCATCTCCACATGTTTCAACTGGCCGAATAGATATCCCAAAGTCGGGACGAAGCTAAGCTGCAAAAACAAGGATGAAAGAGTGTGGGGTTTTTTTGTTGACAAACCCATCAGCCTAAGTCTCCCACGCCGCCTCGGTTCCCGAGCGTTCATTCAGGGTCGACAGTTCGGGGAAAATCAACTCCGACATGCATGCACGATGCCTATTTCAATTGTCACAAATTCATGCATCTCCGTGTATACTGTCAACGGGAAACTTGGGCATGTAAGCTAACTTTGTCCAACCTGTTGTCAGACGTATTTCCAAAGCTACCACACCGTGTTTTCGAGACTTCGAACGCGCACGATTATTATTGAATTGTCTTGTGCAACTTTATGCCAGGCACCACTTGGTATTCCGTAAACCATGGCAAACCCTTAAGCATTACCTTGCTAGGAGGGAGCGGGCTGGATCGACTTCGGCTGGCAAAGACGCCATTTTCGTAATATATTTTAACTTGGAGCTCTCAAGACGGTGGGACCTTGGCCATGTCCTGACCGGGGATGGCTGAGGGGCAAAAAAAAGTCACTCAATAACAGTTGGACAATATCAGACAGGGCCTTGGGAAAAATCAGGAACAAGCCTTGATCAGGGACCGTAGCAGAAAAATCGAGAATGGAAAGTCTCACGATAACCTAGATGATGCTAGCTGCCGAATGCTGTTTACTCATTACTATTCCTTTTTACTTGTTTTTTTGGAACCAATATATTTTAATAACTTTTTTGATTAACTAAATTCCAAGGCTGTAAAAATGTATAAAATAGTTGAGAGAAAAGAAACTCCGCTTATCAGATAAATTTCTCCAGTCTCTAATGTAGAAGCCCGAAAGGAAAGGCTAAAATGAAAATGTGGCTCGATAAAAGAAATGAGCCCTGCCGCTATGATCTGCTCAAACAAAAAAATTTATGCGATGAACGAATGTAATTATTTCCCAAGATGATTTTTTTCCCCCCGTCCGCCGAAGTCCCAAGGAAAATTAGAAACCCAATTGGAGATAGGAAAAAAGTACAAGGGAAGAAAATGAAGAAAAACTCCGTGAGGGTATTCAGTGGGTATTACAGTTTGCAGAAAGCGGGAAGCGATAAGAGGGGTTTTGAGAGAGAAGGAAACACGTATGGATGGTTAACAGAAAGGGAATTCGTCAAATAGTTTAGCGAAAAGAACAAGGAAAGAAATTGATAAACTGCGCGCCCTCGAGTCGTGAAGAGCGCTCAGCGCATGTGAGTAGACGGAGGTTGAGGAGGTATTCCGTTATACAGAGTATCGAAAGCACAACGGCCAACCCTGAATAGAAAGAAAAATGCAAAACTCCTGCAAGGAAACAAAAATTAGGTGCAAAAACGGGTATATGGTAAAAGTAATATATACAAGAATAAGAAGGTCGGTGATTTGTAGTGTTTAGAGAAGGAGAAGATCCCAGCTGTTTGCGTTCATGACGTTTCGCCATGGGACATAAGTACCTGCGGCATCGGCTTCTCTCCAGACGAGATTAACCAACTCGTACATGTCAGAAAAGCTCCCGAATCGATGTTCCTGAGGAAGAGATCCGAAGCGGGTTTGCAACAAGGTACGGAAGGCTGATCCAGGTGTAGCAACGGATCCTCCAATGAGGTAGACCCAAGAAAGGGAACGATCAAACCCATCTTCGCCAGTTGGGATAAGCTCAAGTACAGTAGTGAGCTTATCGACAAGTTCGATGACGGCTGGAACATTGTGATTGAAAGGAACTCCCTGATAAGCAGGGACGAGGGTAGTGAGATAGATTCTGGCAGCGTATCTGTAAGCGGCAGTAATGAGACCAGAAAGGATGTTCGGGTCCATTGGGCCGTTTTGGGCGGCGGCAATAGGATCGAACTCGGTTTCGGTCGAAGTGATAGAAGCACTCAAGGATGTAATATGCTCCAAAAGCGTTGCGTCGGGGAGGTTCTCGAAGAGCTTGTGATACTCAAGACATGTGATCTCGGAGATCAAATACATGACCTTGTCATCGCAGCCCATCAACTCCTTGAAGCCGGCACTCTTTCCTTCCTTGAAGTTTTGGCAGTACTCGTGGGCGAAGGCTGGGAATTGGCCCTGCATTGTTGAACCTAGGATATCAATCCAGGCTGCTAGAGTCATGTTGAAGGAGGCGCTGGTGGAGGTTGAAGTGAGTTCCTGGAATTGGGAGGTGAGACCCATCTGCTGGATCATGGTTATCGCGGCTTCGAAATGTTGGTGCCATGGGACATCTGGCAAGTTATCGTGAACCGAGGCAACGAATGCCCTCAGTGCGATAACGCTCAGGATCGCTTCCAATGGCTGTACAGGGTCGACGTTAAGGTTCATGGCCTCGCATAGCCTTTCAACTGTAGATTTTCTGTGTCTCATGATATCCTCATCAACAGCCGAGGTGTCAATGTTTTGCTCGGTGGCTTTGATGTGCATCGCAGCGACTGCCAGGCAGGAGTGCAAATATGCTGGGTTGGAGCCCAGGGCGGGGCAAATGAAGTTGCTCTGTGAGTATGGAACATTCAAATCGAGGATTGGGAAGATCATTGGGAGAACATTGATCACAAAGTGGTTGAGAAGCTGTTGGTCCTGGTCATCATCGACAACATGGTTGATTGGCACGGACTCTGGACAACTATTGAAATCAACGAAGTTGAAGTCAACAATGTCCTCGCCAGGAGTCACATTTTGCGATGGAAGAATAACAGCCGGGTGTAATGGAGGAGTTGGAAGATCGGTTGCTGGATATATTTCCGCTGGCATTGAAGGAAGAATAGTGTTGCTGATTGTGCTGTAGTTCGAATCCTTTCTTTGTGTGCTGCAGAATGAAGCCATGCTTTCCCTTCTATCCATGGTCGGCATTGTGTTCAAGTACGACTGAGACTTGTTCTCGAGGATGTTCTGGTAAGCAGGATTGTAGGAGTAGCCAGAAGAGTCGTATGTCTCGACGAAGTTTACCTGTGTCGGGTGGGCCATCTGCATCTTATCGAAGCTTTGGTCCTGTTGTTCGTAGTCGTATTCTAACGAATATCCAGAGTCGACAGAGTGAGATCGTACAGGTCGGACCATGCCATCAAAGTAGTATTCCGGAGTAGGCAATGTGGACTGGGACACCGAAGACGGATATGCTGTCACGCTCATTGATGCCATAGCATTGTTTGCTGCCTTCTCGGTCACTTTTGTTTTCTTAATTTGCAGCTTGATGACTTCTTTCTGTCGTCGTCTGTGTTCGACGTTTCCCCACCAGGAGGGTCTCTTGTAGTCGCAACTTAATCCTAAGTGCTTGCATGCTCTGCATACAGGCTTTCCTTCGTCACACTTCTTCCTGCGAAGGCGACATGTGAAGCAGCCTTTGCGGGGGGGAGGGGATATTAGTATGAACCCACGATAGTAAAAGGTATTTGATATCTAATTGATATTAATCATGGGCGAAGGGACTTACCAGTCCTTGACCTCTTGTGGGTCTTTGAAGCTGTCTTTGGGGCCTTTGGCTGCATCCTGAAAGGAAGGTTAAGCGACGAGAGGGGTTATGAAGGTTGAAGGAAGGCGTCAAGCTACTTGCTCTTCAACTCTACACGACTACCTCTGGAGTAATGAAAAGTATCTTTGATCAAAGGAAGGTGGTAAGTCTTTAGACTCAAAAGGTATCAGACGAATAAAGAAAGAAAAAAAAATTATTAGAACCAAACAAGTGGTTGAAGAATCTAAGATCAGAGCAGGCGCCGTTGTAATAGGCGGGCGACTAAAGCAACACGATATACTAGGACTATTATATAAAATAGAAACAAGGGAAATGGAAACAGGGCAGAGCGTCAACGTCGTCCTGTAGAATTGAAGTTGGTACGATAGGGAATAGCAATTGGGGATGAAAAGCAGAATGGGTAGAGGCTGTATGGGGAGCATATAAGTTATAAAGGTTGGAGCGGAGACATACCAGATTATCAAGAGGCTGACTCGAAAGGTAAGTGCAGGCAAGTTCTTGTCGAAAGATAGAAGCTTTCTTTCTTTTTCCCCCTGTCAAAAGACTAAATTATAGAACAGATTCTTTTTGCGGACTTCTTTTTTGGAGGTGGATATTGGATCTATCGTGGTTATTCTTAGTAACAACCGTATCTTGGGTCGGCCGTCTGTCAAGTATAGTAAGTCCTAAGTCAGGTCCTTTTAGACCGGTTGCGTGTGCTGGCAAGACTGTACTGTTATGGAGGGATGGTGCTCGAAAGTAGGTAGCGTGCGCTGCGGTGTGGTATGAAGAACTGTTGTATGTGTGCTATGTAAGTCCCTTCTGCTTTCCTGCTCGACTTTCCTGCTATTCTTGAGAAAAGAGACCTTTTGGCGCCCGGAGCTTGCATGAAAGCATGCCGGTCCTGCCAGTGTACTTATATTTGGTACGCGCCTACATGGATGCACCAAATGCCCCACAGACCACCCTAGTCCATTTATCCCGATGGGTACAAGCCCAGATACTTTATCTTAACTTTTGAGCCAGTCCCTCCTATCAGTTCAACCAAACATGCATCTGCAGGCTCGCAGATGCGAATAAAAAGAAATTGTGTTTTCCTGAGAGAATTCAAAAAAACAGACGAGGTTCATGCAGCCTTTGATTGGTTGCTGCAGCCCTTGCGAGCTAGACAAGGGTTTACTATTGGGCATGGGTGGACCTCGTCGTTCCCTTCTACTATTCGACATGGGGAGCCCACCCCAGGCTTGGAGCCTTGTCCAAAGAAAAGAGAGCGACGGCTTGTGGAGGAAGAGGAGGAACGAGAACAGGTCGCCATCTCTCACCCTCCCCACGTGCACAAGGGTCAAGTGCAAGTGCGAAATTTCTGTCCAACTCTGCACAGTTTATGGAAAAAGCACAAAGTGAGACCTTCGGGTCACGATGAACTCCGTGGCCTTAGATATCCTTTGCTTCTTCCTTGAGCTGACCTTCTCTTTTTCTTTTTACCTCCCCTTACTTAAGGTGAGCTCGAAAAAGGCCGGTATTTAGGCTCGTGAGGAAAAGCAAATGAACCAAAAAGAAGGTTATGTGCGGGCGGGATTGCTCTTCGACCCTGCACTTACGGAGTAGAACGCCATTGCATCTTTCAAATTTACGATAATCAGAGGACGGAAAAAGTTATTTTTGGCTACCGGCCATCTTGATCGAAAAAAAAAAAAAAAAAAAAAAAAAAAAACGATCGATGAATCCTTGACGCTCAAAAATGTTTCTTTTTGAATTATTTTTTTCCCTCTCTCCCTCTTCGGGCGTCCAAGAGAATTAACACTCGCTCGTATGAGAACTTCCGAATCTAAAAAGTGTTTCCTTAATCCAGCTCCGGTCAAATATTTGGTGCAGAGAAAGGAAGCTTTGGGATCAATATTCGCTTCGTACCTCTGCAACCTGAATGCAGGGGCTCCGTTGGCGTCGCATGGCTACTGTCGAAGCTTGCCTTCGCGAAGTTCCACACGCGAGTAAAAGGCCTAAAGTGTCATTTTTGGCAGCCCGGTTGAGGTCAAATGAAACGGCTCTACCGTAGATGCGAATTGTTTGCCCTTTACCACGCATGCATTGCATGGCCACATGGTAAATGGGTCCATATAGCAATTCCGTTAATACCCTTCTTTCATACCCGTATCTTTAAAATGACCTTGTATTGTATGAGGCGAATAATTGATCCTCCCTGGTTGATATGATATAAGTCCGTGATGAATTCGCCTTAGTGTGATTGTAGTTGCTCATTCGCCTTGATTGTCCCTTATTATAATTTGCATGACAGACCAACCACGATTGCAGTGAGAATCATTCGCCTTCAGCCCGTTGAAACTTTCTGACAACGAGCAATCAATATCCAATCCCTTCACAAGCAAGTAAGTCGCGGATACCGAGCTGGCACTATGGGCCTAGCCATAATCTTTATAATGGCCTGATATGACATTCTTTCCTAATACGAATCCGGGTGTCGCCGGGTAGTAATATATTCAAGGTGTATACAGACCCGCGAGGCCTGACACATCTCACTAACGCAGGAACTTCACAAGGAATATGGCTTCTCCCGATATACCCACATGGACGGTCTGCCAGAATGACTTGAAACAATAGCATCAGTGTTATACCTAAAGTTTGTCACGGAAATCTAGTCTCTAATACTTTGATAAAATTTGCGGCCGGCTGCGGCGGCCTGCTCTTCGAATATCAAGAGATAAGTCAGCCAACTAAGGTAGTTCGAATATTAACTATAACATAATTAGTTCAAAGGTTGGAAACTGAACAGAGTATCTTGAATCAGATATTATATCAAAGGTACTAGATAAAACTAACTTAACATCAAACTTACTAACATATGCGACTAAGAGTATATACATATAGTAACAACAGCATACATTGGCTTACACATTGGGAACTAAACTGTGTTCAGGTCCAGCTTCGTTGGGCGAGGTCGATTCAGGAATATATACTTCCTGACAACTCACAAGAAACAACAACTCGAACTCGATTACCATTGATAGTTCCAATTCAAGGGCTAGACTAGTCTTCCAACAAAGCAACAATTGCTTTCGTGCGTGGCCTCTTTTGATCTTTAATTGGGTCCAAGACAATAGAAGAAACTCCGCAAATGGCGGTCTTACCGCGTCTACGAAACCCAACTGTTTTCAACTATTGATGTCTAGTTCGTCACTACGTCGGAATTCTTGTCAGGTACAAGTTCAAGCTTTATGATAGCCAGTGGACGTAGTATGCAAATTTTTTTATATATCTACCTCAAAGCGGATAGGTCAGGGTTGTCAGCCCCATAAAATTTAAGTCATGCTAGCGTTCTGAAATCATTTAAAGGATATTTTACACATTCCGATAACCGATTAACAAGCCGGCGGTCTCGATCGACGAACGTTCGAACATGCCAGATATACCAAGATAATGTCAGCTCCCTCGTATAGTCAGTATTATTTTGATCCAGACCCCTTCAGATTCCAGGAGGTGGACAACAAAGCTACACGTAGTCCGACCACGAACGACCCGAACGATATATCTCAGCTGCACCAAGGTTAAAATTATAGTTGTATGGACGAGAACGGATGGATGATAGATCCTATGGCCACCAATAGCACGGGCCACAAATAATATTCCTTTTGAAGCTTCGAGGCTATCGGTCTGATCCGTGGAATCTAGACTTAGTTCAGCTTCGATCTGTATATCGGTCAAATCCAAATTCGGTTGTATATCCGTAGGAGAAATAGCACTGTCATTGGTGTCATATATTATGGATTCTCCGACAGTGCGATTACTGGGAAGTTATCTCGTGGCCATTCCATAGCCCCATTGTTGTCCGGAAGTGGTCAATCTTTCATATTCGTGTAGCGAGGCGACCCAGCTATTATTTGTCTGTCTCAGGCTGACCCAACGGCCATTAGTTTTTCGATTCCATGTTAGTTTCGATACGAAAACTAAAGCAGACCTGGTCATAGTCACAGATCATCAGTGCGGTGGGCTTGCCGTCCCGCTTAAACGACCCTCTTGTCTCTGAAATACTAGTCTGATGGGGTGTCTGCATTAAGTCAATAAGGATGAAAGACAACAGCTACGAGACCAATGAGCTAGAGCTCCATGAAGAATTCGAGCATTCGCCCAATGTCCGTACTGTAAAGTGTGATCCCAGAGCTATATCGAATGCAAATTTTACGTTGCGCATTAATACCGGATACGGAACAGGAATTTTTGGTTTAAATTATCTCCTGGCAGGTGAGATTCAGGGTGCATATGGACTCTGGGACTCCATCCAGGATATTAGGGGGGTTTGTCCAATCGCAATAGTCTAGAAGCGAAGCGGCCGAGAGCGAGGTTGCAAAGAATTATGCAGAGTGCATCGTGACGAGCCTGATGAGCTTAGATGTTCGTGAGAGTCCCCAGAACCGAGAAACTGTGTCTTGCACGGGAACTCGGTAAATGGATCTCCACCCGCCAGAAATTTCTCAAGCTCCTCGGTCGATTCGTCTATAAAATATAAACATCAAAAGAGCAGCTTTCATGCAATTAGTAACCTTTTTCTTGCAAGTGCGCACTCCACATGACGGCTCTCAGGACGGGAATTTTAGTGGGAGCGCCGGGTGCCGTTGCGTCACCTCATCTCAGAAGCATTCCAGCATGCCAAGCCCATGAGGCCTACCGGATCTTGCTGTCGGCTGGTTTCAGCTTGAAGTCTTGTGCAACCGTGTCTGAGCTCATTGACTTTCGCATCTCGCAAATGCAATGAAATTTGAATTTCGAGCTGTCAAACTAGGTCAGATGCGAGCATCCTCAAACTGCGCCCTAACCCTCATATCCCGGGCCAGCTGAATCGGCTGTGTAATAGCGAAAGAAATCAATCAAAACCGGCTCTTCGCGGGTGAAACGGGAATGCAAAGGCAAGAGCGGAAGTACGCGAAGGCCTCACAGGATTTGCAAATGTTACCAGTCATAACTGTGAAAATTCAAAAAGAGATTTTAGAAAAAAAGCTCAACGATTTCAGGGATTAGCTTTGAAAATATGGCCACTTGTACCTGTACATTTTGTACAAAACTTGGACTCGCTAGGGTTTTTTGTTTTTATTTTTTTGATATCTTAGCTTTCCAAGGACCATTCTCGAACGAGGCAATAATTCACATGCTTGGTTGTATCTGACGGCTTGCATCGACAAGTTTATACGGAAAATGAATCTTGCGAAGTCTACAGAGCTCAAGATACCAAGTTTTTAGCGTCCTGCACGACATCCCTGACCTTAAGTCCCGTGACCATGGTGTGGTAGCTGCTAAAAATCATGATTGGGTAGACGTTCTATAGGACCGACACATGGTTTTCAAATGTTCAAAACCTGAGGGTGTTCACGGGTTTAGGAGCTGACCGGGCCTCGCAGCCAGTCGATTGTTTCCGTCCTCAGAAATCTCAGCGAACTAAAGGAATTTTTTCTCTGTCGATTGCGCAATGGGAGTTGTGAATCCCTCTATAGATCTAAGACTTCGTACTCGAGGACTCCGCTGTGCCCCTCCGGGCCCCTTGTCTGGATGTCTAATACGGTCGGATTCTGAAATATAGTTCGAATTAAAAAAATCCAGCCAATAGACGTTGAATAATCTCAGTAATAACTGAGGGATTTAATCATTGACACTGAGTTCAATACCTATTTGATTTATCTTGTCTTGTAAGTATATCACCATGTTGCCAAAAAGGACTGAAACGATCCCAAAAGATTGGCTCCGTCGTATCCAGCTTGGGGCATCCCCAAAAATGGGAGGATATCTAAATATCTGAGCTCTCTGGATCGACTTCGGCACTCTTTTCCACTCCATCTCCTAACCGAAAAAAGAAAGAAGAAAGAAAGAAAGAAAGAAAGAAAGAAAGAAATACAATAGTCTAGGAGTCGCTTCCTGGAAATACAATGTGGAACTTTGAGGTAGGTATTATTAAGAATCAGCCTGTGCTTGGTGATAAGCCAACCCCAGCGGAGAAACATCTGGTCAACGCAACATTCTACCACGCTACCAATAGAACGGCGAGGACTTCACTTCTGCAAGATGCAATGCACTATTGAAAGGAAAAATGGTACGATCATCTTCATCACAAGAACACCACTTATGCATCCAAGAATACGGGTCATTTCAAGAAAGCTTTCTTTTTAATCCGTATTCCTGTGGCTTGATTGCCTTGTTTTCCTCCAAGCATCTTCATGGGTCGGGTCTAAACGCTAGAATGACTTCCCTTTTGATTTGATTCTCTCTACCCTTGCCTCTGGGGTTCATAGGACAAACTACGAAGTAAACTATTGAAACTTCCACATGGTTAAATATTACTGCACTAGCGACTGCATATGCGGGGGTCCTTGAGATGATATGATTGAGATCGAAGTAGTTCAGTTCAAAGCAACAGTTTTCATGCACGGTCTATCGGTGAAGTTCATGGAAAGACACTGGTCTTTTGTGGTTGAGAACATACTATACGTTGTAAATTTTGGTTATAGATTGTCAAGTTGTCTAAACGTTGAAGCGAATTTGAAGTGAGGTCGGCTCATACGTCTACACGTCTACCTCCCTAGCCCCTCATGTCTTGAACTTACTTTTCTCCCTAGGCCACTCAGTCCAAGTTCAGAGTCGTATCATACTATTTCTAGATGTTCTAATCTCCTATTTTCAAAATATGTACGTTCTCAGGATCTCCACGATATGAGGCTTTAGATCCTTCAATCTAATTAACCTGTACTCTTTCGAAATTCTCGGGGGTATAGTGGAATTTTCGTCGCACAGTTCCACCAGTTTCGAAAGTTTTACGCCGATGTATCTTGAATTTGGTCTAAGTCAGTGCGTATCCTGTTTCCTTCCTTCCTTCCTCTCCCACTTATAGAAAAAACCAATGCCCCCATTGCCAATATTAGGCCTCGGGTCTCTAGAAATTCGCCTTTGCTTCCGGTTAGTTATGGTATTGGCCACGGCTTCTGGAATCTCTTGGTCAGGTATTCTGGACTCTTTTCATGATCATAGGATCCTTCGACCTTGAGAGCCCCCCCAGCGAGTCATCCCCCTAAACCGAACTGCAGCGCCCCCGACTCGATTCAGCAGCTGAGGTCTGAATATCTAAACCACAATGTCGACATTTCTCCCACATCACTGACCGACCCCCAGTCCCGATGGTCTTGTAAACTGTCCCGAAAACCTGCCAGGCTTGACGATGATCCATCCATACATTTCCTTCTATCGCCAATGGGCACCGAATATATCCGAATTTGAGGCTCGAGAGGCTTTTGGTAGTGTCCCCTCCGACAAATACTGCCTCCAAAACGTACAATTTGATCCATGCCTCCTGGGAGCTGGCTAGGCTATTGATTCTCGAAATCAGCAAATCGGTTCGATCTGAGGCCATTATCATCCGATTCTTATACGTTTGGACCACACGCTTCGACAATTTATAGGGGTCGGTAACCGAAGCTTCAACGTCATGATGCTTCCTAAAATTCACTCTACACGATCCCTTTTGGAGGAAGTTAGCGGATCGAATATTCATCCTCGCCCGTTCGAGATGTGTCTAAAAAAGACTCTCCCCACGGTTTCTTAGAGTTCCTACGTACAGTTTTGCGCGCGCCAGCCGATAGTTCTTTGACTCCCGACCGCAAATTTTTACCAGTTTGAAATTCCCACCTTACTCCCCATTTATCCAGGTAAGCCCAACCTCTTTTTCAGTCTGTTATGTTGTATTTTTGCGTTTGGTTGTCTCAATTGATCAATTTCGCCGACCGCTAACTTCCCCGCCAATCTCCGCCCGAAAACCGCTTTGGATAAAAATTCGAAGAATGAAACGATTAATGTGTCTCGATCCAAGCCTAGATGTGCTTGGGATGACGTTCTAGTAAACTTTTTACACCTCCTTATTTAATTTTTAATATGCTATTCCTCACAGCGGGAGCGGGTCGCACGTCATTATGCACCTGTGCGTTGGCAATCTCCAAAAGTTATCACCATGCAGGTAAGCTATCAAATAGGCTGAACGAACAACTCAGCAATTCATTGCCCCACTCCAGAGCTATGAGAGTTGGCTAGAGTCTAATCCGGTCTTTTAGGTCTTTCCGGGAGGTTTCTATTACCTATGACAATTGAGCTCAGATCCCTTAGAGCGGGCCATTCCGTCTCTCACAGGAAGTTTCACATTTTCAGCTACCTGTGAGGGAAGCGTGATCTGTCGTATGGGACTACTGGCACACTCAGTGCTAGATTCGATTCTTGCTAAGTGATCGAGTGGTAGAGATCGAAAACCTCAGCGGAAGCTGGAGGCTGGGTGTTCACTAGTGCTGGACCACTTGAGGCACCAGGTCCTTCGCAAAAAGACAATGTCTAGCTAATAGCTTGAAGACTACCATTGAGCAAGGACTTGCTAAGTAGGCTGTTACTAATTTCTGAGCTATATAGCTATGGTGGCTTGGCGATATGGTACTCGGCGTACTAGTACTTTCATCCGATCCGGGGGAAATGACCAGCTCCCCTGCTCACGATCCCCTTGAGCTCTCCCGGGAACCCTCAGGTACGAGCCCCCACAGCAGTCCCCACATCTTGGTGCTGTTTCTATTCTAAGCAACAAAGCGAGCATCAGAACCTTTTTGTAATTCTGCCCTACCTAGGCGCCCGGCAGCTCCCAGCATAGGCGCCTGTCAAACGGTGCCAAAGATGTCATGTTCTACCCGAGTCCATGAATCTGCTTAAAAAAATTCTCCAGCTTGGCCTACGACCAAATCTCTGGATCTGGGCAGGAAGAGCTCTAGCGCCATATAAGGAAGCCTAGATAATCGAAATCTGGGCAGAACCGTTAATTGAAACGGAATGTATCAGCCAGAACCCGGCGGTAGGTCTCTCTAGTTTCCTAAAATAACCTCTCGGGATTAATTTCTAGTAACTAGAACGGCGGAAAGCGCTCCTCTAAGCACAGGTTGAGGTCATTTGTCTTTCCTTTGCCCCATCGACACAGCCATGGCGAGGCACGGATCCAAACTAAAGCCTAAGGGTTCAACAGATGAAGAAAATCCAAAGTTGGCGAACGACTCGCGCGGGCAGAACCCGATACCAGGATTACCCATGAATACAGCTGCAGAACTCCCAGATCATCGCTCTGTGCCCCGGCCCCCGATCATGCAGCCTCCTAGGGGGCCATCCCGGTTGATCCCTGCGTGCTTGAAGGACTTCTTTGCAGCGGCATCGGGACGACCAAGCGACGCCCGTTCACGGCACAACGCGCAATTCTGCAGTTAGTACGGAGTAGATGGGATGGATCTGGGTGTAGGTGCCTTTATTCCGAATCACGTGGACTGACATTAGTGGGGAAGGTGATGAGCGAAGATGATGTTAGGTCCGTACCATCATATGGTCCAGAGAATGTGAGATTCGAAACTAGAGACGCGACAAAAGATGTAGTCTGTTGCACAAATAAGGATTGCATATCTGTATCGGCGATACCACAGCATAGACGGGGATATGTGGCAGATCTATGTAGCTATGTCCTGCTCCGGAGGTATTGCTCTGTCAGAGTCTTTGGTCCGGGTCAGTTAGTATATGCAGCAGTGTGCTATACTAGTAGGTACTAGGTGGCATCGAAATACGTATATAGGGTTTACTCGATTCCATTACATCAATTAACTTAAACCCACTGTAGTACCAGTATGGCCTCCATGTGTAGAGAATACCAACCAGCACTCGTCTTGTTCCAAGGTAAACGCATGCATACTATGCATGCGACCATAATTGATATTGATCTGGTCTCGAGACTACGGGTTCGGAAACTTTTGCCCAACGGCAGCAACTTAAAAAAAAATAGCTAAGATAGCTAAAAATGGGTGAAAGTTTCGGCTTTAAAGCTTTGGATCGTAACACAAAAGATCCTGGTGGGATCGACCGTCACACAAGCAGCTTGTGCAACAACACGGGTGTAACAACACATTTCCAGGAGGTGAAGGATTTTGGTATGGGGTCCCCGAGGATCACATGAGCGACACGGCTTCCCAGAGACATTCGTGCTGTAACGAGGAGGTCGATTCGCACTCCCATGCGGGTTTCGAGAATGTCGGTTGATCTCTCGTTGGCTTCTTTGCATATCGTCTGAGCGCCAATAGCGAAATGTTTGCCTGGCGTCTCAGATTCTGGTCTGGAATGCATGGTGTTTGCTCTATGCAAGGCGACATTACGTTTCCGAACCTCGTGGTTTTCGCTTGCAAGGAAAACGTGGCCTCGCATGTTAATCGATCTTGCGATGTCAGAAGCTCTACGTAGTATGTTTCTGCAGCATTAAGACGAAATGGGACGATGTTAGGGGAATTAAGGTGGGTATTCTGATCATGAAACTGTAATCCTTTTTTGAATGTCACTCCGGTACCTGAAATACGTATTTAACAATGAAATGAAGTCATGTACTAGGGTTCCCAGTCTCGAAGCTGATGACGATTGTTTCTGCATGGGCATGCATGCAATCTGATTTCAGGAGTAAATGGTTTGCTATAGATGGTTTGCCTCTATTTAGGACTTTTGATAGTGTTTGTAACTTATAATTATCCTGTTAGAAAATCCGCATTTAAAATTCAGTTCCATCTACGCGTGTACAGACAAGATGACCACTATGTTGTATGTGGGAGCCTTCTCCAGATTTAAGTATTTCTATTCATAGCTTGTACGTATAATTTTTTGCAGATCTGTTTGCTCTAATGGTAATATAATGTCAGTAAATTAACAAGTATTTTTCGAACATTATATATATTTATATACCAGTCCAGTATATCGTTTTTTTTTTACCAGTCTGGGAAAGAATTTACGAGTCTAACTCTGTAACCTGATCCAATGAGAACATACTTTAGACCCTATGGTAATGGCCAGCCTTGGCTTCACTTGGGCTTGGGTGATTTCTACCGAGCTTATGGAAATTAATATCACGGGGGCAAGATATTAAGTGTGTGCCTTCCTTTAAATTTTGGCTTCTACGCCGGGGGACGCATATTCTCGTTCCCTTATGCGGGCTTGAAGACCAGCTACTCGGAGCGGCAGATTTGACCGCCTCCTGGCTTGCATGGCAGTATCATTCTTATAAAAGCGGCAAAGGTAAAACGAGTAGTCGGATGACCATCGTCGGAGAGATACGTGCCGCCCTCGGGCCACAAGCATCCTATGCCTCAAAATTCAAGTTTGGCACCTTGATAACCGGAGATATTTGCAATCCTAATGCAATGGAAAGAAACCCAAAATTACAGTCACAAATCTTGTAGATCTTCTTCTTTCTTTTAAATTATCAACCCTAAACTGTTTGGTCTTCGAATTTGCGCAGAAATTTACCTGTTCGGTCGTAGGTAAATACTTTTGGTAAGGGGATTCTCGGGCGCTTACAGGAACTCGTGTTGTAGCCACGATGTGTATATTCGGGCGTCGAGCCACTTAATGGTTTTGAACTAATTATGCCTGGCGCCTTAAAGCAAAGAAATCAGGAAAGATCTTAAGGTTTCCTGCAGAAGCAATTGTACTTGGAGGGACATCTGGTTACGTTGCGTTTTGTATAGTAAAATAATACCTTGGTGTGGGCCCAACCTGCATAATATTCCCTGTTGACACCCAGTCTCGTAAGACTGGGACTGGTTCTGGTTATCAAATGTCTATTTGATTTGTGTTGGATAACCCTGCCTTTCAACCAATATGCAACAAAAACCACGATCCCAACTCCCCGCTCAAACTACTGCCCGCTATCACGAAGCTATTGTACGCCCTAGGTTTACTCAAGTGTGTAGTCAAACGTAGAATTGTCATTTTGTGTCTCAGTTCCTATCTCATGGTTTTTGATATCATAGTTGAGAGAAACTATTCTTATCTTCATGTGCTACTAGTATGCGTGTGCTGAATATAGCCTTTGTTTCTTGAATATTGCTTATATGAAACCCCAAAACTAGTCAGCCGGGTACCGTGGCGGGCGTATACGGCCCGGAAGGCGCTCAAAACTCTCGCTAGACGATGTTACTAGATTTCAAGAAACTAATGGAATTCCTTGAGCGTAGAAACGCCTTAATCCTGAGAGTTGCTTGAACGCAGCTTTGAGCTCCCGAGCTCTGAGGGCACCAGTACAAATCTCATAGAACCACGTTAACAGCAAGCATCTTCTATAGTTTCTATCAAGTGGAGACTTGACTAGTTTATTTTTGGGAAATGGTGTGTAGAATTCAACGTATTTTAGTGTGTGTGCCTGAGAACCTGGTCCTGAGACATCTCAGTTAACATTTAGTAGTATCGCCAAAATTCGCTATTGGATAGATTTTCGAAGGTCTAGCTTAGGTATGAGCAAGAACACCCGATATATTTTTGTACTATGTAATAAGATTTGCACTAGAAGAAGCTCCTTGTAAGCCAATTGCAAGTAAGAGGAGGCACGGACGGGAGGGGAAGTAGAAGGTTGTCTACCAGGGTGCAGCCATTTGCAAATGTTAGACATGTCACAACCATACTTGAGGCTATCCGTGTTTGAGTTTAGTTGGACGTCAGATATCATGCGATGAGATGCGGAGAAGCTGCTATCTTGTATCTGCTGAGTTAGTGTATACATGTGCATCTGTAAATATTAGTGTAGAATTGCGAAAGGCCCTAGCTAAGGCCAATCTTAACTGCAGGTTTTTGCTCATGTGGTCAACCTTAGAATCTAAGTTTTGATGCTTTTCGACACGAGACGTGAAGCTTTAACTGTCATATAAATCATCCGCCGGGGTAATTAGATTGGATGGGACTGTATCCAAGGGTTCATGGTGGACACATCTCATAGACGCTTACACACCAAGGTAAAACAAAAGTCACATATTTATATGTTTCCGGTAATTATATCAAGATTGTCTAACCTTCTGCTGGTATCTCGAAGAGAGATGATGGGAAGCCTAGGGATATTGTAAGCCCATGGTTCAAAATTGTCTTGGATATATATTGTTATATTCATTGATGGCCGCCCAGGCACACGCCGAGAAATATGCATCAGATATCTCGAAACTCGCCTTAACAATATCAGGTTAGTATATAAGTACTTAGGGATGAGCATTTCAATTAGCGTAAATACCATATATTTGATTTATTATGAACTAGTTAGTTGCCTCAAAAAACCTTCGCTCGTAGCTATCCGAAGGTCTCACTAGTCGCTGCCATGTGTTAACTAAGGCGTTCCTGTGCAGACGATTGCTTGATCCGGCGACGATGTCAACCAACGTTGGCTGTTCCGAACGCGGCCAAGATGCAGGCGAGGATCGATCAGGGACCAGAGACCCACTTCGAGCTATGAAAGGGGGCTTTCTGACTCAAACCAAGATCTGCTCAATCGACCGTTCCCTCAATGCTGTATTCTGATAGGTATGCGTCAAAATCATCCCGTGCCAGGAGCTAGTACTATAGAGTCTATCCGAAGGGGCTGTTCCAGTACGTAAGGCATCAATCAATTGATCAAGCCCAAGTTGTTTGGGTGTTGGAAACCATTTTGTGTTGGGACAGCATCCAATGGCCTTTTTGATCATTAAGACAAAGACATTACCGCATTCGCCGACATCAGTATGGGTGTACATATTGGCGACCTCAAGGCAGCACAATTTAATCCAGCCTTATTAACGTGGTCTAGCATAAACGAGGGGTACAACATCCTGAATCGTCACGAATGCCTCAATTCAGCAGGGCCTCAATCGAATCGAGATCCTGTCTATTGGCGAGGTCATCGTATGATTTGTGGCCTAGGATTAGGATGGAGGAAGGAAGGCATGGCAAGGCATCTGAGGCGGAAACCGTTCTGTTTTATCACTCCAGCCTGCAAATAAGATCACAGGAAGTGATTATCAACCGAAACATCCCGGCGACCCGCATTTCAAATGTCCAGCTCGGGCAATTGGGATGACATTTTAAACGATAACGCACGATCAGGAACCCCACGAATCTTGCGAACGTTTGTTTGGTCGGCGGATGCGGGATAACCTAACCTACCAGGGCCTCGATAAACGTTCTCAGGACGGATGGACAAAGAGTTTTTTTTTTCCCTCTCTTTCGACAAGGTTGGTTTCTAGAGTTGAATGACGATGTGGGTGGGAAAGGATGAAGATGGTTTCAGATTCTCGCCTAATGAATGAACATGCAGCTCTGGGTATCGTATTTCTTCTGAACGATACTGAAATATTCTCTCTAGACTGATGAGAAATTTGCCGTCCTTTGAGACGGCTTGAAGGTGTGGCAGCACGAGAGCCACTACGACCGCCTGTTTTCGAACACTACGCGATTGGGTGATACATCCTTTAACGTTTCGATTGCGGGAGACCTACAGCCTGATCTATCAAACTACTTTCTCTCTTAAGGGCTCCACTCCCTGCGGAAGATTTCGCAATTGACCAGCTTAATGAAGCGAAATGAGAGGAGCTAAGTCCGCTCTAAAGCTTCAGAAAACGAAAACCCGTGATGATAACGAAATCGATTGGCACGGTGAACCGGGTCATTGATGACGGCACTCTTGGTCTCGTTTAATAATGGGGCCGATCACACCGATTTGTTACGGCATATTGCGCGTAACAGCAAATTTGATGTTCGAGTCTCCGGCTTTCCCGTTCCGTAATGCAAGAAACAAACGGGCGTGCGCGCACTGACATTTGCACAAAGAGCAATTGCCCCTCCTCTAGCGAAGGAGAGCAAGCTAGGAAACAACCTTAGGACTCGAGATATTATACCGATAATATCATCGATTCCACTCGCCTCTTTCAAAAAGCGGCGCAAAGTTTTAGTGGTTGGGGCACCTTTCGAAAAAAAAGAAGGATAAAAAATATATTAAAATTTAGGAACCTTGGGGGTGAACGGAACAAGGTTGGACTTCTTTACCCCTCGGAAGGATTGACCTGGGCTAGGGAGAACTCGAGGCGGATGAGGTCGACTGCAACCTCTCTCACTCTTCCATGCGGTGCGGTTGTATCCATGCTTTCTTTTTAATGGATCACAGCATTCAAAAATCTGCGGGCAAGGATTAAAACACAGCTTGATCCAATTGGGAGGCCGAGGCTGGGATGCAGGTGAAAACATAACCCCAGCGCCTAAGCTAAAGGTTCCCCACCATCACTATTATGCTGTCCAATCCAATACTATCGATTCTGCAGAGGGACATCTCAGACACACAACAGAAAAGAGAGCGTGATTAGCCTGCCTTGGGGGAACCTTTTCTTTTCTTTTCCCATTTCTCTCCCAGTATAGAACCAGGCATGAGCAGAGCTCAAACCAAACGAGCGGACGCCAACCCGTGATTGCTTTGGGTCTGAACGGTTCGTGCTCCGATGAGGGTCGGTAGTAACCAGTCCATAGACTTGTATAGTGACCTGCCAGGTACTAGTCGAGCTGCGACCCGTTGAATTACAGTCATCCAGGAAGAGAAAGACCAGATATAGAACCAAATCCAAGGCGCCAACCAGAACCTCGAATCTCAACCTGCTTTAGATGGTCTTTTCCAGGAGATGACCTAAAAGCCCATGTCCACTCCAATCCTGACTGTCATCCATCTATTTCGGGCTCTGAGCGTTGATTTCCAACAGCTGCTCTTCATATTCTTCCTGGCTCACATCCCACTAGACAAGTGGGAAGGTATTTTGCCGTTCCATTTTGCTATTTCCCGCCTTTACAGGGTCCGGCCACACTCTAGCTTCGGGCGAAGCAGGAGAACACCACCACCCATGACACTGGAGTTTCGAGCGTCGAGTTTCATCTTTGAACCCCTCGTGAGAAAAAAAGGAATGAGAAGGATGCGGTGAGAAAAAAACGACGACGCAAAAAGCTTAAGCCGGCCTACCGCAAAGAGAAGAAGATTACAAAAAAAGCTTGAAGCCCTCGCCCACACGCGAGACGCAGCCTCCTCTATTCCTTTTTCTCACCCACTTCCCTGGTTACTTGGGATATATCTTTCCACCTCTGTCATCATCGTACCTGCGGGTGACTTGGAACTTGCCCCATTTCAGTTTTTTTTATACGCATCACGCCTCAGTTGCAGTATTAACTCCAAACTGTCAGATATCAACGTGGACGGGTGGTGACAGCTGTTAGACAACATCCGGTTCAACTGAGACTCTAACAATAACCAACAGCACGCACGCACGACGGCATTCGTACTATTATAGGTTTGTGTCTGGTTTTCAGATATACAAATATATATAGTTGCCATTGTTTGCCGTGGCTCGACTTCCCTAGGGAAGCGGCATTGTCGCCAGCAGCTATAAACCCGAATCAAATCACAGTCCTTACAGTTCATCTCCAAGATGTCGTACCATCAGCACCAGTACCTCCACTCATCCGTTTTACCGAACCTGGTAAACATGGACCACAGGAAAACTCCACGCCCTTTATCGGAAGCGACTTCGATCGCATCATCCATAGACTTCGAGGACCCATTAGTACTTCAAATGTCGCATGCCAGGCTTTCAAAGGCGCCAAGTTACCGATACTCCTCGTATGACAACATGGAGCTTCTAGAGGATGCAGAGGAGGGAGATTATATAATTGATGATATTAGGGAGGAGGACGAGGAGGACGAGGAGGAAGATGAGGAATATGAGACTGGAAGAGGTGCACCTCATGGAGATAGTTTATACAATAAGGCACTTAGGATGAACAATTGGTTGTCAGATGGTGCCGCTAGGGACTCTGTTGGATCTGTGAGTGCAATCTCGGGCTCGATATCTCTTTCAAACTTCAACTAAAGCTAATGATAATATGGAAATCGCAGGATGGCATGAAAACTGCATCTTCTTGCGATGAAGCAAAGACTCCGACCACTCCTCCATTGGCCATGGATTTTGGAGCGTCGCAGCCAATGCAAATGAGTATGAAAAGAACAACCGTTGGCCCCCGTGGACCTCATTTGTTTAGCACGATGTTCCTCCAACCACACCAAAGCGAAGAACATTTGGACGACGAGTACCTGTCGCCAATTTCTCCGGTTCGCGAAAACTCATACTCGAGCCCTTATTCTTCTAGGAAGTCGCCGGTTGGGTCTCAGCACAGTCTCCTTCAGGTCCCACATGCACTTCCCGTACAGCGTCTCCCAGTCGACCTCAATGTCAACGAGAGGCCTGTCAGTGCCATGTCAATGGCCCTTCATGACATCGAGGAGTCTGAGATTGAGAACTGGTCCCCTATGCAAGTTTGCACCTGGATGTCTGGCCTCGGGTTTGAAGAGACGCTTATTGAGAAATTCCGCCAGAATGACATCTCTGGAGCGATTCTCATGCAGCTTAAGTGGGAGGATTTGAAGGAGCTGGACATTCAATCTTTCGGCAAGCGTATTGAACTGTGGTCCGAACTCAACCACCTTCGGAAATCGCCCATAGTATCAGGCTCATCTCCTAAAAGGGATCTCAGCTTTGAGGCTAGCTCCGTTCACTCTCCACCCCTTCTCTCGAGGCATGCGTCTCGAAAATCTCGAGAATCAAAATTTCGCCATTCCCCTAACCTATCCGCCGTGTCGCCTTCGTCTTATGCTTCAAGCCCTTCTACTGTCACCCGTTCCAACACCGTAGCAACTAGCAGGCCATCCGCTGCTAGCCCTCGAAAGCATGCCCCTGTCCTAAGAATCAGCACAGATGTCGCTTCGCTTCAACACCGCACAAGACTTCAAGTTTCTGCCCCTCCTCAATATGAAAGTGAGGATGAAATTGAGGACGAAATTGAGGACGAAATTGAGGACGAAATTGAAGAAGTCGATGAGTTCAGCGACCATGACCCGTACTCCCCACCCCCAATGGAGGAGAAGCGTCGTCCAACTGGTCTTTCCATCATTATTCCGGATTCCGCACTTGCGATTCCCAGAGCTTTGAATTCAGCCGAGTCTAAGTCCTCCCACACGCCTTCGCACGAGGGTCGAAGGCATAAGCCGGGACCCCGATTCACAGCGCCAAATCCTGCCAAGAGAAGAATCAGCAAGCGCCTTTCGACCCCGATCTCGCCCGTGTCTGCTTCCATTGAAATATTTGCCGCACCTTCCGTTCTTGGTCTAACGAAGGGCAAACGTGTTTCAATGCTTGAGGCTGAATCCCCCAGATGGGATAATGACGATTTTCATGCTAAAAGCCCATGGGCGCCTTCAATCTGTGCTTCTAGCGACGTGTTGAGTCCATCAGACAGGGGAGACATGAAGCTGAAGGCTGACGAACTTCGCAAAGTCAGCGCATTGACTGCCCAGGAACAGGTCAACAAGTTCATCACTCTTCAGCACTTACAAAGATTGGAGGAGCGAGCTCCCTCCAATCTAAAAAATGAGATGCCCCGCGAGAGTGAGAGCCCTGTCTCTCCACACGGCACCTATCCAATCAAAGCACAGCCTCCTCCTATGACGAAAGCAGTTCAGAGGAGCACTTCTCTTAGAACTTTTGATAGACACAGGCCTCGCGCATTGCAATTATCAAATGAAGCTGTGGCACCAGGCCCGGCAAGTGCTGGCTTCACACCTCGCAATACCGAGGATGTTCGAAACTATCAACCTCCGGAGGTTATTCAACCACAACAACAACCACCAATCGTCACTAGGCCAGTGCCACCTCTTCTACGATCATCAACTGCTCCAAGCCCGCCTCTCGGATCGCAGAACCCTCCGCCTCAACTGGTTCGATCCGCATCTATGGCAAGTCCTAAGCCATCCCAGACCAGTAGTGCATTCCGTTCAAATTCTGTGTCTGGCATCAGTCGAAAGCCTTCCTTCAGTGGCAGTAGCAAGAAGCCGCCAAGCCTCGGGAAATCTTTGATTGATACTGTCAACGAAGAAGCGGAATGGGAAGATGCCTCCAGCCATGGATCCGCCCCCGCATCGCCAAGCGAACGTGTATTCACGGGTGAAATGAAAAAGAGGACCAATCATTTCTTGCGGAACGAATGGGTTACCCATCGCGTTGAGCTTCGTGGCACTAAACTCACGGTCTACAAATCAACCAACAGCCGTGACATCCTCGCGGCAATCGAAATCGATGAATATAGCGTCACTTGCACCACAGCCGGATCAAACAAGTTTAAAGGTTTGAAAACCGGATCCAAGAAGGATTCAGATGGCATGTATCATTTCCAACTTGTTCCCAACCAAGATACCAAGAAGGTCGGTGATCAAAAGAAAGAACATCACTTTGCTGTCTCTAGCCGAGAAGAGCGTATTGACTGGATGAGGGAGCTGATGCTTGCTAAAGCTATCAAGCAAAAGAAATCCGGATTCCAAGTTGAGGTCAATGGAAAGATGATGTGAAAAAACGGTAGCTTTGGCTCTTGGATCCTATTCCCTCAGGATCCTCCTTTTTCTTTATCCAATATTCATTTGTTCATATTCTACCTTCCCCCTTGCACATACCAAACACCATCCTATACACCTCTCTATTTCTATCCATAAGCATTCATATTCTAGTGGCGTTATGATTATTTGCATTCAAATGTCTGTTTGCGTATACTTGTCATGCATTTTCAGCGAGCTACGTCTTATTTTTTTGGCTATGCCATCTGTCTAAGCCCCCTGTTTTGAATAATTGACCATTTCATTTTTTCTTCTCATGACGACTTTCCTATGTATGGTTTTTTTCTTCTACGCACTGGCGGCTTGGAACAAGATACCACAACTAGTACGACGAAACCTCACAAAAAAGGCAGTTGCGATATCTGGGTAATTAGCGGTATATACAGCGGGATTCAAAAAAGACTATAGCACCTACGGAGGGACGTTGGTAATAGCGCGAGCTATAACGGGTGTTTTTTGTTTTGCTTCTTAACTTGCGTCTCTTGGTATTGATTTGGGTTTTTCTTGTTCCGGGTTTGTTATGCCAATGGATTCAGTTTGGACTTCACACCTTTTTTACCTTTAGCTCACAATACCACTCTGTTTTTTGACAAGCATTTGAATACTTGTTTTTTGCCAACTTGCATGTTAAATCTCCTTTTGTATATATTATGGATCAATCTGACAGTGTTTGTCCATCACATTCCTAACTATCATAACTTTTGGTCTCGTGGAACTTGACATGCCGAGCTGTGAGGGGGTGGGCTACCTCGAAGTAGTTTTGATCGACGTGCATCAATTCCAACTTCCAACGACAGTGCCCAGCCCTCGAACATTTAGTGTAGGTGATATATTCCGATCTGTCGCCTCTGCCCGATAGATTCCGTATTGTGAAGCACTGATCATGTCCACATGCACACACAAACCGAAAGAAGCCCCACGATCTCACTGTAGCCAGACCTCTCGATCCTTGCATTATATGTGCGTTCCTGGCTTAAGCTTAAGCTTAAGGGTTCTCTTGAATATACCCTACCCACTTGGTGATCCCCCAAGCCGAAGGCCAAACTAACTCCCAGATATTATTTAACGATAGATTGATATTTCTCCACATTCTTCCTCCGACGCTAGTGATGCTGTGACCGTGACCTGCGCACGGTCCACGATTGTTTACATTCCGGATATATCTACGATCAATATATAAAGCCAGATTATCGTTCGGGATTTAGGCTAGTTGCACATTTCCATACAATCCACGGATCAGATCCTGGCGATACGAGAAAAAGTTTGCGCATTTTAAACACATATGCAGTGCCGCCTTAAAATTAGTAAGAGGGGCAATATTATTACGAGCATAAGTCGGAATCAAGGTGCCTGAATGCCAGGGTTCCGTTCGGTTACAATCATATTATATCAACGACTGTCAGGCTTAAGGCACATCGATGAGGATGATAACGAATTAATTGAGCACCGCCATACTTTAAGTGAGGTAATGCCTGTAGCGGGACGGTTACGTTACCGTGAAAGGGTCAGGGGAAGAAAAAGAAGAATTAAGGGGATCGGTGAACTAGCCATGGGCATCCTTAGAATTTTCCATATACTTGGCAATATAACGGCTTGACGGTTAATATCAAAGGCAATCAATATCACTCATAAGCGTCGGCAACACGTTCGACCGAACGGATATTGTTGGAGTCGTAGTCGCACGGTTGGCTTTGGTCCTCCCGAAATCATGACCTGATAGTATTCTATGGGATTAAGCCAGGCTAGGTGCGTAGGTTTGTAATTTCTACTGCAAGGCTTCAACATTCGCTGGATACCTTGCCAGATTTCGAACGTTGGAATAGGGCCCCTTTTCCCTCGGCTTGCATGTCTTAAAAGTTTTGAACATGAAAGACTGCACTTACTAGGTATTCCTGGCCGTCGATCCGGTCGTTCTGTGGTCACCCGCGGGTATAATAATTGTGCGACCATGCCAACGGTTTGGCATATTCGATATCGTGGGCGAATCTTACCGATGTCTTTTTCTTTCTCTCTTTTTTTTCAACAGCCGACAAACCACAAACGGTATGCATGTTCCAGGTTACCTTGAACTACATGCATAAGCACAAAATCAGCTGATTGGAGCCAAAAAAGAGGTGGTCGGGGTTTCCAGTTCAGAAAATGTTGGAATTGTCTTTTTTTTTCTTCGGGTTTGGATCTGTTCAACCATCGAATCTGTAATCATGATGTGTATATTTTTTTTTTCATCAACCAGATTTGAGATCTATTTGAGATCGTGACGTCGAGTCATTTAAATTTCCAATTAAAGAAACAAAATATCACCAAAATGTTTCGTGTTCACGCCATAATGAATTAAGGCGTCGATGCATGCATAGACACGAATTCGACGATACAATCCGATCAAATCTTACGATCTCCTTTTGGCGACGTAGCGCTCTTTCAAGTCCAAAAAAAAAGGAATTATAAAACCGCCAGTGTCACTGTAGACGCCCATGTGGGAGTCAGCGAGAATTTGTGGAAGCCCTGCATGCATGTGCTGTGTGCTATTCAGCTTACACTACGAAATGAAATTAAGTTGGCGAATTGAGAGTGGTTCTTTAGGTTAACTATGCGAATGCATAGCTAGGGCCGTGGACTGGAGCTGCGAGCATAGATGTCAATACATGACAGAATGAACATATTCAAGATAATATCGGGCGTATGGTGTGCACAGTTGCTAGGGTGTTTAGTGCCGTCCTCAAAAGGCGAATACGAGAATTACCTTTTTAATTGTGGGGTTCTGACGTACCCGGTTTCTTAAAGAAACTCATAGCATGGAACATGTCTTGAGCGCTTGTCGAGGCTTCGAACTCGCACGACATATCGATCATTCACATTATACACACACAGCTGAGCTGCTGTCAGGGCAGAATCAAATCTTACGAGTACTATTGTATAAGAAAATAAAAGATTTTTCTGTGCAACATAGAAAAAAAAAATTTAGCCCCTCAGAAACGTTAAAAGGTGTCATTCGAACGACAACTATGTGGAAGAGATACAGAAATATACTAAGGTTGCGTGCTAGGGTTCTCAAGAAAAGTTTTGCAATTGAAACGGCTGGACCTAACTGTCGGTTCCTGAGAACCAATGGCAAAAGCGATAGTATCACATGCTCATTGCTGACAAAGGTGGGAATCTAACTCTTGTAAGCCAAACCCCATAACATTATAGCCATCAGAATGCATAATTGAGCCACTTACCACTTTCGAAGCTTTCTGATTCGCAAAGGAAGCAGTGAGGGGAACGGATAATGGCGATGCGAGTAACCCGCGATCAAGTTAGAATGCAGCCATTGCATCTCTAAGCATGAATTCCGTTCGCCCTCACTATGATAAACTTCACGGGCTGAACAATATGGATTGTTTGTCGGGCGGTAAACCGAGCCATATCATTCGTCAAAAAACATAACATAACGTACCGCCTACCGAGCCCTTTTGTGTTGTCGACGGACTGCATGAGGTTGCAGTTGGTTCCTGAAAGATGGGCACTGACGTCGGGAAGATAACGGATAGCTTGGACGAGCTGCTAGGTTAGTGATGCCTTGCCCTGGTTTCTCGGCTGAGAGTTTGGGGGTTTGCGAGGTACTACACGCATGTCGGTAGACGTACGGGGTGCCTGACAGGTTTGTGCGTCGACGCATTGAACGTGGGGATGCTTGAGGAAAGTACTAATCCCGGCTCCCAGAGCAAGTCACTGATTAGAAATCTAAATGATTTTGCTAACTGTGGGGGTATTGCTGTGTAATTGATTTGGATAGTAGGACATGCATCTTCTTTGACAGCGGCTGGAGTGTATATAAGTATTCAGATATTGGGTGTAATTATAACATCATACTTAAGCTTAAGTAGTTGAGATATTTAAGTATATGACTATGGCTTTTAATTCAACCCCCCAGTCAGAAAACATAGAAATCCTAATCATTTCGGAATTGTATATAATTACCGTTCCGTCTGTGGAGCATTCGTAAACATGTATCTTCGGCGAATTCTTAGTGCTATATACATGTAGCAGCGCTTAGGCGTGATCGAGCTATAGGAGTTTAGTTTTAACAATGCCCCGATTTTTTACCTTCAGTCCTTAAGTTCATTATTGCTCGAAATATATCGGTCTCAAAGTAGACGCGAGTTGCTATTCTCCCTCGAGAAGTTGAATACCGGATCTGGTTGTCGAACCGATTCGAGTACAAGTTCTTCCTAGTTTGAAGGTCAATCTGCGTCGTCTAGTTCCTTTCTAAATACACCATGAGGTCTTTAAATTTAACATCATTCTTTCATAAAGGAGCGTAAGGAAGTTAATTCGGAACGAAAGCTTCAAAAAAAAAAAAAAACAGAAGTTCATTGAGATATTTTACTTGCTAAATGACACCAGAGTTTAAGAAGGACAGGGACAAACAATTGTAAATGAAAATATAAATTAATGATAGGATATATTAAGAAGAAAGTGACTTCGATATCTAGATCGAGCGCGCTCAGTGTCTCGATAATGAAGTCAAAGAAATTAAAAGGTTCAAGGCCTGACTATATGAGTACAGCAAACCAGTACTACCAAAGGAAATAAATAAACACACACAGAGGCGCAATCCTATGCACGCTAGGTATGAGGAGACGAGAGACGTGAGTCGTAGTTATCCGCGAGTCGCCATAACTTTAGGTAGATGGGACATAAAACAAAAGCAAAAAGACAATGGGTATCCACCTGTACAAAAAGGAAATTGGCTATGTTCAAGAAAAGGAAAAAGGAACTCGTGAATCCTCATGTAAATTAAGGGATCAACGGTGAAAGGAAAACGAAAGTTTTGATTGATCAAGTCATCAAGCAATTTACTTGCTTGGTGGCTTGGTGGCTTCACCGGTGTGAGGATCGATAGCCAATCCCGAGTTGGGGTCGATGATTGGGGCACCGACGGGGAGAGTGGAAGGTTGGATGTACATCGAGTACCCGCGTTCAGCGAGGTTGACGTCGCCAGTTGTCTTCATTTCGTGTTCAGTTGGGCGGTAGACATCATCGTCACCATCAGCAAGCTTGCGAAGGTAGAGCTCGTGACGGGCTTGGTCACGGAGATCCATAGACTTGCGGAGCTTGGACTTAGAGGCATATCTCCAGAAAGCGCCAACGTAGAGGATGATGGCAAGGGACTCAATGACAATTTCGATGATTGAGCAGACAAGGGTCCAGTCCTGAGTAAATAATTAGATATTTATATTCAGTGAGAGCTGAGATGAGAACAGATGTAACTTACCAATTGCTTGCAGACGAGATCGTAGTCAATGTCTTCTTGGAATAGTTCCTTTCGCTGATTGTCCTTGCATGCCCAAGCCCACATATCATTTCCGCCACTGTTGTTCTTTGCATTGGTGATCGTGCCAGCGATGACAGCCCAGAGAATGATCATGAAGAGGAAGCCAAAGACAGAGAAAGCCGTAAACCAAAGACTAGCAGATTCAGCCTTTTCATGACCGCCTCTCCAATACGAAATGAGAACAACGATAGCCATAAGGAGCGAAATACAGGCGATGGCAAGGGTAGCGTAGGTAGGCCAGAGTATTGTGTTAGGAGCCCATGGAGGAAGGTTGTTCCTGTTGGTTAAATGCTTTGTTGCGAAGAAGATTGCGAAGCTAGATGCGGCGAGAGACAATACGACAAGAGAACAGCCAAAGTTAAGAAATCTTAGGAAAAGCTTAGCAGCCCTGATTCTGAACTTAATCTTCATATCTTTTTCCATGACTGACTTGACATGGTTTTCACGTTCCGCAATCCTCTGCTTCTTTGCTTCGGCATCTTCTTCGTCGTCTTCTGGGAGGGCAAAGGCGGCGGTCTTCGGTCTCTTGTTGCTTGCATTGCTAACGTTGCTTAAAGAAGTACCAGGTCTGCTGTCAGACCCCTTCTTCTCAGAAAGCTTAGCCTCAGTCGAAGCCATAGCGTTGATCCTACTTTCTCTGAAGTTACTCATTCCTGGACCCGAGGTAGAAAAGTCTACGTTGACTGATTCTCTTTGATGAATGCGTAGTGGTGTTGTTGGACGATTGGAATCCATTGGTATTGATATCCTCGAGGACGAGGGGGAAGGAAATGTCCTTTTTGAAGGGTTTGGAGGGGACGTTGAAACCTTGGGCGGCTATAAAATTGCGCTCAAGATTGGAACCTGTTATAATGATAATGGGAAGGATAAGTGCGTCTTCTCTGAAGACCGCTATCGAATATATAATTCACTACAGTGAATGGATAAGAGAAGCTATCCTTTTCGGAGAGGTTGATATAAACTTCTGTCCGAAAGACTGTCCTGCAATATTTCTTGAAGTATCTTTGTTTTTCCCGTTAAACCTCGAAAAGACGATAGCAGAATAGAAAGGCGAAAGTGTTGGCCAAAGTTCAGGTCGTCAAGAGGAACTTTGAATTGTCAGTGTATGCTTGGAGTCAGATCGGTATGTTCGAAAGAAAAAGAGGAAGAGAGATCAAGAAGTCACAGGAGCGGATGATGAGGAGTATATGGGCAAGTTATTTTTGGAGCCAGGCATCTATCATTATATGTAAGCGACGAGGTTCATGGACTGGATGAAAAAGCTAACGGACGAAAAGGCAAATTTGTTCCTGGTTCCTTGCCGTAGCTTTCTTCTGTACGATCCCGTTAAATGGCCTATTGGGCCGGAGAGCATGAAGAACCAGATGTATTTCTAGGTGGAGTGGTGGCCCATTGGAATTTCTGGCGCCAACATAAAGCCTACGGTTGGCTCGAAAAGCAAACAGGCCCACTTCCGGGTAACTGTTCATTGGCCAGACCCTCACGCTGCCTGCAGATGACCATTGTGTCTCTCTTTGGGTCCTTTGCGCCCAACTAAAAACTCGCGCTGTGGAGGGATGCGCCCAGGTCAGAGTGCACCATTCTGACGAATGAGGGGTCTGAAGACTTCTGATAAGATGGCCAGAAAAGCGCCTTAAGCCTGGAAAGGGAAAGCGACAGGGAACGGGCTTTTTGGATACATCCTGGCTGGTTGGTGAGTGGGCTCTGATTCGCTGAAAGGCCTTCATGCCAATCCTTCCACCCTTGCAGGCCGACATCGTCTGTGGTTGGCTAGCGAGCCCTGTCCCTCGAAGTTGCTGCCCGTGCGAACCGAACAACTGTGGGTCTGAGCCTGGGTGTGGGGAATTTCTTTAGGCCAAGGCTGCTCCTCCCGTCCAGATAGCATTTCTTATTCGCCGAGAAAGTTTGGCTTTTCTGCGCCGGAAATCGTGACTTCGTTCTTTTCTTCCAGAGCAGACTTGCTTGCATCGAGAAAGGGTGGAAATTATCGAACCATGATGGCGCTGTTAGCCATCTTTCTAGTTCTCATGTGTTTTTCTAGCTGTCGATGAAGACGGCTCATATTTTTCCAGGCGCTCATCGCTCTGGAAATGGAGAAAGGTGGTGTCATGGTTTCTTGAGGGGAGTCTGTCATCACATCTGCGGATTTTTTCGACATCGGGTTATAGCAAGAACTCTAGCTGCAGAAGTGTGATACATGTTGCATTACAGCTGCCTTCTCCACATGCCATGAGCTCTGGTGGACCTTTAGTTTTGCAATTGGGAAAACCCTTTTGTTCATAAGAGCGCTATTGCATTGGCATTATATTATCGGCTGCAGGCGAGGAGTTTCCCAATTGCCAATTAACACACCGAATGAGTATCTAAAAATTTAGCGACTGAATCGAATCTAAGGGATTCCCAGCCTCCCTTGATGTCATCGATCTTGAAAACTGTGGGCTGTTCCTTCTAGACTGGACTAACTATCCCAAATCTAAATATAGTTAAGTGGACGGAGATAAATGGCCACGCTGGACGTATCGTAGCTTGAGAATGTGATCTTCATCTGCCATGTGTACTATCCTGTGATCCCAAGTATTCATATCCAAGATGTACGATGTTTCGTCGTATGCAAAGAAGTGGAGGGGTTTACGACGAAATTCAAATCCCTCTTTTCTAGGGCCCGCGCTCAACCGGGGATTCGTTACACTACTTTTTCCTGACTCGTGCATAGCGCAGCTACACCGCAGATAGAGGCGTTCTAAGTTAAGGAAATCTGGCGAGATAACGTCTTGCCCACACTACCTTTGCATTTACAATTTCATGCACCGGCGATCCGCCGCCGAAGATACCCTTTGGAGCGCCGTAGATGACCGGAATATCTACCTGGCCCGATTGGAATATTCTTTCTTTTTAGCCATTTTACGATCTTGACAGAATTCTTCGCCACTCTTTCGTCCAAAGGGCTTTCAGCCTACTACGTATGTAGATCCACCAGGATTAGGATCTTCATGCTTTTCAAAGAGGTTTTCCTTTTCACCCATCGAGGAGAACTAATGGTATGATTTTTTTTTTGGATATTTAAGCTTAACTCCAAGAATAGCACCAATCATCAAAGCTTGTTCATGGGTTCTTCAACTTGTCAAAGCAGAATTAATTTGAAGTGGAGCCTTCAGGTCTTCTCTCTAGGATCCTTGGACCTCCCCCCTGCACTACTTTTCAATCGATTTTTTTTTTTTGAGCTAGTCTTGGTGACCAGTAGAAGCTCGCAGCGCCTGTTGACACAACGCAATTTGTGACATTCTCATGAGATTGGCAAGGTAACCGCCTAGGCTTGGCGCTTCTAGAAGATGAGTTCTGTGGAAAGGAATGGATTTCTGATCATAATTAATAATATGTTTCTTTCATTAATATCCGTCGGCATTTGTTTGGCTTTTTCTTCTTTCTTTCTTAAATGAAGAAACATCTCGGGTATGATTTGGGAAACGGAAAGTGTTTTGTGCTTTGTTGAACCGAGCTCTTGAAGCTCTTGAGCTGAAAGTGCCCCAATACGGTGATATAATTCGCCATATGTCTAGAGTCTCAAAAGGACTTCGCCACTCCCCGCCACAACCTCAATGCATTAATGACAGCTCGAAGGTGAAAAAAGGCGAAGTCGAAGACTTGCGTACACATACTTACGCCTCACATGTTAATTCACTTTTAATGGCTGGAAGCTGGATTTGCCACGAATCCCAGCGTTTGCCTAGAATATTCCTCTGGTGAACCTTACGCATTCGGATTCGTGTGGATCGAAAGGCGAATGTCAAAGTCAACTGCACCTGGGTACCCGGGTGGATCGAAAGGCTCTGCGAAACTAGTTTGAATGTTTTGGCAAAAAAAATTCAATAATTAATTTAATTTGTGCAATTCTGCATATAGTTCCCACGCAAGTGGTTTTAGTTTAGCGCCAATAGTTGACCCCAATGCTATAACTTATTGTACACCCCGGACGGTCTGAAAGACTATAAGAGTGGTGAGAGGATCGGATGGTATAGATATGACTCGAACAGTCTCATGATTTTCGATTCTTTAGCTTTGATAGGATGGTTTGGCTTTGCTGTGGGGATTTTTGGATCGGCCCTGAATTATAGTGCTGCCAGCTCAGCAGAGCTACTAATGTGATAAAACACGGGATCTATCGGGGCGGAAGTGCAAGTCCTTGAGCCGTTGAAGCACTAAGAATAGGCTTTTGTTCCTTGTCAGGGAGTATTATTTGGGAGCTTTCACACAGCTTGATGCAATGAACTCGTGTCATGGACATGTCATACCAGAATCTTCGGTCGAGTCAGGATCGATGATCAAGGCAGAATATATTGATATCCCAAACTTCATTCTAGAGAGCCCTGTCTGTCTCACGCGGCGTGGGTTCTTGATACATGATTTGCCACAGCTCAGTGAGCATGAGGTACAGCGAACGATGTAGATATATGTACATATGTACATCGAGGTTAGTTGGAGGATCGATACTGTGCGTTTTTGATTGCCACCCGGTATCTCCTGTGACAATAGCGGTATTCTCGTCGACTCGGCATAAGGGGTCTTGCCTTTTTCCAAAAGATGCATGGTATCAACATGTCAATGAAACGGTATTGTAACAAAGACAATAACACACGAACATGCGGACCGGGTTGCCATATTGAAAGGGGTTATTTTTCTTAAACTCAGCCACATGCATACGCCTTTCAACAGATATCTAGATTTGGTATACTAACGTCTGGCATTTTTCGAATAGCTATGTAGTTTGATATCTAAATAAAATAATATGCTATACTACAAAGGATTTACGGCAACATGGAATATCCATGATTATGCATATATGCATAGACGTCACTAGATCTAGTTTCATATCGTCTCAAAAAGCCCAGCTTCCTTTGATACATCTCAATCGAGATATATAGTTCCATTTCACCAAACTGAACCCCGGTCAGTTTAACAGTTGCTGATATTCCTTCACTGCTGTCTAACCGAGCCATCCAACAAGGAGGATATTGTTGGATGGCAAGTACGCCGGATGAGACGGTTCACGTTTTCGGCTGCCTCTAGGGAGGTTATTGTTGGATTATACTAGGTGTTGGGAACTAGTTGAGTAATGTTACACTTTTGATCTCGATTATTTGATCAATGGCCGTAAGATAGCTAGCTAAGGCCGTAAGGAAAATACATTTGGTAATTTTATATTAAGATATCTTTCGATATAACCTGTATTCAGAGTACCTAGATAGTTGATTGATGACTTTTGCAGTGATTGCATTTACTAGATCCTTGGGGGGGGGGGGGGGGTTCGAACGTTCGTATATGATGCAGTTGCAATTGATGTGAATCGAATTGGAGGACATTGGTCGATAGTTTCAGATATCTGGGGTAAGATGACACTGATATAGAATACGCTAAAAGTATTTCCTTACTGGTCCCCTTTAAAAAGGATGATTGTATCGTGATACTGGCTAGAAATGTATAGAGAACACGATTAAAGATACTATACCGGTATCGTTTAGATGCACATCGCATGTCGATATCGCGTATCAACATCTCGGGTTTACAAATTAAGTTAAATCCCAGTAAATGCACTCCAGAAGGTATGCCACACTGATATCGGCTATTCTAAATCTAGATATTCCATAATACATTTTTTAATAGCAGCAAAACTCAAAAGTTCGGGTTAAATATAATCCTTGATACATAGTTCTTACGTGCCTAAGTACGTGTACCCGTCTGATATATGGCATTTGGGCCATCCGGCATCCGTGACCCCTGTTACGGATCCTACCGCATATCAAAAATACAACAAAATCAACGCTAATTTCGACGCTGTGCCACCAAGCGACAGCGTCCCGGGGTGGGCGGTGCACTCGTACTCGTCCCCCGTCTGCATGTATGCATGCAAGAAGTCTACAGTCACTATTACATACATTTGCTACATGAATAGAAAGAGAGGGCAGAAGTATGCATTGCATCGGTTAATATGCCGTCTGCCGTTCCCTACAACCCTCCCCCCGGCGAAATATCATAATCCTGGTCTTTACCTGCATCTCGTAAAGGGAAGAAAGCAACCTGCTTGCCGAGGTGCGTGATTGGAATTTGAGCTAGATGCAGAGATGAAACGATGGAATAATGCTATTGATGCATAGTGGAGTAGATCTATAGATGGAGAGAGGGGTATATTTCGAGGGGATATCGGTACTTTGGGATTGGAAGACTTCTGTTTTTATTTTTTATTTTTGGTGGGGAAAAGTGGGGGGCTGCTGTGCAGTGCCGTTTGAAGGCGCCGAGGTCTAGTAATAGTATAAGACATGTATGTCATGATACTTGAGTCTTACTGCAGGATTGTGAGGTTGCGATTATGTCGGACTGTATGAGATTATAAGTTTTCAAGGTTTTTAAGTGCGTACGCTGACCTTGAGTACGAAGTACGACAGTAGAGTGACCCGGGCCCCGAGGTTTCCCTTGCGATGAGCATCAGTGCTATGATGGACTTTCGTATGGTGTAAAATTAATACACAGCACGGACCGGGGCTTATCTGATCCTGTCTCGAGATCTCAAGGAGGGGGCTGTTCTGGGTAAGATATTGCATTGGGGGAGTTGTCTGTGGCTGAAGAACGGGCAGAAGATTCGTGGCTGGAGTGTATGTGTTGATGTTGCTGTGTTGTCTGTGTTGTGTTGTAATCGCCATCCAGCCGGATTTATGCCGAGGCTCGTAGTAACGTGACGCGATATCGCCAACTAGCCGACGGCCACGAGAACGTGCAGCTTCAAGCTTCCAACTTCAACCTCAAACTTCACATCGCCAGAACCCCTCTTCGTAATAGATATCTTCTAGTACCTACTACAGACTTTCAACAATGCCGTCTGCCCGCCATATACCGTTCCTAATGACATCGGGCAGGGCGTTATCCACCGTCTTCGTGCGCCCCACTTCGCAACCCCTCCTACCTTTCTTATACCCCTCCGCCCGAGGGTTCAGTAGCACCTCACCACTCCGCCGGGACCATCACTTCGATACACTTAAGTTTGTCGAACGCCTTAAGTCCGAGGGATTTACGGAGACCCAATCGGTCGCTATTATGAGGGTTTTAAGTGATGCTATTGAAGAAAGTATCCAGAACCTGAGCCAGGCAATGGTGTTGAAGGAGGAGCAGGAGAAGGTTACTTATGCTCGTTAGTATCTTAAATCAACACTGTATTGAAATTGGAGGTATTATTTCAGTAAACCTAATTCGATGTCATGGGTCTTATAGAAAAAGTCGATTTTGCCAAACTCCGTCACGATCTCTCAACAACATCGTCTTCGGAGCTCCTCCAAACCTCCACACAATACGAACATCTCACATCTGAAATTGATAAATTACGCTCAAGGCTTAGAGAGGAGATTAACCGTACCCAAGCGAATGTTAGACTTGACTTGAACTTAGAAAAGGGAAGGATAAGGGAGGAGAGTAGTGTGCATGAGTTGAAGATCAAGGAGACGGATACGAGGATTGAGACGGAGTTGAGTCAAGCGAGGGCTCAATTAGAGTCTGTGAAGTTTAGTACTTTACAATGGTTGATCGGTGTGACGACCGGTACCAGTGCTATTATTCTTGGTATGTGTCCCAATTGGATTCCTTTGGAAAGGATTTAGGTGGTTTGATGTTAATACTGTGTGATGTCCTAGGTGTGTGGAGGCTGTTGATGTGAGTGTGAGTGTGGTTGGGCATATGGTTAGTAATTTTGGGTGAGATGTATTTTATTTTGGGTCTATTCGATGGATTGATGGTACCAGCATGCATATAGACGGAGTTATATTTGGGAAACCTGGGAGATAAACCGCCACTCTTGGGCCTGCTTTATTAAATGGAGTTTGGTATAAAATGACTTGGGAGGAAACAATGGCAGTAACTATGCTGAAGAGCAACCAGGGAATGTGGACGCTATACTAGTACTTGGTTTTTCCCAATCATTCCATGATATGCCGGTATTCCCAAGGATGGAAGCTAGGTAAACTGTGGCCCTTCAACAACATTAGCTAACCAGAATGCTGACATCGAGCGGTAACTTCTCGCCTAGCCAGACGGCCCCGACAGTATGGTCGTGCAGCTCGTGGCCGGTATTTGGATGAACCAAGACGCTTAGAGGTCCTCGGTGGAGCATAAGCCAGGGGATAAATGCACCGAACTGCGCAGGAGTGAAAAGGTTTACCTTGAATCGGTTATTGGTTTAGTCAATTCATATACTTTATATACATTGATACCTATTAGTTGGGGAGAGTAAGACTTACTTCGAACATGGCGGTTCTTAAATAAGTACATTGGAGTACGAATTAGCGACCCAACATAGAGAATGTATAGTATTCCTTGAGGGATATTAACATAATACTTACAAATGGGGTCCTGTTAGGAATTTGAAATTATAATTAGCAGGGTATATAAAACATAACGGCAGTATTCATGGAATTGAGGCCGGAATTCGGGGAGATATACCAATGGGCCGCTCCCAGAATCTATAAACTCTTAACTCGGGAACTATATTTAATTCGTATTCCCATTAGTACCATAATACCAGTTCATTATCGTATATTTGTGCTTCCAAAGGGATTGATTAGGTAGATTCGCAATCGAAGATATATGTATTTAGGGATATATACTAGTAGATATAATATACATACACTCATATCGGATTCTTTCCCAGAGACTTCTGGCAAACTCCTTTTGTTTCTTGTTTGGCTCATGATAGTATACATGAACGTCAAAGGCAGCCTTTCCGGGTCTCTTATCTAATGGATCTGGGAACTCATTGTAGGTGGTAGAAATCGACTCTGATGGCGGGTTCTCGAGTGATTTGCCGTCTGATCGTATTGTTGTGGGTAGAGGAGGGGCGTTTTCGTAGGGCGTCCCCTCGATGAGGGCGGGATATGAGATCGGGAATTGAATGACCGACATTTTGTACACGACATATACTAGTCTGTAGTTACGTATGCTGAATGATTGTAATTTATCGTAGTAAATTATTGGTCTTGTTGTATGTGATTGAGGGGTTCAAGATGTTATATATAGGTAGTGACATAGCTTAGAGATATTATATTATCTTATTGTAATTATCGAGTCTTACGAACTTCCTAAATCGGCAGATGGCGACACTCGTCTATGGAACACAAACCGGTGTTGCAATTTGGCACGTGACCCTTTTCGGCCGTTAAATCTGCTGATTGGGGAAGGTCAATTCATCAATCGACAACCATTGTTGAATCAACAAATCATTAAAACTTCAAGACATCTCTTCGGCACTATCCACATCCTCGCCTCGATTAGGCACTAGTGTGTATCTGAATAAGTACCGTACGTCATTCACTAGCACCAGTTAGCTAAGTTAGTCCACATTCCCCACCATCTTCAGCTCGTCGATGGATGGTACTTAGCTACATAGCTATGTTGCATGTAATAGCCTCCCACCTCTTGCATACCGACCTTTTGCTAGTACTTACATACATACTTGGTTAGTTACAAACGTTGGATTGAACTGATTAAATTTGATTCTATCACAGGAGTTTATCACCAGACTCACTATCTCATACACAAATAGATAGATCTATAGATCTATGATATAACGTTAAACATTCGGAATGTGCATAAAGAATCCACCTTTTGGATATCGTAAAGATCAAACGTGACCTGATCTCGGAACCACCCAGCCCTTCAGGGAGCTAAGACTTGACAAGCTTCCGGTTCCAATCGGACGGATTTGGAACAGACCCACTTCAGCCCGTTTTTGGCTGAGTCTCGCGACTGACGGCCAATTGACACCCAGCCATCCCTTTTAGCTTCTTCGCCCACCGCTGTCCTCTTTTCGATCTTCCATTTTCCTTCTTTTTCTTTCTTAAACATCATCTAATATCATAACATCACTTTCGATAAGCTAAAAAAAAAGGCGTGACCAATATACTCTCTTGCCTCGTCGGTGAGGCGTCCAACGACGCCTGCTGACAGCCCTCAAGCCAGGGGGGCGCGTGCCCCAAAATCAAAACCATCAACAAAAACATCGACATCACCATATTATACACAGCATCGCCATCACACACACAACGTCATTGAATTGGAGATACGATTTTTAGTTTTAGTTTATTTTATTTTAGAAGAAGAGCGGGGGAGCTCTAAATCCCCACCACCGTCGCAATGCGTGAACTCGCGGGTAACATCATCCGCTTTTCCAATAATACTGGTATGCTCTCATGTCATCTATCACCCCTGTGCTCCCTCTCTCTCTCAATCACAGCGTACTAACCCACAATGACTGCTTTTGTATAGCGGGCATGGAAAAAATCCTCAAGGGGCTTCTTGGCCTTCTCCTGATCCCTGGAACGCCAACCTTCAAGTCTATGTCATCAATCTCCCATGGCGCTAGGTGTAAAGTCGACAAAGCATCCAAAGAACTCGGTGTTGCCCGGAAAGTCGTCAAATTTCTTTACGTTCTCGATGCCGGCCTTAAAGCTCTTGAGGCGCGGAAGGGTGCTAAAGGTGGTCCATTGAAATGGTTCATTGTTGGCAAATGGGCGTGTGCATTCGTATACGCTGCAAGTGAAGCGGTAACAATTGTGCGAACTATTAAAATTTCGAATATTTTGAGGACCTATAGCTAATATGAATGGTTCGATATAGCTGCATACAATGCGAGTTCTCAACGTCGTCAAATCGAAATGGGCCCACTCAGCCAACCGCAAGGGGAATAAGTTCTATTTCTTCTCAATTGTCTTTTCCGTCCTCGCCTCCGCTTATCAGCTGTACGAAATCGCTATAGCGGAACATCAATTGAGGAGGGAAAAAAGACGGGTTAAACACCAAAGGATTGCTATGGCGGCAACGGTCGGCGTCGCTACTCCATACGCAGCACGTCTCCGTTATAGTAGTAGTAGCGACTCATCGAGCTTTTCTAGCAGTGATTCTTCCAGTTCTTCAGAGGATGAACGCCGTCGGCGTCACCATCACCATCACCGCCATTCTCAAGGGACGCTACCAGCGGCAGCGTCACCGGTATCGACTGGATCGTCCGCAGCGTCTCCAACACTCAATCCCGCTGTTCTTGCCGCCGAAGCCCGTCTCGCTAACGCCGCCGAATGGGAGCGTAAGAAACTTTTCATCGATGCAGCTAGAACTTCTGGAACGCGCAATGAAGATAAACCCAAAACCGGTGCTATCGTCACCCAACTTTTGGCTGATGTCTGCGACCTTGCCATCCCTGCTAGTAAAGTCGGGTGGTACAAGAACAAGGAAGCCATCAGTTTGGCATACCTCCTTAGCAGTGTATTGGCAGGTAGCGTCATCTGGGGTAGAGTCAACGCTAAAGCTACCGCACATGAGAGTAAAGGAAGTCACCCAGGGATCAAGATGGTGCGGAAAGATGAGTTCGATGTCAAGCTTAGCGAAGAGGATAGGAGGAGATACGAGCTTAGAATCGAGGAAGAAAGGCGAAAGCACAGTGGTCATAGTACTAGCCAATTGGCTACAGCGGCTGGCGTCGGACTCGCGGCTGGATTAACAGCCGGTGCCATCCATGAACGCAAGAGTGCCAAGTCAAAGTATGAAGCCAGCTCCAGCTCCACATACCATGAGGAATCGAGAAAATCTAGTGGACGATCAAAATCCGAAACCGGGTATGATATCGTTCATCATGAGGATGATAGGAGGAGAAGCAGTAGCCAGGGAGGCCACGGCCATATGGCTGCCGCTGCTGGTGTTGGACTTGCTGCTGGACTCGCGGCTGGTGCGATCGCTGGAAATAGCAGCAGCTCTCATTCCGGACGGTCAAAGTCTGAAGCTGGACTCGTAAGCTCGACGCACCTTGAGGAGGAAAGGAGGAGAAAGAGTACTGGAAGTGGAAATGTTGCGGCTGCCGTTGGAGCAGGAGCTGCGGCCGGTTATGTAGCCAGCACTGCTGCGGAGGGTAGCAGCAACTCAAGAATCGACTACTCTCACCAATCTCAATCCGAATTCTCGAGCTCAACACGTATCGATGAAGAGAGAAAGAAGCAGAATTCTAGCTACAGCCAAGGAAGTGTAGCTGCAACAGCAGGCCTTGCCGCTGGTGCTGGACTCGCTGCTGGTTACGCAGCCGGTGCTATCGCCGAGGGCAGCGCTAGCTCGAATTTTGGTTATTCCCATCAATCGCAATCTGAATTCTCGAGCTCCACACACCTCAACGAGTCTAGTAGCTATACTCAGGGAAGCGGCAACTATGCGCAAGGAGATAGCATTTACACACAAGGCAGCAGCTACGGTCAACAATATGCTGGCTACGGGCAAGGAAACAACAGCTACGGCCAGGGTTATGTAGCTGGAGCTGTCGGAGCTGGTGTTGGAGCCGGATTAGCCACTAAAGCTGCGGGCTGTTCAGAAACAGATGCAGGACGTTCCCATAGTGTTGCCGGTAGAATAGAAGACTCCTCTTACCAACGTGAATTAGAACAGCAGCGAGAAATGGACCTAGAGCGCTCCAGTCGCGCCGCCAGTACCGCCGACGTCAGCACCATCGTCGATGTCGATGTAACCGCCTCGATGACCGAAGCCGCCGCGACTTCCATCGCGAATAAATCCAAGAAAAGAACCGGATACGGCGGCTGGTCCTACGATGAAGATAATGGCGCCGGCGGACTGAACGAAACCCACTGGGGCCAAAATGGTCTGACTAGAACTAATAGTATGCCAGCAGAGGTAAAGAACCCCGGCGTCCTTGAAGGAAGGACGGGAGAAATTATCAGAACTTTGGGAATCGTTACTAATAGTGACTCGCCACAGGAGGACGAGCATGAATTGAGAGCGAGGATCCAGGGGGCGAAGGATGTAAGTGATATGGATGTCAGTGCTGGCGGGACAGGACAGTTGAAGCCTTATTCGACGCTTACATACGCGAAGGTGGCGAAGGATGGCGATAAGGACGGAGCTACTGTGGATATTTAGTTTTGAAGGATCCTCCTCTCTTTTTTATTTTCTTTTAAAGTACATATAGAACATTTGATTCCAGTCATTTCCGCTATCTTCCTTTCCTTTCCCTTTATTTCTGTACCCTGATCGACTTGTTCATTTCCTTTAGGTCTGTCACTATCATTCTTGGTCAACATAGCATTGCATATAACATACCTTTTCTTTTGTGGAGCGGTTGGGATTTGCAAATTGGGAAGTCTTTATCATTTTGAGTGAAGAAAAAAAAGCATGGCGAAGGTGAAAGGAATGGGGCTTTTGTACAATTGCCAAAGCAAACGGCATTATAGGATAAATCTTTAGTGGATTGAAATTTATTCTTCAATTCCCCTATATGACCTTCCAGGTCTGGGTACGAGACAATATATGACCTACTAGGCTATCTATTATGTTGGAAGAACGTGTATGTGATAGGGAAGAAAGGGGAAATGTAATTGTAAATTAATATTTATAACAATATGGTTAGGAGCCTAGGGCCTAGGACTCTAGACGTTCATGAAATACAGAGCTGCGCATGCGGTATAAATTTGCACAAATGGCACCAAAATCTGACTTGAACCCAGGACAGATTACTTATCTAGAGTCACTAAAACTACGGATAGAAGTACGCGTACGGACGTGGAACAGTAAGACTAGGGAATGTATTTAGTGTTTCGCTAATAGTACTATATAGTGATGTTGACAGTCCTAATCCAACCCCCCCTTAGCTGACTGTCTCAATGAGGGTATTTTAGTTCTGTGCCCCATCAACCGACCCCTTCTTGTATAAGCCGTCGAGTTAAGTGCAGATGATGGCTTTTTAGTGTCGTATACTTAGTCGTAGACGCTTTCCGATTGATAAAATCGATGCCGTACGCGTATACGTTGTATATATACATGTATGGAAATCGCATGCAACAACATCTAGTTTTAAAATAACAATAAATTCGGTCAACTGGGTTCCATGGATCCACTATACGATGGATAAGGGGCGGACTCGTCATATTTATTCGGGAGCGACGAAGAGATGAATCATTCTATGGCGAGGATATCGACGAAGAGTGCTATCCAGTTAGTTTAGTTGTTAGACGGATGCTGAACACCCCAAAAAATAGGCAAAACTGATTTGCTCTAGGCCTGTTATACGGACCACGACGATATTGCCTGTTGTCTTGACGAATAGGCCCCATTAGACCTGGAGTATTGGGCATGCTGGATTTACTTGAGGAGGGTCTATAGATCTAGAGCCCTTAATTATATAATTGTTTCAATCGTTTAGTCTCCAATCGAATCTTCGACTCGTGTTGATCTAATATCAGTGACCACATTGGAAGATAGGGCTTGGAGTTATTCGTTATATAGGGTCGTGGTAAACACCGCTTTTTGAACCTAAACCTGAATTTATCTAAATAGAGCCTATAATTAATTGGTATTAACAGGGTTTCTCGTTTCAGCAGTGTGAGTTTATACGTACAGTCATCTGCTACCTACTCAAATATATTGCATATGATTGTTATATAATGTAGTTCACAAACGGCCTTTTTATGCTTGTGCTTCTTTGTCAGGAATATATACAAATCATTCCGTACGCCGCATATCACAACATGTGACAAAAAGTAGAATGTTCACGTTGATAAGAAATTTAGAGGTGTATGAGTGATGCGTTCTGCCATGCCACTCAAACGTGATGTTTGAGCCGTGTATATGTATACTGAAACGTTACATGTATACAGTAATATATAATGGTTCTTGTCGAGCATGTGTTAACATGTTTCACCTAGGCGGCTTACTATTGTACCTTAGCCATCAGGGTAGGGCTAGTTGGCTTCATGTATAACTTCTGGGAAACGTTCGGTATATTATGACGTTAGCTCGTGAGTACATGACTAACTCGAAACTTTAAGGTGGATGATCAATAAGCTGGCGAATTGTAGCATATATATATTTTGAGGAATTTGCATTGTGATACGTTGTTGGAGAGTTGATTAAATTTGGTGTAATAATCTGCAGCTGTGCTTGTAGATTAAACATGTAGGAGTAGAGTGCTCTGTGCTGCTGGCAACTAATGTATATATATATATTGTTTGACGAACTTCAAATAGTCTGCTAACAGATCTAGATGGTAGCTTCAAGTCAAACGCTATGGCGGCATTACCTCCCGGAATGAAGATGTTGTGCCAGATATGCTGTTTGTTTTTGGGTTTCTGATTAGTGATTATCATTTAGCATGGCGGCGTATTTGATTAGTCCGTGGAGGATGATCGATTTCGTATATATTCAGGACTTGAATATAAAGATTGAGCAATATTTCTATTAGATTTGATGTCAATACGTTAGTATGACTACCAAAGCTTGGACCGCGTCTGCAATACGAGACTATATTACTACTGCGCTTGCGCCGGTTCACTGGGGTAGGTTAACTTGTCTAACCTGTTATAACGTTAAATCAATTTCATTTTTAATGTTTTGTTTTATGGCAAATACTTATGGACGTCTTGTGCCTTATATATAAAATATATGGTTGTTGTTGATCGTCAATGGTCTAGCGAACTTTGTCATCCGTGGTCTGGTCTGGAGTATTTCTATTTTGATGCACTTTTTTATGTATTCTAGTATTCCTATATCTGTAATTGGCCTGGAGATTAGCTTGCGATTTTAGAATAACCCATTCTCTTCGTTTAAGTGACCCGCGTTAGCGTTTTATTGCTATAGTCTGGTTCTGGACATAGTGTGTAAAAGCCACTGACTTCCTGTATAGGCATACCTCAGTCGCCAAATTGTGAAATCTGGATCGGCCCTAGGCCCTGCCTTGCCCTTTGTGGCGTCTGGGAACGAGACCAGCCCTGCCTATATTTAGTATACCCCTTCATCGATAATATGGCCACGATAATGATATAAGTTTGGACTTTTCTAGATGGGCCATGGGCCGCAAGTTTAACTCGATATTCCTAAACCATGTATTTATCGCACCGGCTCATCGGCTCGGTGATGGTATTATATCATAGGGTAGTTGGCTCTGGCTATATTAGTTTTCCTCCGTCAACGGGGAAGGCGGGGCAAAGAATTTATATATCTTGATATGTATCACGCCCTCATAGACTGGAAATAAGACTTCCGAGGGTGGCTGCTTCATTGAAGGACTAATATGTACTTACACATGCACGCAATTAAGTTTGTAATATATCGCTCTATAGTCTCGAAGGTATTATATTATCGCTTATGAAGGAAGGGTTTGGGTGCTTCTCCCAAAGTTGGGGACCTATTTTGTTGAATCCCGGTTCTAGCATTCTCAAAGTTGGTTTTCTTCGCAGCAATCGCTACAGATCTAGATTTGTTTGAACGATGTCCCCATAGTTTGTGAGGGCTCTCGGCCTTTTCTTGTTGGTGTTTTCTGGTATCCTCACGCCGGTCATGCATGTCGCAACCGGCTGTGGATACTATCTAGCCTCGGGGTCCGTGGCGTCTTGGTACGCACCCTAATACGAGACGGCTTTGAGACTATCGTTTATCATTTCGTAGGGTAGATATATCGGAATACGGTATATGATGTTGATCGTTGATGGCGCTTCGCTGCAGGATGAAACTCGACCTCAGCGGTTTGTCTCTTGGAGCAGCTCACTACTGTACTTCGTGTTGTCTGGTACCAACGAGACCACTCACTACCCCAAATTTTATCCTCTAATTAGAAAATAAATAAATAAAGAGGAAGGGATAAGAAGGCTGTAGCCACTTACCGGTCGGAGCTTATGTTAGCTGCTGCTATCTATAGCACATGGGTTTGTGGGATGCCGTTGATGTATTTCGTGGTGTCGAAGAGATGTGAACGGCGATAACATAAATAGAAGGCTGGATATGCATCTTGGTACGTTTTTAGTAAAGAATCAAGAGAAAGAGGAGGTGAAGTGAAAGGGAAAAGACAGAAAGAGAGCTCAGCATTAAAACAGTGGGGCTTAAATAGTGTAAGCTCGTCTCTAGTAACAGCGAACAGGCAGAGTAATCTTTTCCTCTCCGTAGAGATGATATAACTTAGTGGGGAAGTCGTCAGCGTGTCTGATATTTTAATTTTCACGTAAATTTGCTATGAGGGGAGGAAATCTTTTAAAGTTGGTCTCGAAAACGTGCTATGGAGGGAAGTGATTCCTGCTCTTAATATCATATTTGAGCTCTAGAAATGCACAGGAAAATTACAGATATACAGGGAAAGTTTCTTCTGCCACAAAAACCCTTTAAGGGTAGAGCTTTGGGTGGATTTGATATATACACACCCTTCCAAAGGGGGGTTTTGGGAATCTTTCGGAGTTTTGGGGTTAGCATTGCATGAAGGCATGATCGATGGCCGCGATTCCACAAGATGTTGTGTTGTCATGTTGTATTTATAATAACCGCTATTCCTGATTCGGCTAGACCGCGCCGAGCTGGTAGGTTTGGGAGCCAAATTTTCTGGAGATCTTTTTTTGTTTCAGCGATAGACACAGCGCTCTTAGTTCGAGGACCCGCGATACATACGCATTCCATATACACCCCCTCAACGACCTCACACTCTCATTAATTAATCACAATGGGTCTAGCCGGACCATCAAAGAAGAGGTATATGACTGCGATCTCATTTCCCAAGCTCTGCCCCGTCAATTGGCGCCCACTCGTCATGGATGACCTTCGGACCAACCAAATCGCTAACTTTCAATCGCGCACAGAAAAATCTCTCACGATCCAAATAATACAAAATGGACACGCTCCACCGGCTTCGGTCACAAAATGCTTCTCTCTCAAGGGTGGTCACCAGGTACAATCCTCGGCCCGGACCCAAATAGTCCACACCACACCGTCGCCTCACAAGTCGGTATCAAAGTCATGTTGAAGGACGATAATCTCGGTCTAGGCTGTAAAGGCAACCAGGAGGATACTTGTACCGGTTTAGGGGATCTGCAAAGTTTATTGGGGAGATTGAATGGGAAGACAGATGAGTTGGTTAGGAGTGAAGAGGATACAAGGAGGAAGATGTGGATCGAAGGGAGGTATGGCATGAGGTTCGTCAAAGGGGAGACTTTGGAAAGTACCTGGGTTACTAAGGAGTTGAAGAAGGGCGTAGAGGAGGATGGGAGGAAGGGGAGCGATGAGGGGGAGGAGGAGGAGGATGCGAAGGAGTCAGAGAGTGAAGACGAAGAGGAAGATGAATCGGAAACCACAGATGGGAAAAAGGAAGAGCCGAAAAAATGGAAGAAGGGGAAGGATAAAGATAGTAGAAAGAAGAAACGGAAATCATCCGACTCTGAAGATGACGAAGATGCCGGCTCTTCTTCATCGTCAGCCTCAAAAGATCGTAAATCCGACAAATCGAAACGAAAGGCCGACAAAGCCCTCCGAAAGGCCGAGAGACAAGCTAAAAGGGAACGAAAAGAGGCGAAGCGACAACGAAAAGATGAAAAGCGAAGGATGAAAGCCGAAAAGAAGGCCCTCAAGTCGGCAATCGTAGCGTCTTCGGCGCCTCCATCAACAGCATCTACCCCTCCTGCAATGCCTTCAGCTGAACCAGAACCATTACCAAAACTTGACAAGAAGTCGAAATCACTACCTAGTTCCTTACATGGCTCCGGGACGTCAACACCCGTAAATGGTCGTCAAGCGCTTCGGTCGAAATGGATTGCGCAGAAGAGGATGGCGGTTATGGATGCGAAAGCGCTGAACGAGGTACCACACCTAGCAATTTGTTTCGGATTTCTGGGTTAGATTGAAATATGGCTGACTTTCGTCTTTTAGATTCTCATGATCAAGGCCGCTTGATGTGGTAAAGCCTTCAACTTTTCATTGTTCAACAGCGTTTACGAAAAGCACATGATACATTGTAGTTGGATTCCTAGTGTGGTTGTATGTGATAAAAGCGGATTTTATTTCGGTTTATCTCAGGTTCTGGATTAATATTTTTGTTAAGACTGTGCTGATACGTTATCAGGATCTCGAGGCTAAGATTTAAGAATTATACGATTCTATAAATTTTAAAGAGATAGAAGCTAAGAACATGAAGAGTGATCAAAGTCCATTCCTGAGGGCAGCTATGTGTAACGGGTAAACCAGAACACGCGCAAGACTAAAAAGGACATCTGATTTGTATAGAAGGTATCCATATAGCCTATCCTAACGTTCCACAGGCGAACACACACCCCAACTTTTGTTAATTTAGCATGTTAAAAGTCCGCAAACATATGCCTCCGGGCGAAAGTCTGCAAGGTCGGTGAGTAGAACTGGAACTTATTATCCGTCGACACAATGCACTGGCTCCCATCCAATCCAGCGCCGTCCACCAACCCCCTAAACTGAGAATCAGATATTCTATCTAGATTAACATAATATAAAGCCCTCGAATCAACAAAAGAATGAACAACATTATTCACATCTCTAAATTGACAAGAATAAAAATTGCCATTTGCTGGCATTCCTTTGGAAATATCCGGTGTCCAGGAGTATCGTTCGTTTTCAGACGCGGTGCTCGAAGATTCGTAATTAATGTAAAGGACCTCATATTCCTTAACTGTGCCGGATTGATCCTCGACCCTACCTATAACATAGTTATAGAAATTTAGTTGAACGGCATAGTCACCAAGCACCGTAGGGTTTCTCTTATAGGTCCAGATCAACGATCCATGGGACGCAGGCCGTCGACCGAGGTAATAGTATTGATCGGAGATATTGTATCGTAGTGTCCACTCAGTATAAGCTTGTAGAAGTGGATCTGTAGGTTGTGTATTTTGGTTTATGGCGACTAGGTGAAGCCTAGAGGTAGGGTCGCGCAGGTCTTTGTAGCCGTAGACGGGTTTCATGTCCTTCATGAAGACTTTACCGGCACCGGGGACGGTTTGTGTCGAGGTTGGGAGCGGTTCGAGTAATGTTTTGGTAGTGGTTGAGGGGATACCAGTTATCGTACCGGCTATGGAGATCGTATTTTCGATTGAAAGGCTGGTGGATTCTGGACGGGTGACGATGATATGGCTTGTTTCGGTCTTTATAATTGGGGTTATGGCCTCCCACAGGCTTCTGTAATTACACCCGCTTCAAATGAAGATAATGAAGCTGGAAGTATTGGTGTTCTAGGGCGCAAAGTTCCAACTTGTCGCTCTGCCCTGATGAATTTCATACCTTTTCTCCACCCTGTATTTGGTACCGTGTTTTGAACGGTAGAAGCGGTTACTGCTATACCGGACGAAAAGCTGAATATTATATACTGTGTATCCGTGGGTGGTTGGTAAAACATCGTGGAGGCTTGCAATATAGTCGAAACATCGGTTTCGATGCCTGACTTTGTAGTAGAAGTTTGATCGGATGTTGTAACTGAATCTAAGATGCTTGAACAGTACCATTGATAGCCTAGTGATGTGATGATATCATATGCTTCGTTGACCAATGTTATCGGTTCTCGTAGTGTGCTCGAAGAGGAACTTTCGTCGGGTGAAGTACTGGAAGGATTTGCTGTCAATGATGCAGTTTGAGTAGCACTTGTGAGTGTAATCCTTCCTGAAATCTGCCAGGTAGTGGAGCCAGAGTTTAGTGTAGTGTCTCCGGTGGCAGTGGTGATAGCACCCGAATTTGGATTGGGTTTCGTAGATGGAGAACTTGTTCTAGTTTCCGTTATCGAAGATGTGATAACATCGGTTACATCAATTCCGTCTAGATCTACTGTTTCTAGAGATGTTGGGATACTGTTTGTATCATCCCTTTGTTGTCCCATGTAGAGATTAAACACCCCTCTATCGTCATCCTGCCTCTTTTTATAAGATTGATATTGGATATCCCCGTATTGTAACCTCAGGACATCGGTGTCGCTGAACAGAAAGGTAGATTTTATATCCGAAGAGCTTGTACCTGTCTTATCACCGTACAAAACGATTCCATATTCAGACCCAATATTCTGTCGCCTTTTAATTTCGGGGAAAAGCCGAATTGGCGAGGTGGTAATATTAGGACGCACAAAAATCACTTCTGATGAATCTTCGGCATTAATAAGTCTCCCATCGGCTGTAAGCATTAGAGTAGCCAAACGGGTTCCAGGAGCGTCAAGGGGGCCCTAGAAGGAAACTTTGGGTATTTTCACCGTCGAAAAGGCTGTATACATGCTCCCCGTCTTCTAGTGCATGGAGAACGAATGTTGTCATGGGGTTTGGGGGTGCAATAGTGGTAGTACTAGTGGGGGTACTCGAAACAGGTCCCCATTGGAGAGATTCGCATCTTGGGAGAGGGTTGGTTGGGCAATTGAGGGAGGAATTGAGGCTCGCATTTCGGGATATTTTGGCCTGGGCTGGTCTCGCTGGGCTAGATCTATAAATGAACAGCTTCGCACATACGTATGTGTGAGAATGGCCGGTATGATACTACACACAGTTTGTGGCTTCTGGCAATGAGAAAAAATATTACACGGAGATAGTAAACCTCAACAGCTATGTAATGTAGATAGATCGCGATATCGTGGGCTCAAGTCGATGTAACGAAAGCTGAGATATATATATCGATGCTACTTTCAGAATTATTTTGAAGATACTATACTTAGTAAGCTACATGATATCGTGAAAATCATGTCTCTCACGGGAATATCTATTTTTGAAGATGGAACCATCGTGATTTTGTAGTCGCAATGATCGTCCTGGGCGGAGTATGAGAAAGATACTACCATGCCCGATCTGCTGGCTTTTGTGTTGACCATGTGGTTAAATTTGGCGATGTTGATACAGATTGCATTGTCACCGATTATGAAGTCGTATATTTAGGGATCGATCAAAGCAACCTCTCATTGATAATAGGAGACAAAATAGCTCGCACATTTGGAGCCTACCGCTCCTTTCCGAAGTTCTCAAGTCGAAAATTATCACGTGAACAGGCGGTTTTTGAATCAGGGTATTTTATAAGCATAGGCACGCGATGACAATGCAAATGCAGTGAATGAGGTATTAATGAAGACCTCGCAATATGCAGCTTGTGCGCTTGCATGTTATTAGTTACTTCAGTAACATGATATCTAGGAATTATTCTATCATGATAGTTCTGGAAACGCTCATTATCTAGAACTGTGATAACCCTGGCAAGGAAGCCCCAAAAACGGAAAAGAGAAGACTACAAGTCAAAAAGCTTCTTGACCTGTTCCAGAGTATCTTCGGGATTCTTAACACTATGCCCATCAACCCTCGGATCCGTGTAAATCTCAAAGTCATTGCCTCCTTCCATAGTCTTATCTCCAAAAAAATGAACCTTTGTGAAGTATGGCTTCCCATTGGCATCAAGCTCCTTCTCAACATGGTTCAAACAATACCTCTTATCCCACCCAGTCGGGAAAACATCGAAACTGATTTGTCCACCGATACTGAATGTCAATCCAAAATCCGAAAACTCCTTTCTCAAAATCTCGACAAACTTCTCACGAACTTTGGCGGTCTTGTCGTACTCCCAGAAATCTAGACGTTCTTGATGGGAAGCGTTACGGCCGATCGGTGAGACATTGATCATTCCGTTACGGAATTCGATGAATGTACCACGTTTGATGGGGATGTCAAGGTCGGCGATGTAGTGGAGAATGAATCTAGAGAGCTTCTTGTATTTTTCTTCACCGACGTAATGAATGAAGGAGGTCGAGGGGAGCTTTTCGCCGAGACGGAAGGCGGTTAGTCCGTTTTCAGGAAAGCAGTAGTCGAAGAGGGTCGTGACTAAAATAGAAGGGTTGTTAGAATTGACAATTCACATTAAATGGAACGGCGTGGGGAGGGAGGGCGGAGTACCGTTTACGCCGTCAACGCCGAGCTGCTCCTGCTGCTTGCTGAAATCGCTGCCGCCGACGTATCCGACGACGACTTTTGAGCGGAGGTCGGCGAGGAGCTTGAATACCTCTGGGCTGACAAGCTGTAGATACGTAACATAATGATGTCAGATAAGACTTTCAATTGAGATTGTGGGAGCTTGAGGAGGGGGTATTATTACACGTCGAGCAGGGGTTAGTGTCTCGTCGACATCGAATAAGACAATTGTGTTCTTGATCGGTCGCTCTTGGATTGGAATGATATCTGCCATTATGTAGTATGTCGGTACAGAGTATCCGGATCCTGTATTAAGATTTAGAATTGATGATGGTGGCGAGTGGTGAAGAATAGAATTCAAGGGGGGGCGGCGCTGGGTGTAAAAAGAGGAGTAAGTAAATTAAATTGAGACGTGTCGGTTTTGAGCTTGGAAGTGAGCTAACAACCAAGCTTAGCTCTGCGGCGAGATCTGATCGATGCCTGTACAATATAAACTGGGGTATCAACCAGGCGAACATCATCTCAGGGGCATTAAAATCAACCAATCCCGCACTGGGTTCCATTCGGCTGGCAAACGACAGCTTGCCCCAAAGTTCGGTCACCCACCGAATACGTAACTACCATGCATGATTTATCATTTTGTTTTATTGTTAGAGGGCTAAAAGAATCCTATGATAATTACCAGGTATTGTTGCAGTACTCTCAAATCATTGCTAAATGAGGTTTATAGTCGACTAGTAGATACACCATTTCTAATTAATATTCCAATTCAAATACTCGGGATATTGCAATCATCGTCCACAGGCAGTGCAGGCAGTGTAGAATGTCCGGGTTGATGTTGACTGGGATAGCACAGGACCACAACACAAAACTATCGTGGCACAAGCTCGAAAGGCGTCGATGTCTATGGCAACCGGACCTTCAACTGGACGAATGAGGAAATTACTACTTTCGGAGATATTTAAATTTATAAAGGCCTCGAGACTATCTCATGCAATTATTGAGATCATAGCCAGTTTAGTGAGTCCAATAGAATCCTTCTAATTGAAGTGTATTGTTTACCGATCGACTGTAGGTCTATAACACCATCCAACGCCAATATCAACTTTACCAATGTTTCTAGTCTATAGTATATATATACGTCTATTTCTAACTGACCCTCTTAACTGTAATAGCGTCCTTGATATCTCCCTCGTGATAATCTAGGAACCCACCATTTAGGACCTTCTTCGTCCATTTGTTGCTCTCACCTCTAGCTAAGACAATCGTCATCTTGAGAGCCATCCCTCCATCCTCTACTGAATTTTCAGGGAACGGGGTAAAAGTCCACCTCCCGAATGCCCAATTGAATATATACCTTCCAGCACCTTCTTCGCCCTTCCCCTCCGGTGAACTAGCAAACCAAGCTATCCCCTTGATTCTATAAATTTCATCCCTGGGTGCTTTCTTCAAGAGCTCCAAGAATTTTCTACCGTCTAGCCCTTGCCCCTTCTTTGGAACCCTAACACTTAGAACCTCCACTTCATCATTATGGTCGCCATGCCCGTGCCCGTGCCCGTGGCCTTCATGTCCTTTCTCCTCTTCAACTTCTTCCAACATCCCAATCCTAGCTCCGTCGATTCCAAATACTAGGTCCACATCAATAGACCCCTTATTGCTTTTAACCCACGGCGTATCCTCACTAACATCCCGAACTCTATCCACACAATCGTCCAAACGCCGTTCATCACATACCTCCCATTTATTCATCACAATTAGATCCGTATACTTTGCTTGTAATTTAGCAGTATAGCTAATATCCTCATATCCCTTCCAATTTTCAACGTCGACAACGCTAATAACTCCATCTAACGTAATCCTCTTAACCGTGGAATCTGTGACAGCCCTCTTTTCTAGATCTTTAGCGATACGGTTGACTTCCATCGCTAATGTTGCAGGAAACGCAGATCCGGACGTTTCGATCACTATTCTTGAAGGGTTTACATCTCGAAGAATTTCGAAAATGGCATCAGAAAGTTGGCCGACGAGGTTACAGCAGATACAACCGTTTAGTAATTCGGTAACCGAGGATACAGACGAAGAGTTGGGATTTGTAGTTGAGGTGAGTAAAGAGTCGACGGCGACATCGCCGAATTCGTTCTTGAGGATTGCGAGGGTATAGGTTGGCGGAGGTGGTAGTTGAGGAAGGAGATTTAAGATCAATGTGGTTTTTCCGGATCCAAGGAAGCCAGTTATTATACTATTGTGATATACGACCAATGGTTAGGTTTGAGAGTTCATTGGGGGAGGGTTTCGTGGGAGGATGGGAACTTGCGTGATTGGGATGGGTGGTGGGATGGTCATCGCGGGCTTATCAATGGCAATGCAATGCTGGCTATGGCGGGGCTAAGCTATGCGCATATCATGCGCGGGGTTGTATTGAAGAATACTTATTGTATCCTCGATCTCCGCGAGTATAGACTTAAATAGTGGTGATTCTAGTTAATCTGCAAAGCGAGTGTATATAAAACCGACTAGCTATCGGCTGCAGCTGTCGACTAGGAGTTTTATAGCAAAGAATGGGGGTTAGTTGGAAGCCCGGGATGAAGGGACGGTACGGCCGACGGCGCGGAAGAAAGCCGATTGTTACGAAACTGGCCGATTCGGCACAAATTAGGCAACCTAAAATAATGCAACACTGCTTTTTGCGTTGTCACTGTTGGCTAGAATATATATTAAGGGGAGTCGTGCTGGCCAGGTCTTGGTTGCCATGCAGAAGTCGTATCGGCATCACTTGTTATAATCATGTTACTCGCCACCCAGCCCACCGTCTTAATATTATATGAGTTTTAGATTTCATATTTAAAATATATAAAATTGCTACAGGGGTGATGATCGCGATCCAGCAATCCAAGAACAGCCGACTACAAAGTCGACTCAACTAATTTCATGAATGGAAGATCCCTCACAAGATTCAGTTCCCCAACTGACTAACTCTCCTTCTAGTCGAGGGTGAAACGAGCACCAAAATGCTTGCTTGGCTTAGCCTATCGCTCTTCACCTGGGTGGCGCGCGCAAGTGTAGCGAAGACACCTCCATCATGCCTAAGCGCGACCTGGACCAACTTGGCGCCCGCTTGCAGATTCTCTAGGTAGAGAATGCCCTTTGAGGATTTACTTCCTTTTTGAGCGGCGGGTGTGCCTGATACCGAATACAAGATGTAAGCTTTTCACGAAGGTTATTGTACAAAGAGCACGGCTCCTGCTCTCCCTTTGCATGATCGTTAGTAAAGAGTTCCATCCTTCGGTCCATTTCCTTGCGTACACCCCAATAAAATTGAGGAGGTTGTCAGCTTCTCGCGTCGCTCCCTCTTACACTTGACCTCGGCACAACGACCAAGGTGTTTCTGGTTCAGCTGTATCAATTGCCCTACGTACTCGTGCGGTCTGTATGAGCGTAGCTATGTAATTGATGAGGCTATTCGGGTCGTGGAGCAGCGCCATGCTTGCGAGCTCCTCGCTGTACTCGGCTAGTCCGAGCCTTCTTGGAACTGTAGATAAGTGTCCGTTATGGTGAAAAGCGCACACTCGAGCGAATTGTTATTTGTATTCCAACATTTAATTAGCTTCTCGGGTACCATCCAAACGGGATACCGGCCGCTGCATACGATGTTGAATTTGGCATCTGTGTCTTTTCAAATCGCAACGTCCTCTGCATTTGGTGCACTTACCATCGGCTATAGTGATGCAATAGGCCTTATCGCCGTTGCTACATCCACCGGTCTCGTGGAAATTGTAGTCGATATCGGGTAACGAGCCAGGCTGAGGATCGATTAATATTGTTTGTATGCTGCAGAGGCCGCAGGGGGCATTATGATAGCCGTACATACATATATCTTGTATCTCAACTGTAATTTGGCTAAAAGTACAGGTCTAATACACTGGAACTAGCCATTAAATCATTTCGCTCTTTGAATATACCGATGTGACCACAGGGTGCATTGGGGGCTTGATTTGAAGCGCGTATTCCGTATCCAAGCTTCAACTGTAGCTCGCAGGATTTGTGATATTTTTTACTTTAGGAAACTTGATCGATATGTTGGCAAGTATTCGCAACTAGCTACATTAATTTACAAAAGTAGATTACTAGAACGCGTTAACGGAAACGACGGTTCTGAGAGGAAGTTAGGCCCATTCGATGGCCTTCTTGTGACAAAGCGCTATATCTAGCTATACAAGATCCCTCACTGAAAATCTGGCTTAAATTTTTACCTCCCTTCACGATTCGATTCAAGTTTTAGAGCTTCAAGCTTCATTGCATTACATTGCATTTATCGCGGCCATACTGTTGAATTTTAACAGGATGTTTAAAAACGTGTTGGAACCCGCCAAGCCAGCGAGTATTAGGTTAATGCACTAGCTCCACTTTGCCTTGAGATCTTGGATGGACCCTGCCCTGGCCCTAGAAGTATATAACCTGGACTTTGGAGGGTCAAGCTGAGAAATACGAACTTGATGTTGCCCTCGGCTCAAGGAGCCGAACCAGAGAGCTCTTGTGCTTGCTTCGGTTCATTCCGAGATAGTCTTGATGCATGATGTCTAGCAAATGCCGGCCAATGCTTCAATTATAGATATATCACAGCATTCTACACTTGCTTGTATACATGGATTACGTTTTCCGTTCGCGCAGAGCGAACGTTCGATCCTTCACAAGAATCCAAGGGTTCGCATCCGCTTTGTCCTATCGACTAGAAGCTAAACTTCTTGGGTACAATTGGTACCGACTTTTCGAACCTTCTAACGATCTATAGATCTAGTCTTGTGTCCACCGACCTAAATTCTGACCTGCGAGGGACACGACATGCGCGTTTGCCCTAAAAGGGTGTTATTTGCAAGGGTTGAAATGAAACTTGTGAAGGCGCTCGTCGCCCGAAGCAGTCCGTCTATTCTGATTTGATCTTATGGGCGGTTTATAAGAGAAGCCGGGAGTACTATTTAGAGCTGAAGATGTTGGGGCGCTACCTGTTGAACAATTTATTTTCCTCCTTCTCTTTCTCCTGGGCTTTTATACTGTTTAAACGTTTATCTTTCCCTTGATACTTCCCGGCCTCGATCATACCGACAAAAATCAACTTCGCAGAAAAATCCCACACGTACACACGTATGCACCCGAAGCCCATCACACTAGCTAAATTTATCATACCACTTCGCAGTACCCGAACAAAAATACCCCGCAATTAATAATCATGGGCGTCCCCGCCGACCCCCCACCACCGGATTCCGCCTGCTGGGCCAAGGCCAAGACAATCTTTCTCGAAAACATCCTTTCTACCAAGAAGCGTCCAAGCCAGGAAAGCATCGATCGTTTCCTAAAAGAAGATTTCCGTCTTGATAAAGCCATATCAAAATGCGAGACTCTAAAGACTGCAGCGGAGAATCAGTACAACAAGGGGAAGGGGTCGCGTTTTGTGGGGAAGCTGCTAGAGGTTTTGGTCATGGTTAAGGAAGTCGCGGATCCTTTTTTGGAGTTTGCACCGGAGAGTGTTAGTATTGCTTGGAGCGCGGTTTCGTTTTTGATTCAGGTATGTTCTTATGATCGTATTTTATGCCAAAAATCGTATCAATTGGCCAGTTTTTAAAGGATGAGTTTAGGTTGGCGCTAGCGATCTCGAAAATTGCGGATTAATCGCAGAGGCATGCACCAGCATCGCGACAGTCATCTTAAACTGTCGTCTTTACGAGAATAGATATTCCCAGTCCAATAGATTCGAAGCAGGGGATAAGGACACTGAGTTAGAAATCATGAATGCTATTCCCAACCTTCTTTCTCTGGTTTTGGAGTTCTCATGGTATATCCAGACGCGACTGAGCGAACATAAGATACGTAAGAGCTCGAGTCTTATAATGGCGAGATGATGTTTAGGAGTTCTGAGTTTTGTATCTTACTGACGAATTTGAGGGAATGCAGTAAGGTCGTTCAAAGAAACTTTTAACCCAAAGTTGAAGGATAAGTATGAGGAACTTCAAGAAGAGTATAAAAAATTGAGGCAGATTGCTGGTGATGCCTTCCAGGAACGGGTGATGGATATGATGGATCGTAAGATAGCCTTTTTACGTGAATTCTTATCGTTGCGGGACAGTATATTGACAACTTCTAGAATTGAGTAAGCACAGCGAGGGTCTACGAACTACACTATTCCCAGCCTTAGAAGGTATTTGATACACACATCCCCTATCAACCCTATAGAACTATCGAAATTAACATGTGAATTTCTAGATATCAGAAGCAAACTCGAAGAGATCTCAGAAATCAAACAGATCCTCTCAGAATCCCAAATTCGCGACCAATTTCTCCGCAACCGCGCCTCTCTCGCTCCAAATTCAATCCATGAGACTCAGCTCAATATCGTTTTAACACCTTTGTCACACGAAACCGAAAATCTCTGCCAGTGGCTCTTCGAAGACGACTATTACCTCCAATGGGAGGCTAATGCAGGCCCAAAATCCGGGACTGGTGCCCCGGGAGCAGCAGCCGCTTCCGAAAATATCGTTCCGAGTACCTTTGGATCGTTACAAAAGCTGGAGAAAAACGAAGCGCCTCGTCCTATTAATGAAATTGAAAATTTAGAGAATGAAGAAAACAACGATTCTGCCCAAAATGATGAGAAACCGCCTAGGATATGTTACATCAAAGGCAGACCCGGGTTTGGGAAATCTGTAACCGTAGCCTGTGCCTTAACCCGTCTAGCAAAGCCCGAAAAGAAATCATCAGTCTGTTACTTTTTCTTCAGAAAAGGTGACGAATCCACCCAAACTTCAAGGGTAGCGCTATTATCCCTTACCACCCAGATATTCAGCGAAAAATTCGCAACCACCAAATCTGAGATGGAGAAGTTCAGTACTCTAGTCGAAAATGCTTGGCATACAGCGGATGAAAAGCTTACGGACGGAATAGTCAATGAAGGGATCAACGCTGCCCCCGGGCAATTGAGTATGCTTTCTAATAACATTCTCAAAAAATTGGTGGAAGATTTGAGTAAAACCCATAGAAAGCCTATTTACGTTGTTTTGGATGCGATAGATGAGTGTGTGGATTATGAGAGTGAGGAGCTGGTCCCCTGGCTGTTGGAGCTTGCAAGGTCGCCAGAGAGTAACATCAAAGTTCTGTTTTCGAGCCGTGATAGTTTGGGGCTCGAGAGTCTGCTGGCTGGTGAGAATTGGGATGCTGGTGATGACAATGAGGATACGGCATCAGAAGGTGGAGATGTTAGTGAGAAAAATTCTAGTACTACATCCCAGTCATCTAGTGCTACGAGTCAAAGCGACGATGGTGACAGTGGTGGTAGTTTTGTTGACGACGACGGCGAAGAAGATGAGGACAACGAGGAAGGCGAAAATGGAGAAGAAGACGCAGAAAACGAAGGGGAAGAAGGAAAGAGTATCGCGAAAAAATTCGGTGATTCAATAATTCTCACCGTCACCGAGACTACAAACTCATCAGATATGGACTCATACCTCCGAAGTTCTTTAACCAAACTCGTTACCAGGAGGATGGTAAATTATAGATTCGGGCATGGCAAGACCATAGATGTTACTCGAATGATAGAAGGGATCAAAAAGAAGGCAAATGGCATGTTCACCTACAGTGCCATGGTCATAGCAAGTTTGGGACAACCATCTTCCTTGAGTTTGGCAGAGAGGCTAAAGAGATTACCAGACGGCATGGATGAACTTTATAGACGCCGTCTAGAATCATTGACGACTGAAGAGAGAAAACTTGTTACTCTGGCGCTTAAGCGGATTGTCTTTGGGTTAGGCGATATGGGAACTGTTGAGATTGCAGAGCAGTTCAAACAATTCTATGAAAATGAGGAGAGTGATGAGGATGAAAGTAGCGAATCCCATTTTGATCTTATCTCCCACGCCGCTACGAGTACAGTAGGGGACGGGGGTGAAGGCGAAGGTGAAGCAGGGGATGAAGGGGAGGAAATTGAACAAGAGGAAACCGGACATCTCAAAGTCACAGCGGGAGAAGACGATACCGTTATCTCGGTCATTGACGAAACCGAAGATGAAGAAGATGACGATGTACCCATCTGGCAAAAATCTCACGACGACGCCCTCAACAACCCTGAAGTAGCGGATACAATATATCATCTCGAACAAGCTGGCCGGGACTTCTTCCAGTTTTCATCAGAAAAGAAAACAATAGATGTAATCCACAAATCCGTCAGAGATTGGGTGGAAAATGAAGCATCGAAAGCAGCAGAAAGAGATAACAATAAGGTCTCCTTGAACTCCTTGTTTACTTGGGATGATAAAACACAGAGTTTGAGACTCTCAATGCCGATTCCGACGAATTTGATGCAGGCAAATCCGTTTGTGGACTTTCAGAGCGAACGAGATACACACCTGGATATCGCGATTTATAACTTGAAGGCTTTGAATAATAAAAAATTCCAAGAGCAGTATATGCCAGAACCGCAAGAATATGCTGAGGAGGGAGATGACGAAGATGGAGAAGACACTAGTGATGAGGAAGAGGACGAAGATGAAGGGGGTGGGAGCGGGGGTGAGGAAGAGGATGGGGAAGCCATGGAAAAAGAGGACAGCCAGGGAGAAAAGCTAGAAGCAAGCGAAAAGGGTGGAAAAGCAAATGCAAAAACGGACAATGGGGCTGGCGCCATCGATAGCGACGCTAAACCATCGACAGAAAATACGGACGTTACTGCCGTGAATCTTGATACAGGCAGCAGTACCGAATCCAAGGAGGAAAGCGACGAGACATACGAGCCCAAAGCTGAGGATGAAGACTCGGATGAAAACTCAGATGAGGAATCGGTGACAGGAACCGACTCTACCGTGGAACCAAAAGCCGATGATCGCAAAGCACTTGGCTATGTCATCAAAAATACCCATCGGTACGAGGTTGTTCGCTGGGGTGAGCACTTGAAGAAAGTCGAAGAACTCTTCCCCCCAGAAGAACGAGTCGGGCAAAAATGGGAGGTACTTTGGGAAGAGATCAGAAAATTCCTTGATCCAGACACATTCAACAGATGGGCTCCACACTGGTTCCAATTCGCTCTTGGTGAAAGTATCAAAAAAAGCTTCAGCCAAGATCTCCTACCCCTTCAATTAACTGCATGGTGGGGACTTTCTATGGTGATGGAACATCTGTTAGATGTCATGGGAGTCGACCCAAGCCAGGCTGATTCTGGAGGGGATACCCCCCTTCATGCAGCATTTTTACAAGCGAATCTGGTTGAACTGCTCCTTAAACACAATGCAGATGTGAACCGTCGTACCTCAGATGGAAGAACATGCTTCCAACTAGTTTGTAGTTCTTCCGAGTTTTCATACGATGATATCGACCTCGAATCTCACACCGTCAAAAGCGCTATTAAAGTCTTGAAAATGCTGATGGAGGCTGGTTCCGACGTCAATGACAAAACCGCCATGCCGAAAGAAAGGCCGCCATTCTTTTCTGCCCTCGCGGCTGGAGATCTCGATCTGTTCAATCATTTTATGAAACATGGTGTTGACGTTCAAGCGGCTGACCTTAATGGATTTACACCTTTGCATAAGGTTTGGGCTACAAACTCCACAGCGACGAAGGAGGACCGAGCAGAGATGGCCGAAGAGTTGATAAAAGCTGGCGCAAATGTGAATGCTGAGGACATCGATAGTACAATGCCACTGTCTCTTGCTGTATTATTTCAGAACCGGCGCGGAGTAGAGCTCCTTATCCAACATGGAGCTGATGTTATGGATGAAGATACTCGAGGGTATCAAGCTATTCATGACGCAGCCGCGCCATTAGAGTATGAAGATGACAAGACAGCTTTGGCGATCCTTGGCATGCTTTTCGATAAAGGTGCCAATGTGAAGTGCATAGCGAAGTCCGGCAAGACACCAATACTATTGGCGTTACTAGACCAGCATAAAACCGTCTTTGAGCACCTGATCCAAAGGTTGATAGAACAGGAGAGCTCGGGGACGGAGGTTTTAGTAAATTCCCAATTTGAAGGAGAGAACTTGTTCCATTCCGCCTCCCGAGTCGGGTCGTCGCAGATTGGTGTAGAAAGCGCAAAGGCCCTTGCCAAATATTTATCCAAGGAGCAGATACTCGAGATGCTGGGCCTAAGGGAACCGGAAAAATCTAAACCTCCACTGCTCTTAGCAGCTTTCTTCGAAAGATTAGATCTTGTGAAATATTACCTCGAGCTTGGAGCGGATATTTCCGTAGAGGACGTCGACAACCTGAACGTCCTGCGGTTTATCTTTGACGATTGGTTGCTTAAGTCTTTACTCATAACACCACCAAAAGACATACTGACTCGGGCGGAAATGATGGTCGGTTGGATTAAGTCTAACCCAGAACTTATCAAAAGCGATGGTGATGAGTTTCTCCGCGGTGCTGTTTCAAGAAGGGCGGTACCGCTCGTTACAGCACTTGTGGATGCAGGTGTCAGCCCGTTGACTAATGATGCAACTGGTTGGAATTGCCTAGACCTAGCGATTGGAACCGGGTTTACAGCCAAAGAATACCCAAGCATTCAATCTGCCATTTCAGAGTACAGGAAATCAATATATGAATCCAAGACTTTTACATCGCCAACAAGGATGAGCAGCACGAAGAAGAGCAAATACATTGAAGTTTCAGAGGACGGCTTAACTATAACCGAACCAGACCTACCGGACGAATTCTGTAAGCATCATCTACATCTCACTAAAAGTGGTCTAGTTTCCAAGCTAATAATTCATAATTTGCAGCCGATATTGATAAGGAGATTGTTGCTGCAACTGTATTCGCTGACGCACCAATACCCCCCAAGGTTGACGTATTCTATTACGAAGTCACGTTAAGGATATCTGACCCTGGAAGCCCGTACGCATCCCACCACTCCATAAAATCCCATTAATGCATTTAAGTTTTAGGTTTCAACTAACAGACTATATTTCTCAATAGGTATGTCGCTATCGGCTTAGTTGCCGACCCATGCCCTACAGACCGTATGCCAGGTCTAGCATACTCGAACACCACCAGCTACGCCTGGCATGGTGACGATGGACGATTATACACCAGCCGGGCCCCCGGCTCATGGTATTATTTCAACAACCAAACCGCCTTTAAAACGGGTGATGTTATCGGATGCGGATATAATAAAGTTCTAAAGGAAGTATTCTATACAAGAAACGGGGAGTATATTGGTGTTGGTTGGGGTCTTGAAAATATTACCGGTGAGAGATTGTGGCCGGCAGTTGGTTCTAAGGCAATGTTTTCTGCAACCATCAATTTTGGAGCTACACCATATATGTGGCCTGGGCTAGAGGAGTTGATGGCAAGGACTGAGGAAACAAGGGTTGAGAATCTTAAGGAGTAATATTAATAGGTATTTCGAATTTAGGAACGTCTAGGTTTATCAAATTATTTGATGTTATGTTAGAACTTTATCTTGTAAACACTATGCATATGCTTTTTCCCTAGCAGGCATATCATTAGCCGCCAGCAGTAAGAAAATTTTTAAATAGTTAAATCATTACCTGCCTGCGATTTTTTGACCGACGCTCTTCCCACGCGAGCATGCATTACTTTTCGGCAACCAAGATATCAAGTTATTTGCCACACCAGGTATCTCATTTTGAAATTGTCTCTGCGGATATACAGGCAAATCCCGATATTGTAAATGATCGGGAATTTAAAGCACACTCGGCTATGTCACTACAATTATATTTTTCGCCAGAAAAAGAAAAGGAAATGCAACACAAGAAATACAACAAAATGCCGGTACCAGAGACCGAGAATATGCTGGAAATAAACAAAAGAGATAATAAAAAAAGAGACAAGAAAAGGAAAAGAGTTATGCTAAAAGTTCATTAAGTAGTAGCTTTGTGGCATACTAGTAAAAGTACAGAGAAAGAGATGGGATCATATACATTAGATTAAGAAGATAGCAGCAATGATAGCACCAGCGAAAGCACCGAAGCTATAATGCATCCTAGAGGCGGCGCCAGTATAGGCTGGTGGAGGGGTGACAGTTGGTGACGGCTGGCAAGAGTAGTCGCCGGGAGCGCAGACGGAGAGGGTGGTGGGAGCTGGTGGGCATCCTGGGCTGCCGTAGCCATCACAAACTGGAGTGGTCTGTGGGCATTCAGGGCCACCTTCTTCACCGCAGCCTGGAGTTGGCTCTGGAGTTGGTTCTGGAGGACATTCTGGTTGACCTTCCTCGCCGCAGCCTGGGGTTGGCTTCGAGGGACATTCAGGCTGGCCTTCTTCACCGCATCCTGGGGTAGGAGTAGCCTCTGGTGGGGAGTATGGGGTTGGGGTTTGTTCAGGTGGGCATTCAGGCTGACCCTCCTCGCCGCATCCCGGAGTTGGTTCCGGTGGGCATTCCGGTTGGCCTTCTTCGCCGCATCCTGGAGTTGGCTTCGGTGGGCATTCAGGCTGACCTTCTTCACCGCATCCTGGAGTTGGTTCCGGAGGACATTCTGGTTGACCTGGCTCGCCGCATCCCGGAGTTGGTTCCGGAGGACATTCAGGCTGACCTTCTTCACCGCATCCTGGAGTTGGCTTCGGTGGGCATTCAGGCTGACCTTCTTCACCGCATCCTGGAGTT